CGTCAGGGACGGGATTGACGAGGCGCTGGAGAGCGTGGTGGCCGATGGTGGTGAAGGCGTACTCCCGGAGCGTGAGGGTCGCATCGGCGGGAGGGCACCAGCCTGTCGGCAAGTGACGCCTGGTGAGCGGGTCGATGGGCAGGTTGAACGGGATCATCGGGAACACGCCGGGGATGTCTGCGTCCGCGACCGGGACGACGCGGGGGTTGTCGCCGTCTGTCTCCGGCAGCACGTACCGCAGGATGGACGCACGCTGGATCCACCTGCGGCTCAGCTGCTGGCGGCGGATCGCCGTGTACAGAAGCTCCTCGAGCGCTGCGCCCATCTCCCAGAAGGCGTGGAAGATCGCCCGCGTGTGGCGCGGCCCTTCGTTGTACATGATCGCGGCGACATCCCCATCATGCGTTGGCTTGTACCCCACGTAGCACTTGCGCTGGTTGTATTCGATGCGGTGGTGCTTCCACAGCTCGGCGTTCAGCACACCGCAGCTCCTATCGCCCAGGTGTCTGGTGGACCGGCGGACCAGGCTGTTACATATGCATTAGGGTCATCGAACTCGAGCACGAGAATGAGCAGCGGGGAAAACTTACAGGTAGATGGCTCCTAACTCGGGCGCGATCATGATCTCGATCGGATCGGGCTTTGCTGTACGAGGGCCAGTCGCATCGACGACTTGGAGGTGCAGAGACATTATCTGTTTTCATTCAATTAGTTAGCCAGCGGGGGGGCATGCGCAAACGCTTCGACAGAATGGAAATCATGGACAAATTACCCATGCCAGAAGATCCTCGAACCATGGCAAAGCGCTGGCGAGCGAAGCTGGCTCTGGCGTAGCAGGAGCAGTAGCAGAAACGTCGTTGCTTGTGGTCGCCATGGTTGTTGATCTTGTTGCCGTGGAGAGTCAGTCGCTGTACTGTCGTGGTAAAGGTGCGAACATGGTTGCGTTGACGGAGCCCGGTTTTGTTTAGCCGTCGCCGAGACCCGTCCAATCTCGCCGAGACTGATGATTATTGGTCGGCTTCGAGAGTCGTCGGTGGTGATGCAGTCACAGAGTGAGATTTGGTGGGGGAGTGTGGAATCGGGTGCGGCAACGAGGAATCACGAGTGGCTCAACAGTGCACGAGTGGCTCAACAGTGCACGAATCATAACTAGCCCCACGCAGGCTTAGCAGATCATATGTACAATACAAGCTCGTGCCATCTCTGCTCACTTTCTATATACCATTTCTGGTGCGTTGGTCTCTGGAGTCCAGTCTTTCTATGTAAGGGTTCGCGGTCACGTGCAAGGTACATACCGCCATCGAGTACTATGTAGGCATGTACATAATTTATACAGCGGAGACTTTTCGCGGGACGGAACGCCGTCTCGCTTATCTCTTGGACCCTGGCGATGGGATGTTCGCACGCTGGAGGTCGTTTGCATGTATGTAGGGCTTCATCTGGCGGCCGCTCGGTTTCCGCAGCCCGCCAGGCCATCCAGTCTTTAGACTGTTTCCCATCAGCTGCTCGTTTGTCCGACCGAGCCTCGGCCTGTAACTAAGAGGTACAAGGTAGGTCCTGCATAGAATTGACGCTGTGAAGGTCCCTCCCCAGCAATCAGATAAGATCACATTTTAGGCCAAACGGCCAGCCAGCCAGACCATGACCTCATGCTTGATCCCTGATCATCGCACGCTACTCGACGCTTCTTCTCGCTTTCTGCGTGGCACGCGGTGGATACACATCCATCCATCCATCCATCCATCGCAAGCACGCACACACACAAACCACACACACACCACAAACCACACACACACACAACGAACAATAGACTGACGGATAACCAACGCGACTCCATCACCACGTCTCACTCGCCACCAACGAGGGTTGGATAATCGCTGAGCTGTCCTTTCTTACGTACATCCCAGCGCACATACGTCTATACATAAGAAGGCCTGCCTCCGCTGTTCTCCCCGTCTTATCCCTACACACATACCCACACACCCAGACACAGCAAGCAAGCAATGGCCCGCAACCCCACGCGCCGCCGAAAAGGCTCCCTCGTGTCGTCGACACAGACACCGCCGCAGACGAGCACCGAGTCCTCGTCGTCCTCCGCCGAGACGGCGGCGGCAGCCACCATCAGCCACAGCCAGATCGATGCGCGCCCACACTTGGAGGGCACCGCCGCTGGCTCCGCGGGGTTCGGAAGGACAGTCTTCTCCGCTCTTGCGCAGAGCACCGTCCCTGTGTGGGCGCAGACCGCCATCATGGTTTCGCTTATTTTTGGAGGGTGTTGCTCAAATGTACGTGGTGGTGGAAAAAAAGCGCCGGGATGAGATGGTGGTTGGTTGGCTGGTTGGCTAATGTTTGCTGTGTGTGTAGGTCTTCGCTCTTGAAGCCATTGTGAAGTACGCTTTTCCTCCTCCTCCTCCACCTGCGAATACTCTCGCCCTCGCTCCCCCGAATACAGTATCTAATACCCGCCAGAGTAGAGCCGCACAGCGGGCACCTAATAACGTTCGCGCAATTCCTTTTGGTGGCGTTCGAAGGGTTCATATACCACTTTGACCGGCGATCGCCGACGTTCCTCAAGCCGAACCAGATCCCCATCCACCGCTGGCTGGTGCAGATTGTGTTGTTCTTCAGTGTCTCGGTGCTGAACAACTATGCGTTCGGATACAATATCTCGGTGCCCGTGCACATCATCCTCCGCAGCGGCGGGAGCATGACTACGCTTGTCATTGGCTACATCTGGGGGAAGCGCTATTCGCGCACCCAGGTGCTGTCGGTCGTCATCTTGACGATCGGCTGTGTGCTGGCTGCGCTGGGGGATTCGAAGGGGATGGTATGGCTTGCTGGCTTCTTCTCTGGCCCGGAAGGTGTGCGGTGGGATATGGCACTGACAGTGATCGCAGGGAGAAACTGAGAAATCCATGAGCCGCTTCCTGACCGGCCTTGCGATCCTCTTCGTCGCCCAGGTCCTCTCGGCGTTCATGGGCCTGTACATCGAAAACACCTACACCACCTTCGGGAATAACTACCGGGAGGGTCTCTTCTACACCGTTTGTCCCCGCTACTTTATCCCCCATCTTCCGTGTACTAACCCCCAGTGTAGCACGCGCTCTCCCTCCCACTCTTCCTCCTCTTCTCGACCTCGATTAAAACACAATTCACGCGCCTCCTGTCCTCACCGCCTTTACCCGCACACGCGCTTTTGCCATCCAGCATCAACAACCTGCTCCCCCACATCCCACGTCAGGTGCTCTTCCTACTCCTCAACTCCCTAACCCAATACGTATGCATCCGCGGCGTCAACATTCTCGGCAGCATCTCGTCGGCACTGACAGTCACCATCGTGCTCAACATCCGCAAACTTGTCAGTCTGCTGCTCAGCATTTGGCTCTTTGGAAATACCCTGTCGTCCGGCGTCATGGCCGGCGCTACCGTCGTCTTTGCCGGCGCGTTTCTTTATGGCTTTGAAAGTCAGCGCTTGGGCGCCAAGAGAAGGAGGATGGCCGCCGTGGCTAGGGAGAAGAGTATTTAGAGTACGATAGATGGGGAGGAGGGGCGCGCGGGGAGGGAGGGGGGTGGGTTTATAGAGTAGAGCTGAGTAGAGTAGAGTAGAACAGAGGCACTTCATGCCCGATGATGATAAAGATACATATCCATATATATGTCAAGTAAGATGTAGTGAATAAAAAAAGTTCACTTCACTTGCAGGGTTCGTTCGCGGAGAATGTGGAGCCAGAGTTGGAGACGCGGCGAATGGACCGGAAATAGGCTTTTTACTTGGCGGCGGTAAGCTCCGGCTGCGGAGGATCGGGATTTCGTGAAATACCATTCCCATTTCCATTTCCATGTTCCATTGCAATGTTCCATGTTCCAGGCTTATGTTCCAGCCAAAAAGGGTATTTAGGTTTGCAGAACCATCATCGTATGTACGGCAAAAACTAAAGCAGACCCCCTCCCATCCCTTCCCCCATCATTCCTTCCCCATCCTCCCTCCTCTCGGATGTAACTATGGCATATAGCATATGTCCACCGAGTTCCAGCAGAACACCCAATGATAAACAAACAGGAGCATGTCCCAACTGCAGAAATCGTCACTCGCAGCACTGACACTGAGTTCACCCCCAATCCCAGAGAACCAAATCCCAGAATCCCAGATAACAACAAAACCACAATTGCGGAAAAAAAAAACCAATAGAAAAGTATATAAAGCAAGTAGCGTTCATCTTCCCCCTCCCCTCCTCGCCCCTTGCCCCTATACAAACCCCAACACATGATGATCACCATGCGGAATAACAGTAGTACTTACATACATGGCAAAGTGAAGTAAGAATGGAGAGACAGGACAGGACAGAAAAAGAGAACGTTAAATCGCAAATCACAGATCACAATAACACCCAAATGACAAATGACGGTACGCCGACAAGCCGAAGATTACAAGCACTGGCCCCCAAAAGAAAACACAAGACAGAGAGCAGAAAACAAAAGTGACCGACCCCCGGACCGGATCCCATCGCCACTAACCAAATGAAACCCCGTAAAGTACAGACAACAGACAGACATTACCTTTCCAAACCCGGATATATTGTGGTTGCTCGCACAAGAAACAAAGAGGCATCAAAAAACTCTCGCATCGTATCGCACATGGTTATGAGTAACCCAATCCTCCTCCGCCGGGTCGGTAAAGTGAGCCACGCATCCGCTCAGTGGTCTGGCTAAGCTCCTCCTTCATTCTGTGCATCCTCTCTCCAGGAGTTGGACTACGTCCGCCCTCCAGTCGGTAGGGTACGTGCTGCTGGTGCTCGTTACCAGTAGTCCGCCCGAAAGGGTGCTGAATGTGGGCCATCGAGTAAGGCGATTGACGCTGCTGCTGCTGTGGATGTGAGGAAAAGTTCGAAAATGCCTCGGTGTTCTTAAACGGAGGCAGCGAAGTTTGGGATGCCTGAGCCTCCATCTTGACGCTACTCTCGGGCTGCGGCGGATGGAGAAGCGACGCCAACGAAGCCGACGACGACGGTGGTGGACCAAGGTTGCTGCTGGACGGACCACGTCGCGACGGTTGAGGTGGCGGCGGTGCAGAGTAATTCGTCTGCTGCTGCTCCTGCTGGTGTTGTTGCGGCCTCTGGAATCCTTGCTGAGCCGAATGGCGATGTCGGTGGTGGTGATGGTGGATGTGGGTACCAGCAGTAGCGGGGTGCGTCTGTTGCTGCATCTGCTGGGAAGCTGCAGTATGGATCACAGGGGATGGCGGGGAGTGAGCATGCACCCAATTATGTGGGGCGATGTCATCCATCCGCATTACGCTGGGAGGCGCAACTGAGCGAGCAGCGACCGCGCGTGGATTGATCTGGCACAAACACATTGAGTTAATTTACTGTCACACAAACATGTAGGGTTCCTGGGAACCGAGGAAAAAGAAAATAACAGATTGTGAAACGGGTGATGACATACCCCCAGAGCCTCCAAATCTTCAGCCTTCTCATCTTCTGTGGCACCATCAACATCCGGCGCGGCGGGAAATCCAATGTGCTGCTGGATTCCCTGGAGCAATGTGACCTCCCAATTGTACTGCATCCGCTGTTTGACTCTGGTACTCTGTCTGTCGGGTATCCTGAAAGTGTACTCTGCAAAGGAAACCATATCAGTCAGCTCTCAGCTCGCAGCGCAGATGAGAAGAAAAGAATGCTTACCTGGAACCAATGCTTCACTTGCACGACGTTCACGTTGGATTTCATACCACAGTTCGCTACAGTTGTACAACGACTCCTCCCGCAGTTGTCGAGTCTGCTGGAAATATTGAGAATGTACCTGTGCCCTGTTGACTTTCGTCGAGGTATGCAGTGACTCCATCGCGTATCGGTATTGGGCATCCGCTAATCGGACCTTCTCCTCCAGTCGCTCATCGATGCACTTCTTCTGTGCTACGTACTCGGGATGGGTGCCTTCTCCCAACATCTTCATTTCAATCTCGACTCGCTGAAGCTTATCATTGTATATGCTGTATGGCAACCATTAGAAATGCGTCCAATGCAGCAGGTACAGTAAGGTAAACATGAAACTTACCTGTCCTTAAGCTTTGCAAAAATCTTCTCAATCTCCGCCAGATCTTCTATGGCTTTCAGTTTCTTAGCCTCTTCTTCGGCACCTGAATAATTGTCAATTACCGATCGTACAAACACCCCGGGGGGCAATCAAATACCTTCATCATCATCGGGAGCTACATCTACGGACTCACCTGGCTCTTCCTCCGCCGGAGCGGAAGGCGGTTGATCTGTGTCCTCATCCTCAGCATCGTCATCCGGCTGCTGATCGATGTCCATAGGACCTTCGGTAGCAGCTTTGCTGGTGGACTCGTTCAGTGGGTGGCCGGTAGCACCGTTGGTCGCCGCTGCACTCTTGGGAGAACACGGAGCACCATTTGCGGTCGTGTGTTGGTCTTTGTGTTCCGAGGCGGCCGGTTTCGCAGTCCCCAGAGCCTCTTGTTGTGTGTCCGGCGCGTAAACTTTCTTTTTCGGGGGAGCATGAGGCTGTACCGACTTGCTATTTTCTGTAACCTCGGAAGGCAGCAGCTGTGGAGCCGGTGAAATTTCTTCTCGCTTTCGCTTCTTGCTCGCACTGCGTGTGGGCGTTCCTGGAGACGAGTGCACAGCATGATCGTCGGTCGTGTCTGCGGTAGCAGGTCTGAAAATTCCCTCCTTAGCAACCGGTATCTCAAACGCCATTGTCTCTGTCGTGACCACGGAGCTGCTCGTGTGTTGTACCATCTGGCCGGGTCGTTGCTTCTGGGGTGAGATGTGTAGCCGTTCGGTTTCGGCGTCGGAGTCGGCAACTTCGAAGTCGCTCAGGCTAGAATCGGAGTCTCGGTCGTTTTGGAAATCGTTCCGTCGTTTCGTAGGCGTAGTCCGGGTCTGTGCGGACGCTGAGAGAACCGCGTTCGCAGCAACTTTGTTGGACAGGGGACTGGCCGTTCTCTGGTAGGAGCTCTCCAGTCGTCCAGCAGCGATAGTTGCGGATTTCACGGAAGGCCCTCCTGCGTCTGGTGCCATCCGATAACGCTCTTGGTACTTGTTGGCTTTGATTTTTTCGCGTTCTGTAGGCCGCGCAGGGGGGGTGGATGCCTTCGAGCAGGAAAGTCGAATACGCGAGAAGGCGGATTGGAGGATCTACGAGGAAGATCGCGCTGGAACCGGGAAGGGAGTAACGAACGAAGCCTACGAGTAGGAGGAGGAGGGTGTGGGGGTGGTAGTGGCGTTGGAAATGCTAAGTAAGTCAAGTGAGCCCTGGCGAGGTCAGCAGGGGGAAGAGGGAGACGTGTGGGACAGCACAGGTGTTTGTTCAGTGAAGGAAGACGGAAGTAGACGGGTGAGGAGAGACTAAATCGATGGGGGCAACGTCGACTGACAGGTGGATTGGGGGGAGGAAGGGTGCTTACGGGGTCTGAATGTGTGGATAGGGACGGCGACCGCTGTCATATCCTGGAGGGGTCGTGATGGAGCAGAGAGACAAGGCGAACAACGGAATGGCAGGAGTAGGCAGGGTTGGACGGGGAGAGAAGGGAGAGAAGGGAGTCGGCGGTGACGTTTTCTGGTGCTGGGTAGGGGAGAGGCGCAGAGGGAGCGCAGTAGGGATGATCGGGGGGGAGGGGGTGGAAGGGGTGTGGGGAGAGAAGGGGGGGTGTGGTGTGGGAGCGAGAGAGTCGGCAAGCCCGCCTCTCAGGAAGTCTCGGGGAGGATGATGCGTGCGTTGGAAGCGTGTGGGAGCGCTGGTGCTTCTTGTCGGTTGCTTGCTGTAGCAAAGCGACCGGCGTATGACGATGGCGTGAAGGTTTGTGAGTTTGTGGATGGAGAGGAGGAGAAGAAGCGTCAAGCGTGCGTAGTCGTATCGTAAAGGGTTTGTTGTGAGTTTGGTGGGAGGAGTTGGAGTTGGAGTGGAGTGGTGGGTGCGTGAGTGGTGGTGGTGGGTGTAATAGTGTGGGAGGAGTGGGAGTGGCAGTGGGAGTTATCGGTTGCTGCTGATTGTTGGGTGCGGGCGGCGCGCGAGTGACGGACGGACAGACAGAGCGAGAGAGCGAGCGAGCGCCGAGCAGCGAGCAGTGAGCAACAGCAGCAGCAGCGAGCAGCAAAGCAGGCGGGCAGATGATGCGGGAAAAGAGACGTGGGGCGCAGGGAGGGATAGCGAGCGAGCGAACCACCAGCAAGCGTGATGAATTCATCCATCCATCCATCCTTTCCTCGACACAAGCAAGCCGCCGAACAATGCCTGGCCGCCGAACTCTACCTGAGTAGAGTAGAGTGAGGAAGTACCTGATCCTGCGAGCAAAGAACTCTACCTCTGTCCCCACGAAGATATTGTTCGTTAGAGTTACTTAGGGTGGTCCGTAAAGTGGGCAGGGTCGGCCCACAAGCGGCAGGTGGGAACACTTACCGAAACGGGAGCAGCAGAGTCGTGCGGAAAGCCTTTATTCACCCCGATCGGGTAAAACAGTAAAATAACCGCTTTGGGAATTTCCGCGGGATAATGACGGCGTTGTGCTCACGGCATGTCCGTCACAGAGGACGTGTTCGAGTCTTCGGCTTCTGTCGCCTTCCTCGGCCGTTGTCCTTGGGGTCATCTCGCGCTTTGCTTTGTGCTTTGATTGTGACGATGCATCGTTCCCAACAGGAACCGCCGTAGACATCTAGCACTCTGCTGGACGGCGTGTGTCCAACGATCCGCTCGCCTGGCGACGGCCTTGGCCGTCGTGGTTTCTTCGCCCGGAAGCCCATGGGTTCTTCCGGTGCTCATCCTCGGCCCGCTTATCGGTCACTTCTGTCTAACCCGAGCATCCGGACATATGTACCGCTTCGCCGATCCCGCACCATGCGATGTGTGGAGAGCCAAGCTGTGGAATGACCTCCGACTTCTGCCCCCCGACCTCCGACCTCCGAATCTCAATCCGAGATGCGAGATGTGCTTGTGAACTGCAATCTCTAAGGCGACGGCGTCTCCTGCAGCAGTTGCAGTTCTATCCTATCCGGCATCCACCACCTCCCTACCGAAAGGTGTGCGCACCGCTGATCCCCGTTCGTTCGCATAGATAGTGTGTGTGCAGTGTGTGTATACATACCGCCGTGTCGTTGGTGGTAGTGGTGGTGGGGGTTGCCGTATCAAATCGCCCAATTCCTACACCCCACTGCCAAGCCTTCAAATCCACCTTCCAAGTTCCCTTGCCAAACCCCCCGCGAAAGCGAAAGAAAAAAAGAGCGAGCACTAGGCTGAGTTACACGCTCACGCGCGGGCTAGTCGCTCTGAGTACTCTACATATCACCACGCCGATAATTTTTCGCCCTGCAAAAAAAAAACGAAGTTCGAGTCGTTCGCCCGCCAAACAATCAGCCAGCCATGGGGAAGTCTTCAACAAAGTCGGCGGCAAAGATCGATCCGACGCTTGCGTCGCTTTTCGAGACGAGTGTAAGTCCACTGCTTGCTGCTGCCGGTGCTGGTGCTGGTTTTGGTCGTGCGAGATGGTTGCTAAGTTCCGCGGCGCAGTTAGGAAGTGTTAAAGCTCCCGAGCCGAAACCGCAGGTGAAGGTTTCGAGAAAGAAGAAGGACGAGGAGGAGGACGAGGACGAGGAGGGGTCGGGCAGCGGCGAGGACGACAGCGACGATGGGGAGGGCGATGATGAGGAATTGAGCGAGATCGATGAAGATATCGAGTCGGATGACGACGACAAGGAGGATTCGGAGGAGGTGGCGGAGCCGAGTGCGGAGAAATCAGACGTCGTCACCGACAGAAGCCGGAAGCGGAAGCGCAAGGCTGCCGAGGAAGACATCGAGGACTCGTACATGCGGAAGCTCCAGGACGACGAGCCCAAGCCTAAGACAAAGAAGGCGAAAGGTAAAAAAACAGAGGACAAGGAAGCCGGTGCGGAGTCGGCATCCGACGACGACGAGGAGGAGCCGGCGAAACCCGTCGGATTCGAGATCAAGCACGAATCCCTCATCAATCCTGCCGATGTCGAAATCGACAAGTCCAACCGCACGGTTTTCCTCGGCAACGTCCCGTCGAACGCCATCTCGTCGAAAACAGACTACAAGACGCTCAAGGCGTTCTTCGCCACCGCCGGCAAGATTTCCTCGGTGCGCTTCCGCTCTGTCGCCTTCAGCGAGCAGATCCCCCGCAAGGCTGCGTTCGTCAACCACAAGCTCCACGAGAAGCAGAAGACCGTCAATGCGTACATCGTGTACAAGGATGCCGCCGGTGCGCGCAAGGCGCTGACGCTCAACGGCTCCGTCGTCCTCGACCGCCACATCCGTGTCGACTCCGTCGCGCATCCGGCAAAGCAGGACCACAAGCGCTGCGTTTTCGTTGGAAACCTCGACTTCGAGGCGCAGGAGGAGAACCTCTGGAGACATTTCGGCCCCTGTGGAAAGGTCGAATATGCCAGAGTTGTCCGAGACTCGAAGACGAACGTTGGAAAGGGGTTTGCATACATCCAGTTCGAGGTAGGAGTTGCGCAAACCCAGGGTTTCCAGAAGCTGTACTGACGTTGTGTTGTATCACAGGACGCCATGTCGGTTGACCAGGCCCTGTTGCTAGACGGGAAGAAGATGGAGGGAGACCGCAAGCTGCGAGTAACGCCGGCCAAGGCTCAGAAGCGCAACGCCAAAGAGAAGCACAACGACCGAGACCGTCAGCGCCGACCCCCTCCCAAGGCGGGCAGCGCCAAGGGCTACGTCCCTCGTACGGACCCGAAGCAAGCAGCTACCATTGGCCGGGCCACCAAGTTGCTTGGAAAGGCGGGTGCAGTGCAGCTGAGGAAACATGTGGATGTCTTTGAGGGAATGCGGGCAACTGCTACTTCGGACTCTGGTATCAAGAAGGGCGGTACGGGTAAGAAGAAGGGTGGCAAGGCTAGGGCCAGAACCACCGTGCGATCGACCGCGTGGAAGAAGAAGTCTGAGTAAGAACCTTGATTGTTTTTGTATGGTATAATTTATGGCGGCGATGAGACAGAGGTACCAAATTCAAAGTTTTGGGAACTGCGTTCCACATGTGTGAGTGATTGAATATTATTATTTTCCAACTTCTGCCTCATTTTCAGAAGGTAATGCTTCTGCATTGTCGTCTACGTCGTGGACTTTCTCGTCTTCCGCATCTCCAACTTCTTCGATTAGTGACCCCTCAGCTGCCACCGCTGGGGTCGCCTCATCTTTCGTTGCATCCCCACCCCCTCGACTATCCTGTTTTATAGCCCCCACCTCGACCAAGTACTTGACAACCTCCAGCAGCAGCTCATTCTCGCGGTCCATTTCCTTCTCCACGAGCTACCACTCACTGTTAGCCTATTTCCAGCATGGATGGATTGAAATTATGAACAAACCCGCTGATACAAGCTCGGGCGGGCGTGCCCGTCCTTGTGTTGGCGTTCCCTCTTTGCTTTCTTCTTATCCTGCTCCTGTTTCTCGGGATGTCGGAATCTGCACTCGTCACCACGCGGACACGAGCCCAACTTCCGCCAAGTTTTGCAGATTGGTGCTGGTTTTGCAGGCGCTGGTCCCTTCTTTCGGTCGTTGCGGAAAACGGTGCGCGAATGCGCTGATATTTCCTCTGGCGGGCCGTCGTCATTGCCGGAGGAGTCACCATCACCATCCACATCCACAGGCACATCTTCTCCCGCGTCCTCCTGCTGTTTCCGTTTCTCCTCCTTCTCCCTCCTCTCCCTCCTGCGCCTCTCCTCCTCCTCACCCATCACCACCAACCTGCGGCTCTCCTTCTCCTCCGCCTCCCTCATCATCTCCTCCCTCCTTTTCGCACTCGGAAAGCGTGCCTTGCGCGCCGCAATCCACGCCGCAATCTCCGCCTCTGTCTCCGGAGGCTTGATATTTGTCCCCAACAGCCTCCCGCCATTGAGCGCTACCCACTCTTCGTGCTGCATATCGGGTTTTTCCGGCTTGTGCGGGCGAGGTGAAGATGCTGCTGCGGAAGTGGGGGTGGAGAAGTGTGCGTATGATGAGGGGGCGCTGGGAGCGCTGAGGTCGTGGTAGGATGTGGGCCCGCCCGAGTGCGAGGGCTGGTGGTAGTGCGACGGTGCGGGTGCGGGGACGGCGGGTGTCCATTGCGGAAAGAACGGGTTTGAAGGCGACGCCTGGAGCGGGGCGGGAGGGAGGGGATATGCAGGGCGCTGCGGGAGATGCGCGGGCTGCTGCTGCTGCTGTGCGAGCTGCGGGAAGAAGGCGGGATTGAAATGCGGTGCTGGCGCGGGCGCTGGAGCGTGAGCGGATGGTGCATATTGCGATTGCGCGAAGGGTTGCTGCCGCGGCGGGAAATTCGAAGGGTAACCTTGCTGCTGCTGCTGTGGACGCTGGAAATTGTTCTGGTGTCCGCCCCCGCGCCCGCCCCGGCCGCCGCGATTCTGTACGCCGTAGTTTCCGCGATTTTGCTGCCCGCCGCCGCCGCGTCCTCCACCTCTACCTCCACGTCCACCACCTCCTCCTCCCTGTGGGCTGTTTCCCCACTGATCTCCCGATTGCGCCGGTGGCATAGTCGCCTTCGGCGGTGGCGGCGGAGGAGGGTTAAAGATATAATTCGACATGGTGATCGCACTGTTCGCACGCGCGTGTTGTGGCAGTCGCAAAGGTGAAGATAGAAAACTTGAGGATTTCGTGACGGAGCTAGGTAAATACGCAGGCGTCGTGTAACGTGGGATTTTTACACATGACTCTCGCTTAAAAGAAGCAAGCGTAACTAGATTTGCTGAATACGCACTTAAGTTATGTAAGGATGAATCGGTTTGGACGAATCGGTTTGGACGGTTTGGTTTGGCGAAAAGTCACGGCACGTCATATAGTACACCACCACAGTCCAATCAATCAAGCACCTCCACTTTCGACTTTCCCCCGCCGCCACTGTTAGCTACCACCATCACTACTACCGGCACCACCCCACCAGCACCACCACCAGCACTCCGCTCACCATCACCACGACAATGTTCCCCACCGCCCTACTTCTCGCGTGAGTATATCTAGCCTCTCGGGCAATTCCCCACCGCCGCCCGACCCGGCCGCTGACGTTTGCAATCTGACAACCGCAGTGGGAAGCCCCGAGAGTCTCAGCGCTCATACTACAAGCCGGATTCCCGACAAGGGCAGTCGATCGTGCGCGCCCGCCGTCCGTTCGTCGTCAAGAATGCCGTGACCGGATTGGCCATCGTAGGCTTCACGGCCGCCGTGTGTATGTTCCCATTTCCCCCTTCCTTCCTTTGCGACCATCGGTCGGGAATGGCCGGCACGGGCAGTAAGGTGTGGGTTGTGGGCTAATGAAGGTTGCGCACGAAGACATCTACACCATCAAGGCGGTCGCCCAAGACAACTTCGAGGACGTGCCGATACCGGATGCGCCAGTGCAGGGCGGCATCTCCCCGAACGCTTCCACAATCCAGAGCGGACCGCTGGCGAAGTAGCTGGGTCAATCTGGAGCTGCTGCCCGTTGTGATCGTGTATCATCACGGGGAGAATGAATAACTGAGGAATAAAAATGGCGTGACGCGGATGAGGATGGGTTTTGTACAATAATGTGTATAGGTAGATGGGTTGGTACTGGTGTTTTATTGGCTATTTATTGGTCTGCTAGAATGGAAACTCTTCGCTCTTGATGTGACTGTGAAAACTTCGATTTATTGTCGTACATACACGGCCTGTCTAAACTATGGCGACCGTCGCTCATGCTATGTCTGATGTCTTGTCTGGTGTCTTGTTGGATGTCTTGTCGGGTCCGGTGTAGTTATGTGTGAATCGAATGATAATGATGACCCAACTCGGAAGCGGTGTGGCGCTCATAGAGCCGAAGTGTGGCTCAGCAAATGCATCCTTCTAAACCAGTTAGCGCTGGCCATCAAAGAAGGGAAAGTTGACGTTTGCCGGTCGTTACCTGCACCTAACTAACTCAACTCATCCTACGCACATCCGTTCATGACAAGAAAGAACCCCAACTCTTTCTACACCTCAACAACAACCCTCCCTATCGCATCCGTCACAACCCAGCCGCAGTTTTTCGTTGCTCCTTTGTCGTCGCCCCCTCCTATCTTCCTCCAACGGTCGGGATCTCGCACGTTCCAACTCAGCCTCTAGCAACACTTCGCACGCCGACACACGACCTCCAGGCTTCGCCGACTAGCTCACCAACTCGACATCCACGATCTCGGAGTACCACCTTTCTTCCAGTAATAACCCCCCCGCCTTCTCGGCGGCCATGGCGGCTCAGCCCTCAGTGGAAGCTCAGCTCAACCAGCTTGGGGAAGCGCGCAATCTGGTGCTGCGGGACCCCGGGTTTTGGCCGCAGGTGTTACACGGCACACTTCCCATAATCACTGGACCTATCGTCGAAGTGCGCCGATGGGGCGCCGACTTTCTGGCCGAGACTTTCTCGACTCCGGTGGTCGATGCGCGTGCCAAACAGGAACTGGCGATCGCTTGCTTAGATACTTTGTTGAGACTGTCCAACGAGACGGAAACTGGTATCTTGAAGAGCGTGGTGCAGTGTAGTGCTTCCGTATATCCCATAATATTCCGCCACATGTATGTCTTGCCTGTTGCTACTACTACCACTGTTGCTGCCCACCGCTTCCCCCCGAAGCCTCCACCCTACCGCTGCTGCCCTCCCCGGATATATACCATACCTGGCTCGATAGACAGAAAGCCCTCCAACTCTGGAGTGAGGAGTCGACGGCGGCGGCGGGGAGGGGGCTGTTTCCGCAACCGGACGGGGGAGGGCTGGGCTATATGGATCATGAAAAAGCACTATTTACTAAGAACTCGATGGGAATGCTCGTTTCCTTGGCTTATAGATGCACCAACCGCAATGACGCAGACACATGGAACAAGATGATTGCTATCAAATCGAAAATCCTGAGCTTGTGGGATGTGGCCCCGATCGGTGTGCGCATATGCTGCATAAAATTCGTCCAGCGCGTTATCCTGGTACAGTCGCGGGGCATCACCGACCCTAGGGTATGCGCTTTCTTCTCCCACTACCACCGAAGCTTCTACTGGTGAATATGCTGATTGCTGGATCGTGTATAGCTCGTGGATCGCTCAGAAACGAATCTGGCTACGGTGCCTGCCAATCATCCCCTCCTTTCGTTGCCGTCACTCGATGCTGAAGCCCAGGGACTGCTGGACCGCCTTCTGAGCATACTGCACGAGGACCTAAGGTAAGAAATGACACACCAGCCAGCCAGCAAGCCCAGCATCACCATGGCGATTTCCTTTCGTTAACATTGGAAATGTGTGCTTGCAAAATCTAGTGAACCAACTCTCATCACCGCCACCCTGAATAATCTGGCCGTTCTGGTGAAAACTAGACCGCCGCTGGCACAAAAGGTTATCGGCGCGGTGTTAGGCTTCAACCCATTCTCGAAGATGCCCCGTACCGTTACGGTCCATGATCGTCTCATGGCCATTTCGATGGAGAAAACCGTGCGGATAATGCTCCTGAATGTTGTGAGGTATGTTATATCAGATTAGTTGTCGTCAATTCCTCGGCGTCACGGCGTCACGAAAACTAATACCCTCGCAGAAGCAACCCACAAACCCCTTTCACTGGAAGGATCACACAACACGTTGCGAGGCTCGCACAAGCAAAGGCGGAATTGAACGACTCGTTTTCACGAAAGCGAGCAGCCGCCTCCCAACAAGAAGCCGACGCAAAACGACAGAAGATGATCGGCATCCAGTCTTCTTCCACTCCTACAGCCACTCCACCTCCGCCGGCTGCCCCCGTCCCTTTTCAGCCGATGCAGTCTGGCGAGGTCACCTATGCGAAGCTCTTCACTCTTGCTACTGATCCGGCAATGACATCTTTCGATGGCCAGCAGCTACCAATAGATCTGGTGCTGCAGATTGTCATCGGAAGCATGTATTCAGTGGATCAGAACAAGCTCGAGGCAGCTATCGCGGTATGGCTCGGGTTCACTGATAGTTGATCGGAGCAGTCGCTGACTTGATTCACAGGAGATTAAGAGCCGGTACGCCGTGGTCCTGGCCAACCAGCCTCCGCCGTCGGCATCCATGCTCATAGCTCCAACCGCCCCTCGGTCTCAGGTAGCTGGTGGTGGGCCTTCAAACCAGACGGAGCTTACTCTCGCCAAGCTCGAAAAGAAGGAGGAAGACGACGAAGACGACGAGATCCAACTGCAGCTGGGCGAGTTCAAGCTCCCACCGCCGCCACGTATCACCGCCGAGCAAGCGCACAGAGCCTCTCTCGAATCAATGGACAGAATGTTCCTCCTGATCGATGAGTTCGAGAAGACCTCCCTGATCTCGCGTAAGAGCAAGCTGGGAATCAATCGACTAGCCGCCAGCAATTGGGACCGCGAGGGCTGGATCACCCTGCTCACTCGCATGGCCACCCGAGGATCCCACGGGGAGACTACAGTCAAGTCCGAGTCTGGACAGTCCATGTCGCTCGCTGACGCGATCCGAGAGCGCCTGTTCCAGTACATCATAGAGGACTTCCGGAGGCGGATGGATGTCGCGGTCGCCTGGCTCAACGAGGAGTGGTACAACGACAAGGTCATGGCTAGTGGTGGGTTTACGAGAGATCAGCAGTACCCCAAATGGATGATGAAGACTATGGATGCCATCTTTCCCTTCTTGGAGGCGAGGGATAGGCTGTTCATGAGGATGCTGTCGGAGATTCCCGAGATCCCGAAGGAGTTGCTCGATAAGGTCAAGATCCTCTGCTTGGATCCGGATAGGGCCACCTTGGGAGTGCAGATGTTGCAGTGAGTTTTTCTGGTTCCCACTGGAGGTTTAATCCTTACTAATATTGTCAAAGGTACCTCGCTATGTTTCGCCCACCTGTCCGTGAGATGTGTGTTGACGTCTTGGAGGATCTCTGGAGAAACCGTAAGTCATTTGCTGTCACTCTACGGGTGGATCCAGGCTAATCAAGTGTTACAACAGACGTGGACCTCCGTCCCCAGGTTCAGAAGCTGGTCAACAAGTTCCGTCCCGAAGTTCTGACCGAAAACATCAAGACCGAGACTTCTGCCGACACCAATATGGTTGTCAACGGCAGTGTTGCCACTCCCGACGCATAGATCTAGAGTGGATGACGAGGGCGGACTGGGTTGTGTTTCCATATTCTACTTTGCTTCACATCGCCAGCTTGCAGGCAATTTGATGTTGTTTCTTTTTTCTCTTTTCTCTGGCTCTTTGTACAATGTGCTATCTTTCCACTTTTTTACGGGCCTATTTGTTTGTCAACGCGGCCAACTGGTAGGATGCTGTAGGCTTCATATTGCTATTTTCTTCTCTTTGTTTTCCACCGAGGATACTTACTGCTTCATATCTTATTGTACCTATGATGATGATTAAATGTTCCATACCATCCAGCACAGCGGGCCACCCGTGCTACTGTATGACTGATAATTGTAATTGGCCGAATGGCTGACTGCAGTCATACCGAGCAACAAACCCTGTGGATTTTTATTTTTGTCCATGGTAAAACATACCGATACATCCCCCAAGACTCTCTCTGCTCCCTCCTTTTTTGCGATTGAAGACCACTGCGATCTGGTCAGATTTCCGCAGCTGCTACAGTTGAAGTATATATGTCACTGCTCAGGTTTGACGCGGGTATTTGTCCCGATTTCCATACCAAGGAAGTCCCGGTTTTTTCTTGCCTGTTCCGTCCATATTTGTTTACCGTCCTTCCCCAAAACGGCAGCGTTCCAAAGACATGGATCCGAACGCGAGCGAGTCCCCAATTACCGTAGCGACGGGCGAGCCGCCTTCTATCCTTCCATCCACATTCCTCACAGCGAACGCCTTGCTATTTTGTTTTATTGCTCTTGCTCTCCTTTGCTCTGCTCTTCTGCTGGCTTGCATGCTGTCATGAGCCGATGCGTATGAATTCGTGAGAAGAGAAAGACACAACAATTATCTCTTCGCCCGAACAAACGCTCCTTTCTCCCCTTCCCCTCCTCATCCCTCACCGCACGTCATCTTCTTCGGTATCCTCCTCCTCAATGCTGAGATAGATACAAACCTGAGAGAAAAAAAACGGATCGGTCTCCTTGCTTTGCCCTTGCTTCTTATCTACTTTGCCAATCAATAACCCATACCCTTCCCATCTTCCATCGCTCATCCCGTCCGCTCTCTCTCATCTCAACCCCCGAAAAGGCCGGCAGGCCGATCCACCAAACTAGGTTACATTCTTAGACGAAGACCCCTTTGATGCCCTCCAATCCTCCTCCGTCATCACTCTCCACACGACGACTACCACTGCACCCACACCTAGCACCCTTACGTCCGACCACGCGCCGCAGACATCCGGCCCGCGCCCACTGAACGCCTGGTGCAGCATCAGCAGCAGCACTCGACTCGGGAACCCAACCCACACGGAGCCTCGCCTTACTTACACCTTACATATGCCCGCCATCGCCTGTCGACGACACCACAACTAGCGCAGCAGTAGCAAACAGTATGAACGGCACGTCGTCGGAAGCAGGCAGCGAGTCGCTGGTCATCGACTTCGACAGCACGCCCATCAGCACGTCGCAGACGCGCCCGCAGGACATCCCGTCGTCACCGCCGTACACGAACGGGAACGGCTCGGGCTACCTGAACGCCTACGATGCGGGATCGTCGGCGATCCTGGGGACGTCACCGACTCGCACCACCACGGGGAAGAGCGGACGGGTCATCGAGAAGCTTATGGCGGAGAACGACCGGTTGCGGAGAGAGCTCAAGGTCGAGACCACCGCGAGAGAGGAGGAGAGGAAGGCCAAGGAGGCGATTCGACAAGCTAGGGACTTTCTGCAGAGCACGAACGATAATCTCATACTGCAGAATAATATCGACAAGAGCTCGCTCGCGCGGAAGGATCGAAAGATTGATGAGTTGAAGGCGGAGAGGGATTTTGAGAGGGAGCAGAGGCTGGAGCTCGACGAGAGGTCCATGATCCAGATCAGGGAGAGCGATTCGCAGGTCCAGGACTTGAAGAATATGATGTCGAGATCGCAAGCGGAACGAGAATTGGCCGTGAACCAGTACAACGTTGTGCGGGAGGAGTTCCGACGGCTAGATGATAGCTACCGACAACGGATCGAGCGACTGCAGGTACACCTCACCGCCATCTCGGCCGAGCGAGAACGAGACCACAAGTTCCTCCAGCAACTCGAGGTCATCGTCGAGCAGCAGCGACAAGAGCTCGAGAAGCTGCGGCTGGCGAAAAACAAGATCACCGACAAGTGCGGGGAGGTCATAGAGCAGGCCGACAGCGAGATGGCGCGGATAAAGAAGATGGCTATAACTCAAGAGCGGAAGTTGGACGAGACGGTGGAGAGCGCACAGGAGACACTTTTTGCACTTCGACGCTTGATAGGTGTGGAAAAGGCATTCCGGCCTTCGTCAACAGAGAGTACGGGGAGCTAAAGCTAAAGTTCGTGTGTTCATGCCTGGTGTACTACATTTTTTGTTTTTGTTTTCTCTCTTTTTTTTTGGGATAGTTATCGGGGAATGACATGCACTTGTGTGGAGTTTGGAGATGCTGCTATATCCATTTTTTTTTCCCGTTGTTTTTTTATTTTTTTATTTTCTTGTTTAAAATCATTATGACAGGGCTAAGAATGAGGGTGATGAATTGGGAGAGAGAAGCCGAAGGTCTCACTTCTTCAACCTCATGTGGTATCGCGTTTTCCCGTCCTGCTACCTACTATTTCTATCCACGACTGTTTGTGTGTGTGCAGTGCCTGCCTGTATGAACGAGGGAAACGACAGGCTCTTACTTACCTTACCAAGTATCATACCTACTACATCTTTGGGAACCGGTGTTTACGGGTATGTTATGTATCTATTTTTTCTCCTCTCCGAGGCTCTACTCTATTCCCCGTTAGTTACTTCTTGTCCTTTATCACCCTTCTTGGGCCTTGTTTCCTTCTCACTTCTCACTTCTCACAAAGGGGTGAAAGAAGAAGGGTGAGCTTCGTCCGGATACCTCTTCACCTACTTACCTACGTTTACAAAATGCAACCTAATGTTTCCTCTTCTCTTCTCTTTTCTTCTCATGTGTGTGCATTTTCCTTCTTTTTTTTTGTATATACTCTAGAGAAAAGCCTTGCACTCTGGCGGTGAAAGTGGTGGAGATGATCAGATGAAAAGGGGTTTATGTTTTCGATTTACGTTGGCACCTTTGCGCGTAGAGTAGATGTATCACTCGGACAAAATATAAAACTTCGGACTTGTATTATTCTACCATATCTAGGCTAGGACGTAACGTAACGGGGGTAACGGGGTAATGGGGTAATTCGTCTCAATCGCTCATGAGCTATCACCAATGTTAGTCATAGGGGCAATGGGTGGATGGGGTGGATGGGGTGGATGGGGTGGACAAACGATTTTCTCGATACCAACGGCGATGTAATCATCCCGCTTGACGAGGTACGGCCTCAAAATCCCCGGCTTGACTCTCGCCAGTACGCCATCACGCATTCTATCTTTCAGAGCAGCGGGTCTACGCGCTGTTAGCCACCGCAACAACCACCATCTCTCTAGTCCGCAGAAGGAAGGAACCTACCCAACGACGAAGAGATTTCCAATCTCATGCAACAGCTCAAACCCATCTTTCAAGCTCGCAACCCCCCATCTATCGACAAGATCCCTATACTTGGCAATATCCTTGGACAGCATGATGGCACCCGCCTGGTTTACCTGGAACTTCTTGAGGTGCTCCAGCAGGAAGCCGCGGAGTCCCGCCCCGATCTCGGATAGGAAGCCGTCGAGGTTCGCGCCGTCGAGGGCTTCGATGGCAACGGCGTGGACTTTGGTAATGAACGCACAAACGCTGAGGCATGTGGGAGTTTGGAGCGTCGTCAAGCTGACTTCGTCGTCTTTGGGGCGGTAGTCTTGCTTCTTTTGTTTGGCGAGGAGGGAGCCGGTGTAGGCGATTACGACTATGGGAAGTTAGTTAAGCGAAGGCAGAGGAGCAGATGAAGGTGCGACAGACGGTCAATGGTTTTCTGAATTATGTTGTTGATCTTCTGCTCTAAGCTGGTGAGGGTGGTGTTAGAGAACTTGACCATCTCCCGGCGTGCGGTTAAGGAGGTTTGCGAGAGCGGTATTAGAGCTGTATTGATGAATGAGAACATCAGATGCATGATCTTGGTTGCTGGCTTGATCTCAAGGACGTATGTGAGATCTGGCTCGGCTTTAGTTTGTTGCTCAGCGACGTCCATTGCCCTGCGTAGATATCAGTCGAGGCATCCAGTAGCAGAGTGTAAGTGAAACTTACGCATCCAAAGCCACGTCTATGTACATAGTACGCATATGTTCAATGAGGATATTCAACAGGGCTGAAACATCCTTTGGAGTATCCGCCGCCGAGCTCAACTCAATACTTCGTCCGACTGCTTCAGCAAGCCACTTCAACATACGTTTCGAGAAGTCAACATTCAGCTGGCCATCCACTTCCGAAACGACCACATCCGACAAGTGTGCATCACCGCCCGACCTCCGATCGAGGCCGATGATCCGGCTCAGTGCACCATTCTGAGTCTTTGCAAGGTCACTCTCAAGCACTTTTTCGATCGCACGCTCTCGAGATTTCTTCAGTCGGTCAAAGACACCCAGGTTTTGGTTCTTCTTCCGTTGGTCGTGGAAGATGCTGAATTTTAGGAGGAGTCCGCTGTATAGCTGCTCCAGATTATCCTTTTCCTTCTCCATGTACCCGCGGTCCTGCAAGTATGGAACGAACAGCTCCTCGACATTCTGGTCGACAACCATAGTGGTGGATGCCGACAATGGTCCTGGGTGTTCCGTCAACCCATGAGCCTTCAGATCCTCGGCCAGTGTGATTACTGAAGCTCGCGAGGCTTGGAGGGTCCGTAGGAAAGCAAGTGGTGACAGCGTCGCCGTCTTGTCAAGGACCATCTCGAGCCTCTGCTGCAGCGACTGCTGGAACACGCGTTGAAGGAACGTGCCCAGTACCTGCTCGGGATACGGAAAGACCTCCTTGATGGTCTTGGACTCGACCTTGAGGACATCTCGGATCTCACTGATCAGAGACAGCAGACTCGGTTCGAGGCCCGGCGGACTTTCATCTGGATCGGAGAGCTTCTCCTCTCTATATCACGGATTATCTTCTGGGACCAGTCTGGAGGCATTTCGGCAAGCTTACATGGTCTGCTCGATGGTCACTTCGCCAGCATTGATCTTCCCCGTCGCGATGAAGAAGTCCATTTGGTTCAAAAAGTTGCTGACGACCGACGCACCGCCGTTGAAATCATGCAACACTTTGGCACACCCCTTCACACAGTTCGCATGAGCTTCACATACTTGGAAGGGAAAGAGAGGATTCGGGTTATAGATCGACAATTGATTACCTTCATAGCCTCTATCTTGAACCTTCGATACGCATCATCAAACTGCCTTAGCAGATCTTGCTCCAGGCTCTCGGAGAACGCTTCAATCATATTTTTAGTCCTCGCATTTTGCCCTGCGCCGCCTTCGTTCCTCTTCACGATCAAACTGAGCTGTCTACTAACAACCGCACACCTTATACTATCCTCGATCCTCCCCGTTCTGCGCAGCCTCTCGAGTCGTCCGGTGTCGCCTCTATTGAACTCGGTAAAGCATTGAATGAGGAACCTAGCGTCCTCGGCTCTCTGCCGCTGTTTGTCGAGCTGCTCCAACTGCCCACCGATCCGCACCGCGACGCCCCCACCGTCGGTGATGCTACTGTCGAGCCGATGGAACTCCGCAAGCGTGGTGTTGAACTTCTCGCCCAGGCGATCCAGCGTGCGCGTGTGCTCGATCTCGGCGCGTCGCACGCCCTCCTTCAGCTCCGACTCCTTCTCGGAGAGCGTCTCGTCGAGCTCTTTGAACCGGTCCAGCGCTGCCTCGAAGGTGCGGATGTACGGCTTCGGGTCGAAGGCATTGTTCCCGAGTCCCGAGCGACGGCTAGCGGGAATGCTGCTGTCGGTGAGCCCCTCTATAAAGTCCTTGACGATGAAGTCCGTACTCTGGAGAGCTTCCGTGTCAGTCGATGTCCGCTAGCTCTAGAAGTGTGCATGGAAGCGCAATGGGGGATAGAATTTACCGAGAACTCCTCTAGAGAGAAGCTATTCGCCTTGGGAAAGATCGAGCGAGTTGATTCCTGCGTGGTCACCATTCTGAAAGAGATGGCGGGGGAGACGAGCAGGAGCTGGAAGTCGCGAGAGCTACTAGGTATTCTGCAGGGTAACAAAGTTTGTCGTCTAACTGATTTGGGACTGGGTTTCACAGAGCTTCCAGGTCACGAAATATCACATGGAGTACATAGAGTCGCCAGCAATCGTCGGCAGAATGCTTTCGTGTGCAGAACTGAGCAGTTACCGTATACTGACACGAAGAATATCCGTAATTTGAAAAGCAGATACAACACAAATTGTAGAGAAATGCAAGAAAACCCTGAGCAGACCAAACAACGCCTCGCCTCACAACAACTCTAAAAGAAATCCCCGTGCCTGACACGCCCTAGCAAGTCATGAGCTCTAAACCCAGGGCGCCTGTAAGAATATTCACCCAAGCCTTTTGTGCATTACTAAAACGATTATCCCTCCCGTTCTCCGGCCGTAGACAAATCGGCTGTATCCACCCCCAACTTAAGCGTAGTCCATGGAGGCTTGTACAGACCTAATGGATATTAGCGAACGACCAACTCAACAGGAGCGAAGGGCTAAATACCTCCTGAGCTTCCTGTTGTACTCCCGCTTCTGCTCGGGGGTGCCCCAGTAAAGCTTAGAAGCCTCCTGGTTGACTTGAGTGCGCGGATCGTATGGCCCGTTCTCTTCCTCCATGAGGTGGATGATGGCATCGATATGCGCCCTACCCTCGTCTGTCTTGGTCACAGTATAGCACGGAACGCCATCGCCTACACAAGTTAATAGGTGCCTCTCACACTACCACATGTGCTACTTACTGGTAACCCTGTAGTGATAGAATGGGGTCCTAAACCGAGCTCTCGGGTGCTCGATTGGGAATCGAGGACTGAAAGCAATCTCGATATTGAATAGGCCACCATCGAGGTTGGTCATGGGGCGACCGAAATACGTCTTCGAGATCACGTGGTCAGCAAACATCTCGGTATCGGAAGGAGAACCCCGGTGAGACCCACCACTCGCCAAAGGAAGGGATTCTTGTCAACGAGTTCAATGTCCAACGTGACGGAGTCGCTCTTCTTGTAATATTCAACTGTCTGCTCGTACTGTCTCTGGAGATTGGCTGCAACTCCACTCTCCCTCTGGGCCATGATGGCTCCTTCCGCCGCCCAATTCTCCGTCTCCTTGTCCAATCTCTCCCTTACCAGCTTGATTCTCCTCTCCAGCTCTGTGTAGTAGAACCTGCCCTCCATGGTATTTCCAGAGTGCTCGAACGGCATCCTCACAAAAACCTGGCCATCGGTCACTTTCGGGCGTTCTGCGGTGATGGAAGTCATATAGCTGTCGTAGTACCACAAGAATCGTCGCTTGCACAGATCCTTGAAAGGCTCGAACAAAATAGAGCCTTCTAGATCCGCAAGGGAGGTGTCGCCATCTTCAGAGGACTCGAGATCCGGCGGCGCAGGCGAAGGTTGCAGAGTTCCGTCGGCATTGATGCCCAGATACTCCTCCAGACGGGCGATGACGGTTATTCGTAGAGTCTCGTGTCGAATCTGTTCCAGCAAAGTGGTCAGTCCGCAATTAGCTAGACAATGTGGGGGTAATTAGTGTGAACCTTGAGAACATAAGCCTTTTTGTTCTCCTTATCGTGTTCTTGATTGGCGTTTTCGAAACCCGGCTCGTTCTCATACGGATTTGAGGACATTAGGCTCTGGATTGATATTAAGATGGACTCAAGTCCCTGCGCCGATGACCACTCTTCGCCGCGTTCGCCTCTCCATGTTCTGAGTGCGGTTGGTGGCATTAGCATTCTCTCGCGCCGACGATCAAGTGAAGCGCGATCAAGTAGCTTCTCACCCAAGAATTGACCTGATTTCGATCCCATCGGTTAGCAGCGGACCCCCACACGACACGGGGAGGAGTGGAGTCGTACAAGCAGACTTTTCCGCCGGCGTAGATGTTCGGGTTGAATCGAGTTCTTCCAGAGTTTGTCGAAAGCGCAATCACGGCTGGGGCTTTGGCGGGGTAGTCTATAGTTGGAGCTCGTCAGTAGAGTTCGCGGTGGTGGGCGGCGCCAACAGGACCTCTGCCGAACTTCATCGAGAACTATGGAATGGAAGCTGTCAGCGAACCGCGGAATCAATAGATGCACGCAGCAGTCTGTCTGCCTTACCTCAAAGAATCCGAACTCGTACGGCGTGTCGGGTGGTCCCAGGATGACAGCCCTGACGTTTCGAACATCCGCATCTCGACAGGCAACCGCGATTGCTGCACAGAACGAACCGACATCAGCGGTGTTTCGAGGAAAGAAGCTCGAGCGGGAGACGGAAAGCTTGCTTACAGAGGTCGCTAGTCTTGTTCAGCTCACTAATCTCCTACAGGAAAGTCAGAGAGGGGGTCTTGTAGTATCAATTAGACTATGCGGGGGCGGGGCAACAGTACACGCGTGAGGCGGATGATGGACTGATTCATCTGTAGCGCGGCTCCCAGCTGAAGGAGGGTATGATGGTATTGGGAAGGTAGAAGAGTGGATGGGGTACGCTGGGTGGGGGATGAGCAGGAGGAAGTTGGGTTGCGAGACGGAGGTGAGCAGAGACCAAGCTCTAACGAAAGGTACCCGAAGCGGCCAGAAGAGGCATGGTTGCAAACGGCACGAGATGCAGCCGCCGAATTTGATCAGTGCCGACTCAGCGCCGAGACGCTAGTAAAGCGGCTACTGGAGCACCAAAAGGTTAAAAACACAACAGCTCAATTACGCTCTCGACGAAGCACCGCAGCTTCAAAAATACACCAGCTCAGTCAAGTTCTCGACGAAGCACCAAAGGCTTGAAAACACGATAGCCCAGTTATCCTCTCGACGAAGTCCCCTCCGTGTTGCTTATATAAGTACCTACATTGTATGTCCCATCTGTATGCTCCTTCGCCGGGATAGAAAATGTTGCTATGGATATGGGATAACGGCATCACAGTGATTTCGACGCCGAGCCTGCGATTGGGGAGGTCTTTGTCCGGAGTAGCTGAGGAAGAGGTCCTGTCGATTCCAGGAGGACAACGGCAGTTCCGGGTGATTCTTTAACTTCCAAGATGTGGAGGTTTTTGGTGGAGTAAGCAGCCACAACCTACAAATAGCCTCGGGTGTTTGCCTACTCTATTCTGGAGTTGAGCTGCCTGTTTGTAGATGGGGACGATGGGTGGGGAAATGAATAGATGGTTCTGGTGGGCGAACGATTGATTATTGATGATGATTTTGGTCTCGGTACCGATGAAAGGTAAACCAGAGAGTCCTCCGTCCCGCTCCTCGTCCCCCACCACTAGCCCACAAACCGCTTACTAACAGATGTAACGCTCCACAGAGTGCTTCGACTCACAGTTATCAACAAACTTTGCGAAGCTGTTCTTATGCCGGATATAGGTTGGTGCGGTAGGTTGACTCCAAGTAGCACATCTCGGAGCGATGGGTGAAGTGAAGCCGGTCTTTCTGGAGCATGCCGATTCGCTTGACTAACTTACATACTATTGTGCACCGGAAAGAGCGAGTTATCAAGCCCATTTCGATGCCGCAGCTCACGTACAAACAGATTTCCAAAGCAATTGCATACCCACAGAATGAGATAAACTGAAGATCTCTCTCTCATACCCACAGAACATCTGAAACCCCTTTCATAGATACCAACTCAGTCCCGCAACGCGATCGCCATGAAGAGAAATTGAGAACATAAAATCAAGAGGAAAACTGCCCCTATCCAGCTACTAGGCACCTAGGACACGAGCGGTAACTCCATCTTTGCCACCCACGGGGATAACTCCTCGTATGAACGTAGGTTGTCATACACATAACGAACTCTCAGTTTATGCTCTCCAGTTCTTGGGCATCCAGGCGGACGTCCTTCGGCATAACATTCTCTACACACCCATGCTCCGTATCTATAGCAGGCAGTCGTACAGCAATCTGTGTTTCACGAAACTGTTAGTCAACTGAGCCGTTCTCCATGCCAGAGCCAGAGGATCGATGCACTCACCATAGTAGAAGTCGTCGTCAATCTTGGATCTACAGTTGTCGCAGTGTAGATTGTTGATGACGAAGCAGATTTGGTCTATCTCCTTGCAACGACAAGGCGCTGGCACTGAGCTGGCGTCTTCTTGGGGTGCCCTCGAAGGTTGTGTTATTTCTTGCGTCTCCGGGTCCTCGGTCGATACCGCTTCCTGTGACGGCATTTCTGCCTGTATGGTGTCGGAGGTCGCTTGATGCTGCTCCAGCAGACTCCTCATGTCAACCCCAGTCGCAACGTCAAGTAAGGATCGTCCCTTGGCATCTCGGATTCCATAGATTTCTGAATGGTCGTCCAGGGAACTCATAAATCCTTTGAAAACCTCCTGAGTGTCCAACTCCCCGGCCAGGCGAAACAGCAAAGGAGTCTGGCTGCTGCTGTTTCCCGGCCGGTGATCAAGCCACAAAATAACAAGGCTATGGGAGCCACTTTTCACAGCAAGCTTGAAGGACTTCGACCCATTTCTCTGGGTCATGAGCCAGTCGATCATCGTATGGGCGAGGCCTATGTGGCATTTATAAACAGCCGTGGCAATCGGGGTCCCGCCGTAGGTATTCTGAACGAAAGGGTCTGCACCAGCTTGTAACAGCAGTTCGACACACTCCCATACGCCGATTGAAGCCGCATAGTGTAATGCAGTGGCGTGTGAGTCGTCCACGACAGCCGTATTTGCACCAGCTTGCAAGAGGCATCTGACACCCTCCTCCGAGCCCGCGTAAGCAGACAGTATCAGCGGCGATGATCCGTCTCAGGTTACGGACTCGATATACGCTCCTCGGTCGACGAATAGCTTGATTACTACCGGCGCTCGAAGACAAGCATAGTGAAGGGCTCTCCATTCGGCCCCGCTTCCCGACTTCTTCTCTAAAGAGGCACCGTAGGATAGGAGTATTTCGATGATTTCGAGGTGTCCACCGTTAATAGTCAGATGTGGTGATTCTTCATGACTGCCGCCGAGTTCATCAACTTCCGCATATGCCTGTATCAGCCTGAGAACGACGTCGGGGTTGCCATTCATTGCCGCCAAGTGCAGAGGACTGTAGTATTTATCATCTGTGACGTTGACGTCTATTTTCGGTGAATGGGCGAGAAGTGCATCCACAACGGCCGTGTGGCCAAACTCGGCGGCAAGGTGGAGAGGCTGGCGACCTTGTTCCTCGGTCAAGGTTGCATAACTTTCTTCAGGACCGAGAAGATACTTGACCCTTTCCTCAAGACCGAGAATATACTTGACGACCGCAACATGTCCTTTCTTGGCAGCAATGTGAAGCGGAGTGCATTTGTTGCCATCTCTGCCTACGGCAAGCTTTGGATTAGCACCATTCAGCCGGAAAACCACCTTGAGGTAACCTCCGGAAGCAGCCAGATGAAGCGGATTGGATTGGCCGGAAACCGCTGCTAGACCCGCCACGCCCATATTCGCCATTGAACCCAGGAGCTGATTGACAATCTTAAGGTACCCACCATTCGCTGCCAGGTGCAAGGGACTCTTGTCAGTCGCGTCCAGATCACTGACTTCCGCCCCACTACCCCAGCCGGAATCTTCCAGTCCTTCACCTCGACCTCTTTTCGCGGCAAGTATTTCCTTGTCTCCTTCTCCGGTGCTGGTCTTGGATCTCTGTCGATGGTCGAGGAGCACGCTGACCACATGGTCCCTGCCATTCTGTGCCGCGTGCTGCAAAGGTGTCCAGTCATCGTGGGTCTTGCTGGCCAAAGTGCCGTCCTGTGATTGCAAAAGCAACTTAACGACCTCAGCGTGCCCGTTTGCTACCGCAGCAAAGAAGGCGCGTTCGACAGAGAGCTGAGCGACTTCCAATCCATGCCCCTTTGCCGCATCCAGAAGTTCCTTAACCACAAGTGGATGACCCATTCCGGAGGCTGATTTCAACGCTTTTGAGAGCCGTATATCAGAACACAGAAGCTCTCGGACGATAGTGTGATGGCCGTACATAGCGGCCACATCCAATGGTTCCTGTCTCTCGGATGCTGACAGTTTAGAGCCTGTCCTGTCCGACAATTCCTCGACGATTTTTGGAAGACCCAACCTCGCCGCAACTGATACCGGGTTGTACGAGTATGGGACTGTCGTGTCGCCGCTCAGGATCCCGTACACGTTGTACCACGGCCTTGCAATCTTTTCGGTGCTCAAGAAATCAAGAACTTTGCTATAGCTAGAGGGTGCTCGTTGCAGATCCGCAGACCGCCGATAGTGCTTCGGCCAGTATTGGAATGCATAGAGCAGGAGGCTATGTTTCTTTTGGTCCACGAGGAGTGGTGCCAGTGATAAAAGCTGTACGTAATCCTCCAGTAACTGTTCGCCTTGGAGGGCTACCTGCGATGTTGGGTCGGCGGAGAGGTATTCAAGGCAAATATCAAAAATGTAACTGTGGAGATAGTCGGCATTTTCAAAGCTGTACCATGCATCACATCCCTCGTTCCCTTTTCTCTTCCGGACAAGGAAATCTTTGAAAGATGGGTGAACGAGGTGTAGTTCATCCCTCACAGTGATGATAAGCGGGCCGAACACGCGGGCGATATCGCTTATTATATCCAGCGGGATACTTCCGTCGGCCAAAAGCGAATGCGTAGGGTTGTTGTCGATATGGATTGACAGTGCAACGGAGAATTCATTGATCGTCAACGGGCGGAACGTATGGCAGGTCCAGTGTAGCACTTTTAGCGCCCACGATCGATCATTCAGGGAAACATTCTCCAGCAATCTTGCGTAGATCAGTGGCAGGTCCATATCTAAACTGCGTACCTCTTCACCCAGCGAATGCATGGTAGCTCCGGTTATCGGGGGAACAAGAAGCTCTAAGGAAAGTCTGATCGCGAGGAATGTTGTCGTATCGGTCCAACGAAGTCGATAGTGACCCAAAAGGAAATCCTCGAGCCCGGTATAAGCATCTGATTTCCGAACTAGATCCGATATCCATGCAGCCGTAACCGACTCCAAAACTTTAGTCCGCCCATCGCCCCTGCTGTCAAGGTCGATCACCACCATATTCTCCTGAAGTTTTTCTAGCACAATGTCGGAGAATTTCGCATCACCGCTGACAATGAGCCTTAGTGGGAAATCTGTTTCCTCTTGGAGTGAGACGAACTGCCCCATAAGCCATCTAGATATCCTATCACCGCATTCGCCAAGGGCATCAACAAGGCATACCAGCTTTCGGTGCGTTGGCCTCGAAACGATGGCTCCAAACAGACTCCAAACGTCTTCTTCGCTCCACAATGAGACTCTTCTTGACAGTGACTGTTTCAGTTCATGAATGTGGCAATAGAGTTGCGGCTCGTGAAACAAAAGCTGGCCAATCATCGAAAGAAGGATATGCTTCCCCGATTTCCGACAATCGTCCAGCCTGTTGCAGAAGAAAGACAGCACCGTCGTCCCAGTGGCTCGCATGGTCCGCATCAAAAACTAGCAGATAGTAGACTGTCCCATGCCCGAAGTGCCGCGTAGATACAATATGAGATGATCTTCCTTATCCCTCCAGCGGCGGTACCTTTGGTCCTCTGTAATCCAGCTGCAGAATGCTGGGTAAGTTCTGGCAGGCACTCTCAAGGGGATGGGTAAAGCGGTTGCCATCATCTCACAAAAAGAGTTGTAGTCAGCGTCGAAGCCTATGGTAATCGAGGACTGTGTCAGCACTGCTTCAAACGATGACTAATCAAAACTCCTACTTTTGGGTTCTCTCGCGCTCATGTCCTCCATGACGCTCGATAAACGTTCAAAGTCTCCTTGGGTGGAATCCAGGGAAGAACACAGCGCCATGTGGTGTCCTTCCCTTATCAGAGGCTCCGGATCGTTTTTGCAACCCTCCCACGCCCCGAATTTCCGATCCACAACCTATACGGGGCCGCAGTTCCGTCAGTGTGTTTTTACATACAACCCGTCCAGGAGCTAAAAAAAACTATAGAATTAAGCCATGGGACTTCCTTGCTCTCTTGGACGTTGAGTATCGAGCAATTCTCTGATATTGTCGCAAAACTCGCACAGATATCCCGCATGATATCTTCGCCTACACGCCGTTTCTCGCAAAGACGAATCAAATGCTCGTGCTGTGTTCCAGGTTTTCCTTGGGTCGTCAGGGCCATATTGAAGATGGTTCGTTCCCAGGATCCCAAGGATGTGCTGTGTGGAGTGCCGAAGAACACCTAGCCACATAGAAATCAGTCCAAGATACACCGAACCAGAGAGGAGACTCGATCGTTTATTACCACTCCAACTGTGGCTGAGGAAATGGTCGGGTATTTGTGATTATTGTTGGCGATACATAGCGCCAACAACAAGTGCCTATTAGCAACATGGTCTAGACCAATTGTACATATCTACGGTGTTAGTATCTTGGGCATGTCTGAGAACGTACTTGCTTGACAATAGTGCCTCTAAAGCCATGACAAACAAAGATGATGCGCTGGTGTGCAGGCACCTTTTGATCATCAGCACCTCAAAGCAACGTATGAAATAGACTGGACACCTACGTCGGCAGATTTCCTCTCGGAGATGATGGCACGCAGCAGCTGAACGGCTGCACCCAAATTCCCGCCGGCAAGACCAGTTCTGGGCCGGCAACTTCGATGTTTGCCTTATAGCAAAACGTCAAGACACGTGCGCAGGGGAGCTCGAAGTCCTTCAACCACATTGCTCGGGTGGATACGTGAGTCCAAGTGTTTTCGGAATCGCCATTTAAGCCGTGGACTGCAATGACACTGGATTTTATTCGATGATGAGCACCTCAGAAGTTTCACAAGTGCCGCATCGAAGGGGACGGAGGGAAGTGTAAGAATCTGCACGAACTCTGTCTGTTTCGGTGGGGGGATCTTTCTCGAGAAATCCTCATCCCTAACTGCTAATGGTGTACTACGCAGTAGACGTAGTAGACGTAGTAGACGTAGTAGACGTAGTAGACGTAGTAGACGTAGTAGACGTAGTGGTGAACATACTTCCGAGGGGTCTGACATGCTTGCTCTCCCGTTCGACCGCGTGATGGTACTGGCGCTGTATGGGTTCCGGATCGCAAGTGGGGAGAGAATACGGGTGAATGAAGGGGCAGAGTTGGGACGTTGACATTGTCAACGGGAGATATCAATACATATGAGGGGACTCGGCCTGCCAAGATTTAACGAATAATAATTCTGTCTAGGATGACAAACTTGTGAGTACTATTGGACAATCCGGAAGAAACAGGGCGTACATACTTTATGAGCAATGAGATATTTCTATCCGAGATGGACCGTCTGCTTGCGTGACCAAATCGCAAAGTAATCTCTAGCAGTCACAGGCCCAGGAGCTGGCCTCCTGGAGTACGCAGTGGACTATCGAATTTAAGAGATCGCACATAAGGAGAAAAATAGAGTAGATACATAGATTGCACTGCGAGACGTCGATGTCACTATCCAGTGTAGAGTACAGTGCCAGATCATGTTTGCCAAATGCTTCTTTGCCACACATATAATCCTAGAAATCGATGCAGGCAGTATCAGAATTGGGGACCGCCTTCGAATCTAGAGGCAGAGAAAAACCAAGCCTGTATTTGGTGCAGATGCTCCAAATGCACGTTAAAAAGGCTAAAAAAAGCTTGTAAAATTGACATCGTTTCGAACCCTTAAACCTGGAGAACCCGATATCGACTCGCCATTTTGTGAGGGAATAGCACCTAATACTTACTTCAGTAAGTACTACACCAATACCATAACAATATCGTGCTCGCAAGTCTCACGTTGGAACGGCATCAATTTCGCCGAGGTTTTGCTATTACAGGTACAGCAAATGCGCTGGATTCAAGCTCTTGTATCTCCCAATAGATATCTAATTTCCTGGCCACCCGCGACACCGTGGCCAACGAGTCCCAAGGCTTATTCATAGGCCCTTTTGCCCCCGTTCTTGCTCTGCCAGTGTTCTAGCAGTGCTACCACTGTGAATGCTCAGGTTAACCTTGTCCAATCTCCAATCATGTCTGGTGGATCGGAGAGCTGGCAACTTGCCTGGCAGTTCGTGAAGCCGTTTTGAGGAACGGAGTGGGTGTAACACTGCTCACGCCTTTCATAACTCGAGAAAATTCCGACAGATTTTCCGGACTGATGTCGTCTAGGGCCTTTCCCGTCGATTTTGTCTGTGGATCAAAGTTTATGGGGTCGATTACGTCCCGTCCCCAAAGCTTCCGAGACCTCGCGGTGGTACCGTACAGGCTGTCAACGGATGCAGATACAGTTATTGCCGCTCTGAAAGGATAATCGCCCTGACGCTTGAGCAGGATCGCCACCTCGAGGTTCGTCGGGATGCCGTTTTTCTGAACTTTGTTTTCGCTCATGGCCCATCTTGCGGTATTCTGAGGACCCCATTGCCGTCCGCTAGTCTTGCAACTGCCAACGAGTGATCCCTGGTTCCTCCGCTCATAGCCAACGCCTTTTTCTATTCCCGCGGTTACGTCGAAGTTTCCGCCGCCGATAGCAGTTGCTCCAGCCTGTGCTGAGAAGTTTCGATTCGTTTGGTGCTGTGCCGTTCTTGGGTCCAAGTCGATTTTCCCACGCGGGAACACATCGCAGACTTCAGGACCGCATTTCGAATCGTTGTGGTCCTGAAAAACGAACTCGATGCTCGCCGATCGGAATCGTAGTTCTTCGGAAGAAGAAAGGAATCTGAAACTAGCGACAATTACAGTTGCCTTCAGATCTGCATCGCTCGAGTCGTATTGACCGTGGAGGACCGTCGTGAAGTACCCTTGCACCGTATGGTCCGCACGAAACGTGGAATGACGGTCGACGATAATGCGCCGCTGGATCTGGCCAGGTTCGTTCTGATATCTGTATGAGGATCCCGGATCGCCATTGGGCTCGAGGTTGATCTCGAAAGTGGGGATGTTGTCGGTGTTCTTGTCACTACGCCCCTGATCAACGGTGTAAGGCATGACAGGCACGTATAAGGAACCAGTGGCAGCACGGGAGCGCGATCCAAATGCTATATGCATTTACCGCGAATATAAGTGATATTTAATTGTTTTGGTTTTGGAATAAGATTTTCGTAGGCGCCCCATCGCCGATACGAATACATCTTGCGATCAACTGACGGAGTGGCACTCTGGCAGCCTGGATGGAGGGCAACCCGGACAGTGATGTCTAGACATCGACTTCCATCCTACTGACCCCCAAAGTGTTCACTATCATTATACAAAAGCTTTCTTGGAGACCCTCCTCAGTTTTTCCCCTAGCGCCGCTACCTCCGCTCGAATCACCAGCAAAACATCTCTCATCTCCCATTCACTTGATACACGCGTGCGTACTCTCGTCTCAAGAGCTCACAAGACTCCACAGCAATACTCCTCTTCTATAGCAATTACATAGTTAGCCGACCAGTCATCGGGAAACCTTTGCACATCTTCAACCCTTTCCAAGAGCAACAGTAACAGCGTCGCAGAACCGGTTTACCGCGCGCATGGGTTCCGTCTACGCGAGTTCCCCGCAACGGAGACCAACTTGGAAAAACGATGTGGTAAAGCGGCCAGCAATTCCATCGGTAGTGATGAATCTAGGAAAAACAATCGCGCGCCGTTCGAATCCATCAAAGGCAAATCTACAGGTCAGCCCTCACATCCCAACACCGGTAAAGGCAAGAACCGGAAATTAAAGCGCAAGATACAAAATATATTTAATAACCTGATCGATGCGGTTGATTGCGGTGAAGATGGGGTGGACTTCTCGACATACTTGACGGACGATTCAAAGGTCCCCCCATTCCTAGTTGATGGCTCCAACGTCTTGGACGCCGAATATTCGTGCGAACACCTCAGAATGCCGCTCGATGATCAGAGGAATCTGCTCCATTTCTCCTTGACCGAAGATATCAGTTGCAGGGCCGAGCGTGACGGGGATGGTGAAGATGTGGAGGGCGGTGATGAGGAGAATGAGGAGGGCGAGGACGCGAAGACGGAAACCTACTCCGCGGGGGCACCGATCCGCGTCAGCACATCAGAATTCGCCCCGGAGGATTCCAAAGGCAATCGTGCTTTCGCCGCTTCGCTCACCAGGCGCAGAAGCCTTGTGCTATGGTTGCTAAGAAATCATGGCGAAATGGTTTCCGCCATGAATGACCGAAATCAGACTCCGCTCTGTCTAGCGATCGAAAAGGCAGCGAAGAGCACCCGAATCAAGGAATACATCAAGGAGGTTCAGAAAGCCCTAGCGGAGAACCCCGGTATACAGGATGTACTTGGAAGCACGATAAACGACGTTCGAAGGACGGAATGGTCTCCCATACACATGGCACTCCGATATATCGGCGTCGACGTACTTCCAAATGTGGAGGGTTACCTGAGGCACGTGAAAATCGATACGATATTGAAGGACGTCTAGCTCCCCCCGGGTTTCTATTGAGTGAACAGCTGAAAGATGCCCCTGAGGGTCTTGGGCCGCTCCCAAAAGAATTGCGAGATTCGTATCGAGACTATGGGGCTGTATTCAACTGGCTTCGGAAGCGGAAGGTAAAGAAGATCATTAAACTAACGGTGGAGGACAAAGAAAGACTTCCCCACAGTGACCGCACCATCGAGGAAGCTTTAAAAGACATTGAAGTTGAGATCCTTGACTGGCAACAGGAAGATCTCTGCAGCGACAAAATTGCATTAGCTGCAAAAAACGTTGTGGAAATTTCCCTGTATACCTCAGGGAAAAGAGCTATCCTTCAGAATTGGTGCGGAAAAAACGGGCTGGAGCAGTTGAAGCAGGTTGGTGGATAGTTATCCCTTTAGCGTACCCTTCCTGATAAAAGAAAATTGCTGACAGCTCCTATTGCGGGACAGCTCAAGAAGGTGACCATCAAGATCGATCCCAACAAGGCACTGTTACATTTTTCTGCTACTCCCTTGTACTTAAGTGGACACGCAACGATATTTGGTTAGGTGGCATCGGCCAACGGCTTTCCAAATTCCGTTTGTGTCCACTTACTTTCGTTCGACTGTAAATTATGTTCTTGACCGACCAACTGCATGTGGCCCGAAGAGACCTGTATCGGGAGGAATGGAGAACTACGCAGAATACGAAGCCAAACTGAAGGAAGCCTGTCCCCACTTGGAGGTACGTTTCCAAATGGTAGACGTATCTTCCAAGCCTTCGAAAATGGAATCAGGACCGGTCACGGAGTATCCTAGAGGAGATAATGAAACGTGAGTAGGTTCTTCACTCAGGCTTGGAGGGGATTCACCAACTGATAACAATTCCTTACATGCAGGTCTGAGTGGCTCAGGCGCATCAACCTGTTTTCACTATTCGTCAAAGACATCCCGGATGATGTGGATAAGCATGCGGTGGTCAAGATTGCTATCATAGATGATGGCGTCAGCATCGAAAAAATTTCGGGCACACCGCGCAGCATCTCGGGCGGAATGTCATTCCATAGGCGCGGCCGTATGGGGCGCCACCACTTCCCTTCGTCGAATGGACATGGGACCGAGATGGCCGACTGCGTCCTTCAGGTTTTCCCAAAGGCTAAGCTATACATTGCAAGACTGGATACTTGTGAAGGAGAAGGGTAACCCACGATCACTGCCGAGTCAGCGTTAGAGGTAGGTAAATGTCCATTCTTATCCTTCAATCCCACATAATGAGAGCATTCAGTAACACAGGGGGTTCTCCAGGCAATTATCGGGGCTGTCGAACAAAAGGTGGACATAATCCTGATGAGTTGGACCATCGAGAAGACAAACGAAAACGGAGCGGCGGTGGATAAAATGGGGAAGGCAATCGACAAGGCTTCCGAGGCGAAGATTCTCATGTTCTGCGCAGCAAAAGACGGCGGAGCTGACCAGGGCAATAGCTATGGCTATCCGAGAGTCTTCTACAAGCCGATATTCTGTGTCGGGGCGGCAACCCAAAACGGCCAACGGTCTGGAAGGATTGGAACTCAGGACGTTGACCTGTTGTTTCAGGGGGAGAATTTCACATCGCTAGCTACCGACAGCCGTGCAGGTACAAGAAAAATATCAGGCAGTTCCATCGCAACTGCACTTGCTGCTGGTTTAGCGGGCCTGCTTCTATATTGTGCCCATGTTGGAAAGCAACGCCCTGATGGCTCGGAAGATAGAGGTCGAGACGACAGACGCAAGGATCTGAAAACCTTCGAAAAAATGAAGGCAACCCTCGAGGACATGGTCATCGCCGAAAAATATTTCCCGGCACCGAAATTCTTCCATATCGACGGCGACGGATCTTGGTACGAGGACGAGTATGGCCCCAGAGTAATCAATGGCGTCATAGCATCGATAGAGAAGTAATTGCACTCAGGCCACTTCACTGTCATGAGCGTATACTGATATTTGTGGGTGTTCAGTGCGATGCACAGCGGTTCCACCAAAGGTGCTTTTCCATACTGAGATGAGGATCAATGGGCGGTGATGCGGCAGATCGATGGAAAGGTTGCCGATACTATCGAATATGAATCCCAATTCTTCCTTTCCTTTTAATTTATTTACAACCTTCCTTATTCTTCTCTCTGTACTTTCTTACTTTCTCGGTCAGAAATTAGGAGGCTACTGGTATAGGCAGCTGAGTATCGGTCTTCGGAGTGGCAGTCTAGTGGGGCGTGTTAAGATTGGTTTATATTCACTATTCAGAGCATCTGCAAGCATTTTGCTTTTCCTGCACCACCCGGCTTATAAGGGTAATTATGGGACACGACACCGCCAGTTTTACCCCGCGCTGCTACGACTTGATCGATCAGTTGCGGACGCGGGTCTGAGAAACAGGCGGCTTCAAATGCTGCTGTCTATGTGCTTGTAGAGTTGATGCACGCACAAGCTGGTGGCCTTGGAAGCGGGGTCTATAACATCACCGCAACCCAGCCGTGTCTGCATTCGGCCCTGATCATTGCTTGTACTTCTTTTCTTTTCTTTTCATACGCGGGGTCTCTTTACAGAGCACACCGGTAGCCCACCGGCAAGCTATCTCTACGATGCCGTCGGATCATTGATGGCCTTGAGTCCGATGCGAAATGGTCTGAAGTAGGTAACCAACACCCAAGCGAAGATTCGGCAAAACGATTTTCCACAAAGATAACCCCAGATTTGCGGTAAGTACGTACGGCGGGGATTGATGTTGCTCGGTCTGGTTACATACCCTGATTCCTACTCACGTTGGCCCGCTTTGATCGACCGCACGGCAACCTGGATTCCTGCAAGCGGAGTGGCAGTCTGGCATACATACATATTTCATGCATGCTTGTATACGGCTTCCGCACGCTCACTGGTATCAACTTTACATACCTATCACATTTCAAGCCATGGTTATCCTCGGCATCGCGGCATGGTGTTGTGATTTGGCTATGGGATGGGCCGGAAGAGGTAACCTGGAGATATACGGACACAGGAGGCAGGCAGACAGGCAGACGACCAAGCTGAAGCCGGTCCGGACAAGACTGGCATATCCAACCAACCAACCAAATCAAATTGACACAGATGGGTGAGCACACCGTGTGCACCGAGAAACACACTCGTATCGATCCCATCGCTGAGACGAATCCTCTCGCCACGCCGACGAGGGGAGGGACGGTCCGGTTATTGCGTTGAGGTTGGTTGGTGCGGATCCCACGCCAGGTAACGGGAATGAAAGCGGTTCTGAACTCAAGAATTTCCGCTTTCGGTATTTTGTGAGATGGACGTCAAGAGTAAAGTACCTAGGGTACCGGTAGAGTAGAGTGACTACTGCACATACCAGGATCTGCCATCAAGTGGTACTCGGGACGGAACTAAATTATTAACGCGGTAAAAAGTAAAAGTAAAAGTAAAATGTCACGGCAGTTTTAGACCGAATGCGGCGAAATGAGCGAGTTGAGTATAATGGCTTGTTTAGAAAGAAATCGTGCCCGAGCCGTAAGTGGTCCGAGTCACTACCCCGGAATGACTGGAGATCAATCCGCTAATAACTAGATTCAATTAATGGAGATGAGTGGGGATCAATCCGTTAATGACTGAATATCCGTGGATTCGTCAGCGATAGAGTCACTCCACTTTGAAGCGATTATTGAATTATTGACTTACTGACTTATCGAAGGATACTTGAGCAACCGATGAACGCCTGCGTGGACATAACCAATTCACTGGGAGACTATGGACAAAACAGTAGGCTATTGCGTCGAGAACTTGCGGAGATGTATGATGTACCGGGTATGTACATAGCTTTTCCCGCAGAAGTCGCAGCACCGGGTTGCCAGTCTCACCATCAGCCCAAACGGAAAGAAAAAAAAGAAGGAACAAGGTGGTCGCAGACAGTCTGCTACGGTTTGAGAGTGGAGAGCACATTGGGGTTGGGTTAGCTCTTGGCGTGCTGAAAAGACCGTCATGTATTGTAACTAAGTCTGGAGCCGGGACGAATTATATGCATCTGGTCGAACGCCAGCCGATCCCTGCTCGCTCGCTCGATCTGTCAGTCGGTCGGTTTTTCGTAGGAAGCTATCTACTCGACAGTACTGAGCGGTGGCAGTTATTCGACCGGAATACCCGGTGGCGCCGCTGAACTGCGGGCTCTACACTACCTGGCTAAGACTGTGTACATACCTCATACGTTAGAGTACCGTACATACCTCTAAAAAAAAACCTTCAACCGTAACGATCAGATCGATAACGCATAGTACCAGGAACAGCCAATAAGTCGTGCCTCATCACCATTAAGAATTATCAGCGCAAGATAAGGCACCACTTACCCTTACATCCGAGTATATACGGTATACTGCTACTCTGGTGGTGGTGTAGTAGCCACTCTAGCGGGCCGCGTCAGGGTCGTGAAATTAACACACCTAACGGCTCTGCATAACATGAGTAACTAGAGTAGTAACGAATTTTCCGCACGTAGTGCGCAGTAGTCTTTCGAAATCGGCCAGGGAGGGGTTTCCAGGTAAAGTGCGGCCATCAGTCTCTACTTTCTGATTAACTAAGAGGGAACGAGCTTGAAGTTGCTGCCTATCCGTTGGTTATGCCGGCATGGAACTTACTTTAGCGGTATATCTGCGGCACTGTGGAGGGTTGCAGCTCCCACATGTCCCATTTTTTTCGCTTGCTCGCATGCCTACAGATGGAGAGAGAGAGGGGCATCGATTTATTTCGCATTCAACCCTTTTTATGTTCCATCACAGAAATATCAAAAGGTGGCGTTTTTGTTTGATGGTTGATTGCAAGAGGCACCACAAGTTGGCCATCCATTCTTGTTCGTGCAGGAATGGAGCTTTTCGGGTGATAACCTGTGAGCAGCGCTAGGAGCGTCGGCTCTACGGGGCCTACTACTACATATTATCCTTGACGTCGATCTCCCGACCACAACTCTCACGCGCTCCGAGCCGGCACCAAACATCGTCAACAACCATGATACCTACCGTACTTGAGAGTGCCATCGGGGTCAGCTGTGGTGCCTGTATTGTCCCGTCGGGGTATTTTGACCTGCTGCTCGAAGATCCAAGGTTCTCGTATCTTCAGGAGCTTGAACCCTCGACTGACTTTGCCACGCCACATTTGCTCCGAGGGGCCATCAGCACCAACCAGAGCATCTTAGGTATGTGTCTCCTTAAATTGAGACTCGAAGCTTCCTGTTACGCCTTAAAGTAAAATTTTCTGCCACCGGACCTGCGGCGAAAAGTTGTTTTGAGCTTCAACGAGCTAATCGATTGATATTATTTCGAGGAGCTCCTGCGTACCTAGCAGCAAGACGGAGCAGCTGGCTATCTATTAATCGTGGTGCTCTTCCAAGGAAAGGTGATATCGAAACGAGCAAAAGAAATGAAGCCGAGAATAACGGTTTCCAAGGCCTACCGGTACCTATCAGCGTACGCAGACCTAGCTTATGTTTTTTTTTGTTTAATCATTAATTGCGCGTGGCCTACCGGTATCTAGATCACGGCAATACCGTAGTAGCCTCAAGTTCTCCGCCTGTCTCTCTTCCCGTTCCCTGACTTCCCACTCGGACACCTCGCTTACTGCATCTTCCTCAGCGGCCGCGTCCGATATTCGTTTGCCAACATCAGTGGCGGCAAGACAGTCTAAGATTGCCCGACTGCATGTATCCAGCTTATATCCAACGTCGTGGACACAGCTCCCCCTCGGAACGAGCGAGATATTGTGATTAAGTCTTTTACACATATCCATCGTTTGGTCCGAGGCATCTGGTCGGATTTCCATCCATCACGCATGCTCGCCGGCCGCGCATCTCTCCCGGAGGCCAGCAGTTTGGAGAAACCCCTCACACGTGGCGATGCACGTACATATTGGAATCACCATCTCGCGTGGTGCAGGCATGGCGCTGAGCGATAGTCTGCACGGAACTAAGACATCCACACACAGCACTGCCGTTTGATTCATGCAAGTACATAGGTACAGACCGCTGTCAACCCGTTCGGTCGGAAAAAGAGTGTGACCGGTGCTCCGAGTCACGGTGCATCAAGTAACACTCGGTGAATTTAGGGTTGGGGGAAATAGACTGATCATATTATTTTTTCTGAGGCTCAGGCGACCAAAGTACATATAAAAATGACTTTGCATTGATGCTTTGAACCTATTATCCCACAACCGTCTAGAATCAGGTATGCACATATCACAAAAGAAGACCCGACTCGATAATAATCGTATACGCAGAACTATCGGCCAGCATGATCTAGAGATCGCCTACTATCTACTTTGAGGATACATCCAACTCTAGATAAAGTCACTGTAGTGGGATCGAGCACGCATGTACCACATACATTGTTTGCAGTCGCGGCAGGAAGTCCCTTGATCTTCATCCGGAACCGTGTTATGTCCCGGTAAATATAGAGGTCAGAATATGAATTCTCCATTGATTGTCCATTAGGAGATTCTGGCAATCCCTTCAATGTAGGTACTATACTCTCCTGCATTCGAGGCAATAAATAAAGATAAAAGAACAATCAACTTATGGTTCAAGGGGGATACTGGTAGTCTAATACGGACGGAAGCTTGAGACGGAATTGGAACACGGTCTTCGAAACATTGACTGCTCGTCAACCCAAAACTTTAGAAGGCTCCAAAAATAGCCCAATGGTAGAGAAAATTCCTCAAACCATAAGTAAATCCCTATCGCAACTTGCAGTCAACGGCCTCCCTGAAGCGAGTATCTGTCGCTGTTGAATTCTAGTGGAAGAAAAGCAGGACGCCGCAGTGTCGGATGTTGGCGCGAAGACTGCGCCACACTATTGCTGCATTATCAGGGAAGTGCCTCACTGTGGCGGTGCAAATCGATCAGCGCCTCAATGTGGCTGCAGCAACCGAGCAACGCCTCACCCATCCCCAAACTCCGCAGCCGCTACCTGCTTCTTAGATCCGTACTAACTACTATCGAGTGCAAGCACCTCCAAATCATCCAAATTACCACCTACCGCCAACTCGCGAACCCTGGCCCTGGCTCTCCACCCCTTTCATACTCGCACAATCCCTCGTCTCTCCCCCCGGGTGCTGGGGTGCTACTCTGCTCTACAACCTACATCCTCATCCACAGCTGTTGCGAACAGAGGCGGTGATCCCATTCTTTCAGTCATTCCTTCATTCCTTCAATTCAATTCGTTCATTCATTCAATCCCCCCTACCCCCCACACATCACCACTCTTCGCCGCTATCAACCAGTGCGCGGTTCGGGTTACAATTAACCACAGGAACGCAACAGGGAGACAGCACGACAGAGTCAGAAAGAAAGAAGACAGCGAGAGAGAGCAGACAGAGAAGCAAGAAGGTGAGCTGGGCAAGACGCGGAAAAAGGGGGAAGAAATACACATACACAGACAGAATCCCCACGGAGCAGGCGAAAGAAGAAGGCGAAGAAGGGAGAGCGAAGACAGACAGAGAGAGGTCCGGGGTACATACTGCAGCATACCTATACCTGTACATACAACTTCCCGCGCAACTCTCGCTTCCATTGATCCTTAACCCAACCACCCCCCTCTCAAACCAACCAACCTACTAGTTGCTGCGCGCCCCCGCCCAGCAGACAACTCGATCTCGCTTTCGTGTCCGACTCGAATCGCATCTATCTACACTCACACACAACCGTCCACACACTCACCCCCTCTCCACCCCCTCCTCCCGACCGGTTGGATCTGCAGTGGCAGCAGCATCGAGCAGCAGCAGTAGCACCCCAAGCGAGAAAGCGGTTCGGTTCACACATCACATGTCTCCACCGTCCGATGGCCAACCGCCTCGAGACCCCCGACCTCCCCAGATCGCAATACCTTCGAGAGAATTAACGGTTCCCCACCAGCGACAGAGGGCCGGCTCTCAACCCGGCAATCGCTCACCGGTTGCGCCCCCTTCACCTGGACTCGCGCCCGTTGGGGGATTGGCCGTTGGAAGCGGGGGTGCTGGGGTTTCTCCTGTCCGGCGAAGTGCGAGCGGGGCTGCACCCTCCACGAAGCACACGCGAACCTGTCAGAAATGCCAGAATCCTCTCACCGGCCAGTTTGTGAGGGCCATCGGAGGCACCTTTCATCTGGATTGCTTCAAATGCATGGTAATACTGTCCGCTACCCTTGTCCAACGCTTGGCTATGTTGCTCACGCTGGAACCTCATCCCAGGATTGCGGCGCGGTAGTGGCTTCCAAGTTCTTCCCCGTGGACGATGACAACGGCCCCGGCCAATATCCATTGTGCGAGAAGGATTACTTTCGACGACTGGACCTGTTATGCCACGAGTGTGGGGAGGCGCTTCGTGGTTCCTACATCACGGCGCTCGAACGCAAATACCACATCGAGCACTTCACCTGCTGTGTCTGTCCGACGGTGTTTGGCCCTCAAGATTCGTACTACGAGCACGGAAGCAAGGTTTACTGTCACTATCACTACTCGACACAATTCGCCGCGAAATGCAACGGTTGCCAGACGGCCATTTTGAAACAATTCGTCGAGATATTCAGGAATGGGCAAAACCAGCATTGGCACCCCGAATGCTATATGATCCACAAGGTTCGCCCAGGCACACCCCCATCGAACCGCATGGCGTATCTGGCCCGAGCTTGGGCGAGCCACCAACTGTCTTCTTGCTAACATTATTCTGCATTACAGTTTTGGAACGTACGGCTTGCCCCGCCCGCAGCTATCGATGCACAGCCCGAGGAAATCGTGGACGCACCCTCGGATAGCCGGAGGTCTATGGTAAGGGAAGCAGAGGAGAAGATGGAACAGAAAGTTTTCCGGATCTGGAGTGTTCTGTCGGCCTTCGAGGAGTCGTCCGCAGCGTGTATCAGCGATATGCTGCTGCACGTTTCGAACGGCGCCTACATTGATGGTGTCTTCGTTGCCGAGCGATTCATATGGCATGTGGAAATATTATTCGGCTGTACAGATAATTTGGATATTCGATTGGCAAAAGTGGCGCCCAAGGGTACGTGGTGGAAATTCGTCTTCCCCGTGGGATTGTGAGTTATGAAAATTAGGGTATACGATTCTAACAATCACAGGACTATCATACGCACGCGAAGCCAAATTCCTCTGCAAGAAGATTGTTGCTTTTTTTAGCTTGCTTTCGAAGACCCAGGAAACCGGAGTCCGAAAGCTTGGTGTCACTCAAGAGTTACTGTCCCTCGTAACCGGTCTCGCCCATTACCTGAAGCTTCTGATCCGCATAAGTCTCCAGGGTGCCCTACGATTGGTACACACCCTCCCTCCTCCCCTCGAACCACATACATTGGCTGCAATGGCTAACACGCATGGCCAGGAGCGCGAACATAACAACGCAGAGGCACTTGAGCTGTTTCTGGAGGAGCTTTCCAACCTTGAAGCCACCAGGGACACCAAGCAGTCGCTCGAATCTACCGCAGGACTATCCCAAAATTTGGCCGATTCGCACTCCGATCTATGTATCAGATGTCGGTCAACGATTGAGGACGAGTGCGTGAAGTTTGAAGAGAAGAGATGGCATCTAGCTTGCTTGACTTGTCAGACCTGCAATCGAGAGCTGAAAGGCGCTCTCGGCGATGCGTTGTGGACTTCTCAAGAACGTGGCCGCGTGGTCTGCCGCAATTGTGCCCCACGGTACCCCGATGCTAAGGATGGATTCCATCATGTAACACGGTTAAAGCAATACATATTCCTTCTTCGGGTTGCGCTTGCTCGACTGCTGGTGATGCTGCGTCAAGGCGGTACACTTCCTCACACATCCGGTATGCCACATTGCAATCCCCCCCAATCTCACGTTGTCCGCTTACTCACGGTGTCTACGGTGTGTCAAGATGACCCTAACCTTCGAGACTATGATTCGACCGGAGGACACGGGATGGCCATGGAACCGCCGTTGCTTCGCTCGGAATCCCGGTCCAAGTCGTATGGCGGGGAGCAGGCGGAAGCGTACACCAACACTGTGAACGACATTCGGCGGCTCAGGTCCACACGGTTAGACAAGCAGCTGGGAGGAAGCTCGGCTCGGAAGGCCCGGCAGTCTAGGATAATAGAGGCGCCCCAGGCAGACAGCGTACGACCGGGTTCTGCTGAAGGGCAACCACGGGATAAGCGCCGGGAAACAGGCCAGTTCAGAATCGTGGAAGACAATTTCGGAGGGGACCATGTCGTTGAACGTGCTTTTGGTGACGAGAAGGCGCTCACTTTGGATGACATTCCTCGGATAGTGGCCGCAGAACAGGCTAGGGAACAGCGACCAAATGCCTTCAAACACCAGAGGCCGAATAATTACTCGGGCTCCTCGTCAACCCAACCGCGCCTGGTAAACGGCCATCAAAGGGATCTCTCCTCGCCCCAGCCAATAAGAGAACCTGCGCCTGTGGAAATCCCCCAGCCACGAAAGCGGTACTTCTCCGAATTGACAGCGCTTGACTCGTTCATCGTCCGACATCTTGCCGTGTTGAACATGGAGCCTTTGGTTCAGGGACACTTCAATCTGGAGGAACTGTTGGGGCTGATCGAGACCAACAAGAAGACATTCTGGGGAAAGTTCGGTAAGGCGTTTCAGCCAAATGATAAGAAGAAAGGCGCCAAAAAAAAAGGTCTCTTTGCCATAGTCCAAATCATCATCAGAAACAACAGACTTACCAAACAATCAGGTGTTTTTGGTATACCGCTGGAAGTCATGATCGAGCGAGACGGCGCCGAATCGGGACTGGGAGTCGGACCAGGCAACTTACGAATCCCCCAGATAGTCGACGATGCGATCGCTGCAATGCGCCAGATGGGTATAGAATATATATTTTCTCTCTTGCTCGAGTATTGGAGACTGACCGGGCCATGCAACAGATATGTCCGTAGAGGGCGTTTTCCGCAAGAACGGCAACATTCGGCGCCTCAACACTCTCGCGGAAGCATTAGACAGGGGTGATAGTCAGGTGGATCTAACGGCTGAAAATGCCGTTCAGATTGCTGCCCTGCTGAAGAAGTTCCTTCGCGAGCTTCCTGACCCCTTACTGACTTTCAAGCTCCATCGCTTGTTCGTGATGTCGCAGAGTAAGTCCACGGTGATCATTGATGATGATGAATGCTAACATCCCGCACAGAAGCACCCGACGAGGTGACGAAACGCCGGATACTCCATCTGACGTGTTGTCTGCTACCGAAGTGTCACAGAGATTGTATGGAGATCTTGTTCTCGTTCCTCAATTGGACAGCATCTTTCGCACATATCGAGGAGGAATCCGGCGAAGAAACCGGAAGCAAGATGGATGTGCACAACCTGTCCACAGTCATCACACCGAACATCCTGTACTCGAAGAACAAGGACGCCGGAATGGATGACAGCTTCTTGGCCATCGAAGCTGTACACACTTTGATTGAGTACAACGAGGCCATGTGCGAGGTGAGTAAGATCCAGCTGGTTTGTTACAATCGGAGGCTGACTTATTGTTCAAAAATAGGTCCCAGAAGACTTGCTGTCGATCCTGAATGATCCCAATCTGTTCGCCAATGGAGCAGATGTGACCACGAAAGACATCTTGAAGCGGTACGGTGACATTGCCAACAGGCCGTCGCCGAAGCACATGATCATCCAGAATTCGCCTCCGCGGTCAAGAGAGGGCAACCGACCGCCATCTACCCCCGTCTTCCACCGAGTCGATTCCGACTTGACCCAGAGTGTGGCATGGCAAAGAGAATCCTCGGCGCGGCCATTAGGTGTTCCCGCCACAACCGCTCTACCCCTGCCCCAACCTCTACCCCTGCCTCAGCCGCAACCCCAGCCCCTGCCTCAGCCGCAGCCCCAGCTCCAGCCTCAACCGCAACCTCAGCCAAACCCACACGGCCAACGGCAGGTCAGCGGCGGTGGTGTTGCGTTGAACGGCGGCCCAAGTGACCAGAATGGCCATGGAGACCACCACAATGGCCAAGGTGGACCGCAGGATGAGCCGTACCGCAACCGAGCAGCAAGGCAGCCCAGCCAGTCAAATCAGCCAGTAGGTGCAGGTTAATTGAAAGACTCGGAAGGCGGATAATAGTTACTTGGGGAAGGATGTTCTGATTTTCTTAATGAGCTGTTTTAATCCTGTGTCTTATATTGCGAGACATCATCACATTCAAGCGTTGGGGGCGTGTTTTGAATATGTTGTTTTTGTGTTTGGTCTTCTTTCTGATGTGGGTTTCCTTTTCGTCTTCTTCTTCTTGATCTCACCTTGTAGCTATGGATTCTCCTTCCCTTCTTCTTTTTCTTCTTCTTCTTCGTCAACGGGGTGTCTTCTTCTTCCACTTTTCTGCTTACTCGCTCATAGCTAGCCTTTGTTTCTTTACTTCTTGCTTCCTCTGCTTGCCTTTCTTCCATATATGTTTCGACTTCGTCCCCTTCATTTTTGCCTCTCGCTTCGTTTTCCCTTTTGTTTATAAACTTGACATTTTGGGCATCGGGTTGGAGTCTGCTTAGGGGAAATGCAAGCGCGTTTTTGGAAAAGAAAGGACCAATTCTTTCCTCCCTCGACACATCTTGTCTGTCACCTATACGATTCGCCCAAAAAGTCCAGCCCATTTTTTCCCTTTCTTTTCTTCATAACATTTAACTCTCATTTTTCATTTCTTGTATTTTCATTTTTTTGTGTGTATGGGTTGGTGGGTCGGTGGTGGTGGCAGTGGTGGCAGTGGCAGGAAGGGGTTTCTGGAATTGAATTGGGAAAGGTTGAATTCAAGAACTTTTTTTTTCTCTTTCGAGAGAAGATGGATTGAATGGATTGAATGGATGTGAAATTTGTGGTATTATTAACATGGCATCCAAACTTGGGAACGCAGAAACAAATAACGCCATATTCCCCCTCCAAAAGAAAAAATCCTAAGATCTCCACACGCCCCAGCCGTACGATGTAAGAAAGCACATAATTGTAATGTAGTAATAGTAGCAGTAATAATAGTCGCAGCGATAACCCGCGGCTCATGAGCTCGCCGCCCTCTTTTCTGTGATCTTCTTGATAGCTATTCGCATCCTCGTCAGCAACAGCCATCTCACCACACCGGGGAGGGGGGTTCAACATACCAGCAATCCACTCTTCATTCTTCGCCTCCGTCCCGACGCCCTCACCCTTTCCCGCGTAGCCCGCGACCCTCCTCATCTCCGCCGCATGTGTCCCACGGAACCACTCGACAAGCGAGTCCACGCCGTGCGTGTCCACGTCGTCGGGGTCGGCATAAACATTGACGGGCCGGATGACGCCAACATGTTCCAGCGCCAGCCGCACGTCGTCCACATCCGCGTGCAGCCGCCCAGAGGACTCGGCGATCTCGCGTGTTGTCGATCCGAGCAGGAGGAGGTGTCGCGCCAGAATGTCGGTGAAGGCGTCGACGACTGATGGCTTCGCGGTTGTGAGCCCCGCCGCCCGCAGGATCTGCGCCGCTGAGATCCGGAGAAGGCTGAAGAATAGTTCGCTGTCGCTCATGGTGGCGGTTTGTAGATAGGTAAGGTGTGGTGTGGTGTGTGTCGTGGTGAGGTTAGGTCAAGGTTGTGGTGCGCGGGAGGGCATGGTGTGGTGGTCGTGGTCGTGGGTTGTGAGTGGTGTTGTGTGAGTTGTGAGTGTGTGAGTAGTTTTGTGGGTTCGCGTCGCAGGTTTAGGTTCGAGATCGGTTGAATTGACGTTGGGAGGAGCTTCGCGTTGGCTGGGCAGCGCAGGGGGGGAAACAGAAGTGAAATGACTAAAAACGTTTCAATTCCTAACCCATGATAGAGAGCTGTAAACAAGTAGGGCGTAACCTTCCAAACAAAACCACCATGATACAACTGAGAAGAACAAAATATATATTACGAAATAAAACGAAATAGTAAACCTCAGAAGCCCTCCCCCTTCAAACATATCAGAACGCCAGACGGAGCTTGTTTGCGAAAAGGCGACTCAAAGCATCGCTTACTTCAAATTCCTCGACGACGGCACCAAAGCTGCGACATCATCAGCACGAGGACACGACATGCGGATAGGGGATACACACCCGTGGCACTTGACCTTGGGCAGGAGCTCCTGCTTCACCAACTCAAAATCACCAAGCTCCAACTCGGCAAACCGCTCATGGCGTGCAATAGTCGCCCATACCCTACGATGTTCAGCCCCATCCATCCTCACTCACGCGGCTAGCTAGAAAAACTCACGCAATAGGCGTCATCTCCCCTTCCAATTGCAATCTACTCGACAGGTGAAAAAGAACGGACAGGTCTGGCGTCTGCAGATCTAGATTCTTTGGCGGCTCCCAGGTAATACCCGGATGCTGCATGCTATGGTACTCCGGCGGGCACGAGATCATCAGCGCGTGCCCGTGGAAGTCCGCCTGTGGGTTGTTGACGGAGTTAGAAGTGAGCGGTATCATATGCTCCATGCATGGTCTTTCCAGCCTGTGGGTTTCTTAGCAACCGTGTCAGCTTAAGCTTCCTCGTGTTTGTCGAGGGTGTGGGGAGGTAACGGAGACTGACGCCAGAACGAAATCTACTCCGACTTCATCGTAGTTCCTGGCAGGTGGTGACATGCTGCCTCTGCCATTCCCGGGCATCTGGTTTGACTGTTGGTACTGTTGTTGCTGGTACGGTGTGCGTGGAGAGTGCTCATCATCGGGATTGTACACGATGCCGTGAAGCTCCAATATCTCTTTCAGTCTCCGGTTCTCCTGCAAGATCTGCGTCTTCTCCTTCGTGATGATGGTGAAAGCTTCTCGAAGTCTGAGGCGGCGTAAGGCTTCCAGGTATTCTCTCTCTTCCACAGAGGCGCAGGGGACCATCATACCGGGTGACATCCTCTTCCAACGAACGGACGTATTTTTCTTTCCTCTCGCGATGCGTTCTGTCCCCCCGATGATAAATAGATGGTTCTATCGACCATGTGCGCGCGCGAGGATATGGACTTACCGCTGTGCCTGTCTGTTGAGCTCCTGCTTCCGAGTCAAGGCGGGTTTGGAGTCCGGTTTGGGGCCTCTGCGTTTGGGTTTATCGCCATCTCCTGGCGGAATCACTCGTGGGCGAATCATCAGCACAGTCTCGCGCAGACAATCTCGATTTTCTCATGTAGGTATTTGGAATCGCCGCTGCGTCGCTGCGTCGCTGCGGTGCACGATTCCAAATACCGCATGCAACGTCGAGTCGTCGATGTCTCGGGTGCCACTAGATGAAGAATGTCTTACCTTTGTTGCGACTAGTATGAATCTTCAGAAATTCAAAGAACGGACTCGTATTGGACTGTTGCGACGACGAGCCCCCATCGGATGCTGTGGGAGAACGACATTAGTCCAGTGTACCGTGCAGACCAAACAAACAAAATCGAGTGAAAGCGCGGATGGATACTCACGACCGGAAGGGCTCGTGCCATTGTTTGAATTCGACAGCGATCCCGATCTCGCACGCGTCTGCTCTTGGATCTGCGCTATGTGGTTCAGTATGTGCGGCGGATAGTCCGGTGATGCCGCCGGTGCAGTCTGAGTTGTGCCGGCCATCTCGTGGCTACGGGGACGGGTATTTGGAATTTCGAGTGGCTGCCAGCTAGAGTATCTAGCTTCGACGAGATCTAGACGCGAACTTTCCCCCCCGCGGTTTGTCTACGGGTGGATATCGCGTCGACGGCGGAAGCGAGATGGTCCGGTTGCCTGGGGGGCGGGCTCGACGGGCGGGAGGGCGGGAGGGCGGGTTTTCCTGCAGATGGTGGACTGGATTGGATACGGTACGGTACGATACGATGTAGCTCTGTTCTGTTCTGTTCTGTTCTGTGCCGTTCTGTCTGTTGGCTGCCGCTCTCGGGCTCTTCTGCTCTTCTGCTCTTCTTCTTCTTCTTCTTCTTCTGCTCCTTCGGACTGGACTGGACTGATTCGATGTGTCGGCTGCCCCGGATTCTAAATACAACCCTGGACAGTCGCGAGCTCCCTACTGCCATCGAGGTTCCCGGCCCCTTGGCATGTGTAAGCCTGCAGCTGTGCAGCACGCAGACGAGTCACGAAACATGACAAGCTATTCTAGGTAGGTCGGGTCGGGGACTCGGGGAGTCGGGGGTTGACATTCATCGCACGAACAGAAATCCGAACCAACACCTGCGGAAACGATGGGAATTCCTTGGCGATGTGGCTGGCTTCCAACTTCCAAGCTGCATAATCTATCCGGAACTCTAACTACGATTCTGTCGTGCTTCCGTACATACAGTTGTTATGTACTCCTTCTGCGCAGCCTGCAACATCCAGGCTGAAACGTCGAACGAGAGATACAGAGAGAGGGAACATCAATTTATCGTCGCATTGAAACGTCAAACGCACGCCACTTCATCTTGGTCCCGGTACTGCGGCGAGTGATGGCCTGTGTATGCTACTAAATTCTGACCGGGTACGAAATAAAAAGGAAGTTTTCACTCTCTTTCTGACCGAGTACACCCTCGATTTCCACGATCTAGAACGTCAACCTGTCTAGCCCTCCGTAATACTAATCAATAAGTAGGGACTTGGGTACTTAAGAATAGTACTTACACAAGTAATCATTGTGCCTGAACTTGTCCCTCGGGTTCAACCACCGGTCCGGGTGGGCGCAAAGAGTTGTTTTTGTATATAGCTGTCGATACAGTAAGTCTAACTTCTTGCACGTTTTAGAGATCATCGCATCCACCTTATATTATTAGATAGCCAAGCAGGTTCCCGGGCGAATCTCTAGCCAAACAAAGTGCGGCGGGCAGAATGTACCACCAGATATGTACTGTATTGTACTTGTACATATCCCGAGAGCTTCTCATACATACTCTTTCCAGTTTCTTTCGCCGATACCATCGAAGATAAATACCTAAATACTCAAAAAGAATAGGGGTGGTCTCCCTATGGTATGTGAGTACATACCATAGGGAGACCGCCCACCCGCACGATCGGTACACCGGAGTAACGTTTCGAAGTGGAAGTGGTACGCAATCATATCGGTACCGACCCGTTCACAGTGCACACGGAATCATTTCCGATACTCTATAGTATAGTCGAGCGAACCGACGTAATCGATCTATTGTCACTTGTCCGTATGTATGAGGTATGTACCGTTTCTGCGAAGTCCGTAATGAGTACATAACTCGTTAAGCGCCGCGGAACACAGAGCTAACTTCTAGTAAGCGCCACGGGCCATCACTGAATCTATGTAGAGTACTTACTCTGCATTCCCAGACGCCTTTTAGATAGATACATTGTACCGCTGCCATATCGATGTACCTATGTACGATACTCAATCACTCTGAATAGCTTCCACAACCCACGCGCGTAGCTACCAAGGATGCATGAGTTGCGGCATGGCATGGCCGCATGGCCTCTGGAGTCTGAATTGTCATCCGCTGGGTAAGCAAACGTGCATTGGTTCCTGCTTCGACCACGGCCGGTGAACCGTGATGCTTAAGCATGCGCAAGTCGCCAGGCGTTGGGCCACGAGCGAGCGCTGTGGAGGGGAGACCTTCGCCCTTCTCCGATAGGCATCTAACAGCGGAGGCGGTGGGGAAGGTCACTCAGGACTGAGGGGAGAACGTGCGCCAAGGGTTTCAAGATTACTGCAGAATACCCTATCACTGTTGTAGATACTATGGTGTTTGCAGTCTCCGACTCCGCTGGAAGACGATGTTCCGTAACCCATTGGCATCATTTACACAGAACACGCAAGCATAGTGGTGGTGGGGGGTAGGTCTCGAGTTTCAACGCCCACGCCCACCTACCTACCTAACCGCCCACGGGCATCGGGCAGTTCGGAATACCTATTAGCCGTTCTCTACTATGATAACTATCGGTGCATATGCTACGTCGAGCCCAGACACCAACACGTAACGCGGTTGTTGGCCTCTCGTCGCCCGTTTCTGGAGTGATCGCCTTAAGCATGCATAAGTATCTATGGCATCATTCCGTGGACGAAACATCTTGGCCAACATCAAGTGCCGCTTTCAAACACTGACTATTCCAGATGGGGGAGGGGGGAGGGGACGTGTATGGCTGGCTATGTACCTGACGATGTTGGTGCACCACCATAGAATGTCATGCAGTTAAACTGTGAAACGTGCTTCTGCGGTAAATCGGATCCTGGGAAGCGAATTCTCCAGCATATCCACTACACGAGTACTTGGTATGCAGCAGCGGTGGCAACCAGGACACACGTGCGACCAACAGCTTCGGCGGTATGCATGTTCTTGAAACATATGTGCCATCACAGAGGAGCCAAAATCACCGACTCCCGAGCGCCCAGCGATGGATAGATGGATGGTTATTGATATGGTTGATTATCTCTTTAAATTTCCTCAAATCTTCTCAAAGAGCCCACATTCCATTCACCAGACTGCCCCATACTTGTCTTCCCTATATTTCCGGGGAGGTGACCGTTACTGTCGTGCAGACATTTTCTCAGCGTTTGTAGGCACGTCGGATCCAACGCGATACCTTCGAACCCGGTGGCCTTTAGTGAATCTGTTGGTACCTTCTCCCCAGGTTCCACAGTCTGCCAGAGGAGCTTGACTGCCCGGACTGACTCGGCAGAGTGCGTGTGGGTATATCGGTAATCAGTATTGAAAATCCATATCTGAACATTGGTCTGTTAGTTGAAAGCACCCAGAGTGGAGAGAGCTGTGGTCCGCGCACCTTAATACCATTGGCTTGCGTATCCACATCGGCTTCACTGGTGACCAAAAGACGGCGGACACCTCCCTCTTCGGCATGTGAGATAATCTGCGAGGAGAGGAAACATTCCAGTGGATACGTGGTTTCTTTTTCTTGATCGTTGAGGCGGAGGTTCCATTTGTTAATTTTCCACATCTTCGAATCGCCATCAACCACACCGAGCTCCGTCTCACACAATGAACATTTCAGTTTTACGTCTGCAATCTGTAAAGGAATCAACATCAGTATGTACCTCCCAAAATAACGCACACTGCCATATATCTAGCGACAACATGTTGAAATGGGGAGGTTCGAAAGCGGCAACGGATATCAATCCGAGCCTTAAACAATAGTTCACCATTTGCTCACGAGCATCGAGATCCATCAACGCCGAAACGTGAGGACAACGCCACCCGCAAAGTCGGGACAAACTACCATCTGGATTCAATCTTGGGAAATTGTATCGGTTGCCACAACCAATGAGCATACACCCCGAAAGGCAGTTGGGCACCTTCTTTTTTCCCAGTAGGTACATCGCGGGAGGGCAAACGATCGAGAGCTTGGACGCGGATACGGCAACAAACGAACAATCAATCCGCAAAAGTAATATTGATTGACTAACCTGAACATTCTCGCAATCGTCCGCCGGGAGTAGGAAGTAGAGTCGATCAACCAATCCTGTTCCTCGTTCCACGGCGAACCCCTTTCCAAAGGTAGAGTATTTCGCGCTCTCACCTTCTTCGGCCTCGTCCTTCTTCTTGCGGTCGTCGTCGGGCTTGTGACAATGCCAGAAGTCCATCATATCAGCCCAGTTTCCCGACGGCAAATCCTTCCACTTCTTTACTCGCTTCCTTGGTATTAGAGTTGAGCCACATTTACGACAATCGAAGGACGCTGATTCCGTGCGCGTGAGCTCTGGTGCAGACCAGGGAGCGTAATTTTCGCCTTTTGGCGGTGGCGGAGGAGCCACCTCCAGTCGGCATGAGAGGTGCTCCGTTCCCACAGTGGTTCCGTACTGACGCTGTTGGTGTTCGGGGTTCACGTTTCCCGGTAACGGCAAGCGGATAGACTCTCCATGGTGGTGTAGGATTGCTGCGGAAGCACTTGGTTCGACGGTAATTCTGGTAGATGCGGTGGCAGGACTCGACAGATGAATTGAAAGAGTGATTGCCCTAATATTACTGAGCAGTTCGGCGTAGAACGTCAACATCGTTGTGGGAGTGACAGAGAATGGTGATTGAAGTTTCGGAATGGAGGGTGGCTTTGGCGTGGTTCACACGCGCTGTTAAAGGTCGGTGTTCGGCCTTGGCAACTTTGAATGCGACCGTTGCCTTCGCAACGTAAATTGACAATCATGTCTCCCGATCCAGCCTAGTCACTTCCGCCTCTTCCTTCTCACCCCTCCATTAAATTGCAATTTGCCCCGCTTCGACATCTTTCGCGTACTCCTACCAACCCATCCCTCTACCGTTCACACACTCGCCGCCATACACCGAGACCATACTACACATCCAGATACCAAGCTTCGTACCCCTTTGTTCAGCAGCACCATGAGCAACATCTTCATCCTCAGGTCGAGCGACGGAAAGCCTCTGAAGCTCGATCAAGCTGTGAGTCGCAATGGACTCAGAAGCCGGGGGTGTGCTTGCAACTGACGCGTCACCCACAGGCCGACATCGAGCCTCATATCGCCACCCTCAAGTCGAACGCCGATGTAGAAGAGATTCGCCTTGGTGGAAATACCCTAGGAGTGGAAGCATGCAAGGCTCTGGCGGAGGTTCTGAAAACCAAGAAAAATCTCAAGGTGCGTTGTATTTGTTGCTGAGAGGACCCTGGACATCACGCTAACGGGAGGAGATGTAGATCTTCAACGCTGCCGATATCTTTACTGGCCGTTTAATCTCCGAGATTCCCGATGCGCTCACCGCCTTGTTGACCGCACTCCTCGCACTCCCCAACCTCCACACCGTCGATCTTTCCGACAACGCTTTCGGTGGACGTTTGGCCGAACCACTCAAGGACTTTTACTCCAAGGCTGGCCCCCTTCGCCACCTTCTCCTCAACAACAATGGTCTCGGTCCCGTCGGGGGCACGATCGTCGCCAATTCGATCAAGGAACTAGCTGCCGTCAAAGCCGCTGATTCGTCTCTGCCTCCTCTGGAAACCATCGTCTGCGGTCGGAATCGCCTCGAAGATAGCTCGATGGAGGCTTGGGCCAGCGCCTACGCAGCACACAAAAGTCTGAAGACTGTCAAGATGGTGCAGAACGGAATCCGACCGAAGGGCATCGACAAGCTATTGCGCGACGGTCTGTCGCACTGCATCGGCTTGCTTCACCTTGACTTGCAGGACAACACCTTCACCGAAATCGGTGCCGAAGCACTCGCTACTGTTGTGCCTGGTTGGACGAAGATCGAGGCGCTGTGCGTAGGCGAATGCCTGTTATCGGCCCACGGTGGTGTCCTGCTCGGAGAAGCGCTGAAGTTGGACAAGACGCCGGCACTGAAGAAGCTGAGTCTGCAGTACAATGAAATCGACATCAAGGGCGCCAAAGCCATCCAGGCGGCAACGGAGAAGGCCCTGCCCAAGCTAGAGATTCTCGAGCTCAATGGCAACAATTTCTCAGGGGATGACCCCATCGTCGAGGAACTACGGGAACTGTTTTCGGAGCGTGGCTTCGACGGCCTCGACAGCTTGAGCGATATGGAGGAGGACACTGACGACGAAGACGAGGAGGACGACGAGGAAGAGGCAGAGGCCAAGCAGGAGGAAGAGGAGAGGGCTGACCGAGCGGCCAAGGTTGTCAAGGATGCCGAGAGAGCTGAACAGCAAAACGTTGCGCAGGAGAAGGACGTAAACGTCGACGACCTCGCGGATCTCCTAGGAGCCACCAAGATCACAGCGTAGGAGCAGTGAGCAACAGTGGTCGGTTTAGATGTCTGTCTTGTAATCTGGGGTTCTGGAGTTTTGTTTTTGGCGGTAAATCATGTCGTTTGTGTACTTAGGTGCTTGTTTACTTAGCTGTTGCCCCGAAGAGTTCCCAAATTCCCTTTCAGAAATTTTTATTTTTGGTCTAACTAAGGTAGAAGGTGGGGGAGTAGAGTAGATGCACTTGACAGTGCTTTGTTTGTTTTTGTTGTACCTAACTCTCTCATCACGATGAGATGAGGGCGGCGAGTTTTGTAGACGGGTGTAGGATAGGAGTAACAGCAATTGTGCCTCTCATCTGGAGTGCTTATGATGCCTTTGCTGCGCATGGTCTTTGCGTATTCACTGTCTCGACGTGTGTAGATGTGGTCATTCGAACTCCTATCGATGCTCTACACAACTAGAGTACAGCACATCTCCTCAGATGAGCCCAACGTGAGCGAGCGAGCGTGGGGATGCTGCACTAGTAAAACGACTCTAGCTACCCGCACTTAGAGTACCTACATTCACAAAGCGCGATAGTAGATAAGACATTCGTACTGAGAAGGTACATAACTCCGAACGGACAATACAGAAGTTTGCGTAGAGAGAGGGAATAAGAGCCGCACGGGAAGAATTCACCGACCGCCTTGCGCCGCACCTAGAGTACTATTCCCGCTCCTGCGCTCCCAGACAAACAAGCAAGCGTTAGCCCCCAGGTGCGACATTACACCGCACTGTCCATCATACTCCACCCCTCCACCCTCCACCTCCCCATCCCCGCAATCGACCCCCCCTTCACCCTCTCTTCAACCCTTGCTCCTTCCCGTTTGCCCATCCGATCCCCACATACCAGCAGATCACCACCACTTCACCAGCCATGCCGGGCTCGTTCGGCGTTACTGTCACGGTTCGGAGTGTGTACGACTACACACCGAAAGCTGTCGACAAGCTTCTGAACAGCTACCGCAGCAGTTGTCCGTACTCGTACCATGTGGAGTGTCGCTTCAATCCGGCCAAGCAACAGTTTGTGCTCAAAGGAGACGGCAAACTGATGGAATATGCCGTGCTCGACTTCATGGACTATCTGCACCAAATGACCGCCCGGGAAACCAACAAACCCAATCCGGAGCAGCAGATCGTGAGGTCACCGGCAACTCTTTTCAATGTCAACCCGGTGCTCTGGACCGAGAACACGTTTGTTCAGTCGGCGCCGGCGGCCCCGAGCACTCTCTGGGACGGCGAGGAGGGCTTGGTATGTGGTTTCTTTGGTTTGCTGTTTGCGAGTGCAGTGATGATGGCTGATGAATGGATGGTAGATCTCGTCAACAGACATGAAATTCGAGCAAACCTCCGGAGAGCAAGACTTCATGTTTGAGTACAGCCTGAAGCAGGTTTGGGAACCAAAGGTCAGCCAGGAGGATTTCAGCTCGATGCTGAACCTCGAGGGCAATCCCACCAAACTTGACCAGCTAAAACGCCTCTACGATTGTGCTGTATCCCACGACTGGGGCAGGCGTACTGTGACGATTGGGGCAAACGACGTGGGCACCCTTGAAATGGTAATCGGAAAGCTGGACAGGGTAGCGGAATTCTACAACCGCAAATTCACGCCAATCCTTACCCACTGCGTAAATGGCGAAGACAAGGCGAAGTTTTTGCTGAGATTTGTTTCGTTTGCCAATCAATCCGGTAGGGCGAGAACCACCTATTTCGACAACACCTCGAAATGGAACGAGATGGATCTCGACCGGTTGTACTCTATACGCTTGTTGGAATACGACTACACATCGTATAAGCACAAGAGCTGCAGGGTTGAAACTGGTCTTGTCCATTCGGCCTACAAGACTCCGGATCACAGCGATTGGGCCGGCTACGTTTTTTGTACGCGCGAAGCCGTGGTACTTCCTAGCACCTCGCACACTGATAATATTCTTGATGAGATCCGCGAACACCGAGAGATCGCACTTGAGGACATGATCTGTGTGTACCATCCACCACCGGAGGCTCCTGCTGGTACGGCTGCCGGAGACACAGTGATTGAAACGGACGATCCCCATGCGGCATCAAGGGCGCTGGGGGTGAAGCGGCATCCACGCATCAAAGGCCAGAAGGAAGATTCTATATCGCAGCAGTCAGACCAACCAACATCGTCTTCTCAAGCGGATATGCCTCTAACGTTTTTCATGGGACCGAATCAGCCGACATTTAGTTACCAGCCATCGATCAGTAGTCAATCAGGCCTTGGAGCCGGACTGGATCTCGGTTCACGTCCCACGGATTCCGATGGAGGCATCACAGAGTCAGTAGTGACGAGGCACCCTCGCGAGCGTGACACCCTTCCAGGTACTTTCTTGGGAACTAGGCCTACCGATTCCGAAGAAGATACTAGTGCTCCTAGCACCACCACCCGGCGACCTCGAGAGCGAGTTCCCGCCCCGAAGCCCGCGGTCGGTCTTGATTTCGGACCTCCGCCGGTTGATAACGAAAATCAAGACACCTTTGGCGTTACTCGACGGCTTCGAGAGCGAGTCACCGCGCCGAAGCCCATCGGCGGTCTTGATTTTGGACCTCCGCCGGTTGGTAACGAAAATCAAGACGCCTTTGGCGTTACTCGACGGCCTCGAGAGCGAGTTCCCGCCCCGAAGCCTGTCGGCGGTCTTGATTTGGGACCCGAGCCAGTTGTTAACGAAGAATCAAAGACCATTGGAGCTTCTCGGCGGCCTCGCGAACGACCCCTCGCTCAGAGTAACCTGCTTTCGAACCCCATCGGTGGCCTTAATTTAGGATCCCCGCCGGTTGGTAACGGTGATTCGGAAACTGATGGGGCTTCCCGACGACCTCGAGTGCGCAGACCTGTTCAGGCTCAAAAGGCTGAAGAGACTGAGGCTGTTGCTGAGCCTGCCACAAGGACGTTGAGGCGCACAGTCAACCAGAAGATGCCCAGACCGATTCACAGACCCGACGATCCTGAAACTCTTCGCAAACACAATTCGAAGAAAACCAACGAAACCCTCTTCCACGCCCTTGAGTACGCTCGTGGTTGGCACGGCGAACTGAAGCTTGAGGCCAAGGTGGGCCGGTTGATCTTCCTTGACGTTCCTAGAAAGATAGTCAAGCAAGAATCGGATTGGCAGAAGTGGGACTCTATCGTGAATGCTCCAGCCGAAGATAAGATCAAGTCCACATTCACCAGGATCATGACTACGCAGCACTTCGATATGGAGTACATCAGAGACCTTAAGATTGCTGGTGGAGAAGAGCTATTTTTACCGAAACCGATCAGTTACAGGGTGACTTGGGAATTTCAGTTGGAGCAGCAGGGAAAGAAGAGGACTCTCTGTGTCGATGGCGAGACTTTTCAGGCTACGCTCTACGGCGACAAAAAGAACTTTGGAGCTGTGAACATGGCCAATCCCCTCCACTCGTGGGACTACCGCGTGGAACTCGTCGGAAGGAAGCTTATGGATATCAACTGCGACCCGTTCATCAAGCACATTTACGATAGTATCGCTTGTACCACTACCGATGGACTTCCTGAGGTCAACTTCGTCGTCGATGGTCCTTCCTTGGTGATCAAGCGAGTCCTGCTCAAGTGCGAGACACGCCACAGCGTCTACCTGGAGCGCCATCGCCGAGGAGTCCCGATGGAACTCGTCATCACCGAAGTCCAGGAGACCCATATGTTGTCCAAGACGGTCGGAGCCGACAAGAAGTATCGAGCCTGCGTCCTTCAAAAGAACAAAATGAGGCAGAACGCGAGGCTCTACTACACCTGTTCCATCGTTCCCACTGAGGCCAATGCCCTGTTGAAGCAGAACCTCGATCTGGACGTGGGCGGCATGTCGGATTGGTCGTGTGAGGAAGTTCTGAGGCTCGAAGGTAAGGCTGGCGGTCTGCTGCTGCCTAGCCTTTTGAGTGTTCTCAACCAGGTGGTCGCAAAGCTTGACGATGTGGGTTCAACCAATAGCGCTTTCCTTTGAGTCAATTCGACGAGTTCATCCGATATGCATGAGAATGGGAGAAGAAAAAGGTGTTGATTTGTCCTTTTTGATTTCATTTCATTTGATTTGCGGGTGTTGGCTCCGTCTGTGTGTGATTGGGGGGAGGCGCTTATTCGTACATCTACTTCGTATACCTGTTTCCTTTGTCTTTGTTTGATGATTCGGTCGGGCGTTTGATACCGATGATGGCTTGGTTCTGGAATGAGATTTCAGATTGGGGAGACATGAGAATAGGGTCTATTTCTGAGTTGACGATGTACATGGACTACTAGCCTATCATGTCTTTGGGAAAAAACGAGCGATCCTGGGCGATTGATTTGAAATTGACACTGCAGATATGGTATTGAAAAGCTGTGTATCTGGGAATTAAAGACTACGGGAATAAGGTAGAACCCTGCGTAGACCTAACTTGCGAACTCTGAGTCGACTGAACATTCAGATTCCCTGAGTCCGAGTCAGTCAACATCATACGGCTGCAATCGGCCCCTCGGGGAGAAAAATACATACCCAGCCCAAAACCCGATCCCACGGTCGTAACGGAGCTTTGCTTCTCAGCCTGCTTCTCAGCCTGCTCCAACGCCCATTCCGCCAGAGCTTTCTCCTCCTGGAGCATGCTAATCTTCTCCTTCAAACCCTCGATTTCGGCATCCTTCTCGTCCACCACCTTTCTCGCCACCTCCTTCAAATCCTCAATTTCCGCATCCTTCTCGAGCACCACCTTCCTCGTCGCATCCCTTCCCAGGACAACGCCATCGTACCGCTTCACGTGCACAGCGAGGACATCCGCCAAGTCCGACAACGTCGATTCCCGGACCACAGTTTCCTCGTCGTTCCCCAGCAGCTCGAGGACCTCCTGGACCAGGGGCAGCGCCAATTTCTGCGGCGACAGGCCCGTGGTGGACGGATCGAAGATGCCCGAGCGCCGACCGCGCGGCACCGTGCGCGGGCACACGAATATGTCATCGTCCGGCACCGTGTCCGCGTCGCTGACAAAGCTGGTGCCGAGCGGAGGGTACTTCCCCGACGCGGCCTTTGAGGGCGAAGTCTGGAAGGGAGTGCGGCGCGCTTTCGTCGGCGACACGTTCCGGCTCGGGGAAAGCGGCGCAGTCGCGAATGCCTCATCGTCATCATCCTCCTCCACCTCTTCCTCTTCCTCTCCCTGGAAGGGGGCCTGGAAGTTGTCGCGCAGGAGCCATCCCGATACCCGCTGGAGGGAGGGGGTGCGCCTGGCGCTGAAGAAGGGTCCGAGGGTGTCGCGGGAGCGCTTGCGAGTGTTGGGCGTGGCGGTGGATGGCGTTGGTTGCTGGCGTTTAGTCGGGGTGGGCCTAGGCTTTGAGGGTGTTCGCGGTGCTGCTGGCACCGGCATCGGCGAGAGAGGCGGCGGGTTCGCGATTTGTGCGTGCGCTTCCGCATCGCTGTCCCACATGAAGAAGTTGCATTTGTCGGGATGGTCTTTGGGGTGGGCGCAGGTCCAGACTTTGCCCCATAACATATATAGCGTCAGCCACGGAATGCGTGGAGATATGTATGTACATTGTACATAACGGAGCACGTACACCAGCGACCCTTGTTGGGGCCCTTTTTGGCAACTTGTAGGTCCACGGCTTCTTTGCTAAAGTGCGCGGCGCAGGTGAAGCCCAAAGTCAGGTTTTGTTACGCATAGATACATGAACTGGCATGAGGGGCTTGAGTAGCGGACCGTGGATCACAGTTGCCTAGCGAGTCGAGACATGTCAGCCGTCATGAACAGACGTTGGACACGGGAGATCGACATACATTTCCACACACCGTCCTCGAAGAGGCCTTTTTCTCGCCTCTTTCTAATGGGTCTTGGAGTTGGCGATGCTTCGGCTTCGGCTTTGGCTTGGGCTTGGGCTTGCCGTTTTGCTGACGTTGGGAACATAGTTAACTATAGGTGAGGACTAACGGAGGACGTTATTGTTGGAGGGGAGGGGAAGGGGGACCTGTCGAGTAGGCGAGGCTGATCATCGTCTCCACGACAACACGTTGTGCGACCTAAACATGCTGCACGACAAACTCACCCCTGCCGTGACTCGTGAGACCGCAACATTTCGCTCAAGGCCTCACTGTTGAGAATATGAGTGTGATGTTTCAGTTGATTGATTCATTCGCAAAACACAGCGGATGACCAGACAGAAGGAGAAGCAAGTGTGAAATAAACAGGAGTCTCCAGACGTGCAAATATTACAAATATGACAAATGTGCAATATCTTGAACGAGTGACGACGGTGGCTTTTCAACGAGAATCGCAACACTCACAGCGGAGGCGAGATAGGCCGCACGTGACGATAAGTTGATGTTCTCTCTCTCACAGCGGAGGCGAGACCGAAAAGAGATAATACACACGCGGGATGACGGCCGGCAATTCTCTCTATTGAGCGTAAAACTATTTTTATGCCCCCAAACATTCCGAAAACAACCCAACATACCACCCCCCACCCGACCGCTAAGTTCATGAAAGCTTCATCAATCTCAGCAAGAACGTCGCCTCACCGATCTCCTGCTCCTCTTGCAGAATCATCTTGTCCAGATCCACACCGGGGTGCAGCGGCTCCACGTGCGTGATCTCCGCCTTATCCAGCGGCCGTCTCAGCGCCTTCTCGAACATCTGTGCGTGCTGCTCGAACGCCTTGGCGAGACCACTTGGGTCCTTGAGGACCTTGTACTCCATCCTGATGTCGTCTGTGGGGAACAGGCCGGCCTTCTTGCGCAGACGCTGTACTCGGTTGATGATCTCACGAGCAAGCCCCTCGCTCTCGAGCTCGGGGTAGAGAGCCGTGTCGAGGATGGTTAGGACATCATTATCGGTGTTCGTCTCCATGTCCTTCGTGGCCTCGTTCTGTGCGAGTCCTCGAACGACAATGAGGTCGCCGGCAATAATCTTGACTCCAGCAATCTCGAGCTCACCAGAACTCACGTATTTCTTCACGTCTTCACTCGTGACAGAGGGGAGGGCATTCTTCACCTTGCCCATATCCTTCTTCAGCTTCTTGCCGAGCACAGGCCAGTCCGCAACCGCCTTGTACTCCACACCGTACTTGTTCTCGTCCGATGACAGGACAAGTTCGGTGACGTTGAGCTCCGAGGTAATGTACGACTCGAGTGACTTGACATCGTCCAAGTATTCCTGATCGTGGTGGATGATGATGAGGGTCTTGAGAGGGATCTGAGAACAAATCAGCTTTAGCTCAAAGATGAGTGAGTTCGCATGACCGTACCTTCAAACCGACAGTCTTCCGCTCTCTGGAGACACGAGCCAGCTCGATGACCTTCTGCATGCGGGAGAACTTCCTCTCGACGACCTCATCAAACAACTCTTCCCTAACCTCGGGGAATGGCAAGAAATGGACACTCTCATTGTTCTCCGGCAGGGTCTCCATGGGAATGTACGGCCTCAGGCGCCGGTAGATGTTGTCGGTCAAGAACGGTGTGAATGGTGCCAGTCCTCGCACAAGAGTGTAGAGCACTTCGAACAGAGAGTTCAGCGCGTGCATGGTGTCTTCGGTTCCGAATTCTCCCTTCAGACGCTTTCGGTTGAACCGGATGTACCAGTTGGTCATGTTGTCAATCATCTCCACCAGACGAGGAACGACGGTGTAAAGACGGTACACTAGAACCAGCTATTAGGCCGCGTCTATGGAGAGGAAGATTTGCAACTTACCAGCCATTTCCTGATTAACGAATTTCAACAAGCTTTGACAACTTGCAAGAATCCATTTGTCCATGAAATTTGTGCTTCCTACGCTCTTGGGGTTCCACTGGTAATCGATGTTCTCCAACTTCTTCAACAGCTGCACCTGCTGCTCGAAGAAGTTGTAACTGTTCCAGAGAGGAAGCAGCACCTTCGCAACAATCTCCTTGACACCCGCCTCCTTGAACCGCAGGGTCAAGGCCCTAACGACGGGCGAGTTGAGCAGATACAATCTCAACGCATCCGATCCGTACTTGTCCATGATCAGAGTTGGGTCAGGGTAGTTCTTCAGACGCTTAGACATCTTCTTTCCGTCCTCTGCCAGGACGATTCCGCTGACAATGCAGTTCTTGAAGGGTGCCACTCCGAAGAGATGGGTACCAAGGACAAGCAGAGTGTAGAACCAGCCACGGGTCTGATCCAATCCCTCGGAGATGAAGTCAGCAGGGAAGCCCTTCTCGAAAACATCCTTGTTCTCGAAGGGATAGTGGTTGCTGGCGTAAGGCATGCTTCCAGACTCAAACCAACAGTCGAAGACCTCCTCGACTCTCCGCAGAACACCCTTGCCCTGCTTGCTGGGGATGGTAATGTGATCAATGCTATCTCTGTGAAGATCCGTGATGCCAGTTACGCCGGACAACTCCTCCAGCTCCTTCACACTCCCGATACAGATGACCTCCTGGCGATCCTCGGACGTCCAGATGGGAAGTGGTGTTCCCCAGTATCTGTTTCTGGAAATGTTCCAGTCACGGGCGTTGGCAATCCAGCTACCGAATCGATTCTCCTTGATGTTATTTGGCACCCAGTGAGACTTCTCGATGTTCTGCAACATCTGGGGGACGATGTTGGTGATGCGCACGAACCAGGCGGGGACAGCACGGTAAATAAGGGGCGTATCGGAGCGCCAGCAGAAGGGGTAACTATGGGTGATGGTTTCCTTCACGATGAGACGTCCCTTCTCGGTCAACATCTTCATGATGGCCTTGTCTGCGTCCTACAACAAAAGGTCAGCCGCCGCTCCTACGAGTTGAGCTGAACACTGGCTATACCTTCACGTACTGCCCAACAAAGTCCGTCACCTCGGCTGTGAATCGTCCAGACTCATCCACGGGATTCGGGGGAAGTCTCTTCTCAGAAATGATGCCATGGTCCATTGCGACCTGGTAATCCTCCTCTCCGAAAGCTGGAGCCTGGTGGACCAATCCAGTACCACTGTCGGCTGTAACGTAGGTGGCATTCAGGACCTTGAAACCGTAGTCCTTGAACTGATCATAGAAGTAGTCGAACGGGGGGGTATATTTCCATCCCAGCATGTCCTTTCCCTTGATCTTCTCCAAGACGGTGTACTTGGCCTTCTTCAAACCCTTCTCACCGTAGAGAGTCTTTAAACAGGACTCCAGGATAATGAAATTCCGATCCTTAGCCTGGTCGTGGATCTTGAGGTACTCGAAATCGGGGTGAACCGCGATACCAGTGTGCGAGGGGAGAGTCCACGGGGTGGTCGTCCACACCAGCAGTTCGGTTTTGGGATCGTCGATCAGAGGGCAGGAGACAACGATCGCCGGGTCGACGACGTCCTTGTAATTCTGTTGCGCCTCGAAGTTGGACAACGGCGTTGTGCATGCGGTCGAGTATGGCATGACTCGGTATCCAAGGTACACTTGGTCCTTGTCGAAGAGCTGCTTGCAGACCCACCATACCGACTCCATGAAGGTCGGATACATACTCTGCACACAATGTCAGCTCTCCACGATTGCAAGAGGCTGTGGCCGGTAGCCTGACCTTGTAGTCGTTGTCGAAGTCAATCCACCGTCCCAGCCGATCAATGGTCTGCCTCCACTCGGTCGAGTACCTCATGACAATAGCCCGGCATTCCGCATTGTACTTGTCGATACCCATATCCAACACATCTTGCTTGCTCTGGATGTTGAGGTTTTTGTCGATCTCGTATTCGATGGGAAGTCCGTGCGTGTCCCACCCGAACCTGCGGGGAACGTGGTAGCCCTTCATGTGCCAGTATCGGGGGACAATGTCCTTGATGGTGCTCGCGAGCAAATGTCCATAGTGAGGAAGTCTGGCGGAAATCGGAGGTCAGCGAACTACTACAATTGACTTCCCTCCCGAGTATGAACCACCAAGTCTCTCACCCTGTGCAGAAAGGCGGACCGTCGTAGAATATAAAGGGCTCTTTCCCTTCCGAGAGCTTCAGTGAAGTCTGGAACGCATCGATCTCGCGCCAGAACTCAAGGATCCTCTCTTCTTCCTTAGGGAAATCCATGGTGTCTAGGCTCCCAGCTCTGAGTTCCTTCGAATAGTGCAGTCGGTAAACGCTCACGTATGCGGTGCGAAGTATCAAGGAAGCGATGAGATGCGATTAGGTGTAATTATACCTGGGGTATATGAGTAACCTTGACCTTGGGGGTGAGTCTTCTCCCGAGAAAGCGGGGCACGAAGCCTTTGGTGGGGCAAACTACTTTTGAAGCATTTACCCGCCTTAGTCATCACGTGTCACTCGAGAAACTCAGGGTCAACGTCATTTGCCCATGATGGGCATTTCCATAGGTTCGCCATAGTCTAGATAGGCTGCATGCGAAATAAATTGAAGATCTCTCTCTCTCTCTCTAGGCATTTCTATATATTGCCATGATCTAGATAGGTCGCAGACCGTCGCACGCAGTCAATGATTCAACCAACACAAATGGGCATTTCCATTTCCCCTCATGTCCTTGCTGTCTCATACAAGTATGCTGCGCACGCGCATCAAGACATGCCGAGAAACATGCTATATATCGAAGAAAATGCTGCTCATAAAGCATATACAAAACCTATGTACAAAATACGGCCCAGTTGGTCCTTCCAGTATACGGCGAAGTAGGTGGGCATGGTATACCGTCTGTTTATGGTCGAAGAACTAGAGGCGAACGAAATGCGACCAAGATAGCGAGCCATGATCACATGTGTGAAATTACATATGGACGGAAACAACTCAGCACAGATGCCTCGTAGTGAATGTTTCAGATTTACTCGCTTTCTTCAAATCCTCCTTCACATTGTAAGTCACAGTGGTCATAAAATTCAATGATTATCCCATGATTGTATTTAAACGCGGGAATGGCATCGAAACATGGTTTCCGATTTTCGTCTAATTTATTTTTGAAGATCGAAATTCGTTTAGTCGAACAGACCGAAACCCATGTCCTCGTCAGACTCCTGTATGCATGTTAGAAGAGCACCAACTGTAGTAATAGAAATATGAGAACGTACCTCCTCGTCCTTGGGAGCCTCCTTCTCGGGCTCAGCAGCGGCACCTCCGGAAGCGGCGGCACCTCCAGAAGGAGCAGCAGCACCTCCGGACGAAGCACCTCCAGAAGGAACGGAAGCAAGCTTGGTGGATCCCTCAGCGATCAACTATAGCCGGTTCGTCAGTAATCGCCCATCAGATCCCGAATGGCGCATGGAGGCGTACCTCGTTGACATCCTTGCCAGAGAGCTCAGCGATGAGCTTCTCAAGACGGTCGTTGTCGACCTCAACACCAGCGGCGCCGAGAACGGTCTTGATGTCCTCCGCGGAGGGCGAGGTGTTACCGCCGAGGGTGAGGAGGAGGTAGGCTGCGAGGTGCTTCATTGTACTGTCGGAATACTGTTTAGCGACAAGCAACGAGACTATTGGTCGGAAGGGTAAATAGTTGGGCTGACGTACAGGTTGTTGAGTGAACGCGAGATACAATCGATTTAACCGTTCGAGCGGAGACTGGTCTTCGTGTTCGTTTGGGTTGGCGAGAATGTCGTCTGGAGAATTCCGAAGATGGAAAGTTGAATTTCGCTAGGGTGGGGTGTGTGGGTGCTGCTTGTGGATATAATTTGTGACTGCAGCTACTGCAAGCCCTTAACCCTAAGTGGCAGCCGCAGTTGCGCCACTATCAAGATGAGCCACTTTCAAAGTGAGCCACCTCGGCAGCCACACCTGGCGCTCCGTGGCACTAACAGCAGTGGCGTATGAGGCTGGAATCGCGAATATGATGGAAGCGATAAACTTGGCTGGCTCGGACAACAACCAAAGAAAGCAACACCTCCCCCCCATCTCTCCCTCACCCTCTCCGTCTCCTCTTCCTCAACCCTCAGCACCCCACGCCACCGCAAAAACCCCTCTACCCCGCTCCGGGCAGCTGGCGTTGTGCGATACTCCGAAGCAGACGAAAAGCGACTCAGATCCGTCCAAATCCATCGGCTTGCGGCAACGACATTCACAACTTGTCGCGGTCCGCAAGCCCTTCTTACTCGTTCTTCAACTCGGTGACCCGGCAACATTCGAAATAAAGCTTGATGCCATGGCAGAATCCTCGGTCAGTAACAAACCTTCGCTCGAACACTCGCAACCCCCCACCGACCGACCGCACAAGCACATTTCGCGCTAACAATTTGAGGGCGTACAGTTAACCTTCTCTGCGATTCTGAGCAAGTATGCCCCAACGGGAGGAGGCAGTGGCGCCGCGACGACTGCGCCTGCACCAAAGCGACCGGTTCCCTCGTCCACCTCCGCTTCCGCTTCCAGTGCTGCCGGCAGGGCGCCACCTCCGCAACCTCGAACAAGTACGTGCCGCGAACCATGTGTTTTGATGTGTGCGGATTCTAACCACTCCCGATGTAGCTGCGGTTGAGTCACGACCTTCGCGAGCCCCCGCGTCCACCGGAGTGATCCGCGACCGACTGGCTTCAACGTCCATCAGCAACAGCGCGAGCGCAGCCAGAGCAGGTACGAATGGTAGCACCGCCCCGAAGACCGGCACGAACGGCGCCGGCATCGGTTCGTCCACCGCGAGAACAGGCGACAATGGAGTCAAGAAACGCAAGCTTGACAGTATTGCCGATAGTCGACCAGCGACCGAGACCGACAAACAAAGGGAGGAACGTCGGAGATTGTTGCTCGAGAAGATGAGGCAGAAAAAGGGGAATGAAACTGCCGGCACTGGAGCTACTGCAAGGACCGGCTCTTCTGCCCCTGTTGTAAGGGCGGGTACTATGCCCGCAGCGAAGACGGGTTATGCGCCACCACAGAAGAGCGCCACTTTCTCTGGAAGCACAGGATCATCCAGGCCATCATCAACCATGGCGCCTAGAGACAGACCTTCTGCAGTAACCAGCGGTAGCAACGGTAGCGGAGCCAAAGTGGGAGAGAAGAAGTTGTCATACAAGGAGTTACTTGCCAAAGCCGCCGAATTACATCAGGAAAAGAAGGCTCCAGGTATCATCACTCACAAGCCACGTGCACCGGTTGTGGAGAAAAAGCAATGGCAGAAGAAACTCGAAGCCCGGAACCAGGCAACTAACAACAGCGGCTTGGTTCCAAACAGAAAGAGCAAGAGTCCAGGAGTCTTGCCTACTGCTGAGAAGAGCACTTTGGCCAAGAAACCGCTCGGTAAAGATTCAAAGGCGTCACTATCCAAGAAATCCGAGCCCGACAGCCGACGTTCTTCAATTGCCAAAGGCAGAGGAGCCATGGACAAGGCTCGCCCCGCCACCGAACCCGTCAAGAGGAAACGTTCTCCTTCTCCGATCAGTTGGAGGGGCAAGAATGCATCCGCTCCCGTCAAGAAACCCGCCAAGTCCCGCAGAAGCCGATACGACGAGGACGAGGACGAGGACGATGACTGGATTGTCGACGATGACGAGGATGAGGGTGCAGGCGGATACGGTGCTCGTCAACGGTATGCAATACCCATGCGATATATGCCATCAGTTCCCAGTGCTAATCATGCAACAGGTACCGTTACGCCGAATCCGACTACGAGTCTGACAGCGACATGGAAGCTGCCGGAAATGACATCTTGGAGGAGGAAGAGCGCGCCCGGCGTCACGCCATCAAGGAAGACATCGAGCAGGAGCGCCTCGAGAAGGAGCTCAACGCGCGGAAACTGGCCACCAAGAAGAAGCTGGGCAAGAAGTAGATGACCCGGATTGGAAAATCTACTTCTTGATCGACCGAATCCATTCAACTTCCATTTCGGCGAAGTTGTGCGACTTCCATTTCTGCAAAGCCGTGGGATTCTTTCTTTCTTCGGGGAATTCTTGTTTTCCCATGTCTCTTTTACTTGTTTCTTTTTTTCCTTCTACCTGCTACCTATCCGTCATTAGACTGATTTACCACATCTTCTTTTGTGTTTTCTTTTCGTTATGGCCGTCTTTTTATTTCATTTGTAGGGGTTTGTGGAGTTCGGAGAAGACGTATCGCATCATCAACAATCTGCGCGACTGGTCCCTGTTCCCTTGCTTGAGCTATTATGTTTTATTTGGGCGTACCTATTCTTTTCGAGGCGGGAAGGGGGGGGAGTGGGGGGGAGGGGGGTAGGAGGTAGGGGACATCATTTGTATGAGGGGAAGGGAAAGGGGGAAGCAAGTTTTTCGGGAAAACTTTGCTAGGTGTTCCGGAGTGCGTTCTTTCTTCATTCTTACCTTGTTCTGTTCTTTCTGTTAATCGTCTGTTTCGATCGTCAAACGTGTCCATCCATTTTCTTCTTCTTCTTCTTCCGAAATTCTTTTCTCCTTTCGATGTTGTCAGTATTTGTGTGTTTTGATATTACCGAAACCGTGTTAATGTTGCGAGCTTTTTGTGGCTTTCATTCTTCTTCTAAATTGCTTTCTACCTATTGATATCATGTATTTGTAGAAATACCTACCTTACCTACCTAGGCCTCCCTTTGTCTGCTCTGTCTGTTTTCAATGAAGTCTGCAAGAGTGTGCTTGTAGTTACAGCTGGTTTTATTTGCCTCTGTTCTCACCGCACTGTTCATTATATGTGGATCCCAAAGTTACGATGCACATGCTTCATCAGAAAGAAGAAAAAAGAAGAAAAGAAAGAAAAAGATGTTTGTACTTCTACACTGTTTCCCTCGACACACGTTCCCCACCAAAGACCAGCCCCAACCAGACCAGACTAGCCAACCGATTCGAATCGCATTGTGGTATCTCTCTCACATAAAAGAAGGAAAAGGAAAAGGAATCGAAAGAAAGAAAGAGACTAAAGTTACAAGAAGTAATGCTCGAGAGCCGAGACTTCGGGGGCCGTGTTCAGTCGCGCACCCACCCACAACCCTCCAGGGCAACCGTACAATTCAAACAAACAGGTTATAGTAATAATCCTCATCGACGCTTCCTCTACTCGGTAACTCCGGCGGAGAGTTATGGTAGTCGTCGGTATAGCGCACATTCAGCAGACGGATCTTGAGGCCATAGTTCGTGACCATGTTCACGAGCTTCGAGGTTTCCGACGTGATGGGTTGTTGGTTCAGCAGCATCAGTAGGCCGTCTAGCCACTCTGATGCCGAAGAGTGCGTCTGTGGGTGCAGAGCTAGCAGGACCACTTCTTTGTTGGCGTTGGATTTGTTCGAGTTGCTGTTACTGTTGTTGGTGTTGGTAGGTGGATACCCGTGGATGGTGATTTTAGTGGAGGCCAGACGGCCGCCGCTGAGGGTTGGTGTGAGAGTCCCCGAGGAGGAGGAGGCGGAGGAGATCGAGGCGGGGACGACATTAGACACTACGCTAGAAACAGTGGAGAGGTCGACTGTCATCTGTTAGCTGTGGGTCCCTGCGATGAAGGCAGTAGAATGGAGGGCCTACTCTTTTGAGGAAGCTCCTCGAGCTTGGGTTCGTATGCGGTTTCGCGTTCGTAGTCGCAGTAATGGAGGTATCGCCGGTTGTGGGACAGACGGACATATCGCCAGGGTACCGAATGTATGTCTGTCTTTGACTCGCCGTTTCTTTGGGGTGCCGTTACAGGGAACCATGAGCCCTGAAGGAGACATCTTATCCGCTGTTCCTTGACGAACTGCATCGCCTCGGCCTTCAATTCTTCTCTTACATGCCTAAGCTTGGTCAGAATTGAATCGAGTGATGACATATGATGGACTTACGTGAGGTGATTCCCCCAGGCATTCTCGTACGTCTGCTCCAAAATCTCCATTTGGAGGTCTCTCAAACGTGCGCATTCCATCTCCAATATCTCGTCCTCGACGTCCTGTACATCTTTGGTCCTGTGCGCATGCCCTATAACGTGGTAGATCAACACTCGAACCAGTTCGGCAACTTTATCAAAGTCATCCGCCTCAGCCTGTGTTTCTTGCCAGAGTCTGAGAAACGACGAAAGTGCAGCGGTATGCAGCCGGGACCATTGCAGTAGGAGGGGGCGGAAGGCACGATCGTAGTTGGTGCGGGATTCGAGGACCTGGAACGTCTTCGGGTCGTCGATATCCGACTTGTCGACTTCGAACTGGTGGTACAGGAGAGCCGTGACCGTTAGACTCGCCCGGGCAACCGGACATCTCTGCGCCTGGGGCTTTGCATTTTGCTCCATGATGACCTTCCTCCTGTCAGTCCCGTCTCCGGCGTGGCTACGATCACGGGGGGGTAGTAGTTCGTACCTTCCTAAACCCGTCCTCATCCTTCCGGACAAAATCCGTCAGGTCCATCATTCCAAGAAATCCGGCCTCCCCAAACTCCCACGCCGGCGATTCCGTCTCGAAGCCCAACCTCCGCCACTTTTCGGGATTGTGCACACGCCTCTTCGAGCCAGTACTACTTCCTCCGTCCGATTTAGTTTCCGGAGCACTGGCAAGGTGGAGTCCCTTGAGTGCTATCCGGTGTTCCTTAATTTCCAGATCCACCTTCACATCCCTCCACCGCTTCAACAGGACTTTCGTCAGAGCCTGGAACTCCAGCAGAGGGTGCGCGAGATCCTGCAGCGCCGAACTCTGCATGAGCACGAACACCGCCTTGATGACGCCCAGATCCTGCAAGCGCTTGATAAACCTCGGCCACTCAGCATCGGTGTCATTCGTAATGGCATCCCTCATCAGCGAATTGATGAGCTGCAGCGAGTTCGCACACAGCGCGTGGTCGGCAGACGACAGTCTGCTCACCAACATCTCGAGGAACTGCGAGTGCGTCGTAATGGCCGGTTTCAACGCGCGGAACCCGAACGGTCCATTGTAGGAGCCGTGGCTCTGGTTCGACGTGTGCGGGTGCGATACGATCGCAACGAGGATCGACATGGCGCCTCGAAGGATATTGACGAGCGGGTGCGTGACGATGAGCTCCACCACCTATGATCACCCTCCCAGTGAGTGAGCGCTGGATCTCCACACACGCGTGCGCGGGGCTTGCGCGCCAGGCACATAGGCACGTAGGCACTCACCCGCGAGATCAGATCCGGCGTAACATAATCCCAGCCTTTGTCGAGCTCGAGGAGACGCGAGAAGGAGGTGAGCGCGTACGCCAGGGTGTTCCCGCTCGAGTACAGAGCCAGATGTCGCAGCTTCCCGAGGCCGCCCTGGGCAATGAAGATCTCGGCAAACGAGGGGTCGCCGATATTCGTCTGCAGCTTGAAGACTGCCATTTTCTTGACGGCATCCTGTAGTTTTTTGACCGTTCGTCACCGGAAGTTGTCAGTCGGTGAGCTTTCTTCGTTGCTTGCGAGCTGCGCCGCCAATTGATCCCACCAGGGATAGGGGGGGGGGGCAGGAATTAGAGTTCCCGTTCTCTTGCATCCAGGAAGTACCTCATCGTTCGAGAGCCGGTCTATGAGCTCGGTAATGTCGTCCATCACATACGGAGGGAGTCCGACTGGAATATCGGGTTTAAAAGAATGGATGGCGAGGTGTGTCTGTGTCTGTGTCTGTGTGGGCGCGTTTGGGAAAGTTACATGCGACAGACACCCACTACCAGGTACCTAGTACACTCTATGAAGAGTGGTGATGCACGCAGGCTAGGGCACAGCACAGGGGTGGGCCGTAGTTAGCGTGTGCTCAGGGACGCAAAGTCATGCAACTCGCGAAGACCCGGGCCCTTCGACGCGGTGGATGGCGCTTGTGATGGACAGCGGCGGCGGTTATCGCGACTATCGTCAACCTTGACAGCACGTGCTATCCTTCTCTGGGGCCAGATCGAAAGTTGGAGACAGCTGGCTGGTTCTTCGTGGGGGAACAGCATTGAAGCGTTCTACCGTAAAGCTAGAATCTTCATCACTGTGACCAGATAGGGACGGTTTAGATTTGAACTTTTGATACCGGCCCCAACCACCCGCTCTTCAGACGACCGTCTCTGACCAACCGGTTGGAGTGTAAATACCTAGGAAGTGACTCGCCATATACCTCCAGCAGCCCTTTGTGCAAACCCTTTCTTGGATTCCTTGGGAGCCCCAGCATAGCATTCGACCGCTTCCACCCGTGGCAAGCTTTGTTCAAATTCTCTGTTCATAAAACCATCGGAGTAAATGTTAGGACCGGTAAAGGGGCCCTTTTCACACCATTGCTGTCATAGCGCTTAGAGGGAGAACATCAATTTATTGTCGCAGGTGGCCTGTTCAGACTACCAGTAGGTATGGCGACCCTATCATCGCGCTTAATCTCAGTCGCCCATTCACCAGCCATCATCCATCATCCACGCGAGTGATGCCGAGTGTAGTAGACCGATTGAGCCAGCAAAGCTTGGAAGAAGCGACCAACTTCGTTGACCCAGCGATTCTCAGTGCTCACTCCCACTTTACCTTCTCGCATCATCCAAGCTTCCTCTGAGAATCCATTCGCCTCCCCAACCCCATTCACCCCTCATTCACCCCTCCACCACATACTGCCGCCGAGCAACAACAGCTTCACCACTCTTATTCCCATCATTCGCAAACACCAGTGGGCTACCTACACACTTCAGCATCAACCCTACTCTAGACACTTTTCCAAGTTCTCCACCTCCTCCAGATACCCCAACGAAGAACGCTTGGTCACTCGCTTTCCCACCCTTCAGCTCTACGTGGGTAGGCAGTTTCTCACTCGAATTACCAACCTTACTGAACTGTGTAGAGGGTTTTACCTAGGCACCGCCGAAATATCCCCCCAGTCCAGACGGGCCAAGCCAGTCCGTATGGGATAATAAACCGATATTCTCTCTCTGACAGTCTGACTCCGCCGGAATTTTCAGCGGCGAGACTACTTTTTCTGAAGCATCCAGGAGGGAGGCAGATCTATCCTTTCTTTTTATGGTTGAATCATCGTTGCATTCGACCTTATGAGATAATGGCAGTTACTTGTGTCCACCGGAAGCTCCAACGAGGACGGCCGGCCAGAACGACGAGTGATGGATCGTGCATGGGCCCCCACCTCCCCCACCTCCCCCCACCCCACCACTCACCGCTCTACTTTCTTCTGCTCGCCCCCCATCTGTATCTGATGCGGGTAGATACCGGTATCGAGGAGGGGCTTCACGATACGGCAGAGGGTACCCCCACACCCCACATCCCACGCCGCACGTCGGCCTCAAGCTTTCAAGCTTCAAGCCTTCAAACGAAAGGGACCGTGGTTATCCGCCGCTTCGGGAAGCACACCCTCGAAAAAAAAACAAGTTGGAATACCGGGCACCGAGATAAGACCCACCCAGGGTCTCAATCATCTACCGGTATGTACCTAGTGGGTTCTGCCTCGATCCTGGGTAGTAGGGTCCATGACTCTATGTACAAAGAAGCAAAGGGAAAGGAACTAAGAAGAAGATGAAACTGGACCATGGGCCACGGCTCCAGATAGGCAGATAGGCAGATAGGCAGATAGCACCCCCGCGCCGCCCGGGAACGGAAAAATTGCTGCCTATGTACAAAAACAAAAACAGAGGCACAAGGAAAGCTGTACCGTGGACCCTAACTAGATGGGCAGATGGGAAGATAGGCAGATAAGTAGCACCTCCGAAGATGTCGTCAGTCCGGGAACGGAAAATTACAGCCTATGTACGTAGAGTACATACAAAGCGGCGAAACACCGTCAGCTTGCAGACGTCTAGAAACCGCAAAGAAGAAAGAGGAGTGAAACAAGGGTATGTAGAATCTGAAGGAGCGGAAGCTAGAGATAGGTAGACAGATAGCGTTTCTTTACCGCGAGACAATCTATGTACATACTCCCGCAGCTCTATGTACTCTACCCTACCGGTAGTTAGTCCGCAATCCCACATGGCATTGGCAGCAATGGCCCATGGCAGCAATGGTCCATGGCAGCAATGGCCCATGGCAGCAACGGGGAAAGGAAAAAGAAAAACCCGAAACGTGGGACTACATCCACAACATGACTGGCTGGCTGATTCGCTGGCTGATTGACTGGCTGGCTGCATCCCCGCCTACATACATTTCCGACTACATGGGCATACTTCTTACGCAGCATTACTCCATCCTCATGCACAATGCACAATGCACAAGGCTGTCACCGACTGTCACCGAGATATGTACCGAGATAGATACTGAGATAGATAGCGATCCGCAACTGCCCTCCGCCATCCGCGCGGCGTGACGGCGTCGTCTGTTATGGATGGATGGATGGATGGGCAAGGAAGAAACACCATGTGCACTTATCCGTTCAGTGGCTGGCTGGCTGTTCTTGCCCGTGGAGCTGATATCTCAGCTATCAGCCTACATACTTCATGCCCACTCCGATGTTGATCCAACTCGTCTAGCCCAACTCCGCCAGCCCAGCCCAGCCCAGCCCAGCGGAAACATCTCGACACACACGGCATCACCATGCACCACACTACACTACAATGACTGCACCGAGCAAACGAATAGGTACCGTACAGATACCGTACAGATACCGTACAGATACCGTACATGTCGATGAATTGGTAATTTGACTTTGTCTTTTGTATCATACATTAATTACAATTGATCCCCCCCCCCCAATGCCCATCAGCCCCCCTTCCTTCCATTGCCATTTCCGTTTCCATTGCCATTGATCCCCCTCCCCCATTGATCCCCTCCCCCATTGATCCCCTCCCCCATTGATCCCCCTCCCCCATTGATCCCCCTCCCCCATTGATCCCCATCTCCAGTGCAAGAAACAGAACCCAGACCCCTCATACTCAATAAACACCATAGCGTAAAAACTAAAGGAAAAAAAAGAATAAACCCAACCCGCCCATTGATCCCACATATCCCATTTGAAGCAAGCAACGATGAAAAACGTTAAAGAAATCGGAAGAAAAGAAGAAAAAAAGAAGAAAAAAAGCACACACATAAACTCCCGCGTCCGCGTCCCATACACAAAGTTAGAAAGGAGAAAATGTAACGGAAAATCAGAAAGAAAAGGTAAAACAAAAACATCCCACCCGGTAACAGAAAATAGAGAAGAGGGAAAGGGAAAACATGTACAGTGCGTACCCGCCCCACCAACCTCCCAATATGTACGAATGCCAGCACCATCACCATGAAGAAAAGTTAGGAAAAGAAAAAAGAAAACAGGAAAAAAAACGGGCCTTCTTAATCCTTAATCGAATGCGTAACAATCAAAACCTGAGCACCACCCGAAACGAAAAGCGGGAAAAAAGAAAGAAAAAAAAGAAAGAAAAAAAAGAAAGAAAAAAAAGAAAGAAAAAAAATCAGGACCGCCCCCATTCCCCTAGAAGGGCCGAGAAATCTCAACCTTGTTCCCTGCCCGCCAGATTCCTTATCTTCGCCATCCCACATTCCAAAGAACATGGGCGATATCTCGGGCTGTGTTAACGGCATCAACGGCCCTTCCGAAAAGTCCGGTCTCCAGCTCATCGTCCTCCCAGGAATTGAAATTCGGTAACTGAAAGTCGTCGGTATTCGGAGTGTTTCCCGCTGGTAAACTGCCGCTGTTGCTGTTGCCGAACGACGGCAGTGAAAAGCCTCCTCCGTTGGGCTCCCAATCCAAACCAGCCATATCGTCATCGTCGTCCAGAGCGAATGACTTCTTTGCTGGGGCCGGTGTTGGGGTAGGGGCGGCGGCGGGGACCGCCGCTTTGAAGAACGAGTTCAACGACAGGAAGGAACCAGTCTTCTTCTTTGGCGGCTCCTCTTTGTATTTAAGTGTAGTCGAAGGAAGGTGCGCAATTGTCTGTGGCTCGCTGGATCCCCCCTTGTTGCTATCCTTGCTTCCCTTGCGAGCCATCATCACGATCCCGTCGTCGGACGAACTATCATCCGCGTCGTACCTCCTCCCGTACATGTAGTCGTCGTAATCATCGTCGTCATCGTCCGTCTCCACGGCTATGCATTGCTGGACCTGGTCGTTGAAGTGAATATGTTTCTTGGCCGAGGGCGATTGGCAGCCGGTCGAAACGGCCGATGTGATATCGCTGGGGGCGGCGGGACTGATTCGCGAACCGTACGAAGAACCGAAATCCGAATTCGCGCGGCTCACAAGTGTCGGGGGGTAAAGCCGGTTGGACTGTTGCGAAGCGATGGCCGCCGTCGCCTGCTTGAGCAGGCTCGACGTCGACCGCGACTTCTGAAGCATGATCTCCGACATACTCCGCTTCTTCAGGATCGGTTTCGTCTTGTAGAAGGAATCGTTACGTGGCAGTTTTGCTTCCGCGGGTGACGCAGCTGGTGATGGAGGGACATGTGCCGTGAGAGTTTCCGCACCCACAGACAGCGGTCCGTAGAGCCAAGTAACATCGCAATCCTTCAACCTGGGAGATTGTCAGTTAAAACTCTCTACACACTGCGGCGGCGGCGGCGGTGACGGCGCAGCCACCCACACAGTCGAGACAACTAACCAGTTCAACTTGTCTGCGGAGACAGTCTTCAGCCTGTACTTCTTCTTCCCCCATGTTCGCCACGACGCATTCTCCAGTCGTGCCGAATTGCTGTGGACGTTCCTCTTGCGCACCATGTACCGCCAAGATGCCCAGATATCCTCCTCCCTCCAGTCATGAGACAGATAGTCAACGTGCCGTGATGGCTCTGTCCTCACACACGTGTCGTCCGCAGGCCTCGGCCGTGGCATCTGGTCATCCGAATCTGGGGTCTGCTGCTGCTGTGACTGCGGCTCTAGGGTCTCAATCTCCTCTTCGGATGAGGATTGCTGGGGTTCCGGTGATGGCGACGGTGATGGCAGGGCGGTACCGAAGTTGTACACGGGGAAGAACATTGGGTCCTCCTGTTCCGAGGAATCCAGACATATGCTGCTGGCGACGGACGACGAGGACGACGAGTGTCTCGAGTACGCAATGCTCGACAGTTCCGGCGACGAGATGGACGACGGAGGAGGCGAAAGCTGGCGAGTAACCGAAAAAGCCTTGAAGGAGTCGTCTGGCTGCGAACGCGGAATCGTGGTCTCATCGTATGGTGGTGTATACGACTGCTGTGGGGAGCGACATCTCGGCGACGAAGAACGATAGTAACTGTCCAGCTGGGCCGGCACCGTAAGAACTTCAGTCATGGTCGCGAACTATTGTCGCGAACACGGGGGCACTGAGGTTGGTGGGGTGGGGAGGTGGGGAGTAGTGGGTGGTATCGACAGGTCCGTGGGTGGGCAGTGGGAGGGAGCGAGCGAGTGGTGAGTGAAAGTTGGCAAGTTCGAGTTGACGCACTAAGGGGTAGTCGTAGTCGTATTCGATATGGTTGGATAGGACGGTTAGACGTTTTTGGGATGAGAGGCGGTGAGAGAACGGAGCAACGAGACGACAGTTGCGATGTGTGCAGGAACAGGAAGCGAAGAGCCGACTCAAAGAAAGCTTTTCCGGAGGAGGAGCGAGACTGAGGATAATTAACTGTCGGGAAGGTTGGAGACTGGTTTGAGAGTTTGGGGATTTTTTCTTGGGAGGTGTGGAAGCGATGGGCACTAGATTACGATTAATATTAATATTTTAGAGCAGGACGACGACGGGAATATGTAGAGTGAGGTTATGGGTAATATTTGGGGGGGGGGGCGGGCGGAAGAGCGTGTGTGGGTGAGAGACGAGCAGGAAGGGGAGTCGGACATGGATCGGATGGATACGTACATAAGAGTACCGCAAGTGTGTGCCCCCCCTACATGCTCACAGGTTGCCAGGGGGGTCTCAAACAAAAAGGCGAGTGGAAGATGGAGAAGGAGAAGGGGGTTCTCAAAAGTACACTGGCGGAGATATCTAAACGACGTTACATACCAGCGGGGGGAGGGAAGTGTCGCGGGCGGCGCAGCGGCGCTAGCAGACGTCCAGGGCGGCCGGCCGGCTAACGAGACTTTCTTCTTCTATGTACTCTACCCATACTCTAGTTATACTCCAGAGGACATAACTGTACTTCTCCACAAACTCCTCCACAGAATGGCCACCGCTACAACCTACCACTAGAGTACCATATAGTACTTCTAGGCACTGCTGCTAGACACTGCCACTGCTGCTGGTGCTGCTCCTCCACGTACGCACGTATCTAGATTCGTAGCGGGGTCTTTTGCATGCTAGGCAAGTAAGTGACGGTGGAAAGCTGCCAGCTGCGAGCTGCGAGCTTCTTCCACGACGGCGGTGGTTAACTCCTCCAGGCCCGCCAGAGAAGCTAGAGTACGCGGACGGTGCCAGACGCAGAAGGCAGATACCGACGTCGTATGTAGGTAAGCATGAATGTATGTGTGAAGAGTATCCATGGCGGAGGAGAAGGAAAGAAAGAAAGAAAGGAAAAAGAAAGAAAAAGGTTCAAGGCCTGCAGGTTGCAGGTTGCATGCTTCCAACGGCATGGCGAAGTATGAGGTAGTCGGGCCCATGTAGAGTTGTACTTCTACTAGTATCTAGAGTACATACTCTACACACCTGTCTCTCCCTCCAGGCACGACGTCGGGCTCGAGACGAAGCAAATAAAACACATCGTTGCCGCACTACACACTTACCTAAGGCACTTTGGTATGCACAGAGTGCATACATACAGCAAGCACAGCACAGCACATCACAGACCCCACAGCCGGAGCGTTTATGTGGTTTGGTTTGGTATGGGTTTAGCTGGTCTGGTTGGTTGGTTGGTTGGTATAGTTTGGTTGGTATAGTTTGGTTGGTCGGTGATGATCGCCATGCGGATGCTGGCCCCAGACAGACACAATTTGTGTTCGACGCAACAGGTGTGGAGAATAGTACCGTACCTGCTTATTCGCGCCCGATCCAGCAAGTACATACATGGAGTACGCTCACCAACACATCATGTACATCGTACATAGGCGGTGGATGTATGTACTTTACTGTGATACGGTGGTCTTCGGGATACATAGAGTACCTGTATCGTAGGTACCGTGCTTCTCGCAGTCTCTTGCGTGCCTGCTCGTCAGTCCGTCCGCCTGCCATGTATGGAGATTAGGTATGATACCTCGAGTCGACCGCAGACGTTGGCACTGCCAGAGCGACTAGGCAGATACCGTGGCCACAGAGTACCAGTACATGGTGATTACCGCCGCCGCCCCCAAGTACCCAGAGTACCCAGAGCGGAAAGCAGCCACTTGGTCAATCAAGGATCAGCTCGCTCGCTCGCTCACTGGGGAAGGAAGGGAAGGAAAGGATCCAGGGCTTGCCGCTTGCCACGATCCAGATTCCAGAACGCCGCCGCCGAAAATTCAAGTCGGTCCCTCCCTCATGTACCTAGGGTGGTGATCCAGAAAGCAAAGTCCACGGGTGTGTTCTCCCTAGTAGGGATCCCGTCTGACTGTTGACATGAAGCCGGTTGCGAGTTGTATGCAGGTGCCGGTAACTATCCTGCTCGGAAGCAAGTGGGTGCTTCATATGTATGACTTGGGTAGAGCCGATTGAGTACTCTAGATACCTGGTTGTCGATGGTCCTAGCCGTGCAACTGCCACTGCCAGCGGTCTGGTTTGTCTATCTCCGCCTCCGCCACCGCGCCGCCGCGAGCGAGTGAGCGAGATACGCGCCTTCCCCCCCTCCCCTCCCCTCCCCTCCCATGATATGCCATGCCAGGCCAGCGACTTCACCGACTCCACCCGAGAAGCGAGGGATGGAAGGACGGAGGACGGAGGGGAGGGGAGGGGAGGGAGGCAAAAGAGAAGGAAGAAAGGGAAGGAAAGAAAAGAAAAGGAAGAAAGAAACAACGGCTTTACCAGGGTGCTCGGAGGGACAGAAACCGGCCGCAAAGAAAGAAGGAGGGAAGGAGGGAAGGGGAAGGAGGGAAGAAAAGCCAAAACCAAAGCCAAAACATGTGTTTTTTTTTTCGGTGACCGCAGCTTTGCTTAACTCCTCTACGGTACCTACTCTACCTCGTAGGATGGAAGTTGAGTAGAATACGTAGTCGATGGCAGCGTCACCATGGAAGAGCAGTTTTTCTTCGCACATCCACCACACGGACGCAAACACCATCCACAGATCCATCCATCCATCCGTCCATTTAACTGCCCGTCCATCCACCCGCCCGCATCTCTCGTGTGCAGTATGCAATGCACGTAACTACATAACCACTCTACATGAGTTTCTATCCAGCCATGCCCACGGTGCACGGAGGGGAGAATCGGGAGGTGACAATCGGGAGTCTACTCTACGTCTTCATCTTCGTCTGTGCGGCGGCGGCGGCGGCGGCGGGGGAGCGGTCGACGGTCGTGATTCGTGAACGAATCGCACGCACAGAGAGACGTACACACACACATACACACGCACACACCGGTTGCGGCACCACCCCCATTCGTCCGGATCCGAGGAGGAGGAATTCTCCTCTCCATCTTGGATGTTTTTTTCCTTCCTTTTTCCTTCTTGAATCTTTTCTTTTTTCTTCGCGTTTGCGAGCTGCTGCGTCTCCGGCGCTCGTTCGCGAGCTCGCTGGAATCGAGATCGAAACGAAACAAACTGGACTACGAGAACGGGAACGGGAGAAGGAAAAAGACAAGAAAAGAAAGAAAACTCCGTCCCTCGAACTGCCGGGGAATATCGGGGTCGAGTTGTGTTCATGTGGTGTGCACTGGGTGCTCTAACCAAGTAACCAAGGACCTAACCAAGCAACCAAGCAGCAAGTACTACGGCACTCCACATGCCTTTCCGCATCCTTTCCCTTCCTCCTCCCGAAACGATGGGTCTCTTGATGGCCACATATTACGGCCGCGCCGGGGGCAAGCAGGCAGGCAAGCAAGCAGGCATGAAGAACGAGCGAGTCGCGAGGGGGGTGCCGTTGCATTCGCAAGCGATTTTCCGGAGGCGCGGATTACCCACACCCTCTGATACATACATATCCCTATATTGATAGTCGGACAGGGTCCTTCGTTCATTCCTTCCTTCGTTCGCTGGTTCGTTCGCTGGTTCGCTGCTTGGTTCCAGGAGAAATAAACAAGAAGAAGCTTGGCCGTGGTGGTGGTGGTTGTCCGCGTCTCCATTCCAGTGTCCACCCACCGATCATCAATATCCATCTATATATCAGGCACGTTGACGTCGAGGCTTCGACATCGACTGCAGCCAGCCAGCCCTGTGAGTGCTTCAACAACATATCTGTAACTGCATACTCGCCATGACTTCATCCGTGCTCTACATGGGCGGAGAGTATGTAAGTTCTGGTACATACAGCGCCGACCCGTTGGGACTCGGGGGAATAGCGAGAGCACAGACGTCGTTGCTGTATATTCCCCAACTAACCACATATCTCCCCCGGACTTTTCGCTCTACGGCACTCCACGTACCTAAGCAGCTACTAGTATAAAATAGTAGACACCGAACACCACCGCGCCCTGCCTTACCCTGTCCTGGACCGACTGTGGAGTGCGGAGTGCGGAGATTCCGGGGGTGTAGGCGTGTGTTCTGGCCTCGTGGTGGTGGGGGAGACGGAGGTTTCTGTTTTGCTGTGATCGGGGTACCGGTGGTACTCTACTCGTTGTTAGGTCTGGGGTAAGTAGAGTAGACCTTCTCCACGCTTTTGGCGTGGAAGCCGCCCAATCACAAGACGAGGCCACGACGTATGTGTTTCCCAACAAAAAAAAGATCATCCACCCCCAGCCTCCAGCCCAGCCTCATGATCTCCGAGATGGCATAGGGGAGATCTGATGCTCTGTGCTACATATATGATGGTTACATAGAGGTAGGTAAGGGGGATGATAGAGGTATGAAGTATGAAGCATGGAATAGGTACGAGAGAGAGAGAGAGCCGCAGTGTCCTCCGCGTCATAAATTCCCAACGAAAGGAGGCAAGCAAAGTCGGGATTCGCAGCCGTCGATGTCTGTCTGTGTGCGTACGTAAGTACGAGTACGAGTACGGGGGAGGGAAACTGGTTATGTATATATACGATAGTAGTGTTGTGCCACCGTTGCGGGGGCGGGGGCGGGGCGGCGAAGTGCGGGGATGTGTGTGTGTAGAGTACAGCACGCGGGGATGACGATCGGGTGCGGGTGCGGGCGGCGGGGTTCGGGGTTCGGGGTTCGGCTCGGCAACGAAAACCGCGCGGTATGCACTCGTGCAGAGCTTTCACAATCGCTTGGTGGCTTGGAATAGGTATACAGCTTGGAGTAGCTTGGAATACGTACCGCTTGGAGTAAAATTGTATTCCGCCAGTCTCACAGGCTGCAAGTTGCAAGTTGCAATTCTTGTTCCGCTCAGGCTCGTTGCGGGTGCGCATCCTCCAGACTCCAAAGTTGCCTACCTAAGGTAAGAGGTACATACATCAGTAACACTTCCGACCCCATGGGCCATGGGCCATGGAAGAGATACCCATATCTGTATCTGTATCTGTATCTGCTTTCCTCGGCTGCTCCCTCCCCCTCCTGTCGTGCCGTGCAGTGCAGTGTCTGCAACCGATAAAAACTCTATCCATATCCATACCCTTATCTCGCACACATCACACACAACGAAAGCTAATTGAGCTTGGGCTCGAACTTCGATAAATGGTATACGGTACCGGTACCGGTACCTAGGCGGTTGTATGCAGTAACCACCGACAGCATGCACGCTCCTCCCCCTCCCACAACCCCTCCCCCTCCCCCCTCACTACGACTATCCAGATCTACCGATGCTGATACTGATGCTGATGGCGGCTTTGTGGTTCGTATCCTTCATACCATAGCACTGCTCATCAATCCCTTTCTCCAGCTCCGTGTAAGTACCACCATACGGCAGACTCCAGAGTAGCCTCCAGAGTATCCTCCAGCATCCGGCCCCAGACTCCCAGCACGATATGTACTATGTAGCGGGCGGATGGAGATTGCGGATCGAAGCTTAGCGGCTTGCGGCTATGTACTCTCATATATGCAGACATCTTTTTTTCCTTCTTCTTTTGGGAGGTGGGGGTGTCACCGTGCCAGCCCTGTCGACTCTCGAGGCGAGGCAATGGCTAGGCTGGGCTAGGATATGTTACTGTGCATAACTTCGGCGGCCATGTGTAAGTCTACCCTTCCGCTTTCCGCTGTCATCCCATGTTTGAAGGATATACTTGGGTGCCTATCATAATAGGTAGTGGGTATGGTAGTCCCCCACAGCAGTCATCTCGGCAATCCCGTTTGAACGGCTGGCCAAGTAGGCAGCCTCTTCGGAGCAGCAGCAGTGACTTACGGCCCTATGGTACCTATGGCGGGCTGGAGCCGAACGTTCAATTCCACGAGGCCAAACAGCGATTGAGCAATCTATTAGCACCGGGCCGTTCGGATCCGTCGTGGGAAAACAGCGGTTGCACGATGTGGGGAAGAAGCAGAAGACGAGAACGGTGTGGGTAGGTAGTATGTATAGTGAAACCTTTTACGCTCGACAGCCGCCGACTGTAACTCGGCAACTTGTAAGGCGGCGATATGTATCCAGCCCCAGAATCCAGAATCCAGAATCCAGAATCCAGAATCCAGAATCCAGAATCCAGAATCCAGAGATCTATTGGCACGCTTACGGCAACTGGCTCCAACCTCCACGGGGTAACTACTAGTACTATGATAGAGCGCATCTCGCTCGGGAGACCGTCGATTGACGGCCCTTTGCGGATATCTACCCAGTCGACAGTCGATCACACGCCATCACTTGCCGTCGGGTCATTCCGGAGCTCGCCTGTACTGCGTGCTATGTATGATCGACCACAACCCCGAATGAACGCGGGCCTAACTTCTAGTACTCTCCATACCCGCGGCAGATCCGACGACGCAAGGGAAGATGACGCCGTGACGGAAGCGGAAGTACTCTACCCTATGGCCATGCGCTGCACGCTGCTGCTGCAGAGATGTCGACAGCCCCCATGCTTATGTGTGTAGATACGAAACGAAACTTTCAAAACCTCCACCATGAATGCATGCTGTGAGGATCGCCCCCTCCTTCTGCGAGGTGTATGTAGAATGGCACCTAGAGTACCTAGAGTAAGGACCTACTCAGGCGAGGAGAAGCTTGGTTAACGGTGAATTCCATACGCCTCCCATACAGCATATGGATCTTCCCATCGACTTAACGCCAACCAGCAAACGACTCCCATCCCATCCCATCCCATCCCATCCCATCCCGTCCCATCCCGTCCGTCCTCCCGTCCGCCCGTCCGTCCATCCGTGGCAAGGCAGGAAGAACCAGAGGACGTCAGAGCTTTTAATATAATCTTCACCCCACTGTCCACTGTCCACTGTCCACTGTCCACTGTCCACTGTCCAGCCCGGCATCGGCCCCGCCGATGCTGTGCCCTCCTAAAGTCTCCGACTCTCCGATCTCGTGCTCGTGTCCCGCAGCTCGACTTCGAGAGATAGATTCGGTGATGGGAACACTCGCCAGGAGCTCGGTGGGCCGGTGCACACATCTATGGTAGGTATGCAGCGCATAGGAAGTGGGTGGGTTGGGTGCTATATCTTGAGTTCCTAGGCGAGGGCTCTGTATATGGTAGAGTATTACTGCTGGTAGTGACAGCTCGGATATTGGCCATAGGATGTATGTAGAGCAGGTATTTCAACACCGACTCCATCACATGCTACGTCGTACGAACCGACACGGCTCCCCCGAGTCTCCCCACGACTCCCCCGAGTCTTACCACTCCCCACTCCCCAGTGCCCAGTCCCCAATGCCCACAGCTTTAATATCCTATATATTCCTTGCTTATCGAATGCCAATGCCCAATGCCAATGCCCAATGCCAATGCCCAATGCCAATGCCCAATACCAATGTGCCGGCTGAGAAGGAAAACCCTACAGGCGAGGGGTGTGGGGCCATGGAAACTTGGAAGAGAACTTAGGGAAGGGAAGGGTCCGCCTGCATACTGATATGAAACAGTTCCCGCAGTATCTACATAACCTCACATACAGGCAGAAAAGACAAGACGCAAGACGCAAGACACACGGCCGGAAGTGGGGGGGGGGGGGGGGGGGGGCGGTTGGAGATCAACGGCTGTCCCTTTGGTACTTGGGTGCTCTATGTATAGTATGTACGGAGATACGTATCGGCACAGGCCTCCGTCACCGTCGGATACTCGGCCAGGCAGCCAGACCCCAGGGACGGCCGGCGACGCCACAGCTGACGGAGGAAGGGAAGGATGGAGCAAGGGAGGGGCAGGCGTGATAAGCCGCTCAGCCCGCCAGCTCGTCAGCCAGCCAGCCCACCAGCCAAAACCTCTCGCCTATGTACCCAATGTAAATCTGAATGTAGTCTCGGGCAATGGGCATTGACGGCCAACTAGCTGGCTTCAAGCCTTCAAGCCTTCAAGCCTTCAACTTGGCTATGCACGCCCGTTTTCTATTCCAGTCCTGCTCTTCGGCAGATGCAACTGCAGATCATCCGCTGGGTGATCCACTCCACTCCACTCCACTCGACGAGAGGCATTTGCAGTGCACCAATCGCCCTGTAGGCTGTTAGTCCCACGAAACGTGTAACTAGAGTATTCCGAGGCAGAGTAGATGCAAGATGCAAGAGAAGCTGCTCCTCCGGATTCGGTTGATGCAATCGGTTGATGCAATCGCTGAGATTTCCAGAATCCACGCATCCACGCATGCATGCGGCTGCTTACTAGCCAGCTTGGTAACAGGGGGGTGGATGGGAGGAGGGGAGGGGAGGGGAGGGGAGGGGAGGGGAGGGGAGGGGAGGAGGGGGGGAGGGGGAGAGGCACATCTACATACGGTACTATGATAGCGTGCTTCGACCTCGAACTCACGAACCGGCCGGCCGGCCAATTCGCAACGTTACGTTGGCGTACATACGCCCGTCGCCCGGGCATACGGATTCGGGTGTGTGAGGGTGGAGGGGTGGAGGGGTGAGTGTGGAGGGGTGGAGGGGTCAGAGGCAATCCAGCTGCTTACCTCATACTCTACATACGAAAAGGTTTCGGGCGGCGCCTCCAACTCTTGCAACTTGCTAGTTGCCATCGCATCCGCCAACGGCGCCCGGCCATGCAATGCCACATCCCTGTCGACATATCATATCCAACGGTGATCTACATACGCCGGAACGAACGTCAACCATGGGTAGGGGAAAAGCGGAAAGCCCAAGGCCCAAGGGGTGGGCCTCTTTCGAGCGGAGGGGAGGGGTGCGGAGCGGAGGGGAAACATCTCGCGCGCTGCCCAGTGCCGGGCTTTCCTTAATTGCCAATACTACTATTTCCATAGGTATATCGCCGGGCCATCAAGGTTCAAGCGAAGAAGAAAAAAAGGAGCGAAACCACGGCCTCGTCAAGTTCCGGGTCGCTGATATAAAACCTCATACATCGGCGATCGTGAACCAATCCCCGCCGCCGCCGCCGCCAGCACGAACCTGCGAACCTGCGAACCTGCACTTTCGGTTCCGGACGAACTCCTAGCCGCGCCGGGCGGACCGGCGTGGTAACTGGCTAGAGTAAGTAGCGGTGATGGATTGATGGATCGGTCGGAACGGAACAGATGATTATTAGCTGCGTGGGTGGCGAGGGAGGATGGGGCGTGGGGCTGAGGCTGAGGCTGGAGCGGAAACTTGAAAGGGGTTAATCCATGCGATGCGACGCCTGCGGAGTGAGTGATCGGACGTGTTTGGCTGGTCTGGGACGCCGGGAGTCTGGGAGGCATGGCGGGGGATGGGGCGTGAGTGGGGCTGCGACATTGTACCTTGAGTACTAATAGCAGCCAGATGAGGCGGGATGGTATGGGCATGAGTGTCTCGGGATTTGCAGTGCCGCCGTGTCTTACCGTCCCCATTTCCAGAACAAAAACGTATCCAGATTTCCGAACCTCCAAACCAGCGTGAGAACCAATGAAGCTTTAGCTACCTACTCCAACCCACCAACCAACTAGCTCCAGATCTTGGCAAAAGTGGGATGTGTGGCACATCATTGCGGGGCACAAAGCTTAGCACGTAACCCAGCTTCCACGACACGACACGACACGACACGAAACGCGACCTCCGCACATACACCCACCCACCCACACACATACACACAATGGCCGACACCGAACCCACGAGCGACATCCCCGCGGTACCCGCGAAGGTCACGCTCTACTGCGGAAGTAAGCATTGCTCCCCCGCCATCCCACAGCACCCAATCCCTCATGCTGACTGACGCCTGACCGCGCGTGCAGTATGCACACTTCCCCCGGAGGTTCGTTTTCAACCCCCAGCAGCAGGAGCGCGAGGTGGGGGAAGGGGGGTTAACACGGCGAACCGGTAGTACTGCGAATTCACCAACACGGCCAAGAAGTGTCGCGAGTGGCTCGAGAATAACCACGCGGACCTGGTGTCGGTGATTTACAACACCGGTAGGTGGCATCCAGGCAGACAATCAGTCGAGGGTAGAGCAGAGCAGCCCGCTAACTCCCGTGTTAGAAGCCGTCGAAGCCGCGATGTCGAACCTCTCGGTGGCAGCACAAGAGAAGGCCGCGAAGGCCGAAGCCGCAGCCTCGAAGCGTGCGGACAAGGAAGAGATCAAAGCCGAGCGCGAAGCGCAGAAGAAAGCGAGCAGCCGGATCACCTTGAAGCGAGTGGAGCGCACGAAGCGGAAGCACGTGATTATCGTTACCGGTTTGGAAACGTTCGGTTTGGACCTGAAGAAGGTCGCAAAGGACTTTGGAAAGAAGTTTGCGTGCGGGTCGAGTGTGACTAAGAACGCGGCCGGGCAGGATGAGATCGTCGTTCAGGGTGACCTGAGTGATGATATTCTGGAGTACCTCGAGCAGAAGTACCCTGAGGTGCCGTTTGATAATGTCGATCAGGTGGAGGATAAGAAGAAGAAGAAGGGTGAAGCTGCGGCGTGAGATGGCCTTGGCATGGGAAAAGGACGAGTACTGGGCCGTGGTTGTAGCATAGGTATACCGGTTTAATGACAATCACGAATTGGGCGTAGCAATATACCGGCTTGATTCCAATCACGAATTGAGCGCTCGATACCTATGCGAACTCAAGTCTCCATTCATGCTTGCTGCTGAACATCCCATGGCCAAAATCGCGGAATCAAAAACAACCAGAGCAACACGCCAATATCTATCCGCCTCTAGTTTATCCTCGAGCGCTCCTCCCAAAACAAAACGCCAAAGGGAAACGTAAATCTAACCGGGTGCCTGCTAACCAAAATACAACCAATAATGCATAGTAGCCGCCGCCGCCAGCCTCCTACCTACCGGCTCCATTCCTTCATCTTTTCGTAGCTAAGGAAGATGAGCGCCGACGACGGCGCGCTGCGGAAGCAAGTGATACCGCAGCCCCGGTAGAGTGCCTTGAATCCTCCGTTCCTGTACATTCCCGAGCCGACCTCCCAGAAGCCCTTGACTCTGTCGCCGGCGGTGCCGATGGCCTCCGTCTGCATCCTCGATTTGACCGAGTCGGCGGGGAAGAGGATGAGGTTGTAGCTCACACCAGCTGTCGCACACCCGTCAGTCAACCAGCCAATTAGGGGAACGACGGACCAAGGCCCAAGGCCCGCGGGAAAATCCCCCCCTACCTGCAGCCCCAGAAAGCATCATTTCCCCGGCATTGAGCGTATCAGTATTCCTCCGCCGCCGCAGCGCGGCGGACACATACTCGTACGCGCCGAACCAGGCGGCCGAGCCACCCGTCTCCCTTAGGAACGTGCCCATCTGGCCGTTCCAGAACCCGCGCAGCCCGTAGGTGCGGTGGACCTCACCGATCAGCGCGAAAGGGCCGGGGCGTTTGTGGTCGCCGGGGGCGAGGGCGGTCATGGACTGCACCTGCATCTTGCACTTGATGAGTTCGATGGGCGTGAGGATGAAGGATGCGAACGAGCCGCTGGCGGCGCCGCAGGTGACGAGTGCGAGCAGCGGAAGATCGTCTTTGGGGCCTAGCTCGCTGTAGAAGTTCCGCCGTGTGAAGGATTGCGCGAGGTTGTACTGTCAGCGGATCGGTGCACATTAGGAACCGGTCATGCGGGGGGGCGTGGATGGAGGCCTGGGTGCTTACGCTGAAGAAGAGACATGAGTTCTCCGCCGCGGCTCCGACCAGCGGCGATGAGATCCCTCGGTACATTCCGCGCAGTCCATCCTGTCGGAGACTCTGGGCAAAGCAGTCGATAGGGCCACGGTACCGCAGCGGGCGATCCTCTGGCTGGGATTGCAGCCGCACCTGTGGAGCGAGGGTGGGTGAGCTACGTGTAACAGATCTGTTGCTTTCTTTCTTTCTTTCTTCATTCGTTGCGTCATACCTTGACGGTATCAAACGGATACTCGAGCACTTTCCCCATCATGCCGGCCAGCTTTATAAGAGTAAGCTTCACGTACGGAACAAACATATACGGCAAGCACAATTGGTAAGGTGGAGGCTACTAACCGAGCCAAAAGCAATGTCCTTCATAGCTGTATTGACCGACGACGACGAGTCCGCTTCCTTCATCGGCGGAGGCGGGGGAGCTATGGGAGCTGTCTTCTGTTCGAGCACCTGAGACATCGGATGGGACTGGGTTTTTGGAGCTGCGCTGGACTGGTCTGGACTGGGTGGCTTATGGGCTTGTTGGAAGGGTTGGGAAAGAGCGCGGAGATGTTATTATCGCAGCATAGTAAGGGGAGCTCTCGACGTCGGGTAAGGGGCAAATAGAGGTGTCTTTAAGGACGTCTGGCGAGCACAAGATTCTCGCAAGTGCGACGATGGGCCAATTTGTATGGGGTGGGTCGGCGGACGGAGCTGAGGGAATTTTGCAAGCTCGCTAGTTATTTCATGGGCACTCGGTGAGGGGGAAGAGGAGGATGAAAGAGAGGAAGAGGAGAGCAGGCAGTGGAAACTCTAGCTACTTGGTTAGTTGACCGCTTAACATGGGGATGAAGAAAGGGAGCACGCAAGTGCGGTGGTCTGTAAGCTGGCCCACCAAAGAGAGGTCCGTTCGACACAGGGCGCTGAGGAACTTTGCGGCGGATGTGGGAAAAAATTAGAGTCGGGATTTTTTTTCTGCAGGGATGTGGCGGCGTCGCCAGGGATGTATCATGTCGTACCTTTTTAGCACCGCAATCTGATCATCAGATAGGCAAGTCAGATGTCATGCAATCGATTGTCGTCCAACCACCCCGCTCAAACAGCAAGAAACTTCATGTAGCATCGGCGCGATCCCGACCGGAGGCTATATACGTGGGTGGTATGGGGCTATCATACATATCAGTGCACAGGAGGCGTTGTGGCCGGGGTTGGAGAGCAGAAGCTTCGTCCAAAGCGCCAGATTACCGTCGGTGATGACATGCCGTGAGTACGTACAAACGATGGTGCGTGCGGGCATGTAGAGATGGCGGGCGTTTTGTCTACAAATACGGCCACCTTTGGCTGGAAAGTTCAACTCCAGAACACGGCGGTGTTCTTGAACTCGATAGCGAAGCATGTACACACCGGTATCCTCTGGCAAGTATCGCCCCGGCCCGTCCGCGAGCTCCTGCAGCAAAAACTCCGAGGCTCCGGCGAACCAAAAACTGTGGAGGAAGATCAAACAGCAGTCCAGCCCTTTTTCTCTGCACTAGATATACGCTTACGTATAGTATGCAATCCTTCAATCTCTCGGAACACGCCGCCCTCCCGGGTCTCTCGCGAGTCAGGAGCCGATCAACATGTGACTCGTGGGTTTGTCTGAGGGGTCGGCTTCTCCCTAGCTTATCACTCGTCGTCTTTGGGCCGAGCAGTCTGACTTCATGTTGACAGCTCCCTCGACGACCTGCTGCGGGGTATGCACACTGTGGAGAATCCGCACCTATCCGAGTGGGTTTTGGAAGGTCCTTGAACTGTTCCGCAAGATTTCGGGGAGTGATGAATCCGAGAGGCTGTGTATGTAGACAGAGGACGAATGACCAGGATCCGTCTGCGAAAGCCGACTCGCTGCATGGCCGTACCATTTGTGCATCTGCAGGTAATTTCGCCAGCTGCCGCAGTTGCGGATTTTCTAACTTGAGCCATATTGAAGTCAAATGGGACAGAGCTAGAGAAGATTTGCGCGATGGATGGATGGACGGGGAGCAGAAACCGATCGTGGAGAAATCCCATCGCGGCAAATTTATGCGCCCAAAGTTGGCGCTGAGTGGGGCCCGCCCCGGCAGACGTTGCCAAGGGACCGTGCATAGCTACTCGTGATCCCCTTTCCGCCCAGATCTGGAGCTCGAATAAACGGAACCCATTTCCCCCCACTCTCGTTACCAATAGCTGCGCGCGATGGAGCTCCCCCCCAGACAAGCTATGGAACGCGACCGCGACTGCCCTGACGATCCCGGTCAGCGCGAAGACGTTCACACCTCCGGCAGCAGCAGCAAACCACCGCCGGATCAACTGGAAATATTCCGTGCGGGAGATCGCCAAACGGTGTTGAAGAGAACCCCGACGACGACGGCGTACGATGCTGCGCAGCGGAATCCCGAGCAGAGCGATACCGAGTAGGTGTTCCGCTAGAGCTACACATCGGCCCGACTAACCACTGGTCGCAAGGAAGCTCCTCAGCGCCATGCACTCCCTCACCCAGCAACAACGGAAACGACTGGACGCTTGCGCCGGAGGACTGAGTGGGAAGCTGGACGAGCTGCGGGAACTACACGCGCGTATCGAGGACCTTTGCAATTCGGCGAAAGAGCTCCTCCAGAGCTTCAGCAACGAGGACGCCAGATTCCGTGCCGAGTTCAAGACCCAGATTGAAGGTCTCGAGCGGTTCAAGGATGAGATCGTCTCGATCGATGCGCTGCGGGACAGGCTGAGGGTTGAGCAGGAGAAGGTCGCCGACTACGAGAGGAGGATCGACAAAGTCCAGGCGAAGATCGAGAAGCAGAAGGAGATGGAGGTCGGCAAGAAGAGGGTATCCTGTAAGTCGCCGATACTGGATGGCAGGGGAGGGGGGAGTATGCACATTCTAACAGTCTTTGTAGGGAGGATGAGGCTGCTGTGGGGTTTCTCGGCGATGGTTGTGATACTGTGGTTGCTGGCGACGGCGGGCGGTGACTACGAAGACACAGACAATGTGGCCGACGATGAACCCATCAAACTACTACCTCCGGCTCTAAGAGCCGATCGCGAGTTGGAATTTTCACTGGAGTAGTGGTTTCTACATCGAGAGCAACGAAGTGGTTTTTTCTTTTCTTTCCGTTTTTTTTTACCTTTCTCTGGCGAGTAACGATAGTGGGTAGGCGTAGAGTAATTTCATTGGATTTAACCCACCTGGTTCGAGCAGAATATTTATCCTACAGGACTTGAAAGACCTCAGTATACATCATATGCCCCCTACATGCCGTTCCTGCATCATTGCCGGCGCCGCATTTCTCAGATTGCCGAGGTTTAGGGTTCGTTCTTAAGGTTGGAGGTGAAGCTTTCAGGGACTAGGTGACGTTGAGCCGCTTGTCTGCTTAGTTAGTCGCGTCCCCGTTAAACAAACGCGACCAGTAACAACCCAACTTCACCCCACTCTGCGTCTCCAATTCAACTCCGGACTTTCCCATTCAGACGACTCGACCTCTTAATTCACACTTGCGATCACGGTCCGTCTTGACGGCAGCCCTACCACAGCCCTACGCCATGGCTTCTCAGACGGGTGCTAGCACCCCCTCCGGGGGAGCCCACACAGCTGGATCACCTCAACAACTCAACCAGATTGTCATGGAATACCTCTCTAAGAAAGGATACTCCAAAACGGAAGCAATGCTGCGAGTCGAATCCGCACACACCGACGCCGAAGGGCGCCCAATCATCGCGAAACCAGAAGACTATCCGGACGCCATGTACGAGCGAGCTTACTGTCAGTATTGAGCTGTCGCGCAGCTACCGTTGAGTCGTTGGCTAACCTTACATAGCTCACCTTCGCAGGTGGATTGACAATTCTCTCGACATCTACAAGGTACGGGTTGTCCGAGCCTCCTCCTCCTCCTCCTCCTCCTTCCCTGCGAATGCGGGAGCTGATGATGTCCTCAGCCCGACCTCAAGCGTCTCGAATACCCGGTGTTTGTTCACTTCTACCTCACGATGATCTCGCAAGGATTTATGGGACCCGGCAAAACATTCTGGAAAAATCACCATCAAGAACACGAGGCCAATCATGGGCACGACCTGGAGGAGCTCTCGAGGATTGCGCTGCCGGCTCACGTACAGGAGAACACGCTAGCGAGGCTTTACCGCGAGAACAAGTACCGAGTCAAGCTTCCGGTTGCTACGAAAAACCTCCTGCTACACTATCTGGAGGAGACGGGCGAGAGCGGGGGTCAGACTGTTTTGCGTTGTCTGAACCAGTACTTCGAACTCACATCAATACCCGGTAGAACCTCGTTGTTTGATAGAGGCGGAGAGCTACAGGAAGGCGAGGGTATCCAAGGCCACACATCCGGAAGTGGAGACCTGTCGGAGAACCTGCCGGCGGTGAAGCTGGGGCCGCTGCCCATGGACAAGGACGAGATGAAGGAGATCGAGGAGGAATTGAGAGATGAGGATACCAGGATGAGGGATGCTTCCCGGAACGATGAACTCGGTGTTACTGCTGGGTCTTCGCTTGTGGACGAGTTCCAGAAGATCAAGCGTGAAGAGAGCGAGGACAGCCCCATGCGAGAGAGCGTCCCACTTCCGCCATACACGATCGCGGACATCGAGAGAGAGGTTAGATTGGTTCGAGAGAGTCGAGAGGCGATCTCCCTCAGCGGTGGACCAAGCCCGGCTCTGCCCAGTGTATGCATGTACACTTTCCATAATACAAATGACGGGTGAGTCTCGACCCCACAGCCCCTTGACACGGTCACTAACATATCAAGACTTCACTGTCTCGAGTTTTCACAGGACGCGGAGCTGGTGGCTGGTGGGTTTGCCGAGTCATACGTTCGTGTTTGGTCGGTGAAAGGAACCCCGTTGAATTCCATCATTCCCCCGGAAAACCAACCCATTGCGCCCAAATCGCGCAGGCTTATCGGCCATTCGGGACCCATCTTCGGTGTGTCGTTCTCCCCCGACGCAAAGTACCTCCTCTCCTGCTCCGAGGACAAGTCCATACGCCTCTGGTCGATGGACACATACACCGCGCTCGTAGCCTATAAAGGCCATGACGCTCCTGTCTGGGATGTCGCCTTTGGACCGTACGGACACTACTTTGCCACAGCAAGCTATGAGCACACCGCCAGACTGTGGAGTTGCGATCACATATACCCGTTGCGTATCTTCGCTGGACATCTGAGCGATGTCGATTCGGTAACGTGGCATCCAAACTCGAACTACCTATTTACAGGATCCAGTGACAAGACCGCCCGCATGTGGGACATCAATACCGGCAATTCCGTCCGTTTGTTTAGTGGACATGGGGCTCCCATCACGGCACTCGCCGCTTCCCCGGACGGAAAGTACTTTGCCACCGCTGGTGAGGATAGCTTGATCAACATATGGGACATCGCCGCGGGAAAGCGCCTCAAGTCGATGCGTGGTCACGGAAAGACCGGCATCTACAGTCTGTCCTTCTCACAGGAAGGAAATGTGCTGGTTAGCGGAGGGGCGGACATGACTGTCCGTTGCTGGGACGTGCTTCACGGCACCGGTGCATCCACCGCCGATGCCCCGGAACCCATGAACGGATCCGGAACGTCGGGGCCTACTGACGGAACCACGAAGGTGGATGGCACTGGCTCGGGAACCAAGCGCAGAGGCAAGGACGTCGTTGCTACGTATGTTGTCCCCGGCAAGCTTATCTTCTTAGTTACTGACTAATCATACAGGCCCGATCAACTTGCCGTCTGGTACACCAAGAAATCTCCGGTCTATAAGGTACAGTTCACCAAGAAGAACATGGTCCTTGCTGGATCGGCTTTCCTTCCTTAAGCTTGGCTGGTTGGGGAGTTGGGCTTGCACATAACACTTCTTGAAATATCCTACGGCGCAATTTTTCTTTTTTTTCATAGTACCCGGCGCAATTCTACTCTTTCTTCGATTCAGGAATGCGGGAATGCAGAATTTCTGTGTGGTGATGGTGGGTTTCGTATTTCAAATGTGTATCTACGAACTCTTGGTCTCAGAAGGCGGTGACTCGGGCGACTCGGGCGTCGTCTTCCGTGTTCCCAGAACTTCGTCTACAAGACCCATCTCCAATGCACCCTCAGCTGGCATAAAGTGGTCGCGTTCGAGTAATTTTTCTAGTTGAGACACTCCGTAAGCAAAAGAACGCAAGAAGGGGCAATGGCCAAGTACCAATTTCCTCGAGCGTGTGGGGCTTCGTCAAGTGATCGACGTAAATCTGGTTCAACTTCTCGCGCACGCGCAGGATCTCCTTCGCATGAATCGCGATGTCCCTTGATCACTCGTCAGCCTCGTGCCCACGCACCAATCCAAGCGCCAACCTGGCGAGAGAGAGAGAACAGCAACATACGACGCCTGGCCCGCATAACCACCACTCGGCTGATGCAACATGATGCTCGCATGGGGCAGGGCATATCTTTTCCCCCTCGCGCCGGCCGCCAGCAGCAGCGACCCCATCGACGCAGCCTGGCCCACACAGATGGTGCTCACCGGCGAGCGGATGTACTGCATGGTATCGTAGATGGCCAGGCCCGCGGTCACCGAGCCGCCCGGCGAGTTGATGTACATGTTGATCTGCTTGTCGGGCGACTCGCCCTCGAGGAATAGCAGCTGCGCGACGATCGCCGCGCTCAGCCCGTCGTGCACCGGCCCGTTCAGGCAGATGATCCGCTCCTTTAACAGCCGCGAGTAAATGTCGTCTACATAAGAGATGGGGGGGTCAGCGCGTGCGCGGGGAAGGCCGGGGGAAGAGGAAGAGGAAGAGGGGGGGTTATGTACAGGTGTGCCAGCCTCCGGCTACGGATTCGTGTACGAGAGGTGTCGGCACGTACCAATCCCGGCTTTGCGAGGTGGTGGAGAACGCGCGGGAAGAGACGAGGCGTCGGATGTGGCGGACCATTAGGGGGAAGGTAGACATTGAGGGCGTGTCGTAGAGGTGGGGGGGTAGGTACGGGTGTTCTAATGTACAACGGGTGCGGGTATGGTGGTGGTATGTGGGTATGGTGGTGGTATGTGGGTATGATGGTGGTATGCAGGTACTTTGGTGACGTTCTTCGGACCCGGTGGAGGCGGCCGATAGCTTTGAAGAGCTAGAGCATGGTCGCCGAGACATGTCATCCATAGGCGGGGTTCGGCGTTCGGGGGTTCGGCGTTCACGGTCGGGGTTACTTTTGGACCGTGTTGCGCACTTAGGGTGGCGGTGGGTCGGACGGAACTTCGGGATTCGGCCGCCCCAACACACCCGACGGGACTCACGGAGAGTCGGTACTTTAGTGCATTCTATGGTACTGTAACGGCAATCCCGAATATGAGCCGCAGTCCTTGTCCATGGAACAGTCGTGGCACCACGCAGGTCGCACCATAGTAGCTACCTCATACTATCTAAGCAGGCGGTACACTTGTAGCTACCGAATTCCGATACAAGGAAGCATCGTACATACCGTAATTCTTGAGGCATGGTTATCCCCAGAAAGGGATTTGCTGAACCAGCTCAACCGGTGTTCTTGTACCGTATGATACTTGCGTCCGGGTGCTTTCTTCGCTCGGAAGTGGCGGATGGAGGGGCATTTTGACTGGTATTGGGAGATGGTGGCTGGCAACTCAGTCATCGTTACCTTTTGCTGCTCTTCAGACTCTGAGCGGTGGCGGGGCCATAATTCAGTGACCGCGCCTCCAATGTATATAGGATTTGCGCATAGGCCAGAGATCCTATTGCGGGGTGATAGATATCTGCACCCAAGTAAGTAAGTGGGTATGCATAGCACGTAGGTGCTAAGCTGTGGCCTGCAGCACCGGGAAAGCCGAAGCTTTCACTGCGCATGTTGCACAGTTCCGCATTGAAAGTTTCCTCACGCCGATGGAATTTTCACCATTGAAGGGGACGGGTATCCCCACGTAGCTACTAGGAGCCCGTATCGAAGCACAGCCGCATTGGTTTCTCTTCACCGCATTCAGGATCCGTTGTGAAACAATAGGTATGACGGGGAAGTCCTGGGGTACGCGGCTAGATTTAGATATTAGGACACGTCAAGTTCAGGCCGAAATCACATCCCCTCCCATCATCCTCCTCCTCCCTCTTCTCCGTCATCGCCACCACCGCCCCATCATCACCAACACCCACTTTACGCCCTGCCTACGATCGATCTGCCGTCGTCGCGGTAAAACCTATTGAACGAAGCGACCCGCACTGTCTGCAAGGCAATAACGCTGTGCTGATCGGAACGAAACGGCTACCACTCTCACAATGCGGCTGCTGAGGCTGTGCTCGCTGGCAGCAGCAGTACTGCTGCCGGTACGTTGCTACAGGCGTTTCCTCCCATAGCTGTGGATAGCTGACACTACCTGTGCTACCAGAGCGCCCTCGCCGATAAATACTCGGTCCACAAGACAACGTTCCAAAACGTTCCGGCCGCCCTATCCTACTTCGAGGACAGTCCCGTGCTATTGACGTTCGACCCCAAGGGCAGAGATGTATATCGGTCAGAAAATGACGGAAAGGATTGGACGAACATCGACGACGTCAAGGGAAAGGCTGTCGAATTCGTGCAACATCCTTTTGATAAGGATCGTGCCGTGATATTTTCGGACGGGAAAGACCACTGGGCTACGAAGGATAAGGGAAAGACCTGGAAGAAGTTTACGGTGGACCTGCCGGTGTCGATACGCCAGATGCCCCTGGCGTTCAGTGCGGCAAATCCGGACCATGTGCTGTATGCCGGACAGCAATGTGATCCCGACGATATATGGGGGTACAATTGCCCTGACAAGGTGGGCTATCTCCGGTTGGGGGTGCGGGGAATACGGGTTGCTGACCTTGTGCTGTGCAGACCTTCTACTCGAAGGATTGGTTCGGTACCGTGCGGCCCCTAGTCGAAAACACCCATAGTTGTCTGTTTGCGCGCGGGAACAAGCTCTTCACAGAAGGCCCCGAGGACGCGATCTTCTGTATCGTTGACGGGGATGACAAATACCAGGAACACCGCAAACTAATGGTATCCAACAACTTCTTTCAAGATTCAGCCGAGCCGAAATTGGATGGCTACAACAGTGTGAGGGGGCTGGCTGGGCTGGCGTCTGTTTCCAAGTTTATAGTTGCGGCTGTTCGCGGTGCGGGCACGGAGGAGATGGCACTGTATGTTCCATGTGTTGCTCATTCGTATCCTTTCGAAATATTCATGGTGTTTCCAGATACGTATCGAATAACGCGACTACCTGGGACCGTGCCGAGTTCCCACAAGACCACGGCGGGCTCAAAGAAGACGCTTATACCATCCTTGAGTCCACTCCGTACAGCATCCAGGTTGATGTGTTGACCACGAAAGGCACCCAAGCTCCTATTGGAGAGCTGTTCACCAGCAACTCGAATGGCACCTACTTCACCCGTGACCTGGACAACACTAACCGTATCGCCAGAGGCTTGGTTGATTTTGAGCAGATCGAGGGCATCGAGGGCATCGTGCTAGCCAACATCGTCGCGAATGCTGATGAAGTCAAAGCAAGCGGGGCGAAGGAAAAGAAACTGCAGACCAAGATTTCCTTTGACGACGGGAAGTTGGGTACCTGGAAGGCTCTCAAAGCCGACGGCAAGGACCTGCATCTCCACTCGATCACAGAATTGGCCAATGGCGGCCGCGTGTACTCGAGCCGGGCACCCGGCCTCGTGATGGGTGTCGGAAATACCGGTGATTACCTCGACAGCTATGACAACGGTGATCTGTACATCTCCGAGGACGCAGGATTGACCTGGACCAGGACTCGGACCGAGGCTCACAAGTACGAGTTCGGGGGAGCCGGTTCCATCATAGTGGCGGTCTACGATGAGGGATTCACGGACAAGGTCTCATACTCCAAGGACCACGGAAAGACCTGGAAGGATGTAAATCTCGACACTGAGATTCGCGCTCGACTGTTGACTACCACTCCCGACTCTACCAGTCTCAAGTTCATTCTCGCTGGCATCGGTAAGGATAAGAAGGGACACATTTTCGACCTCGACTTCGATGACGTTTTCGACGGGAAGAAGTGTAAGCTCGATAAGGACAATGAGGACAAGAGTGATTACGTGAAATGGTATGCACGGTACGACGACGACGGTAAGCCAGATTGTTTGATGGGGCGGAAGCAATATTTCTGGCGCCGCAAGAAGGATGCCGACTGCAGCGCCGGAGAGCTCTACAAGGAGCCAGCCGCCGAGAGTGAGGTGTGCCAGTGTCAAGACCAGGACTTCGAGTGCGACTTCAATTTTGTCCGCAACGATAAGAAGGAGTGCGTTTTGGCAACCGATGCCAAGTTGCCGATTCCGCCGAATAAGTGCAAGAATCCAAAGGACGAGTACATGGGGCCGAGTGGATACCGTAAGATTCCCGGGAATAGCTGCAAAGACGGTGTTAATAAGGAAGAGCCGATGAAACGCAAGTGTGATGAAGGTAATAGTTGCCCGCTCTTCTCCAGCAGAATGGTTTTCTCACTGTGTCAGCTATTTCCACGCCCTCGACTGGAAAGATTGTGTCCACGTCCCACGAATTCCGTGCAAAGAAGCCCCTCGACTACTTCTATCTCAACAATGCAGAGACCGCGGCCGTCACCGAGGAAGAGGTATGTCATGTATCTTGGGTGGCCATATACCATGTTACAGAGACTGACTGACTGACCCGGCAGACCGTCTTCATGATGACCGACAAGCAAGAAATTTGGGTGTCCCACAACGGCGGTAAGGAGTGGGAGCACGTCCTGAAGGACGCCAAAGTCATCGCCGTATACCCGCACCCGCACGATTGGAAACATGTATATTTCGTCACCAACTCCAAGACGATCCACTATACCACCGATCGCGGACACAGCTTCAGCGAGATGCAAGCCCCAGAACTGCCCAATAGGCAGGGTTTTCCATTCCTGGATTTCCATCCTCTCAAGAATGAATGGTTCATCTGGCACAGCCAGAAGGATTGTTCGGATCCGATGAAATGCCATACGATCGCGTGGTACACCACCTCTGCAGGAGTGGAGTGGCATGTGCTCAAGAGCTACTCCGGAGCCTGCAAGTGGGTGCGTGCCCAGCGCAAGGAGACGCCGGATAAGCTGGTATTCTGCGAGCACGCGGCAAACGAAGACCCCAGGGCAGAGACGATGGAACTTCTTTCGAGCTCTACCTTTTTCGAGGACGAGAAGAAGCACTTTGACCGCATCATTGGATACGCAACTATGCAGGAGTTCATCGTGGTCGCTGGCGTCAAGGACGATAATTCGCTCCAGGCTTCCGCCTCGGTCGATGGCCAGACTTTCGCGGATGCACATTTCCCACATGGGTTTAATGTTCCGCATCAGACAGCCTACACCGTCCTGGACTCGGTCACACATTCCGTGTTCCTCCACGTCACTGTGAACGACCGCAGGGGGTATGAGTACGGCAGCCTGCTGAAGTCGAATTCCAACGGCACGAATTATGTGCTCTCACTCGACGCGGTCAACAGGAATGAGGATGGCTTCGTCGACTTCGAGAGGATGCAAATTCTCGAGGGTATTGCGATCGTGAACCGCGTGGTGAACCACGAGGCTGCGTCCACGGGCGAGAAGAAGAAGCTGCGGAGTATGATCACCCACAACGACGGCGGGAAATGGGACTACATCACCCCTCCAGCCCAAGATTCGGAAAAGAAAGCGTATAAGTGCAGTGGTGGCATCGAGAAATGCTCGCTGAACTTTCATCATTACACTGAGCGATCTGATCCCCGACATACGTTCTCGTCTGGCTCCGCGATTGGACTCATGATGGCTGTTGGTAACGTTGGAGACGAGCTCAAGGGTTTCGCAGACGGAGACACGTTCCTGACGACGGATGGAGGCATCAACTGGGTCGAGGTTCGCAAGGGACAGTATCTGTGGGAGTATGGTGATCAAGGATCCATCATCATCATCGTGGACCGGGCCAAGCCTACCGATATGGTCCTGTACACTTTGGATGAGGGCAAGTCATGGCTGGAGTACAAGTTCAACGAGAAGTTGAAGGTCACCGATATCTCCACCGTTCCTATGGACAACAGCCGGAAGTTCTTGCTGTGGGGGTACAAGGAGGGAGGCGGAGAGAAGTTCTACACGGTCCATCTCGACTTTAGCGGGATTACCGATCAGCAGTGTAAGATATCCCAGCTGCTTGTGGCAATTTTTGGGGTGTACGATGCTAATATAACCCGCAGGCAAGCTGGATGAGACTAAAGACGGAGACGATGGTAACGAAGACTTCTTCCTTTGGTCCCCTCGCGTCAACAAAGATCGCTGTCTCTTCGGCCATGAAGCGCAATACCACCGCAAGCTTGTCGACCACCGCTGCTACATAGGCCGCAAGATCGACCGCTTCCACAAGACGCTCAAGAACTGTACCTGCGTAGCCGAAGACTTCGAATGCGACTTCAACTACGAGCGGAAATCCGACAACACCTGTAAGCTCGTCCAGGGCCTCTCACCCATCGATCACTCCGCCGTCTGCAAGGACCCCAACGTGGACGAGTACTACAAGCCCGGCTACCGTCGTATCCCCGCGTCTACCTGTCAGGGTGGACTCGAGCTAGATAAGCTCGATCCTCAGGCCTGCCCCGGGAAGAAGCTCAAGAGTGGGATGAGTGGGTTCGGTCTCTTCATGGCAGTCATCATCCCCATTGCCGCCGCAGGTGGAATCGGATACTACGTCTGGACTCACATCCTCAATGGCGGCTTCGGTGCTATCAGATTGGGCGAGGACAGCGATAGCCCTCTCGTGCAGTACCCGATCATTGCCATCTCCGCCATCGTCGCGGTGGTTCTGGCGATCCCAACTATCCTCTCGGCACTGGGCGGATGGCTGGCGGGTAAGTTCACACGGACTCACCGGTACACAACGAGGAATTCGTTCGCCAGGGGCGGGGATTACTCAGTTGTCAATAACGACGAGGGCGAGCTGCTGGGTAGTGACGACGATGATGAGGTATAAGCAGCAGGCGATTGTTTCTTCTTTTGTTTATTTTTTATTTTTGGAGTGTACAGAAGCACATGAAGTTAGATGCCGTGAAATCATTGTTTTTCGCTTAAGGCAGTTGGCTACCATCATTGGATCGGAGGGTTTTGTTTTTTGTTTGTGGGCGATATGTATTTCCCGATCATTTGGTTTCGGCTGTAGTGTTTTGGCAATGGTGTAAGTACCTAGCATCTGATGCCTCGATATGTTATTCGAGGGCTCTTTTACTGGTCCTTTATTCTTGATATTCAGGCCTTAAATACGCGGCTTCCCGTCCTAATCGATGCCCGTTCAACGCTACGAGTAGTTCTACACGGTAGGTCTGTTCGCTTTAGTAAGTGATACGGACTTTCCGACCTTGATGGGATAAATGTGTAAGTATGTAAATAGTTGTTCCTGGGACGCGGAGACGGAGGTGAGGTTCATGGAAGGGACGCATGAGATCTGCAATGGTAGTGGGATTGGTTGCCCCGGTCCCTGATGGATTAGATAAGTCGATGGCAGGGAAGTACAGGTACAAGAGGGGGTATTCAATTCTGCTCTTGAAGTTGACTCCACATCAGCGCAAAATGGGTAGGGTCGAGGGTCATTTTTTTAAGATTGCACGCCAGATAATGGACCACTAAGACGTCAGATCGGGCCGGGCACCGCACGCTGTCGGGTGTTCCTGTGGTAACCGGCGAGGCTGACCGAGCTTGTTGACGTTCCGAAACCTCCCCCTAAAGCTCCCTCCTTAACGCGACTTCGCGACTCCTCTCCTGCGAAACCAAACACTACCAACCCACTCAAAACAACATTCCTTGAAATTTACTCCAAAATCCCGTTCGCCGACTATGGAAGCTCTTCTATCCTCTTCGTTTGACCTCGTCTCGTCCTACGACACCCTACATATCCGAAAGGGCCTGCGCTGCCTCGAGGGCTTCCTGGCAAAGATGTGTCTACAGATTCCGGCGCCGCCGGTGCCGCCACCAACGCCGAGGAATGGCGCGAGAAGGGATAGCATCGTTCCGCCGCCTGTTCCCGCTGCGAAACCGAAGGATGCTGCGTTCAGGGAATTTTTGAGGCTGCAGAACGGATTCGAGTGGAACGGTATGAAGCGACCCCTTTGCGACAAACAGCAGGGAATGAAAACTGACAGGTGGATCATAGTCACTATCCGACTCATAGCTTGTTTGGAACGACTACTCGGCAAGGAAAACAGTACGTCGAAGTCCGCACGGCGGTTTTTTTCAGATGCTGATGTGGTGGGGCGCAGACAATCAGAATAACCTCCTGATCCTTGCGTCACTCGACCTCATCCAGGGAATGCTCCTCCTCCACCCCCCGTCGCGCAAGCTCTTCGCGAGAGAGATCCACATGAACGTCATGCTCGACCTTCTGGACGCCGGCAACAGCTGCAACGTCCAGTCTGCCACACTTCTCACGTTGGTGTGCGCTCTGATAGAGCATCCTCAGAACACTAGGGTTCGTGCGCCCCCCACCTCGAAGGATCGCCGACAGATGCGATACTGACCATATCTTCCAGGTATTCGAGGCACTCGATGGTCTGGCTACCGTCACCGCCTTGTTCAAACGTCGCGACACTCCTCGCGAAGTGAAGCTCAAGATACTCGAGTTCCTTTACTTCTATCTCATGGCTGAGACGCCTGCGACCGGTCCTGCGCCGGAGGGAGCTCCTCCGGGAAAGATGGTTCGCATCGACCGGACAACAGAGGAAAAGCAGGCCATGCTCGGTGAGTTCATGAGCAATGTTGATGGACTGGTTGCAGACCTCAAGGAGAGCCAGCCTTTTGGCATGTAGTGTAGAACAGATTAGATGTACGATAAGTGGATGGGATGGTTGTGTTTTGTGTATTGGGTTTCCGAATTATGGCGTTAAACAAGCGGTAGATACTATATTCTACTTTACTCTTAAGTCCAGTCCGTCTCTCTCTCTCTCGTGTGCTCCTCCTCCTCCTCTGTCGCAGCGGGTACTCGTACACATATTCAACAAGCTAATCCATCTTCCAGGACTGCTCACCTGTTCCTCTTTTTGCAGTGGAGGCACCTCCACCGGTCTTGCGCAAAACATTTGGTGAACAATATTCTTCCATCAATGCATCAACACCACCGGCTTTCCCTCCTCCCACGCCGCGACAGCCTCCTTAACGTTCCTCCTGTACCTCAACCTAACGGCCTCTTTCCTCGCCGCCTCCCAATCACCGCCCTCACACGCCTCGCCAACGGCCTTCTCACTCTCGAGCACCCTATCCTTAGCCTCCCTCTCGAGCACCTCCAGATCCTCCCTCTTGCGCGCCTCCTCAATGACCTCATGCGCCTCCAGCACCTCCATAAGCAACTCCTTATCGTCCATTCCCATGCCAGTGTCCTCTGCCACATCCATCCCGTGGAGTGACAGCAGGTATACCGCGCGGCTCAGGGGATCGCGCAGCGTGCTGTACGCGTGGTTGATGTACGACGAGTCGACGTCGTCCGCGGCGGCGGGGGATTGGCGCGAGGACACGTCGGGGTGCGAGATCTGCTGCAGCGTGAAGAACTCGCGCTGCAGCGCCCGCAGGTCGATGTCGAACGGCCCGCGCGGCGGTGCGCCGCAAGGGATGCTGCGCGGGAAGAGCGTGTAGAAGGTTTTTTGCGGGGCGCTGGAGCTGGAACTGGAGCTGTGGCGGATCGCTGTTCGTGAGATATGTAGTGGTGTACCGCACGCAGGTCGAAATAATAGTCGCGGTAATCGTTGTAAGAACTTCATTGTGGGATTAGGCTGTGGTAGGTAGTAGATGCGATCGATTCGCCGGTGAGGTTTTTTCGAGCGTGAAGGGCGGACCAGGGGTCATGACGTATCCCGCAGCGTAGCCGACAGCTTAGTCTACCGGTACTCCGGCCCCTGTCCCTCAGCGGCCAGCCAGCCGTTCACCGCTCGGCACACCTGCGGGCCGACATCCATATCTAGTCCTCAAGCGCGTCTGGTGCAAATGTCCACTCGAGATGTTGAGATTCAAACAAAACATGGCATTGAATAGGACCGTAGAGGCTGCGACCCGTGTCGAGAAAACCAGCCAGTTTAACCACGAGAATATATAGTTAATAGTAGACATTTGCATGACGGTCAAACAATTCCACGGAAACCCTCCCCACCGGCTTCAATATTCATCCCTTCCTTCTAAACTCTCGGTATTCACATCAGACCGCCGCCGCCGCCGTTGTTCGACCACTCCTTTCTTCCTTAGGTATAGCCTATTCTCCACCGTTGCTTTCCATGCCAAACCCGTCCCATAACGGAATGGAATACCCAAGCAACGCACAAAGTAGGATAGAGTAAGGCATGAAGGAACACAGATCCACCACCGGAAATAATGTGCCGTGCCGCGTCGTCATGGGCATGTGCGGTGTGCGCAGCCCACGAGACTAGACAGTATGCAGACCGCGGCGACGCAGAGAAGAAAAAAGGCGGGGGACAGAAACTCCGGCCAAGCCCGCTCGCTGCGTATGGCCGTCCACGGAGTCCATTCGCCGCAACGCTACGAGGATGGGTACATGTGCGCATTTTGCCCAACATTACCATCGATTCAGTAGTGTAGGGGTATCATGGGCGCTTGCCATCCAGCATTCTGCGCCCGACCCGGGTTCAAATCCCGGCTGAATCATTCATTCTTTTGTTCGCTCGACGAAGCGGGGTTATTTTGCTGCTGGCCATGGCGGTGTGCGTGCGAGGGGAGCTCAACGTGACAAGAGTGGTGGTGGTGGTTATGGTGGGGAGCTGCACGCTGGGCGATAACAATGTGTGTGTATAATATACGGCTAAGTGGACAGATAACGGCAAAAGGTACGCCGCCGAGAGGGAGGATATTAAGTACACAAGTCTCTTGTACTATTCATGATGTCGAAATAGCGATCGAGAATGAAGAGCAACAACCCCCGCGAAACGATAGGGTGTGGGGCAACAACCACGCACATGTTTCTTCAATCTTGGGCGCCAGTGTATGAATGGGTACTCCATATCTCAAGCGGTCGGCTTGGAGGATGGATGGATCATGAATGAAGATGGCTGCCCTCCGTATATATAGCTTCTTGGAACAGTATTGATCGTACATAAATGATGTTTCTCGTCTGTAATCGGGGGCGCATCACCTTCAGTATGATGGCTACCGAGTTCGTGTGGTGGATCACAGAAGTCACTCGAGGAAAGACTCTTGTAGGTATTATGAGCCAACCAGCAATCGTTAAGGCAAACTCGCGGGGTGGAAAAGGTTATATAATCTGCCATGATCTATTAAGGTCAAATGCAATAATGATTAAACAAAACAAAATTAAGGTAGACTCGCTACACTTATCTGCATGCGCTCCGGGAGGGGACGGAGGAACGCAGCATCTCGATACACCAACATGTATACCGGTATATCTCGCTGCTAGGTATATCTGATTGCCTGTTCGCCATCCCTCGTTCCTATTAGAGTACCTGGATAAGCGAAGGAATAAGGAACAGAAGAAAACCGCCTTTCATTGTCAACACCTTTCATTCCCATCCAAACAGAAAACGAAAACCTATGAGAAGTACATAGCCTCTGTCGGCCATGATGCGTAATCCGGCAGAAACCCTAAAAAACAATAAGGGTGAAAAAACCCAGGTATGTGCAAAAAACCCATCGTCATCTCCCCCCAATCTGCTCAAGTGGTGGGGAACGATGAAATCGAATGCTGTGTAATTTAGAAGGGCCGCTTATCTCTTCCCAAATGCAGAGTACGAGTATAGGTAGTACGAGTACAAAAGCTTCCCCCCGTTAGTTATCTACCTACCCCCCGTCGGCAATACCAACAATCGTTGATCGCAGACACAACATCGCCTCGCCAAAAATCGTACAATAATGTAGTCAGCCGGAAGGTACTTACATAGAAATCCACCGTGAAGCCTCCGCCGTGACCGAGTACCTACCAGGTACACGTCTCAGCAAAGAACACGGTTCCATCGTCTTCTTTTCGGAAGGAGCGGACGCTGCTATGTAGTCTCCAGAGCTAGGTACTCGAACCGTCGAACGGCGCTGGATATAGTTGGCAGCGGTAGCCCGCTACAAACCCCGCCGCCCGGTGGCATGTGAAATCTGGCCCCTGAACCCTCGCGCCGGTTGACAGCGGCCAGCTCACGTGGGAGTGTTCGGTAGGTAGTGGGGCGTGGGCCCTGGACGGCAGCGGTGGCGGCGACGGGGTTGGAGCGTCGGCCGATGATCGATACGGTACGAGAGGACAACGTTGGCGGAGACGGTGGAGCCGATGCTTGGTCTAACGTGGTAGGAACTGGAATGAACCAGTCTTCGAGTCGGAGTGATTCGGCGTTACTTTACTACTCTCATTGGACGCTCTCCCGACAGTGAACCACGGTCCACGGTAGGTATGTAGAGTAAATCGTCTACATACGGCCGAGTCTGGGGAATGGGATACGGAAGGCCACAAAGAGCATACAGACCGAGTACCCACAAGCTGGGATTGGAGGATCGAAGTTTACGGGCACTTCCACCATATGCGCCCACCACAGAAATCCAATAGATAACCAATACCTACCTGGTAGTAGTCATCCATCGTGGAAGTGTATTGTGTGTGAGTATAGGTGGAATACAATGCCTATGAGCTTACGAACATGCGCCTGAATACCTGTGACACGATTCAGTACTATGAATCATCAGACAACTCAGCTCGTGCGGTCCAACACTTGATTCATGTGTCGAGGTCGAAGTGCTTACGTAACCGATCACCGCTGCGAATCGTCAGTTACGACTTACGACCGATAATGAAAGCCGGATCCGGACGACGGGCTGAAATCATCAACCGGAAGCCGGAGTCTGAGTCCATCATGGATCGGTCCGCCTCAGTGCCTCACCGACCGCCCATTACTCTATTACCCACACCTACCACCATTAATATTACCACTCGATACCCTAAGCCCTAAACCCGCAACGACACTCTGGTTATCTGCCCCGACATAGCATACGATGCAGTGTAACATCACCCCTGTGACTCTGCGAGCAAAAAATCGTTTCCCATTCCGAACAAAACCCCCCCTCCCCCCTCCCCCCTCCCCCCACACCGAGACCACGGAAAAGACGGCCGTGGCAGGCAGGCAGCCAGGTACTCTACTCCTAGTAGTTATCACAGGCTTAGCACCGACCAAGAGATGTCAGGAAGCCCCCGTACGATTCTTCTGTCTCGCACACCCATCGCACCGCACGCTAGTTACGTTAGAGTCCTTATCCGGTAGGTATGTATCTGCTCGAGAATCGAGCATCGCTAGCCGAACCACTGCTTCGGGCAGATGCCAGATGCTAGACAGCGGTGGACAGCCTGCGCGCACGAATGGGAATCTGGGCAGTGGGCGTGGACGACGGGCAGTGGGCGACAGGCGTGGACTGCTAGCGCATCGAGTGATTGCTCAGGTTCCTACGTACGCACATAACCCGGTGCAGAACGTTGATGTACCATAAAGGCTCGGAAGACCTGCCTGCCTACCTGTCTGCCCGCCCGTTTGGTGCGGCGTATATATGGTGTTTGACCGTTGACGGAAACTATGGTACCTGGGACTGTGCCCAAGTCCGCGACGGCGCGGCCTCGCTGGCTGCGATCCGTCGCCGCCGCAGCCCTATCGCACACGCCGTTCGCTCTGAGCCTCTGCGCCCGTGCCGTGCCGTGCCAGAGCGATAAACGCGGCTTTTGAGCCTGGGCACGGGGAGTGCACGGACAGAGTTCGCGGCGTTCGTTCTGGCCGAACTTTACAGAAGAGAATTATCTATGGAGTCGTGAGAGGGAACCGATATTCCGGCTCGGTTTGAACTTTGGCCAGTGCCAAAAAAAAACTCTAATAATAACCCTCCCCCTCCCCCCTTTTTTTCTCCTCTCTTTTCTACTTCGGGATCCGGCTAGTTTTTCTAGAGTAAAATAGCCGGACTAAGCCAGGCGTCGTCCGAGTGATGGCGCAAGATCTAACGCAACGCAGCGCAGAACTATGCCACCTCGCCGAAAATGCCTTGCTTGCCTGCCTGCCTGCCTGCCTGCCAGTCTGCCAGTCTGCGGCGATAGGATAGAGTGGGCCAGCACCAACACCGGCACCAACTCCAAAGATTACGCACCAACACACAGTGCACACATACCGCCCCAGTTTCCGTTGCTTTGCTTGCCTCAAGTCCATTGAAGCGGTAAATGGTAAATGGTAAATGGTAAATAATATACATTTCCGACACTACAAATACCTGTGGATGTCCCCCGAGCTCCGACCGACCGAATTCCCCTTGTTGACCCATTTTTTTTTCTCACGAAACAGGAAACCTTTCAAACACCGGAAGGAAAAAAAAACAGACAAAAAGACCAGGACACAGGATAGAATATTTCGGTTGGAAAGAGAGAAAAAAATACAGTTCCCCATAACACAAAAGTAAAAAAAGAAGCAAAAAACCCCGAGCCCGTAAAGTTGGCACCGACAAAGTAAAATAAAATCATAAGTCCAGGAAGAAAAAGAGGTGGAAATTTGAGTAGAAGAAACAGCCTGCGAACTCTACACGAAAATTTGTGAATGCAGTTACAGACGACAGCGTTAGAGGGGGGGGGGGAGATGGTTAGTAATATTTCGTACTTGTACCGTTCCTATCTCTAAGCTGGACCTGCATCATAATTCGTAGTGGAATTAGGCTCCAACTCGCACTCTCTTGGAACCGTCGAAGGACATCTGTTGGTACTCATAAGCAGTCATGCCCGAGTTCATTTCCAAACTCTCTGAGCCGCGCTTCCTCTTGTTGATGGTGGGCTGGGCAAACTGCTGTTGCTGCTGAGCAAACTGCTGCTGCTGCTCAAACTGCTGCTGTTGCTGCATGAACTGGTTCTGAGGCTGCTGCTGGAGCATCTGGGTAGGCTGCTGAATGCCCATATCCATGTCCATGTTGTCTCCGCTGCTCATCTCCTCTTCAGCCACGACTGGGGCAGCAGAGGCAGTAGTCTGGTAGGGACACCAGACGTTCTTAACGGGGATGTCGTCCTCGTCCATGCCACCGCTCATGTTGAGTAGCTGGATGGGAGTGTCTTCGGTCGCGAAAGAGTAGCCGCGGCTCGGGGTGTCGGCGAAATCCCAATCGCTGTCACGGTCGCCGCAGGCGAAACCGTACGAGGGCTTGGTGCGATGCTTGAGGCTGAGCCAGTTGTCGTGGGAAGCAGAGTAGGCCGACATGATTACGGGTAACTGTGGATTGTTTTCTCGGGAGGACTAGTAGATGGGTTTCAGTGTAGTGATTTTTGGTAGAGGAGAGTTGGTTGATTGGTTGGTTGGTTTGGTAGTGGTAGTAGTGGGAGTGAGAATCGGAGTGGGAGTGGTAGTTGGGAGTGGTAGGGTTGAACGCGTATGAAGCAAGCGTGTTCGTGTTCGTGTGTAGTAGGAGTGGTAGTAGGAGGAAGGGAGGAGGAAAGCCAATGAAGAATGAGACGACGGCAGGTGTGATTGTTTTATAGTTGGGGGAGGAAGTAGATTGTCGTGTAGGGAGTGGACTGTTTTAAGAGAGTTGTGAGAGGAAGGAATGGAAGAGGGAAGGAGTGGGGGGTGTGGAAGAAGGAGTGAGAGAGTGTGAGGGAGCGAGAGTGAGTGAGGAGCGAAAGGCACAGGCAGGCGGCGGAGGAGAGGGCTGTCGGACTCTCTCTGTCGCGGAAGTTGACCAGGCTCCCGAATAGAGTGGAGCGCAGCGGGTTGTGGGTGGGTGGACGCTGATTGGGTGGTTGGGCTGATCTGTCTGGCGGGCTTGGCGTGCAGGTCGGTCTGTTTGGCTGATCGAGCAGTGGCAGGGATTTGGGCTGAGCGGACAAGGGTAGCGACCGATTCCCGATGGGGATTTGGTGTCCCGCCCCGCAGAGCCGCACGGACGGCGGAGACACAAACGGCCATCCTGCCAATGGGCTGGCCAGACGAGAATGTATCGAGATGGAGAGTGCATGCTGCATCATATCATACCAAATTCACCGAGATCGGAATGCTTGTGCTCTATGTATAAATTGCCGGTACACGGCGGTCCGACACTCAAAGGCGGATCACGTGATAGCGGTGGTAGAGTAGATGGCTAGCCCTACTACGTACTAGTACAGACCAATATGCTCTAGCAGGCAAGGGGCGAAGTTGGATCACGTAACCTAACGAGGGCCCCTGGCGATAAGAGAGACGGCCGCGATAGCCGTAACCGTAGCCGTGAACAGGGTGGTCTCAAGAGAGGTGTCAACAGAGCCGTTGCCACGACAACAGACGGGCGGAGCAGGTGGTAGCGAAGGAAGGCGAGCGGAGAAAATCTGCGGGACATCAGCCGCACATCGCATCCGACCGACGGAAGCGAGCAGGAAGGCGAGCGAGCGAGAGTGAGCCCTTCGAATCTCCCCCCTGCCCAGCCGGAACCTTTTATGGTGACATCGATCATGAGGCCACACAGACAATCCTAAGCGGTGTGCTCAGAAATACTCTGTAGTAGCACACACCCTGGACAATGCCATTGTCCCCGCTCCGCCTGCTCAGAAATACCCTAACGCAGCATATCCTCCAGACAAAGCCATCGTCCCCACTCCACTCCACCCTTTCCCGCGGCCCCCCCCATAAAGAAGAAAAAACTCCGAAACGGCGCACGAAACAATCTGCACGCCGGTCACCCCATGACACCATCCGTCAGTCGGCCGGAAAACCCCCTTGCACACATGTGTAAACCCTGCAGCTGCCGGTCGTCTACTAAACCCCAAGCCCTAACTAACTAGTTAACCAACTTCCTCCTCCCTCTCGCAGCATCCATGCAACCGCCCAACTTCCAAGTTCCGAGTGTGGGTGTGGGTGGGCGTCGTGGGTGGATGGGGGTGGATGGGGTGGGCAGTGGAAGGGGGTCGGCTTACGCCGCATCTGAGGCCCAGCCAGAAGCCCAGCCAGAAGTGAAGTGCACAAAGGAGGGAGGTGGGTGGCGAAACTGGTGTTCTTCCAGACTCCAGAGTCTTCTTCTCCTGTATCGGACGAAGCTTGGCCAAAAGGAATCGTTTTTATGTATGTGTGAAATATGTACATGCAAGATTCGAGTGGATCGAAGTTTGTGTCGCAATCTGGCCTCGTCGGGCCGTTAACTCTTTTACTTTTTTTTCTCTGCGGAATTAAGGTGTGTAATTCGAGCAGAAGCAATTCGAACAGAAGCAACTCCAGCAAAGGCTATTCATGTAGAAGCAATTCGAGCAGATGTGTGGAGTAGAACAGCCATCCAGGTACCAGTAGCAGTGAGCACTCTGAGAGCAGAAGTATCTGGTACGGAAGGGGAAGGGCTCACGGCTCGAGTGAGTTCGCATGGAGCCTGATACAATAAATCACTCGCCACAAGATCCCACTAGTAATTTTCACGGCTAAGAAGCAAAGTACAAAAGTGCCATTCAAAACCAAAATCTATTCCATATATTCTCAAATCACAAACGCCAGATCCAACCCACTCAAACACCACCGCTCCAAACAAAGGGCACAAAGGAACGCGCAACACAAGTATCTAGGTAGGTAGAGTCAACTCTAAGCCCCCAGCATGGCCTTTCCAATCTCGGACTGCCAATTCCTGGCACGCTCAAAGCCGTTCGAGTTCGACTGGTAGTCCCGCATCGCCTCGTACACCTCCTCTTCCGACGTGACTACGAACGGGCCGTACTGGACTACCTTGTGGTCGTGGGGCTGGCCGGCAACGATCACTGGGATGAACGTTAGTACTGCTGCCGGAACGCACTCTATGCGGAGTGGAGTGGGGAGTGAGCTTACCAAACCTGGCCTCCTCGGTGGCATTATCAGGCAGCAAAACGTCGATGCCATCGCCATTCTGGTCGAAGACGACATTGTAGTACTGCCCGACCTTCGTCTTCTCACCAAAGACAATATCACTTCCCTTCAGGACATAGACGAAGGTATTCCACCCCTTAGGCAGGGGCTGGCTAAGTTTTCCACCCGGCTGCATGGTGACATCGAGGAGCCACACGGGGGTGTACGCCAGGTCCTTGACGGAGTCGACGCCGTGCGAGTTCCCGCTGATGATCTTGATAGTGACGCGGGCGTCGTCGGTAGTGGTGGTGGGGATCTCGCTGCCCCGCAGGTCGCGGTACCGCGGCTCGCAGTATTTGAGGTTCTTCGGCAGGTCCACCCACAGCTGTAGCCCGACGTTGGGCGAGCCGTCGTCGTTCTTGCCTGGCATCTCCGCGTGCACGATGCCCCGCCCCGCGGTCATGAATTGTAGGTCGCCAGCATAGATCGTGCCCTTGTTGCCCGCGAAGTCTTCGTGGTCCACCGAGCCGTGCAGGAGGTAGGTTATCGTCTCTTGGCCTCTGTTGTATACCCATGTCAGCACCTGTTCGCGGTATCTGTTATCTCGCGCGCAAAAGAGCTTGCGTACCTGTGAGGATGGTCGGGAAAGCCAGCGCCAATTCCCACCGAGAAGTGATCCAGCATAAGGAACGGGCTGAAGTTCCTTAGCTGCGGCACGCCGATAGAACGGCGAACCTTTGCGCCGGCGCCCTCGGACTTCTCGATCGCCTTGAAGGCCTTAACGACTGCTCTTGCGATGGACATTTCTGCGGGGATGTCGAGGACGGGTTTTTGGATTATGTTGGGAGTCGTGGTGGTCGTGGTAGTGGAAATAGTGGTGTTGCCCGGAAAGAAGCTGGTGAGCAAGTACTGGTGGTGGCGAAGGGTGAGCGCAACGAGGATGCTACAGATGAGGACGATGATTGTGGACTTCATTTTCGGATCCGTGGGGGAGAAGCCGGAGGATTTATAGTCAGGGCAAAGGGGAAAAAAAGCGCTGCCTTGGACGCCGGATCTCCACAGCTCTTGCAATAATGGTAATCATTGTTCACCACCACCACGATGGCGGGGGAGCTAGATGACTTTTTGCGGGTGACAATAATGTGTAATGATGGGATAAGCGCGATGGCTGATGGCTTGCGGGGCAGGGAATGTTGGAGCAACACTAATTACAAGGTAATCGTCGGATAAGCGATGACTGACAACGACCAACCACGGCCGGATCTTGTGTCAGCACCTTGCTGCGCTACATACCCGATGTCCGTGTCCGACCGTCTGTCGGAGATGTATCACTCTGTGTCACTCGCTCGCATTGAATCTTGCGTGTGCTAATACTTCCGCTTCCGCTCCACTTCGTCCACTTCCGCTGCGGATTGAAGATTTTTGGAACCGTCTCGAACCCTCGAGTTGTCGGTGGTGGCGGATGGTCAGCGAGTGGAGATGGATGGTTCCCCGAGTCCCGGACCCTCGACACGCCTCAGGGCCCGTTTGGATGGCCTCAGTTTTAGCGAAAACTGTCAGTTTTTCGAGAAACTGAGCAAATGGAACTGAGACCCCGTCTGGATGGCACAAAAACCTTAAAAAAAACTGAAACTGTGCGGCTCCAGCGACGAAACTGGCACTGACCTCGACAGGTCATCTCTTTGCCGCCACTCAGTATCGCATTTTAACTTCAACCATGGACTCCCTTTACGGGGAAGAGACAAAAGCGGGGCCACAATGTGTCCACTATTAAAGTTCTGGTGAAGCCTATTATTCAGACTTATGGCTGAGTAATTTGAGAACTGCCAAACACTCTGTTCACCTCACAGTTCTCCGGAAACTGAAACTGGACAGAATTCGGTGTCCCGTCGAGGAACTGAATTTCGCTCTAAAACTGGAACTGAAAACTAAGACCATCCAAACGGGCCCTAAAGAAACATGGATGCATGGTGTGGTGGGGCAAAAGTTCGAGATCACTGACCACGGCACAGCGAACTTAGAGTCAGACGCGTCTCCAGCCAGCCGGACGACTCACGACTCACGGTCCACGAACGATTCACAACCGCGACTTCCTTCCACGGCGCCACCACGACCACCTGCTATGCGACTGTGACCTCGCACACTGCACTACCACTCGCTAAGTATCCGCTGCAATGTTTATCCTCGTGCGCCCTCCTCCTCTTGCGCTCACCCACAATCCCTGAGACCGCCTAGCTCACTTGCGACCCGCAGAGCTCGTTCGCCGACCTCGTCGTCGTCGACCCCGAGGACTTCAGCAAGCACACGGCCGACGCGCTCGAAGACCAGATCAACGCCAAGTACGCCAACAAGGTCCGTCCCTTGCCCCCGTCCCTCCTCCCCCTCCCCTTCCCGCGCCCCTCCACCGTCACTAACCGTCTCCCATCCACTCCACAGGTAGTCTACAACCTCGGGCTATGCATCTGCCTATTCGACATCCTTCGCGTTTCGGAGGGGCAAATCGGGCACGGCAGCGGCAGCGCGCACGTGAACGTTGAGTTCCGACTAATCGTGTTCCGCCCGTTCAAGGGCGAAGTCCTGACGGGGCGGATATCGTCGAGTTCGCCGCACGGGATCAACGTGCGGACCGACTTCTTCGACGAGATCTTCATTCCGCACGCGTACCTTTTCGAGGGCAGCACCTTCGACGTCAAGGAAAACGTCTGGATCTGGAATAATGACGGCAACGAGTTCTTCATGGATAAGAACGAGACCATAAGATTCCGTGTCGAGGAGGAGGCGTTTGAAGATCAGCTGCCGATACCCCCGCATCTGCAGGATGATCGCATGGAGGTCGAGAGGAAGCCGCCGTATAAGATCATTGTGGGTCGAGTTTTGTCACTTGGATCGTTGCATGGCGATGCTGACTACGGTTCTAGGCTTCCGCGCAGCAGGCAGGAATGGGTTTGGTTGCATGGTGGGCAGAAGAAGGAGATGAAGAAGACGGGGAAGAGGCAGAGTAATAATCTGTGCCCGAATTTAAAAAACAGTTCGCTATTTCTACCCACGCTACAAACGATAATCATGCACTATCTTCTTCCGCCCAGTAGGTAGTATGGTAGAAATCGAGGAGAGAGCTTTTCGAAATCGAAACCAAGCGCCACCATTCGCGCGCAACCATCCAACTCCCCCTAGCTTCCAACCAAAGAAAAAGAAGAAAAAACACAAGAGATAACAATTCCATACAATCGTCATCCTTATTTCGCAAAGTGCAACTCGTAACCGAGCAATTTCCGCGCTACTACCTGCGCCGGGGTCAAGCCGGGAGTGCCGTAGGTGAGGGGTGCGTAGAACACGAATCCTGCGATAACAAGACTGCACACGACAGCGGTGGCGATCCATGCCCCAAGGAGACTCTGCTTACCGGCAGCGACAAAGGTTTTTTTTCCATCCTTGGTGATCTCCTCCTTCTCCAGAGGCTCCGAGCAGAAGATGAACTCAACCAGAGCACCAGTTACAAGCGCCGACGCGAGGTGGGCGGGCAGGTAGTGGTGAAGGAAGAGTTGACGACCCATCAGGAAGAAAGGGAAGTAGTGCGACGCCCAGGCAAGGAAGAAGAACCCGGTGGAATTGTACAGCCTGTTGCGCGTGATGCGGTCCAGAGCATCGATTCCACGACGCTGCGTGATCTGGTCGGCTCCGAAGACACCGGCGAGCACGGCGAGAAGGGCGGACGAGATCCACCAGCCGACTGGGTTTCCGAGGAAGTAGATCTGTTCACGGGTGTCGTTCTTGGTCCAGAAGGACACTCCCCTCAGAAGGAAAGGCCACTGGATTGGCTGGGATGCGTAAGGGTGCGAAGAGGTCAATGCGTTGTTGTGGTGGAACATGGCGCGCTGCAGCTCAAAGTACTTCTTGAAGAAAGACATGTGCTTGACCTGCTTCGCGGACTTCACGTTGCGGGGATCATCCTCAGCCAGCGATGGAATATCCTCAATGTACCAGATGTTGGAGCCCTGCGCAACGTTCTTGTTGCCGTTGATCTCCTGCTGCTTGAAGGCCCATTCTGGCAAAGGCTTGGGATGCGTCCACATCGCTACCTTGCTCGTCTTGTGAAGGAGCTTGAATTGACCGGCCAGAGTCCTCAATTCCTGCTTGGATTTTCCGTGCTCCAGCTTGATCTCGAACAAAGTGTCGTTGTGACGCTCACCGTAGGACTTGTCCAGGGGGACGGTGGTAAACTCCTGGTTGGTGGGGTAGTAAGGCGAGGCGACATCGTGACTGAGGAGGTCGGTATCGGTCATGACGTGGTGGAGCTTGATCACATCCCCGTTCTTCACAGGGCGGTTCACGCGCTGGTCTTCCGGAAAAGCAACGGGCGGCATGATGACCCAGTGGTTGTTGGTGTCGTTGAACGGGTAACCAGTGACTTGCTGACCTGAAGATAAATGTCAGATTGCTGTGGTAATCGGACAAGGGATGGGGCGTAAGCATACCCTGGGAAGAGACTCTTCCGTCCTCGTATCTAAGAGGGTAGTTCTGCGCATGAGAGTGCAGGAATGCCTTGGTGTCCTTGTGGCGGAGCTGGACCGTGTCGTAGTAGTTGACGCCAACACTGCTCAGAGACAAAGCGTTGTCCGACAGGGTCTCCTGGAAGCCGGGGGTCATGAAGTCATCGCCGGGCCCGCTCTTGTACAAGATCGCGAAGTGGACGTAAAACCAGAATAGGTATAGCATGAACGGAACGATGATCAACCCGAAGGCCCTGGCCATGAAGTGCTGGGAAAAGCGCTGAAGTGACAGCCCGCGCTTGACGTCCAACAGATTCCACAGATCGATAGCCACCGCAGCACCAATGGTGACGAAGGTGAAGACACCAACGTACTTGGTGGAGATGACGCAGGAAAGAGCAACTCCGGTGAGGAGCAGCCACTTCCACCACCCATAGCCGAAGGGCTGGTGACGGAGCTTGTAAAAGCGGACATAGGCCAGCAGAGAGCAAGCCATGGAGAGGATCAGGGTCGCATCGAGGAGGATCAAGCGGGTCTGTCCAATGTGGGCATTGTCTATCGGCCGTCAGCTGTTGTTTCGCGTTGCGACGAAACATGGAGTAATACCAAAGAGAACTAGGGAGGCGGCAGTGACCGCGGCAGGCAAGCTGTATCCGCACTCCTGCATGATCAGGAACACCACGGGCACAGTCAAAGAGCCCAACATTGCCGGCATAGCACGGAATGCAACGTAAGGAACACCATTGGCGATGTAGGAATCTCCGATGTTGTCAAACTTGAAGTGACCATCGTAACCAACGAACCAGCCCATGAGGGCGAACAGGAGCTTGCCAAACGGAGGGTGGACATCGAAGAAATAGGTTCCTTCCAGGTACTGTTGTTGGATCAATCAGAGGGGGGTTCCGCGCGCACGGTTCAACTGAACGGGGAGCTTACGTATGATGCGAACTACAACACTTGTTAGCGAACACTGCCAGACGAAACATATGACAATCGGTGGGGCCAAACATACCTTTCCGAAATGGACTTCATCGAAGACAACCTCAGTAGGATGACTGATTTTCCAGAAGCGGGTCACAAAGGCCAGAATGGTAAGGACAGCCAACACTACCTTGTAGCGCCGAGGGAATCCTGTGGGGCGGATGTAGGCGGCCACTACATTCTTCGCTCGGGGAGCTTCCAGCAGGTCGTCCTCCGACCCCGAGCCGAGGCCGGCATCTCTACTGGGAGACTTTCTTCTGGCGCCACGCTGACGGACGCCGGGCGCCACCTCAATCATGCTGGCGGGTACGGGGAGGAGAACAAAGGTAGCTTTGAGAAATGCAGGTACAATGGGTAGAAGCTGCTGCAGCGGGCGGCGGAGGTGGAGGTGGTGGTAGTAGTTGCAACGGATGGAGAGAAGTAGAAGGTGAGAAGACAATGGTGTTGAAATAAAGGGATGGATGTACGTAGAGCAACGGTGGCAGTTGAGGCCCAACTAGGTTTGGGGTCGGCGGGGATCAGCAAAGGAGAGACAAGAAGAAGAATGATGACACAAGGAGAATTAAGGGTGAAGGCTGAAGAAAGAGAACGTGTAAGCTGAGCGCGCGCACACGACGGCGAGTAGGCAACAGAACAGATATGCCTTTCCAAAACACGCGGGCGAGGGCAGCAAGTAATATATCCGAGAGCGTGGGAAGTGAAAGTAGGAGTAGCGGCGGAGCCGGGGTCGCGAAGTCGGGAGCACGATGCAGGTGCAGGGGAGCATCAACTAGAGTGCGGGCGATGGATGGAAGATGGGAGAGATGATGGGAGGAACGTCTTGGATTTGAAGGCGCCAACTGGGTCCCGCCATCTAGAGTCAAGACTTTGATACTATACATACCCGCCGTGACGACTTCTGAACGAACCTACCGTACCCATTGATGGACGCCGTGGATCTGGAAACCAATATCTACATGAATCTACTCCAAGTACCGGTACCTACTCACTCTCCACAGAACTTAGTACCAGGTACCGGTACATACCTGCGCAGTGCTGGCCTTCGGTGGGGCATTCCCCTGTGGACAGCATCCGATCACAACCGGCGCCTTCCATTCGAGGAGAAGGGGGAGGCATCGGCATTGCCACGGGAGCCATTGGGCTAGGTAAGTAAGATCCCCATGATCGATACGGGGAGTTCAGTCTGTCTGACCGCAGTGGGTAGCTTGGAGAGGGAGTGCCTAGTGCTGATGAGGGCCGCAAGAATCCTATCTACAGGTGATAGCCGGTGAAGTATTGTCGGCAGGAGACACAGAGGCCATGATGAATTGGGTTTATGCAGATAAGACCTGGGACCCGGAACGACGACAGGCCGCGCGGCAGGTGGGGGCAGGTGCGGCTCCAGCCAGTCGTCATCTCGGCTACTCCTCCGAATAGAGGTGGAGATGACAGGGCGTTGCTTGCAGAGCATTGATGATTTGCCGGTCCCCGGGGAACATCTTTCATTCACGAAGTTCTCGTGGCCGCTTGACGGGCCCTACCGTTGTTGCTGCCTGATCGGATATCCAGTGGGTACCTGACGCTTGAAGTTGGAACTGTGGGCTTGGTGCGACACGCTTGCGCCCAGCGTAGGAGCGCAATTGTCTGTGCTTGCACCATAGCTTCTAAGAAACGAATCAGCAGAGCCCGAATCTCCGTGTGCGGTTTTCGTCGCTTTGTATCCGAGGCGAACAAGCTGTGGTGCCCTGAACCCTGAAAAACACACGCTCCAACACCCCCCTGCACCTTTCTTTCGCTACCGAAGCTGCGCGGCGCGGCGCCGCGCCCAGTCTCGTGGCTCACAACGGACGTGTTACATACTCACTTACTCACCACCACTACCACGACGACCACCAAACCCCACTCGACCCGCGCTGTCTCTTCCGCCCCCATCACGAATCCGAAAGCACACTCTACCGGCCCAAGATGTCAGGCGTCCACCCCTCACGGAAGGCGTACGTCGAGGACGATGAGGTGTGAACACACAGCTTCTAGTACTTGCGAGCGGGCGAAATACTGATGAACTTTTCGCGTTGCAGGAGGAGATGGTCGACTATGCGAACCTGCCAATCGACCGCGACTACGCGATCCCGTCAACGGCGCGAGCCGGCATAGCGCCCGAGAAGGCGTCCGCAATTCTCTCGCAGATGGACCGGAAGAAGAAGGCGGCGGCGATCGTGGTTCCTACGGATGACGGGCGGGTGCGGGTGCGGTTGCGGGAGATGGGGGAGCCAATCACGCTGTTCGGGGAAGGGCCGGGGGATAGGCGGGATCGCCTCAGGGAACTGCTGTATCTGAAGCAGGAGGGGATTACGGCGGATGGAGAGGACGTCGAAATGGGGGATGGCGACATGATGGAGGGCGACGATGACCATGGCGATGACGACGAGGAGTACTATACCCCCGGAGAGCCCGAATTGCTGGATGCTCGGAGGAAGATCGCGATATTCTCGTTACCACGGGCACGGGAGCGCATCGACAGGCAGAAGGTGGAAGCGGCAATCCCACTGCAGAAGCACATCAAGCATCGGAGGACGATCAAGGAGCATCTGGGTGGCTACCAGGTTTTGGGTTCGCAGATTGCCGGCGATAGGCCCGTGTCGATGGCGAGATTTTCTCCGAACAGCAAACTCATCGCGGCCGGGGCCTGGAGCGGAACGATACGAATGCTCGCGGTGCCGAACCTCGAGGACAAGGGGATGCTCCGTGGACATACCGACAGGGTGGGAGGGATTTCGTGGCATCCGGAGGCTACCATCACCATGTCACCCGATTCGGCGAATTTGGCGTCCGGTGGTGGCGAAGGCAATATTCACCTGTGGTCCTTGAAACAAGATACGCCCATCGCCACACTCTCCGGTCACTCGGCGCGAGTCTGCAGGGTGGAACACCATCCCAACGGTCGATACCTGGGCTCCGCGTCCTTCGATACGACATGGCGACTCTGGGATCTGGAAACCCAGAAGGAGCTGCTGCTGCAGGAAGGTCATTCGAGGGAGGTCTATTCGATAGCATTCCAGGGAGACGGCGCTCTGGTCGCCAGTGGTGGACTCGATTCCATTGGTAGGGTGTGGGATCTACGGACGGGGCGGACAATCATGGTTCTCGACGGCCACATCCGCGAGATCACCGGATTAGCATGGCACCCCGACGGCTACCGTGTGCTGTCGTCGTCGGGCGACGCTTCAGTCAAGGTCTGGGATGTGCGCATGGTGCGGTGCACTGCTACTATCGGTGCGCACAAGAAATTAGTTAGTGACATCCGGTTCTTTGGTGGTAATGGCGCTGGCAGCGGGTTGCCGACGGACATGAAGACGGAGGGGACGTATTTCGTCACCAGCGGCTTCGACGGCGAAGTCAAGATCCACTCCAGCGACGACTGGGCGTCCGTCAAGAGTCTCAGCGCGCACTCCGGAAACGTCACCAGTGTCGACGTCAGCATGGATGGCCGGTTTATCGTCAGCAGCGGACAAGACAGGACCTGTAAACTATGGGCTAGAGAAGATATAGAGCTGTAAATGGCGGACATATGTATGGGGGGTTCGGTGCATGGTCCAACACAGCTTGTTCACATCTCGCTGACAGCGTGAAGAAGAAGAAGAAGAGACGTGACCACTTGCAGTCAACCAAGCTCTTTTTGAGATTATGTCCGAACAAAAAAACAAAAAACCGAAACGTCTAGAGTGTCCTCAGCAGCAGAAAGCAGCAGCAGTGAACCCACAAATACCGACCGCGACCATGCAAAAGTGCTATGATACAAATCAAGAGTTCTACTCCATCTTGTGGATACCACACCACTACTACCAGTGTCATCGCCATCACACGTCCTCGCCCTCTCTTGCCCTCGCCCACGCCCTCACCCGCCCATCACCATTTTAAAGATCGCCTATCCCCAACATCGGCGTCACAACCACGCCTCCATTCAGAGACGCAATGCCATCCTCCTCCTCATCTGCTCGACGGTATTGCCGAGCCTATGCCTCACCAGCCACGTGCTTGAGGAACTTCTCCAAGTCGAACCGCTTATCGTCAGGGTCGGTGATCACTGTGTAGAATCAAGGTTCGCACACACGCACGCACGGGTCAGCCACGATTCTCTTCCCATCCCCATAGGTATATATCAATCGGAAAGAGAGATAGAGATAGCAAGAGATAGAGAGAGGAAACGTACAGTCGCCGGTATCGATCGGCGCCTTGACAGGGTGCTTTCTGGCCCACTCCGCCTTCGCCTGCTTGATCAGGGCGGCCTTATGGTTGTACTCGGCCTGGTCGGCGGCAACAATCGCCGCCGACGACAGCTGGCGCTGGTGGTACAGTCCGTACAGGATTCCGGAGCCGAGTGCGGAGTAGCGCAGGACCTGTGGGACGCCATGACATTTCACGAATCAGCGTTTTTGTTTTTTTGTGTAGGATGTGTATATGTGTATGTGTGTGTGTGAGTGAGGGTGAGTGTGTGTGTATGTGTGTACGTGCGTACGTGCGTGCGGAGCCGGAGGCATTGCCGATACCGACGCGGGCGGAGAGGGGGTGGGAGCGTACGTTGACGGCTTGTGTTGAGAGAACCATTGTGAGAGCGCGCTTGGTGCGTGGGATGGTTCGGGTTCGGGTTGTGTGTTGGAAAGAGTGAGTGAATGTGGTGGAATGGATGGAGGTTTGCAGCGGGCGGGAGCGGAGCGGAGCGGAGGAGGAGGAGGAGGGAGGAGGGGAGGGTTTGAGGTTAGTCCGGTTCGGTAGAGTTGCAATACGCGAAGATGAATTGAAATTTCCCACATCACCGAAACGCTCCGAAGATGTCAGCAGTGAGCGACATGAGCCGCACGACAACAAGACACGTGCGCTAAAAATGCACAGAAATCGATGGCTGTTCGTGGGGGATTATCGACGGAGCTTTGGATTGCATTGCATGGTTGTCGGGGCACTGTTTTCTATGTGCATTGATGTCTTTTTTGCTGGGACAGTTCCTCGGGCGGGGCTGTTTTAGAGTATGTACCAGTACAGCTTGGGGGATCCGGGTGAATTGATGTGCGGGGAGCCCCGCGATGGTGGGGATTGTGGGTATTGTGTCAGTGGAGCGGATTGGAAGGGTCGGTTTGGAGTCCATGTGCCGTGGATATGCCCACAGCTTTTGTGTGCAGCTCGAGTGAAGTGGTACATCCCTAGTATCCAGAGATGTGCTCTACCGTACCTGTCGGCTCCTCCCCCCATCTTACTCCTTCAAGCTAGGAATATCCCACAAGCAACTCAACACCGCACGACGAAACCCGGAACTCCCAGATATATATCCAGTCCGCGACTGCTTGGTTACTGCCGTACGAAGACCGACGCAATACGAGCCGGCCCAGCTCTCCGCAAGCTCTCCGCCGAGTATCAACCTCCACACAGCATACAGCGACATCCAATCCCCCGAGCTCTCCTGAGATGGAGCAACGGAAGGCCGAAATCGCCGCAAAGCGGCAGCGCCTGGCAGAGATTAAGAAAAGGAATGCCGAGCGACAGCTACAGTCAACGACGCGCCGAAGTCAAGATGTGAGCGAGGTACATACATTGAAGATCCATTCCCATCGCATACCATCTCGGCCATGAACCTAACCTCCGTCGTGTCTTCTCCGCCTCTTAGATGTCGGCTCCCATACCGCGTGCGTACAATCGCGAGAGCATCGAGATTCTGGTCAGAGACCTTGTCGGTGACCGTCCGGCGTCGACGGGGCCCAGTACTTTCAAGGGGAGCAGACCAAACTCGGTGCTCTCGGCGGCGGAGAGTAACGCTTCTGAAATCACGTCTCCGATCATTCCTTCGTACGTTCCCGTCCCCATGCTATAAGGGAAGCATTTGATGCTGATCGTTTTCCGGTAGAGGGTTGGGCATGACACCGGAATCGACCACGTTGGGCTTCCAGACAATATCACAGACTCCCGTCACGATCGTGTACGACGCCCCGCCATCCCCGATCCCGGAAATCCTCACGTACAGCAAGGAGGTGCAGACGACGGAGACATGGACGGAGACCGATAATTCCGAGGATGACGCCCTGTTGTCGCCGGAGAAGGAGGAGGAGCTGCGAGAGCGGCTGAGAAGGGAGATTGAGGAGGAGCTACGGCTGCTTCATCTCGAGGAGGCGGACCAGGAAACCATGAAGGGAGATACGGATAAGGGGTTCTTTGCGCGAGAACTGACAGATGAGGAGAAGACGGCGATTACGGCTTCGGAGGACTTTCTGGATTTTATCGAGAGGTCGTCGAAAGTGGTGGAGCGCGCGCTGGATATGGAGTATGATGTTCTGGCGGACTATGGACTCGGTGTCAATGGGGAGGACGATGATCAGACCGGAAGGAGACTGAAGGAGGTCACGCAGTTCTACGACGAGCGATGGTCGAAGAAGCGGATGGTCAGCGATATCAACTTCTCTCCGAAGGTAGTTCCTCAGATTGAGCTGTCAGTTGTGGCTAGTAGCTTACACGGACAAGTTCCCCGAGCTCGTCTTAGCATCTTACACCAAGAACCCTTCGGCACCCCATGATCCAGATGGTTTGGTGCAGGTGTGGAATATGCACCTGCACGACAGGGCTGAATATGTCTTCCATGCCCAGGTAATGACTGCCCCCGTCCATTGGAAATCCTAGTACTCGGTTGCTCACATTTTTTCCAGAGCGATGTCCTTACGGCCAGGTTCTCACCATTCCACCCGAACCTGATTGTCGGTGGAGCCTACAGCGGTCAAGTACTACTCTGGGACACCAGAGCAAAGTCGCAACCCGTTCTGAAAACCCCACTCACCGGATCCGGGCACACACACCCTGTCTACTCGGTCTCCGTAATCGGCACCCAAAACGCCAACAACATCCTCAGCAGCTCCACGGACGGCGTAGTCTGTGGCTGGACTGTAGACATGCTCGCGCAACCCCAAGAGCTCCTCGAACTGATCGCCCCACCCCCCTCCAAAACCGACGACCTCGCGCCCACCTGCATGGCCTTCCCCCACAGCGACCCAACCTACTTCCTCGTGGGCACAGAGGAGGGCACAATCTACCCATGCCATCGCTACGACCGCGCAGGCGCCAAAGCCGGCATCGAACCGCGCATCTCCTACCGCGCGCACGCCGCCCCCGTCATGTCCGTCGACTTCCACCCGGTGCGCGGGCCCGTAGACCTCGGCGACCTGGTTCTCTCCAGCTCGCTGGACTGGAGCGTAAAGCTGTGGAAAGCGCGGCCACCGGCCGCCACCTCCACCACCGCCGCAGGAACCAGCACGTCCGCGCAGCCGATCCTCGAGTTCTCGCGCGAAGACGTCGTCTATGATGCGCGCTGGAGCCCCACGAAACCGGGTGTCTTCGGCCTCGTCGACGGCGCTGGCCAGCTTGAGATCTGGGATATCACTGTTGACACGGAGATCCCGATCGCGAAGGCCACGCCGACGCCGAGGGTCGGCGCTACCCATCTGACCAAGAGCTTGAATAAACTTGCGTGGGAGCAGCATGACGGGAAGAGGGTGGCGGTCGGAGGACTCGATGGAATGGTTACCGTGTTTGATGTCACACTGGATTCCCCGAGGAATGAGGAGTGGGCGAGTGTAAAGAGGCTGGTTAGTCGGGTTGAGGGGACTGCTGCTGCTGCTGCTACGGCGGCGGCGGGGACGAAGTAGGTGTGTTGATATCGTAATAGGAAAACTTAATAGCGCCTGGGAGGCGCGAATGTACTTTGATTCGCTATTTCGAGTGATATAAGATGATAATTACGCTGGTTGGGGAAGCAAACGACTTCATTAACTACATCTCAAACAAGAGGTATCCAAAAGCGCAAGTGATCCCACATTATTATCTAGTCTAACCCACCACTGTACACATCATCACGCCATAGCCAGAAGCCTATCTTCGACGCCATTCAGCACCCACTCATGTTGACCACCCGCAACCTCGAGGTTCTCCACTTCTGCGATGAACATCTTGTTCGGGTCCTGGCCGGGGCCGAAGATACTCGCACCGCCGGTACCGGGACTCATCTGCTGCATCTGGGCGGCCATCTGGTCGGCAGCTACGTGGCGAGCAGTCAGCGTACATGCGGATCGCAGGTGGGGGTTCGAGGGGGGACATACAATTATCGCTGCCCAAGATGTAATTGAACACGGAGCGGAGACCAAACAGGTTGAGGAAGTACCAGGACAGACTGGAGACCCATCTAACGTCGAGGTCTCTCGTGGCGACACCGCTCTGCAGCATGCTCTTGAAGCGGATGGTGAGCGGGAACGGCAGCTTCATGATGACGAAGCCCGAGAAGAAGGCGTTGATCCAGCCCATGATCAACGTCTGCGGCACAATCATGGCCATGTTCCCCTTCAGCATGTTCATCATCTGGTCCATGCCGGCGGGGTCGGTCATGGGGTTCGGGGCGGGCTGGCCGACCGCCCCGGGGTCCTTCAGGTACTCGCCGCGCTTGTAGGCGGCGACGAGGGCGTTCTTACGCGAGACGAAGGACGAGAAGGGGATCTGGTTGAGGTTTTGGCGGAGATTGATGCCGTGGAGGAGGTTGCGTCTGTGCGAAACCGTTGATTAGAGGGGGAGGGATTCGCAGGAAATGGGGGCCGTGTGTGGACATACTGCTCGCGGAGTGCCTTGATGTCTTGCTTCTTCGGATCGGATTGCATGAGCACCGTCGCATAGTGCCGTAACACACCAGTGAGGATCTTTGTAGACCGACAATCAGTCTCTGGGTCGCGGGCACGAATAACGAATGAATGAGGCGGATGGAAGTACCATAACACCGGTGATCGGGAATAGGATCCAGTAGCTGTTCACGCGCTCCATTAGCTTTTCATCCACCCATCTCTGGACTCCTAGGGGAAAACAAACAATAACTGGGGGTCGCGAAGGATCATCTGGTTCTGTACGTCGGCCATGGCTTTTCCGTCGTGGTCGTCGTGAGTTGCGGTGGTTGTAGTTGTGGACGAGCGGACATCTTCACGTCAGGAACGGGCATATGTAATGTGTTATGGCGTTGATCTGGGGTTACACAACTTCATGGTAGTCCTGGCGGTGGGATTACCCGGTGGACATGCAGTCTATCACTCGGTTTCCATGAATCCACTACAGGCATTTTCACACCGTAAACGTGTCAATTTGGAATGATCTACTGTGGAGTTTGCAGATAGGTCGCATGGAATCAATCATTAAGGTTCTGTTTGGATGGCCTCAGTTTTAGCAAAAACTGAGCAAACAAAACTGTAACCCTGTTTGAATCTCACAAAAACTGAGAAGAAAAAACTGAAACTGTGTAGCTCCGGCGACGAAACTGGAACTGACCTCTGGAGGTCAGTTTCTTCACCACCACTCAGTACCACATTTTAACTTCAACCATGGACTCCCCTTCCAGGAAAGAGAAAAAAAAAGCGGGTCTACAGTGTGTACTACTAAAGTTCTGGTGAAGCCTATTATCTAGACTTATGTCTGAGTATACTGGGAACTGCCAAACACTCTGTTCACCTCAAGGTTTTCCGGAAACTGAAACTGAACAGTATTTGGTATCCCGGCGGGGAACTTACTTTGGCTCTAAAACTGGGCTCTAAAACTGGAACTGAAGAATTAGTGCATCCAGACGGGCCCTAAACAAACAAAAGCGTAAACGTGTCATGTATGGACTTGTGCGTTGTAGTAAGCTTCATTTGCATTTCTTTTTCGCCATTTTTGATAGCCAGTCTACATAACCCACGGGAAAGGGAGGAAGGATATCCCACAACCGTACACCAGGATCCGGAATGACCCAACCCATTTAAGGAAAAAGAAAAAAGGAAAAAAAGACTACCAAAAGAAACAAGAAACAGAAAACAAAACGGCAAGCTTAGATTACTCTCAACTGCCGTGCGCCCTTGCTCTGTCCGCTCTTTCCCTTTCTCTTCTTCTTTCCCGACTCGAAGGCCACTGCCGAAGCGTGGTCTCTTCCGAGCTTGTCCAGATCCTTCACCTTGTAGATCCTCACTATCCAGTTCTCGCTGGTGAAGGCCTCATCCAGAGTATTGAGTGTGGGCCCGGTTTCAGGCAGCATTACACCACGAACACGGTCCTGGGCCTTGCCAGCAGGGAAGAGGGCATGGTAGTTGTAGTACGACATTTTGTACCTATCAAAGAACATTAGCATGTATGAGTATGTGGGTGAGATCAGCGGGACTCATACATCAAGCTGTTCTTCATCGTTTCGGTGGCTTGGTCGTCGACCTTGTATTCGCCACGTGGGGTGAAGAAGTCACGCTCCTTGACCTCGTTGGGCCAGACGCCTTCGGCGATACGAATCATCCATAGGAACTGGTGTATTGTTAGTGTGCCTACTTCACGATTTCTAACCAGCAAACGGACTTACCTTGTTGATATCATCACCGGAATATCCGAGCAGACCGCCAAAGATGACGAGAACGTAGTCGACATCGTGCTGACGGAGGATGGGGTAGGAGACCTCCTCACGCGAAGCCATCGCTTTTCCGACAGTTGCAATGTGGGTGTTGTTCCAGGTGTTGTTGTCCACCAAAGTAGCTCTGTCGGCCATTCCGCCGATCTGGTAGCCGTAGTCCCACCAACTCATGATCTTCGCATCGTCGGGAGTGTTTTTCCTTAGCCAGTAGTACGCCTCACGGTAGTCGTCGATGATGTGCTGCGAGCCATCGGGCAAACGAGATGCGAGGACCACGGATGGCGAAGAGTAAGCATTGGAGGTGACCCAAGTACAATGGAGCACGAAAAGGAAGAGGTAGAAAGTGAACGCGCCGACTACAGTGATCTTGGATCCCTGAGAGAAGATTCCAACGATAGATTCACGACTGGCGGTCAAGAGACCGGGCTTCTTATCCCCAGTCTTCGCCTTCTCTTCAGTGGCGATCGCAGCTTCAACTGCGGCAGGCTCAGGCACATCGAAAGTGGTGTAGGTATCCAATATGTTAGACAGGGCAATAGCGGCAGCCACGCAGACAACGGGAGTCAAAGTAAGCATGAGACGGACCATGACACCGGCGAAGTAGCTGGCCATGATGGCGTAGATGATAACGAAAACGTGCTCATCTGCCAGGGTTCTGAAACACATGTATACTCCGGCCGGAAAGAGCCAGATCAGCATCTCCAAGTCGAAGAAGAAGGCAGGCCATGCGGTGGGCTGATGCTCCGAGACGGACGCAATGATAGGAATGTGAATCTTGGCATAGCCGGTATCCCACAGCGAGTAGAAGCGGCCAGACCATGGCGCAATGGTTCCGGAGACGGTCAACAGCACAAGTGCGGCAGAAGATCCGACGAAAGCAATGATGATGAAAGCACGGAGCAGCGACTGGAATTGCTTGGACGGAACCTGGGAGCGGACGTAGTCCACGAAGGCAACAATCTGCAGCAGACCGAAGACACCTAAACACGGAAACATTAGATTAAACTCCCACGGAAAAAATTAACAGGAGGACTACAAACCTAGCGCGGCCATGTGCTCCGACGAGCGGATGGGCAAGAATCCAACGAAGGGAATCTGCATGCTGCCCAATGTGCCGAGAGCATACCAGCTGACATACGAAACGTACAGGCGCGGTGAGTAGCGACCCATCACAATTAGCACGAAGGCGTGCAGAGGAATCATGTTGGTGATGAAGACGTATCCACCCCATGCGGCAACCATGTAGAAGTAGAACAGAGCGCAAAGAGCGCCCCAGTACGCACTTCCAAGCTTGAGCGCCTTGATCCAGAGGTAGAAGGTGAACATGAGAAGGAAAATGGCAATTGCCTCGTTGTCGTAGGAACCAGCCACCGAGCGCGAGATGTAACCAGGTGCAATACCGATAAAGGCAGCAGCGAGCAATCCAGCCGACTCATCCTTCATCTCCTTGGTGAACAAGTACGTAGCTAGTGCAGTCAATCCCGAGAAGGCCGGAGCAAGCAGGACACAGATGTTTCGAATGTCGACCGGGAATGTCAGGAACCGGAGGATGTGGTAAATAACGCCGGAGGTAACCATCAAGCCTGGGTACAGAGTACCACCAGTGACTCGTCCCAGCGGATGCCATGTTCCTATAACCACAATTCAGCTCTTGCGCAATAGGTACCGTCGGAGTGCAGCGGCCCTCACGGTCATCAAACCAATCCCAAAAGTTGTAGAACCCGTTCTTAACGAGGTATTTGGTGGCTCGAAAGTTGAACCATGGATCGACTGTTCGGACCAGCTAGTGAGTTTCCAGGCGCACAGTAGGACTGAGGACCGGAAGTGGGGGAAAACCGTACATTCGTGGATTATGCTCTCGAATCCTGCGCCTGCAAGTTAGCTATGAGTGCTGCTGTCCGCGGCGTGTGGGCCAACGGATTGAGGACCGAACTACGTACGGATCACCGAAAACAGTCGACTTGAGACAGCAGCGCCGGCGATGGTGACGAGGATGACGACTTTCAGCAACGAGCGCAGATTCCTGGCGGACTCGTCCTTGAAGAACGCGTCCATCGACATTTTGGAATGACGAACGGACAGACGGTGGGTAGGGTTGAAGAATTGGAGGGGAGTTGGGAGGTGTTTGGTGATTGAGGTTCAGTTGTCGAGAGTTCGGCACAAGGCCGCGCAATGGAAATAGTGTAGGTAAAGGCGACCCTTGTGGTACGTACAGCAGGTTATGATTGAAGGTGTCCTTTTCGGCGGACCCCTGCAAAGCGGTTGGGCAGCTGCCGGGACCACACGCGCCAGAAGATTAGAGCTTTGCGGCGGCTGAGGGAAAGAGCTGCACACCTTATACTCTACTATGATAGTTATGATAGTGGTACGCTACTCTAGAGTCTACATAGCTTCTCGTGCCGTCGTAACTTACCGTCCTCTGCTTCAACCCCTCCCCCACCATCACGCACGATCCTTCTCCCCCACAACGCCTCCCCCGCCTCCCCGCATCCAAGCATTACCATCTCTCCACACCGGCATTATGGCGCTCGCAACCCCAAGTCTCAGCATGTCCTACTTCAGCGACCTGTGCCAGGCGGACATGCACCCCGCGGTTCTCGTCGACATTTTGTCCGAGCTCGAACACAACGCCCAGATCGACACCAACACGTTGAATCCCGAGACCTTGAAGCTTCTATCGACCTTCTACACCGTCTACCTGTTGTGTTTGGTGCACGATCGTGACCTGTGAGCAGCCTGGCCGCTCGAACGAAGCTCGCTCGCTGCACCGACCGTCGGCTGACCCACCATTGCAGGAACGAAGCACGATTCCTCACCCAGCGTATTCCAACTGCGATCCTAGCCGACGCCCAGCTCTCGAACGCTGTCAGTCTCCTGAGAGCACTGTACACCCGCAACTACCCCGCCGTGTATGTTGCCCTGGAGAGTCCAAAGTGGTCGGATCTTGTTAAGCCGCTTTGCAAGCGTTTTCAGGATGACTTCAGGAAGATGACGTTCCAGCTGCTTTCGAGGGCATACACCTCGATAACCCCGGAATCGGCTGCGTTCTATCTCGGACTTGTGGCAGCGCCGGACGGCGAGATGGTCAAGGCGCTGGTTGCGGGGGGATGGGAATATGACTCTGCGGCGGGCTTGCTGAAGCCTTCGGTCAAATACGAGCGGGACGTGTCGGGGTCGACTCGCAAAGACGAGAGGATTGGAAGACTTACCGCGCTGGTGACCCATCTGGGGGAGGCTTGAAACCCACTCTTTGGTAGGTAGAGGGACACGGCGAGACTAGATCGCATGCTTGGTGGTGGACTTAGCGATCGAGCAATCTTTCTAAAGTAAATTCACATCCATACCCTCCATCAGGCCATATCCATATGTTTCCTGTGCAATGATAGAATGTCTTGCTTGGAGTTGGCGTTTGTGTTGCAATTCTTGGGGGCTTCTGTTTTTGTTTCTTCTTCACGCCCTGTGTATTTGTTAGAAGACATACATACCTCACGCTTGTTCGCATTTTAGGAAATTTGTTGATGTGGAGGCCCTCTATTAATGCCTGGTGATTTTGCTTTGTCCTATTGAGAAACCCGCTGTGAATAAATCTTTTCCAAAGGGAATATCTGCTGCCCGCGGCTACGGCGCCTGTGGCATGTCTCGTGCAACCCCAAGCTCTCGCTTTGTAAAGTTGGCCTTAACCCTTGTTAGCAGTAGCTAGAGTACCACCACTCAGTAGTCCGCAGAGACATACCTTCAATGTGATGGAACCTCCAAACCTCCACACATAACAAAGATGATTATAATATCCTCAGCACTCCTCCTTGCGATTGGACTACTCACACAGACCAGCGTGGGGCTGTTCAGTGTGCACGATGACCTGCTTGCATTTCCCCAGGTAGGTACATACCGGTGGTTGAGAGATGGAGGGCCACGTTTCTGATCGCTCCCGACACACAGTATGAGATACAGTTCCCGGAATCATTCGTTACGCCCGCGGAAGCCGAAGCGATCCTCTCACAGGCGCAGGCACGTACCGGCAGCAGTAATCGCCAACAGCAGCCGCTGGGAGGCGACTCCGACTCCGCCGCTAGCGACGACCTCACCGAGTCCTACGAGCTGATGCGAATGTCCGACCGGTCCTTCCTCTGCGCAATTCCCGTTGTGCGGCCCCCACCGCCCATGAACGCGACGGAGAAGGAGCTCTCCAAGGTCGAGGAAGAGAAGGAGCTTGCGCGCGCTACCACGCGCGGATGGGAATTGCTCTCGGATCTGGAAGGGAAGTGCTTGTACTTTGTGTCGGGGTGGTGGAGTTACTCGTTCTGTCACAACCGTGAGGTCAGACAGTTTCACCAGTTGCCGCCCCAGCAGAATAATCAGTGGCCGCCAACGGAGGACCCCGAGACGCAGTCGTATGTGCTTGGGCAAGCGCCGCAGGATGGCAGCAGGAATCCTGGGGAGGGGACGGAGCTTCAGGCGACCGGGGAGTTGAGGTATCTTGTGCAGAAATTGGGCGGGGGGACGGTTTGTGATCTTACTGGGAAGGAACGGAAGATTGAAGTTCAGGTATCTACTCTTGTCACGATTGTTCGTCTCGCCTGCTGATATTGGTTGCCCAGTTCCACTGCAATTCCCACGGACCCGACCGCATCGACTGGATCAAAGAAGTCTCCATCTGCTGCTACCTGATGGTGATCTACACGCCCCGCCTCTGCAACGATGTCACGTTCCTTCCTCCGCGAGACAACAAAGTCAATGGCATCACCTGCCGTGAACTGCTAAGTCTCGAGCAGCAGGAGGACTTCGTCAAGCGCAAGGTGAAGCAGGAACAGGCCGATGCCCTCAAGATGCTGGAGAATGCCCAGAAGGCTCTGGACGCGGAGAAAATCGTCAAGGACAAGAAACTGGAGGATGTCGTGTTTGTGTATCAGGACGGTCTGTGAAGCGCAGGAAGGTAGATGCAGATGTGCGCTGTATGATATAAGTTGATTTTCATAACGCTTGTTCAAGCCTGCTTGCATGCAGGACAGTGAATTCACTTGATTTTTTACGTACTTCAGACGAACTTCATCCAGTGATGTGCTTGGAATGGCATCGAGATGATCCCGTGACCAATAGTTCCTGCAGACTGCATAAAACCAGAATCCAATCCGCAGAGCAGATGGCGATCTTAACCTCTCTCAATATGCCGCCAAGCACCCACACCAGATCCAAGGTCTAGAATGACATCTTCGTACATTCCGGGGAAGTGGTTCCCGTTAGCTCTAATCGCCCCCACGAAGATCACCACGAGTCACGACGTCGTTGGCGCTACCACTAGGTATACTAACCTTTTAAACCTTCGGCACGCTTTTTATTCCACTTCACCATTGAGTTGTTAACTGAGTTGTTACACAGATTGTTTTCTCCGTCATGATGCGAATACACGCCCAATCCAGCCTGCGTTTCATCTCCCGGCACTGCAGCCGCACCCTCCCCGTCGCTCTTCCCCGGCACCTTTCCACCTCCACGACAGCAGCGCGGACGACGATCCCAATGTCGCTCCCACTCCCGCTCCTCCCACCCACACGCCGTGTGCCACAGCACCACCACCACCTCTCGTCGTTCCTGCGGCGCACATTCGCGACCAAGAAAGGACCGCCGCCGGAGTCCTTCACCTTCTACACGTCCGCCTCCTTCTCGCCAAAGGGAAAAAAGTACGATCCAGAGAAGGAAATCTTCAGCCACGTCAGCGGCTCCCCCGAGTCCACGCCGAACCCGGAGAAGCGCAGGAGTCGCGCCGGTCAGGACGCTTACTTTGTCACCGGACTGGAGCACGCGGAGGGCGATGGTAATGACGCGGTGGCGGTCGGTGTGGTATGCTTGCTTCCTCTGCTGTTGGTGTGGGATCCGTATGGTGGTGGCCCAGGCTGACGTTGGGTACATAGGCTGATGGTGAGCTCAATTGCTGGCTGAGAGGGTGGAGGGGGCGGGGCAGTTGCTGATGCGTGGAGTGTAGGCGTCGGCGGCTACGACAAGATCGGTATCGACTCAGCAATCTTCTCGCAGGCACTGGTTATCAGCATTGCGTCTGCAGCGCAGGCTGCGACGTCGGCGGCGGTGAACCCACGAGATCTGCTGGAGATCGGATACGCGCGCACCCTGGAGGACGACAAGATCAAGGGTGGCGCGGCCACCGCGTGCCTGGGTGTTTTCAAGAAGGATGGGACGTTGAATGTTGCGAAGTAGGTTCCCGACGAAGCTGCGCGGAGAAGAGAGGAGGGGGGAGGGCTAATGTGTTGGATGGATGGATAGTCTGGGAGACTCGGGGTTCGTGATCCTTCGTCAGGGAAAGGTGCACTATGCTTCGCAGCCACAAACCCATGTACGCCCCGCTCCCGCTCCCCTTCCCGTCTGTACATACGCCTACTTACACACACGCCTCCAGGACTTCAACTTCCCGCTCCAGCTCGTGTACATCCCCGCGCACTCGCCCGCGGAAGTTACGCCCAGCGACACCCCCGAGATGTCCACGACCTCGTCGCACCAGTTGCAGGAAGGTGACGTAGTCCTGTTCGCCACCGACGGAGTGTGGGACAACATCTCCGCACAGGAGATCTTGCGCGGCGTGTCGGCAAAGATGCTCGAAACCCACTGCTGGAAGATCCCGGTGGAGGGTGAAGGCATCAAGACCTCGGCGAAGCACCTGACCGCGGCGACGATGACGAAGGAGGATCATGTCCCGCTGCATACCGCCCTGGCTCGGACGGTGATCAGAATGGCGAAGTCCGCGAGCATGAACACCAAGCGTGACGGGCCATTTGCAAAGGAGGTGCAGAGGCTATTCCCCAATGAAAACTACCATGGCGGAAAGGTGGATGATATCACCGTCATTGTCACGGTGGTGAAGAAGAACTATCCGACACCGAAGCTGGCAGCGAATCTCTAGGTAGATTTCTTCCGTGCTACATTTTGTACCTACTTCTTACTCTACTTGCATACCCGGCGGCGTTTGTTAAAGGGAAGGGGGGGTGCTTTGTTTGTCATGTACCCAGTAGTTAGATACAATTCAAGCTATTGTAATACAATACTCATGCACAACCGCGGCAGTGAATATCCCGTTGGCCGGCTACCTCGGGAGATCTCACTTCCGCCAACCACCGCCCGGATGCACGATTGTCCCGAGCGGACCAATCTGGCGGGTCCTGTAGCTCCCGCTCGCTCCCGAATCGGAACGAACCGGCAATGTGTCTCGCTTCATTACCGATGAATGGGAAGGTAAGGTAAGGTGAGGTGAGGTAGGGTAGAGCTTTAGCTCACATCACATCACATCTTCACGTGGAGCACGACAATCGTTTTGGGTTTGAACAATTCCATTTCAATGATTGCCCTTCACCCAGACCCTAGACAATTCCGTTCCAGACCAGCAAGAAAAGAGGAAGAAAACATTTACAACTGGTTGGAAGTGTTGAAGTCCGACAGCCCCTGCTTGACACGGACGGCCATGGTCTTCTCACCCTCGCGAACCCACACTCGCGGGTCGAAGTACTTCTTGTTGGGCTTGTCGTCGCCGTCAGGGTTACCGACCTGCTTCAACACATACTCCTTCTTGTTGAGCATGTAGTCGCGGATACCCTCGAGGTATGCGAACCTTTTGTGGAAGAATTCAGTTAGCGGGGTGGGGGTGAAGGGTGAAGAAGGGGAATGCTTACTGGAGATCAGTGTCCAAGTTAACCTTGACAACACCGTGACCGATGGCAATGTTGAACTCCTCCTTGGTGGATCCGGAACCACCGTGGAAGACGAGGAACAGGGGCTTGTCCTCAGAGCCGTTGATCTTCTCCTTGGTGTAGGCCTGGTGCTTTCCGAGGAGCTCGGGGTGGAGGTGCACGTTTCCGGGCTTGTAGACTCCGTGGACGTTTCCGAACCCGGCGGCAATGGAGAAGTAGGGGGAGACGGAGACGAGAGCATCGTACACTTCGTAGATGTCCTCGGGCTGGGTGTACAGAGCAGAGTTGTCGACACCAGTGTTGTCGACACCATCCTCCTCACCTCCGGTGATTCCGATTTCCTTCACCCCATTAGCCCCACTTCACCCCTCCGCACGTACAGAACACTCACCATCTCCAACCACTGCTTCATGGGTGCTGCGCGCTCCAGGTACTTCTTGGTAATGGCGATGTTCTCCTCCTTCTCCTCCTCGGAGAGATCGATCATGTGGGAAGAGAAGAGAGGCTCTCCGTGCTGCTTGAAGTACTTCTCGTCCTCATCGAGCATACCATCGAGCCAGGGAAGGAGCTTCTTGGCGCAGTGGTCGGTGTGCAGGACCACGGGGATGCCGTAGGCGGGGGCAATGCTGCGGATGTAGTTGGCAGCGGCGATGGCACCGTTAATGGAGGCGAATTGGTCGGTGTTGGAGACGCCCTATGTAGAATATTAGCGACTAGGGAAGTGAGGTAGAGGAGAGAATAGAGTTACCTTTCCGGCGAAGTAGGCGGCACCACCCTGGGAAACCTGCAGGATGATGGGGGCCTTGGAGTCGCGGGCAGCCTCGAGCGCAGCAACGACGGTCGAGGAGGATGTAACGTTCTATTCCCATCAGCGCCGGCCACAAAACCGTGAGAGAGAAGAACAAACGTACGATAGCGGGGATGGCGAACTTGTGCTCGCGGGCGTATTTGAACAGCTACCAGGCCACTCCGTCAGTCTTCATGGACCGGGTGATTGGGGGATGTTGTGTAGATCTACGTTCAGAACATCGTCTCCAACGATGACACCCTTCTTCCGCGACAAGACATCAGTGGCACCCATTTTGATTGTTTGGTGATTTGTCTGGAAATCGCAATCGCAATGTCAGCCCTGTGTCTCCTCGCAGCCCAGCATCTTCGATGAGTGAGAAGACATGCATGCCTGCCCCGCAGCGGGGTCAAGTCAAGTCAAGCATCCACAATCCATCTCATCCGCCCATGCACCAGCACCAACGCAACATTCCCAGATCTCACAGAGTGAAAGCAATCATAACTTACAAGAGGTAGATTTGTTTGTTTGGTGAAGGTATGGAAGTTTGATCGGATCAAGAGGAGAAGAGAAGGAAGAAGAAGGAGAGAGTAGGGTTTTTGAGCGAAATATGAACCCGGTGCGCACTTGGATGACGAAAGCGGAGTGAGCGAGCGAAGGGGGGTGGGAGGGCGGACCTTAGCACTTCTCTCTAGGTGGGGCTGCCTGTCCTTCTTCGCCGGCCTTGCGAATTTCGGCGTGACGAAACGATTGTCTTGTCGACCCGAAGCGCGCCGACCTAGCACCTCGGAAGAAAAAAGGGATTCCCTCCCACCCACACACCACTTCGGCGAGGAACCTTGTGTGTGCGATAGAGGTTTCTCGGAATAAAGCCCGACCCCGCACGCGGTGTGGCGGTAAGATGTCAACCGAACAAGCATACCTGTGTCTTGCGCCGGGGAAACCTACTCTGCAAGAGAAACTGGTTGTCCAATTAGCACCAGTGTGAATGCTTGCTTTTACATATCGGGATTTATACCTACCACGTCCTTCGCCAGTCAAGCTGCACCGTGGAAGATCGTTCGCAGCCATGCCAGGGCGAATCTGTATGTACCGTAGAGTGCCCGGCCCTGATATGTAGTAGTGCCATCTCATATCAACCCCCACGTCTATATAGCCAACCCAGCGAGCCTGCCTTGCCTAGATTGCCGCGTACATAAACACACAGACATCTTCGGCGATGTTCGTGTCCCTGTCCGCCTGTCTCATCTATTCGTGTAGGTGGGGGATGTCGCTATGGGACATCTCGGCCCGGATGCAATCAATAATTAATGCGTTTGTGGAATTTTCTTCTTCGGGCGTCTGAGAGAGTTGGCGAAAAATCTTGCTGGAATTCTCGTACGTACTCTAAACGGTCCTGATTATACCTCTCTACACAGACATCGACATCCCTTTACATCATCGCCACGACGGCACACTAACCACACCACCATCATAACCACGGCCACAAACCCCCCCTCTTCCCCCTCTCCTCTACACCTTAGGAGCATACAGATCGAGAGAGGAAAAGAGGACTGGCAATGGAAAAGACGAGCCAAAAGAAAAGAAACAGAAAGCGGAGAAAAGGGAAAGAGATTAAGAGGGAAAGAGCATAAACATGAAGATCGAAACAACAAAAACGAAGCAGCACGTATCACAGTGCACAGTGCAGGCTAGATCACACATGCCACTTAAACCCAAAAACAAACTGCTATCGTACCCAAAAACCCATCTGTTGGAAATCTGCAGCGGTAAATAAAACACCAGAGATGAGGCTACGAGGATATCGGCGAAATATTGTCGATTAATTAGAGCTGTAGTGCGAACGAAAGAATAAAACCAGAACCAGGGAAAATGCTGAGAACTAGAAACCGAAGGGATTCTCGGGCGCTACACTGGTGTCAGTCAACACGAACGCCAATTCTAGAACATTCCCATCCACCTAGTCAGGGTTCGGGGGAAACACGTACTAGCTTTCGTTAGGTTAGCCCTTCCGGTGGGCTGCGGCGTCATTTTCTTCGGCTGCACTCCAAACCTAACTGGCGGCGGCGGTCCAGTGGGCTGAGGACGTAATGAGGCGGCAGTCTGCTGGGGTATCAACGGCGGGGGCAAAATCCTGTTGACGCCGAGAGCGCCGTTCGACCCTACGCCGCCGTACATCGAGAATGGCGGCAGGGGTTGCTGCCCAGTCATCTGCTGCATTGGCATTCCGGTCATCTGCTGCTGCTGCTGCATCGGCATGCCCGTCATCTGCTGCATCTGTGGCTGCGGGATAGGTTGCATCGGCATTCCAGTCATTTGTACCTGCATCGGCATCGGCGTCTGTTGCTGCATTGGGAACCCCATCTGGCTGTACTGCTGCGGCATCATTCCGGTGTTTTGAAATGACATCTGTGGCATTCCTCCTGGCTGACCTTGGGGATTCATATACGAGAACTGGTTTGGTGCACCAGTGAACGTTGGGGTCAGTGCCTGCGCAGGAGCCGTCATGAATGATTGTGGTGCAGAAAGGGGTCTCGCTGGGGGCGGCGCGATTCCTAAATTGTTCCCAGACATGGTAGGTGCAGCCGGCCGAGCCCGTCCAGCTTGGAAATTGGAAAGTTGGTTGGCGTTTTGCTGTCCGGTAAACATGGGTGGCATCATATTCGAAACCGGCACCGGTGCATTGATCCCGGGTTGCTGGTAAGTTTGGGGAGGAGTAATGACGGTTGGTTGGAGTGGTGGGGTGTCAAGCGACAATGATGCCAATTCGCCCAAAGCACCGGTCAGCGCAGGAGGCTGTGCCGTCGGGGCCGGTTGCTGTGTTTGCTGAGGGGGGGACGGGGACGCAGCAGGAGCAGCAGTCGGTGCCTTGGTCGGTTTCACGGACCAAGCTTCGTCCTCGAACCCGGATTCTGATGTCGCTCCTGGAGGCGAGTTTGATGCCGCACCTTGCGTTTGTGCTTGGGCCTGCATCTTTTCCTTCTGGGTTTGCAGAGCCTTGGGATCCACAGCTCCAGTTTGAACAGCTGGCGGTGGCCTCGTTCGCGATGTCTTCAGGTTGCCGTTGCCATCCGCAAACAGACCACCGGCCCCAGTTCCATCACCGTTACCACCATCCTTCTTTCGACCATATCTCTCATCTAGCTTCTTCCTGATCCTCAAGATATCGCCTTCCTTCACACCCAAGCTTCGCATGACGTCGGAGGTGAGATCCTCCAACGATGACCCATCCAGCTCGTCCTTGATGAAGCTCAATGCGTAGCGCTGGCAATTGTTGACATCCACGCCGCATCCCAGGAAGAAGTCGAACCAATCATAATCAATTTGGTTGTTGGACTTGACTGTAGCAATTGGGTTGGGCCGGACGGCAATACCGGCTTGCTCGTTCTGCGCGTTGTTCCGTCTTTGCTCCTTCATGATCTCCGATAGCGGCTTGTCCTCGTCGAGAGACATCCCGGTTCTGTCTTCGACGTACCTGAGGTCGGTCATAGACATCTTTGACACCGGAACGGCGATCTTGACACCATTGACCTTGTGCAAATGAATCTTGCCATCTCTGCAGCCGAGGAACTGGGCGTCGACCTTGAAAGAGCCGGTGCGATCCGTCCAAGTGCGAATTTGGGAGGTATCGGGCTCTGTAGTATTTTTTGTCAGTAAAGCATCGCTATTGGGCCTTTCTTTGAGATAACGCAAGCGTGAAGGAGGCTGATGAGGCATACTCGATTTCCCCGGCGCCGCAGACTTTCGACTCTGTGAAGGCGCCGCTAAGCTGCTCCTCCTCACCGGAACCCCGGAAACCTTAACTTCACCGGCGCCGCTGCTGCTGCCCTGTGGGATGTGAGGCGATTTGCGTGAGTCGGACCGAACACCGGGTGATTCCTTAATTCCGGAGGTTTGCGATATGTTCTTCCTGCCCCTTTCGACGTAGCTGCTGGGAAGGACACCTTCTTCCCCATTGACTTGGCGCTTAACCAGCCACCACTCGTCGTTGGTGTCATCCAGGATTACAACCTCGTCTCCCGCTGTCACCGACACTTCGTCCTCGCCCTGCGCTGGGAAATCGTAGAGCACAGTTCCGATGTCCTGCGCCTTGGCTCCGTTGACAGCCGCGATAACTTCGTCCAATCCTGCCGCTTTACGGATCCCCCGTAGCTCTCCGAGTGCAGATATTATCTCTTCGGCGACTTGGGTGGATCCGGCATGGAGGTCCAGCGATCTTGAGGGATGCTTGAGGTCGAGGAAAACGTGTTTCCCTTCGTAGTTGTATCCGGTCATGTTGTCGATAGTCCACTCTTCCCTAGGACGGGAGCTCTTGTCGGGCAGCAGAATGATGCGATTCGGACCCAAGCCTAAAGTCGCAGCACGCTTCTTCTTTGAATCCACCTCCATGACAGGGTAGGTCCGAAATCCGGGTGGGATAGGGTGTGATGAGTTGTCTTGGTCACCACCATGGCGGTACGGAGCCTGACCAGGCCTCCTGAGCGGCAAGCCGGGGCCATCGGAATCGTCCGATTCTACAAACTGGGGCGATTTCGGCGATTTGCCGCCGCGATTCGCGGTAGGTCGTGCGGCCGGCCGGCCCTCGTCCCGGCTGTAGCTGGGCTCTGAGCGGTGTTCTCGTTCGCGTTCGCGCTGTTGCTGGCGGGGAGGGGAGGCGGCCCTAGGCGGTTCTTGACGTGGGGACCGAGCAGGCTCGCGGTCCGGGAGAGCTGGCGAAGGGGGTTCGTCGCGAGGAGGCGGTGCATGTCGCTGTACAGGTGACGGACTTTCTGGAATATTTTCCTCTCGCTCTCGCGTGAAGGCAACATGTTTCTTGGAAGTAGCCGCCGCTGCTGCAGCAGCAGCTGCCGTAGCGGTCGCAGCTGCGGCAGCGCCATCATCTGCAGGGCTGGAAGCTTCGTCTCCTTTCTCGACATAATTCGCGGGCACGTATCCGTACTGGCCTTTGAGACCACCGAGCACCCAGTCCGGATCGGACGTGTCGTACACATCCAGGACGTCGTCCTCATTGAAAGCCAGCTCCTCTTCGGTCTGTGGAGTGTAGTCGTACAGTGCTTTGCATTTCGCGATAGGTTCGAACTAGATAGCTCGGAAGTACCGCGTTCCACGTTAGAAACCATCTTTACCGCCAACGCGCTCCGGACATTGTACGGCTGTTGCCTACCTCCTCGATGTAGTTGTTCGGAACGAGCCCAACCGGCTCCTCGTCATCCACTACATTGCCCTTCTTCTTTGCCTTCCACCAGTCATCGTCTGCAGGCTTCTCGAGAACACATATGATGTCTCCTTCGTCGAAGGAGATCTCCTTGTTGTTCTGGGCGGTGTAGCCGTAGACTGCCTTGTAAACACCCAAGAAAAGGGATGGCATCGTTCACTTCCGGGGGAGAGCGAGAGGGGGGTAGGAGGTTGCGGAGCCAAGCGAAGAAGCTGAGGACCGCGATGTTGATGAGGTACTAGTAATAGATGTATAGTTCGAACGATGGGTGGGGTGGGACCCAAGCCGACGGTCGTCTTTCTTGTTGTATGGCGAATCGAAGGGGGGTGGGGAAGGAACGGAGACCGAGAAGGACGGAAGGCGGACTTGACTTGACTTGACGGGGATGCCTTGATGGCTAGCGCCGTGCAGCAAGCAGCTGTTAGGGGGCTAGCTTGATTGGGCCAACCGTGGCACCGGGCCACGAGATGTTTGTGAGAGGACCGAGGAAGAGCTTCAACTTCAATTCGGCCTCCGTTGTTCATTCCCTTTCTACAGAAAGACACTGAACCGCACTCATATTCTCGCCTCTGGTAATTGGACATCTTGCTCCGCCCTGCTCTACTGACAACCGGTTGCCCAGGTCGACGAGACATGCTCGGGGTCTATTCCGCAACTCCGATGTACCCTCAGCCACTTACTGCGTCATCACCGCAGGTGCGAGATCCTGTATATACATATGTGCGTATAGCCTCCTCCAAAATGACCACCAGTGACTGACCTGTGCAAGCAACATAGACCTCCACTCCCGTTGCCGTTGCCGTCTCGGAAAATAAACAGATCGGAGCTCCATGCACGGATCTTTTCTTGGGTCAGCCGGATCTGTTCCTCGAGTCTAGCTAGGTAGTGCTCGGCAGCCTCCTCTCCGCTCCAGCGGTGTGGATAATCCAACTGCTGACAGTTCAGCTTTGGTTTAGGATTACGAGAGAGCTCCGCATTGACCTGTCGAGGTGAAGTGGGCTTTGACTGTGCACTCCCCCCTATGACAGTGATGCCGCGGACAGGTATTCTCCTTACCACGACCTCAATGGGTGCTTGCATCTTCAAGACTCCATTCTCACCGGCCGAGATGCGCTATCATCCGCGGTGAATGCCCAATAGTACCCCCGTCCGATTGCAGAACAGTAATATGGCGGAAGGGAAGGCCGCTCGAGACATCGGTGTCTCGCGCCACATTATGGCCGTTGTTGTTTAGAGTATCGAGAGTCGAGAGCCGAGAGTCGGTCAAAACGTGGCCAGTCGGCGAAACTTCCATGGCTAAATAGACATCTCCAGCAGTACGGGAATGACACTTTCAATCGTCCAGTCATAAATTAATGACCACCACTACCGCCACCTTCCTTCTCGCGAGTGACACTCTAACTGCACATGAGCCGGGCCCGGCTATTCGCAACCACCATCGTCCAGACTCCAACCGGCTTGATTCGATTATCCACCAACGGCCAGGAAGTTGGGCCTCTTCTCCACCTTGTTTTGTTGCACATGACAGAAAGAGGCGTCGTTGCCAACCAGTTGCACGCTGGCTGGTCATGGCCAAACCAGCAAAAAGCAAAAAGCAACACTGCCCACCACACGCCCCCTCTGCGATGCCCTTCCCCACAGTCCTCCTGTTCTTGAAGCTCACGGGCAGCCATTACCGTCACTGCTAGAGCAAATCATAGGCTAGATCCAGTGCAGGCAGGGTGTGGAATATAAAGTAGTGCATGTCCCGGGACATAATACCTAACCTCCCTCCATTCGTCCGTTCCGCTTCCCCGCGGTGTCTTTCTCCACACTCTGTTCAAGAGCCTATATAAACAGAAGGGCCTGGCCTGGCCATCGAGATAGAAATACTCGTCTAGCAACTAAAGTGTGGGGGCCCCAGGATTCGATCGAACTCGATTTCACTCACACCCGGCACATAGACTCGCCCACCATCAACGCTACGCACGTGCAAGCATCAAATTCACGATACAACCCCACCACCACTCACCCCTCACCACCAAACAAAGGACACCACGAACAACACCAAAATGTCCGACTCAATCCACCCGCCGCTCCCCTCCACCCTCCTCCCGCCGCTGCTGGCACACATCCCCAGCACCCTCACCTCACCCACGCCACCGGAGAGCCTATATCCGCTCCTCACGCACCTTCTCCGCAGCCGAGTCAAGCTCCTCAGCAGCCCCAACAACTGGGCCTCGCTGCTGACCTGGAACGCCACGCACGGGGCGGCGCTCGTCTCCCACCTATCGACCCTCGACCTGACCCCCCACCCATCCAGCGGCGAGCTGGAGCTCGGCCACGCCCAGCTCAACGGCATAAAGCGGCTGGACGAGGAAACCCTCAACGCATCGCTGGAACTCGCCGACTGGGGGCTGACAGTGATCTACACATGGTCACCCAACGACCCCGAGGGCGAAGACGATGCGTGGCGGGTGCTAGACGTGCACGCCTCCTCGTGTGCAGAGGACACAGCCTTATGGCACGCCACCGTTGCAGCGGCCGAGGAGGCATTTTCCGCCTCGCGCTCCACCGGCGGCCGGAAGCTCTCTGACGCCACGCCGCTGCTGCCTCAAGAGGCGGCGGCGCAGGGCGAGGAGGAGGAGGACGACGACGACTACTGGGCGATGTACGACCGGTCCTCTGCCGCCACGCCGGCGGCCAAGGAGCTGCCCAACCCGCCGAGCGAGGAGGCGTATTTCAGCCAGTACGACGAGGTCGTCCCCGCGCTGGACTCGAGCATCTACAGCGGCTCGGCGGACAGCGAGGTGCACACGATGGCGACGTCGCCTACGTCCTCGCCTCCGCACGCACCAAGGCCACTGTCGGCGGGGTCGGCGGGGTCGGATGGGAAGCTCGCCGCGAGACTCGAGGAGCAGGCGCAGAACACGGGAATCCAGGTCGAGATCGCGGTAAAACAACATATCTCGACGAGTTTGAAGAGCATGTACCGCCTGGCAAAGCAGGCGGGCATCGGCCGCGAGGAGTTTGCGGGAATTATTAATACCGAGGTGTCGATGCTTAGTATGATGGATGATGACGAGTGATGCCATGTAGTCTGTCTGTTGGTTGTATTTTTATATGTGCGCCTGCCTGCGTCTGCTTGCGTTGGAGTTCTTCATTCACCTGCCTGTTGATTGTCTTTTGGGTTTCATTTGCATTCGGGGGAGTTATCAACATGCTTTTGTATTTCATTCTCTGGATTGGGCTTGTTCTGATGTTCAGCTTCTTGTTTTCTTGCATGCTTGTTAGTCATGGGACCGTTCACTTTTCTACTGTAGCATATCCAATCAGAGTAACCGTGATAAAGTACTATCATTTATTGAACATGACACCCTAGCACACAACCACAAACTCTCCATCGTATACTGCAAATCAATTGGTGCAGAGTCACAGCGCGCCTAATGCTGCTGCTGCTCTGCTGCACGATCCATCTCTTGTACGCTCGATTGACGCTTCATGCTGCTACTGACAATACCCGGCCACACCCTGGGTTCGGAACCCGTGATGTGGACATCCCGATAGGCACCACCATCCTGAGACGAGGCTCCTGCCATGCTGCCATCAGTGTTTTGTCTCAATAATCCACCGGGAGAAATAGTGCCGTGCTCGTGGCCGCTTTCGCCGGCACGTAGTCGGCCGCTGGATGCTTTCACCGGTGCGTTTTGCTGCTGATCTACCAGTGTGCCGGCATAGGTGGCTGCATTGGTCTGCATACTTGTTGCTGGGGAGTGTGAGCGGTGCAGTGGTAGGTCCGACGCTGGTGGAAACTCGGATGATGGCAAAGAGGATGTAGCTTCTGCCGTACCGGTGGCATATCTCTCGATCCTATTCATGAAAGGTCAGCATTCAGGTTGATACGCTGTGGCTTGGGTGGTTATGGCCCTACATCCTCAGCTCCTCCAACAGTGTTTCATGCCTGAAAGCAATCCTGATATTCGGCACATTGGTCTTGTCCATGTTGTTGCCAGCAACACCCGAAAGATGGTAATCATTTCCAAGCCATCTCGCCTTCAGGGCGCCTTCGAAGCCCGACTGTCGGACGCTGTTCATGGCGAGCTCACACATGTCGACGGCACTCAGCTTGTAGATCTGTGCGGCGACCGAGTACTCCTCGATGAGTGGTTCCTTGGTGAAGGCGAATTGGAGCGGATCGTCGGTTGACAGGGAGACGTTCAATCCTCGTTTGAAATAGGTCTGGAACGGGTTTTTGTCGTAGGCCAGGAAGAGCGCGTTGTTGGACAGTGGTGACATTGCAATTCCGATCTGATCGAGGTAGAAGATGTACTGCAGCAAGGGAACCTTACGCAGCAGGATACCGTGACTGATGGAATGACAGCAAAGTACCGCCGCTGCAAGGTGGTCGGTGTCACCGGCCTCTCCACAGTGCGGTCGGAGGACAAAGGTATTGAATCCACGCTGTTTGCGCCAAACGTTCAACGACGCCATGTTCGCAAACAGATAGTAGACCCAGTAGCTGTATGGAGGGTTGGACTTGAAGTTCCAGTCCGCAGGTGTTGGGAACTTCTTGAACGTCCGGCGCTCAGGCTTGCTTTCGTCGTCCACGCTGTCGAATCCAATGACACGTTGGAGGAATATGTGAAGCTTTGGATGACTAGCTGGGTCTTTGGTAACCTCGAACAATGGATTGAAGATGTTCCTGATGAGCTGTTCGAACGATGTGATAAGATTCGTTGACTTGTAAACATCATAAAGCCGGGGAATCTGGATCAGCCATCGCACGTTATGGGTGAACAGCTTGTTGTCGACCACCCACGCGGCGAGTTTGTCCCATTCGTCCTCGGAGCGTCCGTAGATGGAGATACGGTACTCGGCCATTTGGTATTTACTAGCCTCCAGATCGGCGAAGACCTCTGTTGTCGCGCATGATCAGTTGCTTGTGCCTCCATTATCGGAAACGTTGCTCCTACCCTTAGTAATATCCGCAAGATATCGGCCTTTGACATAATTATCCGTCTTAAGGAAGATAGTTCGCAACCGAGACTCTCCCACGGGGTTGTATTTGAGATTGAACTTGTCGAAACGGTGGAAGGAGTCCGTATGGGCCTGGAAGTTCCAAACATTAGAATCACAACTCTGGAGCTAAAGGCTAGCAATAGACTCACATGCATATCGAGTGTATCGATACTCAAATCGTACGCTGTGAGATTGATACTGGCAAAAACCTCCGCCAGGGTCAAGTGCTTGCCGTCCCTATACAGCACCACTTCATCTGGGAACTTCTTCATCTTGCTCTTGATGAAGCGTAGCAGATGCTTCTGATTCATGCAAGCGGAATGGTGAACGTGAGTATCCACCTTTCGCACGTTGTAGAAATCACGATGGGGCACTCTCTGGTAATCGTCAGTGTTAGTGACTTCGGGCACTGGTCATCTATCCCCATACCTTTGAGTCCGCCATCTCTTGATGCTCATTGAGCAACGAGTACAGGTTCCATCGGCCCTCCAGGTACTGCAACCGTCTGAACGCAAAGCTCTTGCTCGGACCATCACTCGAGATTTCCAGTACGGTATCCAGGTCCATGTAGTATTCCCGTATAGCAGGAATAGTGACGATCGGCATATCAGTATCCAGCGCTACACGGAAAGAAAAGGAGTCAGATCCTCTGAAGTCAGGATTAAGCGGACAGTACATGCCTTTCTTATTCTCATAGACCTGATAAACGCCCTTGTCGTCTAAACGGAAAACCATCTCATCCTCCCCAGGTATTTCGACTTCATCGTAGATGAAATCTTCGCCGATGTCTTCGCCTGGTTTTCTGTACTTATTTTCCCTGGGGTTTTCACTTCCCGCCCAAAACGACTTTTCAGCGGCAGTAGGATCGATGCTGTCGGCAGGACCCTGAAGACCGACGGATTTGGCGGGATCTTCCACCCAGACGGGAGGTGGGGGAGGTGGGTAGATCTTCCAGCTGGGGTCATCGTTGGGATTGTCGCTGCCACCTTGCAAGGAGACCCGCAAGTATTTGTGTCGAAGATCGAGGACTTTCTGAACATTGGTGTAGATGACAGACAGCTCTGCGGACAAGGTTGGGTCACCTACAAGAGCTGGTAAGCACAGCTATAACAATGGATTTATACATGGGAACTTGCTGCCTGCATATCCACCGCGAGGATCAACCGGTACGGCGGCATTTCCGGATGATGCATTGAACTGCGGAAGTGCGCCGCCGCCAGAGGCGGATTCCAGAATGCCATGGGGGTCAAATCGACCCATTCCGGGCCCTTGGACTTGGCTATCTTCACGAGGCTTGTCGAAAGATGCCAGCCCGATCGCCGTGATTCCTGGTGTCTGGCTTCTGGATCCTACGGGAGCACCGAATGAAAACTGCTGCAACGATGGGCTCTGGTGAGGATTATGGTGGTGGTGTGAAGAAGTGAAGGACTTGACGCTTCCGGTTTTACTGCGACCTCCTGTGGGGCCACCCCAGGTAGAAGAACGCAGGACGGGAGAGTTCCATCCGCTCTGACCTACCCCTTGGCTATGCTGCTGTTGCTGCTGCTGTTGCTGGAAGAATAGCTTTGCGTCGGTTTGCCGCAGCGTCTTCTCCTGTTTGTAGTCGTAGAATGCAGACTTCCTCTCGCCATCGACGCCGCCGCCCATGTCGCCCGCATGACCTGTCTCGGGAGAGGACGACAGCTGACTATCGTCGTTGAGGTTATAGAAGTCACTTTCGTCGGGTCCTGCACTGGAAGGTGCCCGACTGTGGTCGAGGTGGGACCCTGCAGCGTCGATGTCCATTGCAAACGACGGGTATAACGAGGAAGGTCCGAATCGGACTCGAAGAAGCTTGTTGGATGTGAGATAGCACGATGGGGCTGGTTTCTTCAACTAATTGTTTGAGACAGCAAAAGTTGGACGGATGAAGAGGTGAATGATGTGGTTCGAGGACTCGGTATGCTTTCTATTGAAGTGCCCTCTGACGTAGCACAAAGTCACATGGTGAGGGGTTCGGCGACCCCCGCCGCTCACATTAATCGGGGCGAGCCCGTCGGCAAGGGAGGTCTAGAGCTAACTACGGCCGAGTATCTGAGACGAATTAGATGGCGATGCCACGGATTCGGTGCGTTTTGGGTCTTTGCGATTGCACTCGTTGTGGTGAGACGGTCCACTGCTCCAGATCCCCAAGTGGCCCCTTCTATGGACGGATACGGTATCAACGCGAGGATTGTTGTGAAGCTCTTTGAAGGTTTCATGGAGCTCGACACAATCTCGCCATTCAATGGTGCGGGGCCCCGCAAGCTAGGCCTGCGGCTCAATTCCGGAATGACGCTTCGAGGGCCTGCGACCGTCTCGACTCTCGACGTAAACACTCTTGGTCACAGGTATCTGGCCCTTCGGTCCAGAGGCCGAGACCGAGGACAGACACCGGCCCCCGAGTACACCGCCACGTAACTAATTTGATTCCTAGATTGACAACATCAACCCTGCTAAGAAGCTGCCATTGACGGTTCATTGTGGCGCCCAGAACTCTCAGAGACTTTCTACGGTATCTTTCAACATTCTCGTCGGCCTGTTGAGGGAGATTAGAAGCAGAGCGTTATTCGGACGGAATTGCATCCTACGATATCGCCATCTTTGCATAGGAGACGCCAAGTGGATCATGCCGGTCACGATTCACGAATCACCAGGACTCGGATCGTACATTAAATCTAATTTTAACTACCGTGCCTCTCGAATCTTTCCTCCGACCCCTCTCGAGTTATCCAAAATCGCCAAATACTCGGGCGTGACCACTCCGCAAATGGTGATCCAACTTTCAATGGCCCTCTTGGGGTCCTGGCTGGGTTGAGTGGTTGAGCCTAAAGCCAACGTGACGTCCCTGCGTCATACAATTGCACCACGAAAATCTCCAGCTAACCCTCACTCGCCATGGCCGAAACATCGTCTTCCGCGGGCACCAGCGAAACAACACAACCACAGGAACAGGGCGAAGAGCTGATATCGCAATGCGTTTCCCTTCTCTCCAAAAATGACGATACCTCGCGTTTCGTTGGACTGGCTATGGTGCTGTCGATCAGCAACCATGTCGTCGACCCCACCAGCGTGTTCCAACGCTGCGCTGCGGCCCTGAAGCCGACGTTTCTCGATCGGCTGTTGAAAGCTGGTAAGGGCATAATATTGCACGGTGGACGGAGAAGTTGATGCTGATGGGGGAACTCCAGGCACCACGAAACAGAAGTCTCCCGAGGAGGCGACACAGATGGTGGAGCTCGCGGTCAATATCATCAACGCCTTCGCCACGTCTCTACCAGATGCTGGGAACAATCCGTTCCTGGTGGACCGGACACCAGCGCTGATAGCGGTTATTCCTGAAAGGTGTGTGCCTTCCCGGGAATGCGACGACGGCGATGGCGATGGCAACTAATGTGTTCCAGCTCGGCGATGACGGTAGCTACAATCCTACAGATCCTCATCGTGTTTGCGTCAGGGTCACTAGGTGCACGGAAGATTGTTGAAACTGAAGACTTTGGGCCTATTGTAGATGCGCTGGCAGCAAACGACAATGCGAATCTGGTTTTGCAGCATGCTTTCACGAGTGATCTGGGCGAGGCGGAGCTCGTCAGGCCCTGCCTGAAACGCTTGCTGTCATCGTTGGGTAACAAAGTAGGCGTCTGTGAGCGTGAGACCAGACTCGCGATCCTTTCGCTCCTCGGTGAGCTGTTGACGAGGGTACCCTCTCAGGTATGTAGTCGATTCTTTCCACCGGATAGTCTGATAGTCAATCCCACTGACATCCCCAGTTCATTCCCGCAGACCCAGAATGGGTCGAGCCCTTCTACGCCGCCTTCAGGGCGATCTTCAGCTCCGGGCCATCCTCGGAGGAGCGCCGTCACTGCATCATAATCATCGCCAGTTTCCTACACTCCTACGCACCCTCGCAGTTCTTCCAACGCTTCTCCACCCCCACCACCGACGGCCCCTCCTCCAACACGCCGCCATACCTCTACCTCCTCCTACAAATAATCACCATCGACATCCGGGCCTCCTTCCCCTCGCTCCTCGCGCATCTTGCACTACCCTCGTACGCCTCGACCTCGCAGCGGCTCGCCTGCAATTTCGACATCCTCTCTGTCTTCCTGAACTTCCTCGCTACAGCTAGCGACTTCTCGCAAATCGGCATCTCCCCGGACCACCTCCTCAAGCTGCGCACCGACATCTCCGAGACCTTCGGACTAACCCTCGAATTCCTGCGCGACCGCTGGGACGCCGTGTACACGGGCGCAGCGTACTTCGAGCCCGGCTTCGAGCCCGCCGACCAGCCAAAGCAGCTGACATGGGACAGCACGCTGCTTGGCGGTCCCGAGCGCGACGCGCTGATCATTGGCGCGGTACGCGCTCTCGCGTTCTGGCTGCGCGAGGACGAGAGCCTGCGTGAGGAGGCCGGCGGGATGGTGGATGTGTTCCTGGGCCTGTGGACGCGGGGCCAGGAAGCGGGCGTGGACTACCGCCCCTGGGTCGTCACGGCGCTCCACGGCGTCATGGAGGAGAAACATGGCCGCGAGGTGTTTGTGCAGCTCCGGGCGTGGAGAACGGTCTGGGAGGACTTGAGGGCGAACTGCGATGATGACTTGGAGGGCCAGCTGGCCCTCGAGGAGGCGAGGCTTCTGGAGACGTTTGTGCAGGCGGAGGAGTTTGCTGACGAGGTCTGGGCAAGGGAGTTGGTCGCGTTTGTGGAGGAGACTACGGCTTCTTGGGGAAGAGATAAGTTGGAGCTGGCGGTGGTGCTGTTTAGTTTGGCGAGCGAGTGTGTACTCGCCACGCTGGGCCCGTCGGGCCGGTTCCTGCAGAAGGAGGTGGAACAGCTGCGGACGGTGTATTCGCGCCTTGTGGCGCTGGTACCGCCCGAATATGGTGATGAGGTGAAGGAACTGGTCGAGACACTGGAGAATCTCATGACCATTCTCGCGGTCTATAGATAGCCAATGTCACTTCATTCTGGACTTGCGTGAGATGAGAACAAATAAGTGCCTCTTTTACTTCGTCTATTATGAATTCCTCCATCCAGTATGTATGTAGAAATCACCACTTGGGATACTCAAACACCTTGACAAACTCGTCAATGACAGCAGGAGTGCCCGAACAATCACTCATCTCGCTCTTGACCTTTGCCTCCGGAAGCCTGCATTGATCGATCGGTCAGCAACTCTGCCGGCCCCCACCCCCACCCAACGAGGTTATGTAATACGTACCATTGCTGAATGTTTTGGATCCGTTTGACGTTCTATATACATGCATATATCAGTTTCAACCCTGAGGATGGGGGAGATCGGATTTGCGGGGTACGTACAGAAGGGTGAGTGCTCAGAAACTGAGGCATGGAAAATTCCTCGGCAGCTTCCTGTAGGAGGAGAGCGTGGTTAATAGATTTCCATCCGCATACTCATGACGAGGCTTACCATGCGCTCCCATAGCGTCACCGCTTTCTCGGGTCGATACTGTTGATCGATGGCATTTCATTTCAGTGGAACTGTTCACAGGTTCACAGAGGGAGGGGGGGCAACATACGCAAGCCTGCGCCATCATCATGAGGCCGATATAATCCGCCTACGCTCACGGTTTCGGTTTCAGTCAACCCATCCCCCGATCCCCCCATTCTTCACTCACTCGGAAGTCACGAAACCTACCTCCGCCTCTTGCTTCCTAGACCCCGGCCGTAGGTACACCAGATCGATCAGGATCCTGCCCATCCGGCCGACCATGTCCGGGTCTCCAATTGCTATGCCCGCCACCAGCACCGCAGCCAGCGCAATAAACGATTTGCTCAGGCGCTCGGCGGCGTGGTGCGCTACTGTGTGGGCTATCTCGTGGGACTGAGCTGGTTAGATGCTGAAAAATATACGAAGAGAGAGTATGTATGTACCATCACGGCTGCTAGACCGTCGTCGTCGCCGCATATAGGGAGGATTCCGCTGGTGGGTGTCTAAGTACATAAAACATCCACGACCTCACGGCAAGACCATACCTGAAAACGAAGACCTTTCCTCTATCCAATCCAGTCCGAGTCAGAGAGCGTGCGAAAAAATACTTCCAGCCAGACTGCAGGGCTTACCCAGGAATTACAAAAGCATTTTTCATGGAGTCGTCCTTGATCACGAAGACCTCCCATTCGAGATCCTGCAGGCCCGACGCCGGTATCAAGCTTTGACGGTCCAGCGTCAGCATCAGCGCAACCCCCCAACCAACAACTCCAACCACACCCCGAGAAAAACCTACCGATCCAGAATCTTCCTCACCCTCCTCGTGAGATGATGATTCGTTGGCAATATTCGTCCCTCAAACTGCGCAATAGTCTCCTCATACCTATCCCGCGCGGGCCCCGTGTGGTTAACCCCAATCCCACCAGCACCCCTCCACCCCTCCGCCCACGGGCACTCACATCTGCACAGCCATCTTCGCCTCATTCTCGACACTGACGATATTGAACCGTCTCCTTCCAGACACGGGGACAACCTCGGTATTGTAAGCGTAGAAGGTGACGCCGCCGACTGCTGTGCCGCCAGCTATCTTCCTGCAGAGTACTCCACGTTATCATCCCCAATCCCCAATCATCGAGCAGAGAGTAGAGAGCTGAGAGTACTAACCTAAACCGCGGACTCTCCCACATCTCGCCAAGGGTTGGGCGGCGGTTGAAGCGCTGGTAGTTATTACTGCCGCCGCGGGGCGGGCCAAAGCGGACGTAGGCGCTCCGGCTTTGGAATGGCGTCGAAGGAGCCGGAGAGATCCGGCATCGCAGCGGGGAGAGCTTGAGGGTGCGCGAGAACATAGTGATACGGTACCTAGCTCGGGCTATGGGGCCAAGGTGGTTAGCTGAAGCTGAAGCTGTGCGTGTGCGTGGTGATTATAGGTTTCACCTCAGATGGTAGGTACGGTAGGTATGGTAATGGTATGGTGTTCACTAGTAGAGAGCGCGGCGTTGCGCGCATGGGCCGGCCGGTGGAACACTAATCCGACGGCGACGGACGTCACACCTTAGTTACCGACGGTACGGTATCCGGCAGAGAGATTCACGACTATGCCACCCAAGGCTAAGATCGCATACGGAAGCGAAGATTTATGTACCTCGCGAGACGCCCGATCTACATAGCACTCGCAAATCGGCGTGCGAGAGAGATGGCGAGATCTCGCTATGTAGTTGCATACTGCCGGTGACGTCCCGGAACCTGAGGGTAATTGGGAATCGGGATTGGATGACTTCACGGGTACGTCAAATTAGAGTGTAGCCGTCCCGGGTCCGCCACTGGCCAGTCGGGAGCCTTCCACTGGCAACTCACCGGGCCGGCGTCTACTGTCGAAGCTAAGCACGTAGCACGTGAGGTTAAGCGGAAGGGAGCTCAAGCAGTGCACACATCACTTCCGATTACCGTATCTTCCACTCGGAATGCACACTTACATACAAGGACACTCGCGGTAACGGTACCTACCTGGCCCAATTCAACGGGCCCACGGGTTTGGACTCATTACCGTAGATGAGTATCTCCACCACCCATCCATCCATCCACCCGTGGTAATATAATTTCTGACATGAGAGGCAGCCGCCTCACCTAAAAGAGCCTCTTAGATGAAGATACCCAACGAAACGCAAGGATATGGGCAAGTCCCGGCCCGACAACTCACGAGCACAGGAATGGAATCGGCCGTGCCGTAGACCCGGGCTCGGGCGGAACAAGGTTGAGTAAGTTGCATTGCAGTACCTACTGCACCGTACCTTGCATCGAGCTCAGAGGAATTGATAGTACTTCTGCTACCGTACATACCGAGGATTAAGGTGGTATGATAATATGCCCGGTGGAGATGGTCGGGACTCGGTTGCCAGGTGTATGTACGGGAAACCAACTCGGCCTATCATATGCAACATGCACAACATACACTCACATTCACATACCCGTTTTCAAGAGACCAGTCCGAGCAAGTCATGTACCGTATAACGTTTACCTCCTCCACCTCCACCTCCACCGCCGCCCATCATTTTCCCTACATAGAAGAAGAAGTACCGGTACCTACTACCTACTCGTACAGTGAGCTCGTTCAGTGAGCCCAAGTTTCCAACTAAGTTCCAACCAAGAAAGTCCCCCAAAAAATAATAATTGTACAACGGCCACTGCAGCTGCTACCGACTCCGAAGCCGAGTAAGAATAAGAAGAAGAATGTGAAGCAGAAAAAAAAAGAAAAAAGAAAAGGGTATGGCACACCCATAGACAGACAGGCATTAACAACATCTGTATGCAGGTGATCACAAAGCAGCTGACCGACCAATAAAACTCGACAAATTTCCCTAAAACAACACCCTAAAACCAAAAACTAATGAGAAAGAAAGAAAGAAAAGATCAAAAAGCTTGTAACCGAAAGGAAAAGAAAAAAAATGGCCCCCACAACGACTCCTTCCGTTTCGAATAGACAAATAAACACAGTACATAGACAAAGTAGACAGTAGAGAAAGAGGGCAAAGTAGAAAAAGTGGATGATGGTCAAGACATGACCTTGTCTGCTGATGATGATCAATCAGTCCTCTTCTGCGAGCGACTCTTCAACGTCTCTCCATTCTCCTGCCAGCAGTGACAGCCGCTTGACCCCCGATATCCTCTCTGCGTACAACGATTCGCACGCGGTTCTATTCGAATAATTAGCGAGTGCCTTAGTGCGCAAAACCTGGCCTGGTTACTAACCTGAAAGTGATTCCCCTCTGCGAAGAAATAACACCAATTGCCTGAAGGACTGCCTTGCGCGCATCCCTAGTGAACACCGCTGGGTGTATGATCCACTCAAGCGCAGACTGCAATTCAGCATCCAGTGCAGCGGATGTAGTAGCGTCGATCGCAGCCGCAGCTGTGAAGTTACTCTCCAAGGGTGGTGTAGGAGCTGACAGTTGCGAGAGCTGTGCAGCTTGGATTTCGCTGCTATCTGCGCCTCCCGGTGATGGCGGTGGAGGTAGCGGCGGGAGGCCGCCTTTGCCCAACCCTCGAAGGATGGTTCGGGTTTCCTTCAGCAGAGTATGGGCACGTTCGTGCTGATTCCGTGAGACCAGAACCAACGCCCTGCTCAGCATGTCCGACGTCAACAACTCCATGCGGCGTTGCACGATCATCGGGTGCGGCGGGATGGGGGGAGATCCCGGACGACCATTCTTCTTGGAGCTCGAGGGTGGAAGCATGGTGATGGTAAGTAGATGAGGCCTTGATTGGGCCAGAGTACCATCGCGTTGAATATCCCCGTATGTCAAGTCGGCCTGGATGAGAGGAACTTCTTCGATGCTCATAGTTCGTGTATCATCCTGCTCGGCGCCACCCAACGCTTCCAAACCTGAAACAATCGATTCCCACGCATCCTGCGGAGCCTGTTCGGCTTGGGAGTTGTCGGAAGAGATCACAAGTTGCACCAGGACATCTGCACTCTAGTCAGTATGATAGACAAAACGGTGGTCGAGTTCATTGCGCTTACCCTTCTTGTCCCCGAATCGAAGATCGCCTAACGAGACTTCGGCGTCCCGGCCTGAAGCCCGCTTCGAGACATACAGTGCACCACTGATCTTGACGAACCTCGCTGGAGATCCCTCTGGAAGCTTGAGCTTGAGCTTCGCGTTCTGGTGCGACAGACTTTGCAAACTTCCTATGCAACCGGCAACACACTCGCGCAACATCATCCAATCCTTCACATAAGTGAACAACCCCTTTGTTCTGTTCGACAGCTCAATCATAGTATCCGGCTTGTGCGTTGATCCCAGACCGAAAGAATGGATTGTGATTCTGCTAGAGGTCAGCATTTCTCGTTTTCCCTGGAATCGCTCGGAAGTCTCGACATACTTCGCTGCTTCGGCACGAGACGCTACAAAGTCCACCGCCTCATTTTCCAATGTTTGGGAATCACTTATCAGCAGGATCGAAGCAATAGGGTTGCTGGACTTCCTCTGCATCAACAGATCCATCGCAACATTAGCCCCTTCCACCACATCTGCACGCAAGCTCTTTTGACCAACGGGCCGGATCGAGCTGATGACTTTGGGCCAACCACTCCAGCTCTTTGACGTGAGACCAGTCAAGGGAACACCACCACCGCTGGATCCAAAAGTGACCAACCCGAGCCGGTCCTTGTCGCCCAAACTGTGAATGACAAACTTGAGACAGTCTCGAAGCAAGTTGATTTTAAGGCCTTGCATCGAGGATGAAACCGGGATGACGACGAGTATATCGAGCGGAATATGCATGGACCGAGGCACTCTCCCTCCCCTGGAAGACGAGCTATACTCAGTAGCCGCAGTAAGTAACGACAGACCGACCACCGTGTGTGCCAGAGTAGTTGGAATTCACGGAGGACACTCGCCTTGTCGTCTTCATCGTTCGGTAATCGTCGTCCTCCACGTCCGAGTGGATGGTCTGTTTATCCTCGTATGTGGGGCTTCGCAACGGATGGTCCGAATTGAGATCGAGCAGTGCACGCTGCCATTGCTCCAGCTGAGTTTGGTTTAGGAAGGAAAGATGGAACTGCGGCAGCTCCACCACGGACAAATTCAGTGTCAGGATGTGATCATCTGCAGACAGCGTCAGTCATCGGGAATCAGAAGCGAAGAGCGAGGAAGAAGGCTATACCGGTTCCACCAGAGTCCACGACTTTCTTGAGATGCTTCTTGATCAGGATCGAGCCCTTGAGCGTGCATTTGACGGATTTCTTCTTCGCTGGTCCATTTGCCCACTGGGGAGATGCTGCAACCTTCTTCTCCTTCACGCAGATGAGCATTTCTGAGAAAAGGTAACATTCAAGTTCCTGCCACGCTTGACAGTCCTTGCCGACTCTGATCGTGCCATGGAGCCGAAGTTTGCCAAATCTTAAGAATCGTTAGAGAAAACTCCAAAGGAACGAATAGTTGGGTAAACTACCGATTGAAGTCCAACCCGTGCCAATTCTCGACCCTCTGACGAAGTTCCTCGGTAATTGTCGCGAGGTGGTCTTGTTCTTCACGCTCCAGCTGTGCCTCGCGCTCCCGTGCGCGTGTGGATGTTTCGGGTCGATCGAACGAAAACTGATTTCGTCCGGTAGGACTGGGCGGGGCATATTGCGAGTCGTACGCCGATGGAACCGCGGGAACGTCATCTGCATAGTTCTGCCATTTGTTTTGGGTAACCTCCAACGTAACCAAGCAGGTCAAGCTTTGTTGGGTCTTTGAACGGTTGAGAGTGGGGAACTCGCTCTTCACGGTCAATGTCGGTGGCGGGATCGGATTCGATACCGAGTTGCGCGGACTTGGCTCATTCTCCATGCTGTGGAAGTCATAATCTTGCCGCCGGATTGCCGGGGGAGCAATGGACGGCGGTTGCTCCACATAATCTCCGCCAGACACGTTGCTGTTATTGCGCCAATGTCCATTCTCGTGTCGTAAGGCAGAATCCCCCATCTCGCTGCGACTGCCTGTCCGGTTGTCACGGGTCAGACTCGAAGTTCGGCTTCCTTGTCTACTTCGTGCGTTGACTCGATTTCCATATGGATCATATTGGACGGTAGAACCGGTGTCTTTGTCCCCTCCCCGGCTTTGATCAGGTCTTTCTCGTTCCGACCTGTCTCGCTCTCGCTCTCGCTCCCGGTCGCGGTCTCGGTCTCGGTCTCGGTCGGATCGATCGTGGTCTAATCTATCTCGGTCTCGATCTCGTTCCCGCGGGGTCTCTCGGCCGTCAGCTACAGAAACCGATCGCACGATACTACTGAGTTTCTCTGGTACTGTTAGCGTGAACCTGTTGCATGCACGATCACCCGAGGTATCGGCAGGCAAGTGGCATCGCTGTCGCTGTCGCTGTCGCCATGTACGTACCGAGATCCAAAACGTTTCCTCCACGACTGGAATCCAGGCCCAACGGAGAATTACATTCCGGACAGTATTGCGCATCCACCTCCTTGATGTACTCGTAGAAGCATGCCTCGTGCGAAACGTGCCCGCAGGAAAACTGCAATACTCGCTCCCCGCGAAGCGTATGTTCGAGCGGTTCTTCGCAGACGGCGCACTGGCTCCCAACAAACGTCCTGTCCCTTCGGTTCCGAGAGCGATCCATGTCGAGTATCCCAGCCATACCGTTGGAGCGGTACGACTGTGCGTCTGACAAGAGGGACGGCGCGCGATCTCTGGTGCCGTAGGAGGGAACGAGCGACGGCGTAGAGTATTGGTTTCGCAGTTGGGAGTCGCTCGCGAGATGTCGAAGGCCAAGATTCCTTTCGCGAGTTGGAGGATCTCCTCCGCTGAAAGAGAGGGTTGTGGATCCGGAAACGCAAGATTCTACCGGAGAGCGGCGCTTGCCGCTACGTCGTCCGCTGAGTAAACCGATGCGTTGTGTCCACGGCGAAGGCGATGAATCGTCCTTGGTGTTGGAGTTTTTTGAGGAGCGAAAGCTCGTCATCTGCACGCAGCATATGAGCGGAGTAGCTCTCTGAGGGGGGCGGGTGAGTGTGGGAGGGCCGACTGTTTCGCCCGAAAGGAGGAGTAGAAGCGGCGGTTAATTATGCAGTGAACTGTGGCCAACCTGCGTCGAGCTGATGGGATGTTCCCGGGGTTTGTTGGGGGTGTGCCTGGGTGTGCCTGGGTGGTAGGTATCGCTGGGTTGCACTGTTCTACTCCTTACGCATAGCACCCGTTATTCGGCAGAGAGAGAGAGGAAGAAAGAATAAGCTGGGCTTCGTCGGAGCGGGCGGAGTATTTTGCTGCAAGTCGGAAACACGGTAATATGGACGATATATGATGCGTATGTAGGCAGGTATCTGTGCGTGAACGGCAAGTAATAGTGCTCACGTCGTTGAATCCACACCAGGAATTACACTCGAGGGATGGTACTTGTTCTTCTTAGTTATGGATCGTATGGGCAGTGTAGATGGGTTGGTACTGTGGCTTCCGAAGTCTACTCCCCTTGGTCCTCTCGTTACAGAGTTTCAGCGACCCCGTGGGCGCGCGCGCCAACAAGCAAGGATGGATGGGTGGGTGGATTGACGGGCGGACGGATGCGGTTGAAGTTGGATATGGCGGCGGGAGGGAACAATTCTGAGGATACGTGACGGGGTGGGGGAGGGTGGGGGGGTTTGTTCGTTGCTTAGTCCACTTTCTATCCTGACTGTGGTCGGGGGCGGACGGACGGGAACGAAGTAAAGTAGATTGGATGTGTAGTAGGTCGGCCGCTGTGGGTATGGTACGGTACGGTATGGTATGGTATGGTTGGTATGGCACGGTATGGTATGTATGGTAAGGTACGGAGTGGATGTGCAGTGACTTATGAGGGAGGTGTCTGGTGTCTGGCGGTTTGATATTGCAGCAGGTACGGAAAAGGCTGGCGAGGCGAGTGTGATGACAGGTCCGTCGGTTGGTTGTTGTTGTTATTATTTCGGGGGTGGGTATAAAATGGCAGATATGTTGGCTGATAAGTGCCGGTATGTATATGGTGCGGATAGAGTGAGATGCTGTGGAGGGAGATGCGGTGGTGGAGGATGCGAAGCCGGTATAGGAGTGCGATGGCGCACCTATCAAGGAGGAGGAGACGAAGACGGAGTGTTGAGAGGAGATGAGATGAGCGAGAAGAGGCGATGGTGGTGGTGCTAGTTAGCGTTGAGTTGACTCTCGGGAAGAAAAAAAGCCTACCTACTCTATCTGCTAATTAGAAGGGATTCAGGGCCCGGACTTTCGAGAGATCTCAGACAAGCTACTAGTAGAGTTGACAAACTCCGAAACAGCTACGGATACGTTGGATGGACACGATGCGGTTCTGGATTGTGGCATCTCGGCCGGAGCGCTTCTTCAGACCGATTCCTCTGTTGTCGGCGACTACATACGATCGCCACTTCGCTGCAGAACGGCCATCACTAGAGCTACATGATCGCCCATATTCGCACCAACGGGGAGTAGATTCCGTCCTCGATGTTGAGCAGGTTGCCTTCCAACGCGGGGTTTCACGGTCGACAACATCGTCATCTATGAGCATCAACAGATGCACGCACGGGAGCAAATGCTGCACCTCGGAGGATCCAACATCACACGCGGAACGGCACGCCTGGCTGTGGGTTGTGTAGAGGACGGTAGATACAGGACGTGGTCACTGCCCCACCTGGGGATTACCGCTTTCGTTAGGACCGGAATTCTCGTGAAGCTCGTTTCGCATCCCCTCAGCTTGGGCCAAACGCATCGTTCCTGAATACCGTAGATACGTCATTGAAAGGGATGCACATTGTGAGATCCACAGCACCCCTCACAGCGCCAACCACGAGCGGACGACCGGCTGGAGGACGGGCAAGTCGAATGTGCCCACGATGTCTTCAGAGCTCGAGCTCGCCCAAAGTTGAAGCCAGGGATCCTTCTCACTGGAACTCGGTAAGAGTCCACTGTCATCACTGTTGCTGCGTGCAAAACACACTAGAGTCTCCGAGCTCTCCTTTTCTGATTGACCGAGCACTCTACTCCGCTTGGGTTTCCAGAGGATCAACAAGCCCCACACCACCCCCTCCCTACCTAGCAAGGATCCGAAACGAAACGAAGGCAACGTGGGCCCCCAGCGTGGCCGGGTGTCAATTGCAGTCCCAGCTAGCTAGACCCCAAAAGACTCCTTTTTCCGGCGCAGGGCTCTCTCGCTCAGCGCTCGTTGGCGGTCTCTCCATCTCGGTACAAACTTGCTTAGCTTGAAAGCTAGGCAGGTGTCGATTGCCCGGTTTCTACACTCCTACATACCCACATACCTTCATACTTACAGACATGCATCTCCTCGTTCTCTCGCCCGACCACCTACCTTGGTCCATATCTACATGTGCAGAATTCTCTTCACGATGCCTACAGGTGCACAAGGTATTTACATAAGTCACTCTACACACACGTCCAGCAGAGCCGACTCCGAGACTCGGTCTCGTCACAGATAACCAACCGCATGTCTCGCACTCGCTAAAACGTGCATAAGTATGCAGAAAAAGAAGAAAAAGGAGGAGATGGCTGGCATCTGTCAATCAATCACGCATCAAGCAACGCGGCAACGATTTCCTAATGCATCGTGCTATTATGTATGTAGGCGCCATTTTTCCTTAAAATAGGCGATGGCTGTCCTCGAAAAGGGTCGGCCCCTTGCGTGGCAGTGAGCTCTAACCCGTAAACGTACGATGAGAAATGAGATTGGACATCCCCGCCCCGGTAGTGAGCTTCATACAGAGTCACTCAGGTTTCTTCATGGTTCATCACTCTGCTCGGAGTCGGTCTGCTCGGGAGTCGGTCTGATGCCTTTCGGCTTGAGACACATACTTGACCATGGCTTTCCGCGTTGCTGGTTGCTTTTCGTCCGTGGATTGCCTTTGCATGCCGGACACCATCCGACCTTGATGGTGATCTTGATTTCCCTCCGGCGGGGGGCGGCCGTCGGTGATGTGTTTCCTAGCCTAGATAGCGTGCTTCTAGCCGGGACTGGGAGCATCGTGGATCACCCTCCGGATTGCCGCTTGCGCGTCCGTATAGACGGCCACTATGCCGAGAATATGCCCCGAGGCCTTCTTATCAGACTTCCCGGCAGTCTGTGGAGAGTGATAAGTTATGAGTCACGGAGCAACGCCTGAGCCCCCGCCGCCTCACCCCGCCTATGTATCACTACCTCATGTTCCAAGCCAAAATCCTGAGCTTCAAAGTCCGTACCGCAGTGTCTTGCCATTCGAGCTTAAACAGGACCGTTCCAAAAGTTACCTACCCTGAAGGCAGACCGCAAGCGGGCTCGATCAACACGTGGCGTTTTAGACGTACCACCAGAAGCGCTGCTGCCGCTGGGGGATTTGTGGCTCAGAACCGACAATAGCAGCAAGAAGTTAGAAGTTAAAACGGTTACGGATAGCCACTGAGTCAGTGAGTCTGCACAGTGCACAGCGCATGATTCTAGAAATAGACATTGCACGTGAGCTTTGAAGCAGCAGGTCTGAGCCTGAGGGCGACTCGCGAGACGTCGAGACGACAGAAATAGTGGTATTAGGCCTGCCAGTAGGTCAGTATGAGAGCTGAGCTGAGTGATCGTCGTTGACCTGTACCAGCACATATCACAGCACAGTGTAGAGTATCGAGAATTCGCCAAACCCAACCAATCCTTCAGCCTTCAAGCTTCAACCTTCCACCACGTGTACACTTCCAGCTTCCAGCCTTCAGCCCTCAGGTCCCACCGTCCCATCAATCTTTGATCTACACTTTTGTAGGTTGCAAGTTGCACTTCTTTGCGCCGTCATCATAGTAAGTGCACGTCTCATGAGTCGTCAGCAAACGCCCCTAGGTACCGTAGCATGTATGTAAGCGCTTATGCTACGCCCATTAAACTGCGACTCTGCGACTCTGCGAGCGCTCGGATCACCGTCCACCAGCCAGGTGGCAGGAAGTTTCCCATTTCCGAGGGGAGGGGGGAGGCTGGGGGCGGAAAGGTTCGGATATGTAGGCATGGTATGTAGATACACGCGTATGATACATACAGAGGACAGGTCTGCTGCGCAAGGCTACGGGATCCGGCGGCCTTGGGTGAAGGCCTGTCACCTGTCGATAGCCACTGAGGTACGGAGATCTGTCAATTCGGACATGCAGAGTACTACTCACCTAGAGTACCTACCTACTAGGAGAGGCCACTGATCCTCCCTCCCTTCGGGCCCTCCCTCTCTCCCACCAGATATATAACCACCGGACAATGTCATAAGCGAGCACACAACTTACATATACACGGCGGCAATACTCCACATATACACATAGAGCACTCTATGCTTGAGGAAAAATGTGGGGATAGTTATTAACTAACTCTCCGGCACTCTCATTCCGTGAATCCGGAGAAAAGCTGGGGGGTTTTAGCGTGCCGGTTACATGACGCAAAGCGGAACCGGCCCTTGGCCTGATTCGGAGCTATTAGATGCTAACTTAATAGCATGTAGTAGGGACCTGTTAGTGGCCGGAGTTTCCTCCGGCCAATATCTCCGTTACGCAATTACCGATTGTGAGGATCTCTAGAGTGACAGAGTCCAGAGTCCAGAGTCCAAAGTCTAGGGGACGGAGGTGTATCTACCCGACTTGTGCATTTTGTTCTTGTATGCAGAGGAGAGTAACGACTACTTGCAGTCTACATATTCCTTCAGGAGAGATTCGTGGGCACTCACTGGCACCAAGAGGGGGCCGCCATGACAGATGTTCGACAGGTACTATACTGAACGCCGATCAACACTCTGAGCCGCTTCTTATCCAGCCTCAAGCGCAATAAACTCGGCACCGATAACGTACGGTACCAAGGTAGGTAGTGGATCGGCGAATCACCAGCAAGGGAGATCTGAGACAAACCCTCTTTCCTCCGGGTGCAACGGTCCTGACCCTGGCGGCTTGCGGGAGTACCTATCATAGTACCCAACATATGTCAGTATGAAGGTAGGCCGTGATTGAAGCTCCGCTGTTCCTAGAGTGCCTATAGAGTACATGGTACCGGTAGAGACACCGCCCACGGGGGGAAGTCACTGCATATCTGTTAGATACAAGGCGTGTTCTAGATTACATGTGTAGGAGTACGAGCTGCCCCTAGGTATGTCCCTGTGACTGGTGGATGCACGCGTCCCAGCACTGATTCTGACTCGGCTGTGTCAATCCCGAATGGCAATTTCCAATTGCAAGCCGGCCCGTTCCAATTGAGAAGTACATGGAGTACATGTCCACAAGAGATCATATTGCCAGGGCAATTTCGTTCTCGGGTTCGATCTCTGTACTAGGTATGCTACTGCAGTAAAGTACCAGTCATGTACCTGCCATCCCATTGCACATGCGTGGGTGCTCGTTCGTGATCGGTCCAGTTACCCGCGCCATGCAGTCCATGCTGTGTGTGCACGTCAGTTATCAACTTTTCTTCGCGAGCCGCAGTTCCGCAAATTCTGTAGAGTGGGTATGAGGTATGTTCTTAGGTATGTACCCTATAGTACACCTATAACTAGCTGAACAGATGCAAGATAATCTGACCGGTCAGGACGGTCAAAGATTGTCGTAAAAGAAAAAAGGACTCCCAGATGGTTCGTGGCACTTGCTCGAAAAAATCGTGAGGAATGTACAACGAGGTAGGTACCTAGATGTGCGAGTGCGTGTTTTCTCCGCGCCTGCCAGAATTGCGTCGAGTTGTCCTTCTGCAGCGAGAACAAATGTTCAGCTTCGGCCCGCACGCGGGGCCAGGGCCCTGTCGCAGACTTGTCGTGCTGCTGGACACCTTGTGTGAGCCGAATGGCTGAAATCGGGTCGGGGTCTTGGCAATAGGGGCTACCCCTGCCCGTGCACACTTCTGTCCAATCGTCACAAGAACCACCAGCTGCCATTCGGCTCAACCGTTATTTCCATCCATCGTCAGCGACTGCTACATACGAGCCTCACTCCCCTCCTCTCTCTCCCCCGCGATCTCACCACTCTCCACCTGGCCTCGAAATAAACCCACGGCAAAAAAAAACAAAAACACAAAATCGCATAATGGCAGTTTAGAGTGCGTCTTTAGCTTTCATACCTCTCTCTCGTCCCCCTCCACGTGTTGCACTGCAAGACGGGATCAACACGGCATACGCAGCATACTTACTGCTATACCGAGTTCGCACATCCAAGCTGACTCCAATCAGATTGCTCGTCCCATGGCTTCATCTTCCGATTTTCCAGATGGCCGCAAGTCGCCGGGAAGCCGCAAGGTTCCCAATCCCCTCGCTACCAACTTCTTCGCAAAATCCAAAAAGGGCGACCTCAGAAGCCCGACCGTCCACTCCCCTTCCTCGTACCTGAAAAGCAAACCACCGATCGAGATATCGGTCGTACATGCGAGAACCGACGAGGACAACAACAACAATAGCGTCAACAATAACAACACCAACAGCAGCAGCAGCCACAACACCCACAATAACGGCAGCGGTAGCGGCAGCAGCGCGACCATCGACCCAACGCTGGCAGCAGCTCTCGCAACCGCGACAACATCCAGGTACGACGACAGAACCGAGCCTATAGCGATCCCCGCCTCCGCACAGATGGGGTCCCACTACCGCCATCATAAGAAGCTCGCCCCTTCAACCTCATTTAATACGCACTACCGCAGCATATCGAGATCGATGAACGATTTGGGCAACATCTTCTCCCGCGGACGCTCGCCCCCGAATCGCGATGTCCCCCCACGCCCTTCCGTGGCCGCGAATGCCCAAGAATACAGACGGAAGCTACAAGAAGGCGGTCATTCGAAAGGGTTCGAAACGGGAGGCGTCCCTTCTATATCGGTCATGCAACCCGGCGAACACGCGAACCGAAATCGTGTCCTCCGAGAGGGATGGTTGAACGTTATCGACTCCCATACGAAGAAAGCCAGCATGAGAGATGCGTGGAAGCTCCACTATGCCTTGATAATCGATGGTCAGATGTTCCTATACAAGCCGCCTTCAAGCTACCAGATCAGGGCGTTCGAGATTGATGCAGGACCCCCAAGTCCACAGAGGCCGCAGAGTGCTCCGGCAACTGCTTCGGCGGCATTCGATGTATCCAGTCTTCGGCACAGAAGCACCGCGAGGCATCCCGAGCTGGTTCTGGAGGATGACGGTAGTGTCAAGTATGGCACCGTGGAGGCGCTCTGTCATGAGCTCATGTTCACGCAGGATTCTTCGTTCGTCCACTGGGCGGCGCGTTCGCTATCCGGATGGACCGGGCCCGAAACGGTGCTGTCGATGTTGTTGGAGCTGTCGGCGCTGAAGGACTCGTCGGCACGAATAGGCGAGATATTGCAGATACTAGCTACTGCTACGCCGGGCCTGCTGCTCGAGCCCGGTTGCTACAACTGCGCGAGGCTGCTGGCGGAGAAGGCCGTAGGACCTCACAACCGGGAGCTCGCTAAAACATCGAGAATGGCGATTGAGAAGGCCCGCACAACACTCCAAAAGGCCCTTGGTATAGCCGATGGTGAGTCTTGTCCGATCATCAGATTGCAATCGATTCTGATGTGACTATAGAACTTACTAACCCCCTTCCGGAGCCCCCTCGGGTTATCACCGCAAAGCTCACCGCTGAAGCCTTCATGCGAATCAACCCGGAGGTCCTTGCCGCTCAAATCCACCTGTTCCACTTGAGGTATGCCCGGGCATGGAATCCAGTGCACGATGTGTCACTCCTGCTCGTGTCGCCACATCTTCCTCCGCCTAGCCAGCGCAATCCATTGGTGTTTAGCACTGCAAACATTCATTTCCTCGGAGACCGAGTCCTTGACCATGTCCTCAGTGGGGAGCCTGCACACCATCTCGAGCTGAGAGTTGCAGTCTTATCCCAGTGGATCCAAGTGGCACAGCTCCTCAAGAGCAGGGGTGACATGGTTGGATATCTGGCGATCATGATGGCGGTATTATCGCCGCCGATACTTCGACTGCGTGAGACGTGGAGCGCTATATCTCCCACAGTGGTCGAGGAATTGAGAGAGACGGGAGGTAAAGCCATGCGAATCTTGGAGCGGAGAAGACTCGATGGAAAACCGGAGACCCCGGACGGCCGAGCATTCGTTCCGAAGGGTGTGGGGGTTGATTTTCCGTGTTCCGATGGGGTTCCTTTCTTTGGTGATCTCGTGCATTGCATGGACGATGCTTACTCCAGCCGTGACCGCAATATTGACTACCAGAAAATGGTCCAAGGGATGAACGCGATCGCGGAATCCCTTGCCAATTGGAAGAAAGACTGGATCGATACGAATCCTGAGCTGGCGACCAGGAAGGAGGTTGAAGTCAAGGAGATTGAACAAATCCAGCAGATGCTTCAGTATCTGAATGCGAACAACCAGACTCCACCATCTGCCAACTCTACGGTTTATTTTGACAAGTCATTGGCATGCGAACCGTCCTCCACTGGACTGTATCTGCAATCCCATTATCACCAGACGCTTCCGCTCAGCACGGGTGCTAATATACCACTGATACTCACTGATATACGTGCCAACTTCTCTCTTTTTGACAGATCGGACACACTGGCAATTTCCGGTACCATGCATAAGAAAACGCCGAGTTCAGGATTAGGGTCTCCGATCAGCACGTCCGGGGGATATCCTCTCGGTGCGCAGTCCAATCAGAACCTACGACCTCCGTTATCTCCTGGACCCCAGCAGGTTATCAGACGAACTCGGTCATTTCCGCCGTCCCGGCCCACAGTACAGACGACCGGATACGACGACTTAGACTTTACGACCCACGAACGTACGGCGGTGCTACATGGCGGAGACAATGCTATGCTTCGCGCCATCCGCGATGTAGCGGGAGTCGGACAACAGCTGTTTCACTCTAAGGACGGAGAACTTGTCCTCAAGTCTATAACCGACGAATCGCAATCGCGGCCTACCAGTGTCATTGAAACCACTTCTAATCGTCAGAGTATGGTGTCGAGAAGGTACTCGCAGGTGCTGAGTGCCAACGTTTCCCCTAGGGTATCCGTGTACGGTGATTCTATTCCCAACACACCGTTGCGGGAAGGATTCGACCTGGACGTTCCGAGTCAGGCAACCTCACTTGTCGTTGTGCCAAAAGGTGGTACACTGGAGAGGCTGGTCGATATCCTCGTCTTGGGCGTTGAAGAGTTTAGCAGAAGGATGAACAGATCGGAAGGTGGGGATTCCCGGCCGCCGATGCTTCGTATGGATATGGATGTATTCACGATCACCTTCTTCGCAACCTATCGCAGGTAAATATCAATCTTGTCCGCTGGCCCGCATTTTTGCTAACTATGTCAGCTACTGCTCTCCTATCGTCCTCATCGACTATCTGAAGAAACGCCTAGTTGGTTCCAAATCTGCCGCGAGCTTCAGTGGCAACGAGAGTGACGATGTTGTCTTTCCCGATTGGACCGGAGTTGATCATGTCAAGGACGACTCTGTTGATTGGGCCCTAGTGGCGAAAATTCACTTCGGTATATTGGATGCAATTCACATCTGGATCAGCGAATTCTACTTGGACTTCCACTGCGACCAATACCTGGCGGAGTCGTTTACGACGTTTCTGGACATCGCTGCTAAAGAGCTCGCGTTCTGGAGATCCACCGAGCCGGAAATACACCAGCTTAGAAAGCAAGCCGACGAGATTAATTCTTTATGGCACAACATAAAAGACAAGTTTGCGAGTCTTTCGTTCACACCTTCGACGTTCGACTTCCCCAGTCCCGGGAACGCTACCTCAAGCTTGACAATCCCCCAGCCGGATAATATCAGTCAAATTTCGGAATTCATAGATATCCTGGACGTGCGAGTCGCTCAATTTTTTGCGTCTGTCAGACTAGTTGACTGGATGTTCACTTTTGAGCAGCTTGAGATTCAGAGTGCCGAGCCGATGGGCTTCTTTGTGCCGAAGATCGCACTGTTGACGCACGATGAGGATGGCCCGATCCAAGACATATTCTTTTTGTTGAGAAATCTGCGACGTGAAAAGACCACCAGCACTCTGTTACAAACGTTGCCAAAACCGCTGAGGAATCTCTGCGCATTACATCAAGATTTGTCCAACTGGATACTGTCTCAGGTGGCCGAGCCCAAGATTAGTGTCGAAGTGCGGTCACATCGTTTGGCAACGCTCCTGAAGGCGCTCACAATCTGTCGTCAACGAATGTCAGGCATGGACCTGTACGACAGTTCGGACAGTGGGGTGTCCAGGCATGTTCCTTCGTTCGTTGGAAGTGCGATCTCTACCGCCCTGGTCCGACCAGAGAGCAGAGCATACGGTTTCGCTTGGCAACTTGCAGTCAAGAACGCATGCGGGTTTGTATCCCAATGCGAAACTCTCGAACAGGTCATTCCCGAGTCCGTCGACGGGGAAATACCAGCAAAGCCTCTAACCACCTCGGTGGGGTGGATGCTTGAGCGGTTGTTGGAGATTGTTTGTCATGTCCCGAACATGGTGGTAGAGAACAATCGTCTCATCAACTTTGACAAGAGACGGTATGTGTACAACTTCATCAATAACTTCACGAACCACACGGATGCGCAGAGCGATGAAACGCACCCTTCTCGGCATGTTTTCGCGCCTAAAAATCTGGAACCTATCGACATGAGGGCTCTCCGAGATTCCGCAAACAGGGAAAACCAGCTCTTGAAGCACGGCAGAATCAAAGTCTTCTGGAAGCTAGTTCATCGAGAGCAGGAGAAGCTCCGACGCGATGCCAAGCAGAGGGAAACCATGGACAGGCTGCATAGGAACCAGATGCGGGCAGAGCATAAGCGCCAGCCCACTGCTGTCCGAGTGGAGACCGAGAGGAAAGGTGGTAAGCGACTGGGAGTCAACTCGATTTTCAAGGCGGTACGCCCGATCTCGATCGCATTTACAAGTGGATGGACCCCTCCTCAGCATACCTCGCGAGTTGTCCGCGCTTCGGAGCTGCCTGCCTTCAAGGTTGAGCACGGCCGGAGGCCGGTTGCTACCATCGATCTCAAGCAGGTTGCGTCGATCACATGTCCTCGTAAATCACGCGATAAAGGTCTGTGGAAAATAACCCCAGGTAGTGGAACCAGCTACGTGTTGCAAGCAACATCAGAGAAGGACCTCGATGAATGGCTGAAGATCGTCGCCGCCGTCCGCGGTCTGAACGTTAGTGAGGGCGCCGAGTCGATTGACCTTCTTACCATGGCCTCTGCAACCCGAATGCCGCAGCCAGTTTTTGGCGTCTCGTTGGAAGAGCTATGCAGGAGAGACAATGTGAAAGTACCTATCATCATTGAAGGATTACTGACGGAGATCGAGATGAGAGGTATGTTCGCTTTCTTGATGATTCCGCCACAAGATCTAACGATGTTGTCATAGGTCTGGCTGAAGTCGGACTCTATCGGGTGCCGGGCTCCCTTGCTAGCATCAACGCCCTGAAGGCTGCCCTCGATTCCGGAGAAGACATCAAGATGGACGATGACAGGTGGTACGACATCAATGTCATCGCCGGCGCGTTCAAGAGCTTCATGAGAGAACTGCCCGTCCAAGCGCTCGAGCAGGATATCCTGGATGAGTTGAGGGATCTGACTGGTATGATTCAACCTTCCCCCAACAGCTAGGCCAAATTAGAATACTGAGCCCGAGTTCGTCTTAGCCGACATACCTGAAGAGGAAGATCGTGTACCGAGATACCGAGAGACGATGATGAAACTACAGCCGCACAACTACTACTTTCTTCGTCGGGTCTACATTCACTTTGCTAGGTATTGCTCCTTACCCCTCCCGTGTTGCCATTCCGGGCGATACATTTACTGACTTGATAACGTAGGGTCGCGAGCAACGCCGCGGTCAACAAGATGCATGCTGTGAACCTGGCGATCGTATTCGGAATGGGACTGTCTCCCAACTCTGCCCACCCATTTGGAGTCTCACCGGATCTTGGCCTCTACCAGACCATGGTCAAGACCTGGATAACCTATGCGGACCAAGTCTTTCCCGAATCGGAGGACGACGATTCTCGGTCGGCGTCCGTTATCCCTGTGGACTCAGGCGGTATGCCATCCGAACCGAACTCGCCACTGTCACCGGTTCACGACTCACCCCCCGGATCGAGTTTGGCGGAGGAGCAGTGGTGTGGCACCGAGGGAAGTGCTGGTGGTAATGATGGGGCGGCAGGTGTTGTATAACTTTGTTTGGCTGCTGTTTGCTACTTGATTGCATGTTACATCGCGTCCATGTTACCAGAGTGCTTTTTCTTCTTTTTTCTCCCTTTTTCTTCTTTTCTCTTTGCGGATCTGTGTCTTCTGGCGTCATTTGGGCATTGATTCTTGGTCTCCTTTTCTTCTTTCTCCTCATTTAGGTATATCTAATGGTATATACTTCTGTATCGCTATCGTCCTTCTATTGTGTTGTTTCATTTAGCTTGTGTACACTACTTGATCGGTGATGCATTGAATTTCAGAATCGGCGGGGCGTCTGAAGTTTTCCGTAGAGAGACCCATGTGATGTCACTCGACCGCCAAGCCGATTTCTCCATTGCCGATGATATAGATTTTCAGTTGTTTAAGCGTGTGTCTGAGACTAATTGGGGCGCACCCGAGACTAGCGTGTGCTTCCATGAACCGCTGCGCCAAAGCAACACCACTTCGACAACTGCTACCTTCGACCTGCCATTCACTACTCGTCCTTTAACCTCCACACAACACCACGACCTTGAAGCAAGCTACAACTCTTCCGAACCAACACGCAAACACCAACCGACTTGTTCTTCCAAGTCCTTCAGCATGCCAAAGGAACCCAAGCGTATGTCCTGTAATATTCCGTGCTTCTTCGATATTTACCGCTCCTTTAAACACTCCAGCTATGCACTGAGCAACCACTAACATACTTTTTTTCCAACAGCCAAGTCCCCTATTGGAGGACTCACTCCAGTTCTGCCGGCCTCCGTCGAGGAATCGTACCGCCAGAAATGCAAAGAGATTAAGAAGCGCATCGTCGAGATCGAGAGCTCCAACGACGTGCTCACCTCGCGTATCCAGCGCGCTCGTCGTGCGATCCAACGCATGCGCCTGGAGCGTGCATTCCTGCTCGAGCAACTGGAGAAGCGCACCGATGCCCGTGTCGACGACTCGGACGGCAGCCCTAGTCCCCCGCCAACTGTACGCCGCCCCCCCCCCCCCCCCCCCCCCATCCCCACAGCTGCGGCGCGCGCGCGCGCCCACATCACGAGTGACTGGCTGACTGACTGACGTGTTGTGCACACATACAGCCCAGCAACAAGCCCCTGCGCGTCAAGCGTCCCAGGAAGGATGCTCCCCCTGTCGACTCGCCCATGCGCCAGGCCTCCGAGTCTCCAACTCGCGACAGCGGCGCCCGCGCCGACACCAACTACCCCTTCGTCAACCAGTCGTTCACGCCGGCCGAGACGGCGCCACCGTACACTCTTCCTACCAGTGCTGCCGCCACCGCTCCGACCAAGCCGCCCAAGGGAGGCGCGACGCGCAGCTACGGTTACCGCACTCGCGGTGGACCTAAGAGGCCGCCGAATGCGTACATGATGTAGCCACCCCCCACTCCCATCCACCCCCCCACGAGCCGCACTAATCGGGTTTGGTTTCTAGCTTCTGCGAACGCGAACGTGACGCCGTCCGTGAGCGCGAATCTTTCAAGGACGACTTCGACATGCACAAGGCGCTCGCGCAGGCGTGGCGCGACCTCAAGCACGAGGGCCAGAGGCCGTATTTCGAGGAGTACGAGAGGAACAAGGCGTCGTACACTGCCAAGGTCAACGAGTTACGCGAGCAGCCGAGTGATAAGCGTAATGTGCCCGAACCGGAATCTGATGATGGCGCGGGAGGCACCAACGACGACGACGAGGCCGGCGGTCATACTCCGCATTAGTTGCTATGAGCGAACGGACGGACGGACGCGGATGAAATATATACCGCAAATGCTGGGTGTCTTTTTAGAATTGGGTTGTGACTGGACTGACTGACTGACTGACTGACTGACTGACTTGACTGGACTGGACTGGACTGGACTGGACTGGACTGGTGGTTGGTTGGTTGGTTGGTAGGATGGAACTCTGGATCTTTTTTTTCTTTTTTCTTTTTTCCTTCACGGAAGCTGTTTCCTTTCGATCATCCTCCTCCGGCGAGAGAGAAATGTGGCGGGGGAGAGGGAGGGCGGTTTTCACTACACGGTTTTTTTTTTTTCTAAAATGGCGTTCTGCTTGCTTCCATTTCTTTCTTTCCTTCCGTCTGTTTCTTCTTTCTTTCGACGTTGTATTGCTACTATCACTTTCTGCGCGATATTGCTTTCTACCTGCTCTGCTCTGCTCTGCCGTAATGTCTGATGATGATGATGATGCGTCGTATGGTATGGTACGGTATGTATGCTTTCTCGATCCCCCCCCCTCCCCCCCCCCCCCCCCCCCCTCCACTCACTCCAAAAACAAATGTCTTCCGCAACACCTCTCCCCTCCCTTCCCCTCCACTCCAAATCATGCAAATCATCCACAAAAACAAGACATCTATTTCCAAAAAATCCACAAAAAAGCAACCCGTGTGTCCAGTCCAGATTCCAGACAGCATCTTCATAGAGTAGCTGCACTCATTCCCCCCTACCTTCCCCTTCCACTTCCACTTCCACTTCCACAATTCTTTACTTATGCGCGTGCTTTCATACAAACATGCAACATGCTTTGGCCACAGAACTCCGATGCAACTACAAAGAAAATAACAAAAAAAAAACAGAAGAAAAAGAAAAAAGAAAAAACAGGATAGACAGGAATAGCGGCAGAGGGAGGGGGAGGGGAATAGAGTGGGCATAAATTTCCACTAACAGTGTCAAGAAAAACAATAAACAAAGTGATGAGAAACTGAGAAATGAAAAGGAAACCAAAGACAACAAAAACCGACCCCGCAACCAACCAACCCACTAACCAACTGACCAACCAACCAACCCCACAACAAAAACCCTGAACACGAACCAATTCTGGACGCCTGCCCGTCTTTTTCCAATAAAGCCCCCCTGAATGATATAAAATAGAAGAGGATAATAAAAGAGAGATACCATATAGAAACAAAATGAGATGTCAAAGCATCATACTCACATATACCGCTTGGATACCACGCTGCAAACTTATTTCAGTAGGGTGCACCGCTGATCAAGCAATATTCGCAGGGATGGAAAATCAATGCGGGGGGTGTGTCTTCGACAAATGGTGAACGACGGCCTAAGCCTCCATTCCGTAGAGCGCATCGCCCTCATCCATGGCGGTGTCATCGATGATGGTATCGTCCTCTTGCTCGAAGTCAATATTTGACCGTTCGGATCCCGGACTCGACGAGTGGTAGTATTCGTTGAGTGCTTCTGGTGGCGGCGAGAACGAATAGACCTAGAATCATCATAATGGTCAGAAACAAATCCCCACAGCTGTGGACGGAGGGGAACAAACCTCCATGATGGTCTGAGTAGCTCTCATAGCCAAAATTACCGCCTTTTCGTCTTCAAATGCAACCCTCCAGACGGCCTCAGCAGGACTGGACAACTCCCGAACCAGTGTTCCGGTCCGGAGATCCCAAACCTTGACCCTGCCATCACTACCACCACTAACGATGCGGGTCTCGTCGAACTGCAGAGATGTAACGCTGTTGTCGTGTGCTGCAAGGCGGTGCACGCAAGCATTTCTCTCGAGACTCCAGACGCGAACCGAACCGTCGGAGCCTCCGGTTACAAGCGTATTTCCGCGCATTTGTAGCTGTCCAACCAGTGAGGTGTGACCCTGCAGGACGGCCAGGCAGTTTCTAGAGTCGAATCAGTACCGCGCCCCGTCTAAAGGAGAAAAAAGTGCATGCTCACCCAGTGTGGGGATTCCAAACTCTGACCGAAGTGTCTAACGATCCAGTGGCGATCCGGTCTCCGTCGAATGCAATAGCGTATATCTGACTGAAATGACCCGAAAGGGTTCTCAGGCATGTCCCTTGCGATATGCTCCACACTCGCGCTGTGGTATCATAACTTCCACTGACGACAAGGTCCCCGTGAATCTCCAGACAACGTACGCTCGCCTGGTGACCGACCAGCACGTTCTTGCAGACGCCCTTTTCGATGTCCCAGATGCGGAGGGTGGTATCCCGGGAACCAGAGATTGCGGTTTTGTAGTCACTCATCTTGAGGCATCGAACGGTCGATGTGTGACCACGGAGGATGTTTTTGCATTCACTGAAGTCCAAACACGATTAGCACGCGTAAACCACCACCACAACTACCATCAATAATCACAACGTGTAACATACCCAGTCTCCATATCCCATACGCGAACGTCCCTGTCACAGCCACCACTGACCAACGTCTTTCCCCACGGAACCATAGCCCACACACCCATCACGTGCCCAGTCAGAGTCTTCAAGCTTTGACCATCTGCGTCGAAGACATGTATCCGTGCGTTGTCCAGAGCGATGACGATGTAATCGGGTGTAAGATGAAGAGACGTGACAACACCCTGATCAGGAGTAATTTGCCTCGCGATCGCCTTTCCACCGGTCCTCCATGCAGTTTCAACCATGTACCTCTGCTTGAAGTGCGATTTGTAGGACGTCGCTTTCGGTCTGAGTCTTTTGTTTTGAGCGTTGTATTGCGGGGCGATCTCCGAGATAAAGCCCGAATTGTTGACGTTTACGGCCGAGAACGTTGGTTCTCTCGGGAACGCCGGGCCTGCATTATTAAGATAGGCGTCGTTCTGGTTACTCGAATAGGACGGGCCCAAAGATGTGGAGCTGCTGAGTCGTCTGTAGCTGTGTTTCTCGCAAAGCTTCTTCCAGGTAAGGTCGTCGCTTAGCAAGCCGTGCCACTGTTTCGACACTTGGGAGGCTCTCGCCAGAGTTTTCGGATCATCTATGAAAGAGAGAACCTACACCACCACCGCCGTGAGCTTAGCGAATCTGACATACAGCGGAGTAATGGCGGGGGGAAGGGGGGACAAGGACGGGGAGCGAAGGGCGGCGGCGGCGGCAAGGGAGGCGCGTACTCGAAGACATAATTCATTAGGCAACGTCTTGAAGGGATCTTTCTTGAGCCGTGGCGAGACGTAGTTGAGCACAAAACTGAGCTGCTGCGAGTCGCAGAGATTCAAGATCTCTGCCAAAAACCGCTGCCTCTCCTGCGAGTCAAGCTTGCTGAAATGAGGTCGCGCATCTCTCAGAAAAGTATCTTCGTTCTCATTCGCGGTCGACCAGGTCGGTAACCGATGGATCTGGGGGGTAGGCGATGGTGCGGGAGTAGGAGGGCTCGCGGGAGCCGAAGGCAAAAGGTTCTGATGCGACGGAGCCATAGTTCGCGGAGCGGGTAGGGGCCGTGGATGCGACGTCGCTATGGGGTCCTGTGGTCGCGAAACCGCCGAAAGCGGACTTGGGCGGGCATGCATTCTGTCGAGGTCGCTACTGTTCACGCTCTGTCGGGGGGTCCCAAAGTCAAGAGGAAGTCTGTAGTCTCCCTCTTCCATAATCAAATGGCTTTTTGGCTGTAGGTTTGTGGAGAGTCGATCGCCTGCTCGGAGGGAGATAAGAAGGCAAGGCAGCGACGAGGACGAAGGCGACGGCGGCGGGCGGTAGTGAGGGGGAAGGGGGGAGGGGGTTGATGACGACTGGGGGGTATTAATTTTTCGAGCAACTGAGCGGGATGCAAGCAAACGGAAGAGTTGTCTCGAGGTACAGGTGTAGGTATATAGTGTTCTTATGTACTCTAGGAGGACCGCCAGAAGCGAATGTCAGCCGCAGTATTTTTGCGTGAAGGACTCGATTTTGTCGCCCCGTGGGCAGGGCGTGTGGTGGGTGAGTGTGTGTGTGTGGGGGGGGGGGGGGGGAGGGGGTGTAGGGTGAATTTGGCTGGCGAGCGGATGCGACGAGTGATGCGGGTGGGTGCGTGGGTTGGATGTGATGGTGATGGGTGGATGGATGTGGGTTGGTGGTGGTTATGGTTGTGGTGGTGGTGGAAGATGGGCAGAGGATGCGGTCGGGGTTGGGCGATGGCAAAACGTGATGGCGACTATCTAAGTACCAGCTGGCGGGGAGGGGAGTGAGTGCTTGAAGAGAAGCTTCAGAGGGCTTGGATTCAAATGCGGCTTTGCTCGTGGGCAGAGAAAGGTGCTGCTGCTTCCAACCAGACGTGACGGAATTCCAGCAATAACTACGTCCTCTGCACGGGGGAGAAAGGGCGGGAGGCGTATATATCAGCATGAGGTCACACCATCACGCGTAGATACCATCATTGTCTCTTCATTGCTCTGCTTGCCACATCAGAACTGCTTCTTCACGTCCTTAGAGCGAGATGACAGTAATGCCGGTAATGGACAGCCGTGGATGCAAGGCCGGTTGTCCACTCTACGGTCCCTACGCAATAAAGACCGGCTAGCCTATGAGACGGAAGAAGCTCGTCAGAAAAGGTTTCGCCTGGAGAATCCGAGCGGGAGAGAACCCCTCTCCGAGGGTATCTACCGGCCACAACTATCGTCCTGGCCCTTGGCACCGCGCTGAATTTTTGCGGGTGCCCGCCCGGTTCTATGGCCAGCCGCGCGTTAACTACTTGGTTGAAGCGGCGGTACTAGAGCGGAGTATAAGTAGGTTCTATGGAGAGCGAGCTCCTGTGAGCCTATGTCGAGCGTCCGATCTACTCTAACGGTGTCTTGCAGACTTTTCGGAGCCGTCCTGCGGCCGGTCGGTCGGTCTAGATACAGAGTTTTCGTTCCGCTACATACCGGTATGTATGGTATAGTACCGTAGATGATGGGCAGCTCATATCCGTGCATGCCAGAGGTCCATGAATTCACGCATGATTCTGGCCCCCCCAGCCGCTGGAGGCGGCGAGCTCTCGGCTCCAACCATGTCCACGGATCGGACACACGCCAATCACCGCTTGACTCTCCCTTCCCTTCCCTTCCCTTTCCTCCGATCACCGCCGCCGCCCCTGACACCTGTCGCCGTGCCATCCCTTACTGATCCTCTGCTGTGATAGCTAGCTGCCACTTCTTCTGGCTGCTGAGGATTCCTGGCAACCCCTCTGCTCCATCCTACTGGACATTGGGCGAGCCACCGCTGCGGTTCTCAGGGGCCAAGCGAAATGCTCCCCTTTCCTGGTGACTGCTGGGTGGTAGTTACAGCTAGGAACATAACGTGATGGTCATTCCTATCATACCAGACATACCAACCATCGGCGGAGACCAGGCACACAAGGGGCTCCGAGGGGCTTCAGCCTATCGATCGTGCCTGCCGCCCATGCAGGACAACCTTCTCGACAAGAACGACTGGAAGATCATAGGTGGAGCAGGCACTACTACTAGTACATAGTATTGTGGCAGGGCAATACGGTATGCTGGGACCCACATGGCGGACGCAGGTTCATGGCGAGATGCGCATCAGGCGCCAGTATGTATCTATGTACTCTGGTACCTGAGGTAAGGCATTGTACCACAGAGGGACGCTATGTGTATGTCTTTCCTGAGGCCTTGAAGATGTCTGAAACGGATTCCTTTAGATACATCTCATATCACTTCTACGATCCGGCAACGGCCTTGTTGTAATATCGAGTCATTCGTTGCGTAGTCGTTGCGTATGTAGGCGGTTACTTGGTCATGACGACGGCAGGGGGCACTAGCCACCTATCAACCTTCTTGTCTGTCCTCTCGAGGCCTTCAGACTTTTTCAATATTCATTCACACTTTTCCAACAGGCATATCGCAAGAGCTCGTCCCTCCCAAATCCGAACTCGAGACAGAAAGCCATGCGATCTTGAAGAAGCCGGAGAAGTATATAAACCTTCTCTCACCAGCGGGCATTGTATGTATCATACTTCCTAACCTCCAGCATAGCGGGAAGGGTTGCAAAGTCAGGATTCACGCCCAGGCAAGATATGTACATACTGCGAGGGCAGGACCTCGACACAGGTGCTGTTCCAACGTCCAACTCCTTTGTTCTATACTCCTCACTTCGATGCCCGCGTAAAGCACCCCGCACGCCCTACACCGGGCCACGTGAGATCCTTTTAATCCACGCCCGCTAAGCATATTTATGCTTTACGGCGGCGGCTATCCCGCCTCCAGTCCGCGGAGTGCCTGAATACAAACCTACCATGCAAAAGATACTTCCGCCCATCGTGGCTTGCAAGCCGACACTTTAAACGCGCCTATATATACTTCCGCCCCAGCTCCAGCCGGCTGCAACCGGAGCACGTGGGATGATCTAATCTCGTCATCATATCATACTCTACATACCAGCCGAGTGATTTGAAAGCCGAAACCTCCTTGAAATCTTCCAGCAGTGTCATGGGGCCAGAGCTTGTCTGGGCAGTCTTGGATCAGCACGCGATTCAAAGTGTATTTACATAGGAACTCACTCGCATCCATTTCCCCGTGGAGCCACCACGCGGAACGGGAGAATGCCGATGACCCGTGCATTGTTCATGCAGGGCAACGCCAGCTGCTGTCACTGGGAGGAATGGTGGTACATTATGTACTGGTACCTGTGATACGTAGATGAGGAGGTGAGGAGTTGAGGAGACCTGTCTTTTCGCCCGGCGCAAATGTCAAGGCCGTTTTGGAAATACTTTCCGTATGTGTTTTGCAATGGTGTTTGGACAGTCCTCAGATCGACTGGCTTCGTTCTCCGCGCAGTGTGGGGCTGCAAGGCGGCGTGTCGGCAACAAGGCGGGGAGAATGTAGAGTACTGGTATGTAGAGTGTCTTTCGATGATGGTCGCCTGTGAACATGGATACCACATGACACCGATGGAGAGCCTCGGCAGAACAAGGATGTGTACTATACACTGCCAGCTTGTGGGGAATACCGCGACGCAACTCGAGCTCTCGCCGGAGGAATGTATGTACTTAAGACGGCAACAGCCTTCCGAACCACCTTTCTACGTCCTACCTCTGCTGCTGCTACTTCAAAACAAACCCCCCTCCCCTCTCTTCCTCTATATACTCCCTCCCCGTGACGTAAACTCCTCTCATCATCCCCCATTCACATCCACAACAACCGCCATCACCACCGCAACTGTAAATACATCACTAAGATGCCTCTTAGAACTGCTCTCACCGAAGCCTTGGGAATAGCCAGTAAGCCAGCTCTCCGCTTTCTCCCCCTTCCTTCCCTCCCGCGTATTCACAAAACTAACTTCCTTAGTCCCCGTCGTGCAAGGCGGAATGCAATGGGTTGGGTACGCCGAGCTAGCCTCCGCCGTATCAAACGCGGGCGGTCTCGGTCTTCTCACGGCTTTGACGCAGCCCACCCCGGAGGCGCTGCGTTTGGAGATCCAGCGGACGCGGACGATGACCACGAAGCCGTTTGGGGTGAACATTACCCTGCTTCCCGCAATCGTGCCGCCGGACTACGACGCCTACGCGCAGGTGATCATTGACGAAGGGATCACGATCGTGGAGACGGCGGGGAACAACCCGGGCCCCATCATCCGCAAGTTCAAGGCTGCAAACTGCCTCATCCTCCACAAGTGCACGACCGTGAGACACGCGCTGTCTGCGCAGAAGCTGGGGGTGGACTTTTTGAGCATCGATGGTGTCGAGTGTGCTGGACATGTCGGCGAACATGATATTCCGAATGGTGTCCTGCTGCGCAGGGCCGCTCAGGAGTTGAAGATCCCGTTTATTGCCTCTGGAGGCTTCGCCGATGGGCAGGGACTTGCCAGCGCCATGGCGCTGGGCGCCTGCGGAATCAATATGGGAACGAGGTTCTTGTGCACTGTTGGTATGCATCCCGATGCTCCTCCTCCTCCTCCCCCAGCTCAGAGCACTAGTTAACAACCGTTACAGAGGCGCCCGTCCACATCAACGTGAAGAAGGCGATCGTTGCCGCCACCGAAGACGACACGGAGCTTGTCCTGCGGCGCTGGAAGAACACCACTCGTCTATTCAAGAACAAGCCCGCGGTCGAGGCGAAGCGCATCGAGACCACCAGCACCACCGGCGAGTTCTCCGAGGTTCAGCCCTACGTTAGCGGCAAGCGCGGTAGGGAGGTCTTCATCACTGGTGATATTGACTACGGTGTCTGGTAAGCTCCCATCCTAACTACCCCACAAACACACAAGCTAACTCCCGCAACAGGACTGCCGGTACCGTCATGGGCCTGATCCACGACATTCCCACCTGCGCCGAGCTCCTGTCCCGCATCGAGAAGGAGGCCGAGGACACCATCACGAGGCATTTCGGAACAATCGTCCCGACCGCTAAGTTGTGAAATATTATAGACACGCGTTTGGAAAGACGGTAAAACGGGCGTTGGTCGTTTGATTGAGGGATACCCTTGTGAGAAGGTTTTTGTCTTTCTCTCTCTTTGTTTTTTTTATTACGGCCGTTGATTGAGGGATGCCCTTGTGAGAAGGCTTTTGTCTTTCTCTCTCTTTTTTTTTTTTGTCACGGCCGTTTTTATTGTTGTTTATTGTACATTAGTTATTACACGACCCGCGGCAAGGAGACCTTTGGCTCCGAATTTTGATATGTATTACATAGAGTATCCAACTTTTACCTATTTCGCAATCGCAAGAGAGATGTGACCGGTGGAAAAAAACTATGTAGTGAGTGTCGTAGTAGCCGCGCACTTCATTTGTGAGTAGAAACGGATGGGAAAAGTTCTCGGAGCACACCACCACAATTCTCAGATAGAAATTCAAATCATGGGCCTTCAATTCCCGGCCACCTTCTAAGCTCACACGTAGACATGCCTACAATCAACCCCCAAAGAAATAAACTCCTCCCAAACAACAAGAAAATTACGCTTCACGTTGATGTTTTTTTTGTGAAACGGAAGACATCATACAGGATCAATCAACGCCTTAAAGTAAAGAAAAGGGATTAAACAGGCGAAAAGACCAAACTCGACATTAGGATGATGGGGTGTCGGGGGATGATGGGATGAGGGACGATAGGTAGATCTAGCTGGCAGCCATGAGATCAACCACGACGTTGATTACCGCCACCAGGATTTCTGCTGCAATGAGGATGATAACGATCCACTCCAAGTGCTCACCCTGGGAGTGCGACATTTGCTCTTTGAGCATTTGGAGCTGGCGGATGGTTAGTGAGTGGGAGGAAAGGGTTGGAGAGGAAGGGGACTCACCAAGTCGCCTATCACGTCCAGCCTTTGATTCAGCAGCGAGAGACGCTGGTTGATTTCCAGATAGCTTCTGGCTGCTTGGTAGACGGGTTCGAGTTGGGGTTCCTGAGGCAAAACAATCAGATTCGATGCAAACGCGGAGAAGGAGGTAGGAGGATAGGGCGACGTACAGCCCACATCAGTTCTGGGCTGTCCAGAACACTGCCTTGCAAGTTGATGTTTATCCTAAGGATAAACAGCTCGCCGATGTGCTTCATGATGTCTCGACGACTCATTTTTACTTTGCCGGACGTGGCTATATCGGCGGGAATAGACTTTGTGTCTTCGATCGTATTGTCAACCAGGTCTTCGAATAGAGATATCTTTTGTATGTGAGCAAACCGAAACCAGGGAACGAGATGGAGAAGCGAACACACCTTCACCGACTGGGCAATCGCATGACTGATGCTCAATTTCACCATGTAATTCCTTCCATCCTTAAGGGTGATGAAATCATTGTATATCCTTGGCTGATATGAGGAGGTGACATAAAAATTGAAGTTCTCGACTTGAACATCATCCTCCCCCAATTTCTCCGTCTCGAACTTGGCAATATCTCTGAGGAACCGACTCTCCTCCTCCACGCTCATGCCCCAGATCACGACAACTCCGTACTGGAACAAGAAAACGTCCGACGAGCTGATGGCGCGGTTCTGCTGTTCTACAAAGTGATACAAGCTGCGATCATCTCTTACGTCATCGGTCTCACCGGGATGCTGCTGTTCGCTCTCCGCGGGCGTCGGCATATTCTTTGCGACGTCCTGCTCGTGCAGGTTGATGAGATCCTCGATCTGCGGCGTCAACGCGGCCTGCTTGCTGAACGAGTACGAAAACGGCGTGAAGATGCATTCGTCGAATTTCCTGGGCGCAGAGCCCCGGGTCGATGCGCGCGCCTTCAGGAACTTCATCAGCCCGTCGAGGTCGTAGGAGTTTGCGGTGGCGTACGCAGTCACTCGGGGGAGCTGCGCTCGCTCGGCTTTTCCGAGACGCTCGGCATCGCGCCGCGCTGTGCTGTCCTTGATGCGCGTAACTGTTGGGAGCGAACGGCCGGTCAGCACGGTTTTTCTTGCCGGAACCAGATGGTTTCAGGGGTCGAAGTGAAAGAGGAAGATGGAAAGCCTGCACGAACCTTGCGAGTAAACATCCCTCCCGGACTCTTCATCTTGATCCGCGGGCGACGGTAATATCTTCAGCTTCTGCGAAACCTTCGACGTCCTCTGAGGTCCGATTTTCGTCTGCACGTGCGGGATCGGGCCTCCACGAGCTATAGAGTTCCTCCTCTTAGCTGCCCCCGCTCTGGGTACGTTCGCGGGTGTTGATGTGGTAGGGGAAACATCGCCATCTGCTGCGCTGCCGGACTGACGAGGAGGTGTGACGGATGCCGAAAGTGGGGACGTCGACGTGCTGAACGGTGCCGACGATGTGGTCGCCATGCTGTCTTAGATATTGCAGGTGGGTGTCGGCGCGATCAATTAGAGGACAAGATTGTGACCGGGTGTAGAACAATGAATGACTTGGAGAAGTGTGTGTTGCTATTCAAAAGCGCAACAATGAGTTATGCAACTACCCCAGAAGTGCGACTTGGATCTTAGCTGCCAGCGGCAGCACGCTGGGCGCTAACCGACCGGGTCGGATTTGCGCGCTAGCACAGCAATGAACGCATCGCTCGGCCACACGTGGACATGCACGTCAACCTCTGTGAGGTTTGCACCGATTTCCAGTTACTCTACCACCGGTATATATTACAGAGCCCTCACGATCTTGAGGGCGAGTGATAATGGTGGAGGTGTTTATTTCAACATCAAATCACCACATAGTCTTACGATGTTGAAACAATCACTACGAGTTTATGTCCAGCCATGTTCGGAGTATCAAGAAAGAGAATATTTTTTTCGCCTAAACCCCTAAAAATAACCACAAGAAAATAAAAGAGAAAAAGGTAGAGGTAGAAGAGCTACAGCAGTTCGAAATGGAAATGGGGATGATGATGACGATGCGAGCAGGGCTGACAAACAGAAAAGCAACACATTATTCGAACAAAGCTAAAGTTACCGTCTGGATGGTCCAGTTGCACTCTGCATCTCTCCGTAGCGTCCTCTCTCCTTCGTCGTATCGTAAGCATTAAGCAGTCGTGTGGCACCCTCATCGGCCTGCGAGAACGCGTATCCGCGTTGCTTGCGCATTCTTTGCACTTGTCGGACCTTTCTAATTGCCTTTTGGAATTGCTCCATCCTAGAAAAGGGGAAGAGCTGTCAGCACCAGACCTAAGAACTGGATATTGGGAGAAAATGTACCTCGGCCGGTAGTCCTGAATGTTGTACTTTTGGATCTCCTGAATGTGGTGATATGTCTGCGGGTAGTACATCCGCTTTGCGTATTTCCAGGCGAAGTCACGCATCAGGCACAGGGCCGGCAACACCACGACCATACCCCAGAAGACAGGTGATTCTATCATACGGCCGAGGATTCCGAAGTATTCGGTGGAGAAACCAAGCTTCGGAGCAACGGTAGCATAGATGGGCATGAATATCATCCAAATAACCATCGAACCGGGGATCGCCATGACCGCATACTTGGTCCACATGCTGCGCGTACGCTGTTAGACCTGTAAAACGACCGGTGTGGATATTGCATGGAAACGTACTTGATCACGAGTGCTGCTTTTCCTAGAACGGTGGCCAGGACAGCTGTGTACAGAGCTGTACCCCAGAGCCAATGCCCGGCAGGCTTGCCATCCTCCTGTGGGAGGTCGTTAAGGAAGATGTATCGCGAGAATAGGTAGAGGATCAAAGAGTGGTAGAATCCGTTGATCAACCACGACCAGAAGCTACTGGCTTTGAACTAGAACCGGTCAGAATTCTACTGAAAAGCATGGAATTAGCGGTCAACATACGAAAAGTCCCTTTTGGCCCAGTTGGTACAGTTGAGGGTAGCGGTCAAGCAACCGCGCGCTGATGAACTGGTCGAAGATGCCCATGACTAACGGCGGCAGGACGGTGAAAAAGACGTTGTAGAACGACAAGGTCCATGATTCGTAGATGACTTGACCGGAAAAGGCGTTTTCGAAAGCATACTGTTGGGGATAAGTATTGGGCACAAGAATAAAAAGAAGAGGGATTCATACCCAGAACTGGGTCATGTAAAGCGTGATGTTCTTGTAGAACGAGTACAAGATGACTCTGCTGATACGTTGATAACTCCACGCACCATGGACGAGTAGCAGTTTACGGAGGAAACGAAATTGACCAATGGCGACATCAGCACTTCGAGCAGCTTGCAAACCCTCAACACCGCTGATACCAACACCAACATGGGCAGCCTGGATCATGCTGACGTCGTTGGCGCCGTCTCCGACAGCAAGCAGGAGAGACTTCAGATTACGCTTGACAAGCTTGACAACCAGAGCCTTCTGCAGCGGAGACACACGACTAAAGATGGGTTAGATCGCCCGCATCAAAAGAATTGGAACGGTTGCACCTACCAACAGATAACAGCCTTGCACAGCACGGCGAGATCCAAAAACATCTTATCGAGGTCCTTCTCGAGGGCGAATGTGAGGGAGCGACCATCAATGACCAGTGCCAGGGCCTAGACAAAATGAGCAAACGTTTTGTGACGGCTAAATGTAGGAAGGAATTACGTCAACTTCGCCACCGGAATCCTTCTGTGACTGGACTGCCGTCAATTTCTTGGATATGCTGTCTCTTGTAGCCTCTGCGGTTTCTTCGTTGATGATGATGAGAGTCATATCTTCACTGATGAGCTTACAACTCATGCCGATATTGATAGCGGTCTCTTGGCGATCACCCGTAAGAACCCAGATCTTGATGCCCGCAGTCTGCAGAGTATGGATGGTGTCCGGTACGCCATCTTGCAGACGATCCTCGATGGCAGTAGCTCCAAGCAAAACAAGATCCTTCTCAATCAACTCGGCAGCCTTGTCAAGCTCGTCACCACGGTTGTTAATGGTCGTAGCCGCTTTGTCGTAGATAGCACTCCATCGTCGGTACTCATCCTCGGGAACCTCACGCATGGCAAGACACAGTGTTCGTAAACCTTCGGTAGCGTAATCCTCCAAGTGTTGCAAAGTCGATTCCACATATGTGCATCCCTTGGCGAGCCGCTCCATAATGACCGTGTCTGCTCCCTTGGTGTAGACTCGCACCTTTCCATCTGGGCAACGAAGAATCGTGGACATGCGCTTTCGCGTGGAGTTGAATTCGCAGATGTTGAGCAGATCATAATCGTACTCCTTGCCGTCAACCTCAATCGTGACCGATCTAGGCTTTCTGGCGGTAAACTTGTATCCAAGAAGGACTGCACCCTCGACTAATGCGCCCTCGTCTGGTGAAGCGGCTTGGTATTTGATCTGGCCGGGCTTGTCTTCCCTTCGTTCCGGAATAACCGTGTGGCAAGTGGCCAAAAGCGCGAGAAAGTGATGCATGATGTCACGATTCTCATGCGTCTTTAGGTTTTCGGCCATCTTCTCGAAATCATGGATGCCAACCTCCAGGCCATCCTGGATGGTCGCCCTGCTGTCTTCCGGCACCTCACCAGCATAGCAGATACCGGCAATAGAGCATTGCTTGAATTCCATCATATTGCAAGTCAAGGTTCCAGTTTTGTCGGAGAATATGTATTCAATCTGGCCCAATTCTTCGACCAGACTGGATGTGCGGCAGACAGCGGGAGTGTCCGTTTCAGCATAGTAAATATCGAGGTCGGAGTTAATAAGATACGCCTGGTAGTATTTGACCAGTTCTACAGTGACGAACAAACTGCACGAGGGTCAGAATGTGTTTAATATTGGGCAAAGACGGATGGATGGAAAGACCTTATCGGGACGAGATTCGAGTACAGCACCCAGTAGGTCAAGATGTCGGAGAAGAACTGTTTTGCCCGGTTGTGGCTCGACAGATAGAGATACCCCATTGAATTGCTGGTGGACTACAAACGTCAGCTGCGTGAGGGTGTGAAGACCGTGTGTACCCAACTTGCTTGATGACATCTCCCATGGAAGAAATCACAGACAGTGCCAAAAGGATCGAAACCAGCATTATGATTTGAACGTTGACTGTCCGCTCCACCGCAGTACGTTTGATGGGGGTTGCCGTCGCATTTCTCATCAGCTTTGTCTCGTGTCCGGTGAAGACGACAAGACCGTGAATCCAAGGTGTGTTCCGGAGGGTAGCACCACGCAGCAAGAGCTGGTCCGGGTTCAAGGGCAACTCCTTCTCTCCGCCACCCATATCCATTGTCAAAGTTCCCTCATACGTGTAAAGACTGCTGTTGGGCTGTTCGGACCGAATTCTTCCAGCGAGCCTGCCAAGGTCGCCAGGGCTGACCAGATCAGCCGTTTCCGGAATGGCTTGCTTGATCTTCAGATTCGTCTCGCCGTCCAGATTGGCGGTTTCGATGTAGCACAATCCCTCCGGTTCCGACGAAGCCAACAAGACCAGATCTGCCGGGAAAGGCTCCTCCGATTCCACACGGACAATATCTCCAACGCGCACACTGAGCCATCGCGCCTCCTCAAAAGTCGAGCCTTGCAGCACCTTTGTCTTGGATCTGTTCAGATCCTTGTCTTGGGTTTTCCGTTTCCAGTCTTCGACCAACTCCTTACCTGCTGACACGAGCAGCACAACAATGAGCGGTCCAATGGTAGTATATCGATTTGTCGGGGAGATGTCGGGGATCTGCTGCAGACCGGCGGTGAACAGGAAGAAAAGATTGGCGTATTTCGAGAATTGTTCGTACAGGAATTTTGGCAGGAAGGTAGCCACATTGTATTTTGCGGTGGATACCTTGTTGTCGAGGTACTTGTTTGTTGCGTTCGCTGGGGGGTTGTTCAGTTCTATTACGCGAGGCCCAAGGGTCGAAGGATCGACCTTCCGGCGCCCAAAACCGAACTTGAAGCCACCGCCATCTTTGTTCCGCTTCTCTTTCTTCGATCTCTGACGTGACGGAGCCGAGTCGCTAGCCCCAGGAGTAGCATCGCGCGTTCGCGCTGTCTCAGTCAACGGCAGATCCATCTCGCTGTACTCTGGATTCATCCCGAGCGCTGACTTCACCCTCCCGACGATGCTGGTTCTATTGCTAGGAGCACCACCACCCTCACTGTCGACATGATCACCATGCCCGTAATGGTACCCAGTAGTAGAACGGCCATCATCGTGAAGGTCGTCATAGTACGGTTGGTAATTGTCTAACGCGGAAGATTGCGAGTACGTACGATGGTTCTGCGCGAAGTCGAGAGGAGGGGGTGGATCGAGGTCTGGTTGGTAGGGCTGCGATGGCGGTCCACCGGCCCCTCCTACGAATTCGTCGTAAGAAGTGGACATCCGATGCGCATATTCTTCCTCGGAGGTGGCCGGAGGCCGTCCTGGATTGCCATAGTTACGCCCCTGATCGTCGAGATCCAGTAAGAGATCGTTGTTCTGCGGGTTTCCCGCCATGCGCTCAAGCAGGTCGTGGCCGAATAGTGGTGATGGTTATAATGGTGGGTGGTGGAAGCCGTTACAGAATGGCGGCAGTGTCGTGGCGGACAGGTTACAGCAGCTTGAGAGCCGGAGGACGAGCGGGTAAAAAGTGATAGTGTTTGACGGGGGTGATTGTATTGATTCGTTGCTTCTCCGGGATCGTCTCCAGTACGGCGGACAAGCAAAGCGATTGTCAGGAGCAGCTCAGGGTGGCTTTCGTCGTCGTCGTCACGCAGATGCGATGGGAGCTGGGTGTCTGCTGACGAGAGTTGAGCCAAAGTGTGGGTGGGGGGGGGGGGGTGAATAATCGAGAGGGTAGTCGTGAGCTTCGTGTATCGTATTTTCTTGTGCTCGTACTCGTAGGGGATGTGAGAACTAGGTACTCGAATGGATAGAGAGGCTTCACCGGCACTGGTTGGATGTCTTTCCCTTCAATGATGGGGCTTTTGCCCCCTGTTGAGGCTGAGGAAGGCCTTGGCTATTTCTAGCGACAGGCTAGCCACAATGGCAATGGTATTGGTCAGACTCTTGGCAGCTTATCAGCATTGCCGCTCAGAGACAGAGGCAGAAGCAACAGCAAAAGCAAAAGCAATTCGTCGTTGACTCCCATCCTCAGCACCACAAGCTGCCATTCAGGCAATCCATCTCCCCACAGCAGGCCTTGCATGTGTGCTGGCCAGGTTGAAGCATGCACGAACAAAAAGCCGATACTATCCAGTGCTGACCTGCTTGAATCGTCCACATCCCCAATATATTGCACGATTGGCTGGGAATTTTGGATCCGACAGCTGTCTGGGCTATGGAGCACTGATACCATAGACATCCTGCAGAATACCCCGCAGCTTTTTCTTATAACTCTGAACTTTGAAGGCCTCACCAGACAACTGCAAAATAAATAAAAAAGGAACAAGGTGTCTTTGTGGCCGGATACTGTTATATCCATCAGGCTGCGAGCCCGCCTAAAGTGCCGCCTATGCTAGTCTGCCTGTCGGTTGAAGGTTCAGCCCTTTGGTCGGCTAGACGTCTGACGTGTGTTCACCGAACATGTTCCCGGCCCGACTGTGCATATGCAACGGACACTCCTCCGTCCTGCCCGGAGAGAGCTCGACTGTTCCAATTGGAAGTGCTCCGAATTCTCAGAGCACAGCCAGTGTTGTAGCGTTATAGCGTATGGACTTTGCTCCACCGCCACCGGCCTTTCCCATAGGATGGGAACCTCCATGTACCAGTACTAGTGATGCAGCCCTCTAACAGCTGGCATGTTGCTCCTCGGTGGGGTTCAAACATCAACCCGGTGAAAGGATGCTAGCACCATGGTCGCCCTGCAGCAGCCACAGATGAGGTTCAGCTAAACTTTTCACCTTCACCAAGATAAGATAAGATGAGACCCTTAAACTTGCTGAGTAATCGGGACCCTTTTTCCCTCAAACATGCAGGGCAAGTTACTGCCAAGCCGACAGAGAGCAGCACGTGAAAGCATTTTTGGCCGCCGCTAACCCTAGCCCGGAGAATATATAATGTCCCCCGCGTCTCCGCAAATATCTTTTCCTTTCCTTCCTCAGACTCCCATCCTTATCACACGCAACACTTCATTTTCACTGATGCGTGCCATTATACAACGGGAGCCCAGAGTGAAGCTTCTGCACAATTTCGCTAACAGTATGTCATTCCGATCATCAGCAATGATGGTCGGTACCAAATCTTACATAACGTTTGATAGTAATTGATGCAACATTCCTCTTCGTCCCCGAAGAATATAGTGACCAAAGAACCACCTTTCCATCTCATTTGGGGCTTCTTTTGCCTTCAAAATGGAGCATGGTGGTTTCGAGAGCCAGTCGCGTGAGGGGCAATCATCGCTTTCGTGATTTGATTGAACCAGCCGCCACGGCTTTTCGAAGTGTTGAGACCCCGCATTCTGCACAGCGTGCCTTCTGGTTGGACCTGTCGTCCTTTGATTGCTGTCAGAACAGGATGTCAGATTTGTACCGGTACACCAAGTGATATTTGCAACTACCCATCCCATAAGTCTGCACATCAAGTTGTCTTTCTTTCAGGTGGTGGGAACCAAGTATAAGCCGGCGTAGCAGGTGTCCGCATTCAGGCAATCAACAACGAGAAGCAACAAAAGTTGCACCCGGTGAAGTGAGCCGTCGTGAACGAATGCCATCAGGTACACCCGATGTGTGAAGCCTCATAAGTGGAACACCCGAACTCCCTACCAACGGCTGGCCGATCCGCTTTGCGCAATCGCACGCCCTCACGCCTTGCTTTGCGCAATCGCACTATATACAGATGCCGTAGATTTCCCCGCACGCGCAGGCGACAAGCGACAGCTCCCTGTTACGCGAAAGCACGCAAGCAAGTAGCTTCCCGGCCGCGCGCTGCATCATCGCCCTCCGCCTGAAACGGAACATCCTCACCACCACCATCACCACCACCATCACCACCCGTACTAGTGCCTACCACTCTCCACCGCTGCCGCCGCCGCAAAAATGTCAAGCAGCGGCATATCCCTCCCCTTCAGCGAGGAAGCCCTTGAAGCCCTCAGCAGCATGAGATCTGGGGGCTTCGTGAACTTGGTGCAACTGGTATGTCCCCCTTCACCGGAGACAGTGGGCAGAGTGTAATGGCGTCGCAGGCAATCAACATGGAGAAGGAAACCATCGAGCTCGCCGGCGCCAGTACCTCCGCCATCCGGGACTTCACGCGGGTCATCGCAGACAATGCGCCGCGGTTCTCGTTCTTCGTGTTCAAACGTGCGTATTCCGGGGTGGGAGTATTGGGAAGGGATTGGAAAGGGGATGGAAGGTTGATTTGCGGCAGATGAGCACGAGGGCGTCGAGGAAGCTCCGTTGGGTTTGTGGTTACCACCTCTCCGCACGGGAAACGGATGCTGATGGGAATAGTGTTCATCTACACCTGTCCCGCCGACAGCAAGATCAAGGAGAAGATGCTGTACGCCTCCACGCGGGCTGCGGTAGTGGCTACCGTCGAGAATGAATGCGGTCTGAGAATTCAGAAGAGGGTACGATTTCTCTCATCTTCCTCCCACAGATGAAAGCTAATTCCGAGGGAACAGCTGGAGGCAACCAGCCCAGACGAGATCGGTGAAGCTCAGCTTATTGAAGAGTTCCATCCCAAGGCGGAGGTTAAGACCACTTTCCAGAGACCAAAACGGCCGGGAAGGCGTTAAGCCTGCTTTCTGTTTTCCTGTCTAGTTTTTGTAGTGTTCGATATGAGCTGGATATCTAGAAGTGTCATAAGGCCACGCGAGTGGATGTCAAAAACTGCCCGTCTTTCCCCCGCGTCTAGAACCGCTTGCACGTGACAAACTACGGAATAATTCTAGCGAGTTTCATCGGGCCCGCTGGCGACGTCACTCTACATGGCCGCCTCAACACCACACACGTCCGCCACCTCCCCCGCCCTCCACCACCAATGCGCCGCGTAGTAGTAACGGGACTCGGAGCGGTAACCCCTTTGGCAGTGGGTGCGTCCTCCTGCCCCTCGCCTTGGTCATAGAACCCTTGATTGATCATGAACCCCAGGCGTCCGCCACACGTGGAAGCGCCTGCTTGACTCTCAATGCGGCGTCGTCTCGCTCCGCGGCCGCGACAAGGCCTTCGAAGACCTCCCCAGCCAGGTTGCGGCGCTCGTTCCCGCCGGCTCAAAGGCTGATGGTGGCTGGAACCCGAAGGAGTGGTTGGCGCCAGGCGTACGCCCACATCCTCCGCACCTATCCATCTCAAGCTGATGGGAATTGCACGTAGGACGAACGCCGCATGGCCCTCTTCTCGCAATACGCCATCGCCGCCGCCGAAGAAGCCCTAACCGACGCCGGCTGGACCCCCAGCAGCGAGCATGAGCGGGAGCGCACAGTGGGCCCCCCAGCAGCCCCGCACCTACGCCACTAACCCACCCAACAGGGCGTGTGCATCGGCTCGGGCATCGGTAGTCTCCAAGACGCCTACGACACGTCGCTCGCCTTCTCCACGGGCGGCTACAAAAAGCTGTCCGCACTATTCGTCCCACGCCTGTTAATCAACCTCGCAGCAGGGCACATAACGCTCAAGCACGGTTTCCGCGGTCCCAATCACGCCGTATCAACCGCGTGCACGACAGGCGCACACAGCATCGGCGACGCCTCCCGGTTCATCCAATTCGGGGACGCGGACGTGATGGTAGCAGGCGGGGCGGAGGCGTGCGTGCACCCATTGGCCATCGCCGGGTTCGCGCGCGCCAAGTCGCTCGCCACCGCATGGAACGCCGATCCTGCGGCGTCAAGCCGCCCGTTCGACCGCGACCGCGCGGGATTCGTCATCGGCGAGGGCGCCGGCGTCATGGTGCTCGAGGAGCTGGAGCACGCGAGGCGCCGCGGCGCAAGGATCTATGCCGAGGTCAGGGGCTATGGGCTCAGTGCCGATGCTCACCATATCACCGCGCCGCCAAAGGATGGCGGCGGCGCGCTGCTGAGTATGCGGCGCGCACTGGTGCATGCAGGGATCGCGCCGGAGAAGGTCGACTATGTTAATGCTCATGCGACTAGCACGATGCTGGGCGATGCAGCGGAGAATGCGGCGATCAAGACGCTGTTTGCTGGCGCAAGGAGTGGCAAGCAGATTACCGTTTCGAGCACGAAGGGCGCCGTCGGACATCTGCTTGGTGCTGCGGGCGCGGTCGAGTCGCTGTTCACGGTGCTGGCTGTGAGCGAGGTGAGTGATACCCCATGACGCTCCTGCTGGGCTTCGATTGACATGTGTGTGCAGAATGTACTTCCGCCGACACTCAACCTGGATAATCCCGGTGATCCAGCGGAGGACTTTGATTGCAACTATGTTCCTAAGACTGCGCAGGATCACAAGGTGAACGTGGCTGTGTCCAATAGCTTTGGGTTCGGCGGAACGAATGCTAGTCTGTGCTTTGCGAAGATGTAGTAGAGTGGCTGGGTAGAGACAACGAGTTTTGTATATTATGGATCTGTTTTGCCATACCATAACTCAAATCAGGTAGATACCTAGAAGAAGGGTGTCATGTGTGAGTCACACAATTCTACACTATATGTACAAAATCGTGCCGCCACCAGTAGTGACCGTATAGTCTAACGGGAAGCTAAAGGAGCAACTTGACTCCACCGTCCTCATCTATCGTATCCAAAACGACCACGCATTCCTCGGTTCCATTGACACGCAGGCGATTCTTCAAGCCATTCCACACCCGTGAGTCAAAAGGCGGCAGGAGAAGTTCATCGCCCTGGGCCGCAGCTTGGTCAGAATGCGCGGGATCGTACTGGCCCATCAAGTTGATGAACTCGACCATACCCTCGCGGGCCTTCTTTTCCGCTGCCGGTTCCTTGCCCTCGCCGAGACGAGATTGGTAGCTGGTGATCAGCTTCAGAAGGACTTTGGCGGTGACGAAACTGTCGTAGCCGGCATTGTGGTCGACGTTGGCGCCCATCTGGTGATCCAGGTGCAATGCTGTGGGGTACTGTCAGTTCGGTCATGCGAAGTGGGGCGGGAGGGGTTGTAATACAGATTGAGGGATATAGAAGGGCGTTGAGCGTATCGGACAACGTCTGCAGGTTAGAAGCAGCCCCAGACTGGTGTCCTTCACAGGTTGCGATGTACTTGGTGTCGCAAACTCTTTGGGCGGGGGGAAGTACGTTAGAAACGTGCCCGAGACAAAGTAGGAGTGTGGGATGCAGTACACAGGAAAGTCCTCATGGATTTTCGCCGCAAAGTCCTCAACTGTTGGTGGTAGGGCTCCAACAAAGGTCTATGGCGACGGTATCAGTCCTAGTCGTGAATTCATACTTTTCCAGGAAACTTACGCGGTAGAGATGAATTAGATCGCCAAAGAGGTTGTGTCCAACAATGGGAACCTTGCGTTCTTTCAAAGCATCAAACACATACCGTAGGCCGATCTGTGAAATCCATCAGTCTCGTAGGTTGTGAATCAACCAGCGGGGTTTCACTTACACCCTTCTTAATGTTGTAGTCGGATCGTTCCTTGCGTTCCTTGAGGACTGTGGCTTCTTGCTCATCGTCTCTCTTGATCACCTGGATGAACTTGCTGCGACTCATCTGCGCACGTAGAGCAGTGGGTCAGTTGGACGATTGTTACGGGAGACAGTTATGATTCCGGAGGATGAGCTCACAGTGACCAGTTCCGGGAACTTTGCACGGACAACCTGGTGAACCAGGCGTTTCTGGTACCCGTTGATCTCGTTATTCGGTCCAGTGATGTTGATGAAGTCGTACTCTGGATTTGGATCATCAATCCACGCTTGCAGCTCGTTGACGACCGACTTGAGCTATCAAAGAGTCAGCAACAGCAGTTTCATCCCTATGCGTCACGCAACAGGAGGTACGTACAAATTCTTCCTGCGACTCCTCGATGTGGATATCTTCCATGATGCCCCCGATGGCTTTCTCTTCTTTGTCCCGTACATATTTCTCTTCCTCGTGGCTGAGGTACCGCACTCCGCTAGAGAACAGCAAGTTGAAATCGAAATGGCTAGCATGTTCTGTTAGATAGGTACATCCACCAAAGTTCTCAGTGGTCCAACTCACTTGTCCGATAAGAATTTTATCGCGCTGGACTGATACGTGTACTCCCGTTCCATCTGCCACTTCGGATCCGTGACCGGACAGAGTGGGAAGGTGTACGGTCGACAGATGTAAGTTGCTGGGCGCAGCTGCGTCAGTTTGGATGCTCGACCCCTCTCACGTCACCGCCCGCATGAAATTACAGACCTTCAGTCTCATCGTATTGGACGGTGCAGATTCCGAACTGCAGCACTTGATACTTTTCTGCTCCCTCCTTCAGCTGGAGATATCGCTCGCGGATGTTCTGTTTTCTTCCGAGAACATTTGTTTTCCGCTGCACACCCGAGAACTCCAGGTCAATGGCAACTACGCAAAGGGACGATCGGTGAGCTCATCTAGCAGGTGACGGATGGGTGATGAACAATGATTTACCGAATTGCGCTGTCTTGATAGCCTCGACGATATCCTTCAAGAGCTTGGAGTCGTCCTTCTCGTAGTCATCTCTGGTTACCTCCATGCTTTTGGTGGTGATTCTGTTGCTGTAGTGGTAGGAAGTCTTTTCGAGAAGGATGGGAGGACAAAGACGCAGCCAGAGCGGTAGCAGTGGTGGTATTGGAAGTTGCGGCTGTTTCGAATTCTTTCTTGCGCTTCCTGCAGTTTGGGACGTGCGGAGAGCGGTGGCGGTGGTGGCGGCAGTGGTTGTGGTAATGGTTGAGGGTTTGCTGCGTACAAGCCTTGAAAGCCAATGCATCACGCACAGCCGCTTGTGCTACTTTCCTTCCTTCTTTCCTTCCTGTTCCCCCCGATTGTCACTATCACTAGTTTTTCGGTGGGAGGTTGCGATTGAGAATGCAGTGACGAGGGGCCTGAAAGTTTGATGCGCATGGCGTAGAGTAGCTAACCTTGCTTGTAGGCGGGGTTAGCTGGGCCTGAAGCTGCTAGCGTGTTCCGCGGGAGAACGCGATCGATCTGCAAGTGCCAAGCACGTGTGCGAGATGAGGGAGAGCTCGACGGCTGCTAATTACTAGTGCTATGTAGTAGAGCACTCCAGATACTGGTAGGTTTACCTACCTCACACTTACCATTGGTTTTTGAGATATCACATCGTTCCTTCCCCGCCAACCATACAACACTCATCCCTCACGCTTCATGACTTCATCGTCTCGGCTCCCGGTGAAACGCCCTTCAATCCAGCCGACCCCACTTATGCCATTGCGGCTCAATCCTCGCTCCACCAATCCGACAGAATAGGTGTCCGAACAACGCTACCAGATCGTCATCGTGGCTACATACGCATGTCCGACAGGTGCACGATTACGTGGAGGTTGGATTTGCGTTCGAGGACTCGAGGGAGACGGGTTTGCACGACCAGAAGAGTGGAGTGCTAGTCTTGGGCCGATTGTTTGGGGCGGCGAATAGCTGGTTGACACATGCGTGGACGGCGCCGACTTCCAGGGCCCAACGGAGGCGTTGGACCACGGCGAAGAACGACGGTGGAAGTGTGTAGCTGGAGATGGGTATGTACAGTACATACTATATCTGCGTGGATCGCGGAACGGTCGCAACATGACGCCGGTGGACCAGACGCCAGGCCTAATCCCCGCTGTTAACTATGGCCACCCCGCATGCTCGCGCGTGTGGCCTGTCTGCAGCTGCGATGCAGCCACTCCCAGCGGACGCTTCAGCTAGGCATACCGACGTACGTGGGTACCGGTAGAAGCCGTAGGTTTCCCGAGGTCCAAAACACTCTGGATGTTCATTGCGTCCAGTGGGAGAGCCAGTAGTCATGTGCGCGGGTTGGTGTGGCGCGAGTCGCGACCGGAAACACTCCCCATTTTGTTTTTGAAGCTGTCGTATTTGTAGGTGGAGGGGCGGAGGGCAAGAAGGAGTGTCGGAGTGTCGACCGAGAGCTTGCGAGCATGTGCACACGACCGTCGACCGTGAGATGCCCTCCATGCATCACCACGAATTATACTCGTGTACCTGGGTGCAATAATAGTTACATGCGCGCATATGCATTCGTTGTTTGGCGCCTCCTTCGATTGGCGGCTGCCATTGCTTCCTAACTTTGGTTGTTGTTTATTACTTACTTTCACGGACAACAGCTGCGTGGGCCGTGTTGTTGTTGTTGTTGGGGTGGCGGCGGTGGTGGTGGTGGTGATTGGCCCATCAACCTCGGTTCGGCTGTTGGTAGTTAGAGAGAGAGGGCGATCAAGGGATGTGGACAGGCCTGCTCTGGTCAACTCCTACTCTGCGAACGAAACAAGCTCCCCGTCTCCATCACGAGCAACCAACAACATCAAGAACCCGAACCCCCCGAGCCTGCCAGCCCCATAGTACACCTAAACGTTCCCAGAAAATATATCCATCCCCCCCACCCTCCCGTCAAGCACATCCAACCTATCCCTCACATCCCACCCATCCCCCCGCGCATTATCTCCAATGCTCAGGGTCATCCCTCACCCACCGAGAACCATGTTCAACGGCAACAACAACATGCAGAATGGCTACAGCCAACCTCAAAATGTTGCCGCGCCGTACGGACGCCAGGCGCAGCAGCCCGAGCAAACACGCCTGCCGCCACAAGCCATCTCGCACATATACAAGAGCTGCACGAACCTGTTCCTGACGCGCCGGCTGCCCGAAGCTCTCGCCGCGCTGCAGCCTGTCGTGAATGACCCCTCGGCCTCGATCCGGCAATGTCCCCGCGCCCTCCGGATCAAGTTCTGGGGACTTTACCTCGCGATCCTCGACGCCGCCGCGAAGATGACCGTATCCGAAGGTAAAGCCACCTGGGGCGCGAAGGAGTGGCCGGAGCTCGTCGCAAAGATCAGGAGCGGCGCGGTGTGGGACGAGGTTAACCGCCAGTATGGCGACGAGGGAAGGGTCGACGCCGATGTCGTTGTCACGCTGTAAGTTTACCTGTCGCGGGGGGATATCTGTGTGTGCGCGCGCGCGTTTGTCTGACAGTTAAAAGGGCAACTTTACTTCTTTCGCACTCGCCCGAGCAATCTATAACCCAAAAGAAGATCGAGGCGTATCTCGGCGCTGTGCCCAGCGCGCTCTCGCAGGACGAGGACCCTAAATCCATGATGCAGCGTTCTAAAATCACGGAACTTTACTGCTTGCACGTTTTGCCACGGGTGGGCGATTGGGATTATGCGAAGGAATTTACCCAGATGAGCACGGACATTGACGATGAACAGAGGGAGGTCTGTACCCCCATCCCCTCCCCCCGCGCAAGCCTTGATTATGTGTGATGGGCATGGGTGCTGACGGCGCGACTTAGGTGTTCTTTATGCATCTGGACAAATTGAAGGCGGACATGGAGACGAGAGAACGCGAAACACGCGAGCTAGAGAAGCTGCGCGACCAAGAAATCGAGGAAGAGGAGGAAAGGCTCGAGCATGAACATAGACAGAGGAAGTCGCACTCTCGGGCAGCGTCGGTTTCGAGTAGGACATCACGGCGACGAGGGAGCTCCGTCAAGCCTGCGGAGCGCTCGGTGGCTAGGGATGAGACTGCGGCTGCAGCGGAGGCGGCAGTGAAGAAGAGACTGGCCATTGCAGCGAAGGAATCCAAGAAGGCCGCCGCCACCGCCGCCGTCGTACCACGAGCAACAGGCAGAACGAAACCGAACACATCCCTCATCACGTCGACGACGGCACTCCTGAGCAGGATGCAGGCTTATATGACGACCAACAGCGGACCCTTCTCGATGCTGCAGACCATAGTCATGCTGGCGGTAATCGCATGGATGACCAACAATAAGAGGATGCGTGACAAGATCCGCCGATTCTTACTTCTGTGCTGGATCAAGATCGCAAAAACCGTAGGGATGGGAATGAAGGTGACATACGTGTAGAGGGGCTGTCCGAGGTGGGGAAAGGGTGAGGCGGAAGTGGTGAAGTGGTGAGGTGGTGAGGTTCATTTCTGCGGGCTACTGGCTGTAAATTATTCGCTTTATTTCTTGCTGTGCTGGTTATTCTGCATTTTTGCGAAGCGCAGGTTGTTTTTTTACTTTTCAATGGATGTCGAAGGAGTGGCGTTTGCTTATTATCATCAGCTGTACAAGTAGATATAGATACCACCGGTTCTAGTCTCCGAAAATATACATAATAATCTCCTTCTATGTCTTCTCCATATCCTTTTCTCTTCCTCCTCATCGTAGCATCTTGGACTTGGAGTAACTAAATCCTGGTACGCGGCTCCCATCTATGTCCGCCTGAAACAACCGTGACTCGGTTAGGCGTCTATCGCGGCTACGTTACCTGATTCGTGCGCACGTCGCACCGCTCTTGGGGGGGCTTTACGACACACAACGCAACAAGCTTCCATACTACCAAGGTGCAACGAGCCGAGTATCGCTACCTCTCTCTTCTTGCACCCGCCTCGAATTAAACATGAGTCGTCCGAACAACAACAATGCTGGTGAGCCATACATACCCCACATCTTACCGAGCCCCTATCTCAGTGAGCGGAGCGAATGTAACTGACACCGTGCCCCACGCGTCGCCGCCAACAGCTACCGCGCGATCAGACGATGCTGTTCTCAAGCTCTTCAATGACAAGGAGCTCTCCGGGAACGTCGTGAAGCTCAAGTCCGCGGCGTCGTCGTCCGGCGTGGCGCGTAAGGGCGCCAATAACAAGAAGTCGGCGAACTGGAAAGAGCGCGCGCGACAATTAGAAAATCAAGGTTCGCCCTTTACAACTATCCCCTTCCCTACATATCTGTTCGATCCGCTGACATCGCTGGTCTACAACAGATGATAAATCCTCGCCGACCAAGTCCCCAGGACCGGTCGTTACCCAGCTGGACGAAAAAGATATCTCGACATTCGCCACGGGAAGACCGCTCCACGACGAGCCCGTCACTTTGGTCTGCAAGTACTGCAAGAAGGGCATCATTAAGACCGTTGCTGCTGAGCATGTGCGTGCGTGCTTGAAGGCGAAGGCCGAGAGGACTAAGGAGCGAAAGAAGAAGCAGAAGGAAGAGGCTGCGGCTGCGGCCGCTGCTGCTGCTGCGGCCGCTGGGAAGGGCAAGGATGATGCTACGGGTGCTGCAATGCCGGCGGCGAATGGAGAGGGCGAGGATGGTCCGGGTGGTGCGGCGGGTGCAGCCGGTGTGGCTGGTGTGGGTAGTGTGGGCGGTGTGGGCGGTGCCGGCAGTGTGCGTGCTGGATCTGTTGCCGGATCTGTGACAGGTGCTGGGCCTGTAGTAGAGGCGAAGAAGAAAAAGGGCCCGGGTGCGAAGAAGATGGCGAAGAAAGACAGCGAGGGGGGCGCGAAGGGGAAGAAGCGCAAAGCCGACGAGGCGAAACTCCCCAAGGAGCCCAAGACCAAGAAGAAGAAGGAGAAGCCTACGAAGCCGGAGCCCAAGATCAAGGCACCCGTCGATGTCGAGAAGCAGTGTGGTGTTCCACTACCCAATGGCGCGCTTTGCGCTCGGTCCTTGACCTGCAAATCGCATTCGATGGGAGCCAAGCGATCGGTTATCGGGCGATCCCAGCCATACGATGTCCTATTAGCGGCATATCAGAAGAAGAATCAGGCCAAACAACAGAGTACGTTGTTTATTTTCCATTTCTTGCGCTGCAGTTTTCTGACACATGCATCTACAGAAGCCGCAATCAATGCAGGCGCGGCTCCTCCCGAGGAGCTCGAGGCCAACGCCATGCCCGTCGACTCGGACGAAGAGACCGAGCTCGTCATGGCGGCAATTTCGAAGCGTGTGCCGCAGCCTTTCGATCGTCACATCGTGGTTCCGGTGCGGAAGAAGTCACAGTACATTCGGATGCGTGAACTCATGGCAAGTGCACTTCGACCCGGTAGCCAGCCGCTATTCAATAGCGATGCTGGTGGAGGTCCGAACGGCATATTGGGCGGTATGGCTCCTAGGATGCCCACTTTACGTTATCAGAGCACGTACTGATGCTGCATGTCGATGCAGGTGTGTTGGGCGGTCCGAAACCTGCTTCGTCAAAGCCCTTTCAACCGCCTCCTCCACCTGCCCAGCGGAAATCCTCCCTGAATATTTCTGGATAGAGGGTCCATCCACTGGCGTTGATATTTGAGGGGCTTGAGGGATTGTTTGCATTTGGGTATTGCAGTGCAGAGGTTTACTATGGTGTTTGGTGTTTGGGCGCTATATGGTTGTTAATAGCTATTTTGGTATCGCTTTTTGGCTTGCATCGGTGTTTGTAGACGATCTGGTCTATATCTAAGAGTTTTCTTCCTGTTTGTATGATACGGTACCGTATATAGTAGTCTCCTCTTCTCTTTGGGCAATTATACAAGATTCAGCATGAGCATGAATATCGGTGCCGTGTCTGCAGATTAAAACTTAAAAGAAACAACAACTCCAAAACTCCGTATGATATTGAAACGCCCAATCCCCAATACGCGTCAAATCAATGGCCGTCCGTCTCCTCCAAAGCTTGTGCTTCCCTCCTAAGATCCTTGATCACATTCTACTCGAAACATTAGCCTCGACGCGTTCGAGCTGGATGGAGTGGAGAGAAACCGACAGCCAAAGCTTCAGGGTTCACGCCGTTTTCGATCAACGAGACACACAGCGAAAGCGTGGTCCTGTCCAGTCCGGTGTGCTACGTTCGTTAGCTGCGTGGCTTGGGTGAGGTAGTGGGATGAGGGAGTACCAGGAGCGTGGAGATTTCGTTCAGGACATCGACGACGTCTTTTGCGGCGCGTTGGCGGGAAGTTCCTGCTGGGGGTGGCATTGTGCTTGCTTGGAGTGTGCGTCTGGAGTTTGATGTTTGTTTGTGTGTGTAGACCAGAGCTTGTGAGTTGAGGGAGTCGGAACGTGCCGCTGACAGGGCTGGTCAGTGGTCATGCATGTGGAGCTTAAGTCGAGACGACACGTTTTCCCAACCGTGCGATCGTAGTTAGCCCTTCAATGCTGCGCCGGCAACAATGGAGAGACTTCACCCATCGCTGATGGAAACCGCCATTGCGGCTGCCGCTTTTAAGCTTTTACTTCTCCCCGCCTAGTAGGCCTCCTCCTCCAGTGTGTCTCTTGCTACGCGCACAACTGACCCGCCCGCTCCATCCAGCAAGTCCACCGATTTTGAGGTTCACCGAAACTGGCTCGCCATCACGCACTCGCTCCCCGTAAAGCAATGGTACTACGAAAAGACGTCGGAATGGACGCTCGACTACCCTCCGTTCTTTGCCGGCTTCGAGTGGCTTCTCAGTCAGGTCGCGAAGCACTTCGATCCTGAGATGCTCAAGGTTGAGAACCTGGGCTACGCGAGCGAGCAAACCGTGTTGTTCCAGCGACTCTCCGTGATCATTACCGAGCTCATGCTTGTATTTGCTCTGCATAAGTCTGTGACCCGAGGAGTGGGGCGTGGAAGGGACGGCTGGCTGATGTGCGCAGACTTGTGGCTTATGCTCCTGAGGGCTCGAAACGTGCCGCCCATGCTGTCGCGCTGTCGCTGTTACTCTCTCCTGGTTTGCTGTTGATCGACCACATACACTTCCAATACAACGGATTCATGTATGGGGTCCTTCTACTGTCCATCCTCCTCGCACGGTCTCCGTCAACTCGACTGGCCTCTGGCCTTCTGTTCGCAACGTTGTTGTGCTTCAAGCACATCTACCTCTATCTCGCACCCGCATACTTCGTCTACCTTCTCCGCGCATATTGTCTCGGGTCCAACTTCGATCTACGAAGACTAAACCCCGACATCCGTTTTGCGAACTGCATCAAGCTTGGTGTCGGCATCGTAGCGATCTTTGGTGCAGCCCTGGGGCCATTCGCGTATTGGGGACAACTGGCCCAGTTGGCTTCACGGCTGTTTCCATTCTCGCGCGGGCTATGCCATGCGTACTGGGCGCCAAATGTATGGGCCATGTATTCGTTCGTCGATCGGGTTCTGATCTATGTTGCGCCGAGACTGGGGCTCAGCGTTGATACCAGCGCGTTGAACAGTGTCACCCGCGGACTTGTGGGCGATACGGCGTTTGCGGTACTGCCGGAGATCACACCGCGGATGACGTTCATCCTCACGTTGTTCTTCCAGATATTGCCGTTGGTGAAGCTATTTGCCGTCCCGACGTTCGATAACTTTGTGGGTGCGGTGACACTCTGTGGGTATGCTTCTTTCCTGTTTGGATGGCATGTTCATGAGAAGGCGATTTTGCTCGTTATTTTCCCGTTCAGGTGGGTCCCCTGTGTCCTGGAGGGTCATGACAATTTCTAACCCACCACAGTCTCCTCGCCCTCAAAGACCGCCGTTACTTCGGCGCCTTCCGGCCCCTCGCCGTCGCCGGTCACGTCTCGCTCTTCCCCCTCCTCTTCACCGCTCCTGAGTTTCCAATCAAGACTGTCTACACCATCGCGTGGCTGGTGGTCTTCCTCACCACCTTCGACAGGCTGGTACCCATGTCACCATCCGGTCGCCAATGGCTACTCGATAGACCGTCGACGTTGTTCATCATCGTCTCGATACCGCTCATTGCATACACAAGTCTGATACACGGCGTGGTGTTTGGTGATCGTTACGAGTTCTTGCCACTCATGTTCACGAGCAGTTATTCAGCGGTTGGAGTTGTCGCTAGCTGGGTCGGCTTTAGTTGGCTGTATTTTACCTCTTAGGGCGGAGAGGCTGTGCGTTGTAGAAGTAGAGCCAGTTTTTGATTTCCAGATCTTCACGAGTGATACATTGTGAATTGATATCAAATGCACCACTGCAAGACTAGCCGACGACATCGCTCTAGATGCCAATGCTCATTATTCGCTGTACTCTTGCTAATAGGGTTCGAGCCTTCACTTTTGAATCATTCCTCCTTCGGGCCCTAGTTCCACATCTTCAATTTCCCACGGTCAGGCTGCAATGTTTCAATGGTGGTCGACGCGTTCACAGTCCGCCTGCCAAGCCCGCGGCCATGCCATGCCGCTTTCGGTACCTTCCGCCCCCAGACCGTTGAGGCCACAGTTATTGTCACGCCTCTAAACACTCGTAACAACAGTCGTCATTCCTTTTTTTTTTAACTTCTAACTTACATACACCCCGCACACACCTGCACACACGCAACATTTCCTATATTCGAACTTTACCTTACCTAAACTCAAAAAAATGCGTTGGAGCTGGAACGTCTTCACGGCGATCCTGTGTCTGGCCCAGACTGCAGTCGCAAAGCCAGATGCTAAGGACGGGATCAAGAGTGTTCCGCTGAGAACACACAGCTTAGCTCCGGTGCGTACCACTTGTTTTTCTGCTTCTGGGAGAGAGAAAGGAGAGAAGAGAGGGAACTGATTTGTATTCCGTGACAGCCATACCTCGATCAGGACTTGCAGAGCCGGTGGTTCGATTGGGGTGGTGATACTGTTATTCGCGCCGACCAGTACGAACTCTCGCCCCTGACCCCCACGCCGCTGAAGAAGCTTACTGACGACGAGTGACAGGTACGTTCGCCTCACGTCGGACCGACAGCATCAGGCTGGGTATCTCTGGTCGCGACTACCATTGACCGCGACGAACTGGGAGGTACGTCCTTCACCCCCCTTCCCCCCACCGCACCGCACCCCACCCGCCACCATGCAGGGGGCTGACGAGGAGGCATAGATCGAGTGGGAATTCAAAGTACACGGCACCGGCAACCTCTACGGCGATGGCATGGCCCTGTGGATAACGAAGCAGCGCGCGCTGCCCGGGCCTGTTTTCGGTAGCATCGACAACTTCGAGGGCCTGGGTATCTTCCTCGACACCTACAAGAATAACCGGCCGGGCGTTGTGTTCCCCTACATCTCTGCTATGCTCGGAGACGGGCAGACGAGCTACGATCATGCGCATGACGGGAAGGAGAATGAGCTGGCGGGTTGCTCGGTATGTTGCCCTGCGTGGTAGGGAGAGAGGGGGGAGGGGGGAGCTAAGCTAATGATCGTGAAGGCAAGGGGAATTAGGGGAGCAAATATTCCCACTCGCGCGAAGCTCACGTACTTCCAAGAGAACTACCTCCAGCTTGACTTGCAGTACAAGAATGTCGACCAGTGGGTCCAGTGCTTCAATGCTCCAAATGTCACCCTTCCGCAGGTCGCATACTTGGGATTCAGCGCGCACTGCGGAGAGCTTAGCGGTACCTCACTTTCCCCCCCTGCTGCTCCTCCTCCCATACTGATTCCCCGCAGACAACCACGACATCATCAGCATCACAGCCAACAACCTTTACTCTGCGAACCCCAACCGCCCGGGCCCCGGTCGTTCCGACAAGCCGCGGAAGAGCACGAAGACTCCGAAGGGATACAAGGAGCCTACCGAGGGTGGAAGCTGGATGTGGTTCTTCCTGAAGTGTCTGATCTTCATTACTGTGGTCGCCGGTGCCTATGTCGGTTGGGTCGCGTACAGAACTCAGAGGCGGAGCTCGCGGTTCTAAGGGAAGGTGATGGGAGAGATTTTCATTTGTGAATTTGTGAATTTCGGGTACATAGCGGAGGGAGATGCGTCGGTGAGCTATGGCGCTGGTAACTAAGGGGATGCTGGATGCTCGGTGTTTTCCTGCGGTATTCGCCTGCTTTGCTTTGATTTCCTTGGCTTGGGATCGTACTTTTCTCACTGCTTTTCTTCTGGCTGTTTGTTGGTGTCCATTGCGTCCTTGATTCCTGTCTCTAAAGCGAATTTTACAGTCTGGAAAAACCTGTTGCAAATCGAGTGAGATTCCATCAATACAAGTACATACATCATTCGCAATGCGGTATCAGCCAACCACTGCATTTCGAAGAAGCAAACCAAAACATCAACTCAAAAGCAGGGGGAAAAGGGATCTCTATATAACAAGAAGGTAAAGGTAAGTACACAAAGCTTTTGTTGATTCAATGATGATGGTGATGTCCAATCTGCGTGGCCAACGGCACAACCATTCCAAAAACCGCCGCGATAACGTCTTTGACGGTGCCCTTCTGTCCGTTCTCCTGCAGCTGTGCGGCTTGGGCTTGCATCGTGTGCATCGCCACATACCTATGGCCGTTAGTAGCGGATCGATACTGAAGGGGGGAGGAGGAGAGTGAAACTCACAAGAAAGTCCCACCACTGAACAGCAGCAGCACACCGGTCCAGAACTGCATCCCCTCGCCGCCGCCACCCAACAATCCCAGGACCAACCACGTAAACAGCGCGCCGACCGGTGCCGCCATCGAAAACACGAGCAGATGCGTCCTAACCTGGCGCTTTCCCAGCCCACCGCCCCTCAGCAGCACGGCGGTCAACCCAAACGCCGCCGGTGCCTTGTGCAGCATGATAGCGATGAAGATGATCGCGCCAAGCGCGAGATTGCTGCTCGCCGAGGACGCGCCCAGTGCAATCCCGTCGGCCGCCGCGTGGATGACGAGGCCCAACGTCATGCTGTTGGGCCTGGTCGTAGCTGTGCTGCTGCCGCCGCCGCCGGGCGGCGAGGGTGACATCGACCCGCCCAGGTTGTCGATGGCGATGTAGGGCGGCTCGTCCGCGCCGTGCCTGTGGCTCGGGAGACTGTCGATTAGGTACATCAGGATGAACCCCGTGATCAGGCTCAGCCCGATCCACTTGTGCGGGTTGCCGGCTTCCTCCGCTGCCTCTTCCTCCTCTGTGTGGCCGTCGTGCGAATGCGAATGTGTGTGCGTGTGCTCGTGCGTGTGCGGCGGCATCTCCACCGTCGCGGGTAATCCACCGTCGCCGGTTTGCTCCTCCCGCGCCCAGATGTCCGGGCCCCCGCCGAGATCCCACGAACGGGCTTGGACTCCAGCGGCGGGAGGGTTCATGGCTACCGCTACGCTCCGCGATGCACTATAGATCGTTTCAATGCCCTCCGGGATGATGACGATCATGCTGGTTCCTACGAGGACGCCCATGCCGACTGTTGAGATCATTCGGAGCTGCGACTGGGACAGCGTTACGGCGAGAGGAAGCATGCCTGCCGCAAAAGAGCTGCGGGACGTCAGCCGCCGGAGAAACAGAGGGAGAAAGAGGTGCCGTACGCAATCGCCATCAAGGCGCAGTAGAGCAGAAGGGTGGGAAGACCTTCTGGCATTTCGGCTATGGTTTTTGTTTCGTGTGTGCGTGCCTGTGTGGTGGTGGGGTGTTGCGGGAGTCGGTGGAGGAAGTGGTCGCTGGGAGGAGCAGCAGCGGGGGGATATCTATTTCACCACCCGCGACGAAGCATATGATGGATTGGGTTCGGATTGCTGGTTGTCAAGATGGGTGCCCGCAGAGGTTCAAGAGCTTATGGAGCTAGGTATTACATACAGAGGGAGGTGGGATTGGGGACTATGGTAGCGTCGCCAAGAGCGACCCTGGCATCCCGCATCCCGCATTCTGGATGGACGGTTCGATGGCAGCTCGATCGTCATGGGTGAAACGAGAGAGCTGTATCTACGGAGAGTTTAACCCCAAGGTACATACAGCTCTTCCCTACGAAAGAATTAGGTTGGCCAGGTCCATTTTATTTTTTCGCTGGAGGATGTAGGCGAAGGCGGGGTTGGAACTCTGATTAGAAATTCGGACTGGATGCTTTCTGCGTGTATGTACAATGGAAGGAGCTGGTGATGGCGATAGTATCATGCTTGAGTCTGATGTTTCTTTCGGCTATGGATATCGTACTGACCGGACGGAAACCCTCAACTTGGATGAAAGGCGACTTCACCGAGGTGCTAGGATACGGAAATCGTAGTTCAACAGAGATCCCACCGATGGCTTACGTACAGAAGTCTGCTTGCCATTCTAAAGAAGCAAATCCGAGTGGGATTCGCGAACCAGTTTAGTAAATCCGAATGCTCACTTGTGAGTCAGTTGGGCGCCTTATGTATCACTAGCGCCGATTTAGTGATCCATCGCGTCAAACACCAACCAAGCAACGCGACACTCCCCAGCGCGAATCGCCATACAACCACCCTCACCACTACCACCAACCGCTCTCCCCACTGCCCAAGCCAGTACTCGCCATGGCGACCACTCTCGACGCCGAAGACTGGTCTACCGATGCGAACGACGCACTCTCCCTCACCTTGATCTCTCCGATCACCGGCAAACCCACTACTTCCGAGTTCGCACCGCTGTTCACGTACAGTCTCTACGGCGAGACGCAAGCGATCTATGGCTACAAGGACCTGAAGATGCGGATACTCCTCGCCGCAGACGACATGACGCCCTGCGTTGACGTGACCTGGGCGGAAGTTGTGGAGCCTATTGGGGGGGTTAAGGCTGAGGATGTGTTGATGCCGCTGAAGGAGTGTATGCCTGCGTGTGAGTTTTCTCGGGTGAAACGGGAGGCAGGGAGGAGGGGAGGAGGGGGGGATTGGGAGGCTAATGGAGAGCGTGAACAGATGCGTTTGAGCGCAACATCGAAGAGTTCACCGACCACATCAAGGCGGCTCGCGAGAGCAAAGTGTTCACACCACCGGGAAGGCTCCACAGCACCTACACGAGTTCCGGCCGAACCTTCGAAGCATGGCGCTCTTCGATCGACGATGTCGACTGCCAGAGTGTACTGGAGAACTTGCAGTTCCTGGTACAACTCTACATCGAGGGCGGCCAGGCTATCGATCTCGACGACGAGGAATGGAGCAACAAGCGCTGGGATGTGTTTTTCCTGTACGAGCGGAACCAGAAGGACAATATGTACTTGTTTGTGGGGTACTGTACTCTCTATAGGTACTATTACTTCCATAGCCTTGTCTCGGGCCAGGTGCGCGTCAGGCTATCGCAGTTCATCATCCTACCGCCGTATCAGCGTGAGGGCCACGGATCGAATTTCTACGATGCGATTATGCGACACTACCTCAACTCCTCCGAGGTCCGCGAGATCACGGTCGAAGACCCTAGCGAGGAATTCGGTGACCTGAGGGATCTCCAGGACATGACCAGGCTCAACAGAGACAAAGAATTCCGCTCGGTTAAACTGGTCGATGTTGCGACGAGGAAGTTCCCGTTGAAGGCGGTCCGAGAGAGAGCCAAGATGCCCGAGCGACAGTTCCTTAGGTGTCTGGAGATGCAGCTGCTGCGCGGCCTCAACAGGAAGGAGAAGAGGGCCCACAAGATGTTCCGTCTCATCGTCAAAGGACGCATTTACAGACAGCAGGTCGATGTTTTGGCGCAGCTGGCAAGGCTCGACAGGATCGACAAGTTGGACGAGACGTTTCATCACGTCGAGGACGACTACTTGCGCCTGCTGGAGAGCTTGAAGCACAAGAAACCCACCGAAGAAGAGGATGATGTTAAAGGGAAGAGGATGGAGCCGTCGTCCCCGGAACAGAGGCCTTCGAAGAGAGCTAGGGTTGTTGCCATTCGCGACGGTGGGGATGACGAAGAAGATAAGCTTTGATTGCTTTGCACGTCGTTTCCTTTCCTTCACCTTTTCCATACTTCCTTAGCAACTTTTTCTCCTGGTTAATTGGGTTTACTGTTCTTTCCTTATGAATCACTACGCCTGTTCGGATCAGAAGAGGTTCTTCTGTCCATCCATCCATTTATCTGTCTCTCGATGTGTACTTTAGCCACTCCCAAGATCACTCGATTCAGACGTGTCGTCATCAAGGGTCTAGCTATCGGCTATGCTGTGCAGCTGTAGAGCAATATGGGATCGCGGATCACCTCCCTTCCCTGCAGCATCGGATTTCACCAATGATCGAGCACTGATAAACACGACTACATTAGAGAGATAACGAAGAATCATTACTCCATGTTTATGAGTCCAGGAAACAAGTGGACAAAGAGATATCATTAATCATGACACAAAAATCAAAGACAGAAAGACACCATGCCAATTGCACCCCAACTCCGGTTTCCCAATGAATGATCTAGTTAGTAAACTATGATGATTAGATGTACTTCTCGGCCTTCGCCCACCCAACCAAATCCCCCGCCGATGTGATGGCAGGTCCCTTCCCGAACTTCTTCTTCCTCGGGTCGATAGCTTTCGCTACGATTTCCAGCTGTCGGAAACAGTCCTTCTCCGTCTGGCTTGCGGCGTTTCTGCCGCGTGCGGCTGGCCGCGGGATCCCCATGCGCGTGAGGAGTATGTTGGTGAGGTAGTGCAGCCAGAAGATGTTTGTGCGGGGGGCATAAACGTTCCAGTCGATGCACTCCTCCTCGGGAGGTACGAGGCCGGAGGAGACCTCTTTGCGCATAAAGCGGTAGATGTCGAATTGGTAGTCACCTGTGGTTGCGATGTTAGTTTCTAGGGATGAGTGGGTGCAGCGGGGGAATAAAATGTACCTTTACCGCCGAATAGCGCGGTGTCGTTGAGTGGCATGAATTCGATGTCGTTTTCGTCATCGGTGCATCGAGCGCGGGAGAGGGTGTAGTCGATCAGTGATACCTTGAGGGTTGACTCCTTGTCCTCTAATGATAGTCCTTCGAGTAGTGTCTCCGGATTGGCGGAGAACGACTTCTTCCTGGGCTCTACCTCTCTGCGGTCGATGACTAGGTTTCCCCAGTGGAGATCTCGATGCTATATATCGTCAGAAACATGTCCGAAGTAGCAACATGGTAGTATTACCTCAAAAAGGTGCTTCTCCTCTCCACTCGCCAAGGCATTCGCAGCCTGCCAGAAAACATCCAGCGCCTCTTCCCAACTCTGGAGCTCGGTATGCTCGAGATCAGATCCACCGTTTTCCAGCAGGATGACTGCGAAGAGCTGGTGGTCTTCGTAAAAGTCTGGCCGGACGTTCTCTGATCCCCGCTCCATGTCGAAGTTATCCCACTCGTCCATCAGGGGCTCGGGGAAGTAGCCCTGAACTACGTACGCGCTGTTGCACACAGAGTCAGTCTACAATTCACCGGGGAAGAGCGGGCGAAGAATAACGCACCCCCTGAAGCCAATGAAGCCGTCGATTTGTGCCATGGTCTTGGAGATCCTCACTTCCTGGATGATGCTTTTCACTTCGCATTGCTCCTCCTGGCCGAACGGAATGATCTTCAGAACCGTGGTGCTGTTGGAATCGGTTCGCGATTGCAGGAACACCTCACTGTAGGATGCTTCTCCCAGTTTCCGTATCGACGAATCCTCAAGCAATGAGTCGATATATTGATCGAACTCGAGCACCTTCTGCTCCGTGCACAGCCCCAGAAGCACATCGGTCTCCGTTATCTCATCTCCGTAAAGTGCCTGGACCAACGCATCGTCGGTGCATGAAACGGAGCTGTCAGTCGCCTCGGCGGAGGCTGGTGACGACACTGATCCTCTCACTATTATGGAATCATCGGTGCTGTCTTTTGTTGGGGTTTCCGGTATTTCGGTCTTGAGATTCGATGCCATTGCGAGTGGAGGTTCGTCTCCGGCTACAACTGTACTTCCTCGTTCAGCGTAATTATGTGCTGGGGTTTCTGGTATTTCGTTCCTGGATGTTGACGATTTCGGTGTCGATGCTTTGGGTGTAGAAGCCTTAGGAGTGGTCGCCTTAGGAGTGGTCGCCTTTTTGGTCGCCCCACCTTCAATAATGATGGCGAACTTCCTTTCAGGAATACCCATTCTATCATTCGCCTCATCTTCCCACACTATGATCGAATCCTCCACCACATCCTTCGACAACTCCTCCCTAGTAAAGGATTCAGTCCGCAACGGTGAAGGTGCGCCGGCAGTGCTCGCAGAGACCCTCTTTTTGAGTCCCCGCTTTCTAGGCGGAGACTCTTTCACCGACAAAGAATCGCGTTCTCCAAGGACGCTGCGGGGGGTGCTCCCGGAGTAAGGCTCCTGTTCTGGCTCGGCCAGTTTCTGCAGCGTGCTGGATACGGTCGTCGGGGTTGCCGTAGCAGTGCTGGTGCCGGATTCGTTCTCTTTGTCCGAACTCTCCCGTAACGATCCTACTGACGACTGCGAGTGCAGATCTTGCGCGACGACAACACTGGTCCGACGCTCGACTATAACGATCGGTTCGGATGGTGGCGGTGACAGTGGCGGTGACCGTGAAGGTGGGCGCGCGTCTTCCGTTATTCCCAGGTCGTCCAGCTGATTCACTATATCGTCGAGTGCATTGGACGACGACCCCTTTACGACAACGGCCGCTTCCTCCTCCTCCTCCTCATCCTCATCCTCGACAGCAATTACCACGTCGATAGGCTTCTTTGATGCCTTCTTTGTAGGAGCTGGGGCGGCCTTGTCTTTCTTTACGGAAGCCGACTCCTCTGTGAGAGCATCCTCGTCTGGTACAGGCTCGTTCCGCTTCGAATTGGCCCCGGAGGAGTTCTCGAGTTCGTTCCACAGTGATCTCCCGAACCAGCCGTTGAGATGTGACTTGACGGCTTTTCCGTACGTTTTTTGCTTTCCGAAGGTTTTCTTTGCGCCGTAATTCGACGACATGTTTCTCGTGGGTGGATCTGCGCGGATCGGGGGAGGATATGTATGTCGGCCTTTGGTTGGTAGACGCAGTAACTGTTGCAGCGCAGGTCGAGGCTGGCGGTTGTCGTGAACGAGCACTTTCTATTTGTTGACAAAACCAAACGCACAGTTGCGCCGGTAACAAGCAGGATTACTTGGAGATACGATGGATAAGATAAGAATCCCGAAACAAGCATTTCCCATCTCGTCATATCTGATATCACTACAATCAGCCTTCAGCTGATGTCAATCCCCGCGGGGCGCGATAGGGAATGTGAACTTCGTTAATTTAGCCTTGGGCGCTTCGAGGAGGAATCAGGGAATCCATTTCGGGCTGAGTTTTCAGCTGCTCAGCAACAGCAGCAACAGAAACGAATCCCTTGCAATCCCTGCCCCTCTCTGGTTTCCCCTCCATTCTATTCTGTACCCCTCCATTGTCTCCACCACCTAAACTACGGCCCACCAACGCACCCACCTCCACCTCCCCTACTTTAGCTCCCCTTTCCGCCCTGACACGTCCAACCTCCTCCGAGTTCTATCCTACCATACCTTCCCTCCATCAACCTTCAACCCTTTCAACTTCACCCAAACAAATAATAACCAACCAATAAACAAGATGGTATGAATCCCCTTCAGCAAATGCTTACCTGCTCCTCAGTTATCACGCATCTCGAGCAACTTGAAGATGCGTAGTTGATGCTGTCCTGCACCTTTTGTGTGACCGACAGCTCAAAGACATATCGTCGAGCATCGCAAGAAGCAGATAACCTTTCGTTTCCATCTGCTAATACCTGACGACAGGCCGACTCCCTCACCGAAGAGCAGGTTTCCGAGTTCAAGGAGGCTTTCTCCCTGTTCGTAAGTTACCCCCACTGTGGTGCTACTGGTGGTACCTGTTACCCCTCACGTCCACTACACACAATACTCACACTTCTTTTCAATATCTAGGACAAAGACGGCGATGGTTAGTTATCATCATATCCACACCTGCCGTTGCAGCCTTCGTGGAGCTGACCTGGCTGCTTCTACCTTCTAGGACAGATCACCACTAAGGAGTTGGGAACCGTCATGAGGAGTTTGGGACAGAACCCCTCCGAATCGGAGCTTCAGGACATGATCAACGAGGTCGATGCCGACAACAACGGAACCATCGATTTCCCTGGTATTTCCTTCCTTCCGTCTTGAGTTCGCACACAGCCAGGGCGCCGAGCTAATGCATTTCTGATTATCAGAGTTCCTCACTATGATGGCCCGCAAGATGAAGGACACCGACAGTGAGGAGGAGATCCGAGGTGAGATTTATTCGACCTTCCATCCCGTATCAGCGATGGCTGACGCGTTCAACAGAGGCTTTCAAGGTCTTTGACCGCGACAACAACGGCTTCATCTCCGCCGCCGAGCTGAGACACGTCATGACCTCCATCGGGGAGAAGTTGACCGATGACGAGGTCGACGAGATGATCCGGGAAGCTGACCAGGATGGCGATGGACGGATCGACTGTATGTTCCACCTCCGTGCTACTAAACATGATGGCCGACCCGAAACTGACATCCCGGCCCACAGACAACGAGTTCGTCCAGCTCATGATGCAGAAATAGTTGCCTCGTACTTTCCGCTAGAGGGCAAGGTGGTGACCATGTTCGCTTTCTCGAAGGGATGGGGAGGTGGTACGTTTGCTTCTTTGGGGATCGGAGGGTTTTCTTTTTTCTGTGCGTGAAATGGTGTTTCTGTTCTCTGTTACCGTCTCATCCGTCTACCCATTTTTTTGTCCGGGCCATCCTATTGCCGCAATGAATAGTTAGATGTTCCCTTTCATGATGCGAGAGCTCTGCTCTTCTCTGGTGTTGTATTCTGCTTGCGAGTGAATGGTTGATGTGTGCTTTCGGAGATTCCATTTTGCTTCTGAATGTTGGTGCGTGCTTGCTTGAATGAATTATACTGAATAATGAATTCCCCACACACGGCATGTTGTCCCTCCCTTTGTCGACAAATGATAATCCCTTCGCACCCCAATCCATGCCCATGCCGACCCATGCCATCCTCCCAAGCAGCAGCCCCCCAGAATACAAACCCAAGATACTGGACCAATAGACAGAACGGAAACGTGAAGTCCTCAAACTTCAAACAGAAATAGATAGAAGAAACCCGCACCAGCACACCAGCACACCGGATCAACACTCAAACTCCTAGAAAAAGTAAAAAGCCAAACCAAGCCGACCCGGACCGAACCCAAAGCAAACAAACAAAAGAAAAAAAGAAAAAAAAAACGGAAACACAAATGCGTGAGTAATAACTAAGGAAAAAGAAGGTTAAATAATACAACCTCAAAAGTCAGAAGCCCGAAGCCCGAAGCCAGAAGACAGAAAGAAAGCAGAAAGCGCAGGTTTTCGTCCCCGTCCCGTTCCATCCTATGGCACAGCCGCGGCGGCCGCCCTCCCCACCATCGCCACGGTCCTGACCTCCGTAAACGACACCTCCTTGAGCTCCTCCATGCGCTCCTGTCCCGCGTCCCACACGAGCTCGACAAGCTTCATGACGCCCTTATAGTCGCGACGACACACCTCCCAGCGCAGCTTGTCGACGAGGGCCCAGCCGGACTCGATGGTGCGCAGCTCGGCGTCCATGGTGCGCACGCCGTCCTGCGCCTGGTGGCACAGCTTCCGCAGCTCGCGCTCGAACTGTAGCAGACTGTGTTTGCTGCGCGTCGACAGCGGCGGCGTCGTCGTCGCCGGCCGCAATAGGTGCAGCAGCTGCATTAGGTGTGTAGACACCGTCGGGATGTGGTCTTGGATCACTTTTTCGAGCGCGAGGTTCGCGCGCTGCGTCGACGAGGCGCTGCTGGTCGCTATGGGCCCTGCGCGGCGGGCGCGGCTGCTGCTGTTGGGCATGGTGCCGGTGGAGGTGGTTTGAGGTGAGGTGGACGCGATGGCGCGGAGGTGGGTGGGTTCGAGGGGTGGTGGTGGGTGAATTCGAGGGAGCGGAAGCAGGTGGAGTGGAGGGGTGTAAAGTAGGGTGCACGAGGTGTGATGACGAACGGACTTGGGGGGGGGGGGGGGGGGGGGGGGGGAGGTGACGTTGCTATGTTAAGTACTGTAATTGTTCCGAGTTCTTGGAGAGTGGCAGTGGCAGTCTCGGTCTCGTTTCGTGGGTTGTTGTTTGCTTTAACGACGCATGCTCCGGCACCGGGCTGGCATAGACGAAGGGTGAAGGGTATGTGGATGTAGGTATATACGGCACTATCGTATATTAACCTGCCCACCTTTGAGCTTTCTCTCTTCCGTCGCCGTCGTCGTCGTCGTCTTCGCTTGGCCGGCGGCCCTTTGTGCGCAGGCAGCCCAGGCTGGGCTTGGTTGATCGAGCTCCCTCTTTGAGCCTGAAGCAATGAATTCGTCACTTAAATCTCAAATTGAAGAAGAAGAAAGAAGAAAAAACAAAGAGAGCTCCGGTCTTTTGTCTTTATGAGATGACTCGGAGATTGTTGCGTGACGTGCGGTTGGCGGCGGACCGGCCGGCACGCACACGGCGGATGTGTGGATATCAAACCGGAGCGATTGACTGGTATGCACAGTGCTCTGGATGGGGCTTTGCTGTGTGGAGTAGGTGGTTTTGGTGTTTGTCCCTCTCTCTCTCTGTGCTGTTCGCTTTTATGATCTGTTGGTGGTTGTGGGGGAAACAGTGTCTGCGGAGTCTCCGGCTGCCCTGTGCTTGAGGGGGAGGGTGGAGATCGCTCGATCACATGACAATACTCTAAGTATACATACCCGTTGCCCCATGAGGTCCAACGAAGGGATTGGTCTTTGGTACTGCATGCATGCAGCCGCCCTGCGCTCTTCGTCTATCTCGACATCAGGGACTTGTGTCGACGGGGTCACCACACAATGTCCTACCTCATACCGAGCTCCACGAGCTTACGTCTATCGGTCGGCAGCAGAGTCTTCGTTATATCTAAAACATAGTAGTGATCGTGTTCAACATACATGACGATCCCAATTGATCTTGCCAACCTGTCTCTAGTTTGGCGACTCTCCCCCAATAGTGTCGCCTGTGGAGGCTCAGCATTCACGAGTGAGATCTCATGGACATGCGTGCAAGTGATAGGCAACCTGATATTTATTGGATTGCCGCCTGCCCCGGGTTCGGCCCTGCAAAGCGTTCTCTAGCCTTGAGCTCCTGCACATCGCTGAGCTTTGCTTTCACAAACATGTCCGCCCCCACCCACGTCGATAGTTCCTCAGTTTTGCCCTCCTTCTTCAGCAGCGCGAGCAAATTATACACGCTCTCCACCATTCCCTCCCCCTGACTGACACAATACCACTCTTTGGCGAGCGGGATATTCTTCTTCTCCGCGAGCTTGCTGTAATAGAAGCCCAGATTATGCGCCGCACCCCGCACCCCACTCGCCGCCGCCTTGAGCATGAACTTCTCATGCTCGGGATCCTTCGGGTCGATCTCGAGCGAGAGGTTGTAGTAGCACTTCGCCGAATCCAGTGACACAGCGCCCTTCCTCCACAGCCTCATCGCCTCCTCGCGATCGCCCTTCAAAGTCTTCACCAGCTGACCACCGTGCGCATAACCATCTCCATCCCCCGCCTCACCACACTTGAGATACGCCTCGAGCGCACCCTTCCTATCCCCCTTCAGCTCCAGCGTCGACGCCACAACCGCCAGCGCAGCCGAATTCCCCAGCCTCGCCACCTCCTGCACGCGCTGGAACGCCTCGTGGGCCTCCACCTGTTCCGTCTTCCTCCCAAGCTTCCTCGTGATCCCATCCAGCAGCTGAAAATGCAGGACAACCGCCGCAGGATCACCCAACAGAGCCGCCGAATGCAATATCGTATACATGAGCTCCAGCCTCACATTCCTCTTCCCCTCATCCATATCCCTGCCATTGACATGCGGCAGCGTCTTCACCAAGAACACCGCTATCGCACCAAAGTCTTTGGCGGACATCGCGAACTCGCGGCAAATGAACTCGCCGAAGGCTCGCGACGGCCGCGAACCCGTGTGCGGCAGGCTGGCCTCGATCACTTTGTAGAACGTCTGTGGGCGGAACGGGATCTGCTTCGCTTTGTGCGCCGACAACACGTACTCGATCGGCACGATCAGCGCAATCTTGTACGCTTCTGGGTGCTCCTTCTGTCTGCTGCGGAAGCGCTGCGCGTTGTGGTTGACGGTGGGAGAGGGGCCGGTGCTGCGCACGGCGAGCGATGGGGCGGAAGTGCTGAAGGGCTTGCATGGTGGCGGCGAAGTGGGGTGGAGATGTGAGATCGGCCGGAGGAGAGGTCGGAGGTGTCGTATTCGTTGGGTTGCCATTGCGAGACGGGGATGCCGCCGGATCAGCGGTGGCAGTAGAGAGCGTGATAGAGTTGCGGCGGTTAGGGTTGTGTTAGTTACTGGCCGAATTTCTCGTTTGATGTCACATGGTAGAACGATTGGAGGTTATTCTCAGGGCAATGTCCAGTTGATATCCACAGAAGCTCTCCCAGCCCCGTTATGTGTATCTACATTGTGTATGTATAATACAAAAGTGTCGTGTAAGGTAACTATTATGTATTTCACCCCATCACCAGTTCTACAACCAAGTGCCCACGTACTTCATACTGCGGCTAAGGAGAGACATCGCCATTGGTCAGAACTTCTCCCTCCGGGTGCAAAAACCTCTCCAGATTACTATTACAAGACCCATCAGTATAAATTTTATATCGCCGAGAAAGTGGTGGATACACATACCCAGAAGCTGCCGCCACGAATCCGAGGTACGGCTTGCTGGGGTTCAACACCCTGCTCAGGTACTCAGGGTGGAACTGCACACCGACAAAGTAAGGGTGCTCCTTGAGCTCGACAATCTCCATACGCTCACCGGTGTCGTCCTTTCCAACAAAGTTCAAACCAGCCTCGGTGAGCCGGTCGACGTACTCGGGGTTGACCTCGTATCTGTGGCGGTGGCGCTCGAGAATCTGACCAGCTTCTGAGTAGAGCTGGCGGATTTTAGACCATTCCGATCCAGGTTGGAAGACGGTAGGGCGAAGTCCAAGACGCATGGTTCCTCCAAGGTGAGTTTTCGATCCCTCGGGCATGAAGATAATGACAGGGTTGGGGGTCTCAGCCGAGATCTCAACGGAGTGTGCGTCTGGGTTTAAGTCAGCTATGCCACAACCACCACCGCCGCCAAATTGGATGTATACCCTTCATGCCGCAAACATTCCGGGCATACTCGACGACTGCAACCTGCATTCCCAGGCAAATTCCCAAGTACGGAATCTTGTGCTCCCTGGCCCACTTGGCAGCCGCCACCATTCCCTCAGTCCCCCGAGCGCCGAATCCTCCAGGGATCAGGATACCGTCAGCAGTGCACACATCGTGCCATGCCTTGTGGAATTTCGCGGGATCACTGGCATTAACAGCGGGCTCCAAAGCCTCGGCCTCAACCCACACGAGGTTCAGCTTGCGATTGCAGTGCATTGCGGAGTGCTCCAGACTCTTCACGGTGGAGAGGTAAGAGTCGTGAAGATCGGTGTACTTTCCGACAAGGGCAATAGTCACGGTGTCGTACAAGCGGTCCTGGGCAAGGGTAAGAGTTCTCCACTCTTTCCAGAGGGCCTTGCCCTTCTTGATGTAGGCAGCGGGAATTTCGATCTTGTCGAGTGACATGGTGGTGGTGAGAAGCTCGACCAACTTCTGATCATCCAGGAGGATGGGCACATGGTAGGTCGAGTTTACGTCGTGAACAGCGATAACCTGCTCGTTGTTGACATCGCAGAAGAGTGCAATCTTCTTAATGGTTGCCGGTTGGAGCGGTTGCGGGCAACGGCAGGCAATCTACCCTCAAACGTCAGAACCCATACTTGCTGTCGCACTCGGTAGGAGAGTTTTACCAAATCGGGCGACAGACCGGCAGATCTAACATCTCTGATGGCCGCCTGGGTGGGCTTCGTCTTCTGCTCACCACTAATGACCGGCACCAGTGACACATGGATCTGCATAAAGTTGTCCTTGCCCGCGCGCCTTCTGAGCTGGCGTAGAGCCTCGATGAACGGAGCGGACTCGATGTCTCCAACGGTTCCTCCGAGCTCGATGATGCAGACGTCCGGCTTCTCGCCTGTCTCGTCGACAGGAACCTGTGCGACACGCTCTATCCAATCCTGGATGGCGTCTGTCAGGTGAGGAACCACCTGCACCGTCTTTCCAAGATAATCGCCACGCCTCTGTAATGCCCCCCATACTGTCAACCAAAAGTTCCCCTTCCACCCATCGGCAAGATCAAGGGTAGACGTGCCTCCCGCTCGATCACCTGCTGGTACACCTTCCCGGTCGTGATGTTGTTCTCTCGGGTCAAGGTGATGTTAAGGTATCTCTCGTAGTTCCCGAGGTCGAGATCGACTTCTCCTCCGTCGCTGAGAACGAAACATTCGCCGTGCCTTTACCAATAGTACGATCAGCCCTCTATTTCGCGGCCAGAGTGTCGCACAACACAAAGGGTAATAGTACTCAGTGGGGGCCATGGTTCCGGCATCGACGTTCATGTACGGGTCGATCTTGATTGAAGTGACGTGGGAAGGTCAGCCGGAGGCACGGCGCACAGAAAACTCGGAGGAGGACATATCTTAAGACCCTTCGTCTTAAGCAGCAGGCCGGTGGAGGAGGCTATACGAAAGCAGTGAATTAGCAGCACATTCACCCTTCTGCAAGAGGTCCAGACAAAAAACTTACCGATCACGCCCTTTCCAATACCGCTGATAACACCTGAAGCCCCCACCCGGTAATCAGGAATGCCCCATATTTCAAGATCCAAAGAGTAAACCGACCTCCAGACACCAAAACATACTTCATCTTGACTTTTTGTCGGGGGGTTGAGTGTCTCGAATGAAGTAGATCGCGAATGTCGAAAGGTATACGCTGCGGTGGTGGGTTGTTGGAGAGGGAAGGGACGAAAAATGGTTGTTTCGCGTGGAAGTTGAGAATTAGCATATGGTGGGGCTCAAGAGACGCTAGTGTGGCTAGTAGTGGGGCAGCAAGTTGCAACAGGGTTCAGACTTGAAAGTTGCGGGCTGCGAGGTTCTGTGAAACCAAACAGGCCCTAAGTAACTTCTCACTGTTCGAGGAAGGACCTGGAGATGCCCCAAATCAATATCCACATCACCATGAGGTTCTACACATCTACAGTAGTACTACCTCCCACTGCCCATTTCCCCGGTCCGAGTGTTGAGGCAGAAAGCCATAGAAAAAGCCGGCAATCTTGATGTCCACCCATAATATATCTCTTGAATAGAGATTGACTTGAGGCTCGAAGTGGTAACCCACATCACATGTAGAACTAGGCAGTTTAGCTATGATTGGTGCTTCCGGTGGCAGATAAGAAGTAGGTAATCCGACTTCGCATGCCACAAGAAGGCGAGTCACCGTACTTATCCACCGGCTGTTCCTGAGGATGTGCAGAGTTGTTGGCTTCGTGAGAGAAGGCACGCATGTTGATGCAGGACGGTTGAGGCGGTGCGTCAAGAATCGTTGATATCGCATGGGAGCCTTGAAACAGAGGCATCTAGATCGAGGGGCCGGAACAGCGGTGACACAAGCAGGTCTTGTCGAATCGCAAGTCGAGCTGAAATCGCAGGTCAAGCTGAAATCGCAGGTCGAGCTGGAATCTGGAGGCCTGGGTTAACGGCTGTCACACGACCCTATCACGCCAAGATTGATGGACAATTGCTGGAGCAGCCGCAGGGTCCCGGGCATCCCACGCTGTATGTAGGTTCCCAGTCAAATGTTGCTCGACCAGAGTCCAGAATAATCAATGCGTGAGAAAGCATTAATAATGGGGATAATTTGCTCATTTATGAATCGTATTGTGGCCGCTAAAAGTACACCCAAATTCCCGCACCGAAGTGTAAAACTGAAAACTAAGGAAACATCAACAAAGGACCCCTGAAACAAAATCGTTTTCCAATTCTCCATAGATCTGAACACTGAATTACTCGCGAAAATGTGTTCATCCGTATGCATACATGTACGAAATCGAGATTGCTCACGCCGTTACGGGACATACTCGTCGTCACCCTGTGGCTCAAATTTCTGCCTCTTCTGCTGCTGTTGCTGCTGGGCGCCTTCCTTTTTAAACATGTTGACGAGATCCTCGTCGATGCCCTCAAACATGTTGGCATCGTCGGACGGAGATCTCTTGAGACCAGAGCCGTTGTTGTTGAGCGGCGCAGCTAGACTGGCCAACAATTCGGAAGCTCCAGCATGGAACTCGGCCGGATAGGGAGGTGCAGCAGGAGCGATTGAGTGACGATGATGAAGCTCGCTTGCGGGGGTGGGCGGCTCAGGCTCGTGCATAATCTGGGCCGGTGGAGTCAAGGCTTCGATTTCCGGGGATCTGAGCTCCTCGGGACTTTCTTCCCTTGGTGTTCTGGACCCATCTCCACCGCTGGGATTCTCTTCAAGATCCTTCATGATCAGATTCTCGACGGATGCCTTAGTCTCCTCAGCCTTTGCTCGCTTCTCTGCAAGATCCAGGGCCACCTGCTCGTCCTTGGCCAATGCTGCCTTGCTCTGTTCCAGCAACCTCTCGATGTTGCGGATATGAGATTTGCGGGCCTCGATGGCACCTTTGACCGCATTATCCGCAGTGTCGAGGGTCTTGAGAAGTGTAGAAAGCCTGGCGGCATACACCGGGGGTGCCGGGAGCTGCTCGACATCGAATTGCTTGTGAAATTCGTTCTTGGCGGTGCCAGTCGTAATGGCGATCGTTGAGGCCTTGTCGCGGATCTCCTTGTGTGTCTTGAGGAGAGGCACGAATTCAAGCGGCACATCGGGGCCTTTGCCTAGTCCTCCCGCGCCCAGGAAGCCGGTGCCGAGCTTCAGACCTCCGCCGAGACCACCCTTCGAAGCACCGGATGTTTTTCGGTCGATAGCTTCGGTAGGTCAGCAATTGGAACTACAGAGCCATAGACATGATACCGCTTACCCTCGATCTTCGTCTCAATCTCCGCCTGAACCTCGGGCTTGAAGATGTTCCTCTCCCTCCAGACCTGAACCACTCGCCTCATCTTATCCTGAATATCCGGCTTGCAACCATCGTATGCGGCTGCGGTTCCATCGGCGATGAGCTAGACAACGAAACCAATTAGCCAGTTGTCGTAACCTCCGAGTACATGGCGGGGCTCACCGGTGTAAAAGCGTTACCGAACTCGGGCTTGTTCTTCGCCTTCGACTGCTGGATGATTTCTGTATCGGACAGTGATCAGTCAATTGCATCGTAATTGTGAAGGCGACAGAGCATCGTAGACATACCATTAGCGAGGTAAATAAGCATAAGCTTCCTGTGGGCGGATGATTCTTTGACCCTCTCGAACCATAACTCTGTCGAGCGCTTTGCCTGTCGCCTGGTTGATGTCGGTCAGAGTTCCTTGCATGGCCAAAGGCAAGACATACCTGTGGAACATGATCCACTGCGCAACAGCCACAATCGCATCTTGGGAGTCGTTGAGCGCCGACAACTTCGAACGCACAGTTTCGTCGGTGTAAGATGAACTCATGCTGGACTGGGGGGGCGTTTCGTGATCTGAGATTGGTGGTTCCGATGATTATTGTAGTGGTGGTAGAGGTGATCCAGGAACGCGTAGAGCGGGCGAGCGGCAAAGGCTTTTGGGGCGGGTTTTGTTTACAGTCTCTTCTTGGGGTTTGAGAGATCAAAGACTAGAGCTACGAAGGGAAAAAGTTGCGCTGCGGTGGTGCGTAGCTCCTCTGCCTGGGTAATATCTCTCTTCGTAGTTCCTCTGTCTTTTGTTCTTCTTTGACTTCAAGGGAAGACGTGTTGTTGTGCGTCAAGTGGTGTTGCTTGCAGAAGCTCGGCGAGTGGGCTTTTTAAGTAGTGCCAAGAAACCTAGCGGCGCCATCATCATCGGGTTGCCTTCCGCCTGAGACAAGGGTGATCACTCTAACGATTTACGGTGCTCGAGGACATGCAAGAGAGCAATCATACAGATGGACGGAAAATAGACATCGAATTGAAGGACGCTGCTCATTATAAAAGTACAAATTTTGCCCGCGAATCTCCCAATGAAAACAGAGATTTTACAAACTCCCAGCCAGACAAAAACATGCTGGAGCTTCCGCTTGAAGAGTTACTCCGCAAATTTAGACCAGCATGCATGAGAAAACACAAAAAAGAAAACAACTAATCCACCTCCGCGGCGAGCGGGTTTTCGGTTTCCTTGTTCTTCCCCTTGTTCCTGGCCGTAGTGTCGGTTCCGCTGTCGCCGCTGGTACCCGATTTCGCTCGCGCCTCCTGCTCCTCGAGCTCGTGCAGCATTTTCTGGCCGTCCTCCGTGGTGGCATCGATGATCTGGGACTCGAGCGACAGCATTCCACCCTACGAAGTGAGTGAGTCAACAGCGTTACACGGGTGGCCAGTGTTTTTTTATCTGATTGGAGAACCGCATACCTCTCCAAGCTGCCCAACAATTTCCTCGGCTTCTTCGACGCTCATCTTTCCCAAAACTTTGTTGACCTCATCAAGGCTTCCGCTCTCGAGGGCTCTTCTCAGTCCTGGTGGGAATGATTCGAAAACCTCCCTGGCTTGCTTCTCTTCCGGATCATCCGAACTGGCTGGAGGTATACTAATGTTGATGGTCGTGTTGGGGTCCACCGCGTGTAGCTGAATCTGCTCCACGCCCTGGCTACCCTTCTCCTGTTCCGAAGATATTTCCCGTGCACGCTCCTTGATGCGAGAATAGGTTTGGTGCACATCATCGTAGAAAACCTTCTGCGCGTGGTGCCCGGCGGTCGTGATGCTGGGGGAAATATTAGTAAAGCCAAATTGAGTGGAGGAAGGATAGTGTATCGGCAATACCGCTTGAAGAAGAGTGAGACGCCATCAGAACCCAGCTGTCGGCAGTATTGAAGCAGCAGCGCTTGGTGCACGCATTGCTTTGCGTATACATCTTTGCCAGCAATCTGGGAGTTGAAGGCATCAATCAGAAGCCCGTCGGTCTCCTTCTCCGAGACAACCGCAGGATTCTCCCGGATGAAAGCTAGACAACGGTTATATTCCCCTATCTTGATCTTCGCGAACTCTTTTCCAAGCGCAGTGGGCTCGAAATGCTGTTCGTCATCGTCGTCTTCCTCTCCGGCAATCTCCTCGATGTCCGCCTCGGCGCCCGAAGACACCGACTGATCCCCTGATGGCTGGAAACCGATGGCCGAAGGGCGGTTCAATTGTTCAACAGCCTGGACTTTCGACACAGACTTCTTCTTGGATGCTGCCATGGACGAGGAAGAAGCTACCTCTTTCTTGTTGACGTGACCCGCAGAGAAACCCTCGTGCACATCATCACTGGTAATCTTAGCCTTCTCTTCCTTTTCGAGGTCGGCCAGCTTCTTGTAGGTGTCCTTTGTCTGCTGCTGTAGCTTTCCCCGATGGTCCCTCAGCTTGTCGAGGAAAGCCTTCCAGCGATCGGCGGGATTCTCCTCGTCGATCTCCTTCTTGATGGTATCCACCAGCGCGGCGATCATCTGGGCATATCCGGGGGTACCTACAGGTACCTGCGGCGCATTTGAGTTGTCCTCCGTCGAGAGCTGGATGAGAGCATGCATGACCATGTCGGCGGCAGGCTCAGCGGAATGGTCGCCGAGGGTCGCGATCAACTTGTCGAGCATCGAGAGAAGGTGGTCGTTCATGGCAATCTCGGTCTTGTAGTGGTTCATCTGTTGTTTCCGCAGCGAGCGATTCTCGTGGATCTGACGGCGTTTGGCATTGATGAAGGAGCGTTTGTCGACATTTGCTAGATATGGCGACTGGTGTCAATATATTTTCTCGGATGAAGCTGTTGAAGCTGTTGGAGTGGACGGCTGCATGGCTTACGGTGGACTTCGATATCCGAGTCATCAGACAATTCGATTCTGAGAGATGAGCTTCGGTTAGTACGTCATCGAGCAAGAGGAAGCGGTAGACGGTACTCACTTGTCCCACTTGGAATAGTCCAAAACCATAATGGCGATGTATTTGGGTTACTTTGTCTGTGAGGTCTGCACAAAACTTCTGGAGAACGTCAAGAGTGGGGTTGAAGTTGAGGATTTTCTGTTGTTTATCGAGTTGAGATGGAGGAGCTTTGTTAGCAGGGGACTTTTGAGCTGATGTGGGGTTGAGGGGCACGAGGCCTGCATCCTTGGCAATTGGCATGAGCTAGGCACTTTCAGGTCGTTATCCTCCAGGTGAATGTTCTCGAAGAACCCAACCAGAAAAGGAAGCACAGGTGCGCGCATCGTCACTTTTCCGATTTACTCGATTCTCACGAAAGCCTGATCGGCAGACATAAAGTGAAGCCTGGAGACCTGGATTCCCAAAGCAACGTCCGACTCTCGGTGGAGATGCATCCATATATCGCTGATGGTGTTCGCGCATTGTCGATCGGCGCTGCACATCTTGATGCGTGGGGAAAGGGATAAAGACGGGGGAATAGACCTGATACGGCACCATGCACTTACGATACAGAGTCATGATATTTCAGCTACATAACGGAATATTGTGTGTGTGGGGGGAATGTCAGAAATACAGGCAGAAGAAGTCTCTGCCATTACTTGTTAAATGTATCTCGCCGCCGGCCCCACATGGAATCGAAATCGAGATGGGCCATATCTCGATGAATACTGCCGTCCCATAGTTACGCAGCACAAGTGCCTAAGTACTGAGGTACCTGTGTCAGTCAGCAAATAGGTAATGAAGCAAGCAGGCGTTGGTCGGGCTTTCGGATGGGAATCTTCTTCCTCGGCCAGCTCGGCTCATGATCATGACCATCCAAAGTCCACTCTAACTAAGGCCTGGCCACTGGCAAAAGGATCAGAATTCTCGGGATATCACGTGATTGGGACATTTTCAACATGACATATGCCTTGCTTCTCACCTCCCACGCCAGGCTTCCACAGCTCCAATCCTCCCCACGCAATCCGACCCCACCCACCAAACGCAACCCCCTCCATCCCCGGTGCCAACAGATTGCCGCACCCCTCCCCACATCGTCTGACCCTTCGATTGTTCGTTGCCGGATCACAAGAGGCATATACCTACCTCGGCGGAAAATCCCGCCTGTCCCGCAGTCAATGTCATGAAGGCAGCTGGTCGCCCATTGCAACGGGCATTGGCCCAAACAAGTCGGTTCATAGCACCGGCTCGCGTCCTATGTTCTCTCCAATCCATCCCCCTATGTGCGCTGGGCCCGCTGCGGCAATCTCAGAGCTGTAGCTCAGCGGCGCTCGGCCATGCTCGGTATCTCAGCTCGTCACCTCCGACAAAGTTCGTCTTTCCGCAGCCCCGAACATCAAGCCCTATATCTACACGGTCATTCTACAATTCGGCAATACCACGACAGGCAAGGCTGCCAGAGGAGGAGAAGGTAAAGGATATTGTAGCTAAGGACGCCGTGGAAACGGAATCCGTCGGCTTTGAACTCTCGGAAAAGGCGGCAAAGGCAACACAAGTAAATCTATCGGCAAAGCTCAACAAAGATGGAAAATCCGGTGGCAAAACTGGATTTGGCGAAATAGTCCGACTGTTAAAGATCGCGAAACCGGAGTCCAAGTGGCTGGGAGGTGGGTCCTGGAGGGGTCGGACAGTAAATTGTAGATGCTGACCCCATCTCAGGCGCCTTTATGCTACTCTTGCTCAGCTCATCGATAACAATGGCTATTCCGTAAGTTCTTTTCATCAATCTTCATGTGCCAGTGCTGAACTTCACAGATTCTCGATTGGAAAGATACTCGATGCGGCAACCAATCCCAACGGCGGAGATATGCTCTTTGGGCTTACAACTATGCAATTCTACGGTGCTCTCGCAGCTGTACGTAGCGCCCCGCTTCGAATCCGTTAGAAGCCTAACCCGAGATCAGGTTCTATGCTGTGGTGCTGGCGCGAATTATGGTCGTATCATCCTGCTCAGGCTTGTTGGTGAGCGTATCGTTGCCCGTCTCCGGTCTCAACTCTTTCGGCGTACCTACGTGCAGAATGCAGAATTCTTCGATGCCAACCGCGTTGGAGATCTGATCTCTCGGCTTTCTTCGGACACTATTATCGTGGGCAAGAGCATCACACAGAATCTCTCGGATGGACTTCGTGCGCTGGTCACTGGTACTGCGGGTATTGCACTGATGACTTACGTGAGCTTCCAATTGACGTCGGTTATGGCCTTTATGTTTCCTCCAATCGCGGTCGCTGCGTTCTTCTATGGACGAAACATCCGGAATCTCAGTCGCAAGATCCAGCGATCCCTGGGCTCACTTACCAAAGTTGCGGAAGAGCGCTTGAGCAATGTCCGAACCAGTCAGGCCTTCGCAGGTGAAGTTTTGGAAGTTGGCCGGTACAATAAGGGCGTTCGCAGGATCTACAACCTCGGCAGAAAAGAGGCCTTGGTCAGCGCCGCGTTCTTCAGTTCTACTGGTCTCATTGGAAATATGACGATTCTTTCGATTCTGTACATTGGAGGGTCGTTGGTCAAATCCGGGACAATCACAATCGGAGAACTTTCGTCTTTCTTGATGTATGGCGCTCACACCACAATTCCCTGAAGTATTCTAACAGAAATGCAGGTACACCGCCTATGCCGGATCTAGTATGTTTGGCCTATCAAGCTTCTACTCCGAGCTCATGAAAGGAGTGGGAGCTGCAAGTCGTCTCTTCGAGCTACAAGACAGAAAACCCACGATCCGTTCGACTGTCGGTACGAAGGTGACCTCTGCTCGTGGTATCATCAAATTCAACGACGTCTCATTCGCCTACCCCACCCGCCCTGCCGTTACCATCTTTGACAAGATCAGCTTCGATATCAAACCGGGTATGAGTGTGGCCATCGTCGGACCATCTGGAGGTGGAAAGTCCACCATTTCTTCGCTCCTGCTCCGTTTCTATGACCCCACCTCCGGCTCCATCACGATCAACGGCGTAGACATCAAGACCATGAACCTTAAATCCCTCCGCCGACGTATCGGCGTGGTAGCCCAAGAACCTGTGCTATTCTCCGGGACCATCGCAGAAAACATCGCCTACGGTAAGCCGACCGCCAGCAAACTCGAGATCGTTGAGGCCGCACGCAGGGCGAACTGCAACTTCATTTCCGACTTCCCCGAGGGTCTGGAGACAAACGTGGGACCTCGCGGAGCCATGCTTTCTGGAGGCCAGAAGCAACGCATCGCCATTGCGCGCGCGCTCCTCAAGAAGCCCGACATCTTGATCCTGGACGAGGCTACCAGCGCGTTGGACGCCGAGTCGGAAACCGCGGTCAACGAGGCTCTCTCCAAGCTGATGGACTCCAGCACGACCACCCTCTCGATCGCACACAGGCTTAGCACCATCGCGGCCGCCAGACTGGTCATCGTCCTCGATAACAACGGGAAGGTGGCGGAGACGGGAACGTTCAAGGAGCTGGTCGCGCGCGACGGGCCGTTCAAGAAGTTGATGCAGTGGCAGATCAGCGGTGGGGAAGATCCCCAGCAACGACCGCACCATCCACGGCCCGCCGAAGAGGAGCAGGAGCGGTTGGATGCGGAGATGGCGGAAGAGGGTCGCGGACAGCCGGAGGAGGAGGAGCTTGAGGAGCTGGAGGAGCCCAGAAAGTCGAAGCAGCAGCAGCCACCATCCTCCTAGGACCTCCTCACGATGAGGGGGGAAGCTGGCAGTACTAAAAAATTTGGGGGGTTTATGTTACCGGTTTTTCTTTAGACTGCTTTTTCCCTGCACATAGAAGTTTTCTCTTATAGGTTTTTTTTATTCTAGTATCTCTTCTTCCCCTGCGTCTGAATACCCCCCGTAAATATTGCCCCGTAGTGTACGCGTGTGCAATCCAATCCCTTGTATCATATCTCCACTCTTTTTTCTTCCTTTTGGCCTGATGATTGGTTTGCCTTGTTGGGGGTGGGGTGTTTGGATAATGGAATACAGTCATGCATAGATTGTCACTCGAGTATGTGAGCACACCATCGGAATTTCTAGTGTCCACCAGGTTCTATGACTATCAATAGAATCAGGACAAATTACGCAGTCAGAGGTTTTGTAGAGGTAGAATATGAGCATTGCTAGACAAAAACATACGAAGATATACGAAGACAAAAATAAACAAAAAAAACAAACAAAGATGAAAACAAATGAAAACAAAAACCAACAACGACCGTATCTCGTCCAAATCGATCACATCTCCTTCAACTCCTTCAAGACCTCCGCCACAGCGGACACAGATCATCCTCTTCCTCCTCGAACAGCCTCGCAGCGCTCCCTCCAGCGGTTCACCGGGGAACCCAACGACTAAGCACACTCCTTGAAGCGCTCTTTCAACTCCTGGGTTATTCTCCCAGACTAGTTTTCTCAGACATCAATTTGATGTGGAGGTTTTTGGTGAGCGTAGCCGAAGACCGACAGGTTTCTCGGACAGGTTGTCCGTGAGAAGGTTGTTGGGAATGTTGACAGGTCGTCGCAGTTGGAGCGAGGCCTGGTGCCAGCGAGGCAGCCCCATTGGTAGTTGGAGGCTGCAGGGCGGCCCGGGCCCGTCTGCGGCAGGGATGGAATGAGCCTACTAGCCCGGGCCCGTGGCAGTTGGAGACGGAGTCTGTTTCCATCCGTACATCCATTCGTTGTTTGACAACGTCGAAAAGCGGTTCTTCTGTGTTTTTGAAGCTGTTAGTGAGGGATCCACAGCAGGCGCTTTGGGAATAAAAGCACAAGAATAGTGGACACTCGATAACACAAGGGAAGGAAAACTGCAATCCTGCTCGACCGAGACATAGAAAACAGCGATGTATGTTTGGGAGGAGATATTGGGGAGGTTAGTACCTTAGGTCTGCATGGCGTGGCGGAGCAGTAGTAGAGAGCGGAAGTCGATCGTAATACTAGTCATCCGACAATCATTTCTTGGAGTTTGTCGAGCCACCGAGGGCTGATTGGAAGGCTTCATGAAAGCAGTAAAGATTGATGAAGGAGATAAAGATGGGCGATTGTGGATGTTGTTATGGTTGAGTGTGTGGTTGTTGTTATGATTGAGAGAAGTGTGTAAAGGAAGGAGGACGGGGACGGTGGATGGAGGTGGGTTCTTATAGAAAGCGTCTGCAGTCACGAGTCATCCCACATGAGTCTGTACGTGCAGCCCACAGAACTGGAACACCACAGGAGGGTAGGGTCAAACCCGCGGATACCACAGTAGGAAAGGGTTATCTGCGGCAGGACCAATATGGACAAATCTTCTCCAGAACCAGACGGGGTTATGTAGCCCAGTTGGTTCCTTCCCCAACATGCTTCAAGTTGCGAGGAAAGGTTCAACTACCATCTTTCGGCTGTGTGTCACTTCCGCAGCGAAATGCAGTGGCCCAGAAAAGCTACCGGTTCTGGCGTGGAATCGCCGAGCGACTCCACGGCACAGCTGTGTATGAAATATGTCCTTGCTTCCTTGGGGTCGATGTCCAGATCCGTCTCCAGCACCTACGTATAAACCTCGAGTTATCCATCAGTTGCTGCCTGTACGCAGCTCACCAACCCATCCGTGTCCGGATCTATAGGCATCTCTCGCCAATCTACATACTCCACTATACCAGTGAATCTGATGATTTCGCATTAAACCCAGGAAGCAGATCATTGAGCATACTACTGGCACCGGTATGCATACCCTGACGGAAAGCCTACAAGAGAACTGCCTTAAATCCGTACATATGTAGAGTATTTACGGCTGGGCAGGTTCCCGTAGGTATCAGTGACAGGGTCAGCAGGGTCGTTGCGCGGGGGGCACGAATCATGTTTTATCGCTCGTACGCCGAGTGAGATGCCATGCAAAGTTTTGAGCAAACCTCCTCCTAATTCCAACGCTGGTGGGGAACCAACCGCAGAAACCGAACCCCGCCCACCGCATGGTGGCTGGCAGATTTGAAATTCCAGGATTCGGTTCTTCCCTTGCCGCCGGGTGCGTGAATCACTACGCCGCTAGCCACTCGGGGGATTCGGGGATTGGTCTCCATGAGGCTACACGGCATCATCTCGATGGCACCGAGAATGTGTATCCGTCTCCGCCTCGCCTCTTCCTCTTTCCGTGCTATCTATGGCCCTGATCCGTTCCCCATAGCGTACGTCTGGACCGGCGGATGACTTCGGAGCTTTTCTCACTCATACCCTCGTACCTCCACCCCGTCCACATAGTGAGTACATGTAGTAGACCCCCGCAACAAGAACTAATAAACCCAACCGGTAGATGAAATTCAGATTGATACGCCATAGATGATCCCCTCGCACCCACTCACCCACTCACCCACTCATTCACCCACTCACCCACCACTCACCCACCAACCGTTCTATCAATGCCATTTGTCATTGTGCTAGAAAGAAAAAGAAAAAAAGAAAAAATTGCAGCCAATCTGAGGTACATTTCCGACTCGATTCAGCCTCGAGGAAGAAAGCTCAGATTACGGGAAAAGAAACCGAAACGGAAAACGGAAACGGAAAACGAAAGGGAAAGTAAATGGGGTCGCAATATTAGCATGGAGTAAGATGTACTCTAGTACCTGGCTAGGTAGCTCGGTGAATGGTGTTAGCATGAACCATCATCCATAATCCCATCTGTCCATCCATCCATCCATCGTTGTATCCTCCCGTCCGAAAAACTAATTCGTGTCCAAAAACAATGCATTTCCAAATGCCCAGCTCCCCCTCCCCCCCTTCCATCCCGTCCCATCCCATCGTGAAACCTTTGCCCAAAGGAAAATAAAGAAAATAAAATAAAACACGGCAAAATAATCACCTCATAGCTAGCAGCTAACCAAACACACCAACACGAACGCAGCGTGTTGATCTTCACTCCTCAATCTCCTGGAGTGGCACAGTGATAGCGTTCTTGACCCACTCGTCATCGCAGACAGCGTCGAGCTTCCATCTCTTTAGCGCGCGCTTCAGTAGACTCATCACAATCCTCTTTCCGCCCTCAAACTGTTCGTCATAGCCCGGCGCCGCCAGCTTGACCCATTTCCACTCGCAGCGAGCAATCTTGTGCGCCGTCTTACTCCGCATCTTCTTCTCCGAGCTATCGGGCGGCGGGTCAAACGGCAATTGTCCCTCCAGCAGTGCATAAAGTAGCACGCCGAGCGCCCAGGCATCGGTCGAGCGCCCATCGTACGGCTGTCCCATTATGAGCTCGGGGGCGGCGTAGTCGTCCGAGCCACACCGTGTGGTCAGCAGATCGTCCTTCTCAAAGTCGACACGACGACTGAGTCCCACATCGGTGAGTGTGATGATGGGGTGAGGATAATCGAAGGGCGAATCTGAGACAGCGTTGAGCTGTGGCCGTGTAAGATTGACCAGGACGTCTAGAGCACTGATCAATATCCCTCAAAGGGCCACAAAAAAAGACAAAAAAAAAGGTTTCTAACGGCCACTCCACAAGTAAAGGTGGGAGGGGGGGTTTTATATCATACTTTCGAGCTTGACATCACGGTGTACAATTCCGTTTTGATGTAGATACCGCACGGCACTGACGATCTCTGCGAATATACGGCGGATCAACCGCGGCCTCAGTTTGATCGAGTAATCCGTGGCGACATCGAACAGATCCCCTCCGGCGCAAAAGTTAAGCACCAATAGCGCGCGGGAAGGCTCAATGTTAAAAGCCTTCAACCGGACCAAACAGGGATGATGGACGGACATGAGAATGTCGAGTTCCCGTTTCAAGCCGCTCTCCACTCTCTCTTTCGATTCCGTACCCGCGGCGCCGTGCTCGATAATCTTCACGGCGACGTATTTCCGCGGGTTCAGAGTGACGGGCTCGTCGTCCACGACCACACCTTCGTCGTGCACTTGGTCGACCTCGTCCGGAATGTCCTCCGATGTTGCTAGTATGACTTTGCTGAATGCACCTTGCCCTATAAGACGCATTCCTCTCCACCTCTTGACCCTACCCGTCCTCGTGCTCTTGGCCTCGAAGCTCTCGAGCTTCTGCTTCCTGATCAACCGAACACTCTTTTCGTCCGGATCGGCGCAACACGTTTCCATGCTGGAAACCGACGACAACGACGTGACGCTCCCGCTGAGATATGGACTCGAATCGGCGGAAGAGAGTGTTCTCCGTCGCTGCGCCAGACATTTTTCGCGGTGTATCTTGGTCGAAGCGTCGAATACCGGTAGCGAGGGACTCCGCTCGTGTCCGCCATTCTTCGACAGGCTGCGACGGATTGGTATCGGAAGGGTCGACTCAAAATCCAGCTTCTGACCCGTCGTGCCGTTGAAGGAAAACTGCGGTTGCGCAGGAGCAGGTGGTGGTCGGAGAGCTTGGAAGGTTATCCGTTGGTTCTGCGCCGCCAATGCAGTGTCGAGCGACTCGCCACTAGACGTGACAAGGGCCGAGTTCCCGCGACTGCTGAGGGATGGTCGCACCGGGGTTCCCCGAGTCACGGAGGGGTTCCGCGACAACCCTCTGAACTGGTTCCAGGGTCCGGGAGACTCGCAGCTGGCGAGAGGCGACGGCAATGGCGTCATGCGGCCGATGGCATCCATGCCTGGGGAATAACAGGACGACGACGCCGAGGAAGGACCTATCGGGGAGAGGCTTTCGCTGACCATGCTTGCCGTCGTCGCCGGAGTCAACGACGCCGTAGCGGAGTCGGAGCGCACGCTTCGGGTTGTGACGGTAGCTGTAGGAGCGGTTGTGGTTGCAGTAGGAGTATGACCAGGAGTAGGAGTAGGAGTAGGAGTGGAGGTGCTGAAGACAAAGTCTGTTTTCAAACGAAGGCTGGGGGACTGCGGGGCGACGCCGAGCAATATGTTGGGGTTCGCGAGATGGTGTTGGGGGCGGGCTTCAGGGTTCGAGTGGGGGGCGGAAGACGGTGATGGTGATGTAGTAGTAGCAGCAGCAGTAGTAGCAGTACTGGATTCGGCGTCTCTATTCATACTGGAGGCGGCGGGCGACAAGGACGTGGCCAAAGATAGAGATGCGGCAGAGTCATTCTTATGCGCCATGATTACGACAGGCTTCATGCGCAACAACCTATGAGCTGCCGATGATGCTGATGATTATGATGATGGTGCTGATATCAGAACAAGTAGGCACTTACACTGCTTTAGCGACAAGACGAGGCTGGATGACACCCACACGTAAGTAGATATGTAGAAATGGCCGTTCCGCAAAGCGACGAGTAAGAAGGAGAGTTCTTTTTCTTTTTCTTCTTCTTCTTGTATGCGGGAGCGGAGGGGGATCCTTTTTGACAGGAGGAGGAGGGCGGCGACGCTGCTCCGTGCAGCAGGTGGTAAGTAGCTTTAGTCTGAGAAGGCGGGGTGTGTGTGGGGGGAGGAAGGGGGAGGAAGGGAGGAGGGGGATTAAAGATTGGGGGCCGGGCCGATTGGATGTCCTCTCTGAGTGTTTGTTGTTTCACGTTCTCCGAGTCATGTACGGCACCATGCAACCCCACGAAGATCTGCAATAGGGTACCTAGGTTCGGGTTCTTGGTGTCTATCATAGGTGCGAGTATGTAAGAAGGTTGGGAACAGAAGTGCGAATACCCGAACACCGTTGCCCACGACATACATGTGAAGGGACTCCGGACTGCGTCTTATATAATGTAGGTAGTACGTATCGGCGCGGAGTGTACGTGTAGATAGTAGGAGGTATGAGGTATGTACCTACTCTATGCATGTACTATACCTGCATATCTTGTCTGCGATCAAGTACTCGGCCGGACCGTGTTTACTTCTCAGGTTGAATGTTCTTCCGGCCGATGTGAGAACAAAGGCCGGCTCCATTGATAGGTTTCGTCTCAAGGTTTGAGCCTGGTCTTTTTCCATATCATATTGATGGCCGAAACAACACAGAGTTACTATGATACCTTGTGTACCTAGAGTAGGGGCCTCCATTTCCCCACTCGGCCCGTCCAGATCATGTGGCCACGGTAGATACTAGATAGGGTATCTGCTAGTAGTGCAACGGAACAGATACGGTGGGTTTTGTCGGCGACGGTCTACCGCTTCTGTTGGCTATTTCCTGGAGAGAGTTGGTAGCTTCACGCAGATTTGGCAGGAGTGCACATTTCCTCGAATGCGCCGCTTGCACGCACGCAGATTATCCGTAATCGCGCTCAGCTTTATGTACCGTAGATACCTTATGCACATGCGTTGTATCTGCAAGCGATGAAGGCGACTCCCGGCGGACTGTCCGTGCAATTCGTCAAGGCAGACGTGCAAAGTAGGTACATACTTGTTAGTATCGTATAACTAAGGATCGGAAAGCTGGAGATACCCACTAGGTACACATACCCACTAGGTACACATACACACTTCTAGGTACACGGTCACAGTTTTTTTTGACTCACTTCTTCATACTTAGCAATTTTCACGGAGAGGGCGGTAACCAAGTATTTACTGAGAAGATATTCGGTCGGAAAGCACACTGACATGAGGTGACTCCATCACGAGATCACGGGAAGCCCCTCCATGTCCATGGGCCACCGTCGAGGGTGATACTCGGTGACCGGTCCGACTCCGGAGTAACGTCTAGGTAGGGCCATCCAGCCGCAAAATCCAAATTTCCGGATCAAAGTTGCGGCTAACGCAGAGGAGCTGTGGCCGTGATCCAGAAAATGTAGAGAGTATCAGATATGAGTGCAAACAACATCATTTAGACCATTGGACCATTGGACTACTAGACTACTGGATCATTGGATCATTGAACCGTTGGATTGTTGGATCATAGGATCAATATCGGATGGCATGCAGACTCGCTCTAGCGAGTTCGTGCGGCTCTCGCACCTACATACCGCACCTATGCTGTGCAAGCATCCGACCAATCACACGCCGCTGCTTACCTGAAGCATTTGGCACTGTTTTTTCTTCCAGTCGGTGATCCGTTCGCCTCGAGTCACTGCTGGTGTACTATATTGTAGTGCCTACTGAAACCTGTCTGTCTCTCCGCTCAACACACCGCACTCCCCCGAGTCTCCCGTGCTCTGGTGAGTCGAAGCCCCCCCAACCCGTCTGCAATCGTCGTCTTCGTCCACCAGCCGCTGACTCAACTCGCCAGAGAAGAAATAAAACACAGAGCCACTCAGCCCCCACTACTCCTCCATATCCACACCCCGCCACCATGCTCTCGCGACTACACCTCCGGCCCGCTGCGGCAAAGGTTCTTACCGCGAAGAATGTTGCGTACGTCAATTCCTACGGCACTCTTCGATCGCATGAAACCCGGCCGTTTGCTGACCCATCTCGTACAGACGGACGTTTGCAGTGTCCGCTGCTCGGCGGTCATCGAGCTCGAGCGGCATAAACAAGTCCTCGGCGCACATCACTCAGCCCAAGTCGCAGGGTGCATCGCAAGCAATGTGTTAGCTACCATAGCCCTTCCCTTCCCTTCCAACCACCCGTTGCCATGATCGACCGTCGTCGTCGACGACGACAGGTGGATGGATGGATACAACGCAGTCGTGTGGGTAAGCTGACGACGCTTACGTAGTGTATGCGACTGGAATGAACGAGCAGGACATGAACAAGGCGCAGGTCGGCATCTCATCGGTACCACTTCCCGATCCCTACGCGCTTCCGCGGACACACGAGCTCTCTGCTTCGGTGACTTACGGATGTTAGGTGTGGTACTCGGGCAACCCTTGCAACATGCACCTGCTGGACCTGAACAAGAAGGTCAAGGAGGGTGTTGAGAAGGCCGGTCTGGTCGGAATGCAGTTCAACACCATCGGTGTGAGGTATGTCGCCGATATCCCGAAACTCCGGGCGGGTCGGCGATACGGGGTTCTGACTTTGCCGCCAGTGACGGAATCTCCATGGGCACGAGCGGTATGAGGTACTCGCTGCAGTCGCGCGATCTGATTGCGGATTCTATCGAGGTCAGTCTATATCATGTGCTCCGATCGCATGTGCGGTCTTGCTAATCCGCATGCATCGCAGACCGTGATGGGAGGACAATGGTACGACGCCAACATTTCTATTCCTGGATGTGACAAGAACATGCCGGGTGTGGTCATGGCCATGGGCCGTGTCAACAGGCCCTCCCTCATGGTCTACGGAGGAACCATCCAGGCCGGAAAGGCCGCCTGCCAAGGTGGTGCTCAGATCGATATCGTCTCTGGTGCGTACTTTTTGCATGGAGACTCACTCGTCGAAAAACGATCCCCGGGCTCACAAACAGACAGCTTTCCAGGCATACGGACAATACATCACCAAGGATATTAACGAGGAGCAGCGATTCGATATCATCCGCAACGCCTGCCCCGGCCCCGGTGCTTGCGGCGGGATGTACACCGCCAACACCATGGCTACAGCCATCGAGTCCATGGGTATGACCCTTCCCGGCTCGTCCTCCAACCCTGCCGAGTCCCAGTCCAAGCTGGACGAATGTCTCGCTGCCGGTGTTGCCATCCGTACCCTGCTGGAGAAGGACATCAAGCCTCGCGACATCATGACGCGCGCCGCATTCGAGAACGCCATGGTTGTCGTCAACATCACCGGAGGCTCTACCAACGCCGTTCTTCACCTGATCGCCATCGCCCACAGCGTTGGAATCAAGCTCACCATCGACGACTTCCAGAAGGTCTCTGACCGCACTCCCTTCCTTGCTGACCTCAAGCCCTCCGGCAAGTACGTCATGGCCGACATCCAGGGCATCGGCGGAACCCCCGCTCTCCTCAAGTACCTCCTCCAGAACGACCTGATCGACGGCAACATCATGACCGTGACCGGCAAGACCCTGGCCGAGAACGTCGAGAAAGTCGAGGGCTTCCCCGCCGACCAGAAGATCATCCGTCCCCTGTCGGACCCGATCAAGCCTACGGGCCACATCCAGATCCTGCGCGGCTCGCTCGCCCCCGGCGGCTCCGTCGGCAAGATCACCGGAAAGGAGGGCCTCCGCTTCGAGGGCAAGGCGCGCGCCTTCGACGGCGAAGACGCCTTCGTACAGGCTCTCGAGCGTGGCGAGATCAAGAAGGGCGAGAAGACCGTCGTCGTCATCCGCTACGAGGGCCCCAAGGGCGCCCCGGGAATGGTCGAGATGCTGAAGCCGTCGTCGGCCATCATGGGTGCCGGCCTCGGCCAGGACGTGGCCCTCATCACTGACGGCCGCTTCTCTGGTGGCTCCCACGGCTTCCTCATCGGTCATATTGTCCCCGAGGCTCAGGAGGGCGGCCCGATTGGACTCGTCCGCGACGGCGATAAGATCATCATCGACGCTGAGAAGCGGGTCCTCGACCTCATTGTCGACGAGGCGACGCTCGCCGAGCGGAGGAAGGAGTTTAAGCCTAAGCCCCTGAAGTACACCCAGGGCACACTGTACAAGTACACCAAGCTGGTGTCTGACGCCAGTCACGGATGTGTCACTGATCTGTAAATCGGCGTGGGCGTGGGCGTGGGTGGGGGTGGGTTGTATACAGCATGACGGGATAAAAAATGTCGAATATAGGCAGGAGTTTTTGCTTTGTTTTGGTAAGATAGTAGGAAGTAGTATGATATGATGCATGAAAACGAAATTGCGTCTTGTCTACTCGGTCCGCTTGCTTGCTATTAGAGTACCAGAGTACCACCGACTTCTTCCTTCTTCCTTCTCCCCTCTCCCTTCCTTCCTGTAATACCCGCACTCGTTTCCAATCGATACCGGTCATTCGCTCTAAAATATGATAACAACCAAAAAAACAAAACGAGACGACTGCCTCCCTCCCACACCCACACCCACACCCACACCCATCACCAACCAACCGCTCACGCAAACTTAACATCAGCGAACAGCGCCGCGCGGACCTGTGTCAGTGCCGCCAGCTCCAAAATGAACTCCTGTGATCTTATCAGCACCGTCCTCCTCAACCCTCTCCCCAGTCAAGTAAGAAGCTTACCTGCAAGATCATGATATTGGTTAATAGATGGCTCAGGGTAAAGTCACCCTGCTGCTGATTTCTCGTCGACGGGGGCGAATGCAGCACCTCGGGAGTATCCTCTCCATTCCCCTCTTCCGACTCTGGCGGCGGCGGTAGGTGCAGTCCCTTCTGCCCGGGCATGAGGACTTTGATCCTGCGCGTCGTCGTGTCGGCGATGTGGCTTTCGAAGGGGGAGTTGGGGTCTATAGCGGGCGACACGCCGCGGGAGGAGGGGGTCGGGGAGAGGAACTGGGTGCGGCCGCGGGCGACATCGGGGCCGAGGATGAGGTTGCGCGCCGAGAAGGGATCGAGCATGGGCATGGGGAAGGACGGCGATGGCTGCTTGGGCAGCGGGGGCGGTTGCGAGGTCTGCGTACTGGCTAGGGCATCGTTGATTTCGTCGGTGAATTCGAAGGCCCGTCGCCGCTCCATGAGCTTGTCGTCGAGGTCGGGGATGTCCCGACGGTATGCGGCGATCTGGGCGACGAGGTCTTGCAGCGCTTCGATTATGGGCGGTGCATGGCGCCGCCGGAGCCGCGGGTGGCGCCGCGCGAGCTTGATTTCGCGGAGGCGGCGGCGGTCCTTCTCGGCAAAGAGGTCTTCGGTCGAGAGGAGAGTGGTGTCGCCGAGGATCGCAGCGAGCTCTTCTTCCATCGTGTCCAGCTCATCGTCTTCATTGTCGGAATCGTCGTCTTCGGGGAACTCGTAGTGTGCTGGGTCGTAGTAGAGCCAGCCTTCGGGACGCATGTAAGCCGGCGCGGCGAGGTCGACGATGACGCATGTGAGGACCAGGTTGGTTTCTACCGTATTTGAGAAGAAGGCGGCGAGAAGATCCACCAGGTGTCGGAGGAAGGGGTCGTGAGGGCTCAGCGTGTGCATGTGCATCCGTGCCAGTCTATCTTCACCGCTGCTGATACCACTACCGCCCACGATGTTCCCGCGAAGACCCAAGAACTTCGTGGTGCAAGGGTGAGACTCCAACAGGCCTTGACAGTCTTTGAGATGGTCACCGTAAGTCTGCGCCGAGTCCCTTCCTTCGCCGGTTAGATCAGCCACCATCTGGAAGAGCATCTCCATCTCGGCGTTGTGCGCGCCGATCGTGCGTGTTGGGGAGCTGCCCGACACGGGTATGGTTTTGAGAAGAGTGTGCATGGAGTATGGATAGTGTTTTCGCAGGATTGTGGATACCAGTCTCAGGGTCGTTGCCACGGTCTGCTGCGATTTCGACGCAAGACTGGTCATTATCAGGTCCGCCAGACTATAGATGGCTGGAGTAGGGCTGTCCATCACATCCGCTGCTCTCGACAGCATATCTAGGGATTGTCGTCTCTTGGTGCGCGACTGCACCTGCATGGATTCTGGGTTCTCTGGCATATTCATGAGGTACGAGAGGATCAGGTGGATGATGTCGGGGTAATCCAGCGTGTCAAGGACGACACGAACATACGTCAGAACAGCTACGGAGGATCCACCGTCGGCATCCGAGGATTCGAGCAGTGAAGGATATCTGTTTCATTATGACTCGTGTCAGGGCAATTACGGAATGGCAATGATCGGGGAACCAACAGCAGCTGCTGCAGAAACAACACTTGAAAGTGGTCTAGTAGTGTCTGCTTTACTTCTGCGGAACGGCAATGCTCCAATACATCCTGCCAGAACGTTAGGTAGGAGAGGAAGGTATCGAGATGCGTCTTGAACTCCGGCGAGTTCGGCGTCTCCGCCCCCGATGCAGGCTGAGGAACAAAGTCGGAAAGCACGAGGATCGTAGGTGGCTCTTCGGTCGAATAGGTTATCGCAAGTTTTCTGTCGGAAAGTCAACGCGCTGAGGGAATGGTGATGAAATGCGCAGGGAGGTGCCAACCTGCTCAACTGACTATACAAAGCCCCCAACCCGGAAGCCATCAAGGTCGCCAGGTCGCTTTCTACTATCCACCGCTCCAACGCGCCCGACGAAGACGCGGCCTCGACGATGTAGAGCAGTCCTGTCCTAGCAAAGTCCCCTACCTTGCCTTCCTGATGGACGTAGTCAATCAAGAGATAAAACAATGGGAAATCCTCTTTATTCGTCATACCCGCAAACCGCTCCCGAGGCTCCAGGCTCTCATAATGTTTCCCGCCCCCTTCGCCGGCGCTATTCGTAAACCACACCCGCAGAATCCCCGGGCTCGATCGGATCTTGGAAGCGATGCTGAACAGCAGCTCTACGAACTCGCCCTCAAACGACGGAACCGAGCGCTGACTCGTAGCCTTCAGGAAGGCGATCAAGCTGTGCGCAAAGCTCTCGTGACCTAGAAAATCCTCGTCTTCATTGTCGATCAGGGTTGAAAACGCAACTATACACTCCCGGATGACAGCTGGAGATCCGGACTGTCCGATCTTCGATAGCGCAATGAAGACCTGCTGCTCGTAGCAAAAGTTCATGCACAGTCTCGTCGACCGCTTCTCCTCCTCGATCAACAGATCCGTCAACCGCTTGATGTAGCCGCGCAGCGTCTCCTGGGAGTGGGGGTCGTTGTCTCTTGTGTTTCGCCACGAGCCCTAGATGCATCCCATCGCCCAGCCGTCAGCGAACGAGCGCGCGTCGCGTGTGTGGGAGTGCGGGTGTCGGAAGGCGCACCAGTAGCTGCTGCCAGACACGTTTGAACTTTGCGAGACGTTGCTCGGGAGTCGTAGGCGGTGGAGGAGCTTTTTGCGTAGAGCTCGAGGAGCCGGAGCCGCCGATGAGCCGATTCCACTGCCAGATCCACAGCGTCAGTAAAGCAGTGCTCATCGTCGCCGTGCATCGTGCATCGTGATGGGAACCGGATTGCTGGGGAACGCACAAAATCCATCTAGGGAGAGTTACGACAGCGATCTGCAGCTTCGTTGGGATGGATAGGTGCGGTTTGTGGGACGGGACGGAGGTGCTGGTGGCCGCGGCTGGTCGTGGTCGTGGTGGAACTTGAGCTTTTGCTCTAGGGATGCGGGACGCAAACAAAGAGGTCCAGGGTGCAAGGTACGCACTTATCGCCAGGTCTATGTGCCCGCGCCAGAGCTTATCCGGGTCCGCTACTTTTGAGGACTCAGCTTGAGGATGCTCTACTTAAATTTACATATTTTTCCCGTCATGATCTACATCTGTGCTCTTCATCGCGTTGACATTCTTTCGACGCCCCCCATTTTCCGCATAGCAAAATTCGGGACTCGATGGGAATGGGGGACGAAAGGGAGTGACAAAAGGTGCATATTCCTAGTATGCGCAATCACCAAGAACCAGAGGGGAGTAGCAAGCTATGTGTATAGGCTTTCCAAAGCTACCCCGCGGAGCTGGCAGGAATGGTCAGGAAGTTGGTGGTCGCCATAGTCTAGTAAAGGCCGCATGCGACAATAAATTGATGTTCTCTCTCTCAAGCTTTCCAAAGAACAGAGCTCTCCCATTCCCGACATTACTGGCAGTAGGGAATTCCTTCAGCATGATACTGCTGGCCAAAGCTCTAACAAAACAATAATTCTCAAGGATACACAATCACTATTTAAACGTATTCAACTCCATTACTTTCCCCTTCTACTCCACGCGCAGCGGCCTGGGTAATAGACGGGGGAAAAAAAAGAGGGGCCTGTCAGACCTCCATCGCCGCCCACCCTCGTTCCCACCCCACTCGAAAGCGAGGTATACGGAAACTCAGGTCGAGATCATCACCCACCTGTCCCGAAGGACCGGCAAAACAGGCTTCACTCTGGGGCAGCGAGGATATAGATCATCGTCCAGGTTGGAGATTCTGTGGCTCTTGTAAAGAGTTCAGATGAGACGATTTACTATAGAAATGATCCCTAAAGAAAGAAATGATGTTAGTATTATGGTGTCGCGACATATAGTACTGAATGTGGAGGTGGGGAGTACTGACTATGAAGTAAAATCGCATACTTTTCAAACGATGGGAGGAAGGGGGGTTTTATAGATGGTTGTGGGCGGCGAAAGTTTCTTTGCCAAGCCCTAAGCCCTTAGTAGTTGTCCAAACACTAGCTCTTTTCACGTTACTCTGCCGTGTGACTAACTATGATGCAACACGTCCCGAGACCAGAGGTCAGGTCATGACACTCACTCAGCCACTCATCAAAGTACACCTTGGGAAAAATCCGCGGATCTCAGCTCTGGCAATATTTTCATACATCTATAGGATGCCCTGTAATGATTCGGTACCAAGTATCCCTTGGCCAGCTCGTGCAGACAAAACGCAACAAGGCAATGGATTCTTTGCTGGCTAGATGTGAAGGCTGGCTAGATGTGATACAGACGACTCATTGATATCCACATCCGGCTCGATTCGGATGATATGTAGCAGGCTCGGAGTCGCCCTCAGCCTCGACTGGATCAAGAATGAGCCTTAGCCTTGCGGTACAGTACGCAGCTTCAGAGATATCAGATCCGTGTATCTTGGACCCAGCATTCTTCAGCCTGACAGTCTCGTCCACCTCTTCGGTCCACCCTGGAGGTTCGGCACGAAGTGAGATCCGATGTCGGTGAAGTTTTCTGTTCATTCGATCATACTCGTATTCAGCCCATGTAAGACCGTGATGGGCATGCATCTCCGTTCTTTCCTGTGCACAGTCGGAAGTTGGCCAAGTCACTCGAAGTCCTTCGACGGCCCATCCCGATCCTGATTCCTCATATGTACGAATCATATGCTGTGCGCCATCGGTATCACGTGCAGTCAGGTGATCCGGCAACTTGAGAGTCCAGACTCCAGAAATAAGAGACACAAACACGAAATCACCTGCCACCCAGTACATATCTCGGAAATAACTCGGGTGGACTAGACATCTACGTGGAGGGAGTATCCCGAGCAACACCCGTATGCAAGATGATGCAGGATCTGTGTACAATACATCTGCTCCGCATCCCTTTCTTTCCTTTTGGCGGCAGCAGCGGCGGCGGCATATTTCTCGTCAGACTGTTCAAATCCCTACATACTGGTGCTGGAGGAGTGATGTGTTTGGATGGCTGCCCTCGTTTTTTTATTTTTACTCCAACAAAACCCGGGGTTAGAAGACGGTCTGTGGGGTATTCGAGGTCATGAGCACAGTGTGATTCACCCCCATATGTACGCCCTGTCTACTACCGAAAACATAGGCCCTGCGGCATAGTAGCAGCGGGGCTTTCTCACCAACACAGCTCGAAGCCCAGAGGACCTGGTGGCAGAAGGGAGATCGATATAATGTTTGCCCCCACACTGTCCTAGGCGGCCCCGGAACGGCGAAGTCGAAGGAATGGAAGGATAGATAAGAAGATAAGAAGAAGAACCATATTCATCTTTGGGTATCTATTCAGGTATGCATATGCACCTGCGAGCCCACTCCACTCTATCAGTAGCTCATCTCTTTCTGCAAGAACAGTTGGAATTCCCCCTACGCCGCATCGCCAAGATGAGCTTATGCCGGCGGACATCATGGTCCCGGCCGCAGTCTTGACGAGCCTCTTCGTCGGCCTTCCCTTCCAGCACGGAATCCAAACAGAAAGCTTCTCCGGAACAAAAGGATGTGCAGTCTCCAGGCTCGCTATGTAGCTGCCTCGGCACTCGATGCCGTTAACTATTCGTGTGACAAAACGCCGTCGACCTGGCTCGTATGTGCATCATCACGGAACGGTGCGGGACTGATTCCGCTGGCCACCGAAGTTACTCTGGAAGACGCATGCGGCGGCTTGCTCGCCACGAGAACCCGAACTTTCGTGGGGACACGGTGCTCTCGCACCGAAGCGGCTGCTTGTTTCCAACCCCGGTGTGCACTGTGCTGGCTTCGTTTCGCAGGTGGCTCTGAAGGAAACAGTACATTAGGTAAGTACTGACATAGTAGGCTACGAGTGCGATGAAGATTTTACGGTTGTGGGGAACACGCGTGCCAGGTGCAGATCTCGAAGCGCGATCTGGGTGTCATCTGCAGGGTCCCTGTACCTACTCTGATAGGGCCATGCGCCACCCTCTGACGATAGGCAATGCCGTCGATGGCTCCTGACGCTCCAGAGTCCACCTGCGCTGGTGTTTACTCCTGACTCTCCCACCACCACCACCCATCCGCTCACCCACCCACCCACCGACCGTCTTCGCCCACCACCAGTCCGTTCGTTCGTACGGTTTCGGATGACAATACCATCCCGCATTCTACTCTAGCCTTACTGCTTAGCAGCTAGCCGCAAATCGCCCCGGGTGAAGCCAGGGAGCTCTCGAGTCTCGATACGCCCGAGCACACACACGCACACACACCGCTGTTATATAGATCATGCCTCCCCGCTCCCCGGCCACCTCCATCCGCCTCTCCTCCCCACCCTCCCCATCATACCACCACGGAGACACGTCGGACAGTTCGCCTCCCCGTTCACCTAGCTCCACGGCCTTTCCTTCAACCCCAAACCCCAGTTTTAGCCTCTACGCCATCATGGCTCGCGTCGTCCAGTCGGCGAAGAAGGCGCTGCTCCCGGCGGAGCCCTCCAGCTACCAGTCCATCCCGAACGTGGACTATGGCGAAGGGGAGTCCAGCTCCCTGCACGGGTCTAGATCGTCCGAGGGACCGCACAAAACCTCGGTGTTCGAATATGGAATCTTTGTGCTCTTGGGCGTTGCCATGTAGGTTGTCCTGCGAAGCTTGTCTCGCGCGCCGTTCCGGACCGAGGTAGCTAACGGCTAGTCATACCGTCAAGGCTGTGGAGTTGGAACATGTTTATGGCCTGCGCGACCTACTTCCAACGACGCTTCTCGGAGGTTAATATGCACTTCCGCGAGAAGCTCCAGGTCGGAGCACCACGCTGACTGGGTGCATCAAGAACGAGTTTATCCTCAACAATTTCCAATCCATGATTCTCGGTGTCAGCACCTTTACGAATCTCGGCGTCATGATCTACTTGTCCAACAGACAGAGCACAGCGAATTACCCTTTCCGTATATGCACTTCGCTCGTGCTGAACTGTGTCACGTTCACGATACTCGCCTTGTCGACCATCATGTTTACGGTCGGTGCGACGTCGTACTTGGCGTTGGTCTTGCTCTGTGTCTGCGTTGCGGCCGCCAGTTGTGGCTTCAGCCAGAATGGCGTGTTTGCGTTCGTGAACAGATTCGGCGGAGTCTACACGCAAGCCATCATGACGTCGGTTCCTCCCTCTCTTTGTGTGTGGAGTTCGGTATGCTGATGGGCCTGTTTAGCGGTCAAGGTATTGCTGGAGTGCTGCCTGCGATAGCCCAGATCGTTTCGGTTCTTGCGATTCCGCAATCTGCGCAGGAGACGGGAACCTCTTCTTCACCAAAGTCGGCATTCGCGTATTTCATGACCGCAACCGTCGTTTCCGGATTCTGCCTTCTCTTATTCTTGGTACTCCTTCGCCGTCACAGCATCAGCCTCAACTGCAAATCACAGGCAACGACTCTTTCCTCCAGTGATTCGGAGGAGGACGACGAGGGGGGGATTGTGGTCCGGAGGTCTGTGCCACTTATAGATTTGTGGCGGAAACTGAAGATTCCGGCCATCGCCATCTTCTTCACCTTTTGCTGCACAATGGTCTTCCCGGTCTTCACCCAAGCCATCATCTCGGTACACCCCGATGGCTCCGGTCGAGCATTCCAGCCGGATGTCTTCATCCCAACCGCCTTTTTGCTTTGGAACGTTGGTGATCTGTCCGGCCGCATAGTTTGTGGGTGGGAGAGGGCTATCATTCGGAAGTCCAGCTGGTTGGCCATCCTGCCAGTGGCAAGACTAGTCTTCATACCGTTGTACTTTATGTGCAACGTCAACGGTCGGGGAGCTTTCATCAAGAGCGACTTGTTTTACATGTTTGTGCAGCTGGGCTTCGGCTTCACTAGCGGTTGGATCGGAAGTAGTTGCATGATCGTGGCGCCGGACTACGTTGATGAGGATGAGAAGGAGGCCTGCGGTGGCTTCATGGGGTTGTGCTTGGTGCTTGGCCTGGCAACGGGTAGTATGTTGAGTTTCTTGATACTCAATTGATTAGATATCGAGGTTTTTGGGGGTACTGTCGGCTTTGGGGATTGGGTGCTTTGGACTTTGGACTTTGGATTGCTTTGCTTGGAACTGCGTTTTTGGGCTCGTTTTTGTTACAGGGTGTGTCGAACTGGCGTTATGGACTGCGACGTTGCTTGTTTCTTTTTCTGTTTATCCTTTGTTGTACATTCGGAGGCGTGTGAGAGATATCCTAGATATATTTTTGGAGTGTTCTAGTATGCATGTATTCGTACGAGAGGGGTCTCGATTGTGGAGGGGTCTGTTATGTACACATGTAATTGCTTGCTCTCTTGAGTACTGTAAGGATATCCCATTCACAATGGAGTCATTTAGGCCTTGTATGTGCTCGGCTCTCACGCATCTTTCGGATATGCGCCAGGAAATCAGAGAGATAATGACTGTACGGTTTTTCCAGCAGCAGCATGACCTCGCACTCCAGGCGCGTCGCCAAACCGTCGCTCCCATCTCATCGGAACCTTAACAGCTCACAATACAGCCTCCCGGTATCGAGCACGGTCCACTCCTTCGTCTTCTCCGTCCCCAGCACCCACCTGCCAGGAAACGGCAGCTGTAGTCCCTCAATAAAGTCCTTCAGCACGGCCTCGCCGGCATTCATGGTATCAACAGGCAGATACTCGACCTCGACGACCACGCCGCGCACCTGATCACCCATGACACGGCCGACGCGCACGCGGAAGTCGTCGACCTCGTAGCAGTGGCCCTCCGCCCGCAGCGTCTGCCGCAGCGTCCACAGCGTGCTCAGCTTCGTCTTGAGGATCTGCGCGAAGTCTCGGTCGATCGTCACGATTGCGCTCCCGCACAAAGCGAACGGGATCGGCGAGAGGTGCGGGATCTCGAGGTACTGCAGGAACGCCGGTGGGGAGGGGCCGCCCCCGCTGGAGCCGTCGGGGCCGCCGCTAGAGCCGCTGGAGCCGCTGGATGGCGCGGTGGAACGTAGGAGCCGGTGGTCGAGGCGGTACCCTCCTGCGGCTATCGGCTGGTGCCGCTTCTGGAGCCGGTCCAAGAGCGTGATGTTTATGGGCGGCGAGTTGCTGGTCGATGTTTGCTCCGCGATGAAGTAGAGACTGGGACAACGGGTTAGGAGGGGTTCTATGAGGGGAGTGCTAGGTGGGGGGACATACCCGGTTACCGGCATTGTGGTGGATGTGGTGGAGAATGGAGAGAGGTTGCTCGCGAATCGTGGGGTTGACGTGCATGTGCATGTGTGGATCGCGTGTACACAATGGTCGCGCTCATGTAACGCGATTGTCTTCACAGGCCAGCACTCGGTCGCGAGGATGCCGACTGTCGAGCTACATCCACGATCCCCTGTCTAAAGTAATCATCATGTGTATATCGTGGCTAAATCGGGATATGGATTTCGGGCCACCGTTACTTGCAGCCAGTAATTGCAAATCCCCACCACTCCGGCTTCCAACCGTTGAATGTCGATATACGGTGTGGTACTATATGGTCTCACCGGAGTTTCAGGGGGAATTGGTGCCCGCGACTCTGGTTCCAAGAGATCTCGTAATCGTACATGCTCGAATCGTGTAGGTACCCGCACATCACAGATATGTGAAGGGCCCGGGGATATTCATCTCTCCGGCCGTCGGTCGATTACTGTAAGACACTCATCCCGATTCCCGCCTGCGTTGGAGAAGGGACTGATTGCTTACCTACCATGTTTTTCCCCGCAAAATATTTGGCATCATGGACATTGGTAGCTCCGCCGCCGAGCTCGGATGAGAATGGAAGCTTAGATATAAAATCATATGGTCTCTAAGTGTATGTACGGACATAACATCTGCATGTATGTACTTATGTACGAGGCCGGCTGTCAGCATGTGTACAAGCTGTCGGCGTTAGCGGTAGTCATGGCGATTCCAGACCGGTAGCTGACATCAATAATCTCCTTGGGAGTAAGCACTCTGCTGGCACGGATGGGATGTCTAAAATCGCCGAGACTTGGGGATTATCTGCTGCTGCCACATGTACCCACATAGCACAGGCACATCATGAATCGCCTGCCTGTCGCCTGTATTCGACGCAAGCCTTGGTCTTCGGTACCGCTTATGGACCTTGAGCTTGGGGGTTAAGGTCGTGACTCGTCCTGAACCGCCCCCCATATTCGCCGATCAAGTCTGGAGCTTCGAACCTGTGGGCACCGGCTGCAACTGGGTGTACGGACCAGCACGCTGTAGCACAACTGCAGGTTAGGGTAGAAGGCGAATCGGAAACCGAAGGACCATAGTCCCTGGGGAACGTTGGTTAATTGGAACTGTACCTATTTGTAGATTGTAAACAGCAAACCAAGAACCTTGTGGATGAAGTGATTGTGAGCGTTTGTCACCCTGTAATCCGATGACATCGAGTCCGGCCCGCGCGGGATCGAAAGGAGAGGGAGAAGGAGGCCTCAGGGGGCGAGAAAGAGAGAGAGAAAGAGAGACTGGCCATGGATACAATAGGACCAAACTTCCCACATGGCTAACTCCGTAGGCCCTGTCCGCCATAATCCCTCTTACGCCACAGAGACGGTTTATTCCGCCGGGCCTGATTCGCTACAAATCCCCGCCTCTCGGCAGCCCTATTATCCTCTCGATCCTTCTTGAGCCCGAGAAGCCAGTGAAGATCAGAAAGCCGTGCAATGGTAATCGGTCCAGTATGATTCTATATACCCGTGTTGTGCATGGCATGGGCTTTAGCTCCTTCGGCAATAGCGGATGATAACGGATTTTAGGGCACGTTCTTCACCAGCCGTCTTCCGCCATTTCAGTCTCAACCCCAAACGCGTCTCCTAGAAATGTCGACCTCGCGCGGCGAAGAACCAGACAGCAATAGCAACAGCAGCAGCATCGAAGCTGTCACGCTTCCTGCCACTCCCACCCTCACTCCCGCCTCCCCTCCTCCTCCGCCGCCCCCTCCACCGCCACCACCGCCGCCGCCGCCACCACCACCCTCAGCTGCACCGGCACCTTCAGCACCTCCCGCGGCAGCACCACCACCACCGGCGGCACCACTGTCCTCGGGCGGCTCGTTGGAGCGATCCTCAGCGTCGCCGACTTCACCGCAGCAGCGCATACGACACGTACAACATCCGCAGCCCCAAACGGCCACACAGAAGCGTCGGAGGTTTCCGGTCTCGTGCTATGAGTGTCGCCGGAGGAAACTCAAATGCGATCGCGAACAGCCGTGTCAGCGATGTCGCAGCAGCCGCAGAGACTGCATCTACGCGAATGAAAGTCCCGTGGCGACTAAAGTCGCGAAATTGAGCGAGCGCCATAGCACCCCCGGAAACCCGAGGTTCATTAATGGCGGTAGTAGCGGTAGCGGAACAGGAGAAGTAGGGGGGGTAGGAGTAGGAGTAGGAGTAGGAGGAACAGGAACAGGAACAGGAACAGGAGGAGGGTATGAGGATTCGCAAGCGATCAGGCACGCATATAGTCCCATCAATTGTGCGACAGCAGACATTGCACCGGCACCTCACGCGTTCGACCGGTACGAAAGGATTGCGCCACGGTTCGATGCTGTGGTAGCCGAAAGGACGACGGAGCCCCCGTTCGTGAAACCAGTGCATGTTCAAAGCCAACAATTGCCGCAGATACAGTATGTCGATCATGGCGTGGATCGCAGAATCTTGAGAACCAGTGCCAGTCATGCCAGTCCTATGGAGCAACACCAAGTACCGATATCTCGTCTTTTGAGCGCGCCTGGTGACTGTGGCCCACGCAGCACTACTTCGGATGACCGCAATGGTGGCATCTGTAATTCTGCGGACAGGTTCACCGCAGAAAGCAAGTTCAAGGACAAGCCGTTCGTTAGGGGCAAGAATGCGAAGATTCGATACTTTGGGAGGAGCCATATGTCCACCTTGATGACGCAATTCGATGGTTTGCGGTGCTTTATGCGAGAGGCTGCACCGCTGAATCCGACTCTTTCCCAGTTCCGCAAGGATTTTAATGTGTGGAAAGAACATATTCGGGCCGAGGAAGAGCAAGAGGAGTTTCCATGCTTGCCAAACCTTCTGGAATGCATGCCGCCATCGTCGGAGGCGGACGAACTGGTCCGCGTATACATGAAGATGTTCGAGTCGACGCACAGGATCTTGCACATACCAAGCTTTTGGCAGGAGTATAGGGAATTCTGGAGGGACACGGCAAAAGCTTCATCGGCGTTCGTCGCACAACTGTTGCTCATCATGGCCTGCGGGATGTTGCTGCATCACAATTCGGGAGAGGCCGCCGACCCGACCCTGCCTATGGCGAACGCGCAAACGACGCCCCGCCAGACAGCAGTACAATGGGTGCATGCGGTAGAGCGGTGGTTATGTCACCGGCAAAGACCTGACATCACGCTTATCCGCATCCACTGTTTGCTCATCATCGCGAAGCGGGTGAACGCGATCGAATTGCATGCTCTATGGATCTCGGTGGGTACGCTTGTCAGGTTGGCCATGACCATGGGACTGCACCGGGACCCCGATTCGCTGTGGAAGGTATCTGTCTTCCATGCCGAAATGCGGAGAAGGCTTTGGGCGACGATCCTGGAGTTGGATCTGCAGGCGGCGATGGAACGCGGAATGCCAATCAGAGAAGGCAATTACCACGACTGCCGCCCCCCGTTGAATCTCAACGACTGGGACATCATGGAGTCGACTGAAGTACCCCCCGACCCGCGGCCCAGTAACTGTACCGAGACATCATTCCAGATCGTGTTACTACGTTCTCTGCCTGTCAGGATGGAGATTGCAAGACTGGTTAATAGCCTCGATGCGAATCCACCCTACGAAGAAATTCTTAGATTGGACAAGGAAATCACACAGTACCTGCAAGACATCCCGCACAATCTCAAGATCGAAACGACTTCAAAGGTTCATATTGAAGCCGGGCTGTCGCTGCCAAAGCAGTTGCTTGATCTTTATTTGCGTCGCTTCCTTCTGTTGCTTCATTCACCCTTCGCAGCACAAGGGAAGGATCCGAGATATAGCTACTCTAGGCACGTGTGCCTAGAAAACGCTACAATGCTACTCTCGAATTCCAAGCAGTTTCAGGATACAACAGTTCTCAGAGCACTATACTTCAAGGACGAGCACATGCAAGCCGCCCTGACTATCTGCCTAGACCTGTTCATCAACAAGCCTAACCCGGGTAAGGGTTCTCTCCACGTCCAACCATGGTTGATCCGTTGACCAGTTTTTCCCCATAGGACTAGCATTGTCGAGGGACATGTTGCACATCTACCGAGACTCATCATTCGCGCTGGTGGAGGGTGCGCTTCAGCTGCTCGAGTCCCGCGTTCGAATCTTGGGAACAGTCATCAGGGAATACTTCTTCCTCTCGATGGTCCTGGCGTTCGTCAAGGCCAAAGAGTCGCCCGAGCTATCGGAGCGGTACATGAAGCAGGCTGCGGACCGCTGCATCAGAGTGTACCAGGGGTTCCCGAACCAGGAATTTGTGAATGTAAGTTTGCCTTGCTTTGCTGGTCATGCGGAGCGAGCATAGCTGATGTCGGGTGAACAGCCTTCTCCCTCCACCCTGGCGGCAGACGAAAGACCGCCGAGCGATCCTGCGCTGCTGGACTTCATAGCGGTATACCCAATAGACTTCTGCGCTTGGTTGTCGGGATAGTATACTTACTCTGCGTTGCGCTGTGTAGGAGTACGACGGTCTGGACTTTTCAACCGACGATATGGACTTTGGATTGATGGCGTTATGGGATGCGGACTATCAGGCGTGGGCAACGTAATATTTACAGCGGGCCAACTAATACCTTTGATGGGGAGTTAATTGGGTGTGTTTTTGGGGATCATTTCCCGGTGGATACCCGTGTGTTTTGGGGGGGGATCACGGTAGATACCCAGCTTATTAGAGAGAGAGAGAGAGATGTTCAGTTTATTTGGCATGCAGCCTATCTATCTAGACTACCTATGGCGAACCGTCGCACTCCTTTCCCTAGCTTGTTAGACGGTACTTACACGATCACGGAGAGGTTTTGTTGTGAGTGGTGTTACGTGACTGGAAATGTACTGGAGACTAGTAGGGACGGAGATGTAGAGGAACTCCCGGTCCCAGGTATTAAACCGTGATGTTCATTGTGGCAGCGTTGATGGCCTTTAGCTTCCGTTGATTCAGAGCCCACCTTCCGTGGAATCGTGGAGTTACATCCTCACGAGTCCGCGATGACAACCAGTCATCCCTCCCATAACTAAGGCTTCACTCGCAGTTCTCGGCGGCATGCTTCGTCTCCCCAACGCCCACTTTCCGTAACGACGGCTCAGATGTAGGATTGTGTACATAGCACTCGTACATGACCTCTTCTTCTTCTTCTTCTTCTTCTTCTTCGAGGGTGAACTCCCCAGACAAAGGCAGTGTGCGAGGCCCATCCGATGACTTGGGACCTCCCTACCTATGTACCGCGATAACTTGGGCAAAACATGGCGCGGGGGTAGGCTTCACCTACCTCGCAGAGTGATGGCGCATGAGTCCCCCCCCCATACAACTTTACACTACTCTAGTGATAACGTGCGTTGTAAGAGGCGGGGGACTTTGGGGCTGGAAGGTGGTGGGCTGCTACTCTATAGGGGGATGGGTGCTTTTGTTTGGTCATCGATTGCTTGCGACGATGGTTGCCCAGCTGGTGAGGAGGGTGGGGTGCGAGTGAGGGTATAGAACATGGCAGGCTCTGTCGTGAGGTTGTGCTGGTACTTAAGACTGGAGAGCGAGACAGAAAGGAGCTTTCTATCCGCCGGTGGGCGGGTTTAAGTACTGAAGGACTGCCTGCTATGTAGCTCAACACCGCACCCTCCCGACCAATCGACCATGGCCCATGGGATGGATTTTTTAAGGAAGACATTCTTCCACCGGGCCATCCATCGTATTCTATTCTATATAGTCTACCGTCCCACGTAACCCGGCCAATTCCAGACATCAAGATTCCAGACGCGCCAAAAAAAAGCAGCACCTCCGTAGCCACGGTATATAGTAAAAATACACTGCCACCTGTCGTCTCCCGTCGTCGTCCCCCTCCCCCGTCCACCTCCCCGTCCCTCCCCCCCTCCTCCTCCTCCGCCGCGGCGTCTATCGGTTCTTCGTCTGCTTATACGTAAAGTTCTTCCTCGTCCTGTATTTACCACATTTACCACATTAGCCTCTTCCCCCACCCCCCCCCCCCATCCCCCTCCCTTTCGTGTAGGAACAAACTCACGCAGCAAATTCCCCCAATTTATGCCCGACCATATCCTCGCTGACGTCGACATCCTCGTAGGACTTTCCGTTGTGCACCTGGAAGCGCAGCCCGACAAAGCTGGGCACGATTGTGCAGCTGCGCGCCATCGTCTTGATCGGGGCAACTTTCGCACCTGGCTTGCTCGCTTTTTGGAGGGGCATGGGCACAAGGAACGGGCCTGGAATTGAGGTTAGTTGGGGGTGCTGGGGGAGGGGGGGAGGGGTAAAGGGGGGGGGGAATGGGGAAAGGACCTTTCCAGATTGATCGCTTGAGCAGTGCGCGCGTGGGGAACATTGTGGTTGTTGGGCGGGGGACGTGTGGTACGGCGGCGGCGGTGGTGGGGTGGATGGATTGAGGACGGGAACGGGAACTAAAGTTCGCTGGGTGTGGGCCAAGACGTCACGTGCTTCCATGGAGGTTCTAAACGTCGTGATTTCGAGATCCCGCCGCCGCCGATGTACCTCACTCGGCAAGTAGAATCCCGAACAGTGAACTGGACCGAACTGGACCGGAGATGGATGAACACCTTCTCTCCATCTCCCGAGTCCCACCTGAGCCCGAGCGACCGATCATCACGACGGGTTCCGGTGCAGATAGGTATCCAAAACCAAGTCATTCGTGACGCATTATTTCAACCAAGTACGTACAAACACAAACGCAAACAGACAGACACCCCACCTGTGCCGCCGCAGCAGCAGCAGCAGCGACACATTGCCGTAGTAGAAAAAGAGACATTACGTTACAAAAAGAACCCCGACCCAAAGCCCAATAACCGCAGGCAAGAAAGACAAGACAAACCCAAACACCCTTCGCCGCTTCTCCCTGTGGTCTACCTATAAAATTCCGGCCGTCTAGTATTAACGCCATACTCGCCGACTGCGCTTCCAAGATCCTCCATAGTGAGTACCGTCCTCCCTGCGGTGCCACCACTGCCACCACCACCTCCAAAGCCCGGCCTCGCCGTGGGCCTCAGCGGGCCTCCGGCCGCGCTTGCTGCCGCCGCGCCCGCAGCCCCCGCCGCGGAGGCCCCCGGCGCGTTGTTGACGTTCGAAGAGTTCTGCCGGATCCGCGAGTACTGGTAGGCGTCTGCCGCGATGTCGGCTATGAACTTTTGCGTGGCCAGCGCGAGAAGGCGCTTCAGGCGCACGTCCGAGGTCTGGAGACCGGCGAGCGAGAGGTAGTAGTCGGTTACTGCGTCGGGGATCTGGAGTACGTGTGAGCGGGGACAGAGGACGGGGGAGGGAAGGGAAAGCGTACAATAGGCGCGTACTCCTCCATCATATCCAGGAACTCGCGCAGGCTGCGGTCTTTACGCGTCGCCGGGGGCAGGAGCGCGATCGTCGCTGTGCTCGCGTTTCCGGTCGGCTCCTCTGCTGCTGCTACGGCGGCGGTGGTGGCGGGGGCGACGGCGACGGCGGAGGGGATGGCCGCGGCGGCGACGGCGGGAGCCGCGTCCACGTGCTGCTGCATCCCGTTCATTTCGATGTCTCCGTTGGAGGTGTCCTCGGGCTCCGTCTTGATTGCGACCGGGGGCGATGGGGACGGTGCTGGTACTGGTGCGGGTGCTTGTGCAGGTGCTTGTACGGGCGCGGGCGCGGGTGGTGGTGCGGGTGCTTGTGCGGGCGCGGGTGCTGAGGCTGGTGCTGCTGCCGGTGCCTGCGTTGGGGCTGGAGATGCCATTTTTGTTTTTTTTGTGAGGTTTGTTTTTGCCTGTTTGGGATTATGTGTGGTGTGGGTGTGGTGGGTGTAAAGGACGCAAACGGAAATATTGCGGCGGTTGTGCGGAGGTGGGTGGGAGAGTTGCGCGTGGTTGGTTGTGAGGTGTGGGTGTGGGTGGTGAGAGGAGTGCAGATTGGGTTGTGAGTAGTGATTAGGTGTGGTGCGTGAATGCCTACCTCTTAGCTAAGGTAGATGGTAGGTAACGTGAAGTACCGGTAGCATTGCGAGCTCGCTAGGATGGAATGTTGGAGGAGAACTCGATAACTTATTCAAGACGGGTAGCGATTTGGAGGGAACCTACCCGGGTTTAGTTGACGGTCGGCGGAGTGATCGGATCGCTGAAAGCAAGGCATCGGCGGTTAAGCTCCTCGACGTCGAGTCATGGATTATCACGGCAGCCGAGAAGGTGATATCGTGTGATTGTCCACAGTTCACGAGCCCGAGTACGACAAGGCTTTCGTACCGAAGCTATCACTTTGGTTCCCACCCTCTCATGTGGGTACTTCGCTTTGAGGCTGCCATTATATGCAGGCTTTACGTAGACACGGTCCATCTTCACGCCGACACCATCGGTCACTTGCTTAATCTTCGTCCCATCCGCCAGCACCTCCCCGCCGCGCGGCTATGTATCCGATGCACTCAATTATCCACTTATTCCCACTTCACCTAAAGTCGACATCACTCGGTATCAATACAGATGCCACCCCCATCCCCTCCGCTCGCCTCGCCTCCCCTAAGCCCTTCGCGCCCCAATAAGAAAAGGAAAAAAAGAGCAACATATGCCATCAACGTTACGCATAAGCATTAACTCCGCCCCACACACACACACAAACACATCCGCGCCCACCAAAACGTAACTTCTGCCGCAACTACTGGCCACTACCTAGCGAGCTTAAACCTGCTCACCGTCCCACTGCGAATCGCGCATGCTCTGTGGCGGCTCGATGGAGGGCACGAATTCCAATGCCGCTGTTGTGCACATGTTAGCCAACTGGTTGGGCCGGGGAGGGAGCCGGGACTCGGGACTCGGGACCCCGAGGGGGGGAGGGGACATACCGTAGGCAACACCGACGAGCCCAATGATCGAGCCGGCAATCACACGCAACCATCCATCGTGGATCAGGATCGAGCCGATGAAAATGTAGACTACCGGTTGTTAGCGATGGAGGGGTGGGGGTGGAAGTGGGGGTGGGGACGCCATACAAATTCCGCGGCCGAGGAACGAAAACATAAATGAAGCGTAGCGGGAGACTTGTGTTGGCGGGACCTGGATCTCGAGGAGGGCGGTTCCTGAGGCACACAGACACAGCACATGTTAGCCCGGGACGGGAGAGGGAGAGGGCGGAGCGGGGGATAGTTACCAACGCCGAAGAGCATAACGTAGCAGCCGACTATGACGCTCTGTAAAGAGATGGGGAAGAACTGGCTGATACCGCCTACACCGCACACACACACGTCCATCGTCAGCACGGAACGAAACTCAACCCGGAGGATCAGTCGCATCCGTCGCCGGAAACATACCGAGAACCATAATCACGCCCACGCCCATGTTGACGATGCGGAAGATGTTAGAGAGGTTATCCATCGCTGCTGTTGTGTTGCGTTGTACGTGCGATGAAGCTCAAGTCGGTTGGGTGATAGATTTGTTTCGTTGAATGATGCCCGGACTTACGATTGATTTAAGTTGCGGCGGCAGTGAGGAGGAGGCTGGTGGTGTCCGGGCCGGGTAAATCACTTCTATGTAGTAACTGCTGCTGGTCGTGGCTGGATGACTGGGCCGGCGGCCTAACTGCATGTGTGCAGTACGCGGCCGGCCGGAGGGACGTCATGCCGTGAAACGTAAAGTACGCTATGTATTGTACTACACCACGCAAGGTTTATTGCAAGCCATTCGCGGCCGGTTCACCTACCCCGCCAACTTCGAACTCTACAGCTAGAAACGTAACGAAAACTGGTTATCCAAGTTTCCCCCGCAGTCTACATTTGGATGTTTATGTGCACCTATCACGGCTGGTTGCTGCGGATATCTACCTAGGCAGGTAGCCGCAGCATGTGATCTCAGAGGGAGCTTGGTAGGTAGATCATGGTGGTTGCGATAATGGGAGAGGAGAGGCAAGTGCTTGGAACATTACTCTGTTGGAGCTTCAATGAGCTTTGATGAGCTTTGATGAGGTTACTAGTGTGTACATTCATCTCTGCCGGGCGTGGACGTTCCAAGTGATTCCTGCACAATAGTGGAGGGGATATGGACTTCCAAGAGTGACAGCCCATAAGAATCCAAATTCCATTTAGACTACTTGGTAGCTGTTCGAAGTGGCGCATAACAGTAGATCACGGAAGTCTCATCACAGCATCACAGCATCACAGCATCACTTGCAGGTACCAAAATTGATCGACAAAAATTTCAAGTTGATCTTACAGAAAGTAGAAAAGATATACGCGCTCCTGTCCCCCAAAAAACCAAACGAAACACAAAAACCAGCCGCAGCCTACGTTACAGTCGTCGGACTCATGAAAAATGCTTAGAAAAACAGAACTCAAGCAGTGGATGCGATGCGTCTAACCGAGACCACCGAGGTTGATCTGGACGGTCTTGACCTGGGTGTAGTTGGCAAGAGCGGCCTTTCCGAGCTCACGTCCGACACCAGACTCCTTGAAGCCTCCGAATGGCAGGGCGGTGTTGCTATGAAATTGTTAGTCACTGTGGCTTTGGATATGTCAATGGATGGGGGAGAGCTTACAGCATGTTGTAGCAGTTGACCCAGCAGGTTCCGGCCTTCAGGCGGTTGGTGACCTCGATGGCGGTGTTGAGGTCCTTGGTGTGGACGGCGGCGGCAAGACCGTAGTTGGTAGCGTTACCGACCTCGACGATCTCATCGATGTCCTTGAATTTTGCGATGGAAGCGACGGGTCCGAAGATCTCCTCGTTCATGATCTTCATGTCGGGAGTGACGTTCGAGAAGATGGTGGGCTCGATGAAGTAACCGACGTCCCCGAAACGCTTTCCTCCGATCTCGACGACGGCTCCCTCCTCCTTTCCGTGCTCGATGTAGCCCATGATGCGGTCGAATTGGAGCTTGGAAACCTGGGGTCCCTGGAAGGTGTCGCCGTGGAATGGGTCACCAACGACGTTCTTGCGGATTCTCTCCTTGAACTTCTCGACGAAGGTGTCGTAGATGGACTCCTGGACGTAGATGCGGGAACCGGCACAGCAGCACTGGCCGTGGTTGAAGAAGATACCAATGTTGGCCCACTCGATGGCCTTCTCGATGTCGGCATCGGCGAAGACGATGTTGGGGGACTTTCCTCCGAGCTCGAGGGTGACCTTCTTCAGGTTGCTGTCGGCAGCGGCCCTGAGGATCGTCCGTCCGACGAGAGTGGAACCAGTGAAGGCAATCTTGTCGACATCCATGTGGTTCGAGAGGGCAGCACCGGCAACCCGTCCGATACCGGAGATGATGTTGATGACACCGGGAGGGAAACCAGCCTCGTTGATGAGCTCAGCGGCAACCAGGGCGCTGAGAGGAGTCTGCTCGGCAGTCTTCAGGACGACAACGTTACCAGTGGCGATGGCGGGACCGATCTTCCAGGCCCACATGAGCAAGGGGAAGTTCCATCTATCTCGTCTGTCAGCATCCATCCATCCATCCGCCCACTCCCCCATCCCCCAGTGGAAGTATCGATCGGTGCACGTACGGGATGATCTGTCCGCAGACGCCGATGGGCTCGTGCTTGGTGTAGTTGAAGGTTCCGGGCTGAGTATCCACGACCTTTCCGTGGATCTTGTCCGCCCAACCACCGTAGTATCTCAAACATCCAGCAGCCATTGTGACATCGGTCCTGGACAGGGCCAGGGCCTTTCCGTTGTCGAGGGACTCGACCGACGAGAGCTTGGTGACGTTCTCCTCGAAGAGATCGGCGAGCTTGCAGAGAAGCTGGCCACGCTGGGACGGCTTCAACTTGGGCCATTCGCCTCCGGTGAAGGCAGCTCTGGCAGCCTTGACGGCAATGTCGACGTCCTTCTCGGTGGCCTCGTGGACCGAGCAGATGACCTTCTCGTCACTGATGGGGGGTCAGCATGTCGGAAAGCGAGGGCGAGGGAGACGGGATGTACGAACGATGGGTTGTGGACCTCGAAGGTCTTGCCCTCGACACCCTTGACGAACTCGCCGTTGATGAACCTGTGATTTGGCAATGGAATCAGCACGAAGCCCAACGACACCGAAACCGCCGGTACGCTGAGGGGGCAGGGGCAGAACATACAATCCCAATGGCTGTTCGTACTTCACTCCATTGGGGAGCGAAATCTGCTGTGTGAGACTCATGATTGTGTCGGAACGGATGTGTGATGGATGGATGTAGTGGGGTTGGAGTGAGTGAATGGGATCTCGCTGAAGAGACTGGATTAGGATTGCGGAATGGCTCTGGCACTTATATACGTTTGGCCAGCTGCCACCCCCAGCACCAGGTCCCAGGCCGGCCGGACGTCCGCACCACCGCCAGCCCCACCAGCACCGGTAGCACCACCACCACCACCACGATTTCCCCACCACCCTTCGTCTCGTTTTCGTAGGCGCCATCGGGGCGCGAGTTGATCTAGAGTCCCGGCAAGCATCCAGCCAGCATCCAGCCATCCAGCCACCCTCCCCCATCCAGCCATCCAGCGTCAAGCGTCCCGCCATGTTTGCGGGGTGCACTTTGCGGCACGAGTGGGATGTTGCTCGGCAAAGCTAGAGTAGTGTAGAGTAAGGTAGAGGCAGCTAGCCTAACCAGCTGCGATCCTGGGCTGCCACACCCTCCTGCGGCTCGCAACATTGCCCTCCGGAGGAGGGAGGAGGCGCTTTGGATGAGCCCGGTATGTACCACAGCAGCTTGCTTGCTTGCTGTCTAGTCGCGTTTCCTCTCCCGCGCCCATCTGTTCTGGTCGATTCGAATTTGAAATCATTCATCAGGAGGAAGGAAGCACAGCACCCACGTTCGGCTTCTTGGCAGGCGTTCTGCGATCACCGCCCGGCTTGACTCGGGCCTGTGCTCTGGACTACTTGCAGCACAGCGCAGCGCTGGTCCTCCAGCCCACCACTAGCTACGAGACGGCGCCGGAGATAAGTCCTAGCTCCAATGCCCGAGGTGACGGCGGAAGCTCAAGCTACTCTACTCGAACTATCGGCGACGACGAAGACGATCACAGCCACGACGACCACGACGACGCCGATAATCATCCGCCCGCACGTGTATGTACATAGCAGAAGAACCGAGCATTCCCACGTATTATCCGGGTATGTATTGTACTCGCTCGGGTGGCGATAATCGATGCACGTAAGAACCCAATCCCTCCCTCATCCTCATCCCCATCCTCATTCTTCCGTCGTCCGTGTTCCGTCATCACAGTGGTGGAGGGGCGGGGCTGACGCCACGCCTTAGCCCCCCCGCCGCTTATCCGAACCCCGCATTCGCACTTACCGACGGAGCACTACTACTACACGATAGCGTACATACTATCATAGTAGAGTTTCGAAACCGCGTGTTAAAATAAAAATACAAATAAAAACTCCCGAATCCGAGCCACCACCCCGCCCCGCCCCCGTATCCACGTCTCACCTCGACCCTTGCTTCCCTTCCCTTCCCTTCGACCAGAGAGGTTCGCGGTACGTAAACCGTCCGGGCTTCCGTCCGCCCGGGGAAAAGGGACCCCACCGTGGGGTCTGCTGCGGGAAACCTACCAAGGTACATACCTGTACGGTATGTATCTAGACAAAAGAAATGTCCCCACTCATTCATGCATACCTACGATCCACCGTGCTCTCTCTGTGTGTATAGTAGTATTCGCGAGGGAGAAAGCCACCGTAACGGCTATGGTAGAGTACACCGATAGGTAATGGTCAAGAGCACCCGAACACGGCTCACAGCGGAAGAAATCCCCCACCGAAGTAAAGGAAGAAGAAGAAACCCGGGAAATAGCGCCGATGGTGGCGGCAAGCCACCTACCTACACTTGTACTATGCATAGATATAACCTTCCAATCGATCGTTAGCACTTTGTATGCAGCCGTCCGCTCAAAACACACACAAGAGCGACGTGACCTTGAAAGTTGAAAGTTGAAGCTGACAGTTCCGTGTCGATCGTTAACTACGGTAGTAACTAACGACAAACCTAACCCCACAACGCCGAACGACGTTGCTCCAGGCCACAAGCTTGGTCCATCAACAACCGCTAAAACAATATCTAGGAAACCTAGGAAGGTTTGAGACACCTCCGTTGCGGGGAATCGGGCTTGGTATTCTAGACCGTGGTGGACCGTAGTGGACCGTGGCTGGCTGGCTGGTGGACTTGGACTGAGCGGCGGTGGAGACAGTGTGAAACATGGGCTTAGGCATTGGCGTACGGTGGCGAGGTATCGAGTTGGATTCTTTAAACGATCGCATCAAAGCCAGATGGATAGGTATCGTTGAAAAGGAGTATTTACAGGTACATGTTTTCCCACACATCGAGTGAAAACGTGCAGCACCCTGCAGGATCTCTCCAAGAATCTGCATCGGACGTCGGGATATTCTGCATCCTCTAAGTCCGAGCCGAACGGCGAGCGAGGCGTGCGTGCATGTGAGATGGATCGTCACCACACCACGGGTGTCGAGATCAGGAAGTTGGGTTGCCATGGTTAGTTCCCATCCTTTCCTTCCCAGGCTTCCCTTCTGGGCGAGCCCGGATTCCTCTACCTTGAGAGGAGTGGAACAGAAGTGAAATACGTGGGATCGTTCTTTAATAGATAGGTCCCGTACATAGATGATAGCTATGGGAAAAACTCAGTGCTGCGAGCCGCGTCTGTGTGTATTTGCCAAACGAAGGAAACGGAGGGATTATCCGCGGCAGTGCGTAGGAGCCTGGAGGGCGCAGAGTGCGCTTGCCGTGCTTCACTCGGCGTTTGTTGTACTATGATAGCCTCTCGTGGATCAGCGTATCTAACGAGAACTTGGAAGCCCTTACTACAATAGCCATGCAGCAACGAGCGTACATGCAGACACACTAACTCTTGCTCCTCTGTTTACTACAGATGCAATAGAGCCTCTCGAAACAGCTTCGTTCATTCCATCCAATCGATAGCTACATGCTAGTTACCTATATGCACTCGGCGTCTCAGCAATAACATCCACCGATAAATCCCGAAGATGGGATACAATAGACGTCATGTTCTAGGAGGAGGGGGAGGCGTGTCAGAGTGGAGTTTCGCGATACTCTAGTTACCAGTAGAGTGAGAATCCACGACATATGGACGGAGAATGCGCATGAGGTTTGCATATTCACAATTTCACAGATGCCAAAAGGTTCAGCCACACCAGCTAACTCGTTCAGAACTTCGGGCAACAGAAGAGTCGACAGAGCGGCCCAAAGGACTCCAACCCGCCGCCGGGTTCCGCTTTCCAACGACGTTCGATTTTAGCAAAAGTAAAGTGTGTGGCATTGCGCAAATAGGTATACATATTAAAGCCATACTGGCCCCTCGCTGGTATCACAGCATCTCCACGGTGTAGTGGCATCGTACCGAATGCATCCCTCCGGGCACGGACTCCAAGCACCCAAAACAGTGACCTCATCTATCGATCTCCAACCTGCAGCCCGCATCTCACAAAGCCTGGACGGGCACCCACCGTCCGCTCGTCACCGCAGCGACAGTAGCAGCCACACCCAGCACGACACCAGCCAGCAGGACGCAGACATCCCTCGGCGGCGCCCATGCCTGTGCAGCAGCAGTCGCAGCGTACCAAACGGCGCCTGCCTTGCTTCTTCTAGCGGCGGCGGCGGACGACAACCCGGGGAGCCCGTCGAGCGAGTAGCCATTATATGTGGCCTGGAACTCAGCCAGCTTCCCGGCCGACACAGCGTGCGCGCCCATCTTGAGGATGGTGGGGCGGTCAATGAGACAGGGCTTTGGAGGGGTCTCGTCGTCCCCAGCGCTCATCGAGAGCAAAGGCACACCGAAGCCACAGGAGGTCTGCACCTGCATTCGTGGACAACCGGGTCAGCACTTGCTCCTCTTCCCCGGGAATCACACACACCCCCCCTCCCCCACACACACACAGGAATTACCACGAACCTTGAAAATATCCAGCACAATAACGGACCTAACGGCCTTAAACTTCTCCTCTGCATCCTCTCCAAACCTATCCAACCATTCATCAAACTTATCCGCGCCCTTCTCGACCACGCGGCCCTTACAGAACAGTCTCAACACGCGCGGCCCCGCGTCAAAGCTGTTGAACATTATCGTGATCCGCCCGTTCTCCTTCAGGTGCGCGATCGTCTCCACCCCCGAACCGGTCAGGTCAACGTATGCTGCGGAGTTCGGCCCAAGAAATGTAAACGCACTGGAGAGGAGCGCTTTGGGTGAGACGTTGATCTAGTGTGCGTGTGTCAGTACATAATGTAGGTGAGAGAGAGAGAGAGAGAGAGTGTGTGTGTGTGTGTGTGTGTGTGTGTGTGTGATATTCCGGACGGCCGGGCATGCAGTGTAGGCTTTCGGATGGATGGGGGGTGGGGAGGTGGGTGGGGGCGGGAAGGGCATGGGAGGGCATGGGAGACATACGTGATCTCCGCGCAGAGGTGCACTGGCGGTCCAAAACACTTTCTGTTTGGCGCACCAGGCCATGAAGTCCGGCGAGACGGATGGGTAGAAGGTGGGCATCGCTATTGTTGTCTCAGGTCTGATTTCCTTTTTTCTAGACTATGTAGTTCCCTCGTACGGATGGATGGATCGATGTATGTGTGGGTGGATGGGTGGATGGGTGGATCGGGCGTTTGTGCAGTTGCAGTTGCGGTTCCTGAGATCCTTCCTGCTCCTGCTCCTAGCCGGCTATATACATATCATACCTCAGGACAGAATACGCAGGATACGCATGCCGCCCGGACTTCTGCGTGCTTTTTGCGGAGTTAGTCACAGTCCGGTGGGCATATGCATGATCACTATTCAATATTTAGCAGTCAATCTGGGCTTTTGCGATCCTGGGCTCGTCCGCAGCTCGTCGTAGCAACGGAGATAGGCAGGTACTCTAGGTACTAACCCGTCGCATGAGGTACGCAGGCAGTTATGTCCGCCGTGCGGAGCATGACATATAGGACATAGCTATATTAATTTAAGCCACAAAGCTTACACTTGGTTAAAGTTAAGCGTTCGGAGGTAGGTATTTCGCCTTGTGGTTAATCAAAGCGCCGATTAGCGGGAAATCCCCCAGGCCAGTTCCCCTGATTGGCAAGATTCAACCGACAGAGCAGATGGGGATATATACCCAGATACCGTACGGTATCAACTCACTTGGCAGGTATCTACTATTGTGTTAGTTCTGGTTTTCTACTATAGAGTAGCGCTTAGCGGTGTATTACTTATTGCCTGAACGGGAAGTACACCTAGTAAACCAAATAGAAATAGGTATCAGAGGCCAAGATTCCAGATATTATAGATAGTGTAGTTACGATAGAAAGCCTACTAGTGATAGAACTATTGGCAGTAGAGTATTTCCTCTTGAGTGAGATATTACGGTATGTATTTGGTTACCCCCAGGATTTGCACGGCCACACGCCGACGCAGACCAACGCAGCAGCCCGTAGTTATTCGAGACATCTCCATGGTCCGCTACCAAATGTACTCGTTAACTCCGCCCAGCTTGACAACGGGCTTCCCAGCTCGACGGCGGACTCTAGAGTACCTACATACTCTGCTAGTCGTTCGGCCCAAGTCTCAAGAAGAGAAGGCTCGACTCAAGGCTGCTCGACAGGGGCGGACGGCATATCGAACAAGGCGAACTGCGTCGTCATGCTCGTCCTCGTCCTTGTTACTGGGGTCTGGCTCACTGCGGTGAACTGCAGCGAGCGGATCAGTAACTACAGTAACCAGGTAGAATAATGGTTCAAGAACCTGGACGGTGGCGTATACTCTGCGCCTCGACCTAGGAAAGTAGATGGGGCTTCATATCGAATCTATCGATCCGCAGCGTGGGTAGGTAATTCTTACCCAGCATCTCTACTACCTACCTCCGTATCTATACCTAGTATTTGGCGACAGTCCGTAACCCTTGCGCCGAAGAATAAGCACGACCGAAGGAGTTCCGGACGCACAGCGCAAGACCGCGACGACGACGATGGTGATGACTGACTCATTATGCATTATGCATTATTCCGCCCAGTGGTGATAGGTGGGTGTCTCGGACTTAGGTCAGGTCCGATAGGTGGGCAAGCCCATCTATGTGGAGTATCCGCATCCCCTCTAACCATCGGAAATCCGGAGAAACTGCATGATGCATATCGACAGTGATATAGGTATAGGTATCCCGGATTGTCTACGCCACGGCCCTACAGCTGCAGCCAGGTATGGGAGAACCTTACTCGAGACATCTCCCCTCCTAGCGCAGTAAGCACTGAGCAGTAAGCACTGAGCAATCGGGCCAAAAATACCCTGTAAATAATACCTATGCCGCCGTGGATAGGGGGTGAGATCATAGATGGTGTACATAGTTTATATTATGTAGTACCTAGGAAGTTCTACTCCGTGTCTGTCTGGGAGAAATGAATGCTTCAAGGAATGAAGCAACAGCACCCATAACTATTCCACGGACATGGACTGCAGCTCAGTTATATCTAGTATACTTGGATTACAGATACCATATACACAGCATAAGGCCAAAAAATGCATAACACTCAGACGGACCAATTCCGCGGCGTGCTGAGCATGAAAGCCATAGTTATACCGTATCTTTAATGTCCTGTTTGAGAAACAACCGCGAAAAGCAAACGGTACTCAAAGTCGTACGATGCCCTCCCTCGCCTCGTCTCTTCTCGTCTTATGTGTCGTTGGAGAAAGGTTACCTACCAGGTATGTACCTATCCTGCGGACCCCACCTCCCACCTACCGACCCCACGTCCCCACCTACAACGGTACAATGGTACATACATGCCCCGCGCAGATCCTGCGCATCAATGGAACGGATACTCGGGGCAAGGGAAGGGTGAGCGGACGGAAGGGCAGTGAATCTACACAGTGGGTGCGGAGGGAAGGAACGGATGGGACTCGGGAGAGCAGATTCAACAGATGAAAGCCAGGTACTCCTACCTGGTGATTATGTACTTACATTATAGGTACTATAAATCGATAGGGCCCGGATCATCCCCTCGCCGGCTGCCGACGGCCGGAGTACGGATCCCCGCCACCAGCATCGCTGCATCGCTGTGCTGTGCGATCCCATAGGTATGTAGACATGTAGATTACCGCGCGGATCCGGATGATCGTCCATGAATCGACCATGAATCGCGCGCGGTGGGGAAGCGTAGATCCAAGTAGGTATGTACGTACTACATACTAGGTATGCGATAGTAGAGCACTGGCTTCCTGGTTATCCCCAGGGGGAACGAAGGCAACGCATAGTATGTAAAGTACCAGGTCAAAAGTTTTCGTACACCTCCCCAAAAGCGCCACCACACCACAGACATATATCTCTATAAAACAACAACCACACTTAAGAGGGTACTAATAATTGGCGTATATCATGAATATATACTAATAAAGCTTCAATGAGATTTCCAGCTCGCCAGGCAGATTATTTTATGCGAAGTAGAGTGGCTTGGCAGATTTCCCTTTCACCGAGGCAAGTCATTTCCCGCCATAGATACAGCAACCATAAGATAGTATAAAAATATGTGGATCATTAGAAGGTCTTCTAAGTCAGGTAGAGAACCTCGATTGAAATCAGCACACAATTCTAACTAGTGGTGGTTGAGTAATGCCGTATGGTAGAGAAGTTGGTGTTGAAACTGGTTGTCACGCAATAATTTTGTATGGGGCCCCATACAAAATCCGAAATCACTCTCCAACCCGTGCACAATACCGTACCATGCGCCACCAATTCGAAGCAAAAGTTGTCAGACTTCTTATGTGTTATGCATCTTGCGATTCCAAAGCTTCTATAGAAGACTCGATTTTTTTCCGCCACGTGAAGGGTGGTTTTTAGTTACTTGAAAATGGGCATTTTTAGTATAAAACGGCCATCGTACGAAAACCTTTAACCTAGTACTTTAATAATAATGTATGTACTCGGGTGCAAGGATAAGTGGTGCACCCCATTAAGCACTATTTAGTAGTGGTGGTGGTGCACGACTCTTCCTCACACCCCAGTAAATACGCATACAGAGTAAGTAGATACCGGTACCAGTGCGCGGTATTACTCGAATCCACGCCGATTGAACATCAGAACATCTACCTGTGTAAGCTGCGGGTCTAGCATTTCCGATTTTCTCGGAGAAAAGCAGATAGGCATCTACCCGGATGTAGTACGGCCCTCCCATATCTCTCCTTTGCTGTGAGCCAGGTCTTGTGTGCGAGTGCCCGAGAAAGTCCTCGCTCTTTTTGTTTTTGTTTCTACGCTCAAAGTTACCGTAGTGCACGTAATAAACATCCAGGCCGCGTGGCCCAATGGCAAGGCGCTTGACTACGAGTTTTCAACTTGATATCAAGAGATTGCAGGTTCGAGCCCTGCCGTGGTCAGTTGTCCATCTGGACATTGATTTTTGCTTTTCGGCCTTTTTGGTTTTGTTTTGCACGTGTACGGTGTTTCTTGGGCGTTGGCGTCGTGGAAAGCTGTAGGTGACTACCCTCACCACCTCAAGTCTAGATCACGGGGGATGGTGAGAGGGGGTGTCTCGCAAGAAGCGAGTGCGCAGCCCCCTAGCGACTACGACGGTGACGACGCCTCGAACATGACGAACCCCGCCTTGCAGCCTGCTGGCGTGTGTATGTGGGTAGTTCGGGCGTACCATAGCAATCGGGCTCCTCGTCCGCCCAGCGAGCGTTCCAACGGTGATTCGGCCCTGCACCCTTACCCCCCACACATCAAGTTTCCAACCGACCCCCACGGACACACGGGATCGGGATCGACAACCCCTCACGGCCGCCGAAGACCCCCACCCCACCCGACAACCGGGGGGGTAGAGCCGATCGAACCTACCGATCCAGACCCTGTCGGCCGTTGTGAACTCCACGCCGACCGGCCCGACGTCCTCTGCACCCGGTTCCAAGCCCGGTTCCAAGCCCGGTTCCAAGCCCGCGTCCACCGGTCCAGTCCGGCACTTGGAATAACGGATCGTCGCCCGGCCGGGCTGCTGCCACCGCTCGTGCTCGTGCTCGTGCTCGCTATCGCCGTGTCAATGCTGCTGGCCACCAAAAGTATGACTCTACCTCTGTGGAACGGCGGGCGTGTGATGGGTGAGACCTTGTGATGCTGAAGCTGACGCTGTTCACGGGCGGCATGAGGTATGATCCAGTGGTTTACGTAAACCCCAAGCTGGTTACCACTTTCGAGTGACTCGGTGGCTCGGTGGATCTGCTCGGCTGAGCTGGTATGTAGCCCCGTATGTAAGCCAAAGTCTGGCCGGGGCCGCCAGCCTTACGTCCTCCGTCCCCCCATCCATCCTGTCGTCAGTCGTCACTGCCGGAATCGTCACGCACCAACTTCGTCCCATCCCACGAACTTTCCTTTTTTTCCTGCAGTTAGCTACATACCGAAGTATGTACGACTGGGTTAGACGAGATCATTGGATTTCACGATGGACTGCTGTGGCCGAACGGCACGCATCCACCCGTTCCGCATCCTGTGCATCCCGTGCATCACGTGCATCACTCGACCGACCTCGACCGACCGACACACACATCACGAACACATCACGAGAATACCAAGATGTAGGCAAGTCCAAAAAAATAAGGTTCCAAAGTCCCCCGTGTAATTATAATACATACAATCGGCGACAAACCTTCCATCCCCCCTCATCCATAAAAACAGAACAGATCGACTCAACTTAGTAAGCAAGCAGCAGCACGCAACCTGGCTATGCAAAACAGGAAGCAGGAGCAAGGGAAGAAAAAAGGAAAAATTCCCAACCCAACCAACGATCGAAAGCAAAAAGCAAAAAAACAAAACAACCGAATGCGAGGGGAGGAAAAAAAAGAGCAACGCTCCGGGCAGAAGAAAATAAAATAAAAAACAAAAAAATATATGATGAAGAGCAAAACGATGCGAATGATCGAGGCAACACGATAACCGTTGAAAGCATGCATGCGGAAAAAGAAACCGACCCTCCTCCAGTTCCCCCAACCCCGACCCACCAACCAAAAACAAAGCACCGAAATCGCCAAAAAAATTGAAGACAACCAAAGGTAGAAAGGAAACGGTGTGAATAAAAAAGAAAGAAGAAATAAACAGAAACCTCGGTTCAATGCCATGTACAGACCACCGCACCACCGACACCATCTTCCGAATGTGCAATTCACTCCCCCTCCGTTTGCTCGGTCGTCTATGTGTCTCCTCTTGTACTTTGTTCGTGATCGTCCCGGTCATTATCGCATAAGTCTTCGTAGAATCCGTGGTCCGTTCTCAGTAGAAGTAGTACCGTCTTAGGTCGATACTTCGCCGAGATCCTCCAGCAAGTCCCATCCCGACCCGATATCATCCCGCTGATCCTCCCTGCTCATGTATCCATCCTCGCCTCTCTCCGTCCATTCCGACCCTTTAACTTCCTTCCAGATGCTGCGTATGTACATCTGCAGGGACCTCAGCCCACGAAGATACCCCTTATCAATCCCGTGTCGATCCTTAGGCGGACACGTGGCTGTCTCCGGGAGCGCATCTTCAGCGGTGACGCAGTTGGCAAAGTCCACAATCTTAAGGTCAATTGTGCGGTCCTTATCCTGACCGTCATAAAGGACAAGCAAGCTACTGGCGTAGAATCTATACCCGGGCAACTGTTTGATCATCACTTCGAGAGCCTTGAGCTTCACAAGAATGGTGGGGATGTGACGCAGGATTGACGAGTCGTCCTTTCCATCCGACAGAAACCGAGTGAGCGCACTCTGGAACTCGCGGCCCGCCTTCAAGTCTCGTCCAAAGTACTTGTCCTCGAACATGTATGTCTGAGTTTTGGCGTTCCACACCTGCATGCCGCAGACACGGACTCCAAGTTCGCGGGATGTTGTACCCGCACACTTTCTCGCCTGTGACTTGCGCTTCTTCTCCGAAGCTTCGACACCGTACTGTCTGGTTCCCATCTTGAGATCCAGAACACAGGGCGACTTCATACCGGCAGTGAGATCCTCCAAAAGCAAGAAGAGCTCAACCCGTTCTTTGGGTTGTTCACCGGGAGCTGGCGCACCGGCATCCTTGCGTGACCCCGCGTTGGGTGTGGACGCGGCCCTCGTCATGCATCGTTCCGCCCACGACCCTTTCTTAATCTGCGGATCTTCGTCCATCCTAAAGACTTCATCCTCTCGATCTCCACCGTATCCATCGTCCTCCATCCCGAATTCATTGGGTGTCGGAACACTCAGGCGATCCCTCCTTCTAGGTATGCTGCCGGATCGGGCTCGGGGTCGCGACTTTGGCACTGGGGTGGCTTGACCCTCGGTGGTCGCAGGGCTATCTCGTGCGCTATTCTCCTCGTCATCGACCGGAAGTTGTCCTTTGGAAAGACTCCGCAGATCGGTACTCGATGCGTATCGCCGTTCGACATCCCCACGCAGCATCCTCAATCTCGGATCCTCCGGATTACTATCCGATCGAGACGGCCCTGGTCCGACGTCGGTGTTGCTCCTGTGGAAGTCGGTAACCCTAGCCGAATCCAGATTGGCTACCGAGCCTCGCCGCTTCTGAGGGTTGTAGCCAGAACGAGTCCGCTGGTGATGGTGATGGTGATGGTGATGACGGTGGGCCGGAGGCGGTGAGAACACCTCTCTCAGGACCTGCTCTTGCAATTTCCGGTTGATGACGGTAGCCCCCCAACTAGAGTGCTTCTTCTTGGTGGGGCGTGGCAACGAGGCCTCATCGCCTGTACTCATCCCACTGTCGTCTGTACCGGTCTTCTTATCGTCTCCCGATGCCATCGAATCCTCAAGTCGAGATGGTGAAGGGGCACTCGTCGAGACTCGGAACAGATTATCGGGAATGATGTGTCGGTTTTGTTCCAAGACAACCTGTGGTAAAGGCGGTCCGAAAGAGATAGCCCCATCATCACGTCTTGTAGCGTCCGATCCGTCTTCCAGTTTGACTGAGGGAACCGGTTCCGTTGTGCCGTTCGATAAAGCCTCGCCGTCTTTCTTGGACAGCTTCTTTTTCTTGGTCTTCCACGTCACATTGAGGACTCCAATATACCTGTAGCCAGTTTAGCATCGGACGGTGGAAATATTAGATGGGGGGAAGGGGAATGTGGATGATGTACCTGGGCAGAAACTTGAGAAGCTCGGGATGTCTAGTCTCTATTGCCTCGTAAAATTCATTTTCGCGGTTGCTTAAACTCTTGCAGACCGCCTTCTTTGAGAACCTGAATAACGCAGTGTGCCCACCGACTTGGTGCTTGTAGGGCTTCAGTTCAACCGCACCGAGAGGAGGAGCGTTATTGTTGTTGGCACCGTCATGGCGGTCCTTGGCCCGGGGAACAGGAACGGTCTTTCGAGAAGTAGGTGTGACGACGTCGATGTCCGAATCCTCCACAACACTCCTCTCGATATCGTCGGTTGAGGATTCGTAAAAGTCAGAATTATCTGAGAATTCGGATACTACGGACGACGCAGCCGATGCGTAGTTGTAGTTGTGGCTGTCGTCCTCGGAAACGGAAACGCGCCGCCTCCTCTTGCCATCACGGTGGTAAAGTACTTCGTCATCTTCGTTCCGGATGGATAGGTCCACTTTGGAAGAGTTGACAGCGTGCTGAGAGTATACGCGTGGTCGGTTATCTCCTTCCACGGTATCGGCGTGTCGTTGAAACGGATTATCCAAAGAGGCTTCAGATGGCCTGGTGCTCGGGATCGTCGAAGAGGATGGGACGCGAGTGATGGAGGGTGTTGTGTGAGGGAAATAAACGGCCGACGAGATTTCGTCCTCGCCTTCCTCTTCGTCATGATCGGATGCAGTGTGGTCAGACGTACTGTGATCGTGATCATCGTGTGCAAGCACGGTGTGATCTGAACCTTCGTCCCCTTCCTCATCAGCCTTCCTCGAGGGTCGACGACCATCAACCACGGTGGACGTGCAGGATGAAGCAACAGACTCGATCTGCGATTCCGGCGAACGGGAACTTGCGTCACCTTCGTGATACCCGGAATCAGCCAGACCCTCGCACGGTGTCTGGAGAGACTTTAATCTCCCGTCCACCGCATCTAGCGAATCTGCAGTTATGCTTCGCACAGGTGGGAGGGGAGGAGAAGAGGAAGGTCTCGAGACAGTAAATGCAACAGACCTCGAGGAGTCATCACCCGGAACGGCGTCGAGAGAAGTGACATCACGAGATGATGGAGGATTTCTATCATCTTTCGTACGCGAAACTGAGACGGAATCAGAACAGAGAACCTTCTCCTTATTTTTTTCGGCTGGCGCCGACTGCAAGGGATTGAGAGCAACGTCTTCGATGATACCTTTCGCAGCCGATTCCTTTGCTTTCTCATTCTCTCTGTTTCGTCGTTTCTCGAACCGATCCTTCTCTTTCTCTCTCTCCTTCTCCTCACGTCGCTGCCTCTCTCGTCCCCGCTCCTCGATAGCCTTGTTATTTTCCTTAAACAAGCCCAATAGTTGGGTTCCTTTCCTACTGCGAGAGCTGCTCTCACTAGCCATAACAGCAGAAATAGATTCCGGTCCATCCATGACATCACTGTCGATCTCTCCGCATTCGGAAACATGTGTCGCATCGCCTTCTCGAGGGATATCATGGTTGGTGTTGTTAATGCTGTTAATGTTGCTGTTGTTGCAGCGGTCCGTGGGGCGCTCATGACGATTGCTAGCGCCGTTGGATTGAAATCGGGTGGGCCAATTCACTGTCTTTCCGAGCAAGCTGTGTGCCGTAGCTATGCGGTTGCGGTCCTCCGGACGGATATCTCTGGCAGAGAGCGGAGTGGAAGGACGCTCGATCGGGCTCTCGGCTGGACTTATGTAAGGAGGCAGTTGAGCTGGGAAGTCGTGCTCATTGACGCCGACGCCGCCAACGCCACCGGGGTAGTCGTTAGAGGGATCGGAACCGTGAAGGGTGAAGGTGCGTAGGGGGCCCGACGGATGGTATTTCCAGGGGCGAGGGAAAGGGTGCCAACGGGGTTCCTCTTTAATAGGTGATGTGGATGTAGTAGTAGTCTTTGCCTCATAGCTTCGCGACGACAACGAGGGCGAAGAAGATGACGACGACAGAGTGCGTTTTGCTGGTGGAGGGAGGGAATATAATGGAGTGTGTGATTCTAAAGAGGCCTGTGATTGAGGGATGATGGCGGTAGTGGTCGTGGTCGTGGTGGTTGCAGAGTCTCCAGTCGCGGTAGTGGCGATTGAAGACGGAGTCGATGACCCAAGCACGGGCGACGTGTAAGATCGAACGAGTGTAGAGTGGCCAGCCGGGTTGTTGCTGTTTTCCTTGGAAGGAAGGGGGGAATCATAAAACGGGGCTGGCATGAGGAGTCATTGAAGCCAGCTGGAAGCCAGAATAACCAGTGGGATCGGGGTATAGGTATACGATGTTATCGCCAGAGAGATAACGTAGGCTTTTTTTCTGGAGGGGGGGTGGGAATAGGAAGGGGCCTGATAGTAAGTCTAATGTGTGTGCAGCAGGCGGCAATAGTTTCTTGCGGTGGCCGCGTTTAATTGAAATTCCCGCTTTAGGGAGGGTTGTAGTTTGATGGTAAAGAGGAGGATTGTGGTGGTGGTGGGTGGTGGTTGTCGTGGTTTAGGTGCGAGAGAGATGGTTTAGGTGAGAGAAAGAGATGTTGCTTGGGCGGCGGATGTTATTGCTGTCTGGCTGACCAGGCGAGATTGGGAGGGAAGGAAGAAGGCGTTAGGGAGTTGTTGTTAGCGTGATTTGGGTTACTAGCTGGCTCGGAGGGAGTGTCAACTGTCGAGGGGTTTTGTGTTTCCGTTGTCACTGTTGGCACTTGAAAGCTACTATGGCGACTCTACTCTAGAAAGAGAGTCGACTTCTATGTTAGGTTCGTATAACCCAGATAGAATACGATACGGAGAGCTGAATAGACGCGAAGAAAAAAGAAAGAAAATTACATCTCCGGAGGGGAAAGCGTGAGTTGGGAGGGTTGCAACTTGGTGGAGGGAAAGAACCGGAGGTGAAACCGCCAAAGGAAATAATCCCGATCCGGCATAACTCGGTGAACGATGCTGGATGGCTGCTGATGCTGATGGAGGATGACTTCGAGGAATCAGGATGCCGACCCTAACCATATCCAAGCAGATGTCCGTTGTACCCGGGGCAATTATTTGGAAAATGACGGCGGAGTGAGGACCTGCCATGCAGGCTTTACGTACGTACATTCTGCTGTGTCGATGAATGATCTGAACCATCCGGTCCATCGAGATGGAGATGTCGGTATGTACTTTCCTATGTATGTACGTGTTTCTGTCCGGACCACTGAGTAAGGGGATAGCTACATAGTTGGGTATTTACATATGTCGAGTGCGTCTTCGTCAATGGAGAGGTGAAGGGGGAGGGAGTATCATACCTTCTACCGCCTGATGGGGGGGCGATAACTCCTACCTACACCCACCCACCCACTACCCGCACACATGTACCGGTCGATTCGTATCTGTTGTACCTATCGTCCGGAAAATCCTCTAGCGAGATCTACCCAAACAAGAGCTCCCTCGCAGCAAACGAGCCACGATTGGGCGATTCTATTGGGCGAATCGAAGGTGTTTCTCAAGCTTTCGGCGATGCAGCGTGCAGAGTAGCTGCTGCACCTCCAAGAAAAATTTAAAAAAGAACAACAACAATAATTCCTCTTATCTGCCGATCCTCCCGACAAAACTCCCAACCACGGCCGTGCATGATGCACACGGTGCTCCACGATGATGGATGTATGGTTGGATCCGAACTACCCAGGTAGTAAGCTAGCCATACATGTTCCCAAGTTCAGCTCCCCTCTCTCCCTCCCCTTTTTTACACTTTTAACTGTCCACGGGGTAGGTATGGTGGATCGAGTACTTGGAGCGGAGTGCCCGAACACAACAGCAGCAGCACCACCACAGGCCAGCGTTCATATCGTAGTGAAGTCGACTGGCGCATAGCATGGGCAATGGCATTCGGGATGAGACAGTGACGGACCGGCACCATTTGCTTACGAGTTTGCCAGATACCCACCCACCTTCGGTATGTACTCTACGTACTAAAGTACATAGTACCTAAGCAAGCCGTAGAACAACGCCGGCACAAAGTACCGTATTGTGGGTGGCTTTCGGTGGTGGGAATCCCGTCAGCTGCACCGTCTCCGCTCCAACCGTCACCGGCCGCGAGAAGAGGGAAAGAGCCAGCCAGCCCATCCAGCAGACCCGGAAGAAAGCTTTGGAGGGCAGCATGATTGGTGTCATGGCATATCACGCTCACCATTACCTACCTATCATACCTACATACAAGACGAACCACCGCCACCCTACGGTACACTACTGAAATGGCGGTCCTACAGTACTTGCTGGCTGGATAGTGGTTTTTAACCATGTGCTCCGATCCTACGGTACTCTATGGATCCTCTTTCATCTCTTGCGGTTGTTGGGCAAAGGGAGATACCGGTATGATTTCCAACGAGAGCGCCCAGATTGCTAAGCCTAACCATGCCCCCAGAACATTTTTCACTCGTCTGCAAGTACATATGATACCTACTATATTACTGTGGTTGTACTCTAGAGTAGGTACTATACAGCACTCTCCAGAGTCCAGAGTATCGTGAACGCCACCCATGGCCAGCCCACGTTCACGGCTCAATTGGAAACAAAGCACAAGGTGGCCCAGCCCGGCGCCGATAACCATCGTAAAGCTCCGCTCCAAAACGTGGGCTGGATCGTTGGTCTTGTGAGCTTCATCGGTCCGAGCGCCTGCTCCAGTGCTAAATGCCCTTACCGGTCATGACACCAACTCAGGTGCGCGCACGCCCAACCACTAGCACGCGCGATTGGGCCGATCGAAACCCCACCACCTCCTCGGACCTTCTCCTCCAAGTTCCAACCAGAAGCTCAGCCAACCGACGGAACCCATGCCAACCCATGCCAACCCCAGAACCAACCCCAACACGTGGAACACGCCGAACTCGGTGGCGTCCCGCTGTTGGGCCCCCCGTCCGTTGCTAGCCTCACCAACAACACTACCATCACCACCATCACCACCATCACTTCCACTGGTTCGAATCGCCAATAAACTAGTTGCAGTACCCAAGTATCTAGCTGAGGTTGACTACTATATTCAGAAGTGTGGGGTGGCCGAGGCCGTCAGATGTATGATGCTTCCTGCTTTTCGGCGTGATCGTAAGAAATCGTTAGAGTACTAGTAGGTAGTGTGAATTTACAGATCACTCGTGAGCACTCACCGTTGTAGGGGAATAGGCACTTGCCTACTAGTAGTCCCGATCCCCAGATGGCGGGCATCCCCCCCAGAGTTCTCATTCTGCCGAGGCGCCGACGAACACATGTCCCTTGGGACTGGGAAGGAATGCAACAGTCTCTCACTTCTTCGGGCTCGAACGAATTGGATGGAGCTCACACACACGTGCAAATCTTCCTGGGCAAACCTCCATCCACTCGAGCATCAAGTCTCTTGGATCCTCAGCCGGCAATACGGTAGGTATAGGTATAGTAATACCGTACGGTAACAGAGTTGTGCGCTCTGTTCATCCATCGCCCACATCAGCACGGAAGATTCAACGAGCAAGCCTCCTAAGTTCGTACATACAAAGGCAGCTCGACGAAGAAATCTTCAATCAAGACTCACCTGGCCACGCCGGATGCACGGCCTCATCCACTGTAGGTGCCTACTTACTTGAGTAATCCTCCCAGACCGCAAGGACGGATTCCAGCATCAGCATCAGCATCAGCCTCAGCACCAGCACCAGCATCTCCACATTTCCCAATGGGACGATAACTACATTCTACATATGATATGTCAAAAAACCCGCAGAGTCAGCGCGGAAACTAATGCTGCAGGTACCCACCGCACCCCTCGTGTGATTGGCCCATCCCAAGCCTCTTCCCCACCCCACCTTAAAACGGCCGCGGGCGTGTTCGTACCGAATTTTCCTCTGGCCCCCCTCCAGACGTGGGAGCCGGATGACTTTTAATTGGTCCGTTGCAAAGGTGTGGGTGTGCCCGCAGCTCTGTCTCACTATTCAGCTCAGGTTCGCATTCGTTCCTCAAGGAAGCCTGGGACGCGCACGCCACACACATACACATATACACTCGCGCACGCACACACATTCGCTCACTCGCTCACTCTCACGCACACACATATAGAGTGACAAGCGCGCGTCTCATCGGTGGAGCAGAATACTCCACATAGATAGAGTACTTCTCCATGCTCGCACTATCTCTCGGCCCCAGTACTCTGCACGCTCTACCCAAATCCCGACCGACCTCCCGAGCGACCGAGCGACCGACCGAAAGGCCGACAGGCCAGCTCAGCATCCGCAAGCATCCATCCATCGATCCTTATCGTCACGATAACGGCACATTCACGCACCCACGCACCCATCCCTCCCTCCCATCCCTCCATCCCTCCATCCACCTATCCATCCTGACGATGCCGGTAGTTCAGGTTCCGCATAGATACGCGGCACGCCTGGCCGGAAACATTCATGCTGCTTCCCCGGCCACCCGCATGAATATGGGACAAACGATGCCGGTGCGGTGGAGCAAGAAAAAAATAGAAGCAGTCGGCCGGACTATCCGTGCATGTAGGTGAGAGTGCGAACCATACACATCCATTATACTTACTTGAGCTCACACACACACACACATTCACATACACGCCCCCCTCCTCCTCTCCCTCTTCTTTTGCTTTAGGCTTTCCCTCGTACATGGAGTAGATTATATGATTACATATCCAGTCCGGTTATGTAAGTAAGAAGTACTCCAATACCTACTCGAGTATCGATACAGGGTATCATGTTGGCGGAGATGGAACCGTACACACCTACAAGAGCGATTCGTAATGTAAGTACATTCTTACTATTTACAGACAGTCCCATTCGAAGCCTTATTGACGATTGCGCGGCTCCGTCATCCCCGCTTACGTATTAGCACTGGGCAGTGGTTGTAACTTGTATCCGAAAGAGCTGCTATGTAATATAGAGTACATCTTATGCACCTTTTTGTTTCTTTGTTTTACCAAACTCGTACAATGTATCCAGCCTATAAGCAACTGTGAACGGCGGGCCGTGGGCGTTCTGTCCATGGTCTTGTCACGACCATACGAGGGATATACATGTGTATATGTGTACCTCGACCAGGTAGCTTCTAGCCAATGCTCTAATCCCAAGAGTAGGCATGTTTCGTCGAGTGATAGGTATGTGAAATATCGGTACCATACATACGCGCAGCCGCCGGTCGGGAGTGTTTAGGTAACTACAGGGTTTCGTTTTGCGTCGTCGTGGGTTGTGGGTTGTGGGTTGTGGGTTGTTATCGCTGCCATTGTGAGGGGAGTGGGTGGGTGAAGGGGGCTTCACGGGAGGACGCACAAGTGCCTCACGTTCCTATTCCCACAGTCCAACTCCACCGAGCTCAGGCGGCACGGCAAGGTCATGCGCTGGGAGTCTGGAGCCTGGAGTCTGGAGCCAATATCTACCAAGTACCTACCCTCCGATGGACGAACACCGGTCGGTGCGACGGTGAAGTTGTTTCGCCTCGGCCACGTTAGTTGTCGAGTTTGTTCCTGTCTGGCGGTGGGTGGGTATGAAGTCGGGTAGGTATGCACACCGGTACCTACCAGACCTACCGATTCGGACGGACATCCGGCGTCGAAACTTACTCTACTATTTCCGCCGAAGGCCCAGCGGACTGACTGGCTGACCGGCGTGCACGTTCCCGTTCACGTGCCGCTCCATGGAGCCGTGCCCGCGTGGGTACCGTACATGGGTTTGCTGGCACATACATACGGAGGTGATATGCCCGCGTGCTGAGCCGATGGCACACGTACCGTACCGTACCGTACAGCACATACCGTATATGTAGCGGAAACCTGCGTCTCGTTGCTAGTACCTACGTGTGCTGGTCCATGTGCGGGGGAGTATGGGGTATGGGGTATGGGGTATGGGGTATGGGGTATGGGGTATGGGGTACGGGGTATGGGGTATGGGGTAGAGATGAATGCATATGCAGCACATGCATGTTGGTGGAAGAGAGCCGGAATGTGTGCATGCACTACATATACCGGAGGGCGAGAGTCCCCGTCGGGCCGCAGCTGGACTGCAACCGGTGCTGGTGCTGGTGCTGGAAGATCGTCGATGTAGGTACGCCGGATCGATATGCAACCGTATGTATGTATCTACAGGCGGAAAATATCCGCAGCTGGTAGAGCTATGTACCTAATGAACCTATGTGCCTGCTTACCTACCTAGAAACCGTCTATCCATCCAGTATTCTCCAGACGTGACGGACGATACGTACGCATCCGCCGCCAGGCCAGACCGACGTGAGAACCCATGACCCCCTTCACCATAGATACACTAGAACTCACTCGGCGCCCACTCTCGGAAGTGAGGCGCTCGATCCACACGACCGATCCCGCAGGCAGTGGCCCGTCGAGTTGTCGCGAGCATCTCGTCTTGCCCCACAGCCATCGACTTCGCTTCGATGTGTTCTCGTGGGCACGTGCACTGGGGCGGAGCGGGTATGTACATGCCCATGATACTGGTAAGTCTGCACATCCTCGTCTGTCTGCCTGGGCTCGAGGGTTACAGATAGAATGGAGCGTGCGTGCATATCAGCTCCTGGGCTACCTACTGATTTGCCCTGGGAAGTGGAGAGTGTGGAGAGTACCTACATACGCAGGCAGGAGCGTCTGGGATACGAAGATTGACGTCCGCAGACGGGTACTCCTCGATCCGATGGTGGTGATGGTGGTGATGGTGGTGATGGTGGTGATGGATGGACGGATGGAGTCTTACGTATAGGCGTACTCGTGATACACCAAACCACCGCCAGGATAGCAGGACCGGGTTGTTTACAACTTTCTCGTGTATGTATGCGTGCGTGCCCTACTAGGTACCTACATTTCAGCTTCCGGCACATGAAACCAGCACCTCCTCCTCCCTGCCCTCCCTCCCCATTCGCCGAGACCAAAACCACAGCCAACATCCAACAGCCGAGACCACGACAAGAATTTCCCAAGAATCCAACTGTTATTCGTACGCGCGGGACTGATGGAAATATCTCAATATCTACAAAAAGCGCTCGACTCACCCCCCGAGTGAGCCACAGTGAATGAGCCACCAGCTGGCAGGCGACCCCCCTTTACTCCAACAAGATCCACTCATATAAATCTCCTTGCTCCATTCATCCATCCGCCCACCCACCCACCCACATCATTATCGACGATACGTTTCGTGTTGTATCGGTTGGAGAGTATGGCTGCTTCGTCAATGGCTAGTCCTTGGGTCACGCTCGGTTGTAGGTATGTATATCGGAAAGTTGTGACCGCGGGAATAGTGAGTGAGTACCGTACCGTAGGGCCGGTCGGTGATCATGAAGCAGTGAGTCATTGTGGCTGTGCGGACTCGTTGTTGTTTCGTGCTGGTTGGCACCGCGGGAACGACATGTGAGAGCGAACAATTTGTGTTCACCAACGGAGGGTGGGAGGGGATGAAGGTGATAATCTATGTGCGCAATGCGGCGCAGCTTGGTTTGGTGGGCGAGATTGAGGCCGAAAGCGATGACGACGACGACGGCGATGCGTACCTAATGTACTCTATGTACATACAATACTCTAATAGGTAGCGGTGTATGCAGGTACTCGATCGAGGGATGTCCGTCTGTCTGTGCGGTACTTGGTATGTACGTCAGGGGCGAAATATAGATGGGGATGGGGATGCTGGAAGCTTCGCTCTTCTCTCCCCTACGGGCGGAGTGCGGAGTGCGACGCGTCCGCTGGAGGCGGAGTGGCTCTAAAGAAAGGAGATGGATGGATGGCCGAAGCGCTCCTATGGAGGTGACGCTATGTACGGGGATTATCGCGGTACATACTGATTCGTCGGTTACCGTGTGTACGTGAGTCATCGGGATTCCGAGATCCAAAACTCGTCGGGCGGGTAGCAGAGGTTCCGTACTGGTCGAAGGGAGGGAGGTGATGTTCAAATCTCTGGGATGTCAAATCCCCAAATCTCGATTGTGGCAAACACTCGTCTAGATGGATCGATTCCGATGATGTCACTTTTCCACACGTGTCTGTAAGGCGTTTGGGGGAAGGGGTGGGGATTACATAATCGGGGCAGTCGGCCGGATTTAAAGTTTAGCGGGCCAGGACTGGGGTGGTGGAGTGGGAGGTTGCACAGACATCGACAGGGATTATCCGAGCGGCCGAGCCCGGTCGGGGCTAAATCCGGCCATCCCGAATCGGACCGGATATGGCTGTTCCCAACATCTCGGGAAATATCCATATCGATGCTATGCTGCACGGGGCAGCAACGAGAAATCCTACGATTGGCTAACTCGGGCGCGGGGATGTGCATTGTGAGGTTGCTTTGACCCCGCACGTTCGATGTCGACATTCGCTGTCATGGGGATCACTACCTACATAACCTACGGCAGCATCGTACTGCAGGTATGTAGCTATTGCCTGGCTGCGCTTCGCCAGCGCTGAGAACGGGACCGGTTTCAGATGTATGTACATACCGCCAGCGTAGGCCGACAGGACGGTCGGGGAAGCGGCGAAGGCTAGCTACCCGCGAGAATTGATGCGTGAGTCTTCTTTGAGTTCTTCTCCACCAGCGCCGGATTCGGGACACAGTCACTAAACGACGTTCGACAGCTGCGTAAGTGTGCACAGGAGTCAGACATCGATCCTGAGGCGGTTCACATGGCTTCGGGATGATCGAGGCGAAGTGGGGCGGGGTTGTACCAACCCCACCTGCCACGGTGAATGAGTCTCGAAAGTCTGGACCCTCTCAGAAGCCACTGGTTTCTTCGAGAGTTGCTGGTTACTGGCTTCTTCTTGTTCTTCTTCTTCTTCTTCGAAGGGCTCATACATTACTCACGACCTACTTATAGGTCGATCAGGTGACTCAGCACCGATGATGAGTGTTCGAGGGCGCAATCGCTCTGGGCCGGGCAGAAGTCGATAGCCTTAGGCTGGTGACGAGGAGCCTAGCAGCGATGCGGTGATGGGGTGAACAAAGAAGGCATCGTGCGGCATACACCACGACCGTTGAAGTTGGATGGATCGGATCGGAACAAAGCAACACCGTTCGCACGTGATGGAGGATTTAAGGTTTTTTTGCAGGGTTGGCGAAAGCGACATCTGTTTCACACCGCAAACCGGTTTTTGCATCGTGGAACTCGTGTGGGTTGCACAGGGACTCCGCTTTCCCGAACTTCCCCTACTCACAGCCTGAGGATGACAGATCAGCTCCTATCCCTCAGCCTCGTCGGCCTACGATCCCTCCTCCCCCCTCCCTCCCCCCTCCCTCCCCCCTCCATCCTCCCCCCAGCTCACCCAGAGTCAACTTTAATCCGACGTCGTGGAGCGGGTGTTTTCCCGTTCTCCTCCTCTCATCCCATCGCTCTCCGTCCAGCCTTGTCTCCCACCTCAGGCACCCACCATCTACTATACGGCCATCACCACCTGCTGCACCTACCTTCACCACCGCCACCACCGCCTTCGCTCCGTCATCTCTCCCATCGCATGCTACCGATTTGTATATTTTACCCGCTGCTATTTGCTGGAACGAAACACGTCACCCCCCACCAGGCTTCTCGAGCCGCTCGAAATATGTGATGGTGCTTGTTCAGGGAACGCAGGGAAAAAAATCCATCCAGTCAGTGCGTGCGTTGTCGTCACAGCCCACTCACCTCACACACACCCACGCACACACATCCCATCATCCATCCTCTTCCCTCACGATCGCCCAACCACCCCTCCCCGCTGCGGGGCAGAATCGCAGGATTATCGACTGGCTCTCGACTTATCATGTATGTAAGGAGGAGGTGGAGCAGGAGCAGGAGCAGGAGCAGGCGGCATGTACATGGACACACGGAAAGTGCGAAGCACACCACCTACACAGTGTTCACATCCAACGTACCTACGTGTCGCAATCCGAGTCTCACGCCCTCTGCACGTTCACCGGCCGGTCTTGAAATCCTGAGAAGAGGAGAGAGAGACAGTGGGAGTCAGGACGTGGTGGATCCCCTCACTCGCCAAAAACCTCACCACTTTGTGTGCGCGCGCGGATGTGGGTGTGTCTAGAGTATGCGCTCACTGCTAACTAGTAGCTAACGAAATGCCCTCTACTCTGGGCCAGAACAAGTGTTAAATATGGGGCGTGCGGGCGCTGCGGAGTCGGTCGTGTGTTCTGGAAGTGCTGGGCCGGCAGCCAGACGGGAAAATTAAATCATTCGAAGCGAAGCCACACTCGTTCGTCGCTCGCCCGTCTGTCCGTTCGCGCGGCAAGTCGACCGAAGCAGCAGCACAGGTTTCGACATCAAAACGACACGCTGCTGCTGATAATCGTGAGACCGACACTGACTTGCGGTCCGTCCGTGCGTCCAGTCGGTTCTTTATCTCGGATCCGTTTACCTCAACAACAGCAACAAGGCCCAGGATCCCCTTGAAGCCTTGGACGCTGGAGCTGTACCTTACCCACAACAGGCAGAACGGTGTGCATTCACGCGCGAAGATGCCCAATCACCCACATCATAGTTACTTACCCACCCAAGTACCTACTTGCCTACCTACTCTACAGCCGGGTCTGATCTTTGGTGCCCAACCGACAGAGGGAACATTCTGTGTGGCCGACACGACACGACCTGGCCTGCTGCCCATGTCCCGCGCAGCCTGGGACACAACGAATCTTGCGACCGGCCAGGATGCTGCAGCGTTAGAGCGACAAATCCACTGAGTTGTCCACTGGTCTGCAGGTTGCCCAGCAACCAGAACCCCAAAGGACTCGTCCATACGCTGCTGCCTCATGCTGCTATAAAGCGGATGGGTGTCATCATAGCCAGACTCCGCACAGCCTTCAAGAACGATCCTACACACACACCTAGAGTACTGCAAAGTGTGCATGGCGCCGATGGGTGCGATTTACAAGCCCACTCCACTTTATCTTCAACGACGCGAGCGGGACAATTTTACTAGCAGTGCGTAGAGTATGTAAAATGACTCAAGGACAGCCGATCACAGGATGGATGATGAGTGACAGAGAGGAACCGAGCACTACTGCCACTGCCACCACCAAAACCACCACTACGCACGCTTGCGACGTTCGCTCGCTCGTGGCTGCATACATATCCAAGCAAGTGCTCATGTATGTAGGCAGCATATGTTGAGCAGGTAAACGAGCATCCGCGTCTTTTCGCGGCTTCGGTAAATTGGAAGAAGGCTCTGGCACTCTTGGCTGTCAGTGTGATCCGCAGATCTCACCCGGTATGAGCTCGATACTCTGCTGGCATGGCATCCACTCGGCCCGGGAAGAAGACGTATCCAGATGACTTCCCCAGTGTCGCTCGCTCGCGACTTTCTTGACGGAGGTGGGAATGCTGTTCCACTACATATCATAGTACCATGGCTAACATTGTGATTGTGCCGGACCGTAGGCAGAGTACCAAGAGCAACAATAATGTTTCTCGGACCGTCTCCGTCACCTAGAGTGTAGTACACCTTGGGGGAGACGGAGGGACCGGGAAAAGTGGTGTCGAGCGACCGACCGGATTAACGGGGGGTGGAGGATGAGGGCCTGAATTTCGGCTGCAACTCTGCAACACTCGGCGACGATCGTATGTAGATAGTTCCTCTTTGTCGAAGTTGGAAGGAACGGAAGGACGACACAACAGAAGGCCTTTGTTTCGCGAGATTTGAAACAAAGGGAAGCTCCTCACTATGACCAGGATTATACGCCAGGATAGGTAGAGTACACGACTGTTTACAGTTAGCATATATATGGGCGTCCCGATAGTCGGGAAGGGGGGGAGGGAGGACCGGCGTATGTAACCAGTTGAAATTGAGCGCCAACCTCAATCTACGGGCTCGTTCATTGGTCATGTCTTGCAGACATCCCTGGAGAAAAAATTCTCACGTTTTAAAATTAGGAGGTTCATTTCGGTGGCTTCCTTCTTCTTCGCTACCTGTTTGTTTGGTGGATCTGGCTCTCTCTCTCTGCCCGAGCTCTCTTTCACGACTCACTCACTCTGGTTCAAGTGCTCACTTGCGAGGAATACTGTGCCTTATATTAGACGGGCGAATGGTAAGGACAGGCTGGAATGCGTCAGTCCCGCAATGCTGCTGAGGGAGCATAGCATTGGTATGTATAGTATTGGGTGAATGTGAATGGGGGGAGGGGGGGGGTGAATGGCGGGAGTGGGAGTGAATGGGGGCGCAGGCGGCGACGAGAGCTGACGAAAGTGAGTAGGGAATAGAAGAGAAGAATCTTTCCATCGGGCACACCGTCTTGGTTAGTTCCATTTTACGAGTTTGGGGGGTTGCAATTATACCCCTGCCCGCACGCTGCCGGAAAAAGCAACGCACATGAGAATTGAAACCATTCTATGGAAGTGGAGCAGGCACTGGAAGAAGGCGGAACGATATCGCTCGCAGCTGCTTCGGTTGCTGAGATATCCAGCGAGTATCGACGCCGCTAATGCACACACACAGAGAGAGAGAGAGAGAAACAGCGAGAGGAACACAGAGAGAGAGAGAAACAGCGAGAGGAACACAGAGAGAGAGAGAAACACACAGAGAGAGAGAAACACACAGAGAGAGCACTGCCAGAGCTGCTTCTTCACCTCTGTTTTCCGCACACTCGTCTTCTGTGGCGGAAACGGATTGCAACACTTCGATCCGTGGCCTCATTTTCTTCTCGTTTTCCCTATCGACAGTCTGCATCTAGCCTTGCCCATTCAACCACACCGAGTCCCAGATGCACAGGGGTGCTGCACCAGAGTCTAGCCTAAGTCTGGCCGTGTGGACTCCTGTGAGCCGGGTCCGCCCTCCCTGGCCCAGGGTCACAATGTCGCCCTCCCACACCTGCGGAAATCCGCACAAGATTTCTTGGGTGCAGGTATCTATATATTCCGGGTGCGCACCCCCCGCCTTGCGCACAACTTCGTTTCTTCCTTCAACATACCCAACCGTCATCCAGACTCCGACGATATCATCGTGCATCCAGCACCAGAACGAAGAATTACGGACTTCGCTTCTAGCTCACCATCATCCTCCAAAGTGGATATCTCCAACACTTCACGAACACTAGTTCTCCGACCGTTGCAGACTCGACTTCCTCGACGATTGTTTAGGGATCGTTATAACTCAGCCGTGCAAACATATCCCACGCTCCACATCCACCACATTACATGTTAGAAACACGAGCAGAATCATCACCCTAACCTCCTCTCCCCTCTCCATCCCTCCAACTTCGATTCAACAGCGCATCCCAATCACAACCTTCACGCTTTCCTGGCGCCATTTCGAGGGCTCCCCACACATGCAGTTCGAACAACCAACCTATACGCAGCCATTTGGGTATCCCCAAGGCACCTACTACGCCAACACCCAGCCGGGAATGCCTCGGCCCGGACAACAATACTTTGAATCAGGATACGGAGTCCCCACCCCGGCTCCTTCTCCCCGAACCCCATCTTCTCGTCGCCGAAGCAACACGCAAGAACCAGCATTCATGGGTGCCGAATACGTGAAGCGACCATCGTCGTCGCGAAGGCACGAGAGCTACAGCGAGTTCGAGCCGCATCGATCCACCACCTCCCCTCGTCCCGGAACCAGTCACAGTCACGGGCGATCACAGCAAGGCTACATGCACACGCCTCTCCACACGCCTCCCCCATCGTCTCACGCTCATCATGGCACTCCGATGCCCAACATCTACGCCTACGGGTTCCCTCCGGGTTCGACCGGCGAATACGTAAGTTCCTTTTATACATATCCATATTCATTCACTCCGGTCTTTGGACCAGGACGGTGGTCAGTACGGCGTCAGGGCCAGCAAGGAGGAGCTATACCCTCAGTGGCAGCAGCAGGAGCGGCGACAGAAGCAGACCCCAAGCTCGTGACGCCGCCACTATCGTCCGAATAGACACCTCAGAAACTCTGCTGACTCGTTCTCGCACCCAGTTTGTTCCTCCTAGTTACACGCCGGCCCCTGGTCCCCAATCGCCCCCGCCGTTCGTCGCCGAGGGTCGCCGCTCCCGCTCCCACCAGCGCCGCGAGAACACATGGTCCGGTGAGAACTCGCCGCGCTCGCCCCCCCGTACCAGTTCCGCCAAGCCGCCGCCGCCACCTCCAACTCGGTCGGCCACCGAAGGCGGTAGCCTCGATGCGGACGAGCTCCGTCGCAAGGCCGCCGAGGCCGGTATCCCGTCCGACTACTCCCTCAAGAACTGGGACTCCAACGAGAGGCCCATCATCCTGCTCGGCTCCGTCTTCGATGCCAACTCGCTCGGCGAGTGGGTCTTCAACTGGACCAAGTTCCACCACGGCCGCACCCACGAGGCCACCCGCACTGCTGGTGGGCTCTGGGAGCTCCTCATCGAGCTGAGCTCCAAGCTTAAGCGCGCCCGTGACTTTTTCGGGTCCATCCGCACTCCCGAGAACCGCGAGATCATCGAGGAGTTCATGGAGAGCGGCGAGAGGCTGTGGCACAAGCTCAAGAACCTCCTCAAGTCCTGTGAGGAGTACATGTGGACTGGCGCCAGGCGCGTCAACTCGCCCAAGCACACCGAGACCAAGACTAAGGTCCAGATGGGCAAGCAGTCGGGTGCCGAGTTCGTCGATGCTATGTTCAACGGCGAGAAGGAGTGGGAGAAGACCGAGAGATTGATGAGGGGTATGGCCATGTGGTGTCATCGCTTCCAGGTCAACTGCGAAGAAATCCTCAAACATGCCGACGCCTAAATCAACACCTCCTTGTCTTTTTCTCTGTCTCTCTCTTTCCCCTCCGCACCCGCCTTTAATTCCTATGTTTACCTCTCTTCCCTTCCGGTTTGAAATCTTTTAGATGGTGGCGTTTTACCTTTCTACGTATACCCCTCCCTCCAACGTCTTCGCTTCTAATCATGTTTTATCCACAACTTTATTCTCCTTCTATTCGTATATCATGTCAAGTTTTTCTGGGCTTCTTTTGGGGGGCGCTCAAAAGCAAATGTTTTGAATTGTTTGCTCTTTTCATTTTCATTTCCCTTTTCCCTTTTCCTTTTCTTTCTTGGGCCTGTACTACTATTCTGCATTTGTCTATTGTTGTTTTTTGGGGAAACTTTGGCTTTTCCGGGAAAACACAAAAGTTTCTTGTCTGTTTTTTTCCTCTTTCGGTTGGGGTGGGGTGGGAGGTTTTTGTTTTAACATTTTTTTCTTTTTGGGTCTGTGTCTGTGTGTGGTGGTGTGCATTCGATGAATGGGGGACGGGGTGGTTTTATCAAATCTTCCCTTGCCTGTTTTGTTTTCTCTTTTGCATGCTGGGTGCGGTGGATCGTTGGTTGGCTGTTTGTCTTTTTTGTCCTTTTTTTTTTGTTGGTTGTTTCTTTTCTGTTGGTTGTTTCTTTTCTGTTGGTTGTTTCTTTTCTGTTGGTTGTTTCTTTTCTGTTGGTTGTTTCTTTTCTGTTGGTTGTTTCTTTTCTGTTCTTGTTCGAAGATACCCTTTTCTCTTTTCTCTTTTTCTTTTCTCTTTCTTGATGTTTTCTTCTTCTTTCTGCACCTTTCTTTCTTCCTCGTCACGTTTTTAATCAGCTGTAATTATGTCTCCCCTTCTTGTTTTCTCCCCCCTCCTCCTCTCTGTCTGGTTTTGGGTTCGTGGTCTGGATGGTTGGATGGATGGAATTCGCGTGCGCACTCGCCGCTCAGTCTCAGTCGTTGGATGGATGGTATATGAATGGGGCCGCCTTTCCGAATTATTTTTTAGGAAACGGCCGGTCGGAGGTGGTGGTGGTGGGATCTTGCTTGTCGACGGGAATGAACGAACGGGAATGGGATCGGTGGAGGGGGGGAAATGGGATACGGAACGGGAGGAAATGGGATATGGAACGGTATGAGGTGGTGGGATATATGGGTGGGATATAAGGGAGGAAGGAACATGGGATGGTGGATTGAATGAAGGTTCGGATCTGATGGATTTCCTTTTTTCCTTATTTTTTTCCTTGCTGTCTGTCGTGGTTCGTGGTCAATGGTCATGTATGAGAGGATGGAGGATGATTGGGGATTCCCTTTGTTTGGCTGCCTATGGAAATGACTACTTTTTCTTCTTCTTTCTACCTTACCTTACTCTACCTTACTCTACCTTACCTTACCGTACCGAAAAGAAAACAAAAAAAACTCTGAGCTGGTCTCACCAAAAACAAAGTTCTTCTCACTCCCTCCACCTGAGCGTACGGCGGTAAATACCTTATGTACGTATGTGTGCCCCCAACATCATCGTCATCACTCTGCAGAACCCAATCGAATTGGATTGGGATTGGATCGAATGGGATTTTGCCTGCTCGCCGCGTTTTGGAACCGACCGACCTGGGCAGGACAGGGCAGGTCAGAGGAGCAGTGATCGTCCGGCAGCAACCGCTCTTGTCGCCCACGCACGCACGTACTCGTACATGAGTACCGTATGTAACTCAAGGTTTCACGGGCATGACAAGACACCACCAACTCCTCTCTTCTCCTGGGAAACCCAACACACTGGAGAAAAAGTTTTCGTACCGCACGAAAGGCACAGACCCTCCCCCCCTTTTCCTTCGTTGACTCATCCATGTAACGAAACAAAACCCCTTTCCCTCTCACCCGAGTCCCAAGTGCTGTGGATTGTCGATTGTTGAAAAAGTTTTTTCGCACACAAATCTCTCTCTGTGTGTGTGTGTGTGTGTGTGTGGTGAGAAAATAGCCTGTGTATCTAGAGAACCTAGCGAGGGGAAGGGAACGAGAGTCCGTGCGTAAGTACCCTCCGTACCGCACCGTACTCTACCGTACCGAAGCAAGCTGGGAGGGAGGAGGGGGGATCCTTGCTTTGCTTTGCTTGGGGAAGCTGGCTTAAGGAGCTGGCTCAGAGCTGCTGCGGCGTGGCGTCATCGCGGGTTCGCGTGAGGACTTGGGGCTTGAGCGGGATACCTAGGCGGAGGATGTAAAGTGGCACGCTCAGCTCACCTCTCGAGGGTCGAGGATACTACGGCTCGCGGGTTCGAGGGGGTTCATGGAGGGGTCCGATGGGTTCCTTGAGGGGGAACGTGCTACCTCCGCTCCATCTGAGTGGAGACTGAACATTCAGCATTGATTGAAGTGGGGTGTTTGTGCGTGTGTGCGTGTGTTGATAGCGGGCGCAGGGCGCATGGCGGGGTGGATTGGAGTTGCTATCCACTATCCAGACTCCAGAGCTCCTCGCAGCCTGAGAATGGAGATGCTCAATCTATCTAATCTATCTATCTACCTATCTAGGTTCTGTCTATCGGTCGGCACGCGCAAATGTCGAGACTCGAGACTCGACGGATGGCCAAAGGTGGAAAGCCAGGTGGAATGCCAGGTGGAAAGCCAGGTGGAATGCCAGGTGGAAAGCCAGGTGGAATGCCAGGCGGTGCCGGCGGCGGCAGCTGGGTGAAGAGGTACAGTAGTTCGTTAGTAACTTGCCTCTTACCTAGCTCGTGCACGCCTGCAGATTTATGGTCGGGGACAGTTGTAACTTGCAACTTTGCAAACAGCGATGCTAGGAATTGGGGATACCTAGGTGAGCAAGCACTTGTGTATGAGGTAGGTTAAGAGGTATGTACTCTAGCAATCAGGGCTGCAACAGTCGCCAAGAAAGAATAGGTAGGTAGAAGGTCCCGGGTCCGAAGCTCGAGCAAACGGATGGGTGGAAGCCTGAAGGACGGCCGTATGTACGTGTATGCGCGTGGGCTCTGTGAGCCAGCCAACCAGCCAACCAGCCGTCTCCGACCTCGAGATGCCGTCCGCGATCCTCGGTCGGGCCGAAGCGATTCCATCGAGCAGTATGTACATACATCCCACCTATACCTATACCTTCTATAGGTAAGTGGTTAGTACTGCAATGACACCTATGGTTAGTTACCATACCGTAGCCGCCGATTCTTCCCGACGAGACGAGACAAAAGAACGCAAGGGCTAGATACTAGTAGGATCGAACGAAGCGGTGGCGCTTTGCAGGCTCAGGCTCAGGCACAGGGCAGGGCAGGGCAGGGCAGGGACTAAGGGCAGGATTGGAAAGGAAGTGAAGTGAAGTGAAGTAAAAAAGGCCTCGTTGTGAGGGGTTCGGTCGCAGAGATGCAAAAGAAACGAAACAGCCAGGCGAGTAAGTGATGAATTCTTCGCTCGACAGGCCGACTGGCCGACCGCTCACTCACAGCACGGGAGAACCTGCTGCCGCTGCATTTGCTTGATTCCCACGTCCACATCCGCGCGCTGGCTGTTTCCTGTTGCAGTCTTTTCTTTCTTTTTTATTCCTTTTGCAGTCTTTTTTTCCTTTTTTCCTTTCCTTTCCTTTCCTTTCCTTTCCTTTTTATTTGTATCTCGTGCAGCAGCCGCAGTGTGTTTCAAAAAGAGCGACGGTGACGAACGAATTTCTGTGACCTCCCCCCCTCCTTCCCTCCTCTCCTTGTGCTGCATGAATGTGACCCCCCCCCCCCATCCACTCGCCCCGCTTCGAATTTTTCTTCCCGCTCCGTCTTTCGTCTTCGTCTTGGAAACTCCGGGCTGCCGCTCGATGCTTGAATCCGGGGCTTTAACTATTTGCAATGCCTACTAGGTCCGTAACTATGCCGTACTCGCTCCGCTGACGCCGTTGCTTCAGCCTTCGCCTTCGCGGCGTGGTTGTGTATGTAGAGTATTACCGACCTTGCCCATGTCCCACGAGTGGAGAATGGTTATTTTCGTTTAGGCACGCGCAAGCAACAGGTATGATGTAACAAGTATCCCGCCCCGCCCCGTTCCCGCCCTGGTCCCGAGCTCTTCCCGAGGTCTTCCCGGTCGGCGCGAATACATACATGTCTGGGTAATAGTACGGTGGTTATCGAAAATCGAAAATTCTCCTCCGTGCGCCGTGAGTGAGAGTGAGAGTGAGAGTGAGAGTGAGAGTGAGAGTGAGAGTGAGTGGGAGTGTGACTGCGAGCTTGTGGTGGTGCTGCTGGTTCAGTCGGCCGGTGGGTGTCGATCAACACGCCGTGCATGTGCCTGTGCTTCTGTGCCGCTGTAGCAAACACCCAATACTCGTAGAAGAAGGCTACATGTGCCCATTGCCCAGTGCCCACTTGTCTAGCGGTGCATAGGTCAGACTCAGAGGTATGTAGAGTACCTACTCTAGAGTACCTATATCATGTACTCTATTATCCAACTTGGATATGCATGCAGATAGCTACCTACTGGTGTGCAGATTGGTAGGTATGTATGCAGCAGCCTTGATTGCTTCTCGTTTAACCGCCATGCAGATTGTTACTGGTATATATGCAGGCGCCAATGGTTATGTGGTTGGGCACAGACTGTAGATACATAAATACGTTTCCGGCGCTTCTGAGCTGCTTACTCTGCGTATGTTTGTGTATGTGTGTCCTGACTCTCGAGGTTTTATTTTGTTTTGTTTCCCGGTAGGCGTCGACTCTCGAGCCGTTTCACGTCAGGCTCGGGACTCAGGACTCAGGCTGCGGCTGATCGCCGGCTACTGGTTAGCGCTGCTTGGTATGTATCATATGCAGTTGGTTCGTCGTCGAGGCGCGCGGGGCAGATGGAAGGATGGATGGAAGGATGGATGGAAGGATGGATGGAAGGATGGATGGAAGGACTAAGCAGTCCAGTCCAGTCCGGGCAAGCTTGTCCGTCCCCCGTCCCCCGCCCCCCCGTCCCGGTGCCGGTACCGGTGCATAGCGGTACATACCGAACTCCCGAACTACCCGTTCCCGTTCCCGTTCCCGTTCCATCCGGGTCCCACTGCCCCAGCCGTTCCTCGGCAGTATGTAACGAAGCTTCCAACTACTCACCTACATAGCCCCAGTGCAAAGCTCAAGTAGTGGAACCGTGGAACCGTAAGAGTAAGACGTCCTCCAACAGTCCGACCTCCAAGCCACGTACTACCGGTACTATATATTCAGAACCCTTCAATGCAACTATCCACCGAGCTTGCCGGTCCAGTCCGGTCCACGGCAGGCAGGCAGGAGAGAGAGAGAGAGAATATCTGCCTAGCTGCCGTCCTACATACATACAAGGTAGGTACATACCGGAGTTTTTCTGCTTCCGAAGGCTATGACAGCGCAAATCCACGCATGCACCTCTACCGTACATGTGAAGAACCCGCTGTTGCGGCCCGCAGGTTAGTTGGTTAGTTGGTTCCTCCGCAGGGCTGGTTCTTTAAGGTGGTAGGTATGATACCTACCCAGGTAAGTAGGTGGTCGCGTGAGTCGAAACAACCGCGAAAGATCTCGACCTGCCGGCGAGTACCGTACTACCTACCATAGCTTACGGTTAGTAATGGGTCCTTTCCCGTCGGGCAGGCGGACGGGCAGGAGGAGGCTCCCGTCCTCCTCCTCGGAATATCCTCGAGTCTCTACCTAGCACCCGGTACATACTACGATGTAGTACGTACCATCTATCTTTGGGCCATTAGGCCTTTGGCGCCGGCGTAACCACCCAGACCAAGCCCTGACTCTGACTCCTCTCCGTTCCAATGTTGACCCACCGTACCTACCGCACCTTCTCGCGTAGAGTACGGCAGGTAGGTAGGTGGTAGCCTGTATGTAGGTACTGTGAAATCCTCCACAGGGAACACCCCGGATCCCACGAACGCGGAGCGTTTTCGTACCGTACCGTACTATATCTACCGGTAGAGTGGACTTGTCTACATAGGATTGCGATCGCACCCACAGGCTGCATAGAGTGCTCGCGAGTCGCTACTAGAGTAACTATGGGTATCCAATGTCCATCAGTGGTTGAAGGTTTTCCCCAGCTCCGGCTCGGGCTCCAGATATATCATATATACCCTCGAAGCCGTGCCGTCCGTCAATACCGGTAGATATCAGACCTCTCTTGCTTCCGGACACTTCACTGCCGGGAATAAAGGGAGGCCGAGACATACTTTGCAGTTGGACTTCCGCCCGCGGCCGGGCTCGATATCGGGATACACACCGAGGACCCCTACATAGGTGCTTATTTCGTGCAATGTGGCCCATATATGTAGGGGAGTACCGAGCAGCTGCTGGGTAAGCTGGATGGCCGGCGCTGCGAGAGTGATGTGACCTGTACTGGTACTACCTACTACAGGTCGTGGTCCGCTCGGATTATCCATTCACACGTGTAACCCCGTCCCCGCCCCCCCCCCCCCCGTCCCCCCCCCTCACCCCTTCTGTCCGGAGTATGCATGCACACGGTGGGTAGAGTATTTATCTGTCGAGGGGAAAGAAAAAACCTTCCTTGTCGTGTCGTGGAGTGGTGGAGCATTCGTGGTACCCGTCTGTCTGTCCGTCCGTCTGTTCCAGCAGTCGTAGAATACTCATCATAGATTGTGCAGTGGGCACCAACTTCCAAGCGTGCACCAAGCGTGTGCAGCAGCGTGCAGTGCAGCTGTGAAGTGTGCATGCTCGCTCGTTGCGAACCACCGGCAGATACCGTATCTTTCGGTTCGAGTTTCGATAGATATTGGGGTTTCTCCAGGCTCCAGGCTGCATGATTTATCCGAGAAACAACCGCAACCTAACCCCAACACAAGCCAACCAAACACAACCAAACCAATTAAATCCAAGCCAACCAAACACAACCCAACCCAACACAGCTCAGGCAAACACAAACGGAACTTTCAAAGCTCGTTCGTCGGCAGCAGCTGCTAGAGTGTGCATCATTCGATGAAGGTGTGTATCAGCTCGCCAGGTAGTTACAGCCACTCGAGGGCGCCGAGGCACATGGCAGTTATCCACGATGTGTGTGTGAGCGTGTGTGTGTGAGCGTGTGTGTGTGTGAGCGTGCATATCCAAGCCGCACCTTCAAATATATTTTTCTCTTCCCTTCCCTTTTCTTCCCTTCCCCTTTTCTTCCCTGGACGTTTGCAGTTCGTGCAGTCCGTGCAGTCCGTGCAGTTACATAGGAAAGCCGAGTTTCAGGTTGGATGTCCGATGGATGGCTGTTTGCGGCGGTGTGTGTGAAGAGAAACAGAAAAAAAAGTTGCACCCACCCACCCACCCACCATAGTAGTTTTTGTGTAGAGTTTTTATGTAGAGTATGCATGGCTTTCACGCCGCACGGAACGGAAAGGGTTGCATTCGTCGCATCGCATCGGTGGGATCGAAACCGCCAAACGAAACGAACGGACAGAAACGAAACAGAATCCGCACTTTGGGCGCATATAGAGTAGCCTTGGCGCGAGTGACCTATAAGTTACCGTAGGAGGATATGGTGCCCGGAGTACCTCCGCTGCTCCGTGTATCGAGCGTATCGAGTATATTCGCGGCCCGAACCTCCAAAATGAAATCGAGTCGAGTTGGGTTCGAACCCCTTCTCTAGAAACTTCGGCCCGGACAGACAGACTCCACTCCATATACTATTTAACAAACACACGTTTGCCTATCCATCGCCAGGCGGCAGGCCTGTTTACGAACGTCTCTGATCGTTGCTCATTGATGATCAGAGTCCTGACGGATGCACGGAACCGCACTCCGGCGCCGGGTCGGTTCTCACCGCTTACTGCTCTATCTCCCGCTCCCTTCCAGCTCCCGCTCCAGCAACAGCTCCAGCGTCAGCGCCGGTGGCCCAGTCGGTCGGTCGGCCCAAGCAGTCGACACCACCTCTCATACGCCCAACTTTTTTGTGTCCCAGGGCTAGCGAAAAACATTCAACACACCCCGACTTCAATACCCAACCCTCAACCCGCCGGGCGGCTGGGCTGCTATCGACAATTGTTGGATCATGGATGACCTCCAGAGGGAGTCCGTTCACAGTTCAGAGCCTTCCCTGCCAAGTTGCCATGCACACATTGCTCGCGTTGCCCGCATGCATTGCATTACCGAGTCGACTCACGGCTTGGACAGGGGATGTCTTACTCTACTCTACTATGGAGCCGATAATGCTCCATCGGTGTGGAAATTTCTTCCTTGAGTTTCTTTGCTTTTTCTTGATGGATACTTCGATGGATATTCCGGCTGGCTGTGGAACGCTGGGACTGGGGGCAAGGACAGGGCATACAGGAACCTGGGACGAGACGCGTGGGAGTCGGAGGCGGAGGCGGAAAAGGAGCGAGGGTCGAGGGTCGGGGGTTGAGGATCGGGGGTCGAGGGCCGGCAGAGGAATGGAAGGGAAGGGAAGGGAAGGTATGGGAAGGTAAGGGGAAGCTCTTAGCAGAAAGAGCTCGCTGCTCGGTGGGGGCTGGGTGAGATTGCAAGGCTTGGGTTGGGTTGGGAAGTTGGGAAGTTGGGAGTTGGGATCTGAATCCATCTATCTACCTCCTCAACAACTACGGTACTCGGGCACAACAACCCGGAGGAGAAGCCGGACTCACCGAAGTGGAGCCCTACCTTGGTACCTACCTCCCTAGTGTGGCGTGTGTGGTGACCTCGGCGGCGGCGGAGAAGCCTTCTCGAAGGGGAGGAGGAGGCGTGGATTCTCTTCCAAGTTCCTTGGTCCATGTCTCCTCCCTTTCCAGTGTCCACTGGTACTCACCTCTGAGTAGCGCCACTTTGCTGAGATTGATATTCCAAGACGAGGACGAGTGCCATGATGGTTATGCCTCGTCTCGCGGGATTGGTTCATGCCCATACAAGCCAATCTGTCGGTCTGTCGGTCCACCCAATCGTCTAGGTAGGCAGAGGCCAGTAGCCAGTAACCGCGGCCGGGGCGAAATCGTCGATATCGATTCGACATCGACATCGATTCATCGAGATGAGCAACTACTGTGCGGTCGATGCCCTCCGACCCCAGAGCTACTCTATTGCTGGTCCGCCCCAAGTTCCCCTCTCCCCCTTTCAAAGACCCGGCCCCCGGGGCCCAGGAACCACTCGCTTGTCTCCTTTCCCCTCCTTTCCGCGCACGCAGGTACACAAGTACATACCGGGCAACGACGATGTCGCTTCTGCGCCATGTACTCCGCACGCACACACGCACGCACACACGCATCGCTCGGAGAATATTCTGTTCCAGATCGGTGATTGCTGCACGGTATCATACTAGTGATAGATAGTATGTAGGCATCACCGAGCTCTGGCAGACCACTGAGAGGACGTTGCGGTCCTGCGGAGGCTACATACGGTTGGGAGGCGGCCGCCGCAGTAACCATAGTTGGATCCAGTAGATATGTACATATAAAACAACTCTGCGCCCCATGCCCGGCCCAGGCAGAGCACCGCTTCCTGCAGAAACCCGCCGCCATGTATACATATGCGTTCGGCCGGTCGGCGACGGAGGCCGAGGGACGGACACGGAGCGTTCGACGGATAGACAGACAGCAGTTCGAAGAACCCGACCAACTGCGTTGCAGACGTGTCCTCCGCTCCCTCCAGTGCCGTGACCGGAATACCGGTATCTCGATCCAATGTTGCGATCGGAGGAAACCCAACAACATTGCACTCGGGCACTCAGCCCGCCACGACGAGCATTATACTATGTACACTACAATTAAATATCTCCGTGCCCCTCCTCCTCACCGACCACTCCCAAGTCAGGGCCTGGGCCATTTCCCATTTGGCTGATCTTCCTATCGAACTCCCTCATGCGCAGCTGGAATTCCCTCAACCGCAGCTGGAATTCCTGGTCCAGTCTTCGCTCCTGCATCAACCGCAGTTCGTGCTGATTCCTCTCGCGCTCTGCGGCTAGTCGTCGGTCCTCTCGATCTCTCTCCTTGATATACTCCAGCCTTTCCCGCTCCTGTACCAACCGCTGCATTGCCAGCGACTCGAGTGCCTCTGCCTCCAGCGAAGTGGCCTTTCTCTTAGCAGCCTTCCTCCCGCGGCCGTTCTGTTGGGATACCTTCCTCTTTCTTGGCCCTCTAGCTGGTGGGCGATAATCAGCTTCCAGTTCAGAAAAGCCGTCACTGTCGCTCTCGCTTCCAGAGCTGATGGAATGCAACTCTTCCACCCCGTAGATGAGGTTGCGGCCGGGGATGCCACTGCCGCCGCTTTCAGATACGAAGGGAGCGTGGGGTATCATGTCATCCTGTAGGATTCCCGGTGCGAAGGGGGCGTGGGGTCTTCTGCGATTCTGTAGGTTTCCAGATATGAAGGGAGGGCGGGGGGGTCTTCTGGGTACGATTTCAGGTACGAACGGAGCGAGCAATTTGTCTTTTGTTATGATTTCATCAATCAAGCGGTAGTCTGGACACATTTTATTTAACCAGCCTATTTGTTCATTAGTCAATTGCGCAATACGTAACCTGCAGGAGGGAAAACTTACCGTTCTCCATGGAAACCCATTGTCGTTCAGTTTTGGCGCCTTCGCCTACCCGCCGTCGCGCCTGCTCGTATCGCCTCTTCAAATCGGCCCACTGAGCCTTGATCGCTTTCGCCGACCGCGTACCGAAGAAGGGTCCCGTGTCGAGCGCAAGATCGTTCCACACCCTTTTCGCCGAGTTTCTCAATTGATGGTAGTTATCCCAGTCACCCAGAAACCCCAGCAGCACCAGTCGTTCCTCCTTCGACCACTTGCATTTTCGCTTTATCCCGATCTTGTCTTCCGGCATATGTAATCGCCGGTTCGCAAGCGCTTTCAGCTCTTCGGGGATGTCGCGTACAAGCTTTTCCGGCGACGAGCTCCGGTCCGATATCACTTGCGGCGGTGTACTCGGTCTTGTGGATCCTTCTGTTATATACGCGTTTGAAATCAGCACTGCCAACCAACCAACAATTGCCATCGGGGGAAAAAACCATTCGACTCCGCCGTCCGAAATACCGGCCGCAGCTGCGACTGAAACTGCGACTGCATGCCTGCCGCATCTCCCACCGTCCCCGCGACCACGCTCTGCCCACTGTCACTGGGCGTAGCCGTTGCCCCCGCTCTTTCTCGGTGTCCCCCCTCCCGGTCTCCCGCGATCCTCGGCACACTCTCACGAGTAGTAGTAGCCGGCCCCCCCGCTCCTCCTCCTCCTTCCCGGTCTCCCGTAGCACCCGCCACCACCACCCCCACCCCCACCCCCACCCCCGGCGGCGCAACCATCTGCTCTCCTACTCCCTCTATCGGAGCAGGCAGCAGCCGTCGCTGCTGCTGCAGCGAGGAGCTGGACATGACGCGCGAGTAGTAGGATCTGTACTCCGGCATAAGTATGGAGTCGCGTTAGTTACTATAGTCTTTGCGCCCGCCGACCGGTGTCACGACACGGCACTGACTGTAAAACAAGACTTGCCGTTCGTTGCACTGGAGGGTCTTGCAAGCCGCCGCTGCAAGGTGGTATAGAGGGTAGAAAGAAAGAAAGGGTCTGCGATGAGGGGGAAAAAATCGATAGGGAGGGTGGGTGCCCGTCGTCTCGTCGCAGTGCGTGTAGAAGAGGCGTTCAGGGTTGACTAGAGGACATAAGCCCGGCCCAGCCCCAGCCAAGTTTTCAGTTCCCAGCCCAATGCCCCCAAAGGGCAAAGTAAGCGGCTGGGCGGCCGCACTCATTGGTCGGTTGCGAAAAGCGGGTTTCCGGCCTGCCCCGAGTCACCCAGCTGGGTTTGAGGACCTCTTCTGTATAAGATGAAGTAGGTACATAATGTAGAGTAACTACCATCGCGAGACTGGCTATATAAAGAAGCAGGCAGTGAGAGACCTCCGACGAGTACGGACAACTGGTGAGACTGATTCAATTGACTATATAAAAGCGGCAAGAAAGAAAAGCCGCCTCTGCGGTGGTGGATAATGTCTAACGCCTGATGTATTGAACCACAGACCGACGTCCGACTACCTATCATAACGAACACGAAACCAGCAACAGAGAACAGAACAACTCAACGTTGAGACAACCGCATAGGGTCTGCCCGCCATCACACCTTGGTCCCACAGTAGAGTAGTTACCAACGGCCTCCAAGGCTCCAAGCACTGCGCCAAACATGCAGCCCGGACGCCATGCAGCAACGAGGTTCCGTGAGCGGCCCCCAGTAGTGATCAAGGGCTTGCGGGCATACGGGCGTACCTGCATACTGCTGCACGGAAGGCTCCCCTCCAGGAGTAGGCAGTGGGCCACAAGGCTTCAGCCATTGCCTTGCCTGGCCACGAAAAGAAAAAAGGCCGTCCCTTGCAGCCTTCCGCAAACACTCCCACCGTCCCACAAACGCCACGACACTACGGCGCCACGGCCCACGACCCACGGCCAGGCGGTCGATGTCCGAGTCCGGGAGTCCGGACCTGCGACTCGCGAGGCTGCGGCCGCCGGCTACTGGATTTCGGGCATGGCTTTATATTTCCTTGCACTTTGTTACCTATCAAGTTCACATCATGTGACGCGGCTGCAACCATCAACGCCGTCCATGGTCTGCCATAAAGCCAGGGACTATATTCTACTCTTTTATGAAGATAGTAATAGCCCTGTGCCTCATGTAAACACCAGCAGCGCCACGGCAGCCCAAGCCCGACTCCCACGATGCATGGTCCATCTACGCCCACGCCCATGATCCGCGCCTTGACCCTCAGCGGCAGACTCCAGACTCCAGTCGCACCACGTCACTGCGTCTACCTCCACCTCCAGCTCCACCTCCACCACCATGTAACCAGGCCAACCCTCGCCGCGGTAGTTAGTTGTCTCGCTATACCTATTACCTAGGCGACGATGCGATTTGATCCCAACTCCAATCGAGCCCCGCCGCCCCGCCGCCCCGCCGCCCCGCTGCCCCAGCCACGAGTCCACGACATATATGATATATAAAACCCCCGTGGGCCTCGTGGGGGCCATTGGAACTACTCTGCCACTCTATGCGTGGATCTATGCGTGGAACATCGCTGGGTACTCTACTCTATGCGTTGCAGATAACTACTACCTATCCCTACATACCCGACCGCAGTACCGGGCTGCCTATAGATACACGTGAGGCGTGCGTGCGTCTATGTAGTATGTACCAGTACGTCATTGGGGATTGCGCTATTCTTAGGAACCTCAAGCTCATGCTCATGCTCTCAGCCTCTCAGCTTACTGAGTATTGGTGCTGGACTTCGCCAGCCTATTTCATGCCATGCGGTTTTAGCTATACTATAGCATTACTGACAATGCCCGTTTCGAATGCAAATACTCGAAGAAATTGGAATTGCCCCGTTCCCGTTCTCGTTCTTGTCGGTACCGTACGGTGTACTCCGGTTCCTGAGGTCTCAGCCACACGGAATGGAAGTTTAAGCCTCTCGAGCTGAGCTCTAGAATGCCGTGCGGCCATACAGGAGTCAGGACAGGTCGAGTCAGGTTCTATTCCAGAATGCATGTACTAAATACAAAGTACAGTACATCTGCACCATGTTCTGCATCCCCTCCCACCCGGCCATCGAGCTCGACGAATCCTTCGTCCAGGTCACCGCGGCGTGCGTGCGTGCGTGCGTTGTGATCGTGATCGTGCATTACATTGTCTCGTCGGGGAGGGGGGGGGATGATTCGTCGCCGTCGGGGAGGGGATGGGAGGGGAGGGAGGGGGAATCAGCTGCTGCTGCCCCGCCGATTTACGCAGCTGGGTAGGTAGGCAGTTGCTACCAGCCCACGTTGCTGCAAGTATCTAGCATAGGGAGCGGGATTTAGTTGGCTGCGGATATTAAAAGGTGCGGTATAGGCGGCACCTTCTCAGCACCACCAGCACCCACCGCCGCCACCACCCAGCAGCAGCACCACGGCAGGGTCCGCGGCCTCCGCCGCAGGAAAACCACAGCGGGCCCAGACGAAACGGTGGCCAGCCAGCCAGCCAGCCAGTCAGAAACCGAGTCAGCCCAGCGCAGCTCCGCTCCGCTTTTGCTTTTGCTTTTCAATATGGACTGCGGGGTAGAAGAAACACCGAGCACCGTACAGCACATCGACGGCGGCCACACGAATGCTCGCCATCGCGATGCGCCGGGGGTAGGTGGTGTTTCTAGGCAGGCCGCCAGATCACCTCAGCTCAGCTCTACATACGCAATATGGAGGCCTCCTCCGGCGGGGAGGCAGGCAGGCAGGCAGGCAGGCAGGCACTCCACCTCGCCATCGGTCGCGGCCGCGAAACAGTCCTCTGTGATCACCGATACGAGTGCACATCGTTATCCTCAGGACAGGACATGGGAGACGTCTAGAGTACCCCGCAATCTCGTTAATCTGCAATGCATGCGTGGCGGCTAGTGGGGTATGTAGCTAACGTGCCTGTAACCAACTGTGATCATCGTGCATTGGCTATGATGGGGCGGAGGTAGCACGTGCGCGGGGGTGGGGAGAGGGGAGGGGAGGAGGGGGGAAGTGGGGAGAGGTGAGGTGGGCGCCGTCATGCCGGTGAGGCGTGCGGCGTGGGGCGGATAGCTGGATAGCTGGACACCTCGATTCGACGGTGACGCGCACGCAATATGCTTCGTGATGTGATCCTGACTGTAGGTCTGGGAGGGTGGGTGGACGAGTGGGCAAGCTTGGGCGGGTTCCAGTTCATGGCCAGAGCGAGACCGCAGTACGGTGCGGTGCATGTGCGCGGGTGATTGGGTGATTGGGTTGCCGGCCGCACTGCTTGCGGGGTCCAATTGTTGTTGCTGTTGCTGTTGTTGTCGTCCTCGTCCTCCTCGGCGGGCCCGCACGCACGCAAGACGGTCTGGTGATACACCTCACTGCACCAGTAACTAATCGGCGGGTGACAAGACACGAAAGCGGGGGGTGGGTGGGCGTGGGCGTGCCATTCTCCCGTCCCCCAGATCCTAGCATCTTCGCGAGCTTAACGAAACCTCACAGTGCACACCCCAGTTACCCCGCGCTCAACCGATCCTCCATTCCCGCCTTACACTATCACAACCACCACGACCACCGCCACCACCACCACACAACCACCACACAACCACCACACAACCACCACAACCACAAACCAAACCACCAAAACGCGACATCACGATGCTCGCCCTCCAACTTACCGCCGAGCTCACGGGGTGTGTACCTACCCACCTCCCCTCCCCTCCCCGCGCCCATGAGATGGAGTGCTGTGCTAACACCCCACGCACTTTCCAGGGTGACTGACCTCCGCCCCATGGACGTCGACGGCGACCCGTTCTACTACATGTTCAAGGTGTCATGTACGAGTTGCCGCGAGGTGCACGACAACTGGATTGGCGTTACGCGCTTCGTACGTTGCGGGAGATCCCTTCCACGTGACCCCCTCCCCCCCTCCCACCCGCAGTGCTGATGCGTGAGGAATAATATAGGAGACTAGGGAGATCACGGGCAGTCGCGGTGAGGCGAATTTCGTCTGGAGGTGTAAGACCTGTAAGGTGCTTTCTCCGCGTGTTGTTGCTGGGTGCTGGGGAAGAAGGGATGTGGTTGGTGTTGTGTTTGCTAACGATGTTTGCGCGCGCAGAGGGAGTCTTCGGCGAGTACGTCCTCCCCCGCTCCCCCAGCCACCCGCACCCCCACCCTAACTAACTCCTCCCCACGTGCAGTGATCAAATCCGAGCCCAAGCCGTACCAACACAGCGAGGTGCCCAAGCCCAAGAAGATCCTAGAGCTCGAGTGCCGCGGCTGTGAGTTCGTCGAGTTCAAGCCGGAGGGGAACTGGGAGGCCAAGGGGCTCGACAGCAACACGCCGTTCAAGGAGATCGATCTCAACGAGGGAGACTGGTTTGATTACGACGAGAAGGCCGGCGCTGAGGTTTCGGTCAAGGATATGAAGTGGGAGGTCGTCAGGGGTTAGAGTACTCTACTTGTGTAGGTAGGTAGGGAGGTAGCTTTGTGTAGGCCGGGACACGATACATACTCTACATGCTCTATGACATAGATACCTACGATACGATATCTACTCCACGAGAAAATTATATTCCTTTTCCGAACGAGTCGAGAGTGCAGAGGCGGGCAAGATAAGCTCGCATGCACCAGCCCATCGACGGCCAGCCAGCCAGCCAGCGAGCCAGACAGACAGACAGACGGCGGCCTGCTTTCTGCCTTACATGTACGGATCGCTCTCCGCCTTAGCTCCCCCCCATTCCCTCCCCCTGACCCACCGCACCGTACCGTACCGTATGCCACAGGCCGCAGGCCGTCACTGCTCCTCCCTCCCACCAGACCAGCACCAGCACCAGACCAGCAGCAGACACCACCGAACCTACGGGCTGGTATCTCCGTCCCCCTGCGTGCGCGGCAGGTCACAATGCACGTTTCCGCGCTGTGTCCAGGAATCCCCTAGGTATCTGCGGTGTCCCAGCTTCAGTTCCGGAGGGCTGAGTCTGTGAACACCGCGTTACTCTACGGGGGAGGACAGTGCGTATTTTTACCTGTGCTAGGTATGATATGCTAGGTAGATATGCTACGCTTGTCCCGGCACTGTCCCGAGACAATGAGACATGCCGCGAGGGGATGTTCCAGCCTCCAGCCTCCAGCCTCCAGCCTTCAGCCCGCACGGCCGATTGTTGGAAGGTCGTGGAAGGTACTGGACGCGTCTAGAACGAAAGGGCAGGGGATGGTACCTTGATCTACGATAGCTACTACCTGCCCGTAGTAGCAGCTACACTACGTCACGGACGAGAGAGATATGTGTAGATAGCCGCAGCAGGCGAGTGATCGAAAGTGCATAGGCGCATAGGATATATGAAGTGGCTACAGCCTTTAACACAGCCACCGCGCACAACGAGAATAACCCCCCGCCTCCATCTCCACCTCCATCTCCATCCTATCTCCACCCCCCGTCAAACATTCATCGGCACCGGGTGGTATTGGGTCTGGGTTCAATTTTGGTATCCGAGTCTTCGGCCATGGCTACAGCGAGATACACTATGCTCAGGAAGATGATTTATTGACCTCAATCCTGCTGATGTATACAGATACGGATACCGTTGGGAGGATGAAGTGAGAGGGAAAATGGAGCTAAACATCTCCCTTTCGGTCCTTGGAACGGCTGTTTCCCATTGCATGCAAACAAGCTCCAAGTCCGAACCCAATCCCAAAACCGCAAACCACACAACGCATCACAGCGCATCACTCATCACTCACTCACCTACTCATCACCCACTCACACAACCATTCAGCATCCACTCCCAAAATCTCCAAATCTCCAAATCTTCATTCGTTTTCTGCCCCGTCTAGTATCCATACGTGATCACTAGAGGTAAACTATACACAACTCAACTCAAAGAAAATAACGACGACTTGACTTGACGACTACGCAGACAAAACATTTGTACGTCAATGCAGCGTGTACCAAAACCGCACATCCCTCGACGCTCGCTCGCTCTCAAGCAACACCCCGCGCCCTCGTCACCTCGTAACATCTCCAGAAGCAGAAGAGAAAAAAACAGATCATACCCACCGCCTAGGCCAAGTTGCTTCCACCCCGCCATCCGCACAGCACTGACAGAACCTACGCCATCAGCCTATTCCTCCTCCTCCAAGCGGCAATGAACTCAATCTTCTCCTTCACGCCCAGATTCAACCTCTTGCTCCTACCAATTCTAGCCAAGGCCTCACTCCCGCGCTCACACACGCCATCTAAATCCTCATCCTCGTCCGCGTCGGCGACAGTATCCGAGCTCTCGCGCTCCCTCTCCTCCTCCTCGGAAGACCTGGACCTCCTGCGCTCGCCGCCGGCATCGTTATAGATCGTATCGCCGATACGCACGCGAATGCAGTGAGTCGGGCGCGAGAGCAAGCTCCACACGAACTTCTGGTAGGCACCGGGCACGGGCGTGGTGATGTCCGCGGGGGTGTATTTCAGCGAGATCGGGAAGATCTTGACTTTTCTGGGAGCGGAGGCGAGGGCGGGGGTGAAGCGGAGGATTCCGCGGCCGTTGGTTGGTGTGGCCTCCGGGAACACGAGGATCGTGCGTGTTGGGTTCTGCGAGAGCAGGTCGGAGAGTGAGATTAGGTTCGCGGTTGACGAGGGCCGCAGGGTCGGCGTCGAGAAGTAGCGGAAGAGGAACGCGGGGAGAGATACCCGCTCGACGAGACGCGTGCTGGGGTATGAAGCTGTGAAGATCGGGTCGAAGATCGCGGAGAGGTAGATTGCGTCCAGCGGGGAGGTGTAGCTGGACAGGATTATGTTGCCTGGGCCTGGGAAGCGCGTCGCTTGTCGTGCTAGAGATCTGTTTCTCCCCCGTGTCAGCATCCAGCCTCCCTCACACACACACACACACACACACACACACACACACACACACACACGCACACACACGCACACGCACACGAGGAGACGAGGGACATACCCGCGCTTCACACCCTCAACCTGTAAATCCACCCACCAGACTCCGCTCACGCCGAGTATACACCACAGCCACACCTTCCGGATAAACGAGCCCACGGGCAGCCAATTCACGATCAGCAGGTACGGTGCAACCACCGAGATGAAGAACGGTAGGCGGAAGAGGAATATGAAGAAGCCATATGTGCTCTGGAACCATGACTGTGGGCCGTGGATTGGTAGGAACGGCGCGATCTGGGTGCCTGCATGAAAAAACATATTAGCTATTACTCCAACCCCCGCCTCCCCTGCTGGCTGCCAGCTGCTATGGATGGGGTCGGTCCGCTCCACCAACATACCCCGATCACGGAAGCCTGAGAACTTCTCCATTGTTGTGGGTGGGTGCGTGCGTGTGTATGGAAGCGCGATTGTTCGTGGTTGTGTTTGTGTTGTGTTTGTGCTCGAGATATGTATCCGTGTCGTGTTGATGGAGACAGGCGTGTGTGTGGGGAGTGTCAGTTGCGGATCATCCTGTAAGTAAAGTGGTTGGCTGTGTTGTCGTTTTGTTGCGTGTTCCTCCGCTCGCTCGTCCGTCCAGTGATCCCCTGCCGTCTGATCTGTCCGCCACGCAAGAGCCGCACCGAGCACTGCTGCACGCTCTGCACTGCATTGCCCGAATCTGCAGGTGCCCCCAGCTTGATTATCACATGCTCCTCTCCGCCTTTTCTGTACTCTAGTCTTGTGTGGTTACCTGGCAACGGCAGGCACATTCCACACACCAAAAAAACAACAACCGGTACTCCAAGTACCGGTACCACTACCCCAGCGTCATCCATTAGGTAACCCCTTCTACTCTCCCTTCCACTCCCCGCGATGCCCCAGGCCGGCATGCTATACACGGCCCTGTCCACGAGCACGATCTGGACCGTCGGCCTCCTTAGCAAACTGTTCCTCTACGGCGCCGCGCGCACTACGGTGACAGGACTCCCTGCCTTCCTCTCGCTGCTCGAGTCCCGGCGCCGCTCGCTCGCCGCGGGAGAGCCGATCCCGCGCGGGCTATTGACAGGTGCGTAACCGACCACCACCACCACCGGCCGGCAAGACGCCTACTGAAGCCGCTCGCACAGCATCAAACCACAAGAGCGTGTAAGCCCCGCTCGCTCCTTTGCACGCCCGCTCCTTTGCTCACCGCCGCCTCCCCTCCCGCAGTTTCGACGACCCCCTAATCTGGGGCACCCTCCCCCTCTCCCACCTCCTCCTTGGCCCCGCCAACCACCGTCACGCGCTCGGCAGCGCCGACATCTGCTTCACGACTCTCCCCACATCGGTGCTCTTCCGTCTCGGCCAAGTCCACCAGACCTACCGGCTGCACAAGTCCCCCTTGGGCGGGCTATTCCAGCCGACGCTCAACGCGCTGCCGCAACTACTGGACGGCGGCGCGTGGGTGCATATTTTCCCCGAGGGGAGGGTACATCAGCACGAGGCGCAGCAGATGCGCTACTTCAAGTGGGGTGTGGCGAGACTGCTGCTCGAGCCGCGCGTGCAGCCCACGTTCGTGCCAATGTTTGTGACCGGCCTGGAGCGGGTCATGGCGGAGGACCGGGGGTTTCCGCGGTTCTTGCCCCGGGTCGGGAAAAGGATTAGAGTCGTGTATGGTGCTGCGGTGGACGATGGGCGGTTTGCGGATTTGAGGGGAGAGTGGCGGGCGCTGTGTGAGCGGGAGGGCGCGGCAAGGATCGAGGATAGTGAAGTGCTCAGGACGGGACGGGAGGCGGTCGCGTTGAGGATTGAGGCTACGAGGAGGGTAAGGGAGGAGGTCCTCAAGTTGCGGAGATCACTGGGCTATCCCGACGAGGAGCCGGGTGCTGGTGATCCAGACACCTACCGGCTACCGGGCATGGACGCGAAGGAGGGGAGGCTCGCAGATGGCACGTTGGTGAAGGATACGTAACGTTGTACACGTGCTCAAGTAGGTAGACAGAAAGAGCCTGGAGCTCTGGTGCCCCGCCACCAGCTTGGCGTCACAGCTTCTCTGTGAACATACATATAGGAAAACGAAAGGAAAAAAAACAAAGAACGAGTGGTATAGAGCAACAAATGAACCGATACAAGAGGATACAAGAGTAAAGTAAGTAAGTAAGCAGCGAGGAAATTATTAGGTACACTCTTCGCCTGTAACCTGGTCGAAGAGAAGGCCTAGTTAAGTGGAAGGGTATGAACGACATATAAAACTAATCAACATCCAGCAATCCCACATCCCTATATTCGCTAAAACCCAAAAAAGAAAGAAAAAAAACTCCTCATAAAGACCTCCGACTCGGTGTCGCCGGCAAAGCTTGACTATGATTTCCGGCATTCTATACCTTGATCTGCTTCTTTGCAGTGCCGATGGTGGTGTTGTTGACCTTGGTCGCGAACTTGAGTGAAGTTAAAGTCTCACTCATGTGGGCCATCATCGGTGACACCATCACGAACATGAGACACTTGCTGTTGCCGCCCAGCGAGTATTGCAGGAGATAGGTGAGCTGGTCAACGTATTAGCAAATTCCTAGCGCATCGATCAACTGGATGGGCAACTATACCTTAGAGTTCCTGTACGGGATGTGAGTACCCTCCTTGCCACTGCCCAGCGCCGCAATCACGTCTCCCAAGCAACTCAAACTCCTGTTGATGCTCTGGGTTTCCTTCAGCCTCTCACCCGCACTCTGACTGTGTGACAGCCTCTCACTACCCGCCAAATCGACCAAGTTGAGAGTTCCCTCGCTCCGTTGGCCAGTTGTATGGTTGACACCCTTGAGCTTGAGGATGAAGACACTGTGAGACCGCGAGGATCTCTGGTTGGCCATGGTCGCGGCGACCGACCGGGTTTGTGAGGCGCGGCGGAGGATGGTGTCAACCTGGCCTGGGTCCTCGAGGACAACAGTCTCCACATCTGTGATGGTAGTCTTCATCTCCTTGGGATCGTGACGGATCTCGTGCTTTCTCTTGTCCAAGTCGTCCGCCTTGCCCAAGAGATCGTTGATGCTCTCGTTGTAGACTTCGACAAAGTTTCCCTCCATGGTGTAGGTCCAGCCCTTGGATTCGAGACCCTTGGCCGTCTCGTAGATCTGATGCACTGCTCGAGGAATCATACCGTCCGGAGAAGACATGGTGAACGTCTTTCCGGCACCGGTCTGACCATAACAGAAGATGCAGACATTGTATCCGTCCAAGGCACTCTGAATCAACTGAGAAATCTCTTCGAACACATCGGCATTCTGGTCCCTGGGACCAAACACCTTGTCGAACGAGAACGGATGCGTCTTGGTGAGTTCCTTGCCCAAAGCGCTCTTCTCGGCGGGTCCCACCACTTCGATCTCCTTTCCTTCCAATTCCGTATCCGGGAAGCGGATTTCGGCCGCGTTGTCGCTTTCGTGTGGGAGAGTTGGACGGACTCTGCAGAACACACGGATGTTTCCCTTGAGCTCTTGAACCTGGTTGTGCAGTCTGCGTCTGATGATCTCCTCGTTGCGAAGCTTCTCTTCGACAATCGCCGTCTTCTCGTGCGCCTCTTTAAGCTGTAGCTCCAACGCAGCGAAATCATGTGCCTGAGACTGCCCTTGGTTTTCGAGCGCCTCAATCCGGGTCCGGAGAGCCCGAGTCGTAGACTCCATGCCGAGACTGAGCGAGTCGGATTCCGAGATTTTGTCCCGGAGTTGAATGTTGAGGTTGCGCTCCCGCTCAAGTTCGGCCATCTTCGCCTCCAGCTCCATCTTCAAGCCCCTCGTCTCCCTTCCGGTACCATCCATCTGCATTTCCAACCTCTGTTTCTCCATAGCGATCTGGTTCTTCATCTCCTGAATCTCTCTCGCCTTATTTCCCTTCTCGTCCATGAGCTCCATACGGAGCTTACGCTCCAACGAGTCCATTGCCTGCTGGTGGGCTCGCTTCAAGTCGCCTAGCTCATCCCTCGACCTCCGTTGAGCATCTTCCCGTTCAATACGGCGATCTCTTCGCTCGTCCTCGAGGGTACGTTCCAGTTCGGCCGCTTTCCGCCGGAAGGTATCGGCTTCGACCTTCGCTCTAGCCGCCTCGCTCTCCAACATGACCCGCTTTGTCTCCCACTGTACCTCTATCGCACACGACAACAGGGTTGAGCATCTGCCCGCTAAATCGAAAAACGACACGGGGGAACCTACCTTTGTCCTTGATCTGGGCCGACTCCTGCCGACTGTCAAAGTACATCGACTTCAATTCCTTGATCTCGGCCTCGTGATGTGCCAGCTTCGATTGCAGCTCCGATTCTACCGGCATAGGGATCAGCATCGTACCACAGTACCACTCCACCTTCCACCACCAACGGAACACGCGGCTGCAGGTCCCCACCTTTCATGCGGGGCGTCTTGAATCTCTCAAAAGCGCTCTCTGGGCCATCGTCGCCGTCAAACACCTCCTCGTCCTCCTGCATGCTCTGTGCACTAGACGGCCTGCGGGGAGCGGGGGTAGCATGTCTGAAGCCCAGCGAGCTGTTAGGCCTGGACGAGCCGGGCGGGCGACTCCCCCCGATGGCGCTTTTGACACCCGGCGCCGGCGTCTTCGCCATCGCCGCGAGGTTGCTGTTCGACCGCTTCGGCGCAAGCATCGGTCGGGTTTTGTCGAATTGCGCGGCGCGGTCCGCGAGCGTCGTGCGTTGGTTGCCATCTGTTAAGGTGCGTTTAGTGAACCGCTCCACATACATACATGCATGCATGCCGCAGCATGGTCGAGGGGGAGACGGGAGGTGGTGCGGATGCTGCTGCTGGTTACTCACTGGTGGTAGGCTTGTTGGCTTTGAAGGACGCGGTCAACGCCTTCGACGGCGGTGGCATCATCGTGTTGTTGTTGTTGTTTGGCTGCAATACTCTCCCAATGGGTGTTGGAGGGGGGATTCTGCTGCCGTGACTCGAGGTCGGTCGAGGGAGAGCGGATTGGATCTTGAATGAAGGGTTAGTTAGGGGCAAGTCGTGAGGACAGGGTGTTGGAGAGAGAGGGAGGGAGAGGGAGCTACGAACTGGTCGTTCGCCGGCCATGACGGCTCGGTGTGAGGGGGGGGGGCTGAGGTCAGACGGATGAGTACTGGTTCAATTTTAGTTGGTGGTGCGGGCCGGGCTGCGGGTCGCTCGCTCGCTGCTGTATGTATGTACCTGGACACCTGCTGTTAAATGAGACCGGCAGTAGAGTTTGGTTCGTGTTGTCGACAAAGCGGCGTGTGGGTACCAGTGGCAGGTATGGATGGCTATTATTCACGGGGTAGATGTTGGTGGAAATCGATGATGAGGCCCGAGCAAAGTGGAGGGTTGTTGTGGTAAAGTAGTGGTGCGGGCGGCTTTCTGGAGGAGTAAACACAAAAGAGAAACACGCCTTGCCAACACCATGCTGGGACGGCACGTGCACGTTGCTAGTGGCAACGCAGGATGCCCCCCCAGCCAACCAGCAACGGTCTGCGCGCATGCAGTTGAGTATTACCTATACACTTGAGCTGCTTGGAAACAGACACTCCTACAGACTGCAATTATCGACGAATTCCAGCAGCAGCAGCATTCAAGCACGGACAGACACATAGACCGAGGGAAGAGATCAATCAATCAATTAATCACACGGCCGATCACCATGTCGCACTCCAAACGCAACACATCTCTCGCATTCTTCACGTGAGAAATCCCATACCGCTGTTTCGCGGCCGGTGGTAATCGCTGACATGCCGGATTTACAGCTCGTACGAACGCTCCCTGCTCAAAGGCGACTACGGCAAGCAACGAACCCGACTCACGCGTGACTCGTTCAAAGCCTTCGATGCGTGCAACCTGTGCCTGGTGCGAGCGCGCGACCCCGTCGCCTGTCCCAAAGGCGAACTGTTCTGCCGCGAGTGCGCGGTCGAGAACCTGCTCTCGCAGCGGAAGGAGATCAAGCGCATGCAGGTGGACCTGGACCGGCGAGCGAAGGAGGACGAGGAGCAGCGCGTGCTCGAGGATGAGGAGGCGAAGCAGCGCGCCGTGAAGGATTTTGAGCTCCTGCAGATGGGCCTCGAGATCAGGAATAGCAGGGAGAACAAGGGCAAGAGTGTGGTCGGCATGGCGCCGAAGGTCGTGGGAAGGGTGAATGGCAAGATTGTGCTCGAGGAGGACGAGGAGGAGGAGCCGGCGCAGGGAGACGAGGCCAACAGGAAGCCCGGGGGTGCCAAGAGGAAGTTCGAATTGGACGAGGAGGAGCTCATGAGACTTGCACGCGACGAGCGAAAGAAGGCCAAGGCAGCCTTGTCGGAGGAGAAGGTGAGCGACAGCCTGCACCATCCTATATGTCCCCTTGCCTCGTTCTGACTCGGCTGCATACAGACCAAAGCATCTGCCACCAAGCTCCCGTCGTTCTGGGTCCCCAGCCTGACGCCTTCAGTAGCCAGTACGGACATCACACGGAAGACGCCGAAGCTGAGTCCTGTGTGCCCTGCGTCGACGAAGGACAACATCCACCACTACTCGCTCAAGACGCTGATATCGGTCAAATTCACGGAGGAGGCGGACGAGAAGACACAGTATGGTGATCCGCAGCGGATATGTCCGAGCTGCAAGAAGGTGCTGAGCAACAGCATGAAGGCCATGCGTCAGTAACATACCGCTCCCCCCACCGTCTGTCCGATACGTAGCTGCGGCTAACATGCAGACTCTGCAGTGGCGAAACCTTGTGGGCATGTGGTTTGTAAACCATGCGCGGACAAATTCTTGACACCCACGTCCGACGACCCACACGACAAGACTGCGAGATTGGTGCAATGCTTTGTCTGCGAAGCAGATCTCACGAGCAAAGGAAAGCCGTCGAAGAAGGACAAGGACAAGATCCTCCCCGGCCTGGTGCTGATACAGAGCGACGGCACAGGGTTTTCTGCCGGAGGAGGAAACGTCACGACCGAGAGGGAAGGAATAGCCTTCCAGTGCTGATTGCGTACCATAACCTATATATCTGCTTCCACTACGCGCTGGGGAGGGGGGAGGGGGAAGGAACCAACTGCATCATGACGACGGAAGCAGTTGGCATGTATGATACTTTACGTTTCCGCACTAAAGATGCACTCCGAGGCCAGATAAATACTTAGAGATATTTTTAAAGTGCATTCTCCTACGACTTCATATGTTCTGCACCCCACGTTAACTTACACTCCTCCTCTCACTGTGCCTCTCGGTGCCCCTCTATCTATCTATCGTACTGCTCCGCTTAGATTTATCACCCACCGACCATCCACGACCCATCCCCCGTATATACCGGCCACATGCCAGATAGAGTACCCCTCACCCAACATACCGTAGCCACGCCGCACGCAAGCAAGCAACTCCGTAAATAGTGTTTTGTCAGATTAGATCAAGTAATTTTCCCGTCATCGCCGACTCTCCACGCACCACATCCCGTCGGACCACCCACCCGGCGCCGCACATCATCACCAGCACCCTCTCGCCCATCCCGCCTCCGAGCGCCTCTGTCAGTCCTCCGAAGAAGAGCGACGCGAAACACGCCCGGGATTCGGGATAGGCAAGGCAGGGTAAGTGAGCGGCAGCGCAAGGAGCATCAAAGCATCGGGAGGAAGGACGGGAAGTGTGGCAGTAACGCGTGTGGGTGCGGCTCGAGTGCTCAGTTATCTTCATCCAAAACGAGGAAGGAGATTTTTAAAGATTGTTTTTCTTTTTTGTTTCCTTCCTACGGGAAGAAGAAGAAGAAGAAGGAGAAGAGAAGAAGAAGAAGAAGAAGAAGGGAGGGAGGGCTGCTGGAGTAGGGATATGGCATGATGGGATGGGTAGGGTTAGCGCGGCTTGGGCTGGGTTGGGCTGGGTTTGGGTTTGGGTTGCTCCGTCGTCGCTGTCTGGGCCGCCGGGTACACCAGATTACCGGGGTGGCGGAAGGTGACCGGTGCCCAAACTCTTTTCCACGTCGAACGGACAAGACAAGAGAAAGCGACGGGGGCGAGGGGGACGAGCGAGGCGGGAGCTGAGAGGAGGTGGAGGAGGAGGAGGGGGAGGGGGAGAAGGCAAATGGAGAAGGCAAAGGGTGACACAGAGCACGGAGCTGTGGCCGGTCAAGCGAAGAGATGCAGAGAGAGAGAACACAGCGAAGAAGGGAATGCATACAAGGGAGGGGAGGGAGAGTCTGTGTCATGCCTGACAGAACAGAGACAAAGGTGAGTGAATGAGTAAGTGAGAAGGGATTCTGGATGCCCGTCATACGTTTTCGCGTCAACTTCGTTCCTCCGAATATCAGCACTTTGCATGCGGCTTAGTGAGGGGGAGGGAAAGGGCTGCGTAGGAGGGGGGTGGTAGTGGGTTGGTGGTGGGTTGGTCACTCAGCCAGCGGTGGTGGGTTGGTGGTGGTGGTGGTGATGGTGGTGGAGATGGTGGTGGTGGTGGTGGTGGTGGTGGTGGTCGGGTTTATTCAGATTGCGCCTAGCTCGCCCTCGTACCTTCCCTTCCGTCCTTTGCTTCGAGGCTTTGCTTGGTTTACTTGCGCGGGAAAGTGAGTGTGTGTGGTTGACTCTGACATAAATAAGGCGTTTTCCCCCGACCTTGGACTTGTGCTGATTTTTTTCTTAACTCTGAACTGTCCTCTGCCCCACTAAATTCACCCCATTAGGCGATTCGCTGCCTTTCTTTGTCCGGTCAATTGCCCGCTTCCGGCAGTCGTCTCTCTCCCGACGACCACACCGCCACAGCCCGCCGCAACTCGCATATCGACTCCACACATCCCTCCCAATCCAGCGATATTATCTCACTCACTCACCCACTCCCGTCTGTCGGCCAAAACGTCTCATTAAGCCGCCATCGCTGCTTCATCCCCACAAAGAAACAAGACGTAAAGAAGAAGAAAGAAAGAAAGAAAGAGAGACAGTGTGTTGGAGTGAGAGAAAAGAAAAGAGAAGAAAGGAAAAAAGAAAGAACAGAAAATAATAGAAGGGAGAGAGGGCGAAAAGAAAGAAGGCGAAAAAGGAAATGTCCGAATACTATTACGATCCTGTCCACGCTTCAGCCCAAGCGACGACTAGCCACCATCTTCAGCATCACCAACATCACCCACCTCCACTGTCATCCCTGTCGCCTCCTCCTCCACCCTCACAATCCCAGAGTGCTTTCGTGGATCTGTTCCCCCACGCCGCATCGCCCCCTCCACTCCAACACCACCACCAGCAGCAGCTACTGCATCACGGGCATCATCACCAGATACTTCAACATCAACACCGGCACCAGCAACAACTACAAATACAACAACAACAGCTACAGCTACACTTACAGCTACAGCACCAGCAACAACAGCAGCACCAGCAACAGCAACAACAACTCCAGCAACAGCAACAACAATTCCAGCAACAACTCCAGCAACAACAACAACTCCACTACCACAATAACAACAACGACAACAACGACAACAACTCCCAGCAGCTTCTCAACAACAACCAGAACAACTATCCCCTCGCATCCTCCTCCTCCCCTCCACCCACCCTCGCGATGCAAGCACCGCCACCGACCTCGCCACCGCCGGGTGCAAAACCTAAAGCCACCCGACGCCGTAGAAACGTCAAAACGGAAGTGGTTGACGATCCGAGCGACAGCAACAGCAGCTCTGGTAACAACCAAACTGCCTCACCCCCGGTTCCGTCAATTCCGTCTGCCAATGCTCCCCGCTACGTGCATATCAAAACTAAGTTCCCAGTGGCGAGGATCAAGCGCATAATGCAGGCCGATGAAGACGTCGGGAAAGTCGCACAGGTTCGTCCACTCCCACATCGCAACTTTGTTTTATGCCCTCTTCCACCTTACCCTTCAATACCCACCCCCTTACCCCCCGTTCTGCCCTACTCTGTAGGCGCTCAACCACCTATTACAATACCCCTCGCTCGCCCTAATCTCCCTCATGCAGGGTATGGAATGCCCCCTCCATTTGGCGCTATCCATCTCCCGCTGTTCGGCTGGGTACCCGCGCCGACCCGTGGCTAATCAATCATGTTTCTGCGCCTCCAGGTAACTCCGGTCGTCGTCAACAAAGCCCTTGAATTGTTCATGATCTCTCTGTGCGACAAGGCGTCCGAAGAAGCCCGTCTGCGCAACAGCAAACGCATCACCGCCGGCCATCTCAAGCAGGCGATCCTTCACGTCGAGCAGTTCGATTTCCTCGCCGACATCATCCAGAAGATCGCCGACATCCCCGCTCCGTCGGCCGAAGGTGCCAACCTGACCAATAACGGATCCGATAGCCCCGAGGATGTTCAGCCAGCAAAGAAGACCAGAAGGCCGAGACAGAAAAAGGTTAAAGATGAGGACGCGTTCTAGAATCTACAACAGTGAGAGACAGCAGCAGCAGCAGCAGCAACACGGTGTTAGAGGCGCGGGTCGGTCCGTGGTTTCTTTAGGTTCTTCTGCTAGTTCTCATAGACATCCGGCTCGACAAGTTTGGCATTGGATTAGGATACTTTTTTTCGAGGTCGATAGGGGCATTCTTTGATCTTGCGGGGGAGTCTGTTGGTGCTCCTGATGTGTCTTATCTGTTTTTTTCTTCTTTTCCTAACTTTGCGTGCTCGATCTGCTTTCCACGGGGTGTCACTTGCTTGGTTTGGTTTTGGTTTTAACGGAGGGTCTGCTTGATTTTTCTTTTTTGTGCGTTTGCTTGCTCGTTTGCTTGCACGGCTGGGGGAGTCTCTGGGGGCATGGGTTTGGCATTTCTTTTCACACCTGGGGGTCAATTCTTTGTATTACTAGGGTTTCTTCTCTTCTGTTCTTCTCCTTCTTCTTCTCTTGGGATGGATGGGCGTGCGTGCTTTTTGCCGTGTGTCTGGCGCCGGGACATGCGTGGTTCTTTCCTTTGAATACTACGTGCGGGCGGGTGGTGAGAGGCGGGTTCTGTTTGAGCCCTGACATGGCCTTTGCGGTTGAAAGCGTGACGGACAGACAGCAGGTGATGTCGGGTGAAGTCAACCATTATATGTAGTAGTGAAGCACGGACCACGCGAAATGACGTATCGCTCGCTACTATGGAGCTAGAGTAGAGCAGAGCCGACCGCCGTCGTCTCATCCCACTTCCCCACAGCCAGCCAACCAACCAACCCCACAGCCAACGCCATCACCCCCATCTCCAAAATGGTGCTCTCTTCGGCCACGACCGAAGACTCGAACTTCGGCTCCTCCGATAGCGATGATGCATACAACACCAGCTCGAGCGCGTACCCTCCGCACCCACCGATCACTCGAATTCTCGGGCTCTCCTCCGGGACCTTCTCGGACGCGGCGAAGGAGCGGTTCATCCAGCTGCAGCTCGCCGTAGCAGAGCGCGAGTTCGGCTTCCGGCCGTCAGCGGTGGAGCACGAGGGGCTCGCATACTACAACGCAGTCTTCTACGCGGCGGAGTCAAAAGGCTCGTTGTATGGGACGCTCGCGGGCGGGGCGATCGGCGCGCTGATGACGCGGCGGCAGCGCAACGTCGGCTTCCTCTTCCGCGGCATTGGCAATCGGCTAGGTGTCCAGCCCAAGTGGCAGCTCCTGGCTAGCAGGCTGACGAATTTTGCGTTTATTACGGCGGTTGGACGCCTCTGGGGGATCACGAGTTATGGTGTGCAGGCGTTTAATCAGACTGCGAAGATGCAGAGAGAGGATCCCAATATGAAACGGTACCTTGAGGCGAGGGATCGCTGGCTGGCGCAGAGGCAGAAGGAGGGGAGGGCGGGGGTTACGAGGGCCGTCATGCAGGTCGGCCAGGAGGCGCAGAGGGCGAGGGAGCGGCAGCAGCAGGACGAAGGGGATCCGCAGAGTCTCGGCGGGGTGGACTTCTACGAGGATAGGAAGCCGGCGGATGGTAGTGCCAGCGGCGTGGTGGAAGATAGCGGCGAGACTAGGAGGATCAGCATGGAGGCGAAAGTGGGCGCGCGCAGGAAGAGGGAGGCGGATGCGGAAAACGTCAGGCAGCGCGCGAATGAACGGCACACCGATGATGATCCGTTCTTTGGCGATTCCGAGCAGACGCAGTCGGATGACTCCCGGGTTGTCAGGGCGAGGCAGAATAACAACTCTCAGGGCGGATCGGCGTGGGATCGCCTGCGCCGTGGTGAGCAGGGTGATGCCGCCAACAGGGACGATTCCACTGCTTCCGCGTGGCCGAGGAGATCGGCCATGAAGGGGTTTGAGCAGTCGGAGGCGAAGGAGGACTCGTTCTCGTTCAGTACGGGAGACCGCGAGAGGGCGAAGGAGGAGGCGCAGAGGTTGTTCGACGAGAGGGTTGAGAAGGAACGGCGTGGCGAGGGGAGGGATGGATTCGCCAAAGAGGTGAATCATAACAGGGAAGGCAGGCAGTGATGGACCGCATCTCTTACATGTAGAGTAAACTGTATTTTAGTTAACGAAACTGTACTTAAGTTTGTGTATCGGGGAGACAAATATCGTGAGCCATGGATGCTGATGAAAGGCTAAAGGATTAGTGAAAGCACGCCAGCCATAGTTTCCTTCAAAAGATGCCTCGGGACCAGCCCTTCGAAGTGATTTATATTCAACTCGAACCAACCGATGTGAGAACCCATGATGACGTGCGTGCGGCTCCTTCGTAGAGTACTTCCACCCGTTGCTACAAATCCCTGCACACACGTCTTCCACGCTAGACACCTTCCACCACGCGTTTTCGGATTTAACTCTCCCACCTTTACCTTTGACAACTCTCGTTCAGTTGTCTCTGTCTCGACTCCTCGAACGATGACCCCGCGGATCTTCCCACCAATACCGATCCCCAGCAGCACGGATGCCGACCTCCTCCCGTCGGACATAATCTGCTTTGGCAGCGACGATGAATGCGATGAGGGTGCACGGGACCGCCGCATCGTCATGATTGCTGAGAACTATCTGCGCGGCTATGGCGTGTACATGCACTCTGCGGTACTTAAGGGGCCCGTCGAGAAGAGTCCGTGGAGGGGGATGGAGAGGAAGAGGAAGAGGGAGAGGGAGTACCTCGGTGCTGCAGGTGAATGTAGCGCCGAAGAAGATGGAGAAACAGGAGGACCCCAGGATCGTAGACTATTTTGCGAAGGCGAAGGTTGGGACTGGGAAGAGCGCGGAGAAGAGGGTGGGAACTACTACTACTACTACAATGGCAACCACAACTGCAACTACAATGGCAACTACAACTACAGAACCCTCCTCCTCTTCCGGCTCCCCCAACTCCTCCGGTCCCTCCTCCGACTCACTACCACTCCCTCGAAACCTGCAGCCCGACCCGGCGCCCACCCAGCAGCTCCCAATACCCGTCAACATCACCGTCGACATCCGGATCGCCTCCTCGCCGCCTCCGTCGTCGCAACCTCGACGCAAACGAAAGCTCGAGGTCGAGATTGGAAACGGTCAGGAGAAGGAGGAGACGGAGAAGGAGACCAAGAAATATACCCCCATGATTATCGACTGGAAAAAGAAGCGGCCCAAGATCGATTTTGCCGCGCTCAGTCCGGTGGTCGCGAAGCGCCGTCGTAAGGAGAGTGACAAGAACAAGGACAGTGGGGCCGCGGGGAGGAGGAGTAGGAGCAGGAGGGTCACTGCTAGTGGCGAGAGGGAGATGCAAACGGAGGCGGGGGAGAAGGTCAAGGGAAAGGCTGGTGCGAAACGGAAGGAGACTCCTATAGAGGAGACGAAGGGAAAGGCTAGTGCGAAACGGAAGCAGACGCCTATGGACGAGACGATACATGTTGCCATGAATGCGGGGGAAGCAGGTCCTTCCGGGAGTGCGGATAAGGAGAAGAGGAGAGGAAGCAGAGGAGTCAGCGGTGGTGTCAATTCGCCGGACAGATCAGCACAAGCTACAGAAGAGAAGGAGACGACGGTGGAGAAGGCCGCTGTCGGCAAACCGGCGGAACCGGAGGAGGAAAAGGCGCTACAGGCCTCCGCCCGGAATGCCGAAGGTGTCGACAATGGCGGGGAGAAGATGAGGACCGGGAGCGGGATTGGCATCTCCACACCTGCGAGGAAATCCACATCACCTTCCGTGGAGGATACAATCCAAGTAGCCTCGGTCTCAAGGAAATCATCACCGTCGAAGCCCGTTACCACCAACTCCCCCTCGAAGTCCCCGGAGCCTGCTACCTCGACAAACCCCCACGTAACACTCACCCATCCAGTGCAACCCACACCGCACCGAACCTCGAGCGAAACCCGCGAAACCGAAGAAATCTGCAGCCAAGTGATCAGCAACTACATCCAGCACATGGCGGCGCCACCAGAGACGCCTTATACATGGCAATCGACGCAGGCACAGCTGCTCGCCGCACAGGACGGCTTCTTCAACGCGATGGCCGACTCGCCGATCCGCTTCGATTACACCACTCCCGAGGGCCGAAAGAAATCCCAGCTGAACAACAGTGCCACTCCAGACCTGTCATGGGGGATCCTACCATCAACCATGGCACACCCACCACTCCAGGTCGCACCCTCAACAATCGGCAAACCACCGCCCAGCACCTCCCCCTGGACAGCCTCTAAACCCCCACCACCTGCACCCGCACCCAAAACCCCAGGCGACTTTCTACAAGACACTCCAGTCATCCGACCTCCGCCCCTACCCGCCACACCACTAAGCAACGGCTTCACCCTCTCCGCCCCGTCAACCAGCGAACTGACGCCCTTCGGCGCCTTCGCCACGCCCGCCTCCCTCCCCTCCTCCGCCTCGCAATCCCGCTGCGGCCAGCCCGCGCAGCCCCTGCTAAGCCTGAGCTTTGAAAACTCCCCCGAGAACATCAACTCGCCAAGCCCTAGCGGCCTCAGCGGCCCCAGCTCGCCGTCCCCCGACGACTCGGTCCACGAGATGATGGGCATCATGGGCAGCGGCGTGTGGGACATCGATGAAGAGCTGAGGAAGATGGCGGGGAGCTCGACACCTACCTCTACTACGGGGAACAAGAAGAGGAGGCCGAGGCAGAGGCAGAAGGTGAGCGGAAAGTGACGAGGTGATGCGTTTGATGATGCGTGCGTTTTCCTTTTCCTTTTCCTTTTCCTTTTCTCTTTTCCTTTTGATCAGATCAGGCGGTGGCGGCGGCGTTCGGGCTTGCTTTTAGAAAATTCATCTTTTTTTGTACATACAGCAATCAATAGAGGGAGGAGGGGTAAGTGGGGTACATGTGTGTAGTAGTAGATTTTCTGTACTTTTATTGGCGGGGTTTAAGGGGAGTGGATCATAAAGGATGGGATGGGATACCTACCAACGCGGGAAGAAATTCGGGTTGGTATGGTACACGGTGAAATAAGCAGTACTATATCATGTTACCTCGACCTTGAGAACAAAGACAGCCGATAACTGCCACGAGACGAGGAGAGGATCGCGAGAGAGCAGACCCCCACAATTCGCTGGTCACTTCTCGGAACGGAACGACGGAACGGGCCAACTCCGCGAACTCCGACTTTACCAGTCGTGTTCTGTGCGAGAAGGTGAGAGTGATATTCGTGACCCAACTACCACCGTAACCACTACCGCCGCTACCACCACCACCCCGCCGCCACGACCACCACTATGCCATGACCACCCCCACCACGACTACCAAGTTCCAACGACATGCCATGCGGAAAGCTTGCCACAACCAGCTAGGTAGATAATCAATCCCCAAGACCCAAGACCCAAGACCCAATCCCCAAGACCCCAACTTCCCAAGACACTCGGCAAGGCACTCAGCGGCCGCCGAGGGCTTGCACTGTTGTATTGTACATAACCCCAAGACTCTCCGCTCGGCGCCGAGGGCTTGTCCACAACTGCAAGACTCCGCCGAGGTCTTGTAACGCCAGCTTGTAACCAGCCAAGAAGCATTAGATACATACTCAATTACTCGCTGTGCGCACGGCTCAGAAATCCACCAAGAGTTCCGCCGCGCCGTTTGGTATAATATGATATGTATGCCCCTAAATTCTCTCGCTTGCTCGCTCGCTGAGGTAGGTGCCCCCCGTTCCTCCCATCTATGATATAACCAACCAACCAGCCAACCAACCAACCGGACCCCGGGATAAAGTATCTACATTAAATAGGTAGAAGAAGAGAAGAGAACAGAAGAGAACAGAAGAGAACAGAAAGAGAACAGAAAGAGAACATAAAGAGAACAGAAGAAGAAAAGTGAAAAAGTGAAAAGAAGAAGAAAAGTGAAAAAGTGAAAAGAAGAGAAAGAAGAGAATACCCCAGGTACTTGATAGGTAGAAATGCACAAAGTAGGTAGGTAGGTATGAAGATGAAGAGTGCATGCAATGGATGAATTGAAATACCCAGTGCCAGTGCCAGTGATAACGAAATGAAATACAAAGCTCTCGTAAAATTATGTACCAGAATCGAACTCCCCCCCTCCCCCCCTCCCATCAACAACTAATTGGACGGCGGCGCGGCCTTGCTGAGCGGAGTAAGCGGCGTCAGCGGCGTCCGCAGTGCCATGAACTCCTTCCACTGCTCGTTGCACGTGTTCTCGACCCAGCAGCCGGCGAAATGTATCACGAGCTGTCCCTTCTCCCAGCTCATGATGGGGACATTCCTGAGCGGGTACGAGTTGATGAGGGTTTGCGGGAACAGCGCCATGTGCTCGCGGACCACTTCATGTTCCTTGATCAGATGCATCTACAACGCAGTCATCCGTTAGCCACCCGGTTCGTGCCTGGATTACGTACAGGGGAAGCAAACACATACCATAGCATCCTGCTCCTGCGCGATCCAGTTCTCGCGGACAAACATGGGATCGGACCACATGTCGACGAACATGCGGGTGAACTCGCTCCGGCGGATCAGGAAGCTCCCCGCGTTCACGCCGTTCGGGTCCTGCGAGACGATCAGATCGACGTTGTTGGGGTTGATGGTCTTGAGCGTCCTGGAGCCGGAAAGGCCTCCGCCGGACCTGTTCATCTCGACGTCCAATTGGGCATTTTTCAAGATCGCTTCGTGGGAGAGGAGATGGCTCCGCAGGTCTATGTCCGGTGTCATAATGATTGCATCCAGATCCAGCCACCAGATCCATTTTGCCTGCGGATACAGGTTGAAAGTCTCGACGATGGCCGGAAGCTTGGCCCATACCGGGTGTGCGCTGCCGATGTCGTACTTGGAGATGTTGAGGAACTGATAGTGGTAGCCGTGGCGATCGGCGTATTCCTGGCGGTTGGGCGTGATGTCTTCGAGGATGTTCTCGATTCCGCCGTTGTGACCTTTACCGTCCGATGCGGCGAGCAGGACGATCTCGTCCGGCTTGGGGCCGTCGGGGGTGTGCACCATGTCCGCTGGGACCGAGAAGCTCCCAAGGCGAACCTTGATCTTCTTGTATTCGGCCAAAGCTTTCTGCTGAGCCTCCTATTCACGGGACACCTCTGGTGAGCAACCGAAATTGAATCATTTCCATTCCCGGAGGAGAGAGAAAAAAAAGGTGAAACAAACCTCCTTCTTCCGCTTGGACTCGGCAGCCTCCTTCTTCTTCCTCTCTTCTTCCTTCTTCTTCGCCTCCTGTTCTATCCGCTTCTTCTCTTCGGCCGACAGCATGTTGGGAGTTCCGGGCACATTGCCGGGCTGCAACACCGAGTTCGCCGCCAGTTGCTGGTGAGCGCCCTGGAGGCTCTCGTCCACCTCGCCCACCACCGCGTCCACCACCACGTCCACCGGCCCCTTTCCTCCTCCTCCTCCTCCTCCTCCTCCTGCCCCTCCAGCGACATTCGGGTTGAGTGATGTCGCATACGAACTCGACGAGAATTGTGAGAACGAGAAGTAACAGAGTGCGAGCGCGACCACGGCCAGTACCGCGAATCTGTTTCGTTGTGCCCCGTCAGTTTACTGCTACGTACGACAAGGCTGTGCTCGGAACTCTCTCTCCCTCCCTCCATCCCAAGGGATGAGAGTAGTGGATGCAGGGCGGCGGCGGCGGCGGGGAATGCGAAGGTACGGACATGAAGGGGGGAGGGGGGAGGAGGGGCGGCAAACTTTGTTATTAACCGTGACATTATTAGCGATTAGGTATATATACGGCCGAAGCGCAACGTGGACAATGCGTTGTAGATATGCGTAGGTAGTCCAACCTTCCCCTACGCTGCCGATGGTTGGAGGGAGGAGTGCGTGATGCTTGATGAACGAGTCCTTTTTGTCTAGCTGGAGCGAGCGTGGAGTCCGATCGTATGTATTACGGCCGTGTCGTGCATGTAGGGAGAGTGTAGGGCGAAGGCCGGAGTCGGGCCGGACGAAGGTGATATATAAAAATGGAAGCTAGGATGGTGGTAGTGGTATGTGGTAGTGGTGGTGGGTGGCAGTGGGTTGGTGTGGAGGCGGCGTGTATGTAATGTGGTGTGGAGGGCGAAGGGGTCTAGAAGAAACACTGCTGGCCCTTTGTTCGGTTGGCAAGCAGAGACTCTCGGATACGAACGGGGTTCACAGCTACTGGTGACTAGCGGGAGGGAAGGCCAAATAAAATAACACAAACTGTTACTTTTTGGTTATCCAGGTTCTCTGCTGCAGGAGAGGCAGGCAGCCGGCCCTTAAGAGTGCCTAGCACCCGATGGTAGGAGATTTGTGGCCTTGCCACAAACACGCAGGCAGAAGCGCTAGCGCCTCGGTCTGTGCCTGCTCCCCCTTGGCGGCAATAATGCCATGATATCGAGGTGCAGTGTGCAGTGTGCAGAATGCTGAGGTGAGGTACAATACCGTGTTTACCAAGCCACTCAAGGGGCACCGGCACAGCCCGGTATCCGTCGTATAGCACATATCTGCAATCATAGCTACCCGTATGATGCTTCCTTGCTTGGGGCTTCGTGGTCGTATCCATCATGTCGTGGGGTGTCGTCGTACACACTATCCCCAACCCCGCAGACCGGTCGCGCTGTTCGCTTGTGTTTCGCCCTTTTCTTCGCTTGTCTATCGTCCTTTTCCTGCCCTTTTCTTCTTCGTCGTGGGACCTGCCACGTCCGGCGGAATACAGCCCGATTGTGGTGACAACCTCCGAGTCACCCGGTCTTCAGGAGAAGTGAGTAAATCCAATGCCGAGCCAGCTGCTGGCCGCTAAGCACTGCGTTGCCGATGAGCACGTGAGCATCTGGTGGATACATACTTTTTGATTACTTCTCTGCCTACATACTCAGCCATGTTCGGGCGAAAGCGCCTGGGAATCATGATGCCGGTAGGGGGTCAAGAGGACGCACATAAAGAGATAATTAGCCACAGTATGCAGTGGCGAGATTAAAAGGCAAGGCACGGTAGCTGCCATTCGTCGTTCCAATCATCGAGTCGTACATCCCGGGGGTGATTGTCGGGGATTCGAAACGAGAGCGAGCGAGAACACACAACGAAAGGGGAGGTTAGATAAACACATCCGAATCCGAAGCAAGTGCTGACGGAGCGTGTGACACAGCACATGACGACTTCACCGGACGGTTATGTATGTATGCGAGTAGAGTACAACGCGCGTATGCAATCGTGCTTTCTCTCGGTCCGCCAAACTCCTCCCTGCTCTGCAATATCTACCTACCTGGGTTCGCATTCCTCATGCCAGTGTGGTCTCTTCGCTACGAACCGTGGGCCGGTTGCATTCCGTTGGCTGCGTCTGTCGCGTTTCGACTTGGCGTTTGTTTCGTACTCTGAATACCCATAGTACAGAAGTATCTGCTCAGAGCGGCCGGACTTATTCCCACTCCCGAGTACCGGTATGTCTAGCCACCACAGGTCCACAACTTCCTGCCAGGCCTCCAGATCTTTTCACGACCCCATAGGCCACTTTCGATACGACGATGCAGGCCATCGGGAAGACCTGGACATCCTGCGTCAACTCGTCGTACGATTGCGCGACTTCCGGGTGGTAGCTATGCATTCTATGTAGGCAGAGTGTCGAAAACATAATTGCTGGCGCATGTCGTGTCACTCGCACATTCCGCTGTCAAACAACACCTGCAACATTCCGTCGATATCGCAAATAAAACAGGAAGATCTCTCTCTCTCCGTCACATCGTGGCAATAGAGCTTTATCTCTTCCCCCACGGAGCTGTAGGAAAGGTCGAGTCCACGGGCTCGATGACCGACCTGTAAACCCAACCCAACCAGGTCCGTTACACGGCGCGGTATGTATCTCCCATACCCCTCCGCCGTCTATCTATATCCTCGCTCCTCGACACCTCACTCGACCACTCGGCCGGAATAGTAGGATGCGAAGACCACAAGGGTAGGTGGTCCACCGGAACCGGTCAAACAGTTTGAGCCGACGGGATCCGCGCTTTGTGGCCGTAGGCCCGTAGGTAATATAGTAAGGTTTGTTCCATTCGGTTGGCGGTTCGGTGACCGTGTTTCTCGGCTCCGTTTTTTCGTGTGGGCGTTCACCGACCCGGACGGCTGGGTCGATGCGCCGGACTAGGCGGTGCAGCTATCCTATATACATACTCAAATCGTCAGCAGTGAGGCGGCCCGGTGAGTACATAGCTGGGTGATTTGCGTCCCGGTGGGTAGATAGCAGGGTGGTTTGCATCTCGGATGGCTGGCTGGCTTGTCAGCTCGTCTAGATGGTCCAATGAGTTCATCAATCTGGCCGATTTACCGAACCGGTGCTAGTGAGTAGAGTTCCTCCAGGAGCAATGTCACGCTTGCTAGAAATTGGGTTAACTTCACATTTTGATGGCATCAATTCAGTAGGGCGTAGAATACAAGGCTCTCAAGTTCATTTGTAATGGCCAGCAGAGTCAGTAACAACAGCGACGTAGGCTGTAACAGGCGTAAAAAAAACAATAGTGGAGGACCCAATCATGAAGGTAAGAAATGCTCATGCGCCGCCCACCCCAATGAAACGCACAAATCAAGTTGCCGCCGCCGCCGGAGGAGGAGGAGGAGCACCAGCACTCTGACCATTGCCCGCAGGACCTCCTGCCATACCTCCCCTAGGACCACCATCTCCTCTTCCGCCCCTTCCGCCGAACGGCTGACCTCTGCCACCGCGGTGTCCTCCGCGATGTCCTCCTCTTCCGAATGGTGGTCCGTGAACTCCAGCAGCGGGACCAGTGGGAGGAGTCGGGCTGGCGGGAACCTGTGGTGAGGCCGGAGCAGAGTTTCCTACTGCCATCATTCCTCCCCTGTGACCTCTCGGCCCTCTGTGTCTGCCTCCCCTCGGTCCGGTAGGTGTAGTGGGCGTGGTCGTTGCCGGGCCCTGCGGAATGCTTGTGTTGAGAGGGGCAAGAACAGGAGCAGAGGGACTGGCATTGACGCTGGAATTGCCAGAGGAGGTTTCACCCAGCGTGGATTCACGCTTCACTAGCATCGCCGCGGGGCTACCAGGGGCAAGGCCTGAGCTCTGGCTCCCGAGGATAGCGATCGGAGTTGAAGGTGCACTAGTACTGGTATTGGAAACGTTGGATTCTTCGCGCTCCAGCTTTGCAGCCCGTCGTTCGCGCCTAGAAGGGCGTTCGCGGGGCCTCTGCTGTGAACGGGAAGGCGAATCTGGAAGTTGCTGTGGTGTCCTGGGGGTAGTGGGCTCGGATCCAGTCACCGATGGTCCAAATGATGGGGTTGTAGGTGTTGTAACGAAAAGGGTCACGGGAGTAGTGGGAGTCGTCGAGGTTGGAGTCGCGGGCTCTGAGGGTGGAGCAGCCCTTCCGCGAGTACGCCGACCGCTGGCTGCCGTACCAATTCCCAGATCACGCTGAAGAATTGCAGCGACACCAGACATACCACCGCGCCGACGCTCGCGCTCTCTACGTCTGCCCTTTTCCCCAGTCTCTGGCTCCGGCGTGACTCCCTTTTCATCCGATTTCTGCGCAGCTTGGTTAGACGGACCTCTGGGCGCAGATGATGATACCGACGATGCCGCAATGTTCGACGCACCCTGCCGGACAAGACGGCTCGGACCCGAATCGGCTCGCTTCAAAAGCGCCAGAGGCTCGATTGCTTTCGAGCCATCTAGCTTCTCCTTCTCCTTCCCCTTTAGCTTCGCCTTCTCCCTCGCCCGGCGGTCCCTCTTAGGGCGGCCGCTATCGGAGGGCGCTTTCTCGGTAGCCTTGCTCTTTGCCTTGTCTCCTGGTGAAGCCTTTTGACTGCGGATAAACTCAATGAGGGGTGTGGTCTTCGGCTTCTCATACGGCTCATTCGTGGGCAACGGAACCGAGAGCGGGTCGTTGGCCGGGATGGAAGCAGGTGCATTTGCGTCGAGTGTAGGCGGGATTGCGCCCTCTGCCCCCCCCTCCGCGCCGGCAGAAGCTGCAGTAGGGTTTAGTAATGCGAGGAAAGCTTGAAAATCGGGGTCGGATTCGATCGTCCCAGCCCTAGTATCGACGCGCTGGACCTTCTTTGGAGCCTTTTGGAATGGCGAGAACTCCATTTGGGGCAACGATGAGTTTCCCTTGCTGTCCGTGAAAATGCCATGCGCTCGGATGGCATTGTTAAGAGCTGCGACTTGCATCGGATCCTTCATCTTGATATAGCATCGCGATGGTGTCGGAGCTTTGTTACGACTGCGCAAAATAGCTCATCAGCTATGCTTTGCGTGAGTAAAGTACAGTGGAGAACACAAACTCTTCCGGGATTTTGCCCTGGTTCCAGCTGAAGAAGTCGCAAGTGTCGTCGTTGACGTAGTTGCTCATTACACCGCGGAATTCGGATTCCTTGAGTAGACTGGGAAGGTGGCGGATCACAACCTTCAGGCGAACGGTGGGTTGTTGGCCATTGCCGGTGCTGCTGCTTTCCTTGTCCTTGCTGTGTCTTCCACCTCTCGGTCGTATTCTCGTCGGCGTGGCTTGAGCGGGCGCTGAAGACGCCATTGCTATGAGCAGTTCGAAGTTTGCGTGAAGGGAAGGTATCGGGGTCGCAGAGTGAGAGGCAGGGTTGTGTGTAAGGTAGTGGAGGTGGGAGAGTGGTTGTTGTATGTTTGCGGCTTAGTCAAGTTTAGAGGAAGAAGTTGATATCATCATCCCCCGCGCTTGGGCTGAACGTTCTATCGAGTCCAACCTATTCTACAACAATAGCAACGACAACGACACTACGACCCAACTATCGCAACCGAGCATCGCCACCAGAAGCAATCATCACCACAGTCCGCTCCAGTCGATCCTCTCTGCCACCACTTCTCAACTCACACGAAACACCCCCACCTGTCTCCCGCGAGACTCACCCCCCCAAAATCAGCAATCATATCCCTCAAACAGCTCCTCCCATCTTTCCTTCCTCGTTCCTCTACCTCGGAGTCCTCATCCTACTCCTCCGCCTACGCCTCGAAATCCGATATCTCATCATCGCTCTCATCACTCAATAACTTCACCGTTGCCGCGCGCGCTGCCCCGAAGAAGATGAGCATTGGCGACATGGGAGGGCCTGCACCCTCAAATTGTGGTGGACCCGACGAATGGCTGGAGATGGCAAAGAAATGCAAATACCTAAGCGAAGGCGACATGAAGCGGTTATGCGAGCTGGTGAAGGAGTGTCTGATGGAGGGTTTGCTCTCCCGAGAACCCTACAGCAGCCGCTGCTGTTGAGGCTGGCTAGTACTCACTCGTTCTGCGGTTACCCAGAATCCAACATCCAGCCAGTTTCGACGCCCGTCACCGTTTGCGGCGATATCCACGGCCAGTTCTACGACCTACTAGAGCTCTTCCGCGTCGGTGGCGGCATGCCCGATAAGATAAACTACGTTTTCCTCGGCGACTTTGTGGACCGCGGGTACTTCTCCCTCGAGACGTTTACGCTGCTCATGTGCCTCAAGGCGAAGTATCCCGAACGCATCACGCTCGTGCGCGGCAACCACGAGAGTAGGCAAATCACACAGGTGTATGGGTTCTACGAGGAGTGCCAGAACAAATACGGCAACGCGAGCGTCTGGAAGAGCTGCTGTCAAGTGTTCGACTTCCTTGCACTAGCCGCCATCATCGATGGAAGCGTGCTATGTGTTCATGGAGGCCTGAGCCCCGAGATAAGAACTTTGGATCAGATTCGAGTTGTCGCGCGTGCACAAGAGATCCCGCACGAGGGTGCGTTCTGTGATCTTGTGTGGAGCGATCCAGAGGATGTCGAGACATGGAATGTGTCACCGAGAGGAGCAGGCTGGTTGTTCGGTGACAAGGTCGCCACAGAGTTTAACCATGTCAACGGCCTGTCTCTGATAGCAAGGGCGCATCAACTTGTCAACGAGGGCTACAAGGTAGCTACCCCATGATGTTGTCGTGCAAGCTCGTAGGGCTAATACTGCGTAGTATCATTTCAAAAACAAGGACGTCGTGACCGTGTGGTCGGCACCAAACTATTGCTACCGCTGCGGAAACGTTGCTAGCATCATGCAACTGGAAGAGGACCTGACGCCACGGTTCACGATCTTCCAGGCCGTACCAGATGATCAGCGGATGGTGCCACAGGGACGGACTGGAAGGAGCGAGTATTTCTTGTAGTTGATCTTTCTTTGCGTTTTTTGGTGTGCGGTATATCTTTTTCTCATGAGATTTCTGGCGGTGGGTGGGGGCGGGCTACTTTGTTTTTCGTGCTCAAATGTCTTTTTTTTGCTTTTGCTTTTGCGTGCTGTTGAACGGAGTTTGGCATCATGGACTGGACGACGACAGACGGACGACAAAGACGACTATGGACAGCTTTGCCACGATGAATATACGACGGCACTGGATACTTGAGTCTGTAGTTCACTAGACTTGTGGGGCAATGGTGTTCCTGTTGTGGTGGCGGGTTTTATGTGCATCACATACTACTTTTCTACATAGCGATGGGCGGTTTATGTGTTCTCGTTCTGTTTTTCTGTGCTTTGCTTTGGTGCTTTTGGTTACGTACGGTTGCGGTAGGTACTGGAGGCTTGCTTGGTTGTTTTGTGGATATGGGGATGGGGAAGTGTGTATCTCAGGGCGCGGAAGGTGTATTAAATACCTAGATCTTTTGTTCTGGATGTTGAAGGGCGTAGATAGCCTGCTTCCTGGATGGCCGGTTACGGTGCTTCCGGCCGGGGATTCTACTTGATTACTCAGCAACCGTGATTCTCCTCTCTAGGAATCTTCCGAGCTGAAAGCCAATCCGGCCGAAAGTAAGACTGTTGTGATATCTAGTGGTTGCTCCACCTTGCCAGGCCGCCCATAGTATTCTGCATAGACGAGTGACACGCTATGAAAACCTCCAAGCTGCAGCTTTCCCCACCCCAGCCCTTCCGCTCGAAATCACAAAGAACTCCTCACTTGACCACCCGATCCATCCACAAGCATCAATTCTCCGCAGCGGGTCCGTGCCACCGATTTTTAACCCCTAACCCACACTTCGATCTCCGCCGCCGCCGCTGCCGATCCCTGCAGATCCAGTCTTCGTGAGGGAGACACACCCATCTCCTTTGTCTCCACCGACAACGTCACCGCCTCCTTCAGCGCAGCAAACGGTTCGGATCCATATCAGCCCCAGCAACAAAAAGAAACCTCATTGTCAGAAAGAAATATGGCCATCTAGCCACCCACCGTCCGGTCAGTTCAGTGAAGCTCACTTATAACCCGCCCCGCGACAGCCCGCGTCGCCACCCATTCAACCGGCTTCAGCTTTCAACGTACCGTAGACCATGTCCGCAGCACCAGCCGCCGCCGCCGCAGCGGTCCTCACCTCCGCAGTTGAGCCCGCAGACCAGGAACCTACCATCAACAACAACACCACCGCCGCCGCCGCCGACCCCGACGCGGACCCCGCACCCTCCCCGCCTGCAACAACAAGCAACAGCACCACAACCAGAAAGCGGAAACACACACCCGCCGCCTCTGGCTCCGGGGTACCATCCACGCCCACCCCCGCCGAATTCGTGGGCCGCACGGTCTGGAGTAAACTGGACACAGTGAGCCATCCATCCCTCCTCCACCACCACCACCTCTCCGTCCTTCTTTCCTTCCGCCCCCCCTTCCTCTCCGCCTTCCCGCAGCCACGCTAATACCCGCACGCCATTAGCCGCTCCATGGCGCCATAGCGCGGATCACCAAGCGCTACCAAAAGCGGATCCAACGGGGCACGCGCAACCTCCCAGCGGAACGCGCATCCCTCGTCAAGGCGCAGAACTATGCGCGGCGCAACGGCGAGATCGCCGAGTTCCTGCGGGGCTATGGAATAGCGGTCGAGAATCCTTCTCCGCCGCTGTCACCGGCGGCGGACGACGACGAGGATGAGGCGTCGCCTGCGGTCTCGCCGGTGCCGGAGAGACGGGAGAGTGGCAGGGGGAAGGGGAAGGAACTGCTGCGGGAGGGGGGGAAGACGAGGGAGGAGAAGACTAGGAAGCCGTCGGTGTTGGTGGAGACCCTGGAGGCGTCCCGGACGGCCGCAGTAAGTGCGAGGAATACGCTTACTGCATTGCGGTATGTAGCTTCGCATTGTGCAGACAGTGAGGGTGCAGTAGAGGCACAGATTGCTATGGTCGAGAATTTTGCGATTGCTGCTGAGAGGTATGTGGGTGTTTTGATGGGGCAGATGCAGGCCAGTGCGGATGGTATCAGCGGAGAGAATGCGGCAGCCGTGGGTGTTGGGGATGGTTGATGGACATGTGTATCATTTCGCTCAGATGTGGGTAGCTTCATATTGCACCCTCTTGTGGCGGTAGGCCAGTTGTATTTTTTTGTAGTGCGTTGGTAGGATACTCATGCAATATCACTCGCCTTACCGAATGCTTTTCCTTTTGGTGTGGAGTTGCGGATGGATTTCATTATAGCATATTTGTATCCAAAGGTCAAGGCTGATTAGCCGGAGAATATATCCAATGTTTGGTAGAACTCGGTCATAAATTATCATCTTCGGATACCCTCTTCATTCCTCTTCTTCCGTACACCCTGAAATCATAAACCTGCCCAAACCATAAGTCATTTTACCCGTGAAACATCATCCATTTTACAACTTCGACCCAGCATAAGAGCTGGCCTCATCAAACTGCTTTCCACCAGCAATAACCGCCACGGACCCCAGCTTCGTCCTCCTGGAGATTCTAACACCCGCCACGGCGGCCACAACCGCCGCAACGATAAGCACACCCAGGGTGACGACCGCACCAATAACACCAGCGACCTCCTTCGTCACAGCCCTCGTCTCTTGTTTGTATGGCAGACAGTAGTCCTCGGTAGAACTACAGAATGCACACCACTCCTCAACACTCTTGAGCGAGATCTTCTCCATTCCCGCTTTGAAGTCGGCCCACGACAGGGCAGCGGTGCTGCTGTCAAAGAGGCGGAAGCTCTCTGCAGGAGCATCAGTGCCGTTGCGGAAGAGGAAGCGGACCTTGAGCTCGCTTAGATCCCCCGGGAAGGCGTCGGTGTGCGAGTATAGCTCGAAGGCGAGGGTGGAGGCGTAGTCGGGCAGTCCGTAGAAGTTCGCGTTGACGGAGGGGAGGCCAGCGAGGGCGAAGAAGGATAGCATGGTGTCGTATGAGCCGATGTTGACGTTGAGGAGGTTCTTGGTGCCCTTGGAGTCGACAATCGCCTGCAATTGCTGTAGCACCTTGCTGGAGAAAGTGAGGCCGGAGACGGCGAGGGGGTCGTTGGCGGAGGAAATGGCGCCGGCTTTGGCCCATTCGGCGGAGTCGGCGAGGGTTCGCAGCTGGAAGAGCTCTTCTTGGGATATCGAGTTTGATATGGTCTTGTTGTGTACCATCCCGACGTTGACGTAATCGAAGATATTGTAGGCATTGCTGTAGGACAGCTTGCTCTTGGGAAGGACACCAGCGAAGATGTTGTCGTAGAAGGAAAGGTAGAAGTCCTTCGTTGACGCTTCAAGGGCTTTAAACTCGGCCGTTGAGTTCCATCTGTCGGCAAGATCATCGTACGCAGGACATCCGTCGTCACCCTTAAGCCAGATGCTCGCCGGAGAGTCCGAAGGTATCGTGGCGAGAGGGACATATTGATATCCTGACAGCGGATGCTCAGATGTCTCATTGAGCGGAGGGTACAATCCCTGGAGGAAAACCTGACCAGACGTGACGAGGAGGGGCTGATCAGGTGTAGCGGCCGAGAACTGGGCGGAGTTGTAAACATCCTCACTGAGGTTTACAATCTGGTACCCGGAGACCGAATCGAGCCAGCGAGACCGCCAGTATGTACTGGAGTTGTAGAGCTGCTGCTGGCCGACGGCGGTGAGCGTTGTGGGTGGTGCTCCCTTCCATGTTCGGTCTCCGTGACGAGAGAATATCACGGCGCCTTTGACTGTGTCTGCATGGGCTGCGGCCAATTCGGCGGCCAGGAGGAGGACTGCGATTGATCGAAGCATAGTGAAGATATAAAACGCCGGACTGAAAACTTTAGGCGCAAAGGACGTCGAACGTGGGGTATTTATGCCTTTTATGCTTCTCGCATATTGTTGATCACTACCGAAAGAGCCGTGCCTTCCCGAAAGTCAAAATGGGGGACGCTCTACTTCTTATCCAACTATAGACATTGCATTTGCACATAATTACCCAGAAGGGTAGATGCCCACGATTATGCCCAACAATGTCTCTTCGGAAGACCTAATAGCGGTGGTGTCTCGCGTGGAATCTGTAAGCCCCGCACCTTTGGCCCTTTAGCGCGACTCAATGCCGAAGGGCCTGTGGAATCGACAAGCCTATCGGTTGGTTTGCAGTGCCTTATCGATAAAAGTTCTTTTTCCCAGCGGCCAGCACCGGCACGGAAGGTCAAACTTCGCGACCCGCCGAGGCTATGACTGAGTGAGGTAAAACGGTAGTGTCAGGTAATATGTGATGCTTCCGTCGGAGTTTGACGGTGGACATCTCCTCGGAGGAACGATGGAAGGCAGACAGGGGTGAAACTTGGGAGGCCCCTCATTCCCCTCAATTGGCCATCTCTCACGATCGTCCGTATTGCGGCCCTCTTGATGGAAGGCTCAGTGCGATACTTGCTACATAGCACTCGGGAAACTTGCCGTCCATAGCTTCTGCTCACGTGCGTACCTTTAGTTCACCTACCACTCTTGGCTCTTTCTCCACTCCAACCTGAAGACGTTCCTCGATACCTAGCTAATCCCACATCGTGATCGACGCCGAATCGCGATCGGTGAGTCCGGCTTACTACTTTCTTGCGGTGCGGGTCGAGATTCTACATGGTTACTGGTCTCAAACCTAACACCCAGCCCCTGGCAGCTCGATCACGTGACATGCGACATATATCCTCACTCAGTCTTTACCGTGTATCTACTTTTCTGGGACAGGCCGGGGCGGAGGGCAGGGAAAGCCACATCGGGCCGCTCGATGCAAGTCGGATTGGACAGTGGCGTGGAAACGGGGGGTTGAACGGGGTGATAGTGCCATGATCTAGATAGGCCGCATGTAATTACTTGTAATTACTGATCAAACAAAAACAGAAATGAATATATCTGCTGCACGAAAGGACCCTTGTGTGGTTGCCATAGTCTGTACAGGCCGTATGCAATTAAAAAACTGAACTGCTCTCTCTGAATATATCTGCTGTACCGGAGTGTGCACCATCACTAGAGTCGCCCCTTAAAACTTGGTGTGCTCACTGAAGTTGACTGCTGGTATGTGTGGAGGAGGGCCTCCAGTGACCAAGGTCGGATGGCCCACGATGTTCCCGCTGAAGTGCTGGTGCTTGCACATCGCTGCCGGCTTCTCTAAAGTAAAACAAAGTGGTGGCTTGTGCTACCACGTCTGGGACCTTTTGAGCAAACAACCACAACAACCAGCTAACCTCCTCCTCGCTGCAACACAGCTTTTCTTTCTTCTCAACCTTCCATCAAACGTCCATCTCACTCCTTTCAATCTTTCTTTTTCTTTCCTCGCGACCACTAAAACTACCGCCCATCACCACTTTCCCGCAGAAGTCTCTCTCTTGCCCTTCCCTGCCCCCATATCCATCTCAATCAACAGCAAAGTCAACAATCTCCGTCATACCTCCCACCTTACCGCACGCCATGGCCACCCAAGCTTACAGGGCCTCAATGCCGCAGGCTCCTCGCAAGTACGCTGTTCACGAGCTGCTCGCCATGAGGTTGACCCTGCCGTTCGTCTCATGTCCTCTCCACAAGTTCACCAAAGATGCCTGGGCGTACGGCATCATCAAGACGCACTTTGCCAATCAACCGAACGTACGAAATCCTTCCTTCTAGCACCATCATGCTTCCTTTCATCCCTTCTCCAAGATTATACTAGGTACTGACCTTAATAGACGGCCCGTTGGACCCCTCCGACTGAACTTGATCAGGAACGTCCTGAGCAGCACAAGCACCAGCCAGGAGGATACCTAGGTGGTGGAGGAGTGCGTAGTTCGCCTACGCCAGTTAAGACCGGTGAAACTGGCGGAGCGAGAGGAAGGGGAGGAGGACATGGCCATGTTGCACCTTCGGGATTGCCGTCCATCGAAACCCCGCAGATGCATCAGCAGCCCACCCTTCCTTATTCCGCTCCGGAATACAGGTCGGAATACAAGCGTCATTTGTCTTCCCCTATGGCGACGACGCACACTCCTATGACTCCCATGCAGAGCCATATGGCACCGATGCAGTCTGCAAGGACGAGCATAGGCGACCGAATCTCACCAGACTTCGAGCCGATGATGGGTAGCATGGATCCACTCCGTCAGGGAATCCTTCACAACATCGCCAGGTTCTACCCACACCTCGCTGAAATATATGCGACTAGCTATCGTCAACTTCAATCGGCTACGCCGTCCCTAACCGCGCAAAATTTTCAGGCTCAGCAGCTCCTCGCAGCTCAGCAGCTCCAGGCCGCGCACCATTATCAGTCGCTCCAGTCGTCCGCGTTGTATTCCGGTTTTTCCCCATCCCAACCGGCAATGCCGACCTTTGAACAGAGGCTGGCGAGCATGTCTTTGGAATCCCCGATTTCGCAGCGCCGCATTAATCCTGTTGATCTTTCTGGTGGTTATCCAGCTGTCACGATTGGTGCTACCGGTTATGCTCGTGGACTCTCACAAGGATTTGTTCCAGGAGGAACTCTCAAGACCGTCCCCATGACTGCCTTGACCCCGACCCTGGAGATAGACGAGCCGAAGTGGGATGCTTCTACTGCTCCAGCTAGACCTCAGTTCGACCCTAGCGGACAGAAGTCTGGAGGCAGACGCGGCTTCAAAGGTCAGGCCGACACCAGCGAGCTCTTCCCACAGCCGACGCCCAAGAACACTGGATCTCGCGGTACCGGCAGGCAGTACGAGCAGTTTAACCCCAAAAATACCGGACCAGGTGGTACTAGCAATGGCCGTCCCGAACAAAAACACAACACTCAACCCAACACTCCGCTCTCTCAAGATAAGGCCAACATCCAGGGTGCGCCAGCTACCGACAAAGGGAAGGCCAGGGAAGTCATTCCTGACGTCGCCGAAGAGATCTTGGTTCCGCCCCCTGCTATGCTTGGGTATTTATCCCCCTTTCGCCGAAAGCTGCGTTTACTGACCGTCATTCAGCGCTAGTTCCGCCAGAGAGCACCAGCTCGCATTCATCCAGGTTTGAAATAGATCCCTATTATGGTGGGCTGGACTGACTGAGACCATTAGTTTATGAAAATGAAGAGCACTGCGAGGTCCAAGCATCAGCAGCAGCTGAAGGAGAACATGAATGCCACTTCCGCCGGCGGTTCCGACATGAGCTCGCATAGTGGTTACGGCTCTGGTTCTGCTGGGACTGTGTACTAAGTGCAAGCTTGGTGGCGACTCCAAAGTTTGAAGGTTCCTGTTGTTCCGTTGGTGTCTTCATTGTTTTCTGTCCTTTTGTTACGATTGACGCAAGGGGGGTAGGGAGTGGATTTTTTTGTTCGCGGGGATACCTGCAACTGTTGAAATACTCATGCCCTAGTACTGTCGGTGCCTTTGGCTGGGGGTTCGGGGGTGTAGAGATGATTCGATGGTTTGTTTCTTTGCGTTGGGGGTTCTCGGCAGAGAGCAGGGGGCAGCTTTTGTTCTAGCCTTCTACCGAGTGATCGCAATTGCTTTTCTTCATTGTTAACGTGGAAAAATGTACAATAGATACCACGACGTACATGCACTCATCTTCACTTCACTCCACTTGACAAAACAAAACAATTGGTCGTCCGATTCGGATTAAACTCAAATTAACTGGAATTGAAATCTAAATGTGTATATATGATCAAAAATGTCCCTCGCATTCAAACCGACTTCCAGCACGGAGGAAATCTTAGGGGCCGGTCTGCAACGCGATGGTATATGTGGATCTTTATCCGCCAATTGTTTACCTCCGACAACCATAGCTCACGAAAAGAATCGTGTGATTGCCGTGGTGATATTATTGGCGTTGAAAAGGGAAGTAATGGGAGAAGGGGGGATAAGGGGAAGAGTGGAGGGTTGCGCATGTGCTGAACGAGCTGGGAGATATCGATCTTGGATGAGGTATGGTTTGCTGAACTGGTAGGGTCGTTTGTTGATATGGAATGATAACATCCTCGTGTACACCGAATAGTCGTCTCGCCCAGCAGTGGTGAAGGCAGTGGTCCTGGTAATTAACATCCAACTCTACCATCACTGAAATCACACCGTTTCATCAGAGCACATCCGTTAATCCCGAAAAAAACCCAAACCTGAGTATATATCTCTATACTCAGCCCGCAAAACAACTCCGAAACCCCAATGTGCCGTGATGATGAGACGCAAATTATTTTTTTGCTTTCATACACCGGCGTGAGAGAAAGACAGCAGAAAACGTAGCCAACCCCTAATACCCAAACTAAAACTAGCGGTATGAAGCACCCTTTCTATTTTCCCACTGCTAGCCACGCCGCCTACCGCCGCTCATTTTGTCGTTTAAGCAGTGGTCTCGGTACCCTTGCCGCCCTTCCGCGTCAGGATAGCCTCACGGTCCTTGTCGAGCTTCAGCTTGGTGATGATGACCTTGCTCGGTGAAATGCCGACGGGAACCGACTGGCCGTTGACCTTCTCGCGGGTCACACGCTCGACGTGCACGACGTACTTGAGACGGTAGACCGATGTGACCTTGCCCTCACGACCCTTGAGAGATCCACGAGTGATGATAACCTCGTCGTCCTTGCGGATGGGGATGGAGCGGACCTGGAGAGCAGCCGGATGCGTTAGGGACGATTGCGCTTCGAAGTGTACGGAGTAGACGGGGTGAAGAATAAGGAGAAAGGGTAGGTACTCCGTGCTTCTCACGCAGCTCCTTGGACAAAGGGGCCGACATGATGGTTCTGCGGACCGACGAAGGGGCCGAGAAGTGAGCCTTACGCGACTTTCTGCGCGAAGAGGCGAGTCCTGATGCGAAAACACAGCTCCATCAGCATTTCCGTCTTTTTAAAGCTTTGCGTTCCCGCTCTTTGCACCCCAGCGCTCCATCTCTCCTCCGCGCTATTTGCCCTCGCTGCTCAATTCCACCACCGCAAAGAACCCAATCCTCCAAAGTAGCAGAATTTTGGTAACACACCGTTGTTGAGCTTAACCATTGCGTCGTTCGGTGGTCGGTCGTTCGGGGGAGGTTGCTGGGGTCTTCGGGGGGGTCGCGGAGTTGGCGTTGCGGCGTTGCGGGTGTTGATTTTTCGTGAAATTGGAATGTGCTCTGTGGGGCGAAGCATGCGCCAGGCGGGTGACTACTGCGCACAACAAGCTTGGATTTGTGCGGGCGAGGGTTACAGACCCTAATCTCCTGCAGTTATGTAACGAGCTAAAGTGAAGGGTACCCTAGCAGCCATATTAGGTTAGCTGAGAAGGTTCCCGCCGAGCCTCATCGCGCTACTGCGCTTTTGCTCGTGACCTTGGGATGAGAGCTCCGCCCACGTTTGTTTATCATATTTGCAGCTACCTTTTCACCAGTGTGCTTCAACGACTGCATATTTCACGTCAATAATCAGATAAAGCAAACACCCACGAACCAAAGCCAACAGATCAAATCTACGGTACTTCCCAGTAAGACATGTACGTATATTTTACTCCCGTGATTGGTGAAATTGTGCTGGGTTTATCTGGGTTGCATAAGCATGGCGGCAACAGAGTCGCGTACCGCTCATAGCTTTAACGAATAATGTCGATCGCACGCTGATTCCACGCTGATTCCGCCGCTACAGAACACCCTCAACTCCGTTCGGTTTGCTTCCCGTCTACCCCCGAACGTAGTGCGCACGCGCGCTTGTCGTCGGGAGTGAGCAGAAATGTCTTTAGACAGCGACTTTTCCTACGACGCGTCGGCGCAAAATCTCAATCCTCGGCGTGCACCTGTTCCCTCTGGAGACCGGCCTCCGTATCCGCTACAGCAGTATGTGAGGCCGGAAATCACTCGACAAACTGGGAAATGGGGTTACAACGGTACTCCTTATCCGACTATGCAGGGATATCAAAGCCCAAACTTCGGCGGAGGTGTTGGTGTCGGCGATGCGACTGACCGTCATGGGCCGGGCACGGTGGATTATGGGCAGAGATACCCGGTGGCCCAAGAAGACTACCCCAACGTAGCTACTGTGAGTGAAAGCCCCGATTCACAGCACGCGGGAAGCCGTGCTGACCTTCGTAGCAGCAACACCAGCCTCAAAAGTACGAGCAGCAGCAAACCTACCGTCCGCAACAGACAAGTCACGCACAGCAGTACTACACACAGGGACAGCCCGTCTCTACGTACACGGCCCCGACGTACACGGCCCAGGCCCTGCCTCCACAAACCTCGTCGGCCTACATGACTCCCGCGTACACGGCTTCTGCCCCGGCTACCCAAACGTCAGAGTACTACAAGCCGTCGCCTCCACAGAGGGCACAATCGCTAGCCCGCCAGCCAAGTGTGGACAGTTTCGGGGGACAGCCCCCAGCACAGCAGAGGACGAATGTTGGGCAAGGGTTTCAGCAAACTTCGGGCGTGGACCAGAGTTATCAGTACCCTAGTCGGATCCAACCTTCAGCGCTGGCATCTTCGTCGCAACAGTCCACCGTATTTCCACAGGCATCTGCGGGACATGCCCAAGGTGCTCGGTCAACGGCTCAGTTGGCACTGTTGGAACACAATCGGCAGGAACAACTCAAACTCTTCCAACAGCAGTCGCAGAGGGACCAACAGTTGCAGGAGGAGAGGGAGCAGCAGTTATGGAGAGAGAAACAACAGAGGGAGCAGCAGCAGAGAGAGCGGCAGCAGAGAGACCAACAGCAGAGAGACCAACAGCAGAGAGACCAACAGCTGAGAGAGCAGCAACAGAGAGAGCAGCAGCGGAAAGAGCAGCAGCGGAAAAAGCAGCAGCTGAGAGAGCAGCAACAGAGGGAGCAACAGCTGAGAGACCAACAGCCGAGAGACCAACAGCTGAGAGACCAACAGCTGAGAGACCAACAGCTGAGAGACCAACAGCTGAGAGACCAACAGCTGAGAGAGAAGCAACAGAGGGAGCAGCAGCTGAGAGACCAACAACTACAGCGAGAGCAGCAGCTACAGAGAGAGAAAGAATGGGCGATTGAAAAAGCCCGGCACCAAGCCTCGATTGTGCAACCTCCCACCTCTTTGCCTCCTCCGATTATACCTGTCCCTCCGGCAGAGCAGGGACAAGCGAAGTCGCCGACGCCGGTGCTGCGCTCGAAGAGCGTGCCCGTACCACCGATGGTTAAGAAGCCTCAGAAGCCTCAGCCACGGCTATATCTCCCCGAGCCAGCTAAGCCTCGCGTTACTCCCGGACCGGTCGTGCCTGCTTTCGGTACTTCACAAGCTCCTCAATCTATCCAGGCTTCTCAAGTTTCTCAGGCTCACGGAGCTCCTCAAGCTCCTCGGAGTCATCTTGCTCCCCAAGCGACTCATGTGCCTCAGGCTCCTCAGGCTAAGGCCCCCCGTACTGCTGGTGCTCCTCAAGCTCTCCAACCCCCTCGGACCCCTCCGACTGCTCAATCTCATCCAGCTCCCCAAACCTCTCAAGACCGCCCGGTATCCCAAGCTCCCAAGGCTCCTCAGGCTGCTCGGAGTCATCCGACCCACCAAACGACTCAGGTGGTTCCGGCCCCTCCGCCTGTTCAAGCCGCAGCTATCCCAGTTTCCGAGAAGCAGCAGCAGCCCCAGCAACCAGTGATCGTGACAGGCTCGTTGCCAGTGACAGGCGCTGCTGTTAGTGGAGTGCCTAAACAGGAACTAGATGTTCACGGATATCTTGCTATGCTCAGGACGAGTGACCCTACTCTCTATAACTCAATTATTTCGGATGCCCTGAGGAATCAGTCACCACTCATTGAGACGCTACAAACCTTACAATTGCCTGTATCCACTCCCGTTGCACAGCCTGCTACCCCTAACCAGGCCGAAGCTCTGCAACTTGCCCCACAACAGCAACAGCAGCTTCAGCCTGTGCCTTCTCCCGCTGGGAAAATTGCTACTTCACACCAGCCACAACCTCCGCGACAGGTTCCGCGACAGGTTCCGCAACAGGCTCCACAACAGGCCCCGCAAAAGGCCCCGCAAAAGGCTCCGCAACAGGCTCCGCAACAGGCTCCGCAACAGGCTCCGCAACAAGCTCCGCAACAGGTTCCTCCGCAACAGGCTCTTCCGCTGCAGCAGGTTCCGTGGGCATCACAACCGCCACAGATATCGCATTTGCGACCAGCTCAACCTTTGCAGCAGTCTCGGATTTCCGCCCCTGCGATCGGTGGTTCTGTTTGCCAGCCTTCTGCTCCAGGTCAAACGCTCCAGGCACCACATGGAGTCACAACGCCATCGCAGAAGCGGCCACTGCCGGTCGCGGACATTGAGGTGCTCGCAGCAGCGGCATGTGCATTCCATCTGACCAAAGGGGTATCCGTTCTAGTCGAGACGATCAAGCAGTTGCTTCGGGACGCCAACGATTTCGACATCATGTGTGCATACTTCGACACTCTAGGGCACTTGTACGATAGAGGTGAGTTGGCTCGGTACATGATAGCTTCTTTGGAGCAGGCTAAAAATGGAGGCTACACTCCGCCGGTTCCACCTCCCCGGGCGATATATCAGCAAGCCCCGTACGGGACACCTCCGCAACCTGCTCCAATAGTGCAGATAGATCAACTCCGGGGTCCAGGACATGCCGGAGATACCCCGAGCGGTGTTCGGAGCGGGAGGAGGGCTCAAGGAAGCTCGACAGTCGTAGTCACACCTCCATCAGGACCCGCGCAGATAAATTCTACGGCAGCCCAGCTGAAATGGGTAGTGCCTGCTGCGAATCCGAAACTAGAAGTGCACGTTGCACGTCATCCGCTATATGACTATTCCTCCGTTGCTCCCCCACGTCCGGCACCTGTATCAGTGCCATCACCATTGACATCAACAACAGCAATAACAGCAATGTCAGCACCACCCGAAAACATCGTGGTTCTCGACGACTCTCCCCCTCCGCCAGCAGCGGCCGAATATTTGGCCCCGCCGGAGATGGCTTGCATGGATATCGACAATCACTCTCCCAGTAACGGTGGCGGCCAAGTGCACACTGATGGTATCACACTCTCCGGACTAGGAACGGAGACCCCCCCAAGCATCGTCCCAGCTTTAAGCGGAGGAGGCCCTTCGCTGCGCGATCCAAACGCACAACATATTGGTTCGATGCAGTGGCCGCAGTTCAATCAGCCACTAGCCAAGGTGATCTCCAGAAAGAAAGCTGCAAGGGTGTCCAAATACGATCCAGCCACCATCGCGCGCGACATCCTGATAGCCGCACGCAGGCATCCAACCGAGCGTGGACTCAACGACCATCTGCTGCCTCTCAAGGAGAACTTAGGCCTCGATTGGAGCTGCGATCTCTCCACCATCAGATGGGATCTCGTCGACCCAAACCCTATTCTTCTCGATGCTGCCGATGGAGAAGTTGAGATGGATGGTGCGCCTATTGCGTTGTCGACACCAGTCATCTCTAAGAAGCGAGCTCGCAACCATGCTCGTAGATCTGCACCGGGAGGCCAAGCTTCGGAAGTTGCCGCTACACCAAAAGTCCGTGGCATCAAAAATGCGGCTCCTGTACCACATAGCGCGCCGTCATACCGCGCTTCTTCGCGTCGTGCAACCAACTTTGAAACGCAACCCATCTTCATCGACTCATGTCCAGAGTCCTCAACTTCGCCGATGACCTCAGAACAGCCAGCCAAGCGACGCCGAACGCAGGACACAGCGAGCTCTTTCACTCCGTCGAATTCCCGCGCTCGCAAATTCAAGCGATTCGGCTGCAAATGGAAGGACTGTGCTGCGGAACTCCACAATATCGACAATCTCAAGCGCCACCTCTTGACTCATAAGCAGGGCAGTTTTGACAGGGACCGGTTCACGTGCAACTGGCTCGGATGCGCTCGGCCACTTACAAAGAAGCAGAAAGCGATGGCCGGCGAACACCCACCGATATTGTTCGAGTTTGCAAGCGAGCAGGAATGGGCAGCCCACCTCGACGTTCATACCGATGCTGTTATGCAGAGTTTCGGAATGGGACCAGCAGTATTACTGTCAGGTTCGCTCCCTCTCCCTCTCCCTCTCCCTCTCCCGAACACAGAGCCGAACTAACAGAGAGAAGACCCGGAATCGGGTGTCTCGGATGTCGACTACCTCTCCGACCACGCCGGCAATCAGATCACGCCAATCGCTTCGGCCTCGACACCGCTCCACAAATTCTTGCCGCCGCCTGGATTCCCAATGACGAAGCTTTTCAAAATTGCCCATGGAATCAACTCGCCGAAAACTGCGCGTGTGACGAAGGCGCAGCGCCAGCTGTGCGATCGCTATGGCACGCTGGGTGCTGGCACGTTAGGAGGCCAGATTGGCGATCTGCTGGATACCGACTGGCAGGCTCTACTCAACGACACGCACATGCGAATCGTCAAAAGTCCTTTCCAGAAGCCATCTTAGCACAGCCGTCATGATTGCACAATGGAGATTTTTTAGGCGTTTGTCTTGGGGCGAAGTATTTGCTCGCTCCTCCGTTTTCTTCATTTGCTAGAGGCTACCATGTACTGTTGCGTTCTCTATATCCCGGGTTTGAAGATTCAAGTGCTTTTACCTTCAAATTTTGCATTCTTACTGTGCTCTGTATTCTGTGCTCGATTCTTTGTTAAATGGCGTTGATTGATTTCTTGTATTTCCACCAATCTTAGTGCATAGAGTGAGGTAGATACTTTCAAAAGGGGGGAGAGGGTCTCCCAAATGAGAACGGTTGCACTCTGCTGTTGCATTGCTTGATCCCGGCTATCACTTCCTAACCAGAGCCCAAGCACCCCCCTCAATCACAACAACCACAACATATTCATCAAGACACTGTACCCATCGATCCATCCTCCATTCTGCGCCGAGTACCTACAGTGCTGAGGGTGTTTGGTAGCTGGCTGGATGAGCACTCTCCCTTGTCGTCCACCTTCCCAGGAGAATCCCAAAAGAATCGACGTTGTGGACCGGTCTCTATTGTGTTTTATTATTATCACCTCGGGCTTCCATGACACATTCGTCTTCTGCCGCCATGTTCTCCCGAGTGGCAACGGTACGCCCTCCGTCTCATGGCATGGCGGATGCAGGTTGTTGTTGAAGCTGACGAAAACATGCACTGCAGCTCAAGAACCATCTCAAGCGGCACAGTCAGAAGCTAACTTCCGTAAAATTCGATGTTTGTCCGAAATGCGGGTATAACAGCACTGACGCCGATAACCCGACCTCTCTCCCGGGCGGAATCAATCCGAGTATCCTCCTCGACAGCTCACCATCGCCGCAGATGCTACTCTCAGAGGGCAATGTCGTCATCTACGCCAACAAATGCGCTGCGAGAGTCCTGAGGGTCAGGCAATTGGATGACCTCGGAGAGGAAGAGTCAAATGTTGCGGTGGGCGGAGAGGAGCACTGGATTCCCCCGGAGTATGATGTGCAGCGGGATGAGAACTTGGATGAGGAGGGCTTTGAGAAGCCTCTCGCCACGGGTCTGGAAGGACACACCCTTGACCAGTTGAATATTCTACTCGCGGACCCGGGCATACGGCAGTGGGTCTCCCTTATCCAGGTCTTTGAGAATATCAAGATCAGACTCCAAAAGCAAGAGGCGTGGAAGAACGGGACGGACGCTGCTGAGAGGGCGGAGATGTATGGAGAGGGCCCCAAGTACAACAGCTACGACTACTACGGTGAACAGGAGCAGTTAAAGCGGGGAGACGGTCTTCATTCGGATCTTGCCACGAGAGACACGGCTCCGGTTTGCATTGAACGAGATGATGGCAAGGAGATTCCTGCTACGATGTTCGTTGCGCTTGTTGATCCGTTCCACACCGGTTATTGCTACAGTACGGTGACGTTCATTCCAGGACTTCTGGATGAAGATGCTACATTTACTACACAGACGGCTACCGAGGACAAGCACCGACGCCGGAAGCGCGACATGTTGAGGAGAAAACAGCACCATCATGCCGACGAAGAGAAAGAGCTCGTCGATCCCGCCAACCCATTGGCAGACTGTGCCGTAGGCCAGTCAGGGTTGAACATGATGCAGCGAGTAGCACACATCAAAGACAGGATCCTAGACCAGATGGATTATTGCTTTATTGCTTTGTCTCCGGATGGTGACATCGTGATCACGAATGCTGCAACCAAGGCGGTTCTGGGTCAAGAGACTTTACAGGCGAGCATAGGGTAGGAACCACCAGCCGGGGCATGGGAGAGATACGCTGACGATATTTGTGCAGTGAGGGGTTTGAATGGATCGCTCGTCTTGATATTTGGCGACCAGATTTTTCGGAGCGGCTGCCTTTTGAAGAATGGGCTCTCAACAAACTCATCACCCACCGACAGCCATTAACTCAGGTTATCGGCTTGTATGCGGGAACGATACCATTGGTAGTTGAATTGAGAGGGAAATGTTTGTACGAGAACCCAGAGAAGGAAGAGGGATTACTTGCGGCTTTGGCGATCGTCGTGGATCAGACTCAATGGTTCTGTTAACCTGGCTGAAATATTTGAAATATGAGTGTTTAGACTAACTTCAACAGGTTCTCAAAGGAGAAGCAGATGACAGACGTCCAGACCAGACAGGAGATGTTCATCTCCACCATCTCAAGGGAGCTCAAAACGTGGTACCCCAATCCTCCAGTACATTGGTACCGGTGTATACTGATGGCTGCATTAGACCCGTGGCCGGAATCATAGGGTTGCTGGAGCTTTTGTATGGCACAAGAGACAAGCTGAACGAGGAGCAAGTGAATTATATCCGTCAAATTTTCGGCTCACTCAATTCTCTCTGTAAATATCACGTTCTCCCATCCATAGCCATAATTAATGACTCGTTTAGTGCTCGTACTCCAGGACATCATCGACTTCAACAAGATTACCGCCGGCGAGGTTGTCATCGACCGGCGAACTTTCATCCTGCAGGATCTTGTGGAAGAGCTGGAGACATTGTTTTCGGAGAGCATGGCTAAAGACGGGATCCGTTTCGAAGTCGACACATCGGGAATCGACAAGAGTGCTTTTGGCGATGGTTCACGCTTAATGCTGGTGGGCGATGACAGCAAGATCCGGCGAATTGCTGTCAACATGTTGTCCAACGTCAGCCGTCTTCTCCCGAGAGATAATGTGTGATCATTTCTGACGTGTGATCAAGGCCTTCAAATTTACGGTCGAGGGAGAAGTGAGACTGAAGGTTTTCACTCAAAAAGTCATGAGAAATTCGCTGGAGGTCAAGTTTGAGATCCAGGTAAGGGCCATGTATAGGCGTTTGGGTGGTATTTCTGACAGATTTTTCTAGGACACTGGCCTTGGAATCTCCGACGAAGACCGACAGACGCTTTTTGCACCTTTAGACAAGACTTCTGCACAGGACTCAAAGACGATTGGAGTAGACGGCATTGGATTGAACATTGCTCGGAAGGTTAGTGAGATTTACGCAGATGCTTACCCAAGCGGCTAACACTGCGCCATTCAGTTCGTTTCTCTGCTGGCTGGTGACATTGGGTGCATGTCCATCCTCGATAGAGGTACCACGTTCTGGTTCACAGTACCATGCGGTCGACCATCTCCCGAATCGGAGGTCGTATTTGGTCCAAAGGAGAAGACACTCTCGAAAACTCTTGGCATCGTCATTCACAGCAAAGACCTGGAAGACGAAGAAAATAAGATGGCATCCGAGTTCGCCAAGATCCACATTGAGGGCACTGTAGTGCTATTAGTTGAAGACAATTGGGCTCATCAGGTGGTCATGGGGAAACGGCTGGAGTCGATGGGATGCGAGGTGGTTAAGGCTCTGAACGGTCGAGATGCCATCAGTATCCTCAAGAAGAAGGATACCCATGTGGACCTCATCTTCATGGACATACAGATGCCGTTGCTAGTCAGTCAAAACCCAGTGCTATTTATTCTTCGCCACATGATAGCTGACATAATAAATAGAACGGATTCGAGGCAACGAAGTTCATCAGGACGGACCCAGAAATGGTACGGTGGAAGAACCTTCCCATTATTGGAGTGACTGCGACAGAAGAGCTAGGAGATCGTGAAAAGGCCAAAGAGTATGGCCTGACCGACTTTACGGTCAAGCCACTCAATAATGAGATAACCAGAAAGTTCATCGAGGAAATTATGGATCCTGTCGCTGTGGTGAAGCGGAGAGGGACCGTTGGAGGAGCGTCTTTGGGGCCATTGGGGTAGGGCCTGAGTAAGAGTAGTGTATGGCATTTGCACAAGTACACGCCGAAGCCGTATGAAGTCGAAAAGAAAGAGACTTCGCTTTACGCATTTAAATTTTGAAGTCACTGGATCACTGGACTTCGTAATAATTATGATGTAGTCTGTGACGGCAATACAATTCCCGCTAGTCAGAGCCACTACGCAGATGCTATTACGCAAGCGACTACCAAGCATGAGGCTCTTGGTTTACTTATGACCTCACCGGAACAAGCCCTCCAGACTCCAGAGTCCAGTTCCACATCTTCTACATACACCACCTATTCCCTCCATTTACTGCCTCCCGCTTGCCCGTCAGCAATCAAGAATATCCACGGAGTCGCTGAGGAAAGCCTGTATTGCCTGCATTGCAGAGATAATTCTGGAAACTGGATCCCCGCAGTTTTCGCCAACGGCTGCGCCAGTCGCTCTCTTATATTCGCCGCCGCCACACTCAGCCCCGGGTCCACCTCCGAACCCGAATCTACGCTCTCCTTTCCCTTGCAACCCGACTCCGACTATCCCGCCGAATAAGTCTCCTCCAGCCTTTCAACAAAGAAGCCCGTGTCCAGCGGCATGCGAACGGCTCCGTCACCCAACGCGTCAGCCTAAGATCCCGTTCGGCTCGGCGCAGCTTCAAAGACAACACCATGAGCTATAACAACTACGGAGAAGCACCGCAGCAGCAGCAGCAGAGCTGGGGGGGGTACGTAAGGGCTGCTGCGCGGTATGCGACATCTACAGCGTCGAGCACGACGGCGGACGGACAACCGAGGGAGCCCGGCGCGAGACGGAGGAAGCTGATACAGGCCGCCAGCGAGCTCAAGCAGAGCTACTATGCCGGATATAGGTCCAACAATGTGTCTGGGGAGAACCTGCCGGAGACGGGAGTGGTAACGGCGGATAATATGGAGCTATGGTTGTTTCCGAGTTATGCCCGTGAGCTGTCGGGGGAGGAGCGGAGACGGAAAGATGTCAATGAAGAACCCGCGTTCGCGAATTACGATGAGTTCTACCATGGCGACCTCGATTACGGCGAGGAGGATAACGTCTGCGAGGTCGATGTGAGAGGCTGGCTCTTTGCGTCACGGTCAGGGCCGCTGGGGAGGAAGGACAGGTGGCAGATGAGTGTTGTGAGATGGATGTGCGGATTGTCGTCGCAGGCACCTAGTCAGTCCGAAGACAGTGATGGACCACCTCTGCAATCATCCAGTGCGTCAATCCGCTCAGAAGCTGGGTCTGAAGGCGGCGGTAGCTGGAGAAGTGCATTGTGGCGAAGCAATCCAGCTCAGGAGCCGCAGCCTACCATGACTCCCGCAGAACTACGAGCTGCCAACCTTGCGTTTGACGAAAGACTTGCGCCGTTCACTCATCAGGCGATTCCCAGGACCCCAGTTACCATTATCTTCTACAATAACACCAACAATACCCAGGCTCACGAACACACACTATACACCTCTGAGAATGGTCACTTTAGCGTCAGGGAGCGGTTGTCTTTCGTGCCGACCCACGCCGTTGTCCGTGTGTTAGCGTCACAAACATTGTCTATCACTGAAGAGGTCAAGATGCATTCCGCCGAAGGCATCTCGCTAATCTCGGACATCGATGACACGGTCAAACACTCCGGGATTGGAATTGGCCCACGTGAGATGGCAAGAGCAGCATTCACGATGCCGGTGCGCGATGTCATGGTTCCAGGTGTGGGTGATTGGTACAAGACGCTCGCTTCACCGCCTTACAACGTTTCGGTTCATTACATCTCGAATTCTCCGTGGCAGTTGTACCCTGTGCTTAGGTCCTTCTTCAGCGAGGCCGGACTTCCGCCAGGGTCTTTCCACCTCAAACATTACAACGGTATGTTTCAGGGTGTTTTCGAGCCTGCTGCGGACCGCAAGAGAGGGACAGTAGAGCGCGTCATGTTGGATTTTCCTAGTCGGAAGTGGTTGCTTGTAGGAGATTCGGGCGAGGCGGATCTGGAAGTGTATACGGAGATGGCGGAACGATGGCCGGACAGGGTTATAGCCGTCTGCATCCGAGACGTCACGTCGCATCTCACACGAGACTATTCGGTCTTTGCCGGAGAACCCACCCAACCGGGATCCAATCTCATGAGCTTCGACGGCAATAATAGCAGCGGGACATTGCAGCGGCCTTCTCCTCTACGGGACGACTGGGCTGAAGATGAATCCCCCCTTCCGAATCCACGGCCGATCCCACGACCATCTCCTCATAGGAACGACGCATCGACTTGCTCTTCAAACTCTAGTACATCAACGTTGAGCATCCGCAATAGCACGCCTCCTTCACGGCCCGAAAAACCACCAAGTCTCCGCAGTCCTCCGGTTCCAAAGAAGCCCACGGCACTCCAGCAACACCATTCCACTCCGAATGCAATTCTGCAATCGGCGCAAGATGCACAGGCAACTTCCAGTCGCGGCACGGTTCCCCCACCACCGCCACCACCCCGTCGCTCCACCATATCGGCCGAACCATTGCCGCCGCCGCTACCACCACGTCGGGACACCTCCCATGACGTCAGGGCCGGCTTACCACTACGAAGAGTCATCACGGCGAACCCAGCACTGGAGGAAGTACGAACCGCAGCACCCCCTCGGCTCCAGCACCGGGTCGCAACCGCCACGGGGATTAGCGCTGGTACAGACCTTCCGCAGCTCACAAAACGTCAGATCGAATGGGAGAGGCGGTGGGCAGTCGCCAGGGAAAGACTGGATCGCATCAACGTCCGCCTGCTGTACTGGCGCGTTGGCACGGATCTGAAGGATATTACCGTCGGTTTGGTGGAGAAGGAACTGCGCGGTACTGTAGGGAGAAAGGAGTAGGTATTGGGTGGACACGAATACTATACTCTACGCTTGTAAACTTTTTTGACGACGTTATGCTCCTTTATCCTGTTTGTTGGCGTTGTGATGTTTTGATATGCTTGCAGTGGGGCTAGGGTTATAGCTTCTTGTTATATGGCGCTGTGGCTGGCTGGCTTGATGATTGATTTGGTTTTGCATGTGTTGTATACCTCAGTACCTATTGGACAAGCAATGTTAGGAATATAGTAGGTATGTAATTGCGCGTTCACCATCTTTTTTTTTTTCTTCTCTCGGAAGCGGCATCTACCTACCTACCTGGTAGGTATCTAGTCCAGCGCTTTGGCACTTGGGACTCGTCAGGAAAGCTTGTATTAAGATACATATCGAGATCGTCATCTTCGGAACGGAGCCACTGCATGCACTGGCCCTAGCGCGGTGATGAGATTCTGATGAGATTTCGAGTGATGGAAGACGTCGACGGGCGTCCAAATTAGGCCACTGCATGCATTGACCCTGGAGCGGTGATGAGGGTGGAAAGACAGCTAGGGGGTAGGAGAGAAAGGAACCACGTTTACGATCTTTAGGTAGGTAGTCTATGTAGGTAGGTAGGCTGAAACAGTGAAACCGGGACCCGCTGAGTTTGTAGGTACATACCAGTACATAGAGTACCTTTTTCGGTAGGTCCCGTAACGTCAAAGGGGAAGGGAGAGGGGGGCAGAGGGGGAGGACAGCCCTCCTGTACTAGCCCAAGTATCCGAGCTTTTTCCTTCCATTACGTAGGTAGAGCGGAGAACCAATTTAGCGGGTGCTGTGCGGTGCAGAGTGATTACCGGCATGTATTTACTCTACATATGATACGTATACGAGGCTGCGGGACGACGGGATGCCGCAAGAGGCGGTGGTGGTTGTACTCTAGTTGTGGTGGTTGTGGTGGGTGAAGGACCCAGCGAACTGAGACCTGAGTGTGCGGATACCTCGCTTGGGCCATCGTGCTTTGCTTTTATCCGCCGATCGCCAAATTCCGGGTCTGCGCTCTAGTTACCGTATTCCACTACTATGTATGTAGGAGTTAGTGGGAAACGGGGGAGGGGGGCGAATCACGGCCCGCTTCCTTCCAGGCCGCCCATCCACTGCTGCTGCTGGTCCCGGTCCCGGTCCTGGCGACGCGTACGCGGTTTCAACAGGCGGCGTGCGGTATGTAGGCTGTAATGCTGTAGAATAGAAGGTACATAGAAGGTAGACATGTAGCACGGGTGTCACGGAACGGAAATGGAAGACTACTACATCATGTTTATTACTACAGTATACCTGGCAGGGTGCCTAACTACTCCAAAGGCTTATTTTCTCGTAAAGAACAGCGAAACAGCGAAACAGCGAAACAGCGAAACAGCTAACCACGGACGCCAATTATCCCCCCCCTATTATATCACAAAAAGAACCCGCACAGGTACAAGCGAGCAGGGGAAAAGAAAGAAGAAGATATGAAATTACAGTACACAGACAGCGAAGCCATCCAGCACATTTTCCGTAACAGATACGTACGCCGATAGCCTAGTTTAGTAGCTCGAGCAGCTTATGCCCGCCGCGACAGCGCCCATATCGATCCACGCTCCCTGAGCACACGTAGCCCACTTGGTTCCGTTCTCGAGGCACTTGGTCTCGCCATCGACCGTGCACGCTCCGAGGGCGCTGTACCGGACGATCTTGCCGTTGCTGCAGGTGGTGCCCGAAGCCACAGCGCCCATGGGGACCCATGCGTCGTGGTCGCAGACGCTGAAGCTGGCGCCGTCGTCGGAGCACAGCATCGTGTTGGGCGTGCATTTTCCGGAGGCACTGATGACAGTGGGTGTGGAGACATAGGTGGCGGTGCGGGTGACAGTGGGTGCTGGGGCGTACTCGGTGATCGGGGTGACGGCTGGGGAGGTGGTGATGGCAGTGGTGTAGGCGCGAGTACGGGTGGTCATGGTCGAGGGGGTGTAGATAACGGTGGAAGTAGGGGTGGCGAGGTCTGCGGTGGTTCTATCCTCCACAACCGTGGTCTGGTCCGCTGTCACGACTATCTCTGGGTCTTCCACTTTGGAGCTTTCCTCCGCGCTGGAAAGCGAAGACATAGTCGTCGCAGTTGACTCGGTTGACGTGACGGATTTGCTACTGATAACGACCTCGCTGCCAGAGTCGGCGGGACATCCAAGGACTTCAGTTGCGGCCGTGCCACGGAGGCTGGCAACACCGTATTCGACCTGCTCACCAGGGTTGGGGTAGACAACATCAACATTCTCGTCAACGAGACAAGTGTCGCTGAAGATGTTGGCTCGGAACATGGCTGGGAGGGACTCGAACGAGGTTTCGGAGGCCGCGTAGTCGTCATTCTCAATGTTGACCCGCGCACAGTTCATGTACATTTCCCTGTTTCCGGTCTTGTTGATCCAACTCCATGCGAAGAGGACGTCCTCGCCAGTGGGAACAGAGGTAGGAACGGTGAAGTCCCAGCTGGTCTGTACGGGGCAGTTGCCGATGATGCTCTTGATCACCTTGAAGCTGGCTCCGTTGTCGTAGCTTAGCGACAGCTGGCAAGAACCACCGTTGTGAGGCGCCGAGCCAACGAGTCTGCTCACTGGTTAGTTATCTCGGCACATGAGGAACTCGGGGAGGGGAAAGATATGAACATACTCAATCGAATACGTCTGTCCCGCTTTGTAAGTTGCGGTGACATGACCACCGGCGTGGTGGGCGTTCATGCACGGGTAGTCGGAGCCATCAATCGCCATCGGGCGCATCATGTCGTAGTCAACGGCCGAACCGGTGTTTGTGGTGTCGTACTTGCTGCCAATCGGAAAAGGAGTCTTGAGTTCCATGTGCGCCAGCGCATTAGAGGTGAAGAGCGCGACAGCGACGGCGAGGGTGAGGATGCTCTGCATTTTGATTGTAGTTGTTTGGTAGTTTCGGTAAGGAGGGTTGTAAAGAGATGTCGAGTGTTGAGCAAATGTGGTGAGGGAGTGTGGTTGGTAGTGACTGTAAAGGTCCAGACTTTAAGCCGCGATAGAGGGGGAGGGAAAGAGCAAGAGAGAAAGGCGGCGAACGAGTGAAGAAATAGAAGTGAATGTGGTGTTGGATTATCGTATATTGTTTGCCGCGGAATTTGAACGGGGAAGCTAGCTTCCTTATACTACGCCTACCTTACCCTTCCTCACTCTTAATCATCCCGGGCGTTTCATCCGAAAGGGTCAGATCGTTTAAAAAGGTAAGGGTGAAATAATCTAGACCCGTTCACTGAATGTCAATCGCATTGACATTCACCTCGGTGCACGCCGTATCCATGGTTCCCCCTGCATCGATATTACTATTACTGCACATGTATATCGCCCCACAGACGTATCCGTACAGCTGGGGTGTACGCAGTTGTAGATCCCGGAAGTGAGGGGGGACAGCAGGAGGAATTGAGTGATTGTTCCAGCGAGTGCGAGGTAGTGCAGGTAGGAAGCCCTAGCGGCCAAATGCAGGGACACAGCCACGCTAAGAGGGCGCTTGCGCTTCGGTCACTTACCCCATCGAGCGACAGGTACCCCCGTGGGCTAAAGTTGGCAGAATCTCAAACTTATGTCAGCCCGCTCTAGTTACCCGGTGCCTGTCACACTATAATAATCCGACTCTTCTTCCCCCTCATTCCCACTCCTCAGGTGTCCCCCCTCATCGAAGCTGCGTTTCTGTGCCACAAACCGACACTTCATCTACCCGATGCTCGTCGTCTCCGTCCCCTGCACATGAGAAATTCGGAGAAATCTTCAGTCACTACACCAGTCTTTGTGCTGGCTGCTCGCAAGGGCCTGGCGTGAATCACGTCTGCAACAGGCATCAGAAAACCAAGGGCCCTCTCTCAAAAAGAGGTCACCCTGTGGAAGTCTTTGCGAAGATTGTGGATGATGCCATCTTAGTGCAATACGCAGCGTGCTCTTGTTTCTTTCTCCTCCGGGAGAGAGGAATGGGGGCATAATTCGATTCCGATTACTCCGATGAGGGGGGCACCTCACTTTTTTCTTCTTCTTCAGGTCGGTCACTACCTCTTCCCGCTGTGAGGAGTTCTACTAATTTGAGGGGGCGGTGATGGGTAGCGAACGGTGTCGGGGGAAGGCGACGGGCGGTGGACGGGGATGAGTACGAGGTGGACGGCGGGGAGTACGAGGTGGAGGGAGAGGAGTACGAGGAGGGGTCATGGTGGTGTATATGGACAAGGTTATAGGAAGACTCAAATTGAGTGGGTTTATAGTAGGTAGGTTAAACATGCCCGGGGTTCAGAACTTCAGAAGTTACCGCCTCCAGATCTATCTTTGTCGATGCGTCATGGTTCATCGCCAGTGCCCACTGCCCACTGCCCACTGCCTGTCGTTCAAACCTCCGTCCTGAGACCTGTTGTCCCGAGTCCACGATCGCACTCAGCCCACTCAGCCCCGTCGTCAGCAAGCACGGATACCCGCCCCCTCCTACATACCCACCCCATGCCATAACCCACCCCATGCCATAACCCACGGCCCTTGGTTCGTGTTCAAGTAGCGGCGCCGTACACCCGTCGGTGCCGCTTCCGCCCGCTTCCGCGCTGGCGCCCGGTGCGCGCCTTGTGCCTGGACAGTGATCCATGAACCTTATAGTAGTTAAACGCGTGCGTCAACCTCTTCATCCCGGCGCAACGTCCGTGCCACAAAGGAAGAGTGGCGTGTCGGCGGTGGTGGATGAGCAACGGTGACGGGCGGGGTGGGATGGGCTACATATGTAATGGCTGCCGGCACTTTTTTTTCTTTCGTCGTCATGGGATGGTGCCAATATTGTGCCCGTTACTGTGCCTCCAGCTCGGGCCTCAAAGAATGACTGCAATCGATGAGGCATGGAAGTCTGACGAACGTGTTTGCAGTGAGGACCAAATTGTGCTTGAAACAAAACATCACATTGAAGGCAGGATGGCCGAGTTGGTTATGGCGCCAGGTTAAGGTCACCTTAATACAATCGTTCCGATTCCTGGTTCGGGAAACTGAGCGTGGGTTCAAGTCCCACTCCTGTCACGACTTCTTTTTTTCTCGCTCTTTTTATTTCCCATCACTTGGAGAGGCTTCATCCTTGCATTGATTTGATTTAATTTAATTCAATTCCCCCAGCGTCATGATCTACGGCAGCAGCGACGACCATCTCCGCCAATCCAAACCCCATCCGACATCTCGACAGCAAAGCGTTGATCGACAAAAACATGATAAAGAATATATACACCAGATTGACCCCTATCGCAGCAGTAGCACTCAAGGAATCGTCAGCAGTTATGATATCGTTGCCTTCAAAGTTCATCGGACGTCGTTTTGGGGGCACCAAGGTAGCTGAGAGCTCCTTTCATAGTCATAATGCTCATAACCTCGTAGAGGACATCTGCGGCCGCCATAGTGGTCAGCTCCGCGTTAGTATCGTACGCGGGCGCGACCTCGACGATATCGGCACCGATGAGGTTCACGTCCTTAAGGCCGCGGATGATAGTCCTGAGCTCTCTGGTGGACCAGCCGCCGGTCTCGGGTGTTCCGGTGGCGGGCGCAAACGCCGGGTCGAGAGTGTCGATGTCGATGGACATGTACACGGGATCCGTCGTGCCGACGCGGTCAACGATCTTCTTGATGATGCCGTTGATGCCGATCTCGTCGATGGCGCGCGCTTCGACGATCTCGAAGCCGACGTAGCCGTCGTTTTCGTAGTCGCTGGGCCCCGAGAGCGTCGTGCGGATCCCGGCGTGGATGTTGGTGTCGTTGCGGAGGAGTCCTTCCTTCGCCGCGTGGTAGAAGTATGTGCCGTGGTTGATGGCCGCGACCTTGGTGGGCGCTCCGCCGAAGACTTTCGGCTTCCACGTGTCCAGGTGCGAGTCGAAGTGGATTACGGTTACGGGACCGTAGACGCGGTTGATGGAGCGCAGGATGGGCAGGACGATCGTGTGGTCACCACCGAGGGTAATCTGGGGAAATTCCGGTCAGAGTTGCTTCGCTGGGTGTGCAAGCCGGTGGGAGGAGATTTACCACTCTGGGAAGGGTCTTTCCCTTGAGACTGGGACCGGGCTTTGAAGCATCGCTAGCAGGCTCACGCGAGATGAGAGAATGATGGCCTTCCTCGATCTGCTTGATTGCATACTCGTTGTCGTACCTATTCTCCATTAGCCCCCATCCATCCATCCATCACCCTTGCTTCAAGAGAGGGGAACTAACGAAGTAACCGGAATATCACCGCAGTCCAAAACTCTCGCCCAGGAGTTGAACGGATTCACCTCGAGTGGGACGTTATATCCTCCGCTAAAACCGACACGATGTGAGCCTTCCATACCACGCACCGGTATAAGCCAACATGTGTGTACAAGATGACCAACGTACTATAGATTGAGGCGGCGAGAACCTTGACGGATGCCGGAGGGCCCGAAGCGGGCGCCGGGACGGTACGAAGTGCCGGTGTCGAACGGCGCGCCAAGGAAGGCGATGTCGAACTTCTCCGCGTCCGAAGCCAGGCAGGGGAAGTAGGGGAGGCGGCCGAAAGTGGAGATGCCCGAGAAGACGGAGTCGGCCTGGCGGAATGGGGCGTTAATGGCCGTTATATATCACGGAAACGGACTGCGGGAAAATTTACCTGAGTTCCACCATCACCGGGAATGTTATTGTACCAGAAATGCTCTTTGTGCGGGCCCTGTGCGGCTAGGAACACGGAGGGGTCGCCGGCGTGTTCGTGGCCGAAAGCTGGGCCGGCCACGACAGTGGCCAGTAGGAGGAGGGTGGCGACCGAAAGCATTGCGTACGAGCGGCAGTCAATTGCAAAAGTACTCTGAAGAAGAAAGCCTTGAGTGCCGGCTATGCAATGGTGAATTGGAACTGTCGGTTGGGCTGCGCGGGGAAGGACCTTTTATCGTGGCCAGCTCATCATGATACGAGCTCACGGCAACACAACAAACTTGCTGGATGGACATGCAATTCGAAGGTACATGCTTCCTTCCCTGGCTCCTTCCCTGGATCCCCGCCTTGCTGTCTGCTGTTGTACATACTTGCTGCAAGATCAGCTCTGCACCGACATGATATTAGGTAAATTGTGGTGAAGCGCAGCCTTCGAGGAGGAGGAATGGGCGAGGAAGCGCCATCGAGTTAGGTAACAGCGCTGGGCAGCGACGCCATCGCGCCAGCCAGCCAACCATCAAGCGACCGGCCTCGTCCATATGGGGCTCGTACATGTGTAGAGTTCGACGGTGACGTTCGAAATCGATTGGCTCGTTCCCGTCCTGTTCCTCCAGCGGGCAGCGGCGGGCGTAGGCCAGCATCCCAAAGGTTTAGTCCAGCTATCTCCAGAGTTTACGTCTTGCTCCATCGCCTATCCGAAGTTCCCCACTGATCAGCCATGTGGACAGGGTCGAGTCCCGGGGGATCCAACCGAACTATATATCTTAGTGCTGGCTTGTTTAAGCATTCGATGTGTGGTTGCGGCAGCGCCGCCAGATCGGTAGCCCAAAAACGTGGCCGCTTTTAGTGTCCTTCCGACATCAACCCCACAGCCGCCGCGCGCCGCCGTGATACCGGACTCCGGGGACACGAGTGGTGGCTCACTGCCCCCCCCGTTGTATCGGACTAAATCGGGAGGGGGTGGGAGGGTGGGGCGTGTGTGGGGGGCAGGGGGACTCGGCCGGCGGTTATCTCACTACATATCGGAAAAGCAAATATCAGGTGGTACAGATGTCATCGACCGCTACTTCTAGACTCATGAGACATACATGCAGCCAATCTTTTCCTGCGAATTCCCCCGCGGATGCTGCAGAGTATGATGTGTGTAGGCAATGCGGGTACACCACAGCCAACTTCCAAGACTTCAAGTAAGTAAGTCGTACGTACTCTATGATGCGCACGATACATGTTATTCCTTTGTTATTCCTTCTTCCCTTCCTTCCTCCCTTGATTCCTTAAACCTTCTGCCGTCCCGTCCGCCTTTCCATGCTCCCGTAAATGCACTTACATAATTACCCGAATCGATTCGAGTGTATTTTTCCTTTCTTTCCTTTTCCTTTCCCCGTGCCATCGCAACTGCCCGATGGATGGATGGGATGGGATGGGATGTCTTTACGTTTTGCGAATCGTCAATCCCTCTTACTCTATTAATTTTCGCGGGCTATTGCAGGTGCACACTGCAAGGCGCAGGCCGGGAGCCTACCTACCTCCACATATAAATTATAGTATGTACTACACACAAGGTAAGTATCATAGAGTAGATGATATGCCCGTGGGGGTGCCTTGATCGGGAGCTTTTTTTCCTCCTGCATGTAGGCTGTAGATAAGTTTTTTCAAAGCGGCGGGAACTTGATACCGCCGTTGGACGTTGGCCCCATGTCATGTCTGTGGGCCGTGGCTGTGACCGTGGGACGATGCTTGCTTTGCTTGCTTGCGATTACCTTATAGCGACGGCAGCGCGGCGGCCGGTTTTCAATCGAAAGCTCCCTGGGTCGATAGGGATGGGTATGGGTATGTAGAAATCGTGCCATGGCTAAAAGCTCCCGATACTTCCTTTGACGGATAAGTGGAACTGTATGTGCTAGATCGTCATACGAAAGATGAGCTTCATGAGATGGATTGCTATTTACTAAAGCTTTCCTTCCCGTACATACGTGAACGCAACCGCTATCTACTCTAGATCTAGACATCATGCATCACTACGTAAACTAACTGATAAGCGATAACCCTATCTACGGTGAATTTCCATGCCATACCACTACTCCTCCTCAGCCTGCTGAAACAGCCCACCGCTCTCAATCTGCTCCCCTTCGTCCATCCTCTCGAATGCCTTCTTGACCTGTAGATTCCAATCGCTGAACGCTACTAGCGCCCATTCCATAGCGCCCACTAGATACAGTGCGATGCACTGGCCGACCCACAAGCCCTCGAGTCCCCACCCGTTGAATGCGAGGTGTATTCCCAGCGGCAGGGCGCCAAAGTAGTAGCTGACGATGTTGACGATGGCGCCGGTGTGCTGTCTGCCCATGCCTCGTAGCGATCCACCGCATGAACCTACACAGTTACGATTCAACCTCGTCAATTCCATGTGTACATCTCCAAAACTAGGACTGAGAAAACAAACCATTGAGCCCATCGGCAATCTGGAACAGTGCGACGAACGGCATGACCTCGGCGGTGAGGCGCACGACCTCCATGTCGTCGTTAAAGATGAGCGCGAACGAGTCCTTGACGCTCATCATGGCGGCCAGAACCACAGCACCGACGATGATGCTGAGCCACGCAGCCGTATTCGCAGCTCTCGCGGCCCCGCGCGCGTCTCGTGCTCCAAGGAGATTTCCGACCCGCGTGGAGGCGGCTACTCCGATGCCGAACGGGATCGTGTTCAGCACTTGGTCGGTTGTCATGATCACGCTCTGGGCGGCCAAGGGAACGGTTCCCAGGCGGCCGGCGGCGAGAGCAACGATTTCAAAGGCCCACTGGAGGGGGAGGGGAAAGGGCGGAAGTTTAGTCTGTTGCTGGTGCGAATGAAACTAACGGGGGAGGGGGGATGTGACATACCCATTCCGTACCCACCATGATCACGCCTAAGCCGGCCAGTCTGGCGAATGTCCCAAGATTGCTCAAGCAGCTTCTGTCCCATCCGCCCCAACTTTCCCATCCGCGTACGAACCGTGCATATCCGACGAGACAGCCGAATGAAATCCAATAAGTCAGTCCGGTGGCCAAAGGGGCGCCCACGAGCCCCATGTTGAAGGTGTACACAAAGAGGTAGTTGAGCAGAGCCGAGAGCGGAGACGTAAAGAGGAGGACATAGGTTCCAGCCCTCATGATCCCCTGGGCTTGCAGGAACTTCTTGGTGGCCTCGAAGAAAATGTAGCCCAGTCCACCGGGGATGAGACATCTCAGGAACAAAGCGCTGTCCCGGGAGATCCCCGGTTCCTGCCCGAGCTTCAAGAACAAGCCCTCCGAGAACCACCACAGGAAGCAGACAGGCACGTACATGGCGCCGAGCACGACGAACGACCGCTGCAGCAGGATCCCCAGTTCGTGGGGATTCTTTGAGCCGGTGAACGACGAGGAGCAGAGAGTGTCCAGCGCCGTCGACCCACCCAGAGCTATCAGCCAAGCCGTGCACATGGCGAACATGTACGAGAACGCAGCCGCAGCCAGGTGCTCGGGACTCAACCTCCCCACCACGAGGACCGAGATGGTCTGCAACGAGTTTTGCAGCGTGTACGCCAGTATGACCGGCACGCTCATCTTGGTGAGAAGAATGAATTCCCGTACGACCAGCTTCATCCATGTCTCGTCCCCCGGATCTTCGATCGGAAAACACTCGCCGTCCTGCCGTGATACTATCGAGTTGGACGAATCCGTAGTGGGTTTCGGCAATAGTGAGGTGCGCTCGTTCGCTACGCTTTCGTCTCTGGTCCTTCGTATCCGTAGGAACCGGGGAACCCATGAACCGAGTGGCGATGCCGCCACGGGTGCCATCTCTTCCGCGGTGCTATCCGTCATAGCTAACGGGGGGACGAGTTTTTGTTGTTACTGGTGGTGGTGCTATTGTTGTTGGTGTTGTGATTGCTCTTTCCCTCCAATGGCAAGGGACGTCTTGTCCTGTTGAGGTATGCGTGTATGTACTGGATGTTTCAATCCGGGATCCGTGAATAAGGGTATTTGAAAGGGTCTCAAGGGGAGGCGAGCATACAAGATGGATAGGGAGGGTGTGAAGAAAAAACAAAGCATTGCAGGGCAGTACCACCCGTAAGCAGAGGAGATCGGGTCCCGGAGTCCGGCCTCAGTGCAGGTAGAGTACCGTAGGTGGTACCTATGGAAGTCAGTACTACTTACCAAGGTACCCTAGCTCTTGATTTTTCAGACACTAGCACAAGATGTTACCCAATTGCTATACTCATGATGCCTGCCCTATTAGGTCATTCACGGAAGAGAGGTCCATCAGTCGATCACAGAAACAAGCCCGACAGCTCATACTGCATGCAGATAGGGCGCAAATCTGTCTCGCACAGTGCGTGAGCTCGGTAGGTGTTTAGGTGTGTAGGCATTTGGGTATACAGTCGCCTTGCCGCCGAGTGAGACAACCGCCACAACCACTAAGAACGCGTCGAATGACAAAAATCGTCATTCGTTCGTATGATAGGTGCATGCCATGAACATGCGTTGAGCACCGCACATGCGAGCAGCGGCAGCCTGTGGTATGTCGTAGATCAATTGTCGTTTCTAGTGGGCCCGGTCTCTACGGACTGGGCCCTACCCGATAAACCCTCGGATCGGATGCACCCTTATCGCCCCACCGGGCCACCCCCTCCCCGCACAAGAAACTTACCGGTCTCGGCACTTTACGTAACTTGAGAAGCGGTTGACTGGAACACCGTGACCTTCTGAGTTCCAGCGGCACTGTGGTACCTACAGGCTACGACGGGACCATTTTGCCGTGGCGAGGAAAGCTTGGAGAGTGTGGCGCCTAATGCGGTTATCGCGCCAAGGCCTTGGTACATCCGAATAAGTTTGCTTTTCCAAAAACACCCCTGACAGTGCCGGCCTTGCGTCCATATCCAAGAAAAAATTGAGTTCAAGGCTCAACGAGGTGTTGCTCGCAGGGCCATGCACTGCCGTCCGTAACGGGGGGATTTCATTAATAATGAATCCAGTCAGACTCCAGAGTGGACACTGGACAGACAACTCTTTTTCTTCCAGCAGACTGCCGCTCCAACTTCCAAGCCCCCACAGCCGCCCCCACAGCCGCCCCCACACATTCTGGGGAACCCAGCAGTGCTGCTTTAACGATGTGGTTCGTTTCGTGGAAATGCAGCCTGCAGGTTTTCCATCAAGAAGGCGCTGCAGCAGAGATATGGGCTCGCTTCCTAGGCCTCTTTGAGCCGGTGCTCGTCTCGATCTGGTGGCCCACACGGTATGTCGTAGGTAGTAATCTGGATCGGTCATCTTGTTCATCTCATTCGTCCCGTTCGTATGGTACGTCTCGTTCATCCCGTCCATCTCGTTCCAGCTTTCCGGACGGCTAGTGAATGACTTGGAACGGAGGGGAAGCCTCCTCCTCCTCCTTCTCGACCGGACGAACCCACAGAGAGACCGTTAGGAACGGGTTGGTGTGTGTGTGATTGGGTGAGGGGGCAGTAACAGCCGCCGTCCGAATAGGCCGCGCGGTGAGTCTCTTGAGTCTCGATGGTTCATTTGCCGCGCCCATCCAAGTGAAAAACAGCCAAGGCAAGGCATTCCACCACCACGGTCGACTGGTGCCGTCGAGCTGCTTGTGTCTGCACTCCTTTCTTTTCGATGAAGACGACTTTGGCCCGGCAGTTGCGTGCCACTGTGATAGATGTTGGTGATATGTACAGTAAGACTTTTGCCCTTGCCAAGTGATGATTAGTTTTTTCTCTTCCACAATGTCTCCTGGTTTCGGTGGTCGTGGGATGCCCATTGTCGGTTTTTTTCTTTCACGATGTCCCCCGGTGTCGGTGGTCGTGGGATATCCATTGTACAATCCGGGGCACGCACCTACTACATACCAGCTAGTTTCCTATGGTGCTCTACCCGCAGAGCGTCTAAACTGACTTGGTTATATCGCGCAAACACGATCAGCTCAGGGGGCGGAATGGCCATTAAGCGACAGTGCATAGTATGTATCATACACACTGATCTTGCCGTAGCAAAAACACCGTTCATTCTTTTCATATCCCCATGTACTTACAGACCACACTAAGCGTCTACTGGCCTATATATGCATACGTCCTGATACCCATTCGGCTTCCTCAACCAATCAGGGCACTACAGCTAGAGAATCCTAGCACTTCTTGAACGCCGACAACACTCCTCCGCCCCCCCACGGAAACCCTGTATCAAGCCGCCGTCGCCGCCGCCGCTGCATCGCCCGTTCCATTCCCGACGCCCACAGATCGTGGGATAGGTAATCGTTACATGCAGACTGTCCTGAAACTTGTATTCGACCGTACCTGACACTCGGAACATTCGGCTCTGCCTTTCTTTCTCGTGGGTCCACATGGAAACGTGGAGAGCACAAGGCGATAGCAATACTGCTTGGTATGTAGTATAGTAGTATATGCCGTCCGTTGTCTTATCTCCGCCCCTCCCCTTCCTCCTGCTCCTCCCCCCCCCCCCCCCCCCCCCCCCCCCCCTCCATGTATATCACTGGTTCTTCTGGACCATCAGCGATATTGCCCCATCTCTTCGGCCTTTTAATCGCTCTGCCGAATCGCATACATACAACTCCAGTGTGCGGACAGTAATCGTATCGTCCTCAATCTCCTTACTAGAACCTCTCTGTGCCTCCCTTTCTCCCCCTTCTCGTCTAAACAACCGCCGCCTCCTCCGTCTCGCGGATCCGAGTCCAATATGGTTGAACCCACCGACGAGAAAGATACCGATCCCACAACCCCCATCAAAGCCGACAATGTACACACCGGAGTTGCCCCATCCTACGAGCAGGACCAAGGCTATGTGCAAGAATACGCAGCACCCAAGGCCGGGATCGAACTTCGTCCCAGACCGACCTCGGACAGATTCGATCCGTTGAATTTTTCGCGATCGCAGAAGCTCATCTGCCTTGCCGTAGTCATGTACTTTTACTTCTGGTTCACGGCGATAACCACCATCACCGTGCCGTCTTTCTTGCAGCTTCAGGAGCAGTACGGCATCTCCTACGCCCAGGTGAACTGGACCGTCGCTATTCCGGCGCTCGGGCTCACGGTTGGCCCGTTGATCTGGTCGTCGCTCGCCGATATCTTTGGAAGAAGGCTCATCTTCATTGTTGGCACGGTGATCGCTTTCTTCTCGACCATCGGGGCTGCCCTCGCTCCAGATTACAGCTCATACATGGCCGCACGGTAATAGATTCTCCCCGCCCCCCGGTATCTTTCTATCCGAGTGCTGTAGCTGAAACGCAATGCAAATAGATTCTTCCAAGGGTTGGGCGTGAGCCCTGCGTCAACAGTCGGACTAGCTATCATCAACGATTTATTCTTTGAGCATGAGAGAGGCCAAAAGGTTGGACTGTGGGTGTTGGCCCTGGATATGGGACTGTTGGTCGGACCCCTCAGTAAGTCGGTCTCAAATCAGCAAGTCATCCGAACCGGAAATACTGACCGAAAGCACAGTCGGCGGTTTCATAACACTGGTCAACCAGTTTTGGGTCCAGTGGCTCACGGCCATCATCTTCGGCGTCCTGTTGGTCGCCGAAGTGTTCTTCTTGCCCGAGACGCTGTATCCGCGCAGCCTGATGCTCTCCCGGCTGCCTACCACTACCGATGGATCGGAGAAGGCACCGGACCCCCAGCACGACGATTATCCCGCTCGCACTAGAGCTCTACCGTTCATCAACTTGAAGCCTGTTCCTGGTATGTACATGAGTCGCAACGTCAATGTTCCCAGGAACTCGACTAATGTCCACACAGGAGTTGGCGCCCAGAAGCCCTATGATGCTTTGTTCTATTTTTTCAAGACTTGGTCCTACCCGAACGTTGTTATTTCTGTCTTTTTTTATTCGTTTGCGTTTTACTGGTGGATCCTCTCGGTCGTGACTTATCTCCCAGTCGCCTATATCCAATACCAGCCGCAGATCCAAGGACTTCTCTTCCTCGGCCTCATCCTCGGAACACTATTCTCAGAAGTCCTATGCTCGGGCACGCTGAGCGACTTCATCGTCACCAAGCTAGCCAAGAAGAACAACGACGTCCGCGTAGCCGAGATGCGTCTGTGGCTGATGTACCCGTCGATCCTGCTCGCGACCATCGGCCTGATCGCGTGGGGGATCTCGGTGGACAAAGGCTACCACTGGTTCGTCGGGCAGGTCGCGTTGTTCCTCGTCGGTGCCGGGATTCAGATGGGCAACACTGCGGTCTCAACATACGTCGTCGACTGCTATCCGCACCACGCAATGAGCATGATCACATTCTATGCGGTCCTCCTGAACGGCTCCGCCTTCGTCAACCCGTTCTTTATCGCCCCCTGGTGCGATACCGTCGGCTTCTCCTGGACGTTTGCTGTCCAGGGTCTCATCACGCTCCTCGTGATGGTGCCGGTGACAATGCTCTTGCAGGTCTTCGGGGAGAGGATGAGGACGTGGAGAGGGCCACCGAGCTGGGTGTCGCCTGAGTACTCCATCTGAGACTCTGAGAGGCTGTCAATTCAGTCCCGGTCATATTGGCGCTTCATTATTATTATTTTTGGTTTTGGTTTTCTTTTTGGCAAGCTTTTCCATTTAGCTTTTCATGTTGTAATTTATTTTTCCCGGTCTGGCATTGTGTTTTTGTTTTTGTTTTTGTTTTTGTTTTTTGGAAATTTTCTTTTTGTTTTTGTGTGGGGGTAGTGGGTGCGGGATGTCGTCGCCGTCCAACAGCATTTTGTGTGTGTCCTGTCCTCTGTCTCAGTCAGTTAGTTTTGGTCGATCAGCTCTCGTGGGATTTTTCAAGCGAAAGAGGGCAGGAAGAGGGGAGGAGCCTTAAACCTTTTTCAGGGATCGGATCCTATTTGTACTTCAGGAGCTCAGGAAGAGGGAAGAGGGAGACGAGAATATTAGCCTCTTGTACGTAACAAATATTGTTAGGTTTGGGTATAAATCGGGACGGATTTATAATAGCCGTTGTTAATTTTGGTTGCCTACAAATGTATGTGGTCCAAGGGAATACGGGAATACGAGGCCGTGAGGACCCGGTGCGGTAGTCAGACATCGCGGTGCCACTGAAGAGGCGCCTACCTATCGGGTTTGTCCTTCTAGGTATGCCAACTTCCAGCCGTCAACTCCGAGACCCAGTCGATGCGATGCCAGATGGACGTTCGTCATCTGAATCATCAGATGCAACGACAGGGATGGGCTGAACTGCGTTAATACGATTAATTCGGTACGGTACCCTGTGTATGATAACCATCAGTTACGTCGAACGAGTCCATAGCAATTATCGACATATCTCTCCCGAGCACTCGTGTAGGACAGCGATGGCTATGGATTGGAACGCAACATGAGGTGCCTTACAGCTGCAATGGCAATGGTTGCAGCAACATCGATAGTTATCCGCGCCGCGCTTGGAATAGTCCGTTTCGTATGGAGTATATGGAGTGTCAATATCATACCTATCTCGAAAACGCAATGCTCACCACTGGCTAATACCATTTTCTAAACGATTAACGACCAACAACGAACAACCACCTAGCACTCCTACCAGCCTTACTTTGTGTGAGGATGCAGGTAATTGGACAGTCGGATATACACGAGAACTTCGGCTCTGCTTGAGATGTGCTGCATACCGAACTCCAATTCCATAGGGAAAGACCGTCAAAGCCGTGCCCGTTGACATTTGCTAGTTGCATTGCCGCTTCGAACTGCGACTCTGCGAGACATCGTCGGGTTTGGGGCGGCAGCAATGCACTTTCGTCATCCGGATTGCAAGCATCATCTGCATGAGGTGCAGTTAGCGACTGGGGTACTCCACTGCCGGGCTCCGAATATTTCCCCGGTACATACCGTACCTGCTTACATAGGGACGACGGACGTACCGCATGTCCAATTGAAGACCCTTCGTTCCAGCTTCCAGGCTTCCCGTTCCTTTCTAGCGACGTTCCTGACCGATCTGTTGGCCCTGCATCCAGCCGCCGCTCCGGCTCCGGCCATCCCATCCCATCACTGTTTGCTGCCATCGCCATCTCACGGGCATGACACTTGCAGGGATTTGCCCGGCCCGAACATCTGAGCTGTCTTGCGCACAAGCCCCAAGACCCAAGATCAAAACAAAGATGACGACAACAATATCATCGGTGGCTGGGGATCGGGCTTGGGAGCGCTTCCGATATTGGTACCCACTGAACTGACAGCCTCCTCCTCATCCTCATCTTCCTCCTCCTCCTTCACTTGTTCTCCTCTGCTTTTTCATTTGACTCCATCCCCCATTCCTCTCCCTCCTCTCCCGAATCAAGCAACCCAGCTTCCTGTTTACGATCGTGTTTTCATTGCCGTTTCTATTTCCAGTCCAATACCGTACTCGTTGATCCATATCGAATAAACATGCAGCTCCCCGCCTTCCTCCCCATCCTCCTCCTCTCCGCCCTCGTTGGTGTCCAAGCCTCACCACTGGCCGTTTTGCCCTACACCACCACAAGCCCGAGCTCCACGCCCAGCGTAGGGCCGCCCACACGGACACGGCCGACCTCCTTCGCCGGCCCCTCGGCCACGCCCCTCCGCGTACCCGCAGGCCTAAAACTCCGAGCCGCAGCCGCGGCCGCGGCGCCAGACCCGCAAGAAACGTGCGAAAACTCGGGCACCGGCAACACGGGATGCAACAACAGCGGCATCAACAACACGGGGACCAACAACTCCGGGATCAACAACTGCGGCACTGGGCAGTCGGGGATCGGCGAGGGGTGTGATGACGACGACGATAGCACCGTCACTTTCGTCGGTGTTACCACCACTGTCAACGGCGGGGCTGTGGTCATTGCCGCTGCCGCGACGAATACAGACGCTACGGTTTATACCACCATTCTGACTGGCGCTACAAGTACTGTCACCCTGATCGGTGATGGAAGGAACCGAAGGGTCGATTGTGCCTACTGGGAGGCTCAGGGGTACGTTTGCTCCGGGGCGGTCGGGAAGAGCGTCAGCTTGCTCGCGGTGGCGCTGGCGGCGGTGGTGACGGGGGCGTGGCTGGTGGTTGGATGATTGCTCAATTGCTTCACGACTCTAAGGTGGTGATGGTGGTGATGATGCATTTCTTTGATTTCTTTGTTTCTATTCACTCTACGGCGTTGGGTTGGCATACTTAGATCTGGGCTGGGGTTTTTTTCTGATGATGATGATGATGATGATGATACGGGGATACGAGGACATGGATAGCTGCATGTATTCTTCAGGATTACGAACGATGATGATGGGACTTCATATGTATTTAGCATGCAAAACAAACAAGCAAAAATATCTTGACAGGAGTGTGATTTGAACACACGCCCAGTTCCCCGAATCAGACTGCACCATGATCCATCACCAACCCTCGGAACGGTATCCGGAGAAAGCCCTGCTGCGGAAATAGCACTTACTTGGGTGCATTTTATACCCGCTTAGTAACACTATGATAGATGATGCGGTAAAGGAACGTCACGACCACCGTTCGGTCTGTCCAGTGTCCAGGTCGAATGGTCGTTCCCTTTTCCTAAGCTTCGTATTCTGCGATATATACCGTATTGTCATGTCAACTGTCAGCAACGGGGAGAGACCGACGGCCATGGCCTACGATTTCCAGCAAATCAAGTGTCGAACTGCATCCCCAACCTAAGTACCTGTGCACCTCAGCGAATCCGGTGATCTCCTGAAAGCTACCGGTATTACATACTCCGCGCAGTTACTCGATCCCGCCTCCCACGACATACGTACGTACGGCACCGGCGGTCAAACAAAACCCGCGGAAAAAAAAAGTCAGGGTTAGGTCTTTCACCAGCATCATTCCCAACCAACCAACGACGATCCATCCGTTGCTCGGCCGCCCGGTTGCGGGAGAGCAAGTTAGAGTATCCACGGTACTGAACTACACCTCCGCCACCTCCGCCATGTCGATCCTCCTCAACAACCAGCGACGCCTACTGCTACTACTACACTTGCGTCCGGCGGGTGTGCGACCACCACTACACAATGCCAACGCCAATGTCAACGCCAACGCCTCGTCCTCGCCGCTGCTGAGCCTCGCCGCCGCCGGCAGCCGCGCCTACTCCGGCGGCCCCCGCCCCAAAGCCTGGAAGCTAGCGCGCTTCAAGAAGAAGGAAGACAAAGCGGCTTTGCCCAAGAAGCAATCCTTCGCGCTCCTGCGGCGGGGCGGCCCACCAGGCCCACCCGGTCCACCAGCCGAGCGGTTCTCAGCGGGCCTTTCTCGGCCGCCACCGCGTTCACCACCACCGCGCGACTCCGCACCCAAACTGCCCAAGCCTTCCACGAAGCCGAAGTCCGCCGCAGCGACGACACGGCACTTCACCGCGCCGCACAAGAAGAAGCTAGTGCGGGCGGGGACACCTTTGTCGCGGATGCGGGACGACCCCTCCACGATCATCGTGCACACCGCGGGGGTGTGTGCGGCCAAGGACATGGGCTTCGCCGCCGTCGGCGTCTGGTTCGGGCCCGAGTCGCCCCTGAATCACGCGCGGCTCCTGAATAGTCCGCAGCATGCCGAGGATGCGGGGGACGTGATGACCGTGCTGCAGCCCGCGAAACATTGGGGCGAGCAGCTGAGGCGCGCGCAGATATGTGCGGCTATTGTCGGTTTGCGGACGCTGGAAAAGCATGCCCCCGAGGAGCGCAGCGTCCTCGTCGCTGTCGATCAGTATCTCTGGAAGGTCATGACGGATCTGGTCTATGCGTGGAGGAAGAACGGATGGGTCGAGGACACGGGGAATAGGGTCGAGAACTGGGTGCTGCTGCGCGAGCTGGATAAGACGGCGTATGAAATGGAGGCGGCCGGATGGAGGGTCAGGTTCTGGGGGCTGCTGAAGACGAAGAATCAGCAGGCGGAGGATATGGCGAAGGGGGTGGTTGAGGACGCGAAGGCGAAGCCGAAGGCGAAGGACATGGCTCAGACGAAGACGGAGGACATAGGGACGGATGCTGAGATCGACAGCAAGTGGCTAGTAAAAGCTGCTGCTGAGCGGATGTAAGCTACCAGACGCCATCGAGGGGCAACAAGTCGACAGAATCTCCTCAAATCCTGACCATGTAAATTACACCTGGGGGGTATAAACTGTAAAAACTGTAGAAATCCTGCATCAATCGATCGTAAACGTGCATACCGTACCAGCGACCAAGGGACTTCTCTTTACTCAACTCGCCAAATCAAACACCAGTATCCCATCGATCCGCGCGACGAACGGGAGCGTCATGAACCATCACACGACAATCGAACGTTTCATCTAGCCGATGCTTCGCGGATCATGGCTACTATCACTCGTCTTACTCGGCCATAAGAGCCGAGCATTAAGCTTTATTCTTGAATCGCTCAGACGGCAAGTACTCTACTCTACTTAGAGTAGGGGGAGCCGTTCTCTCACGTGCAGTCAGTCGGTGCGGATCGAATTTCCCTGTAGGGGCTCGGGAGGGTGAGGGGACGTGCGCCTCCCCCCCGGCCGGCTGTGCGACTCGCGAGTGCATCAATACTCTACTCTAGATATCGCCACCGCACCGTAACTACATCATACCGGGTTCCTTGGTAGTGGAGTAGGTTGTGGAGAAACAAGTGGATTGAAACAAAGTATCTACCGGTATCTAAGTACGAAGTATGTAACACATGGAAAAGAATATATACAGAGCCTGCCGCAAGTGCGCATGCCTGGTAGGTATCACCGCCTTCAAACAAAAAACAAAAGATATCTTACAGAACATAACCTCCCATAACCCCCCAACTCCACCATGCCACCCCACCCTGCCACTCACGCCCACCAGCACTACCACCAAGCCCACCCCCACAACCACAGTCCAACAACCAGCACCCAGCCGGGCCACATGAGTATCAGTAGCACAGGCGAGGGCTGAAACAGCAGGAGGAGCAGCTCATAGAAGCACGCATCCTTGAAGCGATTCCAGCGGCGGTGGATCCCCGCGCGTTTGCTGAGCTGTTGGAGACAGCAGAGGGAATTGCGAACCCCGGCGCCGAGGAGCAGCCGGATCGTGTTCGCGAACGCGAGCAGGATGAAGATCGTGTGCGTTAGCTGCGAGAGGAGGTGCGTGAATGTGCTGGGTGGGGATGGGGAGGCGGCGGTGGTGGGGGAGGAGACTCTGGTGCTGGTATTGGTGCTGGTACGGGTATGCGTACTGGCCGCCATCGAGGGGACGCGCGCGTGCCGGATCATTGTTTGTGGCGGTGGAAGGGATGGTCTAGGTAGCAGGGCTGGTGTAAGGGACTCTAGTGTGCGGTTTTTCTAGACGGTTGTTAGAAACACCATATCTCTCATCTCTCATCTTGAATCGCAGCCGGTAAACCTACATGTCTTCGCGGAAGCCAACTAGCCGTGGGTGCAAGTTGTGAGTTGTGAGGTGTGGAATGCGTGCGTTGTTGTGTATGAAGTCGAAGCTTCCAGATATGTAGGTGAATAGATAGGAGTTGATGTGTTGATCCTTTGTTTTGGTCCGGTTCGATGCGTTCCATGCGTTCAATGCGGGTTCGCTCGGACAGTGTTCGCCAACTGCTACCTATACTATATATAGTCGGATCGAGTATAGATTCTTGGAAAAGGAGGCAGTCGAGCGGCCGTTGTTGTTGTTATTGTTGTTGTTGTCGTCGTTGTTGTCGTCGACGTCGAGGAAGAAGAAGAAGCTTTTCTTTATCGCAACGGGGTTCTGCCTCTGCCTTGCCTCGCTTTCGCTTCGAGTACTCTACCGGTACATAAGGTAATTCTAGGTCCAGGTTCAAGGTCCTTCCGTCTACTTACATAGCATGAGCACTTACATACCGGTTCTTGCACCGGTAATACGTGCCCAGTGCCCACTGCCGGTAGCCCTGCAGATCTCCTCTCCTCTCCTCTCCTCTCCTCTTCCCTTCCCTTCCAAACAAAACAAATCTCGCGCAGCCCAGACCGTTTCCTCCCGACAGACCGACAGATCCTTCTTCTCCTCCCTCCATCTTCCCTTCTTCCCTCATCCCCTCTCGGCAGCATGCAAAACAATCTCCCTCCCCTCCCTCGATAGAGTACCCACGGTAGCATCCGACATGTGTGCCTGCAGCCTGCACTGCAGCAGGACGGAAACAGGGATGAGTTGCTGGAAGGCTCTCTCCCCTCTCCCCTCTCCTCTGAACAAGGTACTACATAGGACATGGGGTTTAGTTCGCTCCGCTTTCGTCACAGGACGACACATGACGTATAGTTTACTACGGTAGACATCTTGAGCGACCTTGAGGGACTGACGACCAACGGACGGCGGATGGACGACCGACGAGACTTGACGATGCGGGACGTCACTGTGGAGCACCTATTGTGTCTTGTGTCGGACTAACGGTTTCGAGGGACTCCATGGAGTGAGTGAGTGGCGGGGTGCCGGAGGGGGACGATCTGGAGTACATACCGGTACCGTACCGCAATGTGGGGCAGAGTGTAAACTACAGTGGGGACTTACATCACGCTGATACGGTACTTCTGCTCTCCTGTATACGGTGTGTACCTCGCCACTCAGGCAGGACCCGGGCAGACGATCCAATCCGCGTTCCACCAAACCTCGGTCCATCCCGCGCAGCCAAAACACAACGAAGAAATAAAAAAGAAAAAAAGAAGTAGTGACAGGAGTGGGACTTGAACCCACGCTCAGTTTCCCGAACCAGGAATCGGAACGATTGCATTAAGGTGACCTTAACCTGGCGCCATAACCAACTCGGCCATCCTGCCTTGGGTGTCTGTTGCCGTTTCATACGCAATCTGTTCCAGCGCTTCACTACATGCAATCAACTTTTCCCCATGTGTGAGCAACGGCTGGTTTCGTTGTCACCATGATGTACCGATCCATCCTCGTCTGATGGACGGGAAAATCAGAGACAAGGTATGTAGGTATGGGTTTAACCCGAACTCGAATGCAGGAACAGACCTCGCTCGCCCTCTCGCTGTGCCAGTGGGTGTATATAGTATCGCATTGCCAATTGCCATTCGCCATAACGCCGCCGCTCACAAAAAAACAAGCACCAAACCGCGTACGAACATCACGCCTGCCCGCCGCCCCTCTGAAACTGCAAACTATACCCTCCCTTCCCATCCGGCTTCATGCCAAAGTCGCTAGTGCTGATACCAAACGGCCTCAGTAGCCCATCCCCCAGCGTCTTCAGCCCCTTCATCGCATCCCCCACCTCGCTCGCCCGCACCTCCTCCAGCGCCTTCCTGCACCGCGCCAAGCTGCGCACACACTCCCTTCTCTCTGCCTCCGTCAGGTCCGCCTCGAGCTTGACACTCTCCCCCACCCTCTCCCCCTCCCGCAGCTCGCGCACCCTCCCCACCCCCAACAAGTCTTCATACTCCCCTACCGCCGTCTCGAGCTCCTTCCAAGTCCCGAGCATCTCCCTTGCCTTCCCGCGCCTCAGCAGCGGCTTCGTCCACCCCGGCCTCCGGCGGATCGCCTCGGCAGCATGCTCCAGCGCCAGCGTGGGCGCGGACAGCTTCAGGTGGCACGCGGAAAGGTTCGAGTGCAGGATTGCCGTCTCGTGGGATAAGTACGTCGGCGTGCTTTGTAGTGCCAGCGTGTACGCGTCGATCGCTGCCAGGTAGTGCGATGTCTGGAAGAGTGTGTTGCCCGAGGATTTTTGGAGGTGCGCTGCGGTGAGGAGGCGCTACGGGGAGGGGAGGGGGGTTAGCGGGGTGGTGGGGGGAGCGGGAGGGCGGGGGAGGGGGAGGGGAAGGGGAGGGGGGGCGTACGGATTCTTCGTCTGGGGGGAAGCGGGGACTAGTATCCCCCGCGACGCCGGCGGTGACGGTGTTGGTGGAGGGGTCTTCGTCCATGTCTTCGACTCGGCGCAGTGGTGATGTTGATGTTGATAGTGCTGGTGGTGCTGATGGTGATGATGTTGCAGTTGCTGTTGCTGATGATTTTGCTGTTGCTGTTGCTGTTGCTGTTGCTTTTGCTGCTGCCGCTGTTGCTGTTGACTGTATCTCGGCGGAGGTTGCGCTGTTGTTGTGCATCTCTATCGCCTCGACGGGCGAAGACAGCAGGTACGGCAGGGGGTTGTTGAAGAAGCTGTCATAGAACGGTAGAGCTTTGGATTGGAGAACGGCAAGAGCCGTAGCGCCCGGACAGGGCCTGCAGAAGGATGGCATCTTTCTTAATTTTCCGTACCGTAGAGTATATATCCGGGAGTTCCAATGGTTAACAACGTCTGACTGACTGACCGCGTCGAGACTGCACTGGAGATCTTCTTCTTCGTCTTCTTCGTCTTCTTCTCCCGAGGAAGCAGCAAGCAAGCAAGCAGCAGAGATCAAGAGAGAGAGAGGAAGAAAGAGAAAGAGAAAGAGAGCGAGAATATAAACCTCGCGGGAGACCGCACTTTATTTACACGTCATGAGCTTGCAGCTTGCTGCTGGCTAGGTGCTGGCGCAAAAAAACAGCTTACATGAGACGGATGGATTGATTCGGGAACAACCGTTGTGTATGGGGAAAAGAGGTCGCTATGATACATACCAAGACAGACGAGGGCGTGAATGCGTGAGTGCGTGGGCAATGGGCGTCCCGTCGGTGCAAATTTGTTCCGTCCTCGACATGTCCTTACTGTACCGTACTCACTAACGAGGTGGATAGATGGCATGGCTTCTCCACTGTGCCGTGGTATGGATGGTATGTATGTATGGAGGTGGGTGTGCTATGTGTGTAAGACCTTTCGTCGCTCATGCACATTCGCTAAGCGGCTGATCCCCTCAAAGTGTCCAGGGCGGAGAGTAATTGCTCCGCATCCCATCGCTGCTGGCAGTGGGGGGGAGGGGGGGAGACGGGTACTTCGATAGATATTGTGACACCACGGGTTTATCTCGCGAGGTGGCTCCCCTGTTTTTACGGGTGAATGCAGGCGGGGGCTGAGGAACGGAATTTGCCTTGCCCCAAGCTCGGACTCAGGCTCACAGGTCGGAAGCGATGTTGTCCCGCAAACAATTAAGACTCATGCACTGATGCGCGGTCACATGCCGGTCGGGGGAGGAAGGAGGAGGGAGGGAAGGGAGGGGGAATATGCAATGAAATTCCAACGTCTAGGTTATCGAGGATCGCTCCCTCTGCACCGTCGCTAGCGTAATCTAGAACAGAACACACGCCAAAGGCCAACAGGTATCCCATCGTCACCGACCACCACCTCCAACGCCGTCTAATTTTTCGCCGGAGGAATGACAATGCCGTAGCGCGTGTAGTCGAAGCCCTCGAGCGAACTACGCAGCTCGCCCCTTCCGTCGCCAATGCTTCCGATCGCCCCCATGTCCGCAGCCGGGGCCACACCCGCTTCAATATCCTTTTCTGCCTCGCCCATCAGACCCGCCAGCACCTGCTCCTCCCTGCCTTTGTACTCCTGCAGCAGGCCCTGATGCGGCACCCACACGACACGCATGCCCGCACGGCGTCCCGCCTCGACGCCGGGGACGGCATCTTCAAACACCAAGCACTCAGCGGGGGTAATCTCCTGCTTCCCCTCTTTGCGGAGGCCGGCATTGATCGACTCCAGCGCGAGCAGGTAAATATCGGGTGCGGGCTTCCCCCTTCCCAGCGGGATCCGTGGATCATCGCCGAGTATCTGCCGCTCCTTCGGAAACCGCTGGAACAGCTCTTGCAGGTGCGCCGTCTTGAGCTGGAAGTTGTATTCCGCCGACGACGTGGCGAGCGCAATGTGCAGCTTCTCTTCGGGGTGCGACGCGGGCGACGATGCGAGCAGCGTGTCGATCAGGCTCTCGACGCCGGGGAGAAGCCCTGCGCCCGGGAATACCTCTGCCTGCAGAGCTTTCTGGCGGACGAGATATTCCTCTATGGGGATGGGAATCTGGGCCCAGTCGCGGAAGATTTTGGTTGCCTAGGGCAGGAAAGAGTACGCGTAAGTAAAGTTCTCGTCTGGAAGGCTGGGAGCACTATACGCGAAACGCGCAAGATGGCCCGTGAACCAGTCGGTTTCACGTGACATACGTGTCACAAGAAACATGACGGGGGCTTCCGAAACGTGAAGTAGAGAAAAACATACAGCAGAAACTGGGCGGCCTTGGAGCTGGGCCTTGATGTTCCAGGTGAGCGGCGGACGGCCGAGTTGTGCGAGGAGCGTGTTCGTGACTTGTGTGTAGAGGTCTTCGGTGTCGAGGAGCAGGCCGTCCATGTCAAAGAGACAGGCCCTGACTGGAGGGAAGGAGCTATGTAGATTTCATGTGAGAAAAAAAAGGCAAACTTTGCGGAGATGGAGAGGAGGTTATCCTTACCTTTCTACGGGTGCCATTCTGGTGAAGTCTGTGGGATAAAGTCCAATATGTTTTTTGGTGTCTGAGCTGTTTGGTTTGTTGTTTGGTGGGGTATAAGTGTGGCGGGGTGTAAGAACCAAAAACAAAGAGGGGATGTTGGTGGGGGGAGAGTTTGGGGGCCAATTCAAGAGCCGACGCTAGTAGATAACTCTTTCTAGGAAGCTTCAACTGTGTATATGTGCCACGGGTGGTCACTCGTGAGAATCAAGGAGGAGTTGGGGGAGAGTTGTAGGGGTTAGAGACGATGCGGATGATGAGGATGGCCTGGAAGTCGGACAGTATGCTTCTTAAATACGGCCCACGCGGCCGGTGGCCACGGCAGCTCAGTAGAAGGGCCCGCGTTCGTGATGGCATACCGTAAACCACGCCTAGCACGATTGATAGGTGCCTCAGCGCTGTCGAATGCGAGTACGGAGGTGTTCCTCGCTGCAGTAGGTACCCAAGTGCCCAGCATGCCTACGGCAACCTGTAGCCATGGTCCAGCAGAGGACTGCAACTGCCCACGGGGCTTGCTCGCTTTCCGGCTGTCGTCCGTTCTCGCTTCCATCAGAAACTATCACCGTAGTAGCCGCGTTTGCTGTGTTTTCCCTTCCGGCCAACGGAGGAGAGAGAAAGAAAGGCAGGAAGGCGGGGCTCATCACTCCCATGCTTCAGCAGATAGCTAGATTGAGGGGCTAAGATGGTTCAATGCCAATAACGTCGACGCATGTAATCAATCGGCGGATCACAGATGCCTTCTCGGCGTCGAATCCGAAGTCTTCACTGTGCTTCCGTGGTGGTGGGCTACTGTATTAGGGCCACTTGCACGAGAAACAAAATCATCTCTTGCTGTGGCTCGGGGGGTGTTCGGACATTCACGTATCTACAAACAGCTTGTGAATGGGCCCAGCTAGCTCCACCCCACGTCGCCACTGCCGATGTGGTATGGTTCTGGAAGCCGTTCCTGCATCGACCTGCCCTTTCTCCCTTTGCGGCCTTGCGGCCTTGTCGACGAGCAAACGAAAGTTACGAAGCGACTGGCTCACGTTGGTGCGGGGCTATCTGGTGGCATTCCCCAAGGGCCCCGCAGATAGATAGGTAACTGGCCGTCTGCATCTCCCGTCGCGCTGGCCTCCATGGGGCTGGCCTGGCTCGCTCGCATGCCGGAACAATTGCTGCCATTATTCCACCCACCGTCGCCCCGGCGCCGGAAGAAGTGGGGGGTGGTGGCGAGAAGCGAGGTTGTGGCATTGGTCTGCAGGCAGCTCCGGAGCACGAAGGGAAACCTGGAAAGAGAGAAAGGCGAATCGTACGTAGAGTGCAGATGGCACGTATGATCGAGCGGGCAGAGGTCGGCAGAGTGGGTAGGAGATAGGCAGCGTAGGCAGAGGAGGTACCAGTACGCTCTACTCTCTACTTCCGTTTGGGCCGGGCTTTGCTGGAAGTAGGCGTTGGACTTGGCGCCGCTAATGTCGAGGCAGCAGCTAGGCGTGTGTAACCGCCAGCGCCCCACGTTACTCGTCCAAGATAACTAACCAAGTTAGAGCTCTGACAAACGACCCAAGTAGTTGCAACATCCGTCGCGGTCCCGTCGCGTCTCCCCGCTTCTCCTGCAGACACACACACCCTAATCCACCACTGACCGCCCCAGATGTCCGGAGACGACCACGACGAGAGCTATCGCGAGGCAAGCACCCAAGCAACCAAGCAACCAAGCACGCACGCACGCAACCACGCAAGCTTTGCTGCTGCTGCTAGCTCTTATCCGCCCAACTGGAGAGCTAACCTGGTGGGTCGCGTAGAGATTGAAATCGGCACTCTGGTACAGCGTCGGCAAAATCGTCGACGACGAATCGCTGAGCCTTCAGGTCAATGTCACACCGCAATTTATCGGTGCGTTGACAGAGCTAGTATATGCACAGGCGGGTACGTAGCTGGGCTTCATTTGTGTTGGTTTGTGGTTAAAGCCAAAGCTAATAAACAATGGCTGATAGAAAACGTTGCGAAAGACCTCGAATCATTCGCACAGTGAGTTGTATCCGATCATCATCACCACCGTGATCATCATCACCACCATCACTATCACCATCACCCTCCTCCTCCTCGATTCGATCATGGCTGACGAATCCTCAAGCCATGCGAACCGGAGTACCGTCAACACCGACGATGTCCTGCTACTCGCCCGACGCAACGAGGGCCTAGGTCAGGTTCTGGAAACGTTCATCGATAACGCGCGGGAGGAGAGGGAAAAGGAAGATGTGAAGGTTGGTCCTGCTAGGGGAAAGGCGAAGGCTACTGCAAAGGACAAAGGGAAGGCTCCTGCCAAGGGGGGCGTGAAGAAGCGAACATGATTTTTCTATATCGGCCTCGACTTCAATTGCATTATTTGGGTGGAACCTTCCTACGTATCCATCTAGGTACTCTAGATCGCACTTATTTACCGCGTCATGCGTCAGGCCGCGCGTCTGGTGAAGTTGTTTTTTCTTCTATTTTCTTCCAATTCATCATTGATTGCGTGCGACCTATCTAGATCATGGCGATGGCCAATCACTTGTTTCCCGATCCCTTTTGGGTGAAGACGCAGCTTTCTCGGTACAAACATAGTAACACTTTGTGATATGTACGACCCCCACTTGCAGCCAAGTTCATCCCAAGCCCAGGCCCGACGCATGGTAGCTCTGTAGTCCTGTAGCCTATGTACAGTACATACTAGAATACGAACGACCGTCTACACCTGTCTCCATCCAAATCATCCTTCAAACTTAGCGCGCTCGCGCTTCCGAGCTCACCTCACGGATCCTGCCATGCGCGATGCACATGCGTCGTCACCGGAGTAGGGGTTGTCAACGGTAAGTCACAAGTGGGGCCCATCTCTGTAGTCACTCGGTGACAGTTTTCAGCCGGGCACTCCTCAGGAATCAGCATCGCTTTTTTCCCACCCAGCGGACTCCGTGTTCTGAATATCGCGCAAGCCCCCCTCGTCACTGCTGCGGCCCGCCACAAGACATTGCCGCATTGCTATCGGGAATGAAGGAACGATCACATGGGAGTGGGGGTTTGACATCGCAGGTGTATGCGGTGATACATACTGATGCTGGCGGCGGCGGCGGCGGCGAGGGCGTATTCGAGGTACCCTATATAGACGGCCGTATCGTTGGTATGAGCCCGCCGCGGGTTTCTCCACCTTGCAGTGGCTAGTCACTGTAGCTCACTCGCAGCCCAGTGATCTCCAAATAGAGCGTAAAGTTTGGGCCCTGCACACTGCACAATCGTGATAGAGGTGTGCGGCGAATAGTTACCGACAGATACTACGTGGCGGTTGGGTCCTTAGGGGTGGGTATCGGATGTTGGGATCGATGTTGGGGACGCATCATGAATGTTGGAAAGGCTCACTATGGGTGCTGGGATATGGTTGACTACCGGTATGCATTGAGGATAAACCATAGATCATAGAAGATGCGGGAAGCGGGGCCCAAGTTTGCGAGAAGAGATCCGGATCGTACCAGTAAATATGGAGGCCAGGGCTGCTCTTGAGGGTTGTACACAATCCCGGGAAGTTGAATGTTGGTACATTGGTACTTCTTCTTACTTACTTAAGTACCTCCATAGTACGGCAGTTTCGTTCTGATCTGCATATATACCGTACATACGGTACTGCATGTAACGCGGTGAACAGAGGGGGCCGAAGGCTGGAGCCTGGAGCCTGGAGAATTCTGGCCTATGTTCTGTCGATCTGGGCCGGAGTCTACCCTCGGACTACCGGTATACTCCCAATATCTACCTGGTGGATATTGGCCCGCAATGACAGGTGCACAGATAGAGTGTAGGTTTGTATATACGCAGGAGAGAAGGTCTGTGAGTTTTGGAAGTACATGTTGTGATCCCGCAGCACAGAATCTCACCACGACCTCTACGCTTTTTGTGCATGGGATACTGATTATGTACCTGAGGTTTCTCTGGCTACTCAAGGAACGACGAGAGCGCGCCGGTACGTAAAGTATCGTACTCCCCGGGAGGGACAGGGTTAAAATGAAATACAAGTACTCCAGTTGCCATGGCCGAAACTGGCCGATCACGGGGAAAAAATCGAGAAAGAAAAAAAGAAGAAAAAAGGAACTAAGCTGCTCAGTGCGCTACGATGATCGATCATGGAAACCATGGCCCACGGCCGATCATGACGATGCGCCATGCCCTCGCCGAGCTAGGTACCTGGTATCTTGACGAACCGGTATGGTAGAGAAGCGTCACCGCTTGGCGGGCGAGCACAACGCCTACCGAGCATGCCACTCGGGAAGTCGGTGAGTCGGGGGCAACCGCGTCACTTCGCTCAGCGCCACAGAACCCGCAAGTTACAACAGAGTAATCCGGCCCAGCCCGCCGACCGCCGACCGACATTTCCACATTTCCGCCATTTCCCCGCACTTCTGGGAACATCACCGAGTGATCATGCATGAGCACTCGACTCCACTCCACTCCCTCCCTCCGATGCCATCACGTGACCCTCAGCCCTCCCTTCCCAGATCTCACATGACCCCACCCACCTCAAAGCCTCCCACTCCAGTCTCCAGTCTCCGGATCGGAGAATTGGAACAGTCACAGTCCAGTTACATTGAACTCAAAATAAAATAAAATTGCACTTCCCGCGTCACTGCATGGCAATGCGCCTCCCCCCCGCCTCCGTCAGGTCATGCACGGGACTCGGGAGGGAGGGCGAGTGAGTCACACTTTTACACGCGGAGAAGGGGGGGTAATTAGGGGGCGAGGGGGGGGTACTATCTATTGCATCGATAGAGAGATATCGGTGCTGCCTGAGGTATGGTACTCTACATAGAGAACATAGAGAACATAGAGAACATAGAGAAGAGAAGAGATGACTGCGGGGAGGGGCGGGAGGCACAGCAGATGGATGGTTGTTTGTTTGTTTATGTAGAGTACTGCCGGCCTGCGGCTGCTAGGTACTCTACCGTACTCGCATATGTATGTACCGTATATATGCCCCCCAGTGGAATCGCAAGTACTCTACTCTATAGGTGTTCGTGGAGTCAGACTCAGCGGAGGAGGAGCGTTGCGTGCAGACGGAGCGAGCCGACATTCACACGCTGGCTTTTATGTATGGTGCGAATCCACGGTTGAAACACAATCCTTATCTAAACCGAACCGAACCGTATCTAGAAACAATACCTGGGTACGGTAAACGCCTGCTCGACCACTCAGCTGACCGTAACTGCCTGTTCGAACACCTACTCTATCTCCCCGGTTAACCAGGTAGAGTAGGTAACTGACGAATCGTCGATCGAATCTCGATGCATGTGTTGGTACTGGTAGAACACATCCCGTGCAGATGTGAAACGTGGACTGGGGCCGCCGGGAATATATGTATGAGATTTCCGGGTCCTGGAGACTGGAGACTGGGAAAGAGTGGGGTGTTTACTTTAGAGTATGAGGTAGGTGGTTCTTGAAGGTTGAGGCGATAGGCAGATAGCGTAAAGTGTCAAGTTGGAGATAGAGGTAGAGCTCGGGTAGAGCATACATAGAGTAGGTATCATATGACAGAAATAGCATTCAGACTTAAGTTGGGATTCTAGAATGTGCGATGATGGTTATGCCTCCAGACTCTTGAGTCAATATCGAAACTATTTCTGGACCCTACTTTGGCCTCGGGAGTTGGATATCTGCCTTTTAGGATTTGTCCCATCTTGCAGGCCTTTTTTGGGGCCGTTTAACGGTTGAAGATCTTCGTTAAACGTCAGGATCCGCATCCGCATCCGCATGAGAGCTGCTGCTGCCGGGCGAACCGTTAAAGTGCCCAGGGATCGTCACTCGTACCGTATCTGCGCCATGAAAACCAAGGTGCAACCGTTGAAGCTTATCATGTTTGGATCGGCTATACGAGCTACCGGGACCCGTTACTTTGCGGCGCCGACGTCATCATACTCCCCGCCTCTAGAGTCAATCTCGCTACCGATACCAGCTACGTACGCTCCTCCTCATTGTCGAATTCCTTACCTTCGAAGAAAACCTTTTGAGCAAAAACCTCCTCTTTAACTCATCGCTGAGATATCAGCCAACATGTCTGATCTGATATGTACAAAACCTCACCACTGATAGCACTGCCTACTCATCGTGCCGAGGCTGGGTTATCTCCCGATCCCCGTCCGGCATCATATTCTGCATTCCGTCGGCGGTGGGGAGACACCCGGAGCCGTGCGGAATCGGATGAATGACTTGTAACGTGACCTTGATTTTCACCCCAACGACAACTGTAGAGTAGTTCTATCCGCGTCACATGTCCATGGCTGCACTTGTTCTGGTGTCTTGCTGCATACATAGTCGCCCGTTGCGGTTGCATCTGCCGCTTCGGACGCTTGGATAGAGTAGATGTCGCTGAGGTCACAGAGGGTCACTCGGCAGTTGCCAGCAGCACGTCAGTTGCCGATGCCCTCCCTGGCGGTCTGGCCATGAAGACGTGACTCGTGATGTGGTTGTCTACATACGCGCGACATCCATCGCGTAGAATAGATTTGCCGCGAGGGACATGCGGGGGAGGGGTGGGGGGGAAGCCGTTTCGAACGTTCTGCCGTTCTCCCGCAGAGTAGTGTACTTTTGACGCGGCACTCCAGAGCCAATTCCCAATGGCCATCGCGAAGGCCTGGCCTGACCTCGCCAGACGACGGATCTCGGCCTTTGCATCTGGCGCCGGGTATTCTGACCTTGACATCGATAGGGTTTTGCCAATCAATCGACTCGTCCTCTACCGTACAGATGTAACGATCAGCATGATGCAATCCTTACATGTGTATGCGGAGCACATGAGGGTTCGGAGGGTTCGTTGAAACCGTAATGGTCTGAGGTCATGGACGTGAAACGAATGTACGGATGGACGGAGTCGACTGCCTCTTCCGAGTCCTTGATAGATCGATACGCCGCTGACGGGCAAAGGGTTGTAGTAGCCCCAGGAGGCGATACCCAAGCGCCTCCTTTTTTCTTGCGTCGCCACTCGGAGGGGGAAGGGGGGTTAGGGGGAACTGGATTTCAGGCGTGACCTGGCTACGACAGGCTGGGATTTGCTGACCACCTTGACGACACCTCCTTTTCTATTTTATTTTATTATTATTTCCATTCTCTTCTGTTCTGTGCTTGTGGGCAACGGGTGTTGCTCTTCTCATTCCTCCTTTCCTTCAACTCCCTTCACTTTCGACCCCCTTCACTTTCGACGGTCGCTTGCATTCCCGTTTATCGCCAGCCATTTTTATTTTATTTTTATTTTTCTTCCCTTCCGACACGACACGGAATGGACGACCACGACGGATTTTCTTTCTTTTGAGGGGTAGGAGCTCCTTCGGCCGCAGAGAAACAGTCGCAGCAGCAGCAACAGCAGTGGGGGCAGACGAGGCGCCAGTCCATGTGGTCTCGTTGGTCAGTCGCGAGGTCGACGGTTTGGTTGGTTGGGCAGCGGGAACGCGGAATAATATCGCGGGCGACGAAAAGAGGAGGAGCTTCCGGATGGTGGTCTTGGTTGTGGTGGAGGGCGGTGGTCACTGGTGGTGGTGGTGTGTGGGTGGGTGGGCGGTTCAGCCAACGAGAAAGACGATGACGACAACGCAACACAGCAAAGCACAGCGCAGTTGGAGAAAAGGCTCCGACCGCCGACGACAGGCAGCCAGGAGAGGAGATTCCTTGTTTGGGACGATGACTGAACTCTACCGAACTCGACAAGACTTTGCAGGCCATGCTAGCCGGTTAGCCATCCCCGTCCTGGTTGGTTGGCTGGGACCAGCCATAGCCACAATGGAGCGACACACAGCGACGGGCAACATCCCTTCCCACCCTCACCACCACCACCACCACTCCACCTTTCACCTCCACCTCCAACACCTCCACTACCTCCACCACCAACACCTCCTCCTCCTCTGTTTCCTCCCCTCCCCATCCCCCCTCCCCCACGTCGCCCCCTTCCTTCGTTCCTTTCACTTCGTTCCTTCCTTCCGTTCATCATGATCCATTCTCTCTTCCTCCACCACCCATACCAATACCATCCATACCATTCACCCTTCCATCCATACCATCCCTCATCATCCATCCATGCTATCCCTTCTCTCCATCGTCCTTACTGATACGCGACTGCCTTACCGTTCCACCACTGTCGCCAGCTCTCCGCTTCGAATTTAAATTTCGCGTGAGTCGCGAAAGAGGGGCTGTTCTCTGCTCCGTGATTTCATCGTTGTCGCTGCGATGCCGACGACACTTGCAACAACCACGGTCGCGCGCACACACTCACATCATTTCGCATTCACACTCACACTCACATAACAGACTTCTCTCTTTGACACACACACATACATGCTCCATTTATATCGAACAGATCACGCAGTCTTCCTTTCCTCCTTCCCTCCTTACGCACACTGACCTTGCCTGCGCTCTACTTACTCACTTGCTTTGCTGGCCGGCTCGCTTCGAGCCGCATGCTGGCTCTGGGGGTGTTGGTCGCAGTGGTGTGTGTGTGTGCGTGCGGAGTGTGGACAGCGGGTCCGGCTCTGTTTGAGTTTTTTCCCAGCTAACCCACGTAGCGCTTTTTTCTCCTCCCTCCATCCACTTTCGCCCCGTCCGCTTGCTGCCTGCTGTTGCTTGTTGTGTCCTTTTTCGGCCTTAACTTCATTTTTGTTGCATACTTACTCTAGAGTATCTTTGCCGCGGAGACTTGGCGCTCCTTACGCTTCTATTACTCTTCTCCGTTCAAAAAAGTGATGTGTTAGCGTGTAATGCAAGTGCAGCAGTGACTGGCCCCCCGACCCCCCAGGCCGTCCCGCAAGTATAAAAGGCCGGCTCGCCCACTCCAGAATTTTCGAAATCCCTTGGCTTGCCGTGCTTACAAACGTCCCACCCAAACGTCCCATCCGCCATCACCACCACCCCTAACGCCACATCTCCCTCTTCATCTCTTCTCTTCGACTTCCATCGAGACAGTTAAATACTGTCTGACCTCCTCGTCTCGAGCCATCTGCCCGAGTCGTCCCACCCTCTTTGAAAACGTAACCTCGTCGCCGTCGTCGTCGATAATACCTTCGTCCGGAACGCGTCGTCATCGTCTGCGACCGAGCGATAGATTCAGAAAAGAAAGAGCCTCCCTCTTCCTTCGATCCATCTATCACCACCACTACTCAGATAGTCCATTAGCTCGTTGGACACACATCCCTCTGTGACAAAATAAAAAATCAACAGAAGACCGAAGAAAGGGAAACACCACCAAAGTTTCAACAACAAAAAAAAAAAACTTCAGGGGAGACATTTGGTTGTTCATCTCTTGAATTTTCGACCCACACACCTAATCGCTTGAGCCGCTTCCGACACTCAGCATACCTTCAACTTCACCGGCACAATCGCACTTCTATTCTAGCCCTCGCCACCGCTAGCCCTCCCTCCCCCCTCCCACATAAATACCCCGCCACACCTCCAATCGACAACACCTCATCGCTCCTACATCCGACACCGCCACCTCCACCTTCACCTCCGCCTCCACCCCCCGGCACCGATCGCAACGACCCCGTCCGTAACCGCTCGCTACGACAGCAACTTCGACAGCACTCACGTCATGGCTGCTATCATATCTCACCCCCAGAACGCTCTGCAGGCGAAGGCGTTTACCGCACCATCGTCTCTGTCTTACGGCACTGGTGACATCACTCCTCCGTCCTCGGACGTCGAGGGTCAGAAAGCCCAGCAGCAGCAGCAGTCGCAGCAGCAGCAGGGAGACGCGCAAGGTCCTGACGCCGGTAACGCTCCTGCGACCCCCGCCGCTACCCCCGGTGGAGGCCCCGGTGTCAGCGGCATCGTTCCGACCTTGCAGTGAGTATTCCTCTTGTTTCTTCTGGTTATCCGTTATGAAAACAAAGGCTTAACTTGCTTGCGCAATGATCGAAGAAACATCGTTGCGACCGTCAACTTGGATTGTCGCTTGGATCTGAAGACCATCGCGTTGCACGCAAGGAACGCGGAGTACAATCCAAAGGTACTTGATTGCTCTGCTGCTGTTGTTGTTGTTGCTGCTGCTGCTGCTTTCGCCGTCGTTGCTGCTATGGCGGCGACGACGATGACAATGAAATGGAAGAGAGACCTTGGCTTATACGAATACAATCTATCTAGCGTTTCGCTGCTGTTATCATGCGCATTCGTGAACCCAAGACTACCGCGTTGATCTTCGCTTCGGGCAAGATGGTCGTTACTGGTGCTAAGTCTGAGGACGACTCGAAGCTCGCCTCGCGCAAGTACGCGCGAATCATACAGAAGCTGGGTTTCGGCGCCAAGTTCACGGACTTCAAGATCCAGAACATCGTCGGGTCTTGTGACATCAAGTTCCCAATCCGTCTCGAGGGTCTGGCTTCGCGCCATCACCATTTCAGCTCCTACGAGCCCGAGTTGTTCCCAGGATTGATCTACAGAATGATCAAGCCTAAGATTGTGCTCTTGATCTTCGTCTCCGGCAAGATCGTCCTCACCGGTGCCAAGGTCCGTGAGGAGATCTACACTGCCTTCGAGTCAATCTATCCCGTGTTGTCTGGTAAGTTTAAACCTTGTTTCCCTCCATATTACATTGTAGAGCTTCTATTAACATTACCCTCAGACTTCCGCAAAGTCTAAACAATACCCCAGATCGGATACTCTTGTGTTTCAGCGACTCATCGGACCGACTTCTACACATGTATTACTACAACTCGCATACAACCTTCCACTTTTTCTGTCATGATCCACGACACGACATTTTCCAAAAGTTGGGGAGACATGAAACCTACTATTACTACCCGGAGGAAGGAGGAAGAACCTGCAATAAAAAAATGAAAACAAAAAGGAAAAGGAGATGAAATACGTGCTTGTTTGTTGCGAGCAGAGATGAGGATATGATGGTACGGATCGGACTTGGGTGTGGTGATGGCTTCCATGTCCTGTTCTGTCCTGTCTACCTTTCTCTCTGTAGCGAACATGCTCTTCTCTTCTAACTTTTTCTTTTCTTTTTAACTTTTTCTTCCCGCATACTTCCTCCCCTATCCTCTTTTTCTACATCTTCCAAATGCATTACAAAGGCGCGCGTGTTTTTTTTTTGTTGTTTTCTTTATGTTTGGGCTTTTCCTTTCTTCCTTTCTTCTTCCCAGTTCAGTTCAGTTGCGACCAGACTGTTTTGTGTGGCTTTTTGTGTTTCGTGTGTGCTTATACGGGGTTGGATTTTTTCTTCTTGCTTTCTTTGCCTTACTAACTTTTACCTGGTGTTGTTGTATCTGCGCGCAGGTTTTTTCTTTTCTGAGGAGGGGCTACACTCTAGAGTTGTTGGCTTGCTGCTTTTTGCTTTCTTCTCTCTGTTTTTTCTTTTCTTTCTGGCTGTGGGCTAGATGTGGTGCTCTGGTGTTTAGGGGATGGGGACGGGGAAAGAAGGGCGTGTGAGTGGGGTGTACATAGGTTGCTTAGCATGATGAGTGAGGAGGATGAGGAGCGGTGAGCAGTGAGGATCGTTGAGGGGGGGGGGGGGGTAATAGCATTGCGTACCCGTTACATTTTTATCTCTTGCACTGAGCTGTGAACAAGCTGTGAACACTGAACTATGATGCAAACTTGGAAAGCCATGATGAAAGATGGAAATAGATTGTGAACGATGATGAGAAATCCATGGTGAAAGATGGAAATAGATCTTGTATGATGCTTAACTCACACTCGGCGACTCTGTCAAAAGAACACAACGCTATCAAACAGCAACGACAACAGCAACGACAGCAACGCATCCAAAACAAACCCAACCATCACCACCCTCACCTTTCCTCCCCCCTCCTCCCACCCCCACCGCCCCCCTGCCTCTTCAACCGTCCAGTAACCACCCACTGGGCATACGCAAGATACCTCTTCTTCCCGCCATCCTCGGTGCCGACATCAAGCGGGTTCTCTGGAATCTCAACGGCCTCACGATACACGACGGCGTCCTCGTCGGAAACGTCAGGGACCCGTATCTCGACGTAGCCCTTATACTCAGCGACAACGCCGGACTGCACGTCTCTAGCGCTGGGCGCGCTCGACGTCACCAGCGGCAGGTGCAGCGGGTGGTCCATGTACCGTCTGTACTCGGCGCGCTCCTTGTCGCTGATCGATGGGTCGAGCGAGCGCTCGACGGCTTGGTGCATGTTCCTTGTTTCGAGGGGGAGGTCGGATGGTGCTGGTGTGGTGGTGGAGGTGCTGGTGGGGGGAGGGACGGGTAGGCTCGGCGGAATGGGCCAGTGCCGGACGGCCGAGGTCTTGTTTGCTAGGTCGGACGCTTCGACTTCGGCCTTTTCTCGGAAGCCGGGGAATTCGATGATGCCGCGCCGCTGCTTGGTTTTTTTCTTCGAGGATTGCGCTGGTGGTTCCGCCGCGGCGCTGGCGCTGCGTACGACGAATGGAGACAGGTCGTATTTGCCGTCTTTGGTTTGCTTCAGTGGGATGTAGCGGAGCGTGCTGTTGAGGTTGTAGGTGAACACTTTGAGGAACGAGGAGACGGCCTTTGGACGGTAGTATTCGAGCCAGTAGTCGTCGAAATAGTGGTACGGTTTGTCGGCGAGCGGAGCCGGGAGCGTGGGAACATTGGGGAGCGTACGTGGTGAGAGGTGCGATGGCGTCCACCATTTTGTGTAGCTGCGCCGTTTGCGGCCGAGACGTGGGTCGGCGTGGTGGAGGTAGTAGTCCGTGCTGAGGTCCCATAGCATCGGCTGGCCTTGCGCGAAGATGTAGTTGCCGAGAAAGAGGTTGTATGCTTCTTGTCGCTGGCCGTCTGTAGAGTATTAGTAGCTGGTAGGGACAGAGGGAAGGGGACATACCGAGGAAGGAGTTGTTGTAGTAGCGCTTGAAGCTCTCGAGCATGTCTCGTGAATGGCTGCTCCACTGATTGATCTTCCTGTAAGTTTCCATGGTGTTGACTAGATGGCTACCAGCGTACTGAACCGCGATGGTGTCACCGTGATCGTGGTACATGTGCGTGAATAGATCCACGGCGTCCGTGTCGTAGTCGATACTCGTACCATTGATCACGCCTAGAGCATGCAGTTGATGTCCCAATGCTCTCTTGCCAATCACAAACTGCGCGGCATTGGTGCGATCGAGGCAATCGATGCAGTTGGTCCTGCATACACCGTTCTGGAGTTTCGGTTGGTGGGTTCCATTGATGGCGCCGTTGTGGAAGAAGCCAGTGGTGCTGACCACGTTCTCAGCAATGATCTCGAGTGTCTCGATCACATCTTGATCCCGGCTCTTCGCCGCTCGAGACATGTCCCAGGCAATGTAGTGGATGTGCTTATCGTCCGGCAGGAACTGGTTCAGGTAGTTGATGGCCTGGGTGAACTCCTTAAGCAGCAATGACTCCCGGGGCATTCTCTCCCTACTCTTGACTAGATTCAGCACGATTATCGGTGCACCGTATCTTCCGAATAGATCATCGAAGTGCAATGCCGCAGCACTGAAGAACGGATCGACGAGATTCATCTCCACGGGTGGTTTCGGCGTCGCGGCATCGTTCTTCTGCGTCCAGAAGAGTGGGATGCTGCCGCGGTGCTGTACATAACTCGTGTAGTTTGGGTTGGAATACAACGTCCTGCCCGGGGCGTGAAAGCTCGTCGTCAGCATCTCGCTGACAATCTGCTCCGTCTCGACGTCGTTGGCGACGTATCCCAAGTCGTTCGCGCCACGCTTCAGGAACCGCGCTCCGGCAAAGTACCGCGAGCGCCGCGCGATGATGGTGATGTAGATGGAGCGGCCGTAGACGGCGATGTTCGCCTGGTCGACGTAGCCGTGCACTATCGGCATGCACCAGTCGTACGTGTTCTTTATACCCGCCTTCGCTGGTTCCAGGAGATAGTGGTTCCACGCGAACATGTCGTTGTAATCATGCTTATCCGAATGCGCCAGGCCCTTCGCCAACGCCTCCCGTTGCCGTATAATATTGTGCTGCAGCGTCCGAGTGATATCATACGAATAGCTGAAGTAGAAGCCGCGCGTGAGATCCAAGTTTCCGAGGATACTGACGAATCTGGCTTCCTCCGAATTCCTGTCCGGTTTCTTGGACGCGGCACTGGTCGTCAACGGCACCATCTCCGTGTCGTCGATTTGGTAGACGTAGTGTCCTCCGATCATGGCCACCACGCTGCGCTTCGTGATCAGGAGCATATAGAACACACCGGTGAAACGGATGAATCCGAGCAGTCCCCAGAACGGACACCTCTGTTTTAAGCCTCCAGTAGCGATGTTACCGTCTTCGATCGTAGCCAGTAGCCGCATCATCTCCGCTCGAGTGTATATCACCTCGTCCTCGATGATGCTCAAATCTCCTTCCTCCGCAGTCCTATCGATCTTTATGATCCGAAACTGCTGATCCAGCAGGTCTGAGCCGACGATGTAATACCTCGTAGTAGTCTCGTAGAGTGTGAAGCGATGCATTCGGCGGACCGCATACTCAATCGTCTCATCATCGTCATAATACCTCTGCCTCGCCCCACCACCGCCACCACTCTGCGCCGTACGGTCAAACGACTTCGGCACGCTTGGCTCCTCATCCTTGTCGTCCGACAGCGGTTGTCTCGTCCCGGGACTCGACGGCGGATTATTGCTCAACTGCGGATACGTTGGGCCGGACTGTATGTGGACCTTACGTTGCGCAGGCGCTGGAGCAGGTGGGGGAGGCGTCGGCGCAGGCGTGGGCAGCGCTGCGGGTGGCGCCGGTGGTGGTGCCTCCTGCGGTCCGGCGTCGTCAACTTCGAGCAGCGGTGCAGGTGGCAAGTCAATAGGCGCGCCGTCTGGTAAGATCTTTAGGCTTTCGCGTGGAATGTCGGCCGAACCCCGAGGCCGATGAGCTTTCTCGTCGGATGCGACCTTTAAGTCCTCATCTTGGACATCCACTGCTGCCACCGACGGTACTGGAGGCACGTATCCCCCACCTCCTCTTTCATCCCCTCCTTCTCGTCCGCCACTGTCGGCTGGTGACGGCGGATCGATGTTTGCGGTTCTGGTACTGTTGTCAGTGTCGATGGTCGGTGGTGGCGGCGGCAACGACGACGGGGGGTCGTTATCGTTCATAGTGTTGGGGTGTGCGATATTGATGGTGTTTGAAGGATCGCTTGCTGGGGAAGCTGAAGCTCTTTCCTTTGCCCAGTTTCTGTGCCGTCCTGGAATATCTCCCGTCGAATGCGCTCGAGGAGTCGTGAACACTGATCGCCATAGGTAGTCCATCCATACCTGCAGGGCACAGGGCGCTGGGTGCCCCCGTGACGTAGCTTGGCTGGTTCAGGAATGGAGATAGGCGCCACATGCTTTGGCCCCGCGCCGGCTGCAGCAGCTCGCAGCTCGCAGCCAAACGCGCCCCCACGCGAAGACCATCGTCTCTGGCCGCTTCGGTACGATACCACGTGACTCGTCTCTGAAGAGTACGAACGCCATCTGCTCCCACGGCTTCCGCTTCATCTACTCTCCGCGGCTATCCTGCGACTTCTATGTCTCTATCTCGTGCATTTCACTTTCCCCGTCAATGCGCTCACATGTTTTCGCCGTCCCTGGCTCCGTGAGTCCTTGCCAGTTCCATCCGGTTTTGGCCTTGCTTCTGGCCTTCCGTTCGTTCGCTTAGGCCCTCCCTCCCTTCCGGCCTGCGCTGACATGTGAAGGCACAACAAGAACATGGCCCGGCCTATCTTCGACAAAGAGATACGCACGCCAATCTTCAGGCCGGCCAGCAATCCCCCCCGACCGCTGTCCCTCCGCTTTCACATGCCAATTAAAAACTCGGACGGCAAGAAAACCAACGAAAGCCTCCTGCGCACGCTGCCATCTTCTTCCAGTCCCTTCCCTTCCCCTCCCCAACTGCTATCAATCGATCGATCAGCAAACGGCGATACTACTATCGGAACATCTCGCGACGTGCCAGGAGACCATCCACCCGGCAATCAGCCCATCCCATCTACACGCGACCCATACTATACTGGCCCTCATCTACCCTGTGTCTGCACCACCCGACGAACTTCCGCCAACTACTCCAACCCTATCAGCCCTGAATTGAGCAACTCAGCATTGAAATCCAATCCAATCCACAACGATGGCTCCGGTCCCAGCCCCAGAACCGCACGACGATCCCCTCGTCCACAAAACCCGTCTGATCGAAGGTGCCCCCCCTTTCGACTCCCCCCCTCGCACCGCCCACTAACCCCACCAGAAATTCTCTCCACCTCCGACCTCTACCGCGTCCTCGGTGCCAGCCGCGGCAGCTCCAACAACGACCTACGCAGACACTACCTCGACCGCTGCAAAGTAGTGCACCCCGACAAGCTCCCCAGCCACCCCCTCAGCACGCCGGCCTTCCAACGCCTCTCGCACGCCTACGAGAGGCTGCGCACGCCCACTCTGCGCGCGCAATACGACCGCACCTCGCCGCGGCGCACGCCGCAGTCCCCCTCCAGCATCGGCGTGGAAACGACCTTCCGCGGCGCGGTCCTCAGCATCCTGCAAGAGTTCCTGCACGGCGATTTCCAGCTGGTGCGCCGGCTCCTGGGCGCGCTGGGTAGGCAGTATCCAAACCTGGTCAATGACGAGGTCGTGACCAGCCTGGAACGGAGCTTTGCCCGCATGCGCGAGCTCGTCCTCACTACTCAGACGTATGCCCTGCTGCTGAGCATCGAGCTTGGGCGCCTCCACCGCGTGCAGAAGAGGTTGATGGGGCTGGGGTACTTCGATGTGGTGGGCCGCATGCGTGTGGGGATGCAGCTGGTCCGGGTGACTTTGGCTATTCCCGTGCGGGTCGACCGCGCGCTGAGGAGGAAGGAGGAGCGCGAGTGGAAGGCGAAGCAGGAGGGGATTGAAGGGCGCATGGAGGGCGAGATCGGCGCGAGGCTGCTGAATGAGAGGGTTGCTAAGGTGCTGGAGTTTATTGTCGGTAGTGAGGTCGAGGATATGCCCGAGGATGGACCTGTGAGGTGGGGCGGTGGCTGGAATGAAGGCACCAGGGCTGCGTGATGTGATGTTGATGTTGATGTTTGGTTTTGGGTTTTCTTTCTTGAGACGGCGTTCGGGAGTACGAGTGCCTACCTACTGCTTTTGGTTGTGGTTTGGCTTGGGATATAGACGGTTGTACATGTACTTTGCTTTTCGGGTGGTGGTGGTTGCTGACTGACTCTTCTCATGACGATATGACGATATTCGTTCAAATTATCGGTAGCCCTTAGAATGCTACTGGTTTTCATTATGCCATGACATCGGGACCACACATCTCCAAGTACTTAGGGAATGGTATCGGAGAGAGAAAAAGAGAACGGAAATAGATGAGTCCGAATTGATTCTGAAAGGCCTGATATTTTCGTCTCAGTTGGTCATGCCTTCGGCCCACTAGGTACTCTACTCTATGTTCCAGCTCCAGTCAGATTGTACAGCCTCTCCATGTAGGTAGTTCGGTAGGTAACGACCGACTCCGACCGACTCCCGCCCACTACCCGTAGTCCCGATGTCCGCTCTCGCCAGATTCACCTTGCGAAGCGGAAGCGCATTTTCGGAGAGTCGAAAAGCCACCGATTTCGCGATAGAAGGGGGATCAAGTCAAGAAGCAGTGCGAGGGTGAGGGGAAGCAGAGTGTGACCGCAGCTCCGCAGCAGAAGCCTCGTCAATCGACAGACAGGCTGCCTGGCAAAGCGTTGCCTCATCACTCGACTCGACCTTTTCCGGCACAATGAGCGATTTCTTGGGTACCTATTTCCTTCCTTTTTTGTCTCCTCGCCGGTGGAGTTCCGTGGGGGAGGGCGGTCGAGGTGATGGTCGGTGGCTTCGTCGTGCTGCGAGCGGATCGGAGTACAACGGGAGAGGACGCGAAGGCTGAAGCCTGAGCAAACTGTGGGTTGTGCCTACTAACGCCTGGCGACTGGGCAGTGGGGCGAGGTTGATATCACTAATTTTGGGTCCTATACTTATTACTATTACCCCGAATCACATGTGCTCCGCCGAGAGGGCGGTATGTCGCTCACTGCCGCTCACTGCCGCTCACTACCGCCACGTGCGGATTGATCGATATGGCATGTCTACTCAAAACCCACATATTCTTCGAAATACGCACATGCGAAGCGCGAGGGATCCTTGGACGAGCAACTGATACTCTGAGATCATCTCGTGTGGTGAGACTGGAGTTTGACCGAGTGACGACTAGTGATCGCCTCCCGCCACGGAATGGTAATCCATTTCTCCGACTTGTCAGGACTCAGCCGTGAATGGTCGGTGCAGATAGGTAGACAGACAGCAGTAATCGCTATTGTAATATTCTAGAACCGACAAAAGCACGTTTCCCGCAACCGCGCTACGGACTCAACCTCTTGACAGTCCACACCTCGCTGTCGACACTCTCGCGCTCGTACACAAAGCGATCATGGAGTCTACTCTCCCTGCCCTGCCAAAACTCAACGTATACCGGCCTAACCCTAAGCCCGCCCCAGAACTCCGGCACCGGAATCTTCTCTTGACCCTCAAACCTTTTTTCAACCTCGCTGACCCTCTCCTCAAGCGTACTCCTATGCTCAATAACCTCGCTCTGTCTACTAGCCCAAGCACCAATCCTGCTGCCCCTAATCCTAGTATCAAAGTACCTTTGACTCTCCTCTGGGACCAGGCGCTCCGTGACACCTTCAACACGCACCTGCCGCTCCATCTCCCGCCAGTAGAACGTCAGGCTCGCCCACGGATTCCCGCGCAGGTCCTGCGACTTGCGCGACGTCCCAAAGTTGCTGTAGATTACAAAGCCCGTCGGGTCCAGCTCCTTGAGGTACACGGTGCGCGCGCTGACGCGGCCGGATGGGAGCGAAGCGGTCGAGAGTACGAGGGTCTCCGGCTGGTACACGGATGCCGACTGCGCTGCTGAGAACCAGCCGTGGAATTGCGTGAACGGCGAGGAGGATAGGTCGGCCGTGGAGAGCGTGCCGCGGGTGTACTGCCCGTCTGCGGGGGCGACTGGGGGTGTTAGTTGGGGTTTTTAGAGGGGAGGGGGAGGCGGACAGATTAGTTTTTCGCCCGTAGGAGTGGTAGAGAAGGAGGTGGAGGAGGCGGGGGTGGTGTTGGATGAGCCCATGGAGATGGGCGTGGAGGCGGAGGTGGAAGTGGAATTGGAGGAGGCCATTCTGCGAAGGTTCAGAGGTGGCGTGGTGGTGAAGAGTGTGCGTGTGAGGTTGCGAAGCATACGATGTGGGTATCAAAGGTGTAGGTAGTCGAAGAGAATAAGTGAACAGAAGAGAAGCTGCCCAGCAGGACAGAAAATGGCGTGAGAAACAAAAATAGTCCGATCCCCGGAGCAGAACGTAAAGCTTCCTGATCTAGGATTCTAGGGACATTTGCCCCACTGTGTGACCGTGGACCGTGGAGCGTGGTACGGCGACTTCCGCCCCGCAACGTCATCACGCTCCGATCGCTCACCTTAGTTACGCGCGAACCAGCTCCTTCCCTCCTCCCTCCCCCCACAACCCAAGATGACATCCTCACCCCCGCCCCCGCAAGAGCTCGCACACAGCACCTACTACCAGAACGACCTCGCCCTCGTCGAGCCGCACGACCCAGACGCGTGGAAGCGCGTGAAGCCATATTCCGCGGGCTACCGCCGGCACCCCGTAACCTTCATTCCGGCCGGGCAGACGTCGTCAACGTTCCCGAGCACCTCATCGCCGCACACGCCCAGCAGCAGCGGGGCGGACGTCGCGGCGCGCTACCTCCGGCTCGTCGGGATCACCTCCTCTGCACCCACACCCGCCGCCGCCCCACCGCCGGAAAACTGCGCCAGCTGCAACCTCCCCATCGCCACCGGGCACGAGCTGACGCTCGCGCACCAGTCGTCTTTGGAACACAGTTTCCCGCCGCACCACCACAGACGGGGTGTGGGGCTGAAGATTCTCGAAGAGAAAGGGTGGGATCCCGAGGAGCGCAAGGGGCTCGGGAAGCAGTTGCAGGGCGACCGATACCCCGTCAAGGCGGTGGAGAAGAAGGATCGTCGAGGACTGGGCGCGACCGCGAAGAAGAAGCCTACGGCGGGCGCAAGGGTCGAGAAGGTAAGGGAGAAGTTGCATGCCAAGGCGGTCAGGAAGAGGGAGGGCGAGGGGAAGGAGCGCAGGGAGAAGATCATGAGGGAGCTTAGGGGAGGTGTCGATTGGGGCGTCATGATGGGCGGGGAGGAGATGAAGGGGCTGAGATGATGTGGGGCCTTGTAGGAGTGCTCATTACTGCTATTGCTTGGTTTTGCTTGCGTGGGTCATCGGCGTTGGGTTTGCTGGATTGTGCGTAGAGGAAACGGAACACTCGCTCTAGGATATATACCACTCTTCTCATGAGTTGTCGGCCTCCACTGTGTTGACACAACACACAGAGACATGTGAACCTGCCGAGTGATTGAATCGTCGCCACGAATCACGCTCCTCGCCACAATCCTCTCCATTTTAAAGCGCAGCTAGTTCGGCAGCAAAATGGAGAATCTCTCTATTTAGAGTAATAGGTACGAAATTTACCAGCAGCAGATGAACCCAAATCCGTAACAATAAGTATAACAAACGCCGTAACACATGAACGTTAACATCAATCCCGCTTTTGGCTTGCATCCCATTCCAGTCACCCGCCCACCGTTTATCGACTCCTGGTGGTTCCCATTCCTCTCTTTCCAGCAAACTATGTCTCCCGTTAGCATCACTGTGCAAGAAGAGAAGGAGAAGGGAGCGTACCAAGTGCTTGGCGATACTGGCAGTCTGGTGCCTATCGGCCTCACCCTGTCTAGCCATGCGGTTCATCTTCTTCTGACTCAACTTCGCCATCTTCTCAGCCTGGGTTCTGGCAACATCTCCCTCTCCAGTTCCGTCGTCACGTCTGTTCATGCTTCTAGCCCTGGCCTTCGCCTTTTCGATAGCCTTCTGCTTGTTCTGTCTCGGCACGCTCAAGCCTCTAGCCGCACCCTCGCCATCCTCCATATCCACGTCCTCGTCGTGGCCACGACGGCCCCGCGACTTGCTTCGTGCACGCTCAGAGATCTTGGTGTGGTCCAGACCAAGCTTGTCAAGATGCGCCTCCATCTCGGAGAGCTTCTTCGCCGGGCCGTTGGAGCGCGGCATGATGGCGCGGTTCTTGAGTGCCTTCTTTGATCGTGCGGCATTCCGGATGAGCTGCTGCTGCTCGCGGATGTAGTCGGCCTTCTCTCTGATGTCCATCTCCTCCTCGTCCTCGATGTCTTCGGGCTCGTCGTAGTAGCCCGACGCCTGCAGCTGCTCCTCTTCCTCTTCGAGCGCGGCGAGCTTGGCGTCGATATCGGGATCGATAAAGTCGTAGACGTTCTTGCCGTTGAACATCTCGGGGATCTTGTCCTGCTTCCAGTCGTCGTCCTCGAGGAGGTAGTTCTTCTTGAGGTTGATGTTGTAGACACCTGCACCACCATTCTCGGCTTCGAGGTCGCGTTCGAGCTTGCGGCGGTTGGGGTCGTTGATGTCGAATTTCATGCGGTTGAGGACGGCATCGGGGATGAATGGCTGGGGCTCGACGCCGCTGAGGGGTCGCGAGACGTGGATACGGTTGAGAATGTTGACGGCCTCGTCGGAGGCAGCATTGCCAACAGCGTTCTTGAGTTTCTGCTCAACGCGGACGGCGAGGAGACGATCGCAAGCGGTGTTGCGAACCTCCATAACGCCCTCCTCGGTGTGGCAAGACAGGCGCAACATCTCGACCTCTCCAGTCTTGGTGATGGTCGCCAAAAGCTCCTGCTTCTCGGGATCCAAATCCTCGGGCTGCATGGCATCGATCTTGTTGACCACGAGGAACACAATTTTGTTCGCGAACAGGGGCTTGATCGAGTGGAACAGCTTCACCTGCGCCTCAACGGTGTATCCACACTGCTCCGACAGATCGACGAAGTAGAGCACGGCGCTGCGCAGATGCGCAATAGCGGTGATCGATTGCATCTCGATGGTGTTCATCTCCTCGAGCGGGTGGTCGAGGATTCCGGGAGTATCGATAGCCTGGAATCGCAGGTACTTGTAATCAAAGTGACCGACGTACAAACTTTTCGTGGTGAACGCATACGGCTGCACATCGACATCCGCCCTGGTCACGCTCTTCAAGAAACTCGACTTTCCAACATTGGGGTAACCGCAGATCAACAGCGTCCGCGTGTTGGGGTCGATAGAGGGGAGACGACCCAAGTGCTGGCGCACCTGCTCGAGGTATTCCAGCGAGCCCTTCAGACGCTTGGTGATTGTCGCCATACGTCCGAGACCCGCGCGCTTCAGCTGCTTGCACTGGAAAAGTGACTGCGCATACTTGATGAGACGAACATAGTCACGGGCGACTTGCTCGATCAGATGTTTTGCGGTCGACAGCTGACCCAGGGCGATACGGAAATGGTCTGCATCGTAGAGCGTGTTCATCAGCGCACTGTGGAACGGATGGATATCCTGCAGTCGCGGGAACGTGTCCAGAATCGCCGAAAGCTTCTCGTTGAAAGTCTCTGCCGTGTACTTGACTTTACGAGTGTAGAACGCTCGGATACGGGAGATCTTGAAACCGGCACGGATCTGGGTGGGCAGGCGGCGCTGGGTCCGGGACAGCACGATGTCCAGGAACTCCTGCGACGTCGGCACCGGTGCGATGTTCTTCCAGGTCTATTGGCGGGCGGCGAATAGCGGGGGTCAGCAAAGCAATGCAAAGCACAGTGGCTGTCGCGCAATCCCGTGACAATGCGGGGGACGGGGGCTACTCACGAGCTGCATCTTTACTGATCGTCTATTTCGGTCGGTGAAAGATGGCGATACCTGGTGTGGTGGTGTTGTCTGTCAGAAGAGAGAGAGGTCGAGAGAAAGTTTCTACGATAAGATTGGGAGCGCCCACTTCAAAAGTGTGCTGGAAAAGTTTGTGGTGGGGCTAGCACATGCGCTAACCTCAAGAAGGTTGGTGCATCCGCTTGGGGGCGGATTCATTACCACTCACTCGCCATGTGACAAGCTCATTATGATTCGACGACCCAGTCCTTCAGTTCATCCAATAATCCAGGTGAGCAGCTGTCCACTCTCCCCACTCGATATCTCATACTAAGCACGCTGGCCAAAGCATAACCTACAGGAACGACGAACACCTTGATACGCAGCACCCGTCTGTCTACGTTGTCCATGGCGACTGCGCACACATCACCAGCCACGCCACATGCCACGCCCGAACGGAGAATACAACTCAAACCGTCCTTCAATCGTTTTCCACCAGCCCTCCCATTCTCCGGTGATCATCGTCAGGATTGAAACGTCAACCCCCCCCCCCCACCCCCCATCTTTCGCCTGAGGGAGGGGTATGTGGATGAGCTCGGGCGAGCGAGCGAGGGGAATCGCAGGCCGTATGCCTTGGGCCCATCGATGCCAACAACACCGTTTCCATGGAACAGAACAGCGCCACCGCGTTCGCTGACCGGCCCAGACGTCGTCGTCGACGTCTGCGTCTACGTCGACAATACGTATTCGCGGATGTGCGGGGGGGTGTGTGGGGGGAGGGGGGAGGGGTGAAGTATGTATGCGTGTGTGGGTCACAACTTCACCTCCCACTCCCACGGCATAGCTCGATGTCGTGGCTGGATCCATCTCTAACGTTCGTGAGTTCGACTCGCTGGAGGGTCGGGGGTCGGTGGTGGTGGTGTTTTTTTTTTGTTTTGCCCCAAACACCACCACCACGGTCCACGCGCACCCCAGCGGCGCAAAATCGACGATTTGTGGTAACGAGGACAGAAAAGATTGGGTAAACCGATGAGATCCCCTTATGCTGCATGCGTCTGCGGGATGAATGAAGCTGATGATGATAAAGCTGATGACGATGTTCGACCCCATCTTTTCTTTTTTTTTTCTTGCTTCGTTTTTTTGCTTGCAAAACTGTGCTTCTTTTCGAAAGATCTACAACATGTACGATACGAGAGCTCGAGAGTCGAGTCACCTCCACCAGCTCAGAGCTATCAATTGACAACCCGCTGACCACTCGATAGACCAAACAACAGCCTGGCCCTGCCCAAGCCACATCGCTATCGCCGCTGATAATCTCCAACTCGAGTTCGGGAGGGGGGGGGACGGGTGGTCCAGACTCCAGAACTTCATCTTCTCCACACTCTTCCAGTCACATAGTTGACATGCGCAACGAACGTTGCAGTAGAGTATGGATCGTTGGGCGGTGATCGACAGAGTCTCACTCGCAATTTCGCAGCTTCCCAGCAGCGCTTCCAACGACAACACTCGGAACCCACCGCAACCCACCCAAACTCCGACTCGAGATCTGCTAATTATATACATACATGCGGTATGTACATACATTGTTTTTCAACTGCAATTTCCCCAGGCAGCGAGCAAGTGCGGGGCAGAGTAGAGTACTCTACATACATCCATACATACATGGAAACCATCTCCCGCGCGCGAGCGAGCGCCCCAGTAGATACATAGAGTACAGTAGTGGGTATTCAAAGGCAAGCGTACGTGGCCCATGCATGCCCTCCTCCCCCCCCCAAAGCTCATCCTAATGGCATCGACTTGCTGCCACCACCGCCTCGACCGCCAACCACAGCCGTCGAGCACACACGCAACGCATGCTAGGTAGGTGGGTAGGTGGGTGGTGGGAACATGGTGTTCCGATAGGCACGGCATGCCGGAACAACTGGACAAATCACTGCCCACAGGTTCGCCCTTCGGTCGTTTGCCTATCGCACCATCTATTCAGTACTGCACCTGGAAGGCAAGCAAGCAAGCAATAACACCAACAACAATAACGCACTAGAGCAAATGGCGGAGAAAGGTAGAAACAGATTAACTTGCCGGGCTGGTGGTTGGGCGGAGACGGTGGTAAACATGTCGGTATATCCGATATCAATGCAACTGCAACTGCAACTGCGACAAGACAGACCATTTAAAAGTAGAGTACAGTATAAGCTACCAGCAGATATGAAAGAGGTGAAAAAAAAAGGAAAAAGAAAGAGAAGCCGGACAAAGACGAAGAAAAAAAAAGTAAAGAACCGAACGGAAAAATCAAAGCTTGATAAGCCACATATCGATACAAGCAACCTCCCGTCGCAGATGCCGAAAACAAAAGCTCCAGAAACAGAAACCCCATCCCCCAAACTCCCGCATAAGGCAAGCGAGTACAGATAAACCGCGTTCCAAATGTAGGCACCAAACGAACAAAAAAATAACGATAGAGCAAAAACAAAGAAGAAAATCATTCATACCGAGTAGAGTAAAGCATTCCATCCGAACGCCAGACAACAGATGCAAAAAGCAGTTCACTTCCAACAGTGCAAGGAAACCCAGACGCGAAATACTGTGGCCCCGATCATGAACCAGGTAAAGGAAAGAACTAGGTAGGCATCTATGTCCAGATAGCAGGCACAAACGCAAGAAGCTGAAAACAGATGACAAACGGGCTGAAGGAAAAAAAGGTGTCTAGTAATACATCGTTAGAAAGAAAAAAATGGCCTTAGACTCTCCCTTGAGAAGAGTTGGTGGGCCGTGAATACACCCAACCATCACAGAAAGATTCTTAAGTGCCGTACTCGCAAGCCGATGGGCTCGTACTGCTCGATCTCGAAGTGATGCACCAAAGTTGGGTGTTGCGGTCGTGACGGTTTACGCACGACCACGGCGTCCGTGTCTCATTGTCCACCGTCCCCTTCCTCTTCCGCCAGCACCTCCTCCTCCGGCTCCTCCCTCTCCGGTTCTGCCCAATGCAGGGCTGCCATTTCCCTTTTGGATCCTGGTATTGGCATCAAACTGGGCACGCGTAAGGAAACTTCTCTCCTGGCGCTGCCCCCTACCTCCTCGGCGGGAATTGCGATTTCCGGGTTGGTGTGAGGTTTTCTTGTACTTGCTCCTCGCATCGTAGGGCAGGCCTCCCGACTCGGATTGCCTCCTCTTCTCCAACTTTTCCAACTTTTCCTCGAACTTCTTGTAGCCCTCTTTGGCTTCCTCGGTCGTTTTGGCCCTCCACTTTTCCCACAGCTCCAATTCACCGGTAGGATCATCCGCGAAGAGCTTGTCTTGCTGTTTATCTCTCCTGTTCCAGCGATTGGGATCGCGCCTCGCCAGCTCCACCTGACCGACCGTAAAACCGGCACTGGGGATCATGTTTTCAGCGTAGTAGTTGGTCATTGGGACAAACTCAAACTCCTCGCGTATGCCTCCCAGGTCGTTGGCAGTCTTCTCGGCATTATCCTGGAGCATCCTAAGGATTTTCTCGTGTGGATCCAAAGTGATCTCGCTGAACTCCTTCCGGGCCATCCTATCGAGAATCCGTGACCACCACCACTGGTAGACATCCGCCATGTGGTGCAGCATTCCAGAACTGTTGATATACTGCGCGGCACGCCTGCAGATTTCGGTGTCCTCGCGATACTTCTCGACAAACAAGTCTGGGTTCTCCACGGCTTCAGATGTTGGCTCGGCGAGCAGCGAGTGATCTGGAGGGATCGGGGGCCTGAGCTGCCTCGGAGGCAGTTGGTTCGGCTGCGACGGCTCGCTGGGCCGGCGGGGCCGGTTTCGTGGCTTGTTGCCAGAAGGCTGCTCCTGCCGAACACTGCCATTGGCGCCAAGGACCGGCCACTCACAGCCCGGGGGTGGATTGCGGATTCGTGCAGCTAGTAAACCAGCAGCGCCGTGAATCAGATTGTTGTTGTTGTCACGCGGCACCTCTAGATGGCCGGAACGATCGTGGTAGGCTCGATGAGCTGGATGAGCTGCTTGCGGTCGCGGCGATTGCGGCAGTGGTCGGGGGGGAGGAAGAGGAGGAGGAGGAGGTAGTGTGGACAAGTGCTGCATGGAGCCGGAGTGGTCGCTATTCCTGCGGTCACCCCAGGAGGAGGGCGTGGACGACGACGACGACGACAACCACGGCGACCGGGGCTCGGTGGACGATGCATCGGAGAAGTTGTGGGGAGGAGGCCGGTAGCGAGCAGGCTCCACCTGCGGTGGTGGTTGGTAGGGTCCTGCTGCAACCGGCAAGGTGTCTTGGTGTGCACCACGACCGCCGCCTTGTTGCCAGCTGTCTCCACGCGGAGACCAGGCTTTAGAGGTACTGCTGTCAGAGCGCATTTCTCTTTGTCTGAGTAGTGTAGAGCTGTAGGAAGCAACAACAACGAGACCTGCAAAGAAGGAAAGAATGACAGTAGTAGCAGCGACAGCGCAATGCAGAAGCAAAAAAAACGGAAGTGGCGTGGTAGGAGGTCAAAGAGGAACGAAGTGCAACGTACAAAAAGGCCTGTCTGGGTGATTGTGCGCTCGCGGTTGTTCTTTTCTTTTTTTCCTTTCTTTTTGGTATTTCTTATTTTTGTCGTCGTTCAGACTTCTCGAGAGGTATGTAAATCGCGGGGTAGTTGTTTGGTGGTGATGGTGATATGGCAAGGTGTGTGTGGTCGATGGCAGTTGAGATCGGATACTTGGGGGGGTACTTGGTGAAAGTGTCCGGGGGTCAGGTGTTGGTGTCTCGTCGACGTCGTTTGATTCGTCCCACACACTAGCGACAAGGGTGTGCTGGATAAACTTACAAAAGCAGCAAAGTAAGTGTGGCTCGTTCTACGCTCGGTAAAGAAACATTGAATTGTATGTGGTGAGGGGGATCATCCCGCGCGGTTGTTCTATATACCTGGCCACCGCCGTAGTTGGGATCAACGGCATAGAATCAATATATCTGCTTCTCGAAGGACTCTCAGAGAGGGTAGCTTTATCTTCAGAAAATATCTGGGGGGGATATCGCCCAGTTCCCTTCGGTGCGCAGCCTTTGCGAGCCGTTTGTGCCACGAGGAGCGGAATATTATCAAGGCTTCAGCCTGGTGGGTCGGGTAACGTCCTGTTGAGAGCCTAGGTCCCTGAGGGTTTGCGATCTCTCGATCTGCTCCTCGAGGCTTCCTCAGGTGCGAGGCTGGCATCAACCCAACGCCTTCTTCGGCCTGGCCTTAACTGCTAGTACTTACCTTAGTTGTCTGGGAAGGCTACACACGAACTTGACCGGTCTGACCAAAGTCAGCGTTTCGTTGTCATTCCCATCACACCACCTCTGGGCAGGTGATCGGAAGCTGCGGGAAGGTAAAACATTGCCTGCGCCCAAATATGTCACGATAGCGATATGTATGTGGGCTGTAGGCACCGATATCTCTATCGCAGCTGTTGCTGTGGCCGTGCCGTCGACGTTGCTCATGCAAGATCGATATCGCAGCTGGTTCAGCCGTCAACTAGTTCTCGTCGACGTCTTGGCTCAGCGGATGGCTTGCATTGCTTCTTTACTCGCTGTTGCGTGCTATGGCGGGGAAATTAGTACAAATGGTGGTGGGTGGGTGGGGGTGGGGGAGGAGTGTTGACTGCCACTGCTCGGATATCGATATCTACCCTCCAGCCTGCGGGCTGCGCCCTCTTCCATCATGACGCCTTTCGAGATAATTATGGGTGGTGCTGGTGGTGGTGGCAAACAAGTCGCCCATAGCGTAGATACGCTACAGGGCAACGTGACACAAAAAGCAACTCCCGAGCATCCCTCCTTGAAGGGCCGAGTACGTAATCCGAAGCTGAGCTTCTTTCAACTTCACCTCTCCTTTTCTCGAGCTCCCCCTTCCATAACCATTCAGTTCTCTCACCCCGGCGGAATGCCGACTTGCCAGCGATGCTCCACCCGAGTATGTACTCCGACAACTCCCCAGCCACGAGCTCGATCGGATCCATCAACTCCCGGACAACTGTGCCCACGCTCGGACCGTTGACCAGGCCTCTGGAAGTTCCAGAAAGCCGTTGAAGGGAACCATGACACGACCAGCCACCCCCGATGTTCTCGAAGGACAGGAAGACGGGTTTGACATGCGTTACCGACCAGCGTGTCCGTGGGTGCTGGCTGACCGGGCGTGGACATTCCGCCTCCCGCCGTTCGACCGCGGACAATAAACGAGATGAGGCACTCGTCACCATACTCCTGCACCCGGAGGGGGGATGGCAAAAGGAAAAAAAAATGATGGGAAAGGTGGCAGGGCAGCGCGGGGCAGGGCAGCGCGGGCAGGGCAGGGCAGGGCAGGTGGAGGCGGAAGCGGAAGCGAAGACACGCAGCACACACACACACACACACACACACACGTTCACACACACACACACATACTCACACACACACTCGCATACTCACACGCACTCACACTGTCTCTCTATCCAACCGTGTGGGGATGTGGGGTTATGCCAAGCGGTGCAGTTATTCCCTTTCTCGGCCGTCCACCAGCACACAGTTCTTCCTCTACGATTTTTGGTGCGCCGCTTACTTACCGGACGGATGGGCCTTCTATCAACGTTCCGCGCGGTGTTAATGGGGGTGGCCGGGGGTTGAGGTGGTTGGATGGAACGGATTGAATGGGTGATGATGTGGAACCCAGAACGGGAATAGGACTCGCAAAAAAAAAGCCCACCATTCGAACGTTCGAACGACGTGGTTTTGCTGCTGCTCGCTGGCCGGCTGGTACATGCGAGCCAGGCAGCCAGTAAGCGCGTACATGACAGCTGCGGTGTGATGGGACTATTGGGTAGCGCGACAAGTCACGTGCGCCGAGGTGGGTGTGTGTGTTGCCGCCCCGTTGGTTCGTTGCGGGCCATATCCTGCCAGCAGTTCGTCCAAAGTTTGTCTATTTATCTGTTTCCGTGGAATGGCGGTTTCCGGTTCGTCGGCGGGCCCTTCCCTTTGCTTTCCTTTCTTCTTTTTCCATTGCTGATGCCTGCTTGCCGCTGCTGACTCGCTGGGAACTAAGTACACACACGGCCTACTCTACTCTGCAGTAACCATGGCACTCCTCCCACGTTAGGTGGAAGCTTGAGAAGGTACTTAGTGACATGTACTCCACTGAGCACACATGTACTCTGCACACTCGCGCACTCACACACACACACGTACGACCCAACCAACAAAGCAGGAGGCTGGCAGCAGGGTCAGTCACAACGCAGCAACAGCAGCAACAGCAACAGCAGCAGCAGCAGCAGCGAGCGACCCGCGATTATGACTGAAACCCCACTCCTCTCCCAGCAAAAAAAGGTGAGGGCTATGCATTACCGGTTTGGACAGGAGACTAACTTGCTACGTCGACAGGATGGACAGCAATTCCCACAACCCGTGGTAACATTCGAATGGCTGAGATCGATAGGGGTGGGACGCACGAAGCCTATATTTCGCGTCCCAACTGTCCGCAATCGACAGATAGAAGCAGAAAAATGATGAAAAACGAAAAATAGAAAGGCGATGCGGCATCCGCCCGTTGATTTGACGGTGCTACTGCTGTTGCTACTGCTGTTGCTACTGCTGTTGCGACTGCTGCTGCTGAGTGATTCGCCCGTCTCTCGACCCTGCAGTGGTAGACTAGCCAGCCGGGCCCCATTGACTTTGGGGCGGCTGTGTTCTTACTCAGTCAAAAGCGATTGCGACCGACAGAGAGAGAGATAAATGCAATCGTCAGTTGTTGGTGGCCTCCACTATACGAAACGTTGTGGCCAGTCGGATCCCGGCACGACCCTACTTCTGCCCGCGCGCCCGCTGGATAGTCACCACCAGTAGCAGAATATGGCAGCCAGCTCAGATGCATTGGCGGGGACGGGGGGAGCTGGGCGGAGGGAGGGGTGGTGGAGGTGCGGTGGTGGAGGTGGTGGTGGTGAAGGTGGTGGTGGACACATCTCAAAGCTAGGGAGTCCCCCAGTCGGCCTGCGAGTTTCTGCTGCTGCTGCGGCCGGTTGCTTGACGAGAGACAGCACTGCAACCGGCACTCGAGACGAGGTGGTCCGTGAGAGATGGCATGAAGACCGCACCGCACAACCGGCCGGTGGGGTGTTGGAATGGGGTACATGTAAAGTAGCAAACCCAGGCTGTGTTGGAGCACGCAAGCAAGCAAGCAAGCAAGCAAGCAGGCAGGTAGGCAGGCAAAGAAAGCATGGCTGGCTGGCCAGTGAAGCATTCTCGGCCACTGGAGGATTCCCGTCATCGTATCTAGAACGAGTAACGAGCAAGGAGAGCGTGTATGTACAGCGCGCAGCTGCCTACTCTGCTGGCACACACCTCTCGGACTTTCCCAGATGTCGCGCCGTAGCTACATACCTACGTCTCGCATCCATCGTGGCCATAGGACTTTTAGGCGTTTAAACTCACGAGAGCGAGCAAAATATAGAAGCAGGCAGAGCACAGTAGCACTAGTTAGCTGGGCTATAGTACCCCAAGGCAATAGTAGATGAATAAGTATTTGCGTATCGATGCGTTAGGTAGGTGCCAGATAGCTGGCCCGCCAATATTTGCGCGCTTCCCGAGAAGCGGGACAACTCATAGACGATCATTCTTTGCCTCCGCCGGCCTTAGGGACAACGTAGACATTCGGAAAGTAAAAAAAAAGAAAAGGGTGGCGTTGTCGTACCGATGTGCGGTAGTGAGCAAGTGAGAAAGTGAGCAAGTAAGCAAGTGAGCAAGTGAGTGAGTAGTAAGTGAGTGAGCAAGTATGGCATGTACTGTGTGCACAGATACTCTGCTGTACATACGGTGCAGAGTGTATGCTATGCAGCATCGTGATTGTAGAGTACATACATCTAAGGAGGTACATACTAGGAGCGTTGTTGTTGTTGTTGTGTAGTGCGGGCTTTTTTAGTGTGATGGGGAATGGCGGCGTTCGTTGTCGCCCGGTTGCTGTTGTGGGTCGGGGTTCTCGTTGCTGTTGTTGTTGTTGTGGCCACCATGGATCTGGTTGCTTGGGTGGTCCGTCCGTGGGGCCGTGGCCATGAACCATGGGGCTTGCTGGCCGTCGTCAATCGTGTCAGGGATCGCCTCCACCTCAACCCTCCTCCTCCAGCTCCACCTCCACGCCTACCACCCCCCTCCCCCTCCTAACCCACCCCCCGAGCATCCAGCTCATCGCTCCGCTGCCCCCCTCCCCTAACCTAAGCTCCGTTTCCAGTCCTGGGGTCCAACGTCAGTCAAGCTTCGGTCCCCAGTAACGATCCGCGCTGCCACATACTACTGCCCTACATGCAGCATCACAACCCACCCCCCCCCCCCCCAACAACAACAACAGCACCAGCGCATTGCGGCCGCCGTGTAGAATCGCAAGTATAGAAAAAGGCCCGCCTTCGCCAGTATTTCCGTTGAACACAGATTCATCTTCCTGAAGATCTTCCTCCGCTTCCATCGTCTTCTCATAACCCCGCCTCCCTCCCCCCGACGCAACCTGCAAGTACCTCTAGCACCCTCTCCAAACAATCCCGTAAAAGAAAAGGAAAAAGGAAAAAAAGAAAAAGTCATCGTTACTTCTTCTTCCATCTTCTACTCCTACCGCCACAGCCACTCATAAGGTCAGTGACAAAGCTAGAACGATGCAGTCCCCACCTGTGTCCAATGGCCCCCGCGCAATTGCTGTCGAACCCTCCATATTGACACACTGCAATATATAGAAGTCCCGCATCTCCCACCTTCCACAGACCCCATCAACTTCATCACCGGAATCTTTATCCAACATCCTACCCCCACCCCCAGCAATAATCTCCAACATGGCAATCAAAACCACTCCCGCTGCCTCGAGATGCCTCGGCCTCCCAAGCTCTATCGATTCGCCGAGTCGGCTCGTCCACCCCCGCGCCCGCGAACTCTACGAGCACCTCCGCACCTTCCCGTGGGACGTCTCGTGTCTCACCTACCTGCGCTGCCGCCACGAAATCTTCCCCGAGGTCTTTGCCGGAAAGTCCACCACCACCCAGCTCGTCGAGTACCTCGTGGAGCTGCGCTTCCTCGCCACCGCTCTCAACGGTTGGTCGGAGGTCGCCCTTGGCCGGTAAGCACAGAAAAACAAAATCCCCCCCAAAATCTGCGCGCTCTCTGTCGCTCTCCTCTTGTGGGCAGTACTCTGCAGCCCCATCCAACCTCGATCATGCAGCTTTCTCTGCAGATACAGGCTAGCGTCAGGTGGCAGATATACTTGCCAGCCAGCAGCGGCTGCCTTTAGAGCTCCGCTGGCACTGCATCCCCTAACCCTGTTTCACCATCTCCCTTTCCCCCTCTTTTTGTTTTATACAAAAAATCCCACAACCACGTCAGTCGTGCATCCTGACTGACGCAACTTTCTCCCGTTAGCTCCCCGCACCATCTCGCGCCACTGGACAAACGCTTCATCATCTTCAGCATAGCCAACGCCTACCACGAGCTGCCCGATGTGCTGAAGGAGCTCATGACGATCAAGGATCGATCGTACAGCTCGTCGGTCAAGAAGTACTGCGACGAGGTGCATCTCGGTCTGACCGAGATCTACCGCCATCCCGACATCAAGGCGCTCTGCGAGAATGTTAAGCAGAGCCCGATTCCGATGGAGTTTTAGAGTACATACGCACCTCGCATTGGCCATCGCTGGCACCACGCCGCCACCACGCTGCCAGCACCCAACACTCAACATCCATACCTTTCCACCGTCGTCCCGCCGAGAATTACCTATATCCGCACGATTAATGTCCCTATTTCTTCGACACCGAATTCTTTATTATTACTTTTCAACTGTCAATACGCTTTTTACCCTTTAGTATCAGAACCAGATTGTGCGAGGAGGACACAAAGGAACGAATACCTTACCTAGTACACAACAATATGCAACCACCGACGGGACACTTTTATCAATTCATCGCCGCTTGAGGAGCGACAAAAATCAATCATCTTCATCTTCTCCTTCATCTTTCGACTTCTCCTCAACCTTCTTCATCCTTTTCTTCATCTTGGGGGCTTCTTATTTCTCTTCATCTTCTTGGTCTCCTTTGTTTAATCTCTGGGTCGGGTTCGAAAAGATTGCTACTTCGCTGCTGCCAGGTTGCGCGCGCGCCAAAAAGCTGTCCCACTTTTTTTTTCCGGCTTCCAATCCATATTTCATCGGAGAGAATGGCGTTAACGATATGATTTTTCGGTCGGGCATTTTTTATTTCTTATCTATCATGCATGAAAATATCCGGTGTTATGAATCCTTTTTTTCTTCTTTTTTTCTCTCTCTTCCTTTTCATCTTCGGGGTTGTCTGTCTCACATCATCTTCTTTTTCGTTCATGGCGCAATGTTTGGGGTCTGTCTGGATTTTCCTTTTTATTCTCTTTTCGGGCTTTTTTTTCCGGCTTCGAAGCGAGGGGTTGTATGTATGCTCGTGTACTAAAACTGGGGGTCTTTCATCGTTTTTCTTCTTCTTTGATTGTTTCTGTTTCTGTTTCTTTTTCTTCATATTTTTTTATTGGTGATTCTCACGAACTATCCGTGCGTGCGCCATCATCAGTTACTGTAGGTATGAATGTGTGTCTGTATGTATGTTTGTCTGTGTGTGCATGTATCTAACGGGACCGGCGGGGGCAGGGCATGGTGGACTGGGTGTTTTTTTCTGCATAGAACGGCTTGTTCTTGTTCTTGTTTTTTGGGGAGGGAAAGAGGGGAAGATGACGGTGGAGGACAGCCTGGGCTTGGGACGGTGGGAACGGGAACGAGGAAGAGGGGGAGCATGCTACTTACATACATCTTACATACAACTTCATACCTGGGTATCGTGTCATACGAATGAACGCTTATGATCATCATTGCTGTTTCTCGCCCTTGGGCTTGTCGTTGAAGTTGAAGAGGATTCGCATGCGACACAACTTGGATTGAAGGTGATGATGATGGCGATATACACCGAACGGCTCCTGTTCCTCATCGGACGGTAGTTATACCGTATAGCTATCGCCATGAGTCCATGAGTCCATGACTATGGTGTGCGCCGCATGCGAAGATATTTCGTCCGTCCGCTAGCGGGATGGGGTCGAGTGATACCGTCTGATCCTGGTCCGTCGTAAGGCTTTCCTGAATCCTCGTTTATGATACGAGGCCAAACCCAAACCCCGCGCCGGCTGGGGAGGGAGGAGGCTGATATTTATACCTTTTTCCTCCCTTCTTTTTTTACCACTTACCCCCTCCCTCCCAACTCACCCCCGTCGCTTCTCGGATCGCTTCTCGGCGGTGAACTCCGGAGGCGAGACTCGAGAGGGAGGGGAGGCGAGAGAGGGGCAGAGGGAGGGGGGACGGGGGTTCGTTTGTTTTGTTTGTACTCTACTCTAGGTTTGTTACAGGGACGGTGGACCACGGCGGCTGCGTGGGTGTTGGTTTTTTTTTGGGGGGGGGGAGGCTTGCGGGGGCTTGGGCAATGGGGGGGGGGGGGGGGGGGGGGCTTGGGTAATGGGGAGGGGCTTGGACTTTGTTGGGCCCTGGGGTGGTGATGGACGGAACTGGAACTGGAGTCTGGGGGTTGTTGCACCAAATTCCAACGACTATTACTCTACCTGCTCTACTGAGGTTGCCGGCTGTGGTTGACGGCTGTAGTTGACGGCGCACGGCCGGCTGTTGGATAATGCGGGGGATAGGGATCTGGTGGCTTCATTGAGGGTTGGGGAAACATCGTGAATCATCAACATACCTATGGTACGGCATTCACTGCAGACCCCGGGGGAGGTTTTCCGATTCACCATTCACCGTTCACCGTTCACGTGCGTGCGGGATGGGGGCCTGGGAGCGGCTGACGAAGCGGGTTACGTTTACATACTAGAACCTAGCATACACCGCCGGGCGCTGACTCTTCTCGAGTCCCGAGTCTGACTCTCTGAGGTGATGGATCATGGATGCGGCTGTCTGCTTACTCCAGTCTTGCCTACTTTCTTACATAAGTCAGTAGTCTACTGATCCACGGCGCATGGAACGAGCGACGAGCGACGGGCGATAGTTACCGATGTGTAGCTTTGGGACTTGGTAACGCGGCTTCTACTCACTCTTCCTCCTCCTCCTCCTCCTCGTGCGGCGGCGAACCAGCCGCCGCCACGGCGCCACTCCAACCCCAAATCCAACCCCAAATCCAACCCCAAATCCAACCCCAAATCCAACCCCAAATCCAACCCCAAATCCAACGCCGATTCCCTCCGCCAAACTCGAGCGTGTGAGTAACTTACACAACTTACATAACCTACCTACCGACGCTGCATATCTAGGCCGACCGCCGAGCAGACATGACAGCCATGAGTAATTCCCACATCTTTCGTATGCAACTGCGCATGCAGCGCGGAGGATTGGCCTTGTGTGTCGCCGTGTGTGTCGTGTGTCGTGTGGGTGGTGTGGTGTAAAGTAGGCAGGCAGGCAGGCAGGTAGGCGAAGTGCGTATACATACGTGCGGCTGAGCTTCCTGACATAGCTACGGTACCTATGGTAGGACTCTAGATATATGGAGTAGAGTGCCTATGGGGTGCTTGCTCTGACTCGGGGTCTGGGTCGGGAAACGCCTTGGGTATCATTCCCGACGTGACTGTTGCCAATGCCACGTTGTGACCAGTGTCGAGTTCGGGAATTCGTGCACGAGGAGAAGAGAGGCGACTCGAGAGGCGAGAGGCGAGTCTGCCCTGTGGCCGTCCGGCCGGCCGGGTTCCTCGACTGCCGTACTCTACTCTACTCTGCGTATCTAAAGCACGGACGGTATGTATGTGTGTATGTGTGTAGGGTAGATGCCTGGCAAGGAGCACGAAGTGGTGTGCTGTGTGTGCTCAGGTGAAGGCGGCCGCTGCTTCTGCTGCTGCTGTTGGTGTGGCAGCGAGCAGAGTGCGGTTGGGTTGGGTTGGGCTTTTTGTTGGCTGGCTGGCTGGCTGGCTGGCTGGTGATACAGGAGGTTGTGTTGCCGGGGTGCGAAGGCGAGTGGGAGGCAAGCAGGCAGGCAGGGCAATCGCACTTGCAATTCATAAAGAGCTGGTGTGCTGCTGCTGCTCTGCTGCTGTGACTGCCGTCGGATTTGTTGCTGCTGCTTCTGCTGCTGCCGCTGCTGCTGCTGAACTGACGACACCCGCCACCTGCGACTCAGCGAGCGAACGAACGCGAGTTCTGAACCGCTTCCTTCCTACTACGCACACACGATACGACACGACCCCCGTCCAGATCCTACACGAAGCGAAGACCCGAAGCGAAGACGAACCCCCCGAGACGAGACAAGATGGTGAGTTGCATCTGCATCCCGCTTGCTAGTACTATCTATGCCCACGGTACATATCTGGTGGCGGCGACTCCATACCCCGCCTAAAAGCACTACTTTCCTAGCCCACGGCCGCACTGACACCTTTTCCTTGCGCGCGTATAGGGCAAGCGACGATCGCACCGCACGCAATCGGGGTCAGGGCTGCCCGCGCGGCGGAAGGTGGTGATAGTCGGGGACGGAGCGTGCGGCAAGACGTGTCTGTTGATGCGATTCTCGAACAACACGTTTGACCCGGACGCGTATGTTCCGACTGTGTTTGAGAACTACGTGAAGGACATTACGCTGGGGAATGGCGAGAAGGTCGAGCTCACGCTGTGGGATACTGCGGGCCAGGAGGACTACGATCGACTGCGCCCCCTGTCGTATCCTGACACCGACGTCGTCCTCATCGCGTTCTCGGTTGACTCCCCGGATTCACTCAACAACGTCTACGATAAGTGGATTTCGGAGGTCCTCCACTTCTGCCCCATGATCCCCATCATGCTGGTCGCGCTGAAGAGGGATCTGAGAACCGATGCTGCGACCGTCGCGAGACTGCAGCAGCAGCAGAGGGAGCCCAGAGGTCCTGTCACGATGGAAGAGGGCCAGAAGGCCGCGAGGGAGCTAAATTGTGATCACTACATCGAGTGCTCGAGTAAGACGGGCGAGGGCGTCTTCCAGGTCTTTGAGAAGGCTAGCACTCTGGGCAGAAGGGGTCCGAAGCCAAATAAGTCCTGTGTCATTCTTTGATGGGCGATGATGGGCGATGGGGGGGAGGGGGGATGATGCCGCCCCGCCATGTCATGTAGGAAGCGTGGGGGCGGGGGCGGTTTTGACAGGCAGGGATGGCTGGGAAGAGGGATTGGCGAGGCGCACTTTTTTGTCATCTAATGTCTTCCTTTTTTTCTTTCATTGTGGTGGTGTTTGTTTCTGCTTGTTCCATCGTTCGTTTTTTCTTCTTCTTTCCCGACGAGCTTCATCTACCATTGTAACAAAATATACGGATTGAGGGTGGTGACCATGGAACCTCGGCCGATTGGGTGGGAGGGTGGGGGGGGGGGGACCGTTGGTACTCTACATATGATTCATCATTCACCCAGCGTCGTCCCATGCCGCATAACTAACAGGCTATGGGCTCGTCATAGGCTCATATGTAGTAGGCACGGATTGTCCATCGAGTTACTGGTAGATTGCTACTGCACTCCGGAGCACTCTGCCTCTACATGGCCAGCCTAATATGCCCAATGCCGGCAGGAGGATTTGCCTTATCGAGACGAAGGCAGGCTGGCTGGGAAGACGGGGAAAACGTCGGGTACCTATCACCGTGGTCACTACCTACTTGGCCGGACGGGTTTTCCATGGGTTGATGGGCACAAAGGACTTGCTTACGTACATACAGAAGAAGAACTAGAGTTATGTACAAAAGCATATCGCCACTCACACACAAAGCACTCGCACTCACACTCACACCGGACCCAACAGAACAGAACAGAACACCATCGTTGATTCACGTTTTCCATAAACCAAGCCAGAGTATATATACCCAAGCATTTATCCGTATAGGTGGAACGAGACATCAAGGAATAGAAGAAGAAACAGAAGTAAGGACCCGACCCAACATAGCCCCAATCATCGCAGAACATACTACCTAACCACATCTTATAGTTAGCATAAAGCATCCACCAAATTCCTTCCAGATTCCGACAGATCACCAAAGCGCGACGAGGGGGTTGATTACCTACATATGTAGTTATCCTGATCGTCCAAAATTTGCTCGTCGTCGTCTTCGCCGCCGTTGTTACTCTTCTCCCCACCGCTCCAAGCAGCACGGAACGACCCCTTACCACTCCTTGCTAGGGAGCACCAGGTAGCCTTGCTTCCATCTAGCGTGTGACACTTGGTGATCTGGGCCGTAGCCGGACTGGATATTCTCGATATAGCTCAGTGGGTGTCTGGAGTTCTTAGCCTTGCGGGCCTCCATGATCTCCATCCTCTGGATGAGCGTCATAGGGCGTCCGGCACTCTCGGAGCTCTCGCCCTTGCGGGCCATGCTCCTCTCGGTCTTGCTCCTGTTCCCGGCCTGACGGGCGTCAATAGTCTCGAGCAGGGTCATTTGACGCCTGTAGCCTCCGGGCTGGCAGGCCATACTACCCTCTGACCTGGCGGACATGCTCTGGTCGGGCTTGGTCTCCATGAAGTGCCTGTTGGAACCGCCAACGGAGCCAGCCACATTCGGGATCCTTGGGGACATCGTGCTCTCGTCGGGCTTGGGATTGGCGGCCATGTCTCTCTCGGCCTGGCGAGCCGCGATGACCTCGATTAGGGTGAGCGGGCGCCTGGTACTCTCAGCCGTGCGACCCATGCTGCGCTGGACGTGCTGGCGGCCCCTGGAGCTCTCGGTGCTCTCGCCGTGCGTGGTAGCAGAACCACCCGAGACAACCACGGCCGGAATCCTACCACCGCCGCTGGTAGGATTTCCGGCGTGGGTTTGCCACGGGATGGGTAACTTACCACCAGTAGCACCAGCACCAGCACCAGCAGCAGAAGCAGCACCAGCAACAACACGACCGAAAGTACCCGCAGCACCAGCACCAGCACCAGCACCAGCAACACCAGCTCCACCAACTGCACCGACAGCACCAGCACCGACAGCACCAGCAGAGCCAGCAGAGCCAGCAGAGCCAGCAGAGCCAGCAGAGCCAGCAGAGCCAGCTCCAGCAGCTCCAGCAGCTCCAGCACCAGCTCCGGCAGCACGACCACGACCAAAGGTACCAGCAGAGCCAGCACCAGCACCAGCACCAGCACCAGGACGACGAACATCACGGGCGGCGGCACGAGCAGCGGCAGCCCGAGCAACATCCGCACTCGCAACAGCACCGCGAGTGAGGGCCTTTGCTGGCGCCTTGACTGCTCCGATCGGAAACTGTCTGGCAACCCGCAAATTACCACCGGGACCACCAGCACCGCCACGAGAAACCTCCGACTTCGACTTCTAGTCCGAAGTCTGGGAGTGAATAACCTGCTGGTGGCTAGTTGGGTTTGTGTTGGTGTTGACGGCGTTGGTAACAGATGCCAACGGCTTGTTAGAAATGCCGACCGATCCAACCGCAGCCGGAATCCTGCTATCGCTGCTGCCGCTGTCATTGCTGTTGCCGTTGCCGCCGGAACCCCTGCCACGGTAACGAGACGGGACTTGAAACTTACCACCAGAACCACCACTAGCCCCAGCGGCAACACCAGCACCAGCAGCAACACCACCACGAATTGGGGTCATCTTGAGCGTCTTGACAGATCCGGTCGGGTTCCACGTCGGAAACAGCAACTGCCCAGCCCCGCCAGCACCACCATCAACCGCACCGACCGGGTGTGACCAGCGCTGCGGCATGGTCTCCTCGGTCGGCTCGGCGATATGTGTACCGTCTGGTAGTGTCAGTACGATCCTTGGGATCGAGATTGAGTTCACCTTCGCCGGCTTCTGGGCTTGGTGGAGGAGGAGATGCTGGAGCTGGTGGAACTTCTTCAGTATCTGCGAGCGGATACCTTGCTGGTGTGGGGCGCGCGGCTGCAGATGTGGGTGGACGTTTTGGCTGTTCGCTCCGTCCTGAATACGGTATTCCATGTGTTGCTGGGGTGTGGGGCGGTCGGCGAGGGATGGGAGTGGGGAGAGCTCGAGGGGCGAGGAGAGCTCGAGGTGCGGCGAGGAGGAGGAGTCGTGGGGAAGGAGGGACTTAAAGATGTTGGCGATACAACTCATCTTTGCTTGCGTACGTATTCAACGGTTGGGTTGGGTCTGGTAATAGTGGTGTTGGGTGCCAATATAGGTGTGAGTGCGGATTTTGGCGGTGGTTTAAGGTGGTGATATGCCGATAGTTGCCGACTTATGGTGGTGGTGGAGTAAAGAGGAAAGAAAGGAAGGAAGGAATGTGGTGAACACGAGATTATATTGAGCGTCACGCCGAGTGTTTGGAGTTTGTCGTTGTAGGATTCGTAGGATTCGTGGGAAGTCGTTGGTGGGGTTGTGACGCCCATGGAAGAGTCGTGGACCGTGAAGAGTAGCCATGGTAGAGTCGTGGACCGTGAAGGAGTCGTGGACCGTGAAGTAGCCATGGCAGAGTCGTGAACCGTGTCCGAGGCGAGATGGAGTCGTTGGTGATAATTAAGTCGAGGACCGCAAAGTGGGCCATGGTAGTGCTCAACCGTGTCCCGAGTAACGGACGGTTCAACACGGCAGCGAGAACGGAAACACTGGAAGGAAAACATTTCTGGCCCGACTTCGTACCAAAATGAAGATCGTAGATAGGTAGAAGACAAAATTGATTGAACCAAGGAGAAAATTGAGAAATCGCAATCTAAGCATCGCTATCGTATCCGGTATTTCGTATCCCATATCGCAGCTCTTCTACCGCGCCATCACCCTCTCTCTATTCCTATCCCTGACCCTCTCCTCCTCGTCCCTCTCGTTCTCCTCGTCCCTCTCGTTCTCCTCGGCCCAAGGCGAGTGACCCACCATCAACGGCGTGCGCTCACTCGCCCTGTGGCCATTCCGTGGCTCACGGGGGATATGCTCCTCCTCGTCCAAGGACTCATCATCCGCCTCCTCCTCCTCGACGCGGCCAGCCTCCGATATCCTAGCGCGGCTCGCCGACTTGGCCGCGCGCGCGAGTTCCTCGGTGTGACGTTGAATAGCGATCAACGCGACGACCTATCATTATTCTCCGTCAATACCCGACTCCCCGAGTACACAAGTCTTGAATGCCTGCGACCAACCTTAAAAACCGCAAGCAGCGCAAAAATCGCAAACAGCATCTCACCAGTGCTAGCGCCCGCCTGCATCCACGGGACGGAGCACGCCTTTGTCCTTCCGGTCGCATCACTGCACGAGGTGACATTCCTCGGCGGGAACGGATATGCCATGTGGGTGACGGTGCGGTAACCGCAGCAGCTGAGATTATCCTGGATGCCGCGGATGGTCTCGCCCTCCTTCGCGCGGAACAGCTCGTTCCACCGCCGCTCGAAGCGGCACGACGACAGCGGCGTCGCGAACAGCATCGACGACAGCGTCAGCACGATGGTCTCGACGAACAGCAGCAGCACGAGAGGGAGCGTGGTGACCATCTTCGTCACCGCTGTAGGCACCGCGTGCAGGAGCGCGTGCCCGAAAATTAGAAAGTTGAGCAGCGGCAGAACGATACCCAGCAGTGGCAACAACAGCGAGATGGGGAGCTGCAGCCGGACGCTGTTGTACATCGCCAAGATACCGAGAAAGAGGAGCAGGCCGTTGAGCTATGCTCACCATTAGCAAGTCGGCCAGTCGGTCAATCCCCGCCCGGGCGGGAGATAAATACCCCTCCCGCGATAATGATCCACCATCTCTTATTCCGCGACAGTTGAATCCACAGGTCAGGCATCGTCAATGCCTTCTTATGGTGTGTGTAGTAGTTTGCAGCGAGGCTTTCCTACGGAGGAGGAGATGGAAGAGAGTTGAGGACGAAGCGAGGAAAAAAGCGGGGGGCCGAAACCACGGGCGGGCGGACGGGGGGATGCCATTTTTATGAGATTCTTGCGGTTGACCGGTCGTCCCCCATCATTGGTTAGAGGGCCAGAGTTCCTGCGTGGCTACGTGTTTGAGCGGCTGATAATTCCATGGGCCACAGCAATATAGAGTACCTAGAGTATGGTGCTCTGTGTGCATATGCATGAATGTCTTGGACTCTGTTGGATAACAACAATCATGCATGTCACTCGATTGAGCGAGAATCGGGCGGTCCGACAGATTTGTATATAGACCTGAGGCCCAGCGAGGGATATAGAGAGCTCTGAGAAAGGGATTGTTGCAGCGCCAGGCAAAAGCAGAGGCTGAGGGAAGCGAAGGTACTATCTACACCGAGCTCGTTACCAGGACTGCAGACAGACCCTGTACTCTTGATAGGCTGCACGAACCTAGAAGAAACCTAGCTCCCGGATAACGGCTACTAATCAACTAGTGACTTCGAGATCAACTGGGATATGATCGTATCATATTGAAGAAGAACATTATACTGCAGCCATGTCCTGCTTGCAATCTTGCTATTTTGTGTATTAACCTATGTGACTAAGAAGAAATACAATTGCATTCTGGTTTCTATTTCAACCACATGGTGTACTTTTTTTTTGTTCGTAATGTACCCGTAGGTATTCGGCCAATAACATGTTTGTCCAAGAAGCGTGGGGGGTCTCAACAAGGCTGTCTGAGTGAGATGCGATGAATGACATGTCGTTGGTTAGGTGTGATTAGGGTTGCCGGCTAACTACGTTAGGTTATGTTAGGGAATGTCGACCAACTACGGGATGCCAAGACATCTCCCGCCCCACAACAACCACCTACTTCTACCTGTGCCCTCTCTCTACTTTCAACACATCTTCTCTACTTACATCCAACACAACACTACTACATCCTCGATCTACCACGTCCTCCACATCAAATCAGTACGCATATATGAGCGAACATATATCACGTTCACTAACCCCACTATGCGATGCCGGCAAAGCACCCATCATCGCCGGGTCGTTAGATTTAGCTATCGACCTTAGAAAAGCTCCCCCGGTGAAGGTTTGAAGCTTCCTATCCCTCAAATACCGCTTTCAAAGCTAACTGTGGATGGCAACACAGAATAGCGGAGCGGATGGAAATGTGTGAGCCGAAGAGGGAATTATTTCCCTCGGCTCGGGCCCGAAAATCGGGCCCATGTTGGCGGGGCGCCTGTGGGCGTGCCCGCCGACGGGGGAGACAACGCCGCTGCGCAGGTCGCAGCGGGGGGTGTCCTCCCAGAACACACTCGCTCGCGGTGCTGCTGCTCGTGCTGCAGCTGCTGGTGCTGGTGGTTCTGGTGGTAAGTCGTAAGTCCCGTCGCGTTACCGTGGCAGAGGTTCCGGCGGCAACGGCAACCACAGCGGCAGCAGCGATAGCAGGATTCAGGCAGTGATTGGCCCGGTTGGTTCTTCCAGCAAGCCGATGTCATCCGTCACCAACGCCGTCAACACCAACGCAACCAGCCACCAACAGGGTATTCACCCCCAGGCTTCAGGCTAGAAGTCGAAGTCGGGAGATGAAGGTGGAGGTGGGCTCGATCCCGATCCCGAGAATCGTGCTCACCACACCAAACGGAGCTAACATGGGCGAGCCAACTGAGGAGCACACGCCGCGGCGGAAGTCACACTCGGTCGGAGCGGTCGCCCATAGTGATAATTTGCAGGTTCTCGGGAAGCATTCGGCCGGCGCAGTCAAGGCCAAGGAAATGACGCTTTCTTGAGAAGATGGAAACATTTCCATCATTTCGGTCCGAGGACCGAGCTCCCGACACCCAACGGGATCGACAAGGAAGATGCCAACAACGGACAACTGTCCCTTGTTTTCCGCCGCCAGCACCAGCGCTGGCGGCCAGGATCCTCTGCAAGTCTGCAACAACCGGAATATATCAACACCAATATTGCGACACCGATATCCACAACTATTATACCACCTCCCCCTATACCAACCGTCACATGGCTATGCAAGCCAAGATGTGTTGCCTCACTGGCGCCCTCAAGTCCTTCCTCCTCCCCAACGAGCCCTCCTCGCCGTCTCTCGAGCTCTCCCCACTCCCCTCACTCGCCTAGCGCCCCATACCCCAGCAACACATGGAGTACCGTATGCATGGTGGAGCCAACACCGAAGACGCCAACCGCCTATTGTCCACCACCACCCACCATCTGGGTATCCGCTCCAAGATATTGAGCAAGCTTCACAAGCTCCACCATCTCCTCCTCCATCAAGGCCAGAAGCCGAAGGTGAATTCGATCGCGATCCCAAGGATCGTACTAACCAGACTAGACGGCACGAACATCGCCGAGCCGACTGAGGAGCCCATGCCGCAGCGCAGGTCACACCCGGTCGGTGCGGTCGATGCTTCCGAGAAGTCGCTTGCTCGCGATGGTGGTGCTAGTGGTGCTGGACAATTGCTGTTTCCGACGTGGCACCCGGCCGGAGCCGTCAAGGCTCCCGAGGAGACCAGCGCTCCCGAGGGGACCGACGCTTCCGAGGGCACCAGCTCTCGTGGTGAAGATACCCGCGAGAAATTGTCTCGCGAAGATGGAAATATTTCCATCAGTTCGGTCCGAGGACCGAGCGCCCGACACCCAACGGGACCCATAAAGAGGACTACAAGGGACGACTGTCCCTTGTTTTCCGCCGCCGCCGGTGCTGGAAACCAATCTTCTCTGCTATCTCACACCACACACCAGACGGGCATTCGCCCCGTGGTGTTGGTACATCCGTTCTTCTCACGCATCCGGATAAGGCCAATGGCCGCCTATCTGACGGTCATCATCTCATTCCGGGTGTGGGTACGCATGTTGCACTCTTGAGTGGGCTTGAAGTACAGTACGCCTTCGCCACTCGGCCGGCAGTCAAGTCCCTCACGATTCGGATCCTCGCTAGAGGTCCGAAGGCAGAAAAACTGGGAGCCGAAGAGGGAATTATTTCCCTCGGCTCGGGCCCGAAAATCGGGCCCAAGACCCCCGGCGGGGCGCCTGTGGGCGTGCCCGCCAACGGAGGGGGCCAGCCGGCTGCGCAGGTCGCGGCCGGCTGGAGCGGTGAAGGCGCTTCACAAGACGCTCGCTCATGGTGGTACTGGTGCTGCTGGAGCTGTTGGTCGTACTGGTTCTGCTAATTCTGCTGGAGCTGCTGCTGGTGAGTTGACCATCCCATGGCGATATCACCCCGGAAGTCTTACCAGCGGCGGTGGTAGGATTCCGGCTGTGGTTGGCCCGGTTGGTTCTGCTACCAGGCACGCCGAGCGCATCGAGAGCACCAGAGGCCGCCACCACGTCGAGCGCAGCATGGTCCGCCAGGCAGTGAGCTCCGGGCGCCCCCTTACGCTGGTCGATATCATCGCGGCTCGCCAGGCCGAGAGAGACATGGCCCTCAACATCAAGCCCGACGAGCGCAGCATGTCCCCAAGGATTCCAGCTGTGGTTGGCTCCGTTGGCGGTTCCAGCAGGCACTTCATGGCGACCAAGCCCGACAAGAGCATGTCCGCCAGGTCAGAGAGCAGCATGATCTGCCAGCCCGGAAGCTACATGCGTCCGATGACTCTGATCGAGACCATTGACGCCCGTCAGGCTGAGAACAGCAGCAAACCGAGTGGAGCATAGCCCGCAAGGGGCGAGAGCTCCGAGAGTGTCGGACATCCGATGACACTCATCCAGAGAATAGAGATCATGGAGGCTCGCAAAGCACAGAGCGCCAGACATCCTATGGCCCCTATCGGGAATATCGAGCCCGGCTATGGCTCAGATCACCAAGTGTCACACGCTAGATGGAAGCAAGGCCACCTGGCGCTCCCTGGCAAGGAGCGTTAGGAAGACGACGAACGGACGATGGAAATATTTCCATCAGTTCGGTCCGAGGACCGAGCTCCCGACACCCAACGGGATCCATGCAGATGGGGCGACCGCCCCTTGTTGTTCGCCGTCGCTGGTGCTGTCAACCAGGGTCCTCTGCTATCTCACACCACACACCAGGCGGGCATTCGCCCCCTGGTGTTGGAGCAGAGGAACTGGGAACCGTCGGAGTTGTGCTCGATCTGAGATCGACTTCACAACTCCGACGGGACGCACGTGGACGAGTATGTCCCGCCGGGCCGAGAGCCCTAGGCGCCCGATGACCCTCATTGAGAGTATGGAGATGATGGAGGCCCAGAAGGCTGAGAACTTAAGGCATCCTATGACCCCTATCGGGAATATCGAGTCCGGCAACGGCCGCGACCACCAAATTTCGCACGCTCGCTGGAAGCAAGCCCACCTAGCGCTCCCTGGCAAGGAGGGGTAAGGAGGCGTTCCGTGCTGGACGACGAGCGGAAGACGGAGACTCGCAAGCTTTTTGTCGGTTGGGAGAACTCACTCACTAAAAATCTCGAAAAATCCGGTGGATGCTATATTCTGTAGTTAGGTATGTTCTGAGATGGGTTGTATGTTCTGCGATGGATTGAGTACTAAATTCTGCTTTAGTTCCTTCTTTCCACCTGTATCGATAATTGCTTGCTTGGAGTATCTCTACTTTAGCTTGGTTTATGAGAAACGGGAGATAACGTAACCCACTCGTCAAACAATTTGGTGGATGCTTTGTTCTGGTTATCTATGAGATGTGGTTGGATATGTCGTATGCTCTGCGATGAATGCAATGAAGGAGTGATGTGGTTGAATAGCCGACATACGGCTGGCTAGAATTACATAAACTTTCTAGTATACAAATATTGGTTGTAACATACGAACCTCTCACTGTTAATCAACTTCCGTTTTGACGTTTTGCTACTCGCTACCTACTTGTCATATGATGTCTTTTCAACACTGTATTGTTCAGCGATTCTTCATGCAGCATGATTTGCGGTCCAGGTGGGCAAAGCCCCCGCCGTAGCGGAAACCGGATGTAGTGGAAGATTCTCGGGGGTGAATTTCAAAAGGAGACAGGGCAGCAAGTATAACGGCGCAATTGAGGAGTCTAGCAGACCGCGGGAAAGAGGTAAGAAGAAGAAGCCGAAGCAACGGCGGGGCATATGGAAGTACATATTCGAGCTGTCCGTGGAAGTAAAGTAGATATGCCCAACTAAATACATACTGCGCCGTCTCGGTGACACGAATATAGCACAGCATAAATCGGTTTCACCGGAAGGCGGGAGTCGGACCGTGGCCGAACCGGGCCGGACGCGGACACGGACACGATGGGAGCGGAAAGGAGGGGGGGTCTGGGGAAGAAAGGCGGACGAAGTCGAAGGACTCCCGTCTCCTCTCCACGGCACTAGGTAGGCAGATGCTTGTCTTTCCCATATCCTCTGGCTTTGTGCGGATGATCACGAAGATTCTCACGAAGATGCTTCCTCTTCGCCAGATCTATGGAGCCGGTCAACGAGCTGAGGAATCGCGAGGAGGAGGAGAAGTGCTGTTATGTACCGCATGTCAAGAAACTCGGTCATCCCAGCCCTCGTGCAAACGTATCCACAACGCAGCCATCGATATGCCGGTTTCTGTTGCGGCCGAGTCGGAGTGAGCAAGAGAGGGTTTATCTGCTTCCTTTCCTGGTATGTACATACTTATGTACTCTTGGTGAGACTTGGCGGTGTAGCCTGTAGGTAGTATCCTGCACTCGTGCGAGCTCTGACGGACGGAAGGAGTATGTAGATAGTTGCATCTGATTACCGTTCGTTCTGTGGGAGTGGAGTAGTTAGATTAAAGCTCGCTGCCTTGGGATGACCATGCAGCTACGCCTCCCGCTGCTGACTGCTCACCGGGTCATGCTAATCGGGTTGGAACTGGGCTTCTCGGGAGTATGCTTATCCGAGTCGTTTGATTACTATTCGCTCCCTAAATGAATACGAGCCCTACTTATGTATGTCCATATCCACACCCGCCAATGCAGAGGATATATGCCAACCTCCATCGCTAGCGAAACAAAACAATCCACAACTGCCGTAGATCCGGAAGGAACCGGGAACGTATGTCGGTACGGAACGGTTCTCACAAGCCCTCACTCGTTCCACTACGCCCACCTCGCCAACCCCCCGGACGCGGCCCGAGTTCCCGGTTGTGAGGAGTATATTTAGCGTGGCCCGTACGATGAATGGACCGATGCCCTAGCTGCGCTTACATGTATGTATGTACTACATAGTGTAGGTAAGTACCTGGGCATGTGGTCCGCATGATATATATCGCTGCCGTCCCCCGCCAATTCTTGCTGTAGGAGTAGAGTAGGACGCTATCTGCCGGGGCTTGGTAGCTCGATAGCTCGATCAGCTCACCTTAAGTTTAATTCGGGCACGGGCCAATCTTTCCCCGCCGCCCGGTGAGCGGGAAAGAGTGAGAGAGAGAAATAAAATACCTGCTTTCATTCAACGTCGTAGCTGCTGTTATACTGATCGGTGTCAGCTATATACTCTAGAGGGAGCCTGTTGCAGCCTCGGCTTCGGCCTGCTTATCGGTGGGCAGGTAGCACACACACGCCCGGTCCTAAGCCTACACGCTGAGACCTATGTGTGCAAGGGCCGACCTCAACCTATAGCCTGGGCGCTGCGCGCAAGGGCCGACCTTCTCTAGGCATCAACCTCATCAGTAGGGACGTTCTGCAGACTCCACGCACCACAACTACAACTATCCAGGGGTATCAGATGGGGTTAGCTGGTTGGTGAAAAGTGGGAGGTTTTGCAAACCCCAAACTGCGAACTGGAACTACAACTACAACTACAAAACACGAAATCAAACTATGGAATGGTGGTGCGGCCGTGCCCATTGAGCGATACTGCAAGAGACAAGCGTTGGAGACAGTGACATGGTTTGTACCCTGTCTTTGACGCTTTCATCCAATCAGCGTGTTTGTTATGATCCAGATTAAATCGAGCTAACTCGCGCTACTCACGAACTTCAGTAGTTGTTGGTAGCGTCGCCGACCCATGTCCACACGATAGCTAGCCTGGTGACCTTCCTCCATTAAGTAGGACCCCTATCCGTTGCTGTGGTGATAGTTGTAGTTGTGGTGCGCGGAGGGGTCGCAGAACGTCCCTAGTGTATGTAGCTTCGTCTACATCCGCGATGCCGAGCCCACGAGAGCAATGCTGCCTGAAGTACCGATGCGCACAGTAGGTATTAAACTGCATGACCATTGCATATAGCCAGCCGAGCGGGCCGGTAAACGTTAGATTATGCACAGCTGAGTCAAGTACCAAGGTAGGCAATATATCTCCCCCTCGTATTGACAGCTCACGACGTCTACCGGGGCGTCTTGGAAGTTAGAAGCTGTCGTCGAGGGGGTATATCTACCCCGTCTAGTCTCCCAGAAGGACAACTCCTCACCACCGCCATACATCGGTCTACTCCTCCTCCTCACCACTATCCACCCACTCCAACTACACACCGCCACCATGCAGTCAATCAGCACCCTCCTCCTCCTCCTCCTCCCCCTAGCGCTCGCACTCCCGTCGCCACAGGATGCGTCAACAGTCGAGCCGAACGCGTGCACGACGACATGCGCCAGCGACTTCGCCTGCGTCGACTCGTACCCGGAGTCGTGCATCTGCTGGAACCAAGTGATCGCCGACTGCGCGGCGAAGTGCGGTCAGGCCCCGGCGCCGACGGCAGACGACTGCAGCGTCAAGCGGGCTGTCGGGTGCCAGTCGAATTGTGTGGGCAAATACGCGTGCCTCCAGGTCTGGCCGCAGAGCTGCTACTGCGAGAACGCCATCAAGACCCAGTGTGCGGCCGAATGCGGAGGCACGCCGACGCTGGCTACTTGCCCGCCGCTGGCTGCCGAGTCATAGGCTGGCTCGCGTTTTGGATTGGGGGTGCGCCGTTGCGTTTCAGTGCTGGTTGTTTCCGAGGTATCCACTCTACCGGAAAATCTGGGGAAAGTTGGGTTTATGGTTATTGGGATGGATGGATGGCATTGCTGCGGGGAACATGTGGAAGGAAAGGGAAAAAACAATGTATGTAATCAAAATAAGCTTGTCGCCTGGGTATCCCCCCCTTGGGTCTGCGGGGGGATGGTTTCAAAGATATTGGATGTTGGTGCATTCTCATGAAATATGATTCGTTGTGATTCGGCCTCGGTATCTTCTTCTTGGTGGTGGTGGTGGTGCGGGTACAGTGGACAGGGCCGAAAGTAACAATGCATAGTAGGATAAACTTCGGGGCCCCGGTCAGAACGCATCCCCCCCAGACGCGCGTGAGATCTCATCTCATCCCCCATCTGAATATGCCGTGCCTGTCCGGTCCGATCACAGCCCATCACCTGCAGTTGTCAGCCTCCATTCGACATGCATGCTGACGGGAGACGGAGACGGAGACGGAGATAAGTCCAGTCCAGTCGCAACTACCGAACACCGAGCGCCGAGCGCCGAGCGGACAAAAGCAGGCTGACGAATCCAATCCAATCCAGGCGGCGCAGAAGTAAGCACAAAGCACACGCGCGCACCCACTCTCGAGCAAGCGCATACCTACTCTACCTACATACCTAGCCAAGTTGCCAAGTTGCCAAGTACTCTCATACCCATAGTTACCCAGCATGTATTGTGTTGTGTTGTAGTTTTCGGTCGGTCAGTCGGTCAGTCGGTCGTGTGGACTCCGGCCGTCCGTCCCTCCGTTCGTAAGCGCCTATGTGTGTCTCTGTGTCTCTGTGTGTGTGTGCTCGCGGGGGGAAGGCCCTCGAGCCTCGAGGAGAACACCCACTAACCAAAGGTGCCAAGGCTGGAGCCTGGGCGAGACCAGGCGAGACGGGAGCTCAGCGCGATGCGTGCCTTTCCTGCCTTACCTGCCTTTCCTACCGCTCCGAGCTCAGAGCTGAGAGCTCAAAGCTCAGAGATCACAGCCGTCGGCGTTTCGTTCCGGTCGGTGGGCAGCTGCCAAGGTGCGGGTAGGTGCCTAATTAAGCGGCATGCGACTCGCGAGACCGTTAACCGTGGCTACATAAAGTGGGTAGAATAGATTCTGAGAGGGGCTCATTGGAGCAGGCGTTCGATCGGTGAGTGGGGGAGATGAGGCTTTCCAGCCTGCCTTCGTGCCTTTCCTGCCGTTTAGAGCTCAAAGCTTAGAGCTCGAGCTCACAGCCGTCGGCGTTTCGTTCCGTTCGATGGCAGCTGCCAAGAGGCGGGTATGTAGTTAAGCGACATGCGAGATTGTCGACCGTGGCTAGGGAGTTAGTGAGAGGGGCTCATTGGGGAAGGCAGACGTTCGGTAGGTGGGGGGGAGATGAGGCCAGCCAGCTAGCCAGCCTTCCTGCCTTGCTGCCTTCCTGCGGGTGGAGAAGAGTGCAGTTTGCACTTTCCATGTAGTTATGTATGTATGATTCCATTCAATTCGATTTCATTCCACGTGCCGATGCGCAGAGGATGCTACCTAGAGTACTCTACATACGGTACTCTATCCCTGAGCAGTGGGCACGGAACCGCAAGATGGACGTTGAATGGATGGATCTGACAGCCGTCCGGGGGATTGGTGCTGTTGGATATTGACATGTTTGGATACATGTTATCGGGCCCATGCGACGGCCAAAAGTGCAAAGTGCAAAGTGCAAACATCTCGAATGGAATAATTACACTTGTGTACAAACATCGGACTCATGCCCGTGCCGTGAGTCATGCACCAACATTCGCCCACGCAGCGCGGCGCAGCGATCTCAACTTGAAGCTCAACCTCAACCATTGGTTAAGGGAATCCAACATCAATTCATTGTATTTGTCGCATACCTACACATCTACGGCCTATCTATGGCCTATCCACCGGTAACTACCAGTAGACTGTGACGTCCAACCTCAACCTCAACCTCAACCTCGAGTCCTCAACCGTTGCAATACCGAGTGAGAGCGTGGTGAATACGCACATTAAGCCCCCAGATCGAGTGACAGAGTCGAGACATGTTTCGACTATAGTGCCACCTACACGAGGATGAGATTAGTCGCTCAAACAAACCAAAACCCCTCGTCGATGGATAAATCCCCATTGTCCGATTTTGTATGATACCAACATCGTATCGGACTCACCCGACGCCGCCGCATAAAACTGCCCATCCACGGTCCACCAACACCCGCCCACCCGCACACCCAACACCCGCACGCCCGCCATTCGCCGTTCGCCGTTCACCGTTCGTCCCCCGACCCGTTCCGACCGACAGCGGTTTGCTATGTACCGGTATCATATGTAGAGTATGTAGAGTAGAGCACCAACACGACCCGCTCCGCTCGCGGATAGACATGCTTGCTTGCTACTCTCACCACTCTACCCACCCACCCACCTATCATAGGTAGCCTCCGCCCTCGCCCTCGCCATCCGCCATCCGCGCCGCATACGTGCGTGCGTGCCAGCGTGCGTGTGTGCGTGTGAGCAGTAACCAATTTTTATTTTATTTTACCAATTCGATTCGATTGAGGAGCTTGGGCCTCCTCCTGCTATGTACCTCTGGAGCCTGGAGTTATATGTGGTAGTTATTACCGCGCAGCGCACACGATCCAGATTCCAGAGTTCTCAGTTAGTCGCGTCGTCGCGCTCCAGCCCCGAATCATGTGTAGAGTATGACAATGGTAAGAATACTCTACAGAACCCCATGCGACGATGACGCCAGCTGGGTAGATTGGACTGGATTGGATTGGGCTGGATTTGGATTGCCCCCAACTGTTTTTTGTTTTGTTTTGTTTGTTTTGTTTATGGGCGGCAGGCACAGCTTCTAGAGTACACACGATGACATCGCGTGGGCGTCTGTTGGGGTTCACTCTTCACTCCTGTCCGGCTGCCCCCCCGTTAACTGGAGGGCCCAGGCGCGGGTGCGTGGGGGGTCGGGGGTCGGGGGTCGGGGAGGCGGCGCGCGGATGGGTAATCAAGACACTGCTTCATCTTCAGCTTCATTCGTCTTCCCGTCTCTCTCTCTCTCTCTCGGGGGAAGGGGGCGAAACGGCAGCCCCACTCGCTCGTCGCTCATTCGTCCCGACATGGTAGGGAAGGGACGGGAAGGGAAGGGAAGGGAAGGGAAGGGACGGGAAGGGAAGGAACGGGCCGGCGAGGCGAACCCTTCCATCCATCCATCCATCCACCCGTCCATACCAGATGATAAGCGACTCGTTGGCACATCGCACCTCGCACATCCGCGCGGAAGAAAGTGCCGGCGGCGGCGAAAGAAGAAGCGGAAGAAGAATGAGAAGAAGATTGGAATCTGCCGGTAGGTAGTACTCTACTCTAGGTGACAGAGAGAGATCCCCGGCTGGTGCTGATTGTTCCTTCCCCCCCTCCCCCCTCCCCCTTCTGCTGCTTCTGCGTTTTGTTCCAAACCCACGCACAGCTAGCCAGTGATCAGTGCTCACTGGCTGGCTGGCTGGCCGGCCGCCGGCACGGTAAGAGATCTTATCTCCTCCCCCCCTTCATGCTTACAGCGATCGCGGCGACATCTGGTTTTTGTTTTTCTGTTTTGTTTTTGTTTTGTTTGCCATACCGTCCCGTTCCACGTGACGGCGGGTTGTCGTCTCTCACACGTGGTCTCTTCTTTACATATCGCCTCAATCGCTGTCAATTCACACAATGATTTCTTACTCAGAGTAGAGATCAAAAGCACACGGGAGGAGAGGTAGGGAAGGGAAAGGAGGGTTTGTATGATTACCCCCTCCAGCAGCCAGCTCCTCCTCTCCCATGCAGCGGCTCCACATGCTCCCTCCCTCACACCCTCCCACCATGGCCAAATTATGATTGCGAGTACTCTCAAGTAAGTACACACGATACCTGAAACGGAGAGCCCACACAAGAGCGCACACACGTACTCAGCGCCAAGGAACCATCTCGAATTCTCTTTTTGGCGTAGCACTCTCGAGCGCATGGCATGGCAAAGGCATGGCATTTGTTGTTTTTGTTTTTTTTGGAAGCTGAAGGGACGCGGGAACGGCTGGCTGGCTGGGCTGCTCGGACAAAGCTTCCGGGCCGTATAAATGGGTGTGTTCACCCTCGGCTCACGATACAGATACATACCCGATACACGATAGATACACGACACAGCTATAGGGCGCAGGGCGCATGTCATGTCATCGGCGGCGGCGGCACGTTTGTGCAACTCGAGCAATAGTCACTCTATGTAATTACGGCCAGCCGAGGAGCACATTCCGCCGTGATCGTGACCGGTGAGCGCGGGACGGCCGAGGCCATATAGGTACGACACCATGACACCACGTCCGACTGAACGGACGAGCTGTGCGGCAAAAAACACGCGGGCGTGACGCGTCCATCGCATCGCCTCGTTCGGACTCCCGCAAGATTGCCAATAACTAAGCGCACCTGCCGCCTGCCTGTCGCCTCCTTGAGGCGTCCTCGGCTGCTTCTTTCCTTCCTTCCTGTTGAATGTTCAGTCCGCTGTCGTTATTGTTGTTGTTGTTGACACTACACACCACCGGAATCGCTTGCGACTAGGCGACTGGCTGGCGATAGATGGCCGGTTTCATGAGCGAGTGTTGAACCGGCGGCGGCAAAAAGCCCATCGATCCCACCGGTATGATATGTAATTCGAGAGTGTCGTGGAGAACGAGCGGCCACCGGCCACCGGCCAGGAGCAGAAGCGTCACGTTTTTCCGGTTTAAGGAGGTTGAGTTGAGTTCTCCAGAGTCTACATACCAAGTACCCAGCTGCTGCTGCAGCAGGGGGCGGGGGTAGCATATGTACATACCGTACATAGGTGGCCAGCGGTGAGAGCGGCGATGGCGAAATTCTAGGTGCATGATATAGAGTAGAGTAGAGTAGAGGGAGCAGAAGTTAGATACCCATCTACAGTACTTACTCCGAGTGCGGCGATGCGGTGGGGAAGTAGAGTAGGTATCGACTTGCCCTTTGTCGAAGGCCGCATAGGTATTTAGGTGGCGGAGGGGAGACATGTGACCTCGATCGATACGAGGTAGGTATAATACATAGAGTATGCGGCTGGCGGGGCGTTTCACGAGCTCGAGAGGTGGGGGGGGGGGGGGGAGGATTTTTTTGGGGACTGCTCCGGAGCCGGACGGACGAGTAACGGTGACGGTGACGGTAACTGTAACTGTAAATCTGCAACTGCAACTGCAATTGTAACTGTAACTGTAACTGTATGTAACTGTAACGGTATGTAGCTGTAACTGTAACGCGGGATTCGGACCGGAGTGTTCATTGGATGGGGATTGGCGGACGAGGAGCGGGTGACGAGTCGTATGTGTCTGTGTAGCTACCGAGTTCATCTGCGGAAAGCCGTTCGCATTCGGTCATTCACGGCATCATCGGTTTTCGCCTTCAGAGATGTGGATGATTGGGGGGGGTGGGTGGTTGCATCTTATCTTATCTCTCGCCCATGTGCGCGCGTTGCGTCTCTACTGCACTCTATGTACCCTAGTGTACGGCGACTCGAGTGGTCACGCACGAGGGGGGCAGGGGGGTGGGGGATACTCATTGGCGGTCGATGAACTGGCAATGCACCATGCAAATGCAAATGCAAATGCATGCATAGGTACACCGGTTCGGTCTTTTCCCCCGGCGGAAATATATCACGGTGGGGACAGGGGTGACACCCAACCCCATCCATCTCTTCGCCTTTTTTTTTTCTCCCACGAGAGAAAGAGAGGGAGGAGGTGGAGAAGGTGGTGGATGAGGGGGTTGAGGTGGTGGAGAAGCGTACTAGATACAGGTACATACGAATACGCACACGCCGCCCGATGATTTTTTGTCACCGGTTCAAAGGGTGTCGCTTATCGGGTGCGTGTGCGTGTGCACTGTGTGTGCGATATGTGTGTGTGTGTGTGTGTGTGTGTGTGTGAGTGTGTGGAGTCGAGGGATGGAGGGAGTGAGGAGGATGAAGAGGAGGATGAAGACTCTGATAGGTGCCATCCGATGGATAGGTACTTCCTTACTCTGTCTGTGACCGTTTCGGTTTCGGAAGTCCACTGTTCGTTGACGCTGCTTTGTCGTCTGTCTGCGGATAGCCGTGGGTTGTGCGCCCGGGGGGATCATGTACTGTGGTACATACTAATGGTAAACTCTCTTCCCTCTCACCGCAACTCCTTCCTCGTCGCCGACGTCCTCTTGCCGGGTCGACTCTTCACATTCACACTCTTTACACTCTTCATGTGAATCATACATACGGTACTCTACTACCCGGTACAGGTATGTGCGACGGGATACACAGGACACGAACTCCGGCATCACACAGACAGTGACCAGTAAGTAAGTCGTAGTAGCCGTGAGCGGGTACGGAAGGGCGGGAGGGAGGGAGGGAAGGGAAGGAAACACGGGCGGACAGGGTTCGGAATGCGGCAGGCCAAGCTAACTACTAACCGCCTACTTCTTAGTTACTCCAGAGCACACTAACTACACTACACGACACTTCCTCGACTCCCCCCTCCCCTTTGTGTTTGAATTGTCTCTCCATTCCCATTGCGAGCCGCATTCCGGGCCATGCGGTCTTTTTTACTTATATCTCGCACACGTTCCCCGCCCTCCCCCATTCATGATTTATTATTTTTCCTTTTTTTTCCTTTTCTTGTTTTTCGGCTGCGGAAGGGGAAAAGGAAATATCGAGGCACGGGGCGAGGCGGGGCGGGGCGAGGCGGGACAACGCAGAGAGAGAGAGAGAGAGGGAGAGAGCGAGCTGCTGAGCAGTGCGGAGCGCTTCGAGATACTTACCCAAGTACTCACCGAGGACTTATGCTTCGTTGGGGCCACACTCGTATGCTATGCATGTCCTCGATGCATGTCCTCGATGCGCGTGCTGCATACACTTCCTGCAAGTGGGTTGGTTGCCTACGTAAGTAACCAGACTCCAGAGGGTTCTTCTTGCCAAAAAAAGATTATTCCTTTCTTGCCGGTGCGGGGAAGGAGGAGCCCGGATTTTGGCCGCTCGCTGCGGGCAAGCAGCCAGCGGATAGCGGACGGCGGACAGCAGCCAGCGGACAGCAGCCAGCAGACAGCTTGCCTTCTCGCACGAGAACCAGGACGACGCCAGGAGTACCTAGTGGGTGCAGAGGGGGAGGGAGAGAGAGAGGGGCATGTTTCCCTCCAGGCACCAGGACCTGGGACTGGCTTAGGTGGGCCTGAATATCTACTATGCGCGTCGTATGTACCTGAATCTTGCCCTGGATGCTGGAGCCATGGTAATAACTGCTCTACATATAATCCATCGCGCATAGAACGGATGGTAGCTAGCTGAGTGCTAGAGATTCACTCAATCCGCCTGCGGTTCTGTTCCGCGAGTGCATGTTCACTGTTGGGATCGACAGATGCACCGGGAGCGTGAGGCACTTGAATCCTTCTCCCTTGATGGAAGGATGGATGGATGGAAGGATGGATGGGAAGATGGGAAGATGGCGGATGATCTCGTCCGGCTCCATCGCCAGAGCTTTGGCCATCCGGTGGATGGAGGTGCTATCCACTTACCGCCTCGTGCCTCCCGGCTACGGAGGGAGTGGGTGCAAGTGTTATCCGCTTACTGCTTCCTGCCTCCCGGCCACGGAGGGACGTGGCACTGCGCTTGATCGTCGTCTTCCTTCTATTCCTTCTGGTGAAGAGGCCGAGCCGATTCGACGGTCACCTGATTCGGCGCTCATGGACACATATGTACTTTTTATGGAGGGAAGGCCCCGTACCAGTGCAGTATAGCGCCGTATACACCTACTCACTTGGCTGTGGCACGGATCGACCATGATATCATCTCTTGCGATGTGAAATAGGATGGATGGATTCCGTCCACGGTGCGGCGCAGGTACCTATCATACATATGACAGACTTCCTCTAAAGTGGCCGAGTGCATGTGGGCCTGGCTTTGAGAGGGATGGGATAGAACACTTGATGCGGTTAGAGAAAACTCGAGATGAACTTTTTCTTCCTGTGATGTGATGAGCGTGAGATGTGAAGGCGAGTACGGTAGGGAGAGTACGTATGTAGGTAGGTGGAGCAGGTATGTATCAACGGTATGTGTCTATGTAGCGCATGGCATGGGGAGTTTAGCCGGGCAGGTAGGGTGAGGAGAGAAGTGCACCCGGCGCGGATATCGATGGTTATCGATGGACGAGCAAAGCGCGGATGTTGGCTACCTACCTGCTTGAGGGAGGAAGGATCGGAGCGAGAGACAGCGGCCATCGGCAAGCTCGGGCTGAGCCCGTAAACGCAAGCCTGGTCTCTGGTGGAGAGTGTTGAGTGTAGAGTGTACCTAAGTGGGGCCATCATCATTGGGGGGATTGAAGTATACCTCGAGGTGCTGAGTAGAGTATGCAGAGAGTAACTGCCTTCCCTCCCGGTCACGGTCAGACAGAACTAAGCCAACAACTAACCGCAGCATCTGCCATCCATCCACACATCCATCCATCCATCCATTCGTCATCCCTCATCCTCGTTGGTGCAGCTTCTTTGATTTATTTTTCTTCTTCTTCTTCGTTTCCATCTGTTTGGTTCGCGGCTGTGCTCGGAAAAGAACCGTCCCCGCCCCCCTTACCACCACCAACACCACCTCATTCACCACCAGAAGCAGTCCCGGACTCGCGTCGTATGGTCGACTGTCCTCATATCCGAACAATACAAGCGCTGTTTTCGAGCGCTCGATCGCTTGTCTCGCCCACAGCTACAGTGTGCTAGTGTTTCGGCGGTCGGTCGAGATCGGTTACGTGGGCCATCTATAGTACTATACCATACCCAGGGTTCTCCCGCTTCGTTCCTGTCTTGTCCCTCATCACGACTTCGTCGTCTGCCATCCGCCATCCGCCATCCGCCATATTCGCCCACGCTTCACGAAGCGACGAACACCAAGGACCTCCCCTCTCGAGGATCCAATCGATTACATACACGCCGAGCCCCGACTCGCCCTGACCTGACCTAACCTGAACCTGACCTAACCTGAACCTGACCGACGGAGAGTCGAAGCGATAGACTGCCGAGGAGAGGAGCTTCCTTTGAACTTGGTACGTGCCGCGGCCGGTTCACTTTTCCGTTCACATTTCTTTCCTTTTCTCTTCCGAGTCGCAAGCGGGGCTGTGTTGGATTTGCAAGCCGGCGCGCGCGCGCCATCATTTCGTGTTCGTTTCGGCGCCGCTTTTTTTGTTCGTCACTGGGCCCCATCAAGCGCGCTGTGTTCCCTTTCTCGAGCTCCTCTCCTGGCTGGGTGGTGACTGTGTCGTCGCTGCGCTGGATTGATTGATTGAACTGAAGCGAAAAATAAAAAAGCCCTGAGCCTGAGCCTGAGGGGGAAGTGGCTGTTGTATTACCTATTGATCTTGCGTGCTCACTGCTCTCACACTCTCTGGAGTCGGAAGCCTCGATCTCTCCCACACCTTCCTCACTTTTCCTCCCCTTACTTCCTCACCCATTCATTCTTCTTCTTTTTTTTTAATACTTCCCATCCAGCCTCCGCCATCTCTTTTGCTTTTATCCTGCCATTCTAACTTGCCCACCCCCCCTCCTTCAGTCAAGTCAATACCATTCCCCACATATATCACCACGACTACCCACCACCACCACTACTAAGTACCGGTACCCACCTCCACCTCCACCACCTCCACCACCGCCCACCACCCACAAACGCCACTACCACCCCCATACATCCATCCATCCACTGTCGTCATTGCCACCGTACCGATTCAATCTTGAAGTATGTAATCTGATCCTCCTCATCCTCCCCATCCCCTCGCCGCCCTCTCTCCCGCTTCCGTTCTACACAAGCACGCACCTGAATGGTGGAGTGTAAGTGGAATCAAAAGCCAATTCAAATCTCTTTTCATTTCGGATCCCATTTATTCGCCCCAAAACCCATATTATTGCCGTCCAGTGCAACCGCTCTGCTCCGCTGCCTTTCCCTTCTATTCCCACGCCCTTGCGCCCTCTCGCTTCGATCAAATTCGTCGTGCTCTTGGTTTCTTTCTATCTGCTGTGAGAGGCATGTATGTGCCTGCTCCACATCTTAGGTACATCTGCCTCACTTACTTTAACCCTCTCGGTTGCTGCAATTGCAGGCTGAACTAGACCGACCTTCCCCTTCCCTCTGCACTATTCCCTGGTCCCATTTCACTCCACCCCACACACACTCCCACACCACTCCCACACCACCACTACTACCACCAACTCGCATGTTCGATCCCCCCAACCTAGAGTACTTTACCTACCTTACCACATCCCTTACCATGTCCAAACCCCCCTCCCCCCCCAAACCCGGCCACTCCATTGCTTAGCTGTGTCGTTGTCCCTTCCACCACCCATCATTCCAACTCACCCAACCCAAAAATCTCTCTCTTCTTCCCTTCTGCTCAGACACCCATTCCGCCACCCAAAAATTCATCACATCCCTCACAATAACCCAAATTTCTCACACACAATTCCTCAGACCCTCCTCATCCTCCCACCCCTCTCCCCCCCACCCATTACGCTCTCACAAAAACTCGCTTCAGAGCAAAGCATCGCTTCCAACAACAAAACAAATCCCCATCACACAACATAACAGTCCGATTACCCCCCCCCCCCCCCCCCACCCCTCCAATTCATCACCTCAAAAATACTTCGCAATGCAGTTTCTAATCGCTACTTTTTGAGAATAGCCACCGAATCGGAACAACAACACATCCGCAACTCAGTTGCTTAGCGAATCCGAGTCCTCTCACCCGAAACCTGCCTCGTCGCCGTCACCTCACGCACAAAATCAGCTGGCCGACCCTACTCCCCAACAGCCCACCGAGCTTCCTCGCCTCGTCGCAGACACCGAGCCCCTGCGAAAACGTACGCGTTACGAACTGCCCGATCGTTATCCCGTGCGTGACTCGATGGACTCAGATGCTCTAGCCGATCTGTTGGTTGCGTTGCCAGAATGGGTTACACGGTTACAAAACATCGCAGCCAGCAAATTCATCGACCACGGCACGGGCCCAACGGTTGCTGTTAACCCCGGTGGCCCTGAGTCCAGCAACCCTGCGCACATTCGCAAGGTCGAGCGTCCGAAGTCGATTCCCGAACAGGCCGTTCCCAAGTTTGAGACCGGAGGCAAGAAGATGAACCTGAAGCCCGGTTCCACCAAGGCAAAGTTCTCGAGCATCACCGGTCCGGAAATCTACTATGACGGGGACAGCCAGAAGTGTTTGTTCGATTGTTGGACCTCGCTTAACTCGAAGCGAGGAGCGCTACGGAAGGAGATGATGGCTATCCGAAGGAAAAAGGTGATGACGTTGCCTACCGCCAACTACGGCTACAGCGATTCGGACGACGAGCTGGAAGCGGACGACTCGGAAAAGGAAGATACCGAAGAGGACCGACTGCAGCGTGAGGAAGAGGAGAGGCAACGGATCGAAGAGGAAGCGAAGAGGAAGGAGGATGAGAAGAAGAGCAAGAGGTTGGAATTCATCGATGGCTGTCTCGACAAAGCTGCAAGAGCATGTGAGAACGCCGCATATCTTTGGCTCAAGGGTGAAGGATGTATGGGACACGTCGTGTTCATCACTCAGCGGATGATGGAGGCAGTGCAGCGGATTCAATCCGAGATGGCACAAAACATCAAGCCCCCCATGCGAGTGGGCGAGCTGGGTCCGGATGAAGGTTTCGGCGAGGACGGAGAGGACTGCGACAGTGCCCATGCTTCGGATGAGGAGTTGCACCACAAGCGACCTTCCGATCGGTTTAGAGGCCGTGACGAGCGACAAACAAGTCCGAGGCCGGTTGAGGTGGCTGGATAGTTCGATGGCTTCGGACCGTTCACTCGCCAGGATTCGGGCATCGTTTGACAGAACCATGTAGTCCCTGCGACCATTTCAACCGGCGATCCAAAATCGTCTCACACTCTCTATACCTATCCCCCCAATACCATCCGTTTCCGTACATACTTTAACACACATACGAGCACCCTAACGACCTACATACCCGATGACGTACCGCCTTCCTTCCTCTTAACCTCGACAAAAGCCCTCTATATCGTGCATCGCCGCCCTACCCGCGGTCGCGACCGCCATCATTGCTATCACCATCTTCTTACCGACACTCGACACTTTATCGGTTACCACACCACTCCTCGCCATCACCTCGCTACTTCAATGCGGTCAATCCTTTTCGATGTGGGGTAAATGGGTCTGTTTTGCGAGCCAATATTCTTTCACTGCTCTTGTGATACGGATCGGCAGGAGTTCGTCCCATATTTTTTTACCATTATTTCCTAATGTCCATTCTTTTTCCTTGAGCATTTCATATTGTCAGTAATTGGGAATGCATCGCTGTTGGACCTGGTGGCATGTATGTGTGGATACGGATGGAAGATGACAGGAGGACACGAACACCACCAGCCATTATGTTTTTGCCACAGCTGCAGCTGTATCTTGTTGGAGGATGTTGCGAGCTTGTGAATCACATTCATCGTCATCGTCATCGTCATCGTTCATCATAGCGGGGGGGTTATTGCTTGGTTCTTCTGCCGTCCGTTTGTTTTCGCCTTGTTTTTTTTAGCTGTTCTCGCCTCATCTCATTGTTATTTTATCTTTTCACTTTGAAGTTTTGCTGTCACCGTGAAGTGTGCGCGTGCGTGTGTTTATTTTCTATATATTTTTTCCTGTTTTCGTTTTTTCTTCTTTGTTTCGTTTGGCCCCGTTTCTTTCTCATGAAGTTTATGATACCCCGATTGCGGGTTGGGACGAGCGGTCGGTGAGGGGGAGTTTTTTATTTGTTTATTTATACATAGCTGGCGGAGGAGGTTGCGGTGGGCGGTGGGGAGGGAATCATCAAATGAGCGTCGATTCAAACCTCTTGTGCTTTTGTGCAATCAATCATTCATTCAATGTGTATCGCCATGTGTTGGATCTCAACATCTACTCTATGTAGGACGGACGGAAGCATTTCCACCTAGAGTATGTATGCGTCTATGCTTTTTTGTGATGACGATTGCAGCTCGGTCGGTCTGGCCGTGCGTTTTTTTCCCTTAGATACATGACCCTTCCCTTCCTTTTGACCTTCTTTCTTTCCTTATTTCGTCGCCGAAGGGCGGGTATTTCTTTTTCTTGCTGTCGTTCTTCATCTCTACGTGTAGTTTGTTTTTCTCCTGGTTGCTAGAGTTGCTAGAGTTGCTACCTAGAGTTGCTAGAGGATATTGCTGTTTGGTCGGGATGTGGGCCGTGAGATGCACAGCGATCCGGACTCTGAGCGCTCACACACACACACACACAAAGAGTGCAGAAACAGAGAGAGACACCGCACGCCGGACAAGCGCGTGCGGAATTGGTTGCGTTTCGTTGGTTTGTAGAGGACAGCACTTTTTTGGATAGGGAATTGATGTAGATGTCTGGGCGCGCGAGGGAACCGCCTGCTTGCTTGTGTGCGGTGCGGTGAGTGTGTGTGTGTAGGCATGGTGTGCGTATGGCAGGGCGTGGCATAGGCGGTGACGGGACTGCAGCATGCGCGAGCGAGCGAGCGAGCGAGCGTCCGGCGCCATCTTGCCGACTGGTTGACTCTTGCTGGCTGACTGGCTGGTGGATTGGCGCCATGTTATTGGGTGCGGCATTCCCGTCCGCGCTGCGCTGCAGATTCGCCGGGGAGGGCGAGGGAGGGAGGAGAGGGAGGAGAGGGAGGAGAGCGACAGCCTACAGCCTACGGCCTACGGTACAGGGCGTATGATATGTTCGATATGTACGAGATGTATGTAGCGCCAACACCAAGCACAAGCACTGGGTTTTTGAAGAGCCGAATCGAAGAGTCGAAGCCTCGAAGCCTTCGTGTCGAGGCGTATGTATGTGGCTACTGTAAGGTGGGCAGCCCGCACTCCTGCACTTCCCGCACTCCCGCACTTTCCGCGCCCTCCGCACCCGCACCCTCCGCACTCTAGGTAGATTATAGTATCGCGGATGATTGGCGCCGCGACGCGCTGTATGATAGATGCGTACGCAACCTCGCTGGCACGCTCGCTCGTCGGAGCAAACAGATATGCCTGCGTTGTGTTCACATGGGAAGTCGGGGGGATCGGGGGTGGCGGGCGAACCGCCATGGCGGGTATCGTTCGTTCGCTCGTTCCGTTCGTTCGCAACAACGATCCGGAACATGGTCGCACATACCGTACTCTACACCTACTCTACATGCATATCAAACAAACCGGAAGGTCCGGGTGTGTGTGCGTGCGTTGCGTCGCGTGTCGGATCTCTGCTCAGTTGCCTGCGTGCTGCCTGCCTTCCTTCCTCCTGCTGCCTCCTGCTGTGTGCCTCCTGCTGCCTGCCTGTCTATGAAAGATAGCCCATCGGAATTCTGCGGCTGCTTCCGAGTCCGAGTCCCCATTAGGCCTACGAACGATCGAAAACAAGGGGGGAGGGGGGGAGGGAGCCTGGGGGGGGGGGGGTGTGAATTGGGGTTAGATTAGCCGCTGTTAGAGTACCGACATACTTCTACACACACACACACACACACACACGCCGTGAACTGGGTTGGCGTGGGTTGCGTTGGGGGCAGCGAGCGAGGGAAGATTAAGCTCCCGCGCGCCCGCTCCGCGCCCGCGCACCCGCTCCGCGATCGACGGAAACGTGGTTGGCTGGCCTGGCTGGCCTGGATGGATGGCTTGGATGTATGGATGGATGGCGGAACTTGGAAGGAATGAAGCATGGTTGGCTGACTGGCTTTGGAATTGGAATTGGATACACGATGGCTGGCGAATCATCAGGCGTAGCTGAATCACACGCATCACGATTCACACGCTTCACACGTTCTCGACGGGGATGGTCAGTATGCAGAGTCCAGACATTATGTGTTCAAGCTAACTAGGTACCGTAGGTGATCCTGATTGAGCTTGTATGCAGACATTGAATTGTTTCCCTGACGATTTTGCTTACGCATAGTCTCGACTCTCGACTCTCGTCCCTTCCTCATATGTATGCATATTCACTCCTTCTTACCTGTACCTAGTAGAACTCACCCTCGGGAGTGAGGGGGTTATCAACTGCCATCGTCCACGGCGACTTCTGGATGGGTAGTTATCCTGATCGTCGTATCATCTTTCTGCTCCACCTCATCTACTACACTGTACGACCTGACCTGCTAAGGACACCCTCCCACTTCTGCCTCCACCGTCTTCTCTCTTCCATTTACGTCTCATACCATACTCCTCCATCTTCGCCTCCATGAGCTTTCTACCCTCGTGATGCGTGGGTCTCCGCCCTACCCTTTTGTGCCCACTTGAGCTTGCCTTCCTTCATTCATTCCTTCCTTTGGTCTCGACCAGCCTGCTCGTCCGTCCCTAACGAGGAGATGAGGGTATGAAGTCCTCCGGCTCGGGCTCGGCCATTTCCTCGTCATCACGACGAAGGCCGTGATACGCGTCCTCACACACTCCATCTCCTCTCAATCCGTATTCGCCTGTTTGTACCTGGCATTCGCCCGTTTGCGCCGTTTAGCCGTTGCCGCTTTTCCATGGGCTACCATATCCCCGGGAATCTCGCACAATTGCACTCAATGCCTCATCTGATCGATCGGTGGTGGTGCCTTGAAAGGCCTCAATCAGTCCAGTCGGTCAGTCAGTCGGTCACGGGGCCGTCGAGATTGAAAGCGGAGCGGAGCGCAGGACGGAATGGATAGGAGGTCAACACCAGCCTGGGCCACCCATCACGGCGGTATCGATGCTGCGGTCGCCGACGTCGTCCTCGCCGTCGCCGCGAATAAACAACGCAGGCGTCACAGCCAACCGCGCGTTTCCCACCGAAAAGACCCAATGTGACCCGGTTGATTTCCGGGCTCGGTCCAATATCTCAACTGGGTATATATTTCGGGATATATTTCGGGATCCTGGCCTGGCCTTGCCTTGTCTTGTCGTACCTTGCATTGACACGGGTCTTCCCACACGTCCGCCATGGTCTATGGCCCGCGTATCGGATCGGTGGTCATACATGGAGCTTCAAGCGTGGCACTGCATCGAGATCTTCAGCCGTTGAGGTGGAGTGTGTGTCTGGAGAGCACTTGTTCCATCCATCGTCGTATCCTCAGCGGGGCGGATGGGATCGCTGGCGAGCGGGCTTGTGGCGGCCATTTGGTCTAGGACTGGGGGGTTTTCCTTCGTTCCATCTTGGCCGTCCTGAAGACTTGATTGTGCCTACTCTACTCGGCGATGGAGATCGAGAAGTTGTATTGTGGGTTGTGGGTCATGGGTTATGGGTTTCGTACGGGCCAAAACGAGTGAGATGGTATTCCCCAACGATAAATGGACCGATTTCTGGTCCTTTGGGGACAGCATCAAAGGACAACGTCTTTAATATAAGCTACGCAACAAAGAATAGGTTTGTTACCGGTCGGTACTCTCGAACAAAACTACGGTTCTTTCGAGTTACCTGGGACACCAGTGATTGTCCGGGCTGGGTGGCCATAATTGTCGAGATAAGACCGGTGGACAGCTGGACTATAGTAAGGGAAAGAGGGATATCCGATTTCTATAATCTCATGTCAACGAGCCCAAGCCAATCATGAGAACGTGCAGACACCCGGTTATAGGTACCGGTATTTGTAACATTCCATCTACCACCTATCGCTTTTACATCACTCATTCGCAACCGCCACCCATCACTCGCACAATCACAACTTTTGCTACCAAGACTTCATAGGGCGGAGCCTCATCCCACCAAAAGGTCAACAAAACAAGTAAGGGACTATGTACCGATCAATCCGATCCCAGGACACCCACGAGGTCTTTTATCTTCTTCTAGTTTACATCCTTCTTCACCACCATTTCCTACTACATTGTACCATACTCATACCATACTCACACCATTTTTACTACCCCCATCAATTACAGCTTGCTACCCGAGATACCATTCACAGAACCGGCCTTCTGCGCCTCACACTCGTTACTAGCATTTCTTTTGTCTGTTCATTTACCACCTAATACATCATGAAACCCGCGCTGTACCTTCTCGCCGCTGCGGCAGGATGTTTTGCAGTTCCTCTCGACAGAAGAGCACAGTCGGTAAGTCAAATCTACTCATGGTAGGCTAGATTCCGACTAACATGGATCAGCTCGCAATCAAGACTGTTACCGCCAAGGTAGTACGGGTCCACATTGAATGTTGGGAATGACATAGCTGCTCACTCGTCGGCGAATAGCAGACAAAACTTCCGCCGCATACGAAACCCAGCATCCAATCCCAGAAGTTAACACTGTCAGTGATTGTCGTTGCAACTGCGACGACAACAGCACAGGTTCAACCGACCCAGACCGCGGAACATGAGGCATCCATTCCAACCGCCACGATAATCCACCAAGCCGGAGCTGGCGCCACAATATCCATCGATCCGCTCTCCGCCTCGCACCCATCATCCACAGCGCCCCCCACACCCACGCAGCCCTCCGCCACCCCGACCACGAGCACGGGAATCTCGCGCCCAGCGATGCTAGCCATCTCGCTCACTTTGCTCTTTGTATTCGTGATCGCCGCCGCAGGCGGGATAGTCTACTGGTCGCACCGGCAGACGGCGAAAGCATACCGCAAGTACCGGCGGGCGCACCACGGACAGCTGCTGCGCGTCAACCTCGAGGGCGTGGTGGAGTGGATCACGCCGCCGACACGGACCCGCGCCGACCTCGGATTGTTTCACGTCAACACTTGTGCCGTTGGCTACGGGAAGATGCCGCCGGTTCTCACGGCGAGGCTCCCGGGTGAAGGCAGCCAGGAGGGGAGCCAGGAGATGAGCCCGAGATCGAGGAGGACGGCAAAGGCAAAGGATGAGAAGGCGGAGTCGGAGAAGGCACAGGCCGGCAGCGACACGACGGCGCCGAAGGAGGATAGTGGATATGTCGAGGGAGCACTGGACGCTTCTGGCGAGATGGGCGAGATGGGAGAGCGTGGTCTCGAGCCTGGCGAGAGGGTGTACAGGATCGAGCGTGGTGAGAGGGTGCACATGATCGACCGTGGTGAACGGAAGCAGGTCGGTCCTACGCCCACGGATGAGGACTCTGAGGACTCCGAGGAGGACCTCTCCGATACTGTTAGTTACCGCAGTATCGACGGCCACACGGCTGGCTGGCTGCGCGACTATGGATATATGGGTCCTGCAGGTAGGTAGTTGATCCTGCCTGGGTGGTGGTTGATCCTGCCTGGGTGGTTGATCCTGCTACCGTCTACAGATCTCGCACAAGTCCTTTCCTTGTAGGTAGTGTAGGCAGCAATTCCGAATCCAATTCCGTTACATATACGTCAATTTCATCAACCATTATCCACCCCCCCTCCCCCTCCTCACGGGGCGACATCGTGCATCTAATAGTAGCAGCTTTGACATGTATAACGCGCAGGAATATATATACTATACATGAGAAGACCCGCCTCCATACCCACCCCCATCCATCCATCCATGTTTCGCACTTATCGTTCGTCGCCCCCCCGCCCCCACCGCCAACCATACCAACCATCTCATTAATTCAAGAAGCAAAACCCCAAAACTCTACGCCAGCAAACTACATAGTTAAACAGTAAATACAAAAGTATTAGAAGAAAAAGGTTTAACGGTGTTCTCATTCCGGTTGGTTCATCGATCGCCATCGTCCCCGCCGCTGCCGTTGTCGCTGCTGCCGCTGCCGACGTCGTCTGGCTTTTTGCCGTAGATGAAGAATCTGCGCATTATCGTTAGCTCTCTCACTCTCACTCGAGCTCACACACACCAATCAACGGTGCAGATGGGGAGGGGTGGGATAGGATAAATAAGCTCACGTCTGAACCCAAAATCTTCTTTCGGCGAGTATGAGGTCCTTCGCGGCGGCGAGGATTTTATCCCTCACCTCCTTCTCGCTCCATTTCAGCTCCCGGGTCAAGAGTCCGGTCGAAAAGCTGTTGAGACTCTCCATCATCCCCTGACGCCCCCAAGTCCCAATCTCGTTGAGCTCCTTGATCTCGGGCCAGGGCGTGAGCGGCCATGCTTTGATCTCCACCGTGATATCGACGAATCCCGCATCCCGCATTAGGTCCTCCATGTCCCGTGCAACGACTAGTGGCCGGCCGCGAGCTTCAGAGATGCGGAGCATCAGCGTCCACCAGTCCGAGAAGGGCGTTGACGGTGGAGAAACTGGGTTGAGCGCGTCGAGGTGTGCTGGGTCGGGTCCTTCGACAAATAGACAGGCGCCGTGGTCTTGGAACTCGACGAAGCCGCCGGGTTTTAGGTGTCTGCGATGGGGAGTCAGTAAGGTGCATGGTTATGGTGGGACGATGCCGACGGGAAGACGCACTCGTAGATTCGGCTCAGTAGCAATGGCCAATCGGAGAAACTGCCACTCATACTTCGCATGTGGACGAAGTCAAAGTGGTTGCTTGGGTAAACCCATTCGCTCTCGGCGTCGTCAACCTCGAAGACACTGAAAGCTTGTTAGAAAATCGTATGCACGCAAATCCTTGGAAGATGCCTCGTTTACCAATTCGCGGGTATCCTGCACGCTTCTGTCAGTTCACAGAGATGGCCTCAGCTTCATGAACCCGAAAGGAAGCATACCATGGAGGCTGAATGCGACTCAGATCGTTGCCGATGACCTTCGCATCCGGATATTGCCTACAAAGACGAAACGAAAGTTCAGTTTCAGCCAGCAGTCTTGCATCACCCCATCCATCCATCCATCCGAGCATTCATCCACCCATCTTCCACCTCTATCTCCATCATCCATCTCCAACTCCAACTCCAACTCCAACTCCAACTCCCACTCCATCTCCATTTCCATGTCCATGTCCATGTCCATCATCCACCATCTATCTCCATCTCGCATTCCACGAAAGAAACCTTCCCCCCTGCCAAAAAAAAGCCGTACTGGCCAAGGACGGGAACGGAACCAATCCAGCACTTACTCGGCCATATCGATCGCCCATTCGCCAGCTCCGGTTCCGACATCCAAGACGATCTGTGGATCGTTTAGAGGTGCTCTGTGCAAAGCTCCTCCCAGCAGCATCAAGAAGAGGTGGTGATGCAGCTCCAACCTGAAAACACAACCAGTCCATCGCCAACGATTAACTCCTGATGCCAATGGGGGCGCGCGCGCAGCACGAAGGGGAGGGGGCAGAGGGGAGGGGGCAGAGGGGAGCGGGTGATTGAACCTTCTGATTTCCGGCTCATCGTTCGGTAGGATGTACTTTCCGGCGCGATATGCGTGGTACCGTCGCCCGTTCTCGTACACGTATGAGTTGACGTTCGAAGCAGCTGAATCACTGGAGATACCGTGTAAGCCGCTCGCCGGGAGGAATTCACCCAATGCTAGATGCACTCCACACATGATGGCTGCGTACCCAGCCTGGGAGGCGGCGAACCCCGAGTCGATGAGAGAGACCGAATCCTGGCTAGATGGAGTGTCAACCATTTGTTTCTTATCTCGTCCCTTCGGAGGCTCGTTGAGTTGCGGATTTTTTTCGTTCGTATAAGGGAGCGTGAGAAAGCGTGAGAGGGTGTGAGGGAGCGTGAGGGAGCTCTGATGATTGATCAGCCCAGTGTGTGGCTGTGGGGGCTTTTTTGTTTTTTTCTTTCTTTTTTCTTTTTTTCTTTTAGGAAATCTGTGCGAGCCAGACACGGGTTGGGGGGAGATGGGGAATGGGGGGGGATGGGGGAGCACATGCGAGGAGGCTGGAGGAAGAAGAACGCGAACACTCAGAGAGTCAGAGCACTGACATCTGGTACACTCGGAGACTAATAGCTATTTTGAGGTAAAGCTTTAAGCCATCATCTTTTGTTGTGTGCCAGGAGTCTCCCGCTGTTGGAGTTTGGGAAAAGAGGGCAAGGAAAAGAAAAGGACTATGTACCGTAGTTAGACGTTGCTGCGGAGGTGGGGGGTGAAGAAGGGTGATTGGCCAGCAAGCCGTAGCGGGTACAATTAAGGCTCGGTGTGGACGATCGTTTGATCCCGAGGGCCAGGTTAGGCACCCCGCTCTCTCGCCTAGGTATGTTGATGTGGGATGTTCGAACTGGCACATCTACTGACAGTTGTGTAGATAGGTTGATACTCTACATCCATCCTCTGTTCGTAGAGCCGAAAAATTACACCAACAGCAGCTGAGCCACAGATTGCAGTGGGGGGCAGACTTTTTGGCGCTGGGCGCCGAGATATGTAGAGATAGACATAGAGTAGAGCATCTCCCACGGCCCTATCCACTTGCGGATTAGTCTCCGGCCATGGCTGTGGACCACAATGCCCCCAAACTCTTTCGCCTGGTCTTTCCCTGTAGAACACTGGGCAGCAGCTGGCCTGTCTCCTCCGTCTTGCATGCTCGCTCGCTTCCCCGCCGGACGGGCGGGTCTTTCGAGGGGGCTTCTTTCGAGGACGCTGACTGTGCGCCTTCTGCCTGCAGCACCGCCGAAACCCCTACCTATCATACGACACTCGTTTGGTTCGGACAGGTGCGACACTCGGATTCGAATCCTGCACGCGAATTCATCTCCGTTTGCCATAATGAAAGGATAGGTAGGCGTGAAGCAGCAGCTGGACAGGCACAGACTTCTCAAGCGGCATCATCCCGAGGGTTTTGGCATTTGGGATCCTACACGCCGGTGTTGACGACAAGATGGATGAGATGACGATGGACCCACACGTCGAGATGGATGAGATGGCGATGGACCTGCCGTGTATCGAGAGGCGTATAGTAGTTATGCCGGCAACTACCGGTACCAGTCGATCCAACAATTAAAGGGACACTGCAGGGGCCACCAGCCACACCAGCCACACCAGCCACACCGACCACACCGAAACACCCATTCGAAAAGCCCCTCGCCAGCGCCACAGCACAGAGAAGGACGATCCAAGCCAAGAAAATCCATAGGAGTGAAGTCCGAGGTGTTCTGGGCGTATATAGGGTGGGGGCGGCCAATGGCTGTTGTCGCTGGCCGAGATCACCAGGCCACGGCGTGGTTGATGAGGCTGCTGTGGCTGGGGATCTTGGCCTGTTCTCGTTTTTATTGGATCGTCTGCCTAAATGCAGAGATGCAGTTGGCTGAGAATGCGTTGTGGATGTTGGGCGAGGCGTTGGTGAAAAATAGGGCGGAGAGCTCGAGAGTCAGGATCATGCGCAGGACGCTATGCATTGGCGTCCAGCGCCCCCACCATCCAGCGGCACATTCCTTCTCCTCCCCCATCCCTCTTTCCTTCCTACATCCCTCTTTTCTTCATGCATCCCTTCTTTCCTGCATCCCTCAAGTTTCCTTCCTGCATCCCTCTTTCCTTCCTGCTTCCAGCTGGCAGTCGTAGTTGCATGAAATCAAGGAAAAATCGTAGCGGACTTCTTTCCACCCGTCCCATGATCTGCTGTCGGTGGGTCCTCCATTTAATTTTTAATGACGCGGGGGGGTGATGCTGTCGCTCGTGCATAAACCTCCCACCAAATTGACATTCCCTTAAGGTCCTTTTTCCTCGTATGTATACCGGTATCCTATATACGTGTCTTAGCGCCTGACCAGGGGCAACTGATTCGGGGGGGATCTGGGCAAAGGAAGAATCCCACAAATCTCGGGGAACAAATATGTGAGATGTGGAGCGCAGCTCAGCTCAGCTCATCCCGAAAACGCCGCCTTTCAACGGTGCGCGGAGGCATGGACTAAAGGAGAAGGAATTTGTACATAACGCAGTCATCGGACGACGTGGGGTCTGTCCAATCTTTCTTTCTTTCTGACGGTCAGCGACGCCATTTTGCTCGGTCTCGTCTAGAGTATTATTCCTGCGCACCGAATGGTAATGGTACTTAGATATGTGCTCTCTGTCATCCAGCTGTGCATGTGTGCTTGCCCCATAACCAGAGTAGCTACCGTATGGCATGTTCCGTTCGTATAAGCTGACTGGAAACGCCACAGGTTCTGCTTCCAAGACTTGGAATGAATTTCGCCCCGTCTTGTTACTCTAGCTCCGGATCGTGTCTCGCTGCAGACCAATTCCTGTCTTTCGTGACTAGGTAGTTAGCGTCTTGTAACTACCTCAGCGCCAGCCCTGACGAAGTGAAAACGCTATCCAGCGCAGCGAATGAGGGTGTTTATGGGTTGAACCGGCTAACAAAACAGCTGGTACGAGACAACTCTGGCTCAAGGGAAGGAAGGCAAACTTGCAATCGAGCTTTCACCAGATTCGCCACCACTATAGGAGAGCTTCCTCCTGTCCCATCTCCGAGACTCCGACTCGGTTCTCTAGGGTATCCAACTAGTTGGTTACTCCATGACGGGTCCATCGCCATCCGCGACCGAAGGCCGCCGGTTAGACCTCTCATTTCATGAAACCAGGGGTGTTTATCATCGTGGAGGAAAGGGAGAGATGCTAGAGCTGCTCGGGTTCTGTTGATTTTCTCCGACAATGCGGCGGTACAAGCGCTATCTGCCACATCTTGCAAGTTGCTAGTCGTATGTTTGTGGAAAAGGCGGTGCACGGACTTCCAATTGCAAGTTCAGGAGCAACGCACACCAGTGCCCCCCGGGTTAAGTGCAGTGATGGATGCTTGGTTCGCGTTCTCCGAGACAGTGATGAAGGCAGAGAGCAAGCATGCATGCATAGGTAGGTGGTAAACCATGGAGAATCGGAGAGGGAGAAACACCTCTGCGTCGATACGAGGAGTGCCGGGTGCGAGCGGGTGAGCGAGTTCCGTTTGAAAGTTGATCTTGAGGTGTATGTAGGCAGAAAGTATGTAGGAAACGAGCATCGCAGAGCCGGAGGGAACAGGGGGAGCTTGACCCAACCCCGGCTCCACTGCATAGCTATGTAAGCACTTACTAATCAGCCTGCCCGACCAAATGTCCATGTTGACCCCGGGTCGCCATGGTTACGGTGCCAACAGCCTGCTCATATAGAATCTTCGAGGCCACCTTCGCATCGCAGGGCGAGGAAGATAGGAAGACTTTCGGGCCGCTCCCTTTCCCGCTCCCTTTCCCGCTCCTACGTCTTTCGCACTATGGAGCAGCAGAAGCAGTCGGTGACCTTCGGTACATAACCCCGGGATTCACGTGTGGTACTCTACATACCAGTTATCAGGTGTATACCGAAGTATTTATGATAGGACTACGTATCTACGAAAGTACACACAGGAGCAGTGAGTGGCGAAGTGATAAACCACCAGTGCTCGGTAGGAGCTGGCTGCATGCGCTCGGACGCTCAAATTGAGGGTGCTCGGCACGTACGTACGGTAGATCCAGAAGACTCCTGCGCGAAAACCACTCACAGAGGTACATATCACTCGAGTAGGTACATTATGTACCTTGTACCTCGAATCTGATGGAGTACGGTACTGGGTACCCAAGCCTGCCAACGGGTCACATCAATGAGTGAGTGGGGCCGTGTCTAGAGTAGTTACGTGGTTCTGTGGCCACTCCAACGGTAAGCGGCCGATCAACCAGAGTGGAGTAACTATCGGCAGTCATGTGACGCGCGAGTGAGCGTTATGCTTCGATTGCACAACTCGGTTACACTCACTCACTCGTTGTTGACATCACGCGTCTTATTGCCTGTTCCGGTGTCACTGCTATTTTCCACTGTCTTTTTGCATACTGCCCTCATTTCCTTCGTGGCTGCTTAGCATTGTCCATGGCTTCTCACCAGTCAGCTTCTTCAGCTAAAAGCCTTCAAGCCTCAGCCTAGTCCGGCGATCGCTCGAGACAGTTGCCTGGACGGTGGACAGGAATAAGGGAAAGTAAATATGATAGGCCGCCATAGTCTCGATACCCAGGCGGGAATGCGAGTACGCATGATGAAACCAAAGGATCAGATAGGAAGTACTGATGTCGACAGGAACGCCCCAAGGGAAGATACAGAGGAAGAGGGGGGAAAGTACGAGTGAGTCATCAGCATTGGGAGGGAATTGGATGTACTGTACTTTCGTGGCTGGAAACGGTCGAATACATCGAGAGTCAAGCTGATTTTGGTTGACGGTCTTGCCTTGGCCAGATTTGTGTACCGTCGGGTCCTTTAGAGGATATTCTCTACTATGTAATACCTACGTAAAAGCCTGGAGTGCTGAGAAGTAGCCAGTGAAAATTTTAGTAAGGTTCGTGTAGCGGCCGGCCGAAATATCTGGCTATGTAGAGATGGCTAGGTTTCTGACCAGCCCAAGCAGCCTGGACTCAGCACTGCCGGAACACACTGGCAGGTTAGATGCTGGGGACGATGCTCCAGGGTCCGGAAAGCTTTGTGATATGCGCGGCAAGGAGAAAAGGACTTCCAATTCATATATCTATTTATTCCACCACTTTCACCACTTTAATATGGAAAACCTTACTTGATTCAAGCTCGTCAAATCTCCACCGCCGTCTCAATACCTTCAGATCATACATTAACCGCCCCCCCTCTACCACCTCACCTTACTGCGTATCGTAATGCCCAGGCCCAGTTGCCCCAATATCTTTTCCTTGCGAAGCCTTCAGCGTGTGCTTCCCTGGCCTCATCTGTTTCCCACCATGGGTAGGCCCGACATGCTTCCCCTCGACGCCGGGCGGTAGCTGGTCACCCATTAGGGTGACCACCTCGCCGGTGAGCCCGGAGACCTGCGGGTTGTCGGGGAGATCGGTCATGTTGTCGGCGGAGGGGTGGACGAGCTTCGGATCGGTCTTGAAGTGCTTCTCGCGGGCGGACGAGTGCACGACGTTTTGCGTGCCCGAGTCCGCGGGGATGTGAGTGCCGCCGCGTGCGGAAAGTTCGGCGAGTGTGCCGCCGCGGTAGGCTTCGTCGTCGGACTTGGTCTTGGACTTGGCGTTAGATCGGGGATTGGACATGCCGGGTTTTGTTGCTTGGATTTGCTGAATGGCGAGTGCTGATGCTGTCCTACATGCCGCCTGAGAGGTGCTGTTTATATATACGGGCGGTCGTGATGAGCATGCGTTACGTCATGAGGTGTGAGGTCGTGATGACTTCAGTACGATCCAGTGCATACGCATTACCTCATCTACCCGGAGACACAGGTACATCACTCGGCGTGATCAGGGTCTTGCATTCTCCATGTACGGGCCCGAGCAAAAAACGCCAGGGCGGAGGGCAAAGGAACCCCACATCGCGCCCTCCACTTTGCGGGGAAAGACAGTGGGGAGGAACCGGAATATAACTACCATGATGAGGAAACAAAAATCCGAGCAGAACCCCCTGGATTCCCTACCGCGAAAACAGAGGTCTCTATCCTACTGCCAAAGTGACGACAATTCCTCAAGGCCCAACGGTTGAAGGCGAAATATCACTTTTAGTAGATAATGAGCTTTTCAAAATACTATGAACCACAGTCGTGACTCGTGACTAGGCCAGGCTTCTATTAAATCATCACCAAACATCGCTCATCAGCGTTGATATCATTAACGTAACTAAGCACCTTGTTCTTCGGGATTTCTCCAAAAATCCACATCTTACACTCCCTCAGCAGACCCACCCAGCTCTTCCAACGCAACGTTCGGATGCAGCACATAAACCACCTTTCCGGCATCAGCGCTGCTCCCCTCGCCCGCACCCTCGCCATCCTCTCCTTTCATCAGCCCCTCTCCGCGAATCTGCATCACTACGTTATCCCGCACCATCCGCTTCAGCACCTTAGTGACCAGCACCCGCTCCTCCTCTAACTCCTCCTCGCTGTTGATTTCCTCCTCTCGCTGCTCTAGATACCAGGTCTTGAGCTCCTCTTCCTCCACTCCGGTACCGCTGCTCGTCTCGTCCGCGTTGATACGACGTACAAGCAGTGTGAGAATCGACATGTACTTATCGTACGTGATCTTTGTCTTCTCACGCGGCGGCTGTGAAGAAGCGGTGGGGGCAGGTGTTGATTCCGGAGCAGTAGCAGCCATATCGGCATCGCCCTCCTCGTCAACACCCACAGGAGCCGTTTCCTCCTCATCCACCTCAACATCATCGTGTTCGACGTGGATGATACTCTGGCGAAGCAGGCCGAATGCCTCGGTGACGAAGGCCTCCGTGACGTCCTCGACACAGTTGGCTTTGGCGATGGCCTCAGAGAGACGGATGAGCGATTCCAATTGACGCACTGTGATTCTGTACGAGTTGCGGCCGATACCGCCGTTGGCATCGTCAGAGCGCAGCTGCTTGTACTTCTCCACCAGTAAAATCTTGGCCTCGTCTGTGAACACGGGCTTGAAGGTGCGTGCGAAGCGGATGTAGCGCTGTAGCTGCTCTGTGGTGAACTCGGGCGTAATGGCCTCGTCGCGGTTGCGGTGAATGTTGACGATGTGCCTGGCGAGGTTGGTGTCTGTGGTCTCATTGCAGTCATCGAGGACGATAAAGAACAGATCGAAACGCGACATGATGGGAGCCGACATGTTGATGTTGCTTCGAAGCGTGGCCTTGCGGTTGTATCTTCCACCCACGGGGTTCGCGGCGGCAAGGATCGAGGTACGCGCATTCAGGGTTGCCTGGATACCCGCCTTTGCGATCGAGATGGTCTGCTGTTCCATGGCTTCGTGAATGGCAACCTGGTCAGAGATATCCATCTTGTCGAACTCATCGATAGCACAAATGCCGTTGTCCGCAAGCATGAGGGCTCCTGCCTCGATTGTGAACTCGCCCGATTCCTCATCTTTGACTACGGCGGCGGTGAGACCGGCGGCGGAGGAGGCTTTCCCGGATGTGTAGACGGCACGGGGTAAAAACGAGCAGATGTACTTGAGAAACTGGGACTTGGAGGTGGACGGATCACCGACGATGCAAATATTGATGTCTCCACGTAACGCCATACCCTCGGGTGTATACTTGTGAACTCCACCCATGAGCTGGAGGAGAAGTCCCTTCTTGATGATTTCGTGGCCATAGACGGTGGGCGCTATTGAGTTGACGAGACGACTGTAAATGTGGTCGCTGTGTACCATGGATTTGAGCTCAGCGATCTCGGCTGGAGTGAGAGTGTTGAGGAAGTCGTCCTGTGCACGGTCTTCGTCATCGGCTTGGGTGCCACGCAGAAGACGGGCAACCTCTTCCTCCTCATCGGATCTCTTCCCACCGATTGCACCGGGGACACCGGCAGTGTCGGAGGTCACCATGCAGGCAAGGAACGCAAGGCGGTAGGTCAGGTCGCGGACACCAAGGGATTTGAGACCAGTAACCCCAGTACCTTCTGTGCCACGAGGTGCGTTCTTGGAGTCTCGCATAGCCTGAGCTTTTAACCCGGGGAGACCTAACATTGACACATCTGGCACGACAATCAATGTCCCAGTGAAAATGCACTTTTCACCAGCTTTGGCGCGCTCCACAATCTCGCCGCGCAAAATAACATCCAAGGTCCGTGGCATCGAGCCTGTTGGAATTTCGCCAGAGTTCTCTTGCACGCGCACTTTCTGCCAGTCCACAAAGCTAGACTGCTTGATTTCCAATCGCCAACCCACGCGGTTTCCACATGTAATGTTGGGGCATTGTGTCGGCTCAGTGTATCGGAAGGTCTGTTCGACATTGTGTACTACCGTGCGGCAGTTCTCGCAGGTGAAGGTTCCGAGAAGGAGCTCCGGCCGGACTTCCGAGGTGCGGGTTACAGTAGCTGAGATTGAGGAAAGATTGCCGATCTCGGCAGTGCGTAGATTGCGGATACGGGTGGTGAGGGGGAGATTGTAGAAGGCAATGTTGAAGACCTTGTCGGTTTGCGGGGTTGCCTGAAGAGTTGGAATGCTGTTCACAATATGGCCAGGAAAGTACTCACTGATTCGCTGCCGCCTATTTGTCGGCCTGTCTTTCCCCAGTATTCAGGTTCGTATTTTCTTACGCAGGCTTCAAGCGCGCGCCGAATGAATGGGAGGAACCGGTAGTGTCGCTCCGTCACAGCCTCCGCGAGGCCCTTGACGTGTGTTTCACTCCAGTATCTTAAGTGCGAGAAATCGAGGTATAGTGTACACGACTCCGTGGCGGACATGTTGTGGATCTGAGCGATGTAGTATTTGTCGGTGCTGATGGCACCTGACATTGCGGACGAAATGGGCGGCGTGGGATTTGGGTTATTTGGGTCCTCGATGAAACTACATTCAAGTCAGTCTCCGCATTTTCAAGGTCTGGAGTCGAAAACAGACTGTTCTAGGAAGTCCATGAAGGCCCTCATGATTTGGTCTCCAGCGTCATCCGATACCTTAGGAATCTGGCTCAAGTCCGTCCTCGGCCGTCCAGCCCGTCCGCCGGCAGGGCCGCGAGGTCCAACAACTTCGTCATCAGGGTCCATCTCCATCTGGTCGGCATCGCTTGTAGGTAGGCCAGGCCGTGAAGAACCTGTCGCAGATCCACTGGGACCACCGCGTTTCCTTTGGTGGGGGCGAGGTGTTGGGGCCTCATCGGAGAAGATGTCCTGCGAAACGATGGCGTCCACTAACGAAGACATTGGCGCGAATTGTTAAATGTATTTGTATTATATGCCGGTGTGTTTTGAGAAAGTGGGGGATGGCGTAAGAGTGGTGATGGATTGATGGATATAGCGGGGGAGTTGATCTGCTGGAGTGCTTGCGGCGCGATCTAGGGGAAAAACACAGACACCGTGTAGAGTGAAATTTGGCGCGTTCCGACTTAATCAGAGGTCACGGGAGATCATCCTGTATCTTATCGAAAAAACAATCTTATCGACTCGTGCAGCTATCTAATCGAATCTGATCTCATCTCGCCATCTCTCGCAATTCAACCTCATTGTCGCCTCGAAAGAAAAGGGTCGGTTACCTTCGATACCTTCAACCCCGCCCGACGGCAACTATTCCGGCCTCCTGACCATCGCGTGCCATGACTTGAGCCCAGTTCCTCCTCAACATGCGAATCTTCCCTCTCTAAGCAACAGAAAGCCATCCTTTTCGTCTCTCAACAGACCCACGTCGCACGTCGCACGCACGCCGCACTACAATGTCTCGCCCCTCAACTACTAACCTCTACCCACCTTCAACAGCTCATACAGCCCACGCTGCAAGCAGTGTTTCAAACGGCGGCAGCTCTAGGACTTTGACCTTATGGATTCATGATCCCGATGCCACATCTACGCTATCCCGTCATGACGCCGTGCTTAATTACGACCTGTTCGGACCCGGCGTGGCGAAGCCTGGAGATGTCGCCGAGGTCCGTCTGATTCCGCAAGTGGCATCTTCATCGTCCGGCGGGAACATGTCATCGGAGGGCTACTCATCTGGAGGGAATGGGCACATATCTGACAACGGAACTGGCATTGCCGCGTCCGAGCGACGAGCGACGACAGGGCGGAAAGGAAGCTACTCGGGATCGGTGGCTGGGGAGGATGACAGGTCAAGGTCCGAGTCGCAACCGAAGGAGGAAGAGGGGAACTTTTTATTTGTCATTAGAGAACTGGAAGAATCACAGCGCAAGCTTAATGTACAGGTACAGAGCTTCCTGCCACTGATTACGGTATTCGGGAGAGCTCATGTCAATGTACCTAGATATCGCTCGCCAGTCATGTTGCCGCTTTGTTCGGCTTTCCGTCTAGAGCTACGGTTCGAGTTACAATCGTATGGCCCCTTGCTAGCTCGTAGGCTGTGATGTGATTGCTCACAAGTGATTGACAAGGTCGATAAACCCCTTCATGAAGCTTCCCATGTCGAAATCTTCTTTCGCGATCAATATATCACTCGCAACGACATTTGGCGATTGACCACCGGTCTCCTCTCCAACACCTGCCCTTACAAGTCGCAAAAGCTTCTCTTCATCAACTCGATCCGAGCCACGGTGGGTAATGTTTGGGTCCGCGGAGAAAAGGTCAGATCCGCATACTTCTCACCTCGGACGGTTCCCATTTTTCGGTCTGAATCTGCCAGATATGTGATATTCATCCAAATGAGCCGGGAAATGTGGCACTTTGATACGTATGATGGGTGCGATGGAGACGAGCCTAATGACGATCCAATGGCTGGAGGTACTGGTGGTGTTGGGGGTGAAATAATGTTCAACAAATTAATCAACGGGTTCTTGCCGGAGCTCTTCAAGAGGTGGCGCCGGATCGATGCCCATCACCTTGTGTCGATTGTGTTGTTCACTCGGATCGTGTACGAACACGGTGAGCCGGTTGGGATTGTGTGCCAGGACGAGAAGTCTGACGATGAGTTCCTCGGAACACCCGGCGGGATCGAGATCGGCGAAGGGCGGCGATATCGCGACTTCTTCCGCGTCGTGATATCCAATATGGGAAGCGCTGACTGGACGGTAATCCTCCACCGACTCAAGCGCGAGTTTGCGACATTCCTGAGAGATGTGCTGGTACAACCTGTTCCCGAAGAGGAAAGTGCGGAGTACAACATGATGGATCTCACGCCTCCTGTGTCGTCAGCTGCCAGTATGGTTTCGAGGCCCGGCACTCCCGCGATGTTACCAGTAGACAAGCTCCGCCCATCTTCGACCCCGAGCCAGTCTCCAAGGTTACCGGCGACCGGGAAATCTTCGCGCCCGCCAAAAACGATCATCACTGGCCGGCCCTCTGCCGCTATTCACGGGAATATCTTGGAAGCAATCAACCTTGCTACCATCCAATTCTCACGGACGTACATTGATGTGGATCTCGTGCGAACGGGAGTCTCTATCGTCCTTGTTACGCCTGGCACCGGTCTTTTCGAGGTGGATTATGAGATGTTGAAGGCTACAACAGAGGGATTGGTCTCGAACGGGATGGGCATTGATCTTGTCTGCCTTAGCAAGGCTCCATTGCATATGGTTCCACTTTTCCGTTACCGTAATCCTGCCAGTAGCAGGGACGAGGAAACACAACTTCGCCCAGGGATTTCTCCGCCAAAACACTATCCTAACCATCAACCACCACTACAACCGGGTGATTGGGTTTACTCAATGCCTCATTGGATCGATATCTCCTTCTGGTCATCGGCTTCCGAAAAGAAGACACGGCGTAACCGTGGTCCGGTGAGCGGAAAGGTTGAGAAACAGAAGGATTCCAAAATCCAAAAGAAGAAGGCTACTCAAGTATTTAGAGCCAGATGCAAAATCTATGAGCTCCAGATGATGGGAATAGTCGAGAACGCAACATCCTGCATAACCGTCCCTTTTCTCCACGAGAATCCTCTGTGGAAGTCATTGCCAGACTCTGGACCTCCGAGAGAAGTCGGCGGTAAGGACGCCGAAAAGAAGAGGAGAGACCAGTGGAAGGAGGACAACTTCGGGTGGATGGACCAGTACGACGACCTATCATTCCGCCCATTGTACGTGTTCCAAGAAGCCATTCGGCGAGCCGAGGAGCGGAAGGTTAGTATCGACGAAGAAGACAAGAAAATCCTGCAGACACTGGATGAGGAGGATGAATTTGTGCTCGGAACGAGCTTCCGCGGTGATTTAACCAGGCAAATGTCCGTCCGTTCTGGTGGATTCTTTGACCGCAAGATGAAAGAACGGCGCCCCGAGTTGGAAACTCCTATGGAATCGAAGGCTTCAACGCCTGTTCCAACACCAGCTGAGTCAAGCACGGGCGGTGGCGGTGGTGGTGGGTTATTAGGAAGACCTGCGGCACGGCTAAGGCAAATCAGTTTTGGATTCAAAGCTTGGGGCGGTGCGACCAAGTCTGCAGCCAAAGTGACGACTACCGACGTTACTGGTCTTGGGACAATGGTGACGAGGGGATTCGATACCAGTGAGCATAGCCTTGCGTCTCCCAAGAGTGGGCCCTTATCTCCTAAGAGCACAGTTCGAGAATTTAAGTTCGAAGAGAGTCCGGAGAAGCCGATACGGGGCACTCGTCCAATATCCATCACCGGATCGAACGTCTCAACATCGTCACTGGAAGTTGTAGCAAGAGATAGGGAGCGGAGAAGAAGCATTGTGGGATCCCCATTAGAGCACCGCGCCCTGGGCGGCATACGGGATATTGAGATGATGAAAGGGTCATCGGCATTGATTCGGCCGCCAGGTTCCAGAAACGATCATGCCCCCAATGTGGAGAAGGGATTGAGCCATATGTCAACAGTATCACCAACTACTGCCATTGCACCTTGGGTACAGATTTTGAACCCGAGTAATCCTAAGAAGAATACGCACACGTCCGTGAGTCAGTACCGACGTTGGCACCATGTGTTTCCGAAACCTATCAAGATCTCCTCAGTCAAATGGAAGAGTCTGTGTACTCCCGCGCTACTACCCCTAACCACTGAGCACTTTCCCACTGCGGAACAACTAGCGACCGAGTATCACGAAAGTCCTTATGTTATCTCACAGAACTCCGACTACGAACTTAGCGAGACATCGGGGAACCGGGAGGCTCTGGTCAGGGCGATGATCGCGCTTCGTCTCACGCAAGGCTTCCAGATTGTTGTGGGTAATAAAGTCACTGATGCAACACAGGGGAGAGGGGGTCAGAACGGCATATACGATAAGACCTATATGTCCACACCGGGATCATCGTGCTTCATGAGCCGTGGGGCACATATACACCAGCTGATCTGCGACGAGGAGTACAACGTTGAAGTCAAGCGGTATATCCGTAAGCCGGCAACCGCAATTACATCATCCAAGAAAACCGCCGACGACGACTACACCAGCTACATCAAAACGCTTCTCAAGCCCACGTACAAACCCGTCAGGGTCAGCTTGTATCAACCGGTCAGCGACTACAACTGGAACTACGCGGATCAGTTTATCGGAGGATATGAAGACGCCATGACGGACCAGTTGAGGTATTGGCGAGCTCGATTCGTCCTCATTCCGTGCGATCCACCCGATTTTGCACGTCGCGGGCAAGGCCCAGGCTCCGAGCTAAACGACGAGGAGATCCACCTTGAAGGTATCCGACGTTTGACGATGATATTCCAACGCAACCGGTGGGTTCCTCCCGAAGAGCGACACTATGAGCGTTACGGTGGTTCCCGGCAGAAAGCCAAAGAAAAGAACCCTTTGCAAATACTCTATCAGACTGTGGATCCTTCGGTGGCAGTCGCCCAGGAGCTCGAGAGTTTGTTTCAATCGGATATTGACGGCCACATGCGACGCAGCCAGCTCTTGACAACCGAGATGTTTGAGTCTAAGAATCTCGACATCAAGGCAATTGCGCAAGAGCTCCAGGGGCCCCGTGGCGTACGATTGCAGGATCGACGCTGGCACCTCAGGCTACATAGCAATAGCTTCATAGGAGAAGAGATGGTCACTTGGATCGTGGAGAATTTTAAGGATGTCAACACGAGACAGGAAGCCGAGGCGGTCGGCAACAAACTCATCAAGTTGGGACTATTCCAACATGTGAATCAACGCCATGATTTCCGCGACGGTAACTTCTTCTATCGCATAGCAGAAGCTTGGGCAAATCCGGCACGGCCTTCAAGCAAGGGAAGATGGCTGCCCTCTCTGAGGAGTAGTGATAAGTCCGTCCCTCAGACACCGCTTTCCGACACGGCTTCATCTCCGCTCCGCCGCACGCGCTCGCGCTCCAGCACGATACTCACCGAAGATTCAACCGGCAGTGAGAGCGGTGGGGGCAAAACGCCGACTGCGTCTTGCCACCCGCAGAAGAAGAAAGCCGAAGTCGACCTCTCGAAATCCATGAAGTACGATGTCGATCCCTCACGCAAGAGTTATCGTCCCGAAATCATCACCCTCCACTACGACCGGCTTCACAACCCCGACAACTGCTATCACATCCGCATCGACTGGATAAATACGACATCAAAGCTGATCGAGGACTGTCTCACTTCCTGGGCTCGCACTATCGACCGATATGGCCTTAAGCTCGTAGAAGCGCCCATCGACGAGGTCTCACGCATCTCCAAATCCAACCTCTTTCGAGCGCCCATCGTCGTCAAACTTGCGCTCGCACCACCGCCGCCTCCTTCGCCATCCACTTCAACATGTCTGACGGAAAACATGGAGCTCTCAACAATCCTGACACCTATATCCTTTACGCCACAGCCGCCTCCAGACCCGTGGGTGCACCACAAGCTGATCCTCAAAAAGTTCAACTTCGTCCTGGACACCGAAGCCGCCGGCAACTTCCCGCAGGACGTGCAAGTGCGCTACTCCTGGGGGTCGCTCGACTACCAATGGTCGCAGTACATCCACCGCTCCGGCGTAATCTTTGCGCAGATCTCAGACACGGGTGACTTCTATCTCATGGCAAACCGCGCATACACTCTACGCGTCAACTCGCCGCCGCAAGCGCGTGTTGGCGGGGTGGTATCGCGGTCGGAGATAATAGGCGGTTCCTCCGTTGCTAATATCATCGAAAGCAGAAGGGAGCCGGATGTGGGTAGCCCTATTTCGCCCAGCATTCCCCTCCCTACGCCGGAGGGGATCAAGGCGGAGATTCAGGCGTTCCTGAGTGATCCCGAGGCGCTTAGGAGGTTCTACGAAGAGGTGCTCAGGGGCAAGGGGGGGCCGCGACAGGCGGGCGGGTTGGTCGGTGGCAGGTGGGATAGCCCTATCATTGCGCCGGTGGGAGTGGTTAGGATGGGGAGTCCGACGGTTGGGGCGAGTGAGGTGCACGCGTTTGGGGGTCCTGGTGGGCTGGGTGGGGGTGGAGGTGGGGGTGGGAGGGGTGAGGGGAGGGCATTGAGTCTGGGCAGTGGGGGGACGGGCAGTGGGGAAGATGAGGGTGGGTCTTTTATGCTTGCGAGGTAGGTATGAGTACTTAGTTGTTACCGTTTGAAATGTGGATTGCGTGGGTGTTGGGAGTTTCATTTTGTACGAATAATGGGGTGATCCGTTGAACGCAACGGAATGAGTGCATCTTTTGAGATCCAACACACGGCAACCGAAGTCTTATGGCACCGATCCCGTGCACGAAGTTCAAACTGTTTGTAGTTAAGAACCGTGAGGCTTTCCCTATCATATGCACGCATTCACTATTCCACTATGTATCTACCGCCCAAAACCCTCCGCTGTGTCCAGCACAGGATACCTTCGGGTGTTTGCGCTGGTAGACGGCGGTGCACCGGAAAGCCTCAGACCGGACATCGTGTTGAAATTGAAAGAAGAACTTGACTCGATTGATGCCGATGATACGAGAAAGACGAGAAAGAAGACTGCTTATGACGGAAAACGATCTTATATACTAGACAGAGGGATGAAGCCTTAGACAGAGAATGCGAATAGACAATGCCGGACTGGGCTGGGGGCTTGAAGATGCTTATTCTGGTGAGAAGCCAGGGACAATGCTGCGAAGCCACCAAGGCTGCTTACTTATGTGACGATGCAAAAGGACACAAATCCGGAAAGGAGTCAGTAACACCGACGGAATAGGTAGGCAAGAAGACATAATAGGTATCAACATTTCGCAGGGTTTATACACGGGTGATATCAGGTGAAGCGCGGTATAGTTACAGCATCACGTGGGTGGGGGAGACCGAGCCTCACCGCCCAAGCCATCGAACTCCAACGAGGACGGCCTGGTGCTCAGTACGTGCGGTGTTTCCAGCCGACGAGCCCACAGCGTTAGCAACTCTGTTATGCACACTACTTCCGTCAAAAGATGGCAGGGAAGGGGGTTGATGTTTTGGGTTCCGAGGAAGAGTGCTAGTGGATATGATTCATTCGATTATATCGTGTATCTGTGCAACATGGCGGTCTACATAGAGTAGGTATATAGCCTGAGTCCTGAGTCCTGATGCATGGAGCCGAGCACGCTGATGCTCAAGAGCAATTGATCCCGAGACTCTGGAGTCTGGACTACAGCAGCACGGTAGTTACAGGGTTCACTAGTATAGTGATATCGTATGAAGAACGCGCAACATCACGTGAAAAAAAAGAGTCCAAAACACTTCCTCCTACGGAACCCCAAGAGAACATGAACGCAGGGTATATTAGTTATGCGTGTTTCCACCACGCCGGACCGGCCAAACCAAAATATGTACCTGTCTCCAAGGCAGTCCCAATGCCTAATGCCCAATGCCCAATGCCCAATGCCCAATGCCCATCCCATCGCATAATCTACTATCGTCACTACCGATACCGGTATTTCCCCCCCCCCTCCCCACCAAACTCCGGTGCACTGGCACCGGATGTATATACATAGTAAACCACGTTAACCTTCTCCAGCCCCGAATATCCCCCATCCGCCGGCGCATATCGTATCGTATCATATCACATATCCCCCGCCGAATTCCCCCACAAATGCCCACCCTCCCCCCCCGTTTCATGACATAAACTCCGGTCCGGATCCCATTCCAACTCCACGAAAACAAGTGTGGTTGAGCAAAAGAAAAATAAATATAAAGAGTAATAAAATGCCGTAGGTGCAGATGGTGAAAGAAGAAAAGAAAAAGATAAAAAAAGGAGAAGAGATGGAAGGAAGGAAGGAGAGGAGATATCTATCAATATCTAACAGTCGTATCGTATCGTAGCTCGTTCGTTGCAACACATTACCATTACCTCGAGTCCTCGACCCAACTCACATGCACGCCCGATCAATCACGCCGAACAGCACTGTGGTGTCGACCACACACCCTTCCGTCGATCCTTGCGGACACAGCTCCCGCGTCAACCCTTCCATTGGCGTCTGCGGCTGCAGCTCCGAGATCATTGTCCGCGCAGCATCGCACTGCATGGCGCTGTGGCAATGCCCGTCCAGAGAGGGGATGCGATGCACGTGCATTTGTTTATCAGCGTCTCGATGATGCGTCATGAAATTGTCGGAGAGCCCTTGCAGTGCCGATTGCTGCTGATGCTGCTGCTGATGCTGCTGATGCTGCTGCTGCTGATGCTGCTGCTGATGCTGCTGCTGATGTTGCTGCTGCTGGAACGAATGGAACAGGTACAGATCGCCCTGCGGCTGCTGCGCGCGCTGCTGCTGTACGGGCGAGCTGTATCCCGGCGTATGCAGATACATCGGGCTCGACAACTGCGGGGCGGAAGCGGGATTGTCCGGCGTCAATCCCATGGCCAACGCCGACGGATCCTGAGTGGTCGGCGAGAACGCCGAGACCGAGGAGCACGGCGACGTTGCTGTTGCCGAGTGCAGCGGCGGCGGCGTGTGCTTCTCGACCTTGATCTTCCTGGTCTGGACATTGAGCTCGTGTTTCCCACGCCGCGTGCGTTCCACCACCATGCCCGTGCTCTTCCTGCGTCCCACAACAACCGCGTCGTCGGCATCACACGGCCTTCTGACCACCAGCGCCTTCTGGACCTTATCAATCGACGTCTGCGCACCCGTGCCCGCACCCGCACCCACACCCGCCGGCGCCGCAGCGGCACCATCCTTAAGCCAGCCATCCACCTCGGCATCCAGCACGCCCTTCCTCCTCAGCAGCTCGCGCAGCAGCCTGTTCTCGCGGACGACGTGTTTCGCGGCGGCCTGGACTTCACGCGACGCCTCGGCGCCCGTGCGCTGGAACTCGCGCAGTTGCCCCTCGATCGACGCTACGTACTCCTTCCGGCGGAGCCGCGACCGTCGCTGGTTCTCGCGGAGGCGCTGCGCATTCGTGTCTTCCGGCGGCGAGTGCGTTGAGTGCGAGTCCGCGGCGCCAGATGACGGGCAGGATGCCGTCATTGATGGACGGGCGGGGAGAGCGCGGGGCGGTGGTGGGGTGTACTGGGTTGGGGGTTTTGTTTTTTTGCTTTTTGTTTTTTGTTTTTGTTTTTTTGGAGGGGTGTGTGGGGCCGAGGGGTGAGGCTCAAGTTCAAGTGGCTCAACTCAATTGCCCGCGGAAGGGAGGAAGGTTTTTGAAACAACGGTACGGAAGTACGGAAGGTTGGCTGCGGAATAAATAGGCGCCAGATGGGGCTATACTGCACGATGAAGGCGGGTGATGACAGCGCGCCAGAGTAACGAGTTCCAGCCTTGAAAGAACGGGGCGGGGCATTTATATGAACCCAGCTATTCGTCTGGCGTGGCGGGGGATGGGGTGGGTTAGGTGGGTTAGGTGGGTGGGGGAAGGGTGTTGGGTTTGGGTTGTTGTTGGGGATGGGGATGGGGGGACAGACCAGAGACCACGCTACTTACTTTACTACCTTTGCTTGACTTTCCTTAGCTAACTACACTCCGCCGGCATCCCCGAACCCACCACCACCGCACCCACGCATCCGGGAAGGCTGAGATAGACGTGGCTCCCGAAGGTGAATCACGAACGGAGAATCGGCCCATGGAGCATTATCGACCTGAGACAGCAGCAGCATTGGACAGCAAACAGGCAGCACAGTGCAGTGGCGACCGGCGACCTGGGCGCATTGCAAGCTGCTGCTGCTGGTGCTGCACTCGGAACCAATGTGACTCTGGCGTTTGTAGGTGTCAAGAGGCAGGTTGGCTGCAGGCGGACGACACCTACATACACATGTACATACCGACACATGTAGATACATAATACACACATGTTCGAGCAAGTGCATTACCCACCTACATCATACATGATACTTCTTCACACATACATACTTTGACATACCGTACATGCGGTACTGCGCTCTCCTCTGGTGCAGCGAGCAAGCAGGCAAGCACACACGGTGGATCTGCTCTAGATCCCCTCCAACTGCCATGCACGGCTCTTTCGAGCGATCTCGGATTTCGCTGCGGCTGTTGCCCACGGCCACTGACAAAGCGAAGGGGGATCTTGCCCAAAGGAGATACAACTGCAGTGCATTCCGAGCTAGGTGGTTGGAGGCCCAAACGAGTGGTCGGTACATTCGTTGTCATCGTCGAGGAAGAAGGGCCAGCTCCAAGCTGCATCGCGATGCATACCAAGCACTTACCTACTCTACTCCATCTCGACCAAACGTGGTGGACGGTGAAAGAGGGCGAAGATCAAATAGAACACCATCGACCCTACGAACGGACTAATGGCGCATTCAACAAGCATCGATCTCCCCGAACGAACTAATCGGGCCTTCAACCGGCACAGTCCGGCACAGTCCAGACCAGTTGGCCTCAGTGGGATCGGTGCCGCCGCTGGCGGGGGGACTCGGACGGAAGGTTGGCTGGCAGGCTGGCTGGCGGTGCATCGAGACACAGCAAGACGGGAAGACACAAAGACATGAAGACACGAACACAGAAAGACAGACAGACAGGAGATCACCGACGATCGTTCTACACTAAGCTCGCCCGCCCGCCCCCGCCGATATCCAGGAATTCGGCAAGCCAGCAGCAGCAGCAGCAGCAGCAGCAGCAGCAGCAACGGCGGCGGCGGACACTACGTGCAAAGGATGAGAGTCCAGGGTCCCTACAATCATACCATCACCATCACCAACCGTTTCCCTGTCACCCACGAGAAGAGAAAGAGAAAAAAAAAACGATGTCCGCCGCACCCATGTCCCAACATCGCTAAATGGCTAAGCATTATACCGAATCCCACCGTCGTGAATACGCAGCGTCAGCATCGACAGCCTACCGCTGGCTGGCTTGCTCGCTCGCTCATCGGCTGGCTAGCTCATCGGCTGGCTAGCTCGCTGGCTGGCTGGTTGTTAAAGCAATAACACGGCCCACATATACCAACCAAGCAAACGTCACACTTCACGGTTCCAGGTCTGACGAAGATTTCCCTCCCCTCCCTTCCCCCCTCCCCCTCCCCCCGACGACCTGATGAGAAACTGTTGAGGATCTCCCTCCTTATTTCCCTCTTTCATTCCCTCCCTCCCTCCCTCTTTCCCTCCCTCTGTCCTTCTTTCCCTCACCCATCGCTGCCGTCCTGGTCCAAGCATGAACTTACCAAAAGTAACCTCCCGCTGCTGGTGCTGGCACAAAGATATCACACCGTCCAAGACCTACATACACTCGTACATACGTCGTACATACAGAACCAACTCGCCGGCGGCCGCTCAGCTTTGGGGGCGTAGCCGGGGCCGTGGCCGTGGCCGGTATGCCGGTAGCGCCCGGTTGGTACCGAGAGGCCCAGGGAGGGAGCCTTTTTTGACGCATGCAAGTAGAGTCCTGTACAGCGGGAGCGGGTGTCAAGGAGTGGTGGTCTATGCTAGGTAACTATTGTTTCTCGGCTACTACTGTAGTTAGAGTACTCTACCTATATGTATGAGGAAAGGGGAGGTCAATGGCCACTGCACCTGGCACCATGTGGCCCGCTAGTTAGCCAGAGTGGCTGCAGTCTGGGAGGGGGAAATGGTGCACTGCAGCGCACTGCAGCGCATGCCTTGCCAGCCACCCACTCGGCCGGGCTGCTGCAGCCTGCAGGGCGCGTAGAGTAAAGCAGAAGAGCAAGGCCAGCTCCAGCCCCGGCGCCAGCCCAGTCAGCCCATTTGCCAAGCCCAGGCCAGACATGATCCATATGGCACCGTCTATCGGGCGAAGAGATGCCCAGTGCCGTGTCTGTATCATATCAGCCCTGTATGTAACACTAACCCAACCACGGCTGTGGCTGAGACCGAGATTTGCGACGAACCTCTTCGATCGAGGAGGGGCAGAGGTGAAACACTCCGGCGAACGACGACTTCCCAAACGGAACGACGGGCCAGGACAGGCGGAATTCTCTTCCGGCCAGACGCGGAATTTCAGCGGCTGGAAGGCTGGGGATGGGAGTGGAGGGAGGCCGGGCTGTTGCGCTTCGTTCTGATAGGTAGGCTGTTCGTTCAAATGGATGGATGGATTGGATGGATCACTGCAACTTAACTCCGTTTTGACCCTTTTTCTTAAGTATGGTACCCCCCAATCTGACACTGGACACTGGACGGATGGCTGTTACGATAACCCAATAATTACGTGTGTAGCCTCCGCTGTTATGAGAGGAGAAATCTCATATGCAAGCAGTGTTAACATACTCTACATATCATGCAATGCTAACTAACATGCGATGCCAACTACATGTCTATGGCGCTGCTGATATCAGGTCATGGTTACTTTGCCTCTACATACTCTACATATCCCACTCTAGAGTCTACTCTAGTCTACAGCTGAAGTGAGAACTTGGCGTCTGTTTGTCTCAGACTCTCACTGTATCAAACGGGGCGGCCGATAAGCTGCGTGATGGCTACTAGTAGCTACAGTTATAGCCGCGAACCTGTTTCAGAAAAGCATGCGGCGTGATTACTCTAGTGAGTGATGTATAGGACCACGCGCGAGAGAAAAAAACCCCGGTGGTGGTGACTGGTGTTGGTGGTGGTGACTGGTGTTGGTGGTGGTGACTGCTGACTGCTGACTCCCTTTATTTATTTATTTCAATATCGAATCGAATCGGAACGAATGAAATCGAATTAAATCGGATGGAGGCAACAAACACTGTGAGTACTGAGCCGGACTTACTTCGAGGTACATACATAACGAAGGATTGAGAATTCGACGTAACTATGGTGTAACTAGGACTATGTATAACTGCATACTTAAATATGTAACTGCATACCTACCGTGCTCATCCGCCGTGGGCCACCGGAATTCGGCCTCAGGTCATCCTCATCATCACCATGCCGACTCCAGAGTCCGGGATACGGTATGAATATTCATTCAGGCATTTGGGCAGTGTTCGACATAGTCCGGTCCGGACTACAGTCCATGGATTTCGTGGACTAGGTGCGGACTGCAGTCGACTACAGTCCGATTTGCACTCGGTTCCACTTATGACTGGAGAAAAAAAAACACCTCTGAGTGCTGACCTATCACGTGACATTCCAGCACGCTCTTTTCTTCGACCGTGCGTTACTTTGGCGCGATTTTGCCAGTGCTAGAAGAAAAAACTTTCTTCATCTCTCGGTATTCGACTGCAGTCGACTGTAGTCCGTCCTGCCGTCAATTTTTTTGGACTACCTAGTCCGTCCAAAAACCGCACCCGGACAGACTGCCGAGATACTATAAAGTCCAGTCCGAGGCTCAGGACGAACGGACGGACTGGAATAGGCGCCTAGATATGTCGAACACTGAGCAGTTGTGTTGGTTCGATACCCGGCGGCGGCATATGTCCGGGTGAGTAGTCCTGGAATATAGATATGAAACATTCATCCAGGGCATTTGGAATATGGAAACAAAATTAAAAATTGTTTGTTGCATGGATGATGAGCTCAGATTTGCTACCGTATTTTTAAGATAATGGTAGTGATATGGTATAAGTACAGTCAAAATACGTGTTTTTTATGCCCTGATACGATATCAATATGCGTCCAGCGAGAAACAACGTTTTTATTACCCGCCCTTAAACTATGCAGTATCTACAGGTCAAGTCCTTTTCTTTTTCCTATTCCTCCCTTTCTCCTTAAACTCAACCCGAGCCTGGTTTCCGCATTGCTGGCCCGGGGGTAGATAGGCGTCAAGATATTTGATTTCAGTGCCGTGTTACATAGGTAGTCTACAAAATTTCCGCTACGCCCCCTCCTCCTATCATAGTCCTAAACGTTATTGAAGGGGGAGCTTTGACCTCTTCTCACTGACCGTCAAATCTGAGAGAGAGACTCGGGAGTCGGGACCCAATCCTCTTTATCGAAATCGCTAACTAGTACGTGCATTACCTACTAGGTATTAGCGTTCTCTCTCTTTCTCCCCACTCCCCACTCCCCACTCCCCACTCCAACCTCTCCACTCTAACGTCTCTACTCTAACCGAGAAACCGAAATCTGATATTTGACGTGATGTTGAAGGTTCGACCCCACTTCGGGACTTTCGGCGGCGGTTCACGGTTCACGGCCTGCAGCCTACGGATCAATGGCATAGGTAGCAGTGGAGTTCCAACCGTCCGTCCCTCGAGACCGAACCTTCCAGCAGTAGTCAAGTATCTACAAACCTACTTACCTACCTATCTACTGCTATGAAGCGAAAGAGAGGCTGGGCAGTGGGCTGGGCTGGGCCTCAGGCAGTCTTCCGTCCTGCCTGGGCGAACATATGCTGGTCCCGCTGCCGGTAGAGCACCTACTATAGAGTGATCAGCTGCACATAACTTACATGTGACTATGTGACTATGTGGTGCGGTGCAGTGCGGTGGCCTGCCAATCAATACGGTAGATCGCCCATTCATCCATCAAGCGGGCTGCGGGCGTTGAATGGATTGGGGTGAATGGAAGTGGGTGTCGTCAATGCTCACTAAATTACTCACTGTTCAGACGACAGCACTGAGGGAGGATACAACTGGTGCGGGTGTGCCGGCGTTCCGCACACCCTTGAGCGGAGCGGATGGCGTTGCGTTGCAAGACCATTCTGTGACAACGGGCTTTCCTGCCTCCCGCTCTCTCGTCCGTTTGATACACCTAGGTAGGTAGACTACGGTACTGTGTAGGTCGTCGTCCTCGATGGGAAGGAAGAAAGGAAGGAAAAAGCCCCGAAGGCTCCGAAAGGGTTGCTTTGCTCTGCGCTGGTCAAAATCTCGGTCATACCATTTTATTTGACATCAGGCCCAGACCTCCGAACCATATTTGGCACACCCACTTCAGTTCCCAAGTATAGGTAGGTATCCAGAACCTGCTCGATCTATTCCTCCCAACACCATCCCGTCTCCTTATGTGCTCGCCGACAGGCTCATCGCTCACAGTACTGCCGTCACAACTCACGTCACCCCTAGGGGATCGAAAAGTCAATTCTTGGACTTCTCCATCCAGATAGACACTGCCACGATGGACCGGAGGGCCCGGAGGCACAATCAACCTAAACCAACCCCCTACCTACTATTCTACCTGCTAAATTGCGAACAGATAGACAGATGACTTCTTTTCCCTGATAGGATAGACTGGGAGTGCGAACATGGCATGTACCTGCCTCTTGCTTCGTTCTACTCTTTCCTCATGGTACAGTCAACCTTCGATCTTCGCACGATGAAATAGCTGTGCATAACCATGTTGGACAGTGGCTGGCAGTCGTTTGGGATGGTTGGGTTCTGCCAGGACCAGGACCGCAGGACAAATCAGATCTTGCTTCGCGATGAGCTGAGGACAGATTCCGCTCCGGCCTTCTCCTCAGCAGCCCTGTTCACTGGGTGGCGACGGAGTACCCAGAAGTAGATATATGTGATGTCGATTCAACGGGGAGTGTACGGTAGATATTGCTCCGGGGGTAGGTAATCCACTTGGATGCGCCCCCCTCCCCCATCTGTGCGATTCTAAAATGATTAGCCGAACTATACGGAGCCTTAGACTGCGGCCTGCGGAACTACATACCGATAAGTCCCCGATTCGGATCGGTGGTGGGACAGTCAGTCTCTGCTCGATACCGTACCGTATGCACATATGTACTCGAAATACATATGCCACCACCACCATACATACGGCCGTCCGTATGTGTAGAGCCTTCCTGCAAGTACAGCAAGGTCGCCTCCTCAAACGCCGCATCATACTCATGGGCGAAAAAATAATAATCAAGCGTCGTCCCACCACATCCACATCCACATCCATTTTCCGTCGTGCGTATGTATGTATGTATGTGGGTATGTATGTATGCGTCTCGCCTGCATAAAGATGAGCACGACTGACTCCCAAGTGCGTGGAGCCGAAAATCTCGTTTCTTTATCGTTATCCCTCCGCCGCCGCCGAAGTTAGCCTGGATCACGGCATCATGCACGCCGCCGCCTCCCGCTTTATTTACGCGCTGTTACCGACGACGACAGAAAGGTAGGTACTTGGGTAGGTACTTAGGTAGGTAGATATGTAGGGTGTGCTGTTGCACCGCTTCAGATTCACCCGAAGGTTGCCGCTCGAATCTCGATTGCCAGCAAATCCATCCATCCATTCCATTCCGGACGGCGGGGCGGGGGTATTCCCCGGCTTTCCCCTCTTCTACCAGAGGAGGAGGAATAAGAGCAGTAAATCCTTTCCTTCCTTCCTTTCAGTCAGTGCCTACACCTACTTACCTGCCCCCGAAACCTGTTCCCACCATCTATCCATCCACTGCATGACATGTGACAGCCATGGCCGGCCGGCCGGTTGGCGTTTCTGACGTTTCTGACGTTTCTACCTGTAGCCGAAACACTTTCCTATGTCTGTACCTACCCAATGGAACGATTCAGAGCTAACCTGTCCCCCCCCCCCCCCCCTCCCGCCCCCCGCCCGCCAACGAAGGCGGAAAACGAAAAACCTCCTGTCCGGTGCTGACATTCCCTACAAGCACATATCATCTAGGCGTATCAACCCCATAACTATCTATGACACCAGCCAGTACCGTAGCCAGCTCCAGCTCCTCAATCTGCTACCTTTACCTTCACCCTCCCCTACCTACCCTACCTCTCACCTCTCACCACCCACCACCCACCATTCTCGGAGTTCGGAGTTCGGAGTTTCCTACTGGCCAGGATTCTGACTTCGAAGAGCCAACCCGTGAGCGAGCGGAATTCGAGATGCCGCTATAGTAGTTACTACGGGTGGCTGGCTGGGAGCTGTGGGCAAATCGATCTGCGGCGGGACTCGTACCCATAGGTTGGATTTGGTTGACTTTCTGGAGGGATCCTCAGCAGAGAATGGCAAGGCCAGGTCAGGGGTGGTCTAAGTGCATGCAAGTTTTTTTCTTAATGATTGGAGGTCGGGGCCGGCCGAGTGATACCTTGTGTGGAAGACCGTCTCGGAAACTGGAGTTCATACTTGCAAGTTATATCACCCGTTGCTTTTCGTTGAGTGGGTTTGGCGATTCCAGTAACTAGAGTTTGCGTCTACGGTAACCACGGTCCATCTAGCATAATATACCCGCAGCCCGCTATGTCACGCTCATTTTTCCGTAGTTTCCCGACGGAAAATAGACAATGTGGTTCCAAAATTCATCACCCGGCCCCAAGTCTCAGGTTCCCGTCGGATGTCGTCACTAGCCAAATCCGTGTGGTTAGGGACCTGAGGTTGAGTATATATAGTTACTGATCCGAATCTACTTAATGCCATCCGAATCCACTTCGCCAGCCGCAGCTGCCGTGGCTACCGCGGCCCTGGGGCGTATCCTTCCGACCCGTGCCACTGCCGAGCGCATCCCGGCCGCACCGAGGGGGAAAATACATCTCCGCGCAGCTAGTGCGGTGCCGCCCAGCCCCGAGCCACAAGGGATCCTCCGATCACTCGATGCTCCGGCCAACTCGCCCCTCCCCCTAGGGTCCAGGTAATGGGACAAGTCGGATTCAATTGAATTCGAGTCTGCATGTAAACTGGCTATTAGCAAAAAGTGCGGCTCATTTTCACTGGAAATTCAGGCTTCTGCCAGGGAATGATTGGCCTTTTTTCCTCATAGCGTACAAGTTGCAATGTTTATTTGGGCGGAGCCAAGTCAATGGGCGGTTGGTAGTAATTGCGGCCAGTTTAAAATGGTCAAATTGGGCTATTCTACATAATTTCGCTGTAAATACTCACGGTGATGATCATTGATCCCCACCGACCATTCGCCATCGAGTATGTAGCTCCACGGTAAATTCCTAAGCCGAGGAGGTGGTCCTACGTGTTAATGCCATGCTTAGGAAGCACCGATTAGTATCCGAACCAGGGGGAAAGAAAAAAAATCCTCAAAAATGAAAAAAAGCCTTGATTATCTTGAGTCCGGGCCGATCACCGCATAACCATCTGGGGGGAGAGGGGACTATTCGTAACCACCGCCTATTTCTTCCTACCCTCGTCCTTCCTGCCCTCGTCTTTCTCGACCTCGTCCAGCCAGCGGGGGGGAAGGTACCTGACGACCTCCTTGGCATCGAACCTCTCACTCGGCAGCAGCCTAAAGATGCCGATCATGACGTGTCTGAACCACTCGAACTCCTCACCGCCCATGCCGTGTACACCCTCTCTATGCATCCTCGCATAGCAAATCCTCGAGATGAGATCGCTGCCCTTGGGGACAGCACCGCCGTCAGCAGCCATGTGATGCATCAGGTGTCCGTACTCGTTGAAATACCGCGCGCGATCGCTCCACCGGCTCCACCATGGCTCAGGCAGCTTCGCGAAACACAATGTCAGGTCGATCAGCGTGTCCTGGTAGCACCCCGTCAGCGGCACCCACATGTAGTTGTTGCTGAATATGTGATGCAGAACGCAACCTAAAGACCAGATGTCGCACGCGGGAGTGAGCACGTCGTGACATTGAATCTCCGGCGACGCGAACGATGGCTGCGTCAGGATCGTCTTATGGACCTCGTCGCCTTCGATATAGTAGAAGGCGGTATTGAAGGTGCTGCGAGGGGGGTGGGTTAGTGAGGGGAGAAGAGAGGTGGGCGAGAGGCGTACGTTATCTTGATGCCCGGAGACTCGAGGCAGAGCGAGGTTAGCTGGATCAGCGGCGGGCTCTCGACGAGGTACTCTGGGCGCTGCGGACTCGGCCGCGGCTCGTACCGGCGGCCGCCGAAGCGGTGGCGGTTGCACAGGTCCTGCATTATTAACTTGCTGGGCTCTCCGAAGTACTTACGCAGCTCCTCGGGGGTCCACGAGTCGACGCCGGGGATGGTCAGGGAGAACTTCCTAGGATTGAGACCTAGTGGGGAAATCGTGAGCAGCAGACATCATCACACGGTCGAACAGCGGCCGGGGGACAGGAAGTATGTGTATAGGTAACCTACTACCATGGACTACCTGGCGGGAATGTAGTTCGGCCACCGCATGGACCATCTTGACCCCGATCTTGCGCGCCGCGTTCATAGGAAACTCAAACTCCTGTACGGGATCCTCCATGAGATCACCGATGCTGTTACCTAGCACCTCGCTGACAATACAGCGGTGATCGCCATTAGGTCCAGAAATGGTGAAGTGATCCAGAAGCGCGGGGAAGAACGAGGCTTGAGGCTTGGGCTGGTCCTGCACCCACAGACCACCCAGCCGCTGCCATACCGAACGAGGCGGCGCTGGCTCTGGTCGCAGGTGGAACAAAACTTCGGCTTCAGTATAACCTTCTTCCGAGACGGCGGCAATAAAGATCCGGATCGAGACAAGCCGGTTCTTTTTGAGGTCGCGAGCTACCCAAGTCGTGGACCGGCTGTCGTGGCGCAGCTTGTGCTCAATCACATAGCGCTCGTAGATGCGGTCTCGAAGATGCACCGGGTGGTAGCCTCCTCGGCGATAGAGAAGTATGCTTTCGGTGCTAAATGGGGCCATGCGTGCGGTGTTGTATAGATAAATTGTTTGGTGCTGTACAGTGTGAGGATTGAAGTGCTCGGCGGCTTCTTCAACTCGAGAGTCTACCGAACTAGTGAGTTTTAAATATCGTCTTATCTTATCTTATATCGCATCACCCTGCTTCGATTGTACTGGTTTTTGGTTGCGGCTCCCTTAAATATTCCAAGCTCGTTCGTCTACCTATCGTATTCTCACTCACCAATTATCACTGCACGCACCGCACCGCACCGCTTCGCGTTCGGATGTGGCATGGGGAGGATTCGAACAGGTGACTCTTCACCACTTACTTCGCACCAGAATTGGCGACAGTTCAACTCTGCTGGCAGCAACCCAACGAGCCTTAACTTAAACATACATATGCACCACAGGTCCAGAGGTCCACAGAAAGTTATGCAACACCAGGGTAGTTGGCCGGCTGGTGTTACTGATTCCCACGGCTATATTGCAAGCCTAGCTACTCTATATGTGCACCTGGGGAAGCGTTGTACTAAGGTAAGCAGAGTAATATACTAACTGGCTACCTACCTAGCTTTGGTTGCTATGTATGTGGTTACCGGGGGCGCGCAGAAGTAAAGTGGCAAGCACACTCCCCACTACCTGCGGTACCTACTTGAGCCGACTGATACCATTGGGAAAGCTGCACGATGTCAGGAGATACCGTATGTAGTTGTCGGCAACTGCTAGCGCTGCGGGGCTTCCGAACTGGCCTATGTAAGTATGTAATCGGTCTACTCCGAGCCAATCCAACTTTCCCTCCACGAGCAGTCGAACATCACGGCCGAATGGTTAGTTAGCAGCTGGATAGTTGCATCTTCTCTTTGTATGTACCGTACCACACCACACCATGCCATACCAGACCCACCTACCTACATAAACGCACGCGAGCCCGTACCCCGCGTGGGGGCCAAAGAAAGAACAGGCAAGGTCCCCCCAGCCCCATTGTACTCACACGCCATTAGTTAATCGCCGTAACACGCGAGACGCAGCTCAGTTATCGATAACACACAACCACAATATTGCGGATGATCATCTGCACGGTTGCTGCGTGCTGGTTCTGCTCACTCACATAGCCTCGGCCGTGTTGGGTATATAGAGCTCCCCGCAAGCTCCATTCACTGCCTGGAAACAACAACGAAAATCAAAATTGGTTGAACATTACGGCCCGGCTGTGGAGGGAGTGTGTTGGTTGGGGAAGTGACCGGCGGCTGTTATCTTGGTGGTTGTGGGGGTACATTGTACCTAGGCGGATGAGACAAGACAGCTGGTTACTACCGTACCAGGTGCTGCGAGCGAACTTTGGACCGGGGAAGGGACGGTTCGTATATGACTTTCATACACACATACATACGACGGCGCCTTGTCCGCACGGTGCACGGTGCTGCAACCATGATGGTGCCGTAGGTACATACGCATATATATCACTTGGACCACCTGCAAAGCTCGTCACAACGCCACTTCGGCCTATAGTTACCGGTATTCCGAACCTCGCTCGTGGTGGACGGTCACGCACTCATCGTTGGATTGGGCTCACTCTATATAGTAGTACGAGCATGCCTTCAGAGTGCACATATCTGAGGCCCTCCAGGTAGCTTTTCTGGTGCTCAAACAGCCCTTTAGAGGCAATCGAAATATCCCTCAATGGGCGTTTCAAATACCTTATGGACCGCATCATGTCTGTCTGTTGGCTCACCCGTCGCCGTCTCCAACGTCGCTGGCAATAGTTTACCTATGTGGGTATCCGCTCGCTCGCTGTGCGATGTCTACATACATATGAGACATAATGTAACATAACCACAACGCCACATCTTTTATCACCGGCGTTAACTACCTAGGTACCTATCTGCAGTGCGTCTGGCGCCGACTCACTACCTATAACTAAGTACTCAGCTAACTACTTACCGCCGAAAAGAGATATTGGCTACATAGAGTTCCCAAAGCATGTTGGTCGTGCTCCTGTTCTGTTCCTTCCTTCATCTACATACAGACAACGGCAAGGGGCCTCCGGTACCGAATTGCCGTGAATGGAAGACGACAGCACGTTTGAAAATGTCTCGGAAGGGACGGGAAGTTTTTTTGCTGGTTGAAATTATAGTAAAGAGTCAAGACAGCGTGCGGAGCGGGCGAGACACTGCATACGAGCCACCTTCGCCTATATAGGTATAATTCTCAGTACGGCCACGATACCGTATGCCGCATGCGGCAGAATATTCAATACCACCCAACGGCAAGTATTTGGGGGATTTAGTGCCCGTCGGGATATCGACGGGATCTCCGTCTTCTCTGTGTCTCGAACCTCCTCATAGGTATCTATTCGATCGAAGCCGAAACATAGTAGCCGGCAATATGTAAATCACAGCGTCGCAACTCGTGCTACTACCACCAACGCCTTAGGCCATGGTCATGACTACATACCTAGCTATCGTCAGTTACAGTCGTGTGTACCTACATATGCCTGGGGCGGCGCGGCCGGAGAAGTGCCGACGAAATACATGCGTGGAGTACGGTATATATAGGCAAGGCCTGCATGCGGGCCGGCAATCCTCATTTCTCGGGAGTAGAGTACGGTAGAGTATAGTAGGTGATACGTGACGTCGAAAGCACCTTGACAGCTACAGCACAACATCCCGCTCGTCTTGATCGAACTTACCGAAACGTACGTACGTCCAGTGGTAGAAATGCCGGACCGGAATGGTTCACCTCGTAACCTGGAGGCTGGGATATGATGACTACGTACGTACCATACCATCGGATCGTTATGACTGACCTGAGCTGCCAATGGCCATTACGGGGCACTGATACTTTTGTTTCGGGGGGCTGTATTGTTTTTTTACCATGTAGTTAGAGGGTTGCTCGATGCGATTGCCGAATATAGTATGTAGAGTACCTGTTAGCGCTATTATACCAGGTAGACGGCGTCTGTCCCGTATATACTCATATATCTCCTTCGTATGCGAAATAATCAAGTGTCGCAAATCACCCTGGAGTAGAGTAATCAACCGCTGTTCCATGATTAGTGAGTGCCATGGAGGGATTGGAGAACCCAACTACTATATGTATGCTAAATACATACAAATACCGGTAGATAGCTACGCTGAAGAATAACCCTGCAGAGGATCACAATTTTCCGTGGCTATATGTATATGTAGTACGTACGTACATTCCTACCTACATAGAACCGTCCAAGCCGAGGAGAAGGAGGAGGAAGAGGAGGAGGATCATTCCAATTTACCGGTACTGTACACTGCTGACAAGCCTGCATGTGACCGTAAGTAATGCAGCATTACAGCAGGATAGGGGCAAATGGCACAGTGGGACCTTCATATGGATATTTATCAGATAATACCCAAGTAGGTAGTAGAAACGGTACTTACTCCACTTATATATGTATATAGAGGATGAAGCTCGTAACGAGCCGTCATTTACCACGTTCGGCAGCTCCGACGTTGTGTAGTGCTATGTGGTGCTGTGTTGTGTTCAGCCGTCGCGGCCGGTTTATCCGCAAGTTCAAGCCACACCCCTTATACCGGTACCGTGGGTACATATCGTCGGTATTGTGGGTAATCCACCCCGCCACTTCGGTGGTTCCGTCTCTTCCTCCTGAGCAGTTCGGCATCGCCGGTGCACTACGGCTGCCTCCCGAGTCTTGACTCGAGCCTTTCCCGCCGATACATGCTCACGAGTCACGCCTGCAGGCAGCGGGAGATTCCGTCCTGAGTCCGGTATGGTATCGTGGCCTTGCTCGGATCGGAATGGGGTTCGAAGGAATGGAGAGGATCAAGTGACATTGAGAGCACCAGCCGGGTTTATACTCGGGTGCGAAGTGGATACCGGATTGTGCGGGTGATCCTTAGTTGTACACTACATACATGGCGCTGGGTATGTCTCGGGCACTTTCGAATCTGCTATACATATGGGGCTGGTGGTTGATTATGATGGGTATAGCAGAGTTCAAGGGGGCGGATCAACTGGTGAGTAGAGTCTACCGTACATTCCCTTCGCCACATTCTGCTGCAGACTGCAGTAACCAACCGGTTAACTAGGTAGGAAGTTAGCCATAACCTCGAGGACCCTACACCGAGCCGGCGTGGCCGACGTGACCGGTGCAAAAAAGAAGATGGCAGTACCTTCCTACCTACCGTACCCACCAGACGTCCAGATCCTTAATCCATCACAAATCACAACCCCTCACTCAACCTCAGGCTGACCGGCTAACGGGACCTTCCCCCTCGCCCCTTGTCCCCAACTCCACGACGTTCTGCCCGAAAGCAGAAGGCGTGTCTCAATGACTAGATCCTCCATTCTTGGCCTCATAAGACAGCGTCCAGTAGAGTATTATTCTAGGAGAACTTCCCGCACGCGCCGTAATATCGGTATGTATGTGCTTGCCTTGTTGCGCATCGCTAAGGCCCCCCAAGAAATGTGAATACTCATCCGCGGAACTGCGAACAACTACCTATGGGTATATGTTGCATGCAGGCGCAGGTCCCGGGGGCATACTGTACATAAATGGGAAGAGTAGACTACGGTAGGTAGTCGAGAGTATAGTACTATAATAGTAGCTAGGCCGGATGGTGTCGCTCGTTGATCAGCGGGCTGCAGACAATGGACATCACCGTGCTGTTTTTCCCTTGCCTTTGTCCCCCCTCATCGCATGCGGGAAAAGTGGGTTCTGCTCGAGGTCTATGTGCTCTACCGGCAGGGGGTGGGGAACGTACACTGCTGTGCACATATATATCCATACGGTAATAGAGTACCGTAGGTATGCGGATATATGATGTGATACCGTATCGCCTCTGGCCAAGACCGCAATCTCAAGCCGCCGCCTCCCCGCCGTCGCCGTCGCCGTCGCCGTCGCAGTCGGACACGAAATCCAGCGGTAACTAGAGTAGGCATGATACATAACTACAGCTCTGCATGCGTCAACTAGTTACTACGGAGCGCAGCACGAGCACGCGGAAACGTGGCACCATCACAAGCGAAACGCCGGCGTCACTTGGAGTCTTGGGGCCCTCACATCGACGAGACGAGACAGGATGAGACAGGATGAGGATGGGGCTCGTTAAGAGGTATGTGGTTAGCAGCTACGAGAAATACCGGTATATGTAGGTGACTACTAGCAGGTGGTTACTTGACTAACTACTAATGACTATCCGCCCCACCTGCTTAGAGCAGTAGTTAAGCCAAGACTGCCGCCGCCAGACACACACCCACACACACAACATACATGTGATCTGTATCTATCCGCCGGCTTAACAGCGTACCAAGTACACATATCCAGGTGCCTCACTGCATTCGTTCTGGCCAGTTTTTCCTCTTTTTTTCCTTTTTTCCTTCTCTCTTTCCTTGCAAGTTGCAGGTCGGAATTTAACTAATGATGCAGACGGCCTCATTGGATCCGTACTATGTAATAGTTAATGGATCAGTTCAGTTCAGTTCGCTCGCGATTCCATTAGATTCGATTCCGGCTGGATTGCCTGAAGCCCGTGGGTGGCGGGACGGGGTTGCTTCCGTGCATTCGTACATTCATGCTCTGTGCTCCGTGGTTTTCTTTTCTTTTCGTACATTTCTTTTCGTGCATACCTCTCCCTCTCTCGTCAGCAGGCACGCCCGGATTCACGGGCGGACCAATACCGGTGGTTAACTAATACCGGTGGTTAACTAACACCGGTGCGATATCTACTCTAGAGTACTCTACTCCAGCCATCGCAGTGTGCTGACGCATTACATTATTGCAAGGGAATGCGCCGTCGTAGAGTACGGTACGGTACGGCAGAGTACTGCACGTTCCTATCGTATCGTTTGCGCGCTGCTGCTGCTGCTGCAGTGCAGCTGCACTGCAGACCATCCGAGGGGGCATGCGCGCTACTACCGTATCCTATGGCACCTATGATACTCTGCTCAACTCAGCTCTGCTCCAGAGTGGCGATGCAAGACTCGAGTATGAATGTACGTACATACCATGCATACCGGCACATGCCGTACTAGTTACCGTATGTAGCTGTGTAGGGTATCGCTGGCTTTGGGAATCCTTAAAGCCACCGCGTGGGATGGGTACATATCGTATGTAACTAGAGTACTAGCAGGTACCTATCATATCATATCGTGGCCAGTGGCCGTAGCCGGGAACCCCCCGGTCACCCCCCGTAGAGTACTGCGAGATTACCGGTATTATTTATTGTTTATTAGTACTATTACTATTTCCATTTCTATTATGTACTCGATAGTACTCTAGAGTCTACTCTACAGGAAATAAATTAAAAAATTCATCTAGAGTACTTGGGTATTTGCTTAGGTACTCAGGTATCGTCAGCTACAATTATTGCAGTTATGATATGTAACCCCTGGCGGAGATTCTCGAGATTCTCCTGCCAGCCAGCCCAGCCAACCCGGCCATCGTTGGTGAACAACTCTGCCACCCTCACCCTCACCCGAGTGTTTTTTATTTTTTATTTAGTTTTTGTTGGGGCGTGGGGAAGAGGGGCCAATGTTCGCGGCCGACTCTCCGTGCACGAAGAGCGGACAACGGACAGCGGAAGGCCAAAGCGGAAGCGGAAGCGGATAATTTTCGGAGGATTTGTGGATCGGTAATCGACATCGGATGGCCACCGAACAATGCCCCAGAGAGTCAAGGGTATGTGGTGGGTACTTACTTGGGGAGTCTACTCCATATATGTACGCGCGAGACTGGGCGGTGGGCACTGGGCAGTGGATATATGTACCTGTGATTCTTCGTCTGGAGTACTGGAGTAGGTAGCATGCCGCTACTAGTAGTTACCGGAATTCCAGGATAAGCGCCTATTTGCGTTCTCCTCACTAGATGTGCTGTTGAGAGTAGTTATGTGCTGTGACCCGTGGCCCGCCCGGTAATGATGTGTGCACACTGCACGAGTGACTTACTTACTTGGGTGTGTATTATTACTTGTAATCCTCGAGGTGGACACTGGAGGCTCCTACATATGGATGGATTTTTGTACTCTACTCCTGCGTCCCTTTTACCCGGCCAACTGCGCGCGGTAGAGCAGAGTAATATAGAGTAACCAGGTACCTACTACCTACCTGGTACAGCAACAGTTCCAACAGTGGCCGAGTACGAATAGTACATAGAGTTCACAGGTACCGGTAGGTATGGACGGCCGACCCCTACCGCCGGTGTACCATACTCTCCTCTACAAGGCGGTAAAGTACACACTCCCGACTCAGTTGCAAGTTCGGGATACCAACTCCGTCGTAGGAGAGTACCAAGTACCGGTATGTATATACCAAGTAGGTAGCATATATACCTACCGTACTCTAGAGTGCATCTGCATCTGCCCGCCAACCGCTAGACTGAGTCCGCCACACGGTCCGCATTACGTGTTAGTACGGATTCGGGGGCTGGCACGGCTTCTGGCCCATGGTTAATAGCGGTACGTATGTAGACTACCTATGCCAATCGATATTCGTACGTACGGTCAATGAAAGTTGCCGCGGCACCTCCCAGTAGTTTTTCACTGGAGAATCTAGCACTACTAGTAGGTACATACTGGCTTACAGCAGAGCGCAGATCCGCGCCCCCCGTTGTCGAGTCGTCGAGCATCCGACGTTTGCCCGGGTAGGTTCCGTACCTAACTACGGTACTTACTTATCATGCCTAATTTACTTGCCTAGATACGAGAGTACTATAGAGGAGTATCATACCCAAGTGAGTACCTAAGTGCCTATGTACTCCACTCCTAATTCTATGCGCTCAACTCACCTCACCTCACAGCCGGGCACTCCGTCAGGACAACTACTATATACACATATATACAATTGGAGTTAGAACATGCTATTACGCATGCATGCATGCACCTGAGCAGGAGAAACCTGGACAGGAAGCGTGGCATTGATTACCACCTATGTAGAGTACCTACCGCCTAGCTATGGCCATTGACGGCGCTTCCCAACGGCGGGCAACTTACCGAGGAAGGAGCACTTTGCATCGCTACTATATATACTAGGTAGATGGTTCTATCCACTCTAGAGATCACCGACCGGGAGGGAACTTGGAAGAGTCCGGCCAATCATATTATCATACATACACCTTGCTGCATATATTAACATTCCATATCCGGTAGCGTTGGTGCTCTACTCTTGAGCATGGTAGTTATGGACTTATGTAAGTGTTTACTAGCTACCTGGCAGGTCACTACGGTATCGCGCCGCCGCTGTACGGAGTTAGAGTATCTACTGCAGAGTAGTTACTGCGCGCGGATCCTGGCGGCCAAGAGTAGAAACTACAGAGTCTACAGAGGTCCGGCATAGGTATAACTTTGTCACTTATGGAATCATGGATGCCCCGTCTGGAAACGGCAACCCGCTGCTACCTACTCTTCTCTCAAGTTGCTTCGGAGTGGAGTAGAGTACGGTACATACTCAGGTATGTAGAGTCCCTAGATATTCCCAAAGAGCCCGCCCGCCCGCCCGCTCCGTCAGTACCTAAAGTATCATAGTAAATATCTAAGCATACATACCGCACATTGCCCCCCTCGAACCTGGTGCACCGAGGGGTTGCAGTGTGCAGTGTGCACTTCTTTTTTTTCCCTTCATTCCAATCGTCACAAACGTGCTGTTTATGGCGGCCTCAGACGTCCGCGCCAGGTCACGGGTGGTGTTTCGTCTCAACCACAAAAAACCGACTTTTTTCCCCTAGCTCGGGGTTAAAATGGAAGAAGAAAAAAGAGGCCTTGGTTGACTGTAGAGCACCGTAGTTCTGCGTCTCAAGTTTCAACCAACTCTTTCTGCCCTTTCGGATCGCAGCAAGAAAAAACAACCGGATGACCGTACATGCTCTACGGTACTCTACTCGTTGTTTGACCCAACGTCCACCCCTTGCTAACCCCAGGCGTGGTACGTAAGTGCACTATTCTACCGTAGTAGTAATTGGAAGTGTTTTTACCTAGAGTACCTAGAGTAGGTACCTATGGTCCTATGGTACTCTACATGCTCTACATGCTCTACGTCGAACCCAGACCGGTCCTTCAGACTTCTCGGTCAGAAGTATTTCTACTATATACCCAGAGCACATACCTCATACACAGAGTACCAGCCCTTGTACCAGTACTTTTACGGTACGGAAGAAAAAACAAACAAACTAAAAACACCCTAAGGTTCTTGCACGTTGCCACGCGACCCGTTCCGACAGATCTAAGAACAAACTAATAACATTCAGCACGCAAGCCACAATGTTTCACAGGGGAGGAAGAGAAGGAAGGAAGGGGGGGGGGGGGGGGGGGGGGCAACGATGTTGGGCCCGTCCCACTCCACTCTACTTTACTCTACTCTACGGTACTCCACTCTAACGTGGCAGTTAGTTACTCCACTATGATTATTAACTATTCCACGACACATGGCGGGGAGAACGACTTGTCTACTCTACATATCCAAAGAGTTCGGTGGGTACTAATAGGTAGGCCATTTCTTTCGGCGTTGCAGGTTTTTTTATTTTATTTTGGAGGCTAAATGTTTGTTTGGGGCGCACGCACGGGGGGAAGATCGGGATGAAAAATGAATGCAGCTCTGCACTCATCATAGGCTTTTTTTCTTTCTTTCCTTTCTTTCTCGTTCTTGCTTGCTTTCTCCGCTGGAATAGTTATCTAGTAAGTACATAGATGAACTCACTCCACCACCACCGGTCGGACTACATATCATACCTAGAAACTTGAAAGAGTGCTCCAGCGTGCACTGCAGCCCATGACTAGCTCGGCGTGTGCTGTGCGTGTGTGCGTGGGCGTGTGCGTGGGTGTGCGTGTGTGTGGTGTGTGCGTGTGTGTGGTGTGTGCGTGTCAGTTATACCTACTTTACCTACTCTACATACAGACGTTTCATCCCTCGCAGGCTGGAGATTGGAGATTGGGGATTGGAGATTGGATATTGGATATTGGAATGTGCATCGCATCGCATGGCATCGCACGCCTGCCTGCCGAGGGTTCTGAGTTTCTGAGTTCTGAGTCCGTGTGGCTACTATACTAACTATAACTACCATACATCCATACATCTACTTCGTACACTAGGTTGCTCAACCCTACTTCTACTCTAGTTACTCTAATTACTCTAGTTAGTTCCTCTCTAACATGCGCTACCGTATTACGATATGAGTTAGAGTTGTCGATATGGTATGTACCGCGAGGGAGGGACCGCCGCAATCCACAAGCCGTCGGCGGCGGCGGCGGAGCCTGCATGGCGAGTACTAATAGAAAGTACCGTAACTCAGTAGACTCTAGCGTAGAGTAACCACTTGTGTATATAGTAGGGCTAGTTATACATCGGCATCGAACATCACCGGAACACCGTCGTTATTTGTTTCGAGCTGTTTCCACATTACGGCCACCAAATTCTCCACCTATGATTGGCAGAGTACAGTACCTGGCCGGTTATGGAGCCCTTGGCTGGCAGATTAGCAAACGCAACTGGCCAGCCAGACATCATGGAAAACCCCCCATCATCATCATCATTATCATCATCATCGTCGCACCCCGCTTGCCAGCCAGGCAGGAGAGCTTCCCGGAGTATCATAGCAGCACTATGATAGGCGGGTTACGCGTTTTCCCCGCCGCCTGATTGGCTCCAGCGGCGTCATCAACACCAGGACACCACCCAATCGGCCGCTGTTATGTATGTGGGAGCCAAAACAGAAACCCAAACGAAACGGAAAGGAAGAAGGAAAGAAAGAGTGCACAGGAAAAAGCAAGACGGCATACAGCATCCAAGTAGATACGTATGCACGAAATAGCCCTGCGACTCTGCGAGAACTGCAACTGCTGTGTACCACGCTATGTACCCCCCTCAGATATGCCCACGCAATAGGTATGTGCATACTATACATACCGTTCATTGGATGCCAGCACGCTCAGCTGAAGTTGTGGATTATTACCCCCTCACCCCTCCTGGACGGTTGGCGATTGAACGGGGGAGAAGAACTGCTGCCTCGAATACCTAGAGTACCTAGGGCCCGGCCGGGGAGGAATCTCCTGGAGACGAGAAGGGCAACACGGTCCGAGCAGGTCAACGGCGAGGCGTGTGTTTGGTCGGGCGTGGTCAGGTGCATTGCAATGGTTCAGCTTGTGCATGGGCACCGGGGCATTGAATCGTTCTCCCTATGCATACTGCTGCTGTTGCTGCTGCTGAGGTTTCTGCTGGAAAGTTGAGGTTGCTTTGACTTCGCTAGGCTTCGTTGGACGCGGAGATCACGCCTGCCGACGGAACCCAATTATTGTAGGTAGGTAGGAAGGTACGAACGGCTACTATATACCTGTTTTTGGAGTTCATTGGTACCTACCTACCCACATCCCCATATACCCACCTACCCACCAGCTTCCTGTCGTGTCGTGTCGAACCCACCCACCCGAGGTGAGCCGAACTGAACCTTGCTCTCCGACTGCATAAACAACTACCGAGCTGGCGATGCATTTACATATTGGAATTAGCATTATTTTGCAACCACTCGCTTGCCTGCTCTGCTCTGGAGTCTGAACCGGGAATCTGGAATGTGTGCCATCTCACTCGCCTCCCTGGGTTTCGTCGTGTTGATGCCTTGCCTTGCCTTCCCCGCCCCGCGGTTCCGGTAGGTAGGTACCTGGGTACATACAGCAGCAGCAGGAGGAGTTGAAAATATCTACGGACCAGACCCATCATACCAAGCAACTACATGATGCAACCCGATCCTGGCCGTCACGAGAGTAGAGTGCGAGTAGAGTACATACCGTACTATTACTAGTACTCTACATACCAACCGTCTGGGCGTGGGAAGCGCTACTCTAGTTACTCAAGTCTACTCTACTCAAGTCTAGTCCTGCACTAACCAGATCACCTCTCTAGCCTGCTGCCTGCCCAGTCGACAATCGACTGATCAGTGGTCACTGAACGGGTACCGCACATGATTTTTTTCCATGTATGCATACACCATCGCCACACACACCACACACACACACCATCCATTTACATATGTATGGTCCACAGATCCCGAACTGCTGTGCGTCGTCATCCGGGAGCCTGGAGGGCGATCAAGGGGGTGTTGGTGTTGGTTTGTGGGCTGGCAGTGTCATAATGATGATGATGCTGATGATGATGGTGCTGCCGGGGAGGGGGAGGGGGCGTGGATGGATGGATGGATGGATGGCTTCATCCAGCCCCACCTCTCAGCTGATAACTGGCAACTGGAAATCCGCCGATGATCTGGAGTACCTATCAAGGTGCACTATTACTACTAGTAGTACCGGTGCGTGCGCGCACCGTACCGTACCGTACTCTACCTACTCGGTCCACCGTCCATGTCCGTCCATATCAGCCTCCGAGTCCGGGGCACGTCCAGCCACCCACTCTCTCCTACTCTCTCCCCCACGGTACATACTCTGGTTATTCGGAACGATTTCCTCATTTTCCCGCAGGCAACCGTCCATGGTCCGCATTGACAGCAGCAACCGCCCAACAGCAGCCGGGTGGGCGGTAGAGTAGTGGGCTAGTTACCTATAACCTGTAACTATTAGTCGGCTATGATAGTACTTGCGGCCAGATCCCGTACAACCAACCAACCAACCCGTCAATTCCTTGGAATTTGGGGGTAACCGAGCGCCTGAAGGTTGAACGCCTCTTTACTGTTGTTGTTGCTGCAGCTTCTGGCTGCTGGATTCTGCATTAATAGACTATGACCGCAGCCGTCCGGGCAATAGGTAGGTAATAAGCCGGGCTGTCATTGTCATCGGGTCATTGTGTCATCGTCTCTCCCACCCCCCCTCACCCCCTTCGGATTGTACGGAAAGCAGGCGCACCGCAGCCACCCCCAAGTACTCTACTATACATTCCTCGACTCGAAGCCCCTAGTCCTCCGTGTTTTGTGTGGCGGTCGCCGGCTACGAGCTTCTGTCCTCTGCCCTCTACATACAAATCTATGTGCATATTATATACCACTATATACTCTAGCTCGACTCGCTGCGTGGCGTTCGCTGGATCCTCTCAGCTCCTATGTTCGCAATAACCACATACCGACATAATAATGGCTGAAATCTCACAATGTGACCAGGTAAGTCAGTAGGCAGGCTACTCTACTCTAGCTGCTGGGTAGGTCTATAGGTTGGTAGAATACGTACGTCCGTCGACAGGCAAGGCGACCGTGGCACAGAACATCACACCGGGCGCTCATGATTGGCTACCAGCCGACGTCCATCGGTCTTTCACCCGCCCTTTTTCAAGTCAAGCGCGCATCCAATCAGGCGTTCAGCCGCCGGTGTTCGATTGGCAGTTCGGCTGGGGGTCTCTAGAGTAGAGTCTACGGGTTTTGCAGGGGGGTGTTAGGTTGTTAGGTTGGCTGCATCTATTTATTACTTGCTTGCTTGACTGCTTGAAGGGGAGGTTGCTTGGGGCAGTTTGCTTCTTCTTCTTTGTTACATTCAAATGAGGGCAGAGCTGTTAATTAGTTAGGCACTGTTATTGGGGCACTTGATAGACTGGGTACTGTGCAGTGCAGTGCTGCCAGCGTCCTGGCCTCTGTTTCTCTCTCTCTACCTGGTAGTGCATTCCGCACCTGCTCCCCCTCCACCTCCAACTCCTCTCCTGCCTTTCTCCCCTCCTCTCCCTCTCTCTCACATCTCTCTTGTCTCTTCTCTTACTTCTCCCCCGCCGTATCCCCCACGCCGCCCTCGCTCCCTCGGCCCTTCTCTCCATCGTCCTCCACCAACTCCCTCCCTCGCCTTCGGCTCCCGCGACCTGATGCTCTAGTGCGGCATCTACTACCCGGCCACATTCCCGCTCTGACTCGATAGACTCAGTACGCTGGTTCGATACAACTGTAATACTGTGAAATTGCTAGTGACGAGCTGTCGGGTTGATTGATTGACTGACTGGTATGTACCGTACTTGGCAGTGTTGGTCCTTTTTTCAATTTTTCTTCCATCTCTGCCCCGATGCACCATTGCCATTCCCACAATCACACACATATACGGCCGAAGAAACAATGAAGGCCGGTGTGGCTGGCCGGCCGGATGCACTCGACGATGGCGAGTTGCCGCTACTAGTTAGGTGCTCTGTATTATACTCTACGTATTGATCCATCACTGCGGAGAGAAAAGGGCTTAGACTTTCTACTTTTATTTTTTATTTGGGTTCGCAGAGTACAAGAATCGGCCTCATTCCGCCCCCCACCCGCCCCCCAACCTTCCCCTTCCCCTTCCCCTTCCCACTGGACCGACCGACTGACTGACCGACTGGCTTACTGGTCTGGCTGTCTTCTTCCCTGCCTGCTCGCCCGCCGACCATCTACTCGGGCCTACCCTACATCAAGTCCCCCCATATCTACCCGTCCCCCCTATGTACCGCACTCCCTGCCACGCCTCCGCTGGAACTACATAAACCTCCGCTTATCCCTGCCATACAAAATCCCCCCCACCCCCATTGCTCCCCTCCATCCTTCGTCCCGTCTCTGGTCCTCACCTCACCTCACCTCTTAACCTAATCCCCCCCCCACTCTACCCTTCTACCGCACACTCGTATGGCTGCGCACAATTCATTGCCTGCTGGTTAACACAAATCTGTTCTTACATAGATCCCAAGACGAAGAATCGTTTTTTTTGCTCTGGGCTCGCTTCCTCTTGCTCTGTCAAAAATAAACGTCATACACCAACAACCCCAACCCCAACCCCCCCAAGAACTGGTCCAAACAACCGTTTGTTGATCTGCAACGACCGCAACGGCCACATCCCAGAATACACACTACCTCGACGCACGCATGAGCAGCTCCCAACACTCTTCGCCCCCACCACCGTCGTACCCCGCTATGACCCAGGACGAAAATAGCCCCGAGGTCTTTCTCGGCCCCACCGGCTCGGAAACCGAAGAGTTCTATTGTTTCCAACGCTCCAATCCCGGCCTCGAGAAGGCGGAATATCTGGAGTGGTTTCAGAAGCGGTTCCACAAGGAGATTGAATTGCGGCGAAGGCGCTCCGACCAGCCGTCAGACCTCGAGTTCATGGTCATCAAGAAGCGCTCCAAATATCGCGAGCGGATCGGCGAGGAATCTGCAGAATTGTGTCGCCATTCAGAGCTGTTTCCTCACAAAACTTATCGGGAACTCGCAGAGTGGTTTCAGGATCGCTTCGGAAAGGAAATTGATATCACCGCTATCTCGAGTATGTCCCCCGTCCCTTTGCTGTGCATTATTCTGGAGGCCGCTCTCGCCACTTCCATATCCATATTCACCCTCCCTCTCTCCCCCGATGATCGCTGCCGGGCAAATCTTTCTTAAAGGGCTGACCCTTGTTTAAGATACCCTTCCACCACCGCGAAACGGTTTACTAACTTCGGCTCACCCGATAGGAGCCTTGAAACGTCAACGTGAAGGCAATGAAGTAAGTGACGGTATTCCAAGCCCGGATCACGCACCCCCGGCTGCCAAACGTGGACGCCGCTCGCTAGGCAGCCAGAACAATGGCTACCAGAACCAACAGTCACCGGGCCCGGTGGGTTCGCAACCGACCTTCACGGTGGACATGGCTGGAACTCCCCTTTCCCGCCAGCATACTCCAACTTATACCCCCGCCCACACGCCAAAGACCATTGCGAGAAAACTTCCTACACCGGAAGAGAGCGGTGCAAGGCCGGCGCAGCAGCAGCAGCAATTCTCGCATCGGCAGCAACTGCTACAGCAGCAATTGCTACAGCAGCAGCAACAACAACAGGCGCAACAGCAGCAGCAGCAGCAGCAACAGCAACAACAGCAACAGCAGCTTCAGCACCAGCAGCTTCAACAGGAACAACGGCAGCAGGAACAACGGCAGCAGCAAGAGCAGCGGCAGGAGCAGGAGCAACGACAGCAGCAGGAGCAACGGCAGCAGCAGGAGCAACGACAGCAGCAGGAGCAACGGCAGCAGCAGGAGCAACGACAGCAGCAGGAGCAACGGCAGCAGCAGGAGCAACGACAGCAGGAACAACGGCAGCAGGAACAACAACGGCAACAACAGCATCCTCCTCATCCGCATCCTCACCACCCTCGTCCTCATCCGAACGCTCACCCACCACCGCCCCAACCACTCTACCATCATCCTCATCCCACCGTGAATGGCTCGTCGACCGTCGATCAGCCCTCTCGTGGCACTATGTGGAACCCGGTTAATCCTGGACATAACGGACCTAGTGCTGGCATGGGTCCCGGAGCCGCATCCGGTCCTGGAAACACCTTCGACATTAGGGGGGAGATGCCCGGCCGTCGAACCCCTCCACAACCGATTCAACCATCACAGTCGGTAACAATAAAACACGAAGCCCCCACCAACAACATCACCGCCCCCACCACCACCACCACACGTATGTTGAGAAGCAAGTCCATCTCACAACAGCAACAGCTACAACAAAAACAACAACAGCAACAGCAACCACCTCAGACCGTCCACAGCATTGCCCCGGGTCCCCCGCCGTTGCAGCCTCGCGCGAATTACGCGCCTGTGCAGAACCATCACCCGGCGCCACCGGCCGTCCTACCGGCCGCTTCACCGATTGGACTACACCAACAACACCACCCACAGAAGGACATCGCTGTGCTGCTGCAGAGTCGGATCAATAGCGCGATGGAAAAGCATTTGAGAAGTTTGGAGGAGCTCAAGGCGTCCACCGAAGACGCGAACGCTTTCATCCAGAACGTATCAAGTCATCACGTTCGTTGGCAGGAGGAGGTCCAGAATTTGGCGATGGAGAGAGATACCCTGCTTGCGAACAATAGGGATCTAAGGGCATGGGGAGATGATCTGCAGCGAGGAAACTTGGAGCTCCAGCAATTCGAGAGAAAATTCCATGATGCTAGTCGGCACATTGCACAAATCGAAGACGAAAACCGACGTCTTCGAAGCGACGCCGAACTCGTCTCACGGCTACAGGCCAATCTTGCGCATCGGGAAGCGCAGTTGGCGAATGCTCGGATGGTATTGCGGCAGAATGGCTTCGATGCGTCGGGAGAAAGGGCTTCGTCGGTCGGCCCCGGTGAGCGCAGGACTAGGAGGGAGCTCGATGAATGGGTATCACGGGGATATGCCGACGCATGTAGACATGAGAAGGAACTCAAGGTGCTCGTGGACGGTGTTGAGAGCGCTGGTTGGAAGGATCTCAATGGCAGGTTGCACACGCTCAAGGCGTACTTGGCGGAAATGAAAAGGGAGAGGGAGCAGAAAGAGGGCGAGTGGAAGCGGTACATTGGGCATATTTATGGAAGCCAATCACCGATCCCGCCCTCGCGCGACGATGCCGGCGATGATGCGGATGATGAGGGTGAGGGAAAAGTCATTGTGAACGGCATCAAGGGTATGTTTACATCCAATCAGCTGTAACCATCCACGGAATACTAACTCTTTCCAAGTTGCCCATGCCATTCCAACGCCATCCAATCCAGTCAAGTCGGAGCGTACCAGTGGTCCAAACACCCCCACATCCAACAATACGATCGCTAGGGAGGATGCGGTCCAAAAAATGGAGGTCGATTCATGAGCGGTTGTCTCCTTTTCGCGACATGCATCTACCACCCAACCCCCGGCATGCGATACCTTTCTCTGTACATTTGACATCGATTCCGTTTCTGCAGCTGGTGCGATGCATGCAGAAACCGTATTGGTGCTATTTTAGCTTTCCCCTTTCCTTTAATGGTTGTTTTTGTACTATTTTGGGCGGGGCATTTCTTACATACCACCTACCCCCCGCGCCATTTAAATGGGTTCTTCGGCGTCTGCATTTTTTTCTTTCTTTTTCTTTTTCTTTTTTCTTTCTTTTTTCTTTTCTTTTCTTTCCCCCTGCGCTTACTTTTGCCCGCAGCCGTTTTTTTTCTCGTCCGACCTTGCCATGTCGTCCGCGCCATTCCAATGTGGGTTGGTTGTTTTGATATCGATTTTTTCTTCTTTTCTTTTTCTTTTCTTTGTATTGTTCACCTGGATATGATCAATGGCGTATGCGTATTTTTTCGATTTTCGGGGTTTTCAACAGGAAGAAGGAAGGGGTTGGGTTGGGGGGTTTGGGGGGTTAGGAGGGGCGCTGGGTTACATAATAGAGGATTGTGTATCATACAGTACTAGGTGCTACAACAGGACCAGGACAAGTGTTTGTCTGTTGGTCGTTTCGTGCATACTAGAATTCCCGTGATATTATCAGCTGCATGAGCACTCGGTCTGGTTTGGATCTATGTAGATGTGGTCCAAATGAATGGCGGGAGGCGGGAGTCGGGATTCGGGAGTGGGGACCCATAAGATGACTGGATGGCTGGCATGCACATTGCACACATTGCACACATCCTATCGCCACGTGGATAAAGGATTTCATTCAATACTGTACTGGACATTGGCGCATCATTGTGTGAGATGGGGAAATGATCCGTTGACACAACAAGGCTACCGCTACCGTTACCGTACTGTACTTATCATAGCAAGCGCGGACGCCCCAAGATATCGGGCGAGTGCCTTTCCATGCATGCATGCGGGGCGGGCCATACGGCAGGTTATATATCAGATGGCATATGTAGAGTGCGCCGACAGAAGCTTACTGTATCCTGTATCCTATATCCTGTATCCTGTATCGATAGGGCGGGGATCTTTATAGGATCGTAAGCGAAGTATGCATGTACTTACTGTGTATGGAGAGTACATATCAGCTATGCATACCTATCGGCCCGAGTGTGTATGTGCACGTTCTATCACTCGCTCTCTTGACTTTGGCGGGGAAACTGGGTTTCCCGTGAGGCTGAGATGAACCTTTTTTTGCTCGGTTCATTGTTACGTAGGATTGTAGCTACTCTATGTACATAGAGTACACGGTAACTATCGTCACCGAGTCGAGTCCGGTGCCGAGAATACACTCCGCACTCTGAATGGACTCTGCACTCTACTTAGACTCCGCACTCTACTGAGAATTTAGTACCGCCAAACCGAGGAGCAACGACGGAACTTACCTCTTCTCCGCCCCACACCCCCACCGGCGGACACCGCTGCACGTAAGACGGTAAGACGGTAAGACCAAAGACGGTATGTAAGCCCACCTAGGTGCCGCTCGGAGTGAGGTCACGGTGCATCACCCACCACTACCATGTCGGCGACGGGGGGAGGGGCGGACGGCGAGTTCCGCTGGACGTCTTAAGTTCGGGCTGTGCGGACGTTTCTCGGACGACTATAGGACCAACATGGCGATACGGGCTCCGCTCACGGCAGGCAGTCAGGCAGGTGAGATTCTGACGGCGTCGGTGGGAGGTTCCGTGCTTGCCTCCGATACGGTAGGTTGAAATGTGTGCGTAAGGAGCGGATGAAGCCGCGGCCTTTCCCATCTTTCCATGTTCCACGTTCCAGCCCGGGGCCGGAATATGCCGGTGATCCTCAGGTGCTGTTCCCCACGTGCTGTTCCACTTGGGCCCCCTGCGTCGCTGACGTTAGGGAACAGGAGGCCCGTCGCTCCGTTCCGTAGGTACCAGTCCAATCGGCCCAAGCCGTCCACCGAGGGGTGTATGTAGGGGGGGGGGGGGGGGGGGGGGGGGGGGTGATCTCCGCGCTGACTATGCAGGCGTTGATGGACTCGCCCTCGGAGCCAGTGCTATGGTTTGAGTTTGGCATACTTACCCTGCTTGCTGGAAGGGGCTCCGGACTTCCGAACCTCGGGCCAACTTCCTGCTGGGACGGGGAAACCGTATTAGGTGTGTGTAAATGTTATTGGATCCGAAGAGTTTGGAGTTCATCGCCATGGTGACGTTGCGGAGTGGCCAGTAGGTTGCCATTCGGGTTATCGAAGGCACTGGCGATCGTGGGCGTCCAGTTGGGGCCTGGGCCAAAGGCTGGCTGGCTTCTGAACGGACTTTGCCGTATGTACTATACGGACTGTTCCATACCTTTTACCGGAGGGACTTAGAAGTTAGGCTTCACACGTATTCCATCCCATTGGAAAGGCATTCTCGGACGACTCCGATGGGCTCTTGGAGCACTGGAGCTGTGCTTTACGCACCACGAATGACATCTCGGGGGCCTAATCTCACCCTTCCCCACCTCTCTACCTAGTTCCAAGTGGCTTTTTTTGTTCATTCATTTATTGCATGTTCGTTCCAAGCGGCTGGCTATCAGCCTTTTTTTTTACCACCGAGTGCGAGTGACGCCGTGTGATTTCTACTACCGAGTGATCAATACGCACCGACACCTCCCGCTGCTCTAATAGGTATACCTATGCTGTCGATGGTTTCACGAGAGGATAATCGACCGCTGCCAAGTCCTTATCTCCATTCATGCTCAAGCGATTTTCCGGCACTGGGCAGGGCATCCCGCCAAAAGGCCTGCTGCGGGTGATTACTACGCATACTACTATTACTACCCTGCTACCCTGCACCCCCTACTATTCTACTATCCTACTATCCTACTATCCTACTATCCTACTGTCCTACTATCCTACTATCCTACTATCCTACTGTCCTACTATCCTACTATCCTACTATCCTACTATCCTACTATCCTACTATCCTACTATTCTACTATCCTACTATTCTACTATCCTACTATCCTACTATCCTACTATTCTACTGTTCTACTATTCTACTATTCTACTAGGTATGCTGTCATCCTACTATTCTACCACCATCCTACCGTCCTGATTCAACCACCCCACTAGCCCGTTATCCTATTATCCTACTATCCTACTATTCGCCGACCACTATACCGTAGGCAGACTAGGGAGGCTGTGCAACGACTGGGCAAATAATTGATCCCGCCCCCCGCGGTCGTGGTTGCCGGGACGGACTGACGAACACTTTCTTGGCATATTCGTATTCCTCGGCGGCGGCGAGAGTCGGGCACGATTGGATGCTACAGTGCTACATAGACTTGGAATTGAGGCGCAGGGCTCTGCAGTCGATCTCGGGTATGTAACTAGAGAACGCGGGCGCGCGGCAGGTTACTACGACGACACCGGGGCGTCGAGTTTGTCGTAGGTACATACCGTATCCCACGAGTAACTGGTTCCGCAGTAGGTACTCAGTACCAGTTAGTAAGCATGCCGAACAAGGAATGCCAGCCGCGTGGTACGTACCGTGCGGCTGAGACTCGAGACTCGAAGACGGCAGCGAGGCCGCGAGGGTGATTACAGTGAGGGTGCCTGCATGGGGCGAGGCTGGATTGCATACCTACTCCACATACCAGGTACCTATTAGCAACCAAGTAGCCACCAACCTACGTATCTGCGCGCATAGCCTCGTTCGGGAGCAGCACGCAAGTCCGGTGTTCCGGAAGTGCGGCGTGTTCGCTTCTGCTTTGCTTCTGCAGACTCACGAGCAATAACCAAGTAGGTAGATAGACAAGTTGCGGTCCGGATATGTAGAGTGTGTGTTGGGCTACCTACTTGTCTAGGTACTATAGCTATAGATACCGGTACATATGCTTCTTCTCCCACCGACCTACCTCCCTTGAAGAAGTGAAGAAGTGGGAGCCTCACTCACTCACTCAGGAGTCAGCCAGCGCCTGCGCCCGCGCCCGCGGCCCACAATGATCCCAGGACGCTCCGTTCGCTAAATTTTGCTACTTTTTGGCCTCGCTTGAGGTGGTGCATGGTCAACTGGTGCTCTATCTACTATATAACCAACTATACCCTGCATGGTGATAGATGACCACCGTTGTGGGCTGGGCAGTGGGCAGTGCGGAGTCAGTCGCGGACTGCGGAAAACGCTCCTTGCATGCCACGCCGTTCTTCACCGTCGACGTTGACGTTGCCGTGGTCGTTGTCGTCGTCGTGGCGGACATTGTAGTCATGAGGTGCTAGTTAGCAGAGGCCTTGCAGAATCCCGATATTCACTCGCCCATCCACCAACCCCTCACTCTAGCCCGATCCGTTTTGCATGCGCAGCGGACTTTTGGGGAAGTTGGGAGAAAGTTGGGAACTCAGAGTCAGCGTCAGCGAATCGAATGCAACTCGGGCGCTACTATTTTTGGGATCAAATAGTAGGACTAGGGGCTTTTGGCGAGCGTCACACAAGACGCTGGGTAAGGGCCAACAATAATATAACATGTGCAGTCACAACACTGCACTGCGGTGTGGAATTTCCCGCGGTTTGCTTTGCTCGTGCGCGCGCCGTGGAGGAGACTGAAGAGGAGAGACGGTTCGAAACAGAACTGGCGTTTCGGAAAGGAGAAAGGGCACAAAGCTGAAGGGAGACGGAGCAAAAGCAAAACTCCCAACAGGCCGGCTAGCTAGGGCGAGTCAACCAGCCGGTGCGACTCTCGATCTCGAGAAAGTCTCAGGAACACCGCCAGCTTGAGTGGACTCAAACAGTCCGCAATCTTTCTTTTGGACATGCGCAGCGCTGAAAAAAACCCTTGATATGTATGAGATCACACATGCCTACGCTGCCTGCGTATGCCCCTCTCCCCCCCCTCCCCCCTCCCATGGTCGGCGGAGCAGTACATAAGGCGGAGCCCACACTCTTTGTGCGCAACTATTCCTTCTCCTCCTCTCGTCAGCTCATCCACCACACACCCACGCTTCCTGCAAATAGTCGAACTCCAAGTGGCCTGCCGCTGCTTTTCTTACAGAGGTGAATGCGCGACCCGTCGTCGTCGTCGTTGGTGATAAAAAGCCGGACTCGAGAGCTGACTCGAACTGCACAGCAGACCCCACACACACTCACCTTGTATCACCTGACCCCTCGCGATCCGCGATACCTTCAAAAATGGGCTTCAATTGGCTCAACCCGCTGCGGATCTTCCAGGCCGTGCTATCGCTAGCCGTCCTGATCTCGGCAGGAGTATTCGTCTCCGGCGACCGAGATGGCGCCGGCGAAGGCGCCTTCATGATCTTTGTCGTGCGTACCCCCACCCACCCACCCACGCAGCTTACCGCTTCCCGCCCGCCCGCTTTCCAAGCTAACTGACGGCCCCCACCACCCCCACTACAGCCCATCTTCACCCTCATCGCACTCGGCTACCTCGTCGGCGCCCCCGGTTTCTTCCCGGCAATATTCAACTCCTGGGCCGCGCTGGGGATCGAAGCGTTAACCTGGGTTCTCTGGTAGCTCCCCCTGTCCCCTCCCCTCCCCCTCCCCCTCCCCCGCTCCTCCCTTCCTCTATGTACTAACCCCCCGCCCCAATAGGCTCGCCGGCTTCGCGGCCCTCGCCTCGATGCTAAACCGGTACGAATGCTTCGCAGACGGCACACAGCTGTGCGGCAGCATCTCGGGCGCGCGCGCCGCCACCGTTCTCGGCGCGTTCACGTGGCTGGCGTTTTCCGTCTCGCTGGGTTACTTCATCTTTCAGCTTATACAGGCGCGTCGCGGCAGCGGCGGGGGACTCGGTGGAGGGCTCGAGGCTGGTGGTATGTTATCCCTGTCTAAAGGTGGTGAGGAGGGAGAGGAGGAGGAGAAGGAGCAGGCGGCTGATGCGTGTGACGTAGGACATCCGAATGCTCCCACCACTGGCCCGTACGATCAGAGCGTTAGCATGGAGCAGCAGCAGCCGCAGTATGCTCCCCAGCCACAGTACGCGCCCCAGCAGCAGCAGCAGTATGCGCCTCAGCAGCAGGCACAGTATTAACCGGATATCTGTGTACGAGGAGGGGGTGCGGGTTGCGGGTGGATGGGATACGGTAGATAGGTAGGCCGCCTGGTGTGTACTGGTACTAGGTATACTATACACACAAGGTTGGATACTTATCGAGGATTCGAGGGTGCCTTGCGCCTGCGTCGTGTGATGAGCCATGGCTGGCTGGCCGTACGGATGGGATACTTTCTTATTATGCATACTATTTAGAGGAGGCTTTGATGAATTTAATGATTTATATTTTCTGGGTTCTATGTAACTACCGGTGTGATGGCACTTTGGACGGGGTGGGTGAATCGGAATTGTTTGTATGTAAGAGGTATGGAGGCACCCGGCATATTGTTCTCGTGGAATCGAATGCTGTGTTTTCTTGCGTCGTATGTTGCTCGTGGAGTCTGGGGAAACTTGAAAGTGAGGTTTAACCGAACACCACTTCGAAACATCAATGCCCAGAATGATGATGATTTATCACCCGCGGGCCAGATGTACTCTACCGCTGATAGCGGTAACTACGAGTAGCAAGAAACACATTTTCAGCGAACGTCGTGACGAAACCTACACATCAAGAAAACAACTCTACTCTCCGATTATCATGACCGACAGTACAGCCGAATTTTTCTTCTCCGAGTACTAGCTACAGACAGCTCCAATGCAATCATAGTTTATAGCTGAGCAGTACTCTAGTGAAGCTCCACACAGAAATGCGGGGTAAGTAGCTGCTTCGGCTTCAATCGCGGACACGTGGTAGTTTTATACTCCATGCAGGCCTTGCAAGGCAATTCATAGTAGGATCCATCTAGTGTATCCAGGCTGATAAGTAATACACAGCCTTAGTTATCTAAAAGATCGGTGATTAGTTAAGGCTTAAACCCGGCCCAGCTGCCGGTGGGCAGTCTCCACACCTCACTCCCGCGCGCCATCCCATTCCCCCACAATTCCTCTTCTGGCGACGGCTTCCCCACACCACGCCAACGGCAACCAGTCCCTGCGTTGATCTGCTCTCCGCTCAGTACCGGCTGGTCTGGGGGAAAGACACCATTGCTTGAATGGAATTGTCGGTGGGTCCTCGTCGAAGCACCGCCGGTACCGGTATGCACGGTATGCACATGTATGGGGTAGTATGGGGTAGTATGGGGTAGTATTACATGCCGCATGAGTACAGGCCTGGCAATTCGAGCTCTCGCAGCTCGAGTTCTTTAAAAGACACTCGTCGCCGCCGCGGCGATGAATGAGCATCCCAAAGCGGCAATCCACAGCAGCAGTAGAAGCAGCAATGGCTCCCCCATCAGCTCTTCCTCCACTCCTTGCGGAAGACTGCCACTCCGGTATTCCTGCGCGCCACCACCAGCAAGCAATTGAGAGTCGCGCCCGCCTCTACTCAAACCGCACCGTTCCCGCTTCTACCCCCAGATCCCAGGAGACGCCTGTGCTCCCGCCCGATGTCGATAGGGAGACTTTCAATCTTGCGGTCGATGAGCTGAGGAAGCTGCTGGGCGCTGAGAATGTAGAGCTCAATGATAAGCCCCTCGTGGATGGGTGGTATATGGAGCATCCGTATGTCTTTTCTTTCTTGGGCTGGATGGCTCTGCGCGGCGGCTAACCTGGTGGCAGTAACACCCACGACGCCTTCCACATCGTCGAGCAAGAGGACCTCGTCTCCTCGGCCACGGTCTACCCCGGCAGCGTCGAGGAAGTGTCCACCATCGTCAAATGGGCGAACAAGTACCTGATGCCGATCTACCCGATCAGGTGTGTACCCCTTGATCCTCGCATCTCATCCGCTAACACCCTCCAGCATGGGCCGCAACATCGGCTACGGCGGCGCGGCACCGCGTCTCCGCGGCAGCGTGGTCGTCGACCTCGGCCGGCGCATGAACCAGGTCCTCAAGATCGACGGCGAGTCCGCCACGTGCATGGTCGAGCCCGGCGTCTCGTACTTTAAGCTGTACGAGGAGGTGCAGAAGACGGGCTTCCCGCTTTGGGTGGATCCTCCGGATCTCGGCGGCGGGTCCGTTCTCGGAAACTGTATCGACCGTGGTGTAGGCTACACGCCGTACGGTGACCATTGGGCGAATCATTGTGGGCTGGAGTTGGTTCTGCCGACCGGTGAGATCGTAAGGACGGGAATGGGCGCGCTGCCTGGAAAGGACGGCGCGGATAATCCTACGTGGCAGTCGTTTCAGCACAACTACGGTATGTATCGCCCCCCCCCCCGCTCTGCTGTGCAGCCACTAACACCACCAGGTCCCTCCGTCGACGGCATCTTCAGCCAGAGCAACTTCGGCATCGTGACGAAGATGGGCATGTGGCTGATGCCTGCAACCGAGCACCAGACGTACATGGTGACCTTTCCACACGACGACGACTTCGAGCAAATCATCGAGATAATCCGGCCTTTGGCGCTGCAGCGGATCCTGGGGAACATCCCGCAGCTGCGCAACGTGATACAGGAGCTTGCGGTTCTCGCCACCCCGCGCTCAAAGTACTGGTCCGGCAGCGGCCCCATGCCGCGCGAAACCCTCCGCGCCCTCGCAAAGAAATACCTCCCCACCGGAGACTGCAGCTGGATCTTCTACGGGACGGTGTACGGTCCCGAAGCCACCCGCAACAGCCAAATGGCAACAATCAAGGCCGCGTTCGGCCGCGTGGCGGGAATGAAATTCTACCTCCCCTCCGACCTCCCGTCCACCCACTACATCCACTCGCGCGTAAAGATCTGTTCCGGGACCCCGGAACTGAGAGAGCTAGACTGGTTGAACTGGGTCCCGAACGCAGCGCACACCTTCTTCGCGCCAATCACGCCTACGCGGGGCCGCGACGCGCGGATCGTGCACGAGCTTGTCACCTCGCTGCACCACAAGTGGGGCTTCGACAGCTTCCCAACGTGGTGTGTCGCCGGCCGCGAAATGCACTACATCGCCAACATCGTGTATGACCGCGCGGATGCCGATGCGAAGCGCAGGGTTAACGGACTGATGCATGAAATGATCGCGGCGGCCGCGAGGGAGGGCTATGGTGAGTATAGAACTCACCTGCTGTATCAGGATGTTGTCGCCAGGACCTATGGCTTTGGAGGACAGGCCCTGCTCAGGCTTAGTGAGACGCTGAAGGATGCGCTCGATCCCAATGGGATTTTGGCACCTGGAAGGGCGGGCATTTGGCCTAAGAGGTATAGAGGACGTGGATTCGAGATCCTCGAGGCGAAGGATGAGAGTGCGCCGAAGGCAAAGCTGTAAATAGGATTGGGTTGTGCGTGTATTATGTATGTAGGGAATGTGAAGATGGGGATCACAGTCATGACGTTACACGAAATATGAAGGCACAAGTGAGATACTGTGACGTGAGGGTTTGCATCGCTGTTTAGATCTATCGTTCCACCTATCCATCTATCCCAATCCAATCCAAAAGAAATCCCCCACCCGGGTATCTAAAACATCCACCCTTTGCATGTAAAATAAACTGAAGATCTCTTTCATCCTCCCTCATACACCGCCCCCCTCCGGCCCACTAAACGCATACCACACAACGCCGACCAGCAACACCGTGACAACGCCGACCGCGACCACGCCCAGCGCGCGGCCCTCCATGGCCGCCTGTTTCAGCAGGACCAGATGCTCAAGCACCTTCTCGGGACCAAGCTTGTACCACACCAGGCCCGCCAGCGCAATGCTGTACCCAATGAACTGCAGCAGCGTCACTTCCGTCTGCCAGATCAGGATGCTGAGGACTACTAGGAGGATATCCTTCAGCACGCCGCAGAGCGTCAGCACGAGGGAGGAGGTGCGGCCGATCTAGACGCGTTAGATGAGACGGTAAGATAAGATGGGGGACGGGGGGACGGGAAGGGGGGGTTACAAGGAACACGACGGACACGTTCAGCGCGAACGCGACACAGGCGTTCAGCGTGAGCATTGGCAGGCCGACTTTTCCCATGACATCGTTTACCCAGCTTATCTGGCCCGCCTCGAGCACCAAAAAGAATGCGCCATTAATCAGCGCGCACACCGGCGCGAAGTAGTACAGCGACACGAGCGGATCCATCTTGTACTCGTTTGCGGAGAGCAGGCGCTGCACCATGACGAGGCGTGTGGCCTCGAAGCAGATCCCGAGGACCTGGTAGATCACGCCGGTCGCGTCGAGGGCGATCTCGCCCCATGACGCGATTATCACCCCCACCACGATCAGCGCGACGTTGCCGAGCGTGCGCAGCGACGGCGTCGACAGCGAGAGCGCCCATGAGGCGACGAGCACTGCTACGGGCGTTGTGGCCTGGGCTTGCTCAGCGCCTGATAACTACTGCGGAGAGGACGGGCGGGAAAAGAATTGTACCTTCAGCATCTGGATAAACGCCACGCTGAGATATATGTACGCCTTGTTACTGCAGATCAGCGACAGCGAGAAGAACAGTCCTATCGGCATGATTGCGCGGAGGTATATCCGCCCCGTCATCTTGACGCGGTGCCGACCATCCAGCAGATCCGTGGTGCGCGCGAGTAGCTGCGTCGCCGCCGTCGCGAAGACCAGGTGCCATGTCGTCAGGAATATTGCTGCGTCTCGTCAGCGTCGGCGGTGGGAGAATCGCGAGGGGCTGCTTACGGAATGCTAGCGGGTGTTAGTGAGATGCGCGCAGCAGCAGCGGGGACAATGGGACGTACATACCGAACTCGCAGGTGGACAAGATCCACTTGTTGAACAGGATCGTCGCTGACGACAACGTGATCCAGAACCTGGCGGGTTAGCTCCCGGGACTGGCTGAGATGGAGGGGAGACGACGGACCCGACATAGACCGCTGGGTGGAAATTGAGGCCGCGTCGAGGAGGAGCTGCAGGCAGTGGCGGTGGAGGCGGGTCGGGATTGCGCATCGACGGGAGCTCCATCAGGTGTTCGTCGGCGCCGTCATGTTCTCGTGGTGCGGCCATTGCGGACATTGCTGCAGCTGTGTACTGGAGAGGCCTTGAGCCCCAGCTCCGGCGGGAGTGTGCTGGGTTCGATATGGTGGCAGTCGGTGAGGTGTAGCCCCGGAAACGCGTACGTATTCTGTGCGATCAATTGCGGCAATGGCGGATCAACGGGTTTGGTGCTCGATGACGCGGGTGGGGTATCTATGGGTATCTAGGCCGGAGAGATAGAGTTGGAGGTAAGGATTGATGCTGCAGGTCGGAGCTTTGTCCCTGGGCTCGACAATTTTGACCGGCAAGGCCACGCGGAGCTGGCCACGTAACACAGGCAGATCCCTAACACCCAGCTTTTTTTTGTTTAATCATCATCGCACGGCAGTTACATACGGTTTTCCAACCCACTGCCCTCGGCCCGTTCCTGATCTCCGATCGCTCCAAGTAAAGTACATGTAAATGAGAGAGACGGAACGAACGGATATCCATCTGCGCGATTCCTGGGCTATCCCCTTCCCCAGGTTATTCCCATCATTGCCCCCAACCTTTTCATACTTAACAGCCAACAGCGCAGCCGGCAAGAGTCGCTTTCTCACATGTCACGAGTGATTGCAAGTGCGCGCGACTGTACTGATAGACTTGCGCGATCGAGTCAATTCGTACTATCAATTCGTACATTCGCTCGATTCAACGGAACACAAGTATCCGCTCAAGCAATCGCCATCATCCGCCTCCATATGTACTTAGGAACCTCTATCTAATGATCCCCTGTGCTCACGATGATATCGGCGCATGCTTCCGCACCTGCTCCTCACTCCACTCCCACAGCCTCGACGCTAATGCATCATCGCTTGCAAGCTTCGACGGGCGGCTCGTGTACCACGCGTCATCATCTTTGATCCCGACCGGAACATAATAATGCCCGCTATCCTCTGGCTTCACTGGTCCGGTTGCACAGAACAGCTGGTTCAGGGTACCGTCGGGAACGCTCGTGCACACGAGACTCATGGTGTTGAACCACATCTTCATGATAGGATTGCTGCCGACCGCGGCGTTGTAGAGATCGCTCATGATGATGCCCGGGTGGAGGGATACACTAGTGATCTTGGGATACCGCCTAGCCAGCTCCCGCGCGTGCAGGATATTCGCCAGCTTGCTGACGCCGTATCGCTCTCCGGTGTTTGCATTCTTGAGGTGGTTCTGGAGGTCATCGAGCTTAATGCCCCTGTATGCGAAGTTGTGGCCAAAGCTGGAGAGGTTGACGATGCGGACGGAGCCGGCGGGGGCATCGGGCGCATCGGCGGCGGCTTCGAGCGCGGGCAGCAGCAGCGACGTGAGCAGGAAGTGTCCCACGTGGTTCGTGCCGAATTGGATCTCGTAGCCCTCCGTCGTCTCGCTGTACGGCATCGCCATCACCCCGGCGTTGTTCAGGAGCACGTGCAGCCGCGGCTCGAGCGCGATGAAGGTGCTGGCGCAGGCGCGGATAGACGCGAACGAGGTCAGGTCCAGTGGGACGTAGTGGATGTCGGCCGAGGGAACGAGCTTCTTGATGTCTTCGATCGCGGCGAGCTGTCGGAACGGACAACGGTCAGTGGAGCGCACAGGACGGGCAGAAGAGAAACCCACAGCTTTCGACTCCGTGCGCGACGCCATGTACAGCTTTGCATTCTTCTTTGCGAGCTGCGTGATGGATTCCTTTCCGAGTCCTGTATTGCCGCCCGTGACGAAGATCACGCGCCCCGTCTGGTCGGGGATATCTGCGGCGGTGAAGCTGGGGCTGCCGAACATTTTCGCTGTGGTGAAGATTTGGATTGGGTTGGAGCTAGACAGTTATCGAGTTTGTTGATAGAGCCGCGATATATAGCACATCCACCAGTGGCCATCCGGCAACTCTAGACTCCGTCTCGACGACGTCTGCAAGCACACGATCGCCCACCGGACCACCGGTGTCTGTGTATCGGACCACCGGTGGCAATCGTCTGCGGGTACTAGAGTACCTACGTGCATGCAGCTCAATGGCAGAGATCGAGAGCTCTGCCATGGCCGATGCTAGTTGGTTATCGTCTATCTTCCATATGCAACATTCGCTTGCCATTCCCCCGTTTCCCAGTGCAACCCTAATCTTTCCTCACCCCCGGCACTCGCACCTGCAATTCTCCCTCAGGCTCCACGTCTCTTTGAGGGCGGAAAGTACAATACGTCTCGACACAGTCCAGATAGGCTGCATGCGAGGAATGAAGAAACAAAAACAAAAACAAAAAACAAAAGTTGAGCGATCTTCTCGCCCTCAATCAGCAAACAGATAAAGTCCAAGCCATGCAACTCGCCAACTTGCGTTGGTGGTTGCAGCCACGAAAAGCTTCTTCTGGTGAAATCTAGGGCGTACATAGGGCTGACGTTTGCTATGCTGTGCATACGAGCGTTTGAGCCGGGATCGTGCGAAAGCATGAGTGTCGCTGGACGCAGCGGAGAGAACTATCATATGCATCCGGTACACAATTCGATCCTGCTGAAACTCGGGCTTGGACCGAGTGTCGAGTGCGGACGGCGATCCGGTACGGTAGGTATAGAAGCCACCGCATCTATCGCCGGTGCGCGACGCTCCCAATGACACCGGGCAAGTAAAGACGGCCCGCTTGCATATATTAGTTAATCCATATGTTCCGCAAGCGGCGATGCGATGCTTTGCGGCGGCGGCGGCGGGGGTTCGATACACTCCATCGATACTCCATCAAAAGTCACTCGCTCGTGATTCTCTGACCGTGGGAATTGAATCCAAGTTTGAGCGATGAAAGCATGAGCGATGAGCGTCGCTGGACGCAGCGGAGGGAGGGAGGGAGGCAACAGCAGAGGTGGATGGGGCACGATCACATGCTACTGTCTACAGTCCGGACTCCAGGCAACAGGCTCGGCGTGGAAGCTCCAAACCCTCCGCCTTGCATGGGCCGGCACCGAGAAGTGATGAACGCACCAAGCAGACGCAGAGAACAGGTGAAGAACAAAGTGTAGTGTCCGGAGAATCATTTGCAGTGTGTTAGGTATCCCTGGATCGGCCTAGGTTTCCTCGTATCCTCGTATGTGCCAGTTTCCGATCCGGTCCTTCATATGTACCTGAGTAAGTACCTATGTCCACGCCCTTGCCTCAACAGTGACACCCCTCAGATGGAGGAGGTATCAAGAATACATACTTCGCTTCTTCGAGGGCACACCTCTTGTGCGGAGGCGTCGTCGAGGTAGCCGAAGCAGGTGACACATATCGCAGCGTGAGATGGAAGAATCATCCAGACGCTCAGCTGCAGGGGCCCCGGAGAATATCGGTGAAGCAGGACAGGCTCTGATCTGGCGGGCGTCGCTTCGTCGTCGTTGTTATTGTTCATCGCCGTTGTTCTTGTCCATCGCGGGGTGGCCCGCACCACTTCATAATTTTCGAATTCATGTTTCCATCACGGAAAAAACCCCGCGTGGTCCAGTGGTCTAGGGCCACGCAATCGACGAGGGGAGCTGAGAGAAAGTCCCCGGTTCAAAACCGGGTGAATGGCCTATGTATTCAGCTCTTAGGGTTTCCAAGCCACCCGCCGGGGGTGGTGATGGTTTTTTGTTTTTGTTTTTGGCATCACGGGTGGAGCACCAAATGTCACTTGGCACTTCATCATCACGTGACACGCTTTGCAATGCCAGCTGTGGAGGCACTGATGTGGGCAGACGGATGCCAGAGGCCACGGAGGAACATGCAGCAAGTGAGGTATCCGAGTGGGAGCTTGGGGAGCGTGAGGAAAGGGAAGCGGACCTGAGGCGAGAGGAGGAGGAGGATGGCGCTGAGGTTGAGGAATGGGGGTCACTCCCGCTGTTCCCCCCACACCTTCATCCATAGCATCTCGTGATGAAGAGGCAGGAGGCGGTGGCGAGGACTAGTGTCTTGCGGTGAGGTCGGGACGAGTCGAGGGAGTGGAAGTTGTCTTTTCCTAGTGTCATTTCTTTGGTGCGCTCATACATCGTTGGGACAGGCCGGGGCGGAGGACAGGGAAAGCCACATCGAGCCGCCTGATGAAACTTGGGTTGGACAGTAGCGGAGAAACGGGGGGAGGGAGAGAGAGATCTTCCTGCTTTATTTTGCATGCAGCCTATCTAGACTATGGCGAACCCACTACCTCCGTTTCCTGTCCGCCCTGGCCAGTCGAGGTGAAAGCTCCACTTCCCCTGCCCATCCGCCTCGGGCCGACACAAGCAAAAAGAGGGAAATGGGGAGGGTGAACGGGCAGATATTGCCATGATCTAGATAGGTCGCAGGAAATCAATGAATGAACAAAAACGTTTTGGAGCAATCCATCCATCAAGACCCACGGAGACCGACGTTTTGCCGCCGAAACCGCCTACACAAGACCCCTCACCCCTGTGGGTGGGAAAGAAACATACGGTACTTGTAGGTACGGGCATTCGCCCCTTCCACATGACAGTGACGACCCATCACTCGAGGAAAACCTCTAATCCAACAGGCCCCCCGAGCATCCATCCATCCTGGCATGTCAGTTCCCCAGCAGCCACTGGCCACTGGCCACTTGCAGTAATATGGAAATCAAGCTCCTAGCCCAACCGATGGCGCCCATGCGCTGGGCGGATCATATATGCTCTCCACACTGCAATGGGCCTTTAGTGTTTCACGGTTCACGCTTACCTATTGTCGGAAGAGAAAGCCGAGCACAGCTTTGGCGGCATCGGATGTACGGCAACCCGCGGCCATCCGGGTGGATATGATACCGGTGTGATACGGGCTGTGTGATCACTGATCAGTTACCGGAGACTTCGAGATCGATTATCACTCGCCTGCGGTACCTACCTAGGTATTATTCCCAGAAAGGGAACTATGCACTACCAGTATTCGCGCACCACAACAGTCTACATACGCGGAGCCGGACTCCTAGGGAGGCGTCCAGGGGGCGGGAATAAGGCGTCGTAATGCACTCGTCCATGAAACTATACTACGGTAGAGCAACAACTGACGATACTGTACTGGGTGCTGGTTCCAATATACCTAGACCAATGTGATATCTGAGACTCATAAATGGCACTTATGCATACAAGCACCATTATTCCGTTCGCTTTGAATGCCGAATGCCGTCTGCAGATCCCATGCTTTGAGCCTTGGAGCCCGAACACCGAGACAAAAAACTACTTGGACACACCTCACCTCGAAACATGTCTCCCAGTGATATCCCATGAGCGTAGTGAGTTGGCACTATCTCGCATTCCGTTTCCTAAGGCTAACGCAACCATCCGCAGGGGAATGTGAATTCGCAAGCTCCTCGACCAGCACCGGCAATTCAACACATTCTTGGTCTTGGTCGGTGCATCGATTGGAAATATACATACGTCTGGCATAATATCGACTCAACTACTTCATGTGCGTCCGGCCAGCTTTCGGATTGGGCTCAGGAACTACTAGTATCGCCCTCGGCTCCGTTGCTGGATGATGATAGCCGCATCCCCGATACCTCGAATGTCCATCCTCTTCCGACCCGGCTCCGACCTGACGCCGGTGCGGCCAACGAAAGCAGTGCGTTCAACTGTTTACACATTCCTACGGTCGTCTACCGTAGGTATTGTCTAGGTATTCAATGGGTGCAACGAAACAGCAGTCCGGATTTCCAGTGCGGACAAGAACCATTCTGCATCATCCGACTGCGGGTTACTACCTAGAGTGACCATCCGATATGTCATGTTCTTGGGAGTCGGCCATGGCGGGATCGCAATTGGCTCCTATGTACTCTACGTATGTAGGAGCTCGGCGACGCCACTGGCCAGCGGATGGCTTGGTTGCTTGCTTGCGTGCGGAAGGGGCTTGGGTCCTGGGCAAGACTGGGGCTCTGGAGTCTGAAGGCCAACACGACAGACCTATCTAACTAAACGCTCCGTTTGCAGATCGTCTCTTCGGAAGCTTGAGCTTGAGTTCACAACTTAGCGTTGACACGTGCGTTTACTCTACGACACAAGCAAACAAGCCGGACGTACGGACGGACGGAGTTCGCGGGTATACATATATTAGGTACGAGCCGCGAAGGGTTTACCTTCCTATGTAGTGGAAGGCACTCTTAAGAGTAGACCTCGGAGATCACCTTTACCTTTTTTTTCTCTTCGTCTCCTTCTCCTTCTCCTTCTCCTTCTCCTTCCCGACGTCGGCGATGAACCGGGTTAACTAACAGTTACCTTTGTTCAAAGTTCACACAAAACGGATATTTGATCGGGTGCACGCTGCCGCACGGTATGCCAGCACCCGTATGTGCGCACCTGCGCTGTGCAGTTGATTTCTTCTTGGGGCCCGGGGAGGTTGAGGTGTCGGCCGACCGACGAGTGTGAAGGAAAGGAAAGGCGGGGGGAGACTTCGATGGTGAGGCACATGCAGACGACACCGTGATCGGGGAAAACCCTACTGTACTCTACCTACGGTAGACAACCGACGATACGACACGATAAGACACGACACGACAAGACATGCTCGTTCCAAACGGCCTCCCTCACCACACGGCGTCTGTCTAGTCTAGTGTCCGCGGTTTACCAAGAGTACCAAGCACCAAGTACTCTAGCATACCCAAGTGCTTACTGGCCTACATATACGTCGGAAGACGATCGTCACAAACACCTGCGGCCATCGATTAGGTAGAGTATGCACCTAGACGGCATGCAGAGCAACCGCCGATGCAAACCCTTCCGAACTTCAAAGGCCTTGCGATTGTTGCCGTCGGCACCGAACTATCTAGAGTATGATGTACGTTCCTGGTAGTTACCCATTGGACGGCCATTGGCTCGAGACGATCGCGCACGCAGGCAGGCTCGCAGGCAGGCAGGCGCAGTGTCAGCGAGTTCATCCGCAGCTGCGGGCCCGTCGTGATCGCCACATAAGCGGGGCTGGTCCAATGTCCCTGTCCATCATAGCCTCTACTCTAGGTAGCGAAGACTGCAAGCACGGAGAAAAAAGAGCATCTCGAACAGAGGGGAAGGGGAGATGATGATGCATGTGATGTGATGTGATGTGGGCGAGACATATCCACTCTGTGTAGATATGCACTCCGAATCCGTGCTGCAGGAGGTCATGTGTTGGCAATGCGAGTGTGTACTTACTCCAAGTAGTTTGCTGTGTGTGAGGTGAGGTCGCCAATCGAGTCTGTTGGCGATGCAGTCGCAGTTGCAGTCGCAGTTGCAGTTGGAGCATCATTGCCGAGGGGCTCGTCGCAATCGCTGTTTGCCTCCCTCCCTCCCTCCCTCCCTTCCCCGCACCGCATCGCACCGGAGACACTTGCACCACTTATTACTGGTGCTGCCGGTGCTGCGGCGGTTGCGGGCGATGGACGTGAGAGCCACGCGGAGAGACGCGCTCAGTTGCGGTCGAGCGAAGAAGAAGAAAGAAAAAACCGACTCCTCTCGCCATATGCACGAAACGTTGAGCCACAGCCACCCACCCACACGCACACCCACCCTCCTTCACCCAGTGGCACCACAGCGTCTCCGAGAAGAGATCGCCACCCAGACAAGCAGACAAGCAGACAAGCAGACAAGCAGACAAGCAGACAAGCAGACAAGCAAAACCCCCCTCCCCCCCTGTCCGCGCGCACTCTACTCTACTCTAGCCTAGCTCTACTTAGTTCCGCAGCATGCGCCCCCGACCCCCGACCCCTTGCCACTTTCGGCTGCGCGATCTCGTCTGGCCGATCGTGAGCGAACGAACGGGCCAGTCGCGAGTCGCGAACGAGCAAGCGTGAGCGACGTCTTTCCGGTTTCGGGAGGCAGGGTGGGCAAGATTGAGATTTTGAGATTTTGAGATTGATTGCGCCAGGGGTAGGGGGGTCGGTATTAAAGGTTAAGTTAGCGGGGTTGTTGGTGGTGCCGTGGTGGTGGCGGTGCCGTGGTGCCATGGTGGTGGTGATGAGGAAGGAGGGAAGGAGCGGTGGCCGAGGGGACGGGGGGGTGGGGGGGGAGTGGGTACAAAGGGTAGCGTGACGCTGAGGGGGGGTGCACAAGGTCTAGATTTCGAGTGTCGAATTTGGCACCGCACCGTGGCTATTTCGGTTTCTCTGCTCTGCTTGCTGACTGGCCGCAGTCCGGCGGGTGGGAATTAATTAGAGTAGATACCGCGTAGGAGATACCGCGTAGGAGATACCGCGCAGAGGAGAACTCTGATCTGACCGCGCGAGTCGCTGTGCGTGTGCGTGTGCGGATGCTGTATGTTTCAACTTGCTTGAGACTCGAGAGTCGAGACGGTCTCGGCTGGGTTGTTTCTTCTTTCTTTCTGCACTTGCAACAGATTATTGCGAGAAACAAAAATGCACATGGAATCGCCATCCGTAGAGTAGGTACTATTGAAGGCCAAGCTGCCGAATACAGAAAGCCCACTGCTGTATACGGCAATAAAACCATTACCTACATCTCAAGCGAAATGGGGCATCTACGGTATTCGGTACGCCGCACTGCACCACGCCATGAGTCGTGGGCGCGAGGGTTTGGCCGTGGCCGTGACCGTGACCGTGGAAGCCCGCCTGGCGTTTGACGGAAGATCATGTTTCATGCAGGCGAAGCTTCAAAGGGTCCGTCCAGTGGTCCGTTCTCGTCATCCGTGCCTTTACATAACTCTTGTGTTGCCCGCCGAAACCGAAACCCAACCCCGGTGGACCCCTAGGTACCTTACTCTAATCTTGAGAAACGGTCGTTGCAACTTGCGCCACAAAAGGAAAAAGAGAGCGCCGCTGGATGCCCGCTTGCATCCCTCGTCTGCGGATTGCTGGCCAGCGGCTATCCTGCACCGCGAGGAATGCCGAGTCTTGATGAACGTCGTGGATTCGTGGATGGCCTAAACTTCAAAGCAGGTTTATGTCGGGAGCTGCGAAAGCGCGAGAGCGGAGAAGGCTGCAGGCTTGGAAACTCTTCACCCATCGCTGCGGCTTGCGGGCCTTGTTCTCTTTGGACGGAGATCTCCTTTGGCGGTGGTGGTGCTGTCATAGCGAGCTTGGCTATGATGCACTCGAGGAACTCTTCTCCTAGCAGTTAGCACTCTACTGAGTGGGCCTACGGTGCTAGAGTTGGAGTAACCACTTCCTCACTTAGTACGATACATGGTGGGCTTCTGGAGATTGCCCGTCGATAGGATCAAGTCCAGGCGAGAATCTAGCGCAGGGGGGAGGGAGGGCAGCGTGAGGATGTGGACACAGCAAAACCTGCTGGCTGCCCTCCCTTGACCGTGTGTTTCGTGTTGTGCTGCTCTCTCTCTCTCCCACCTCATCCCTCACTCACACGGCTCCGGTTTGAAGCTGTCCATTCTTTCCCCCCTTCTCTTCTGTCGTTCGTTACTTCGATTCTAGCTATCGTCTCCGCCTGTCGATTCTAGATATCTTCTTTCCCCACGTTCACACTCTCCAGCCTGCGTCGTCATCACTGCCGCCGCCGCCGCCGCCTGCACGCAACCGAACAGAGTCAGAGACGCTGGATGCTCTAGCCTGCTGCTTGCTTGCTTCTGCGTGTGCGTGTTGCGGATCCAATCCGGATCGTCCCTCCCCTTGACGTAACAACACACTCGGAGGAAAACCCAACCCCCAAGGAACTCGTTAGGCTATTTTCCCATCCAACAATCCCACACACACACCATCTCGCTGAACTCATCTTTCGCAATAATCCTGGAAAAGCTAAACGCGTGTGGTGGCTATATTCATACATAACTCGTGGTCGTCCGCCCCCTTGGTAACCGACTATCGATCAGTTCCCTCGCGAAAGAAAGTTGGTCCTGCTCCTGAACGAGCGCCAACCCCTCGACACCACCCCCCTCCTCCCCAAAACACAACACAGTAAACACACAGTAAACACACCAACCTTCACACGCGGCCGTCCATTGGCCTAAACAACTGCAATCATGGACCGGGCCTACGCTTTCCTGGCAAAGCGCCAGAATATCGCGAACGAGAACAACGATCCGAATGTCGGCAAAGCCCGTGGAGTCACAACAGAGGCCTTCCTTTCGACTCTCCTCGTCAATCTCGTCATTTTCGCCGTCCTCTTCCTGATCTTCATCGTTCTGCGCCGCTCGAACCGTAGAATCTATGCGCCTCGTACCTATGTGAGTGGCGGCCGCCCCCCCCCCCCCCCCCCTACCCCACGCGAGGAACACGACTTCTGCGCGCACGGTTCTGACGTCATGTTGTAGGTTGGCGCTATCGAACGTTGGAGGAAACTGCGTGTTCACGACGACAATGGCGACGGTTACGCCGACGAGGTCGAGGGTGTTTCTGGATTCTCGGGCATGTTGAGCTGGGTCAAGGCTGTCTGGACCATCCCGTACGATTCCCTGTCTTCCTTTCTCGATCGAATTCGTCAGCCGTCTAGGAGGATGTCTTCGTGTTGGGATTGTGTGTGTGTGTGTGTGTGTGTGTGTGTGTGTCTGTTCTGACAGAGCGACAGTGACGAGACGGTTCTGCGCACCAACGGCCTTGATGGCTATTTCTTCCTTCGTTACCTGCGCAAGGCGCAGATGATCTGCTTCGTCGGATGCTGCCTGACTTGGCCCATTCTGTTCCCTCTCAACGCGACCGGTGGAGGAACTAGCGAGGGTCTGGATATCCTGAGTATGAGCAACATCGGTGAATCTTCGAGGAACCGGTAAGTTCTTGAATGTTGTGGAGGGGAAGGGGGGACTTGATACTGATGGATCTTTCAGCCTGTATGCGCACGTGTTCCTCAGCTGGATATTCTACGCGTTCGTGCTGTTCACCGTCTACCGCGAGCTCATCTTCTTCACCACCACGAGACAGGCCTACATGCTGTCGCCCATCTACTCCACCCGTATCTCGGCGCGCACTGTGCTCTTCCAGACCGTTCCGTTGCACTACTTGAACGAGACCGCCCTCAAGAGGACCTTCGACAATGTCAAGCGCGTTTGGATTACAACCGACACCACCGAGCTGGATAAGCTGGTCAAGGAGCGTGACGAGATTCTGTTCAAACTGGAGGCTGCTGAGGTCAAGCTCATCACGCTCTCCGACAAGGCGCGTACCAAGGCGGGTGCTGAGGTCGCTAAGAGCGAGCCCAACTCTACGGCCTCTGGAGAGAGTGGAAGTGTTGCTGCCAATTGGTTGGACCGCTCCAAGAGGCCCATGCACCGTCTGAAGCCCCTCATCGGAGAGAAGGTTAGTTTAGTTGGCTTGTCTTGTCCGTGCGCAAGTAGGTTGTGCGCAGATCACTAATGACTTTGTTCCAGGTTGACACCATCGACTGGTGCCGTGGAAAACTCGCCGAGCTGAACCCCCAAATCCAAGACATTCAGGATACGCACACGTCCGGCGAGGCCAAGAAGCTCAGTTCCGTTTTCGTCGAATTCGCCAGTCAATCCGCTGCCCAGGTTGCTCTTCAGACGTTGGCTCACCACAAGCCCCTGCACATGTCTCCCCGCTACATTGGTCTTACCCCCGAGGAGATCATCTGGAGCAACATGAAGCTCCTTTGGTGGGAGCGCCTGGTCAAGTCTGCCGCTACCACCTCTTTCGTCGTTGCCCTCGTCATCTTTTGGTCCATTCCTGTCGCCATTGTCGGAGCCATCTCGCAGATCAACTATCTGACCACGAAGGTGCCCTTCCTGAGCTTCATCAACGACATTCCCCAGGCGGTTCTCGGTCTTATCACCGGTCTTTTGCCCGTGGTGATGCTAGCTGTGTTGATGGCCCTGTTGCCCATCATCCTCCGTATCATGGCTAGGATCTCGGGCTTGCCCTCTCTGTCACTGATTGAGCTCCGTGTCCAGAACAGCTACTTCCTGTTTCAAGTTATTCAGGTGTTCTTGGTCACCACAATGTCGTCGGCCGCTTCCGCAGCTATCCCTGCCATTATTGAGAACCCGGCCGCGGTCACTGGTCTGCTTTCGGACGCTCTGCCCAAGGCCTCTAACTTCTACATCTCCTTCATGATCCTCCAGGGTCTGTCGATCTCGGCAGGCGCCTTGGTTCAGATCGTCGGATTGATTCTGTACAAGGTGCTTGGAATGCTCTTGGACAACACTCCTCGCAAGATGTTCAATCGTTGGTCGAGTCTGGCTGGACTTGGCTGGGGCACTGTATTCCCGGTGTACACCAACCTATGCGTGATCTCTCTGTCCTACTCCATCATCGCACCCCTGGTCATGGGCTTCGCTACCGTCGGTTTCGGTCTCCTGTACTTCGCCTACAGGTACAACTTTTTCTTTGTGTACAACATCAACATCAACACCAACGGAATGGTGTACCCGAGGGCTCTGTACCAGACCCTTACCGGTGTCTACCTTGGCCAGCTCTGCTTGGTCGGTCTGTTTTCCGTCAACAAGATGCCCGGCCCGGTCATTCTCCAGATTATCTTCTTGATCTTCACTGTCCTGTTCCAGATGACGCTCAGCTCGGCCGTCCAGCCGCTCCTGAACTACCTCCCCAAGAACTTGCAGGTCGAGGAGGAGGCCCTGCTCTCTCTGGAGAGCGGCGTCGTTGGCACCTCCGTTGATGCCGATCGCGACGGTGTTGCGGACATGCCGTTGGACCCTGATGGTGACGGAGTCGACGGTATCAGCGAGGTTAAGCCCAGTGCTCTCAAGCGCTTCCTGAAACCCCAGCAGTACGAGAGCTACCAACACATGCGAAAGCGGATTCCCCAGGAGGCCCCCGCGGTCCATTACACGCCCGAGATGGAGAGAGACGCGTACTACAACCCGAGTATCACTACCGTGCCAACCACCATCTGGATCCCGCGCGATGCCGGTGGTGTTAGCAGACAGGAAGTGGTACACACCAGCGCCGTCAACCCCATCTCCGATCACGGCGCCATCGTGACGAACGGAAAGATCGAGCGACATGACGATGCTTTCCCTCCCGACTGGAAGGAGAACCCCCTGTGGTAATCGGATTACTGGTGGTAGTGCTCTGTTGAGCGTAATAGTTAATACCCCTTTCTTTTTCTCGTATTCGAATGAGTACTGGATGTGTTTTTTCTTCTTTCTTGTTCTTCTACTTCTAGAGTTAGTGTGGCGTACCAAGTAACCAAACCAGACCACTGCTCATTGATGTTTGCGTTTTTCCCATCATTACAGTAACAACTCTGTTTTCTTTTTTTCACTTTTCTTTCCTTTCTGTGGGCTGGGCTGGGCTGGGCGTAGGTGTTGGGTTGGTCGTTTGCGTAGTCTGTTGTGGTTCTCTGGTGGGATCGGAACCGAAGTACATAAGAGAATAATGACCTGGTGTTTTTGCAACTGAGGGTTTCGATGAGTACTGTTTATACTGGTGGCTAAGTGACGATGGTGTGCTGTGCTGTGAATGTGAATGATGTGACCTTGGGATTGTGTCTTGGGGTTTGGTCGAGGTGTCCGTGTGTGGACTGGTAGACTGGTGAGGTTCATACTTGGGTAGTAGGAGGCTGTAGGACTTGTCGGAGGGAGGTGGAGGTTGCCATGGTTGCGTGACTGGCCACGGCCTACTCTACAGGTTGTTTCTTTGGCGTTTGAAGACGATTTTATTTTGTTTGATCATTGATTACTTGCGACATCTATTAAATAGTACTATAGAATATGGTAATATACTTCTTATATATAGTAAATACCGCTCTCTCACCTACTGTCCGGGCCCAACGAGTCAGACGGCTGCTTATATCCCTCGCGCTCTCAGCCCTCCGCACTGGCAACGTCCGAAGGCGATGACTACTATAGCCATGGTCTGCGGACGCCGGACAGACAGGCGGACGGACGCATAAGGCGAGTGATCAGCGATGACATGTCCGACCTCAACAGCGTATTCCTTACGCCGAGTGACGCACGACGCCGAGTGACGCACGATGCCGCGAGCTCCCAACTCTTGCGCTCCCAACGCTTGCGAACCCTCGCGAACCCTCGGCGGAGAAGGGTGGCAGGGTGCAGTTTGTTTTACGGATGCGGGAGGCCCGGGAATTCCGCATCATTGTGGGAGGCTGGAGGCTGCAGATGGCCGCAGACAGTGGGTGGGTAAAGGCGGAGCTTTGGGGGTTGTGGACTGCTGTGCACAGTGGGAGGCTGGAGGGCGAGGCGGCAGCGGATGGGGTGCGGTCGGCAGTCGGTCGGGCTGGCTGGATAAGGTCGGAGGCGGACTTGCGACTGCTGATTGGTCAAATTATCATAATGGTATATAAACGTAAGATGGACACTGAAATACAACAACCCTCTGTGGTGTAGTTGGTATCACACCGGACTGTAATTGCAATGTTGTCATCCGTTGGTCACCAGTTCGACTCTGGTCGGAGGGACTTCCTTTTGCTAGCCCCCACTTTGGCTGGGTGGGATGCGCTTTTTAGCATGCATCTCATGAGGCTGATAGTGATGGGTATGCTTTGGTGTCTCAGCCACAATAGCTAGCGACACTCCAAGTTCACAGGCATGGGAATCTGCAGATATCCGTGACTGGATAATATTATACACAAATAGAAGCTTCCATCATGCCAATGCCAATCTCCAAACCTCGAAGAGAGCATCAGGAAATCAAAAGAAACACGCAAATCAGAGCAGAGCAGGGCACAGGTATAGAATGCGGAAAAGAAAGAGATCGAACCGAGAAAAAATCTACATTCCATCATGTCGTCGTGACCCGTCACCGTCCCATTACTAGTGTCTAGTTAGCACGGGGAGAATACGTTGGGAAAAGGGGGATGTGGGATACGTACCAAAAAGTAATCCGCGACCGGCTTCTTGGCCGGCATTCCTCGGGAGTCTTGCGGCGCTGCTTCGAACACGCGGTATCGCCGGCCAGGCCCCGCCTTGACTGATATGCCGCCGCCGCCGATACCACCCACCGTGCCGCCTCCTCGCTCACCGCTACTGCGCAGCACGGGCCCGTTCTCTTCGTTCAGCTCCAGTATCGCGGCTACGTTGCCGCAGCGGTAGCAGTAGTTGGGCGCCGACCACACCGTTACTATCGACGAATCGAACATCTCCTTGAAGCCCTCCATGACCAGTTGATGCGCACGAGCGATCAATGAAAGGTTGTTGGCATGGTTAAAGTGTTTCACGATATCCGCGCCGAAAAGGAAGCCCGCACCACGAGGAGACAGTCCCCAGCCGTCGATATCGTCTGGATCGGACCATAGCAAATCACACATCGCACCTTCGTGTGGCACTTCCTGTTTGCGATCTAACAGTCTGATCGAGTCGACGCTGGCAATCACGGGCGACAGGCCACCGTGGACACAGAGAATTGCACCGCCGGAGTTCTGTTGCGGTGCCTGTGCCATCTCCCTTGCCGCCTCCGCGTTCACCAAACTGGGACCATTCCGCCGGAGTCGCGTCACGTCGCCATTCGTCTGCACAATCTCCTGTTCACACTCGGTGTCGCCTGAGCCGACGGCTGGGCCGGCACCGATCACCAATGCACCGAGCGCTAGGTAGTCGAACACCTCGCAGCAATACCGCCACACGTTTGCGGAGCCGTACTTGCGCATGCACTCGTCGTAGAATCCGTAGACGGTAGTGATTTGCCGCGACTCGTGGTTGCCGCGAATGAGGGTGATGCGATCGGGGTACCGCACCTTGAGACTGAGGAGGAGGAGAAACGATTCGAGAGAGTAGAACCCGCGGTCCACGAAGTCGCCCATGAACAGGTAGTTTGTGTCCGGCACGTCGCCACCAACGCGAAACAGCTCCATCAGGTCGTGGAATTGCCCGTGGATGTCGCCGCAGATGGTCACGGGGGCGTCGACAATCTGGACATTGGATTCTTCGATGAGGAGCTCGCGCGCCTTGTAGCATAGCTGCCGAACGTCGGCTTCGGGAATGGGTTTGCATGCGCGTAGAAGCGAAATGTAGCTGGATGTAAGACGCGTCAGTTATGGATGTTTGGCGGGGTTGACCCAGGTAGTGAGTTGACCTCTTTCGTTTCCGAAAGGCTTGGGGAAGGATGATTACCGATCGAGGTCGCTCATGGCGAATGAGACTTGCGGAGCCTGAAAGGTTTGTGGGGTAGGTGACAAGAGGGCGGAGTTCGGGAAGATGAGCGTGAAACTTCTCAGCGAAGAGTAGCAGCTGCTATCGACGTGGTGGGAGATGGCAGAGTGGAGGTGTTGTAGCGTTGGTTGGGAATTTGAAAGTAGTGGCGGTGGGTGATAAGTGCAAGTGGGGATGGCGTCGCGTTTCAGAACACAAATCCTTGCATACGATAACAATAGCTAACTAGACGCGGAGGGCGGGGCAACTAAGCATTCAAGAGCCGCACCCTTAAGGAAACGACCTACCTCATGTTAACCATCACCATCAAATCACGAACAGCAATCGGACTACACACGAACGAACGTCATAGAACCCGAAGCCGACTTACAGTAATATGGATTCCACTGGAGAAGATACCGATGTCAAGCTCTACAAGGCGTCGGGAGGTGTCTTTGACGACTTCCTGGCATCTCTTCCAGAAGCTCTCCACGACGAGACTGGATCACTGCGACGAATGTGCGACAAGAAGCAAGTCGAGAGACTGGTCAACCTGGTGCAACCTATTTGCCTTCTTTACTTTGCTCCTCACCTGGTTTCGCTCTCTAATCCACCAACTCTTTTAGCTAGAACCCTTCCAAGAATCCCCCCAACTCCTCGATCCTCATTTGCCGCAGTTCCTGGCTCCTCTCACGACTGCCTTCACAACCTACATCGCGGAAAGCTCGCAGAGCAATGGCGATCTGCCACCACGCGGCTACTATACCCTTCCGGTCGCCATCTCGCGCTTGCTCTACACTCTCGCCAAGATCCGCGGCCCCAAGATCATATCGCGCTTCTTGCCCAACCAGCCCCATCTGCTCGATCCTGTAGCTACCCTGTTCGATAATCCGTCCACCGGTGTCAAGGTCTCGTGGGAACTACGATACATCCTGCTCCTATGGCTGAGCCATCTCCTGCTGGCACCGTTCGATCTGAGCACCATCTCGACCGACCCGCCTGCGGGCGTCACCCATGACCTGTCCATTCTCGACGGCACCGCGTTGAGCATTACCACTCTTCCTCACTTATCGCAACGGCTACTGGTCCTGGGAATATCGTATCTGTCATCGCCAGGCAACCGTGAGAGCGATGCAGCGGCACTGCTGTTGATCCGGATTTCGCTACGTCGGGACATGCGTAGCCTGGGGCTCCTGGATGCTATGGTGATCTGGGGAACGCAAGTTATGGCGACAGTTGATACTATGGCACACGCACGGACATTGTTTCTCAAGACGGGAGTGCTCGCCGTGCTAGCAGGCTTACTCGCACAGGGCGATTCGGCTGTGGTGGAGAAATTTTGCCCTACGATTTTCGACCTGGTGACAACACTACAGGACGACGAACGCGAGGAGTGGCAGTCGGCTGGTGTGCGGAGACTAGGCATGAAGATCTACCGATGGGTAGCGTCACTGACCCTGGCACATCCGACAGAGAAGGACTACATAGAGGATATCATTGAAAGACTGTTGAATGCGCTTGGCGACCGTGATACAGCGGTGCGGTTCGGAGCATCTAAATCACTAGCGGTGGTGGCGAGAAAGTTGGATCCGGATATGGCGGGTGAAGTGCTGGAGGCAGTCATGAGTGTGTACGAGGAGGACGTCTTTCTCGAGCAGGGAAGAAAAGTCTTTTCGGCTGTTTCACCAGAGAAGTGGCATGGCGCGACATTGACACTTGCAACTTTTCTTCGCCAGCGCGCGGTGAGATCGACCGACGTTATGACGAGAGTGGTTGAGTGTATGATTCAGGCTCTGTCGTTTGAGCAGCGACGGTCAACTTTCGCCGTCGGCGGAAACGTGCGTGATGCGGCGTGCTATGCGGTGTGGAGTCTGGCGAGATGTTATACCACCGATGAACTACAGGCTGCCGGCGACATTGTAGTTCCGGCGACAGAATTGAAGGAAGGTCGTCACATCATCCAAATTCTTGCCACGCAACTGGTGGTGGCCGGTTGTCTTGATCCTTTGGGGAACGTGCGGCGTGCTTCATCCGCCGCACTGCAAGAGATAGTGGGGCGTCACTCCGGGTGTGTCATAGAGGGCATATCATTGGTGCAAGCGGTTGACTACAATGCCGTCGCCTTAAGACAACGTTCAGTAATCAGCGTTGCAAGCTCTTCAGTAAAGCTGGACCTGGACTACTGGAAGAGCATCGTCCTGGGACTGGTCGGCGGCTGGCGTGGGATAGGGGGTAGTGACGATGATGGACGGCGACTGGCGGCAGTGAGCTTGGGCAACATGGTACGCATTACGTATCCCACAGACACCGCAACGAGTGTCGGCGAGCGAGCAGAGTTCATCTTGCAAGCAGTCGTTCGACGAACCATAACGGAGGGCTTGAAACACATCGAGATTTACCACGGCTGTCTGCTTGCCCTGGCCGAAGTTATTGACCGACTGGATCCTGGCATGTTGAAGGAGAGCGACGTAAACGCACTCCAGCACAACGTTTTTGCCAAACTGAAAGGAAACGAGTTCATCAATCCTGTTCTTCGTCCCGAATTGACGGCCGAGGCTGCCTGTCGCCTTGTCAGATCACTTTGTCTGGCCACACCAACGCAGATCACGCCCTTGACCAGCACATGGCGGCTGTGGACTGCAATCCTCGAAACCTCGTTAGATCGCATGGAAGATGCTGTGCTCGACCAAGCCGTTCCCGCAGCCGACGCACTGCTCGACAAGATCTCGGCTGATAATCGGCAACGACTTGTCGAGAGCTGGTGTGTCAAGGTGGCGGATCCCTCGTACCACCGGCGAGGGCATATTCTGGCGCTCGGGCACGTGGTCCGTTCTATGTCAGGGGCCGATGCAGAAAAGGTGACCGACGTCCTCATCGCTGCCGCCCGTCGCACAGACGATGTGGAAATTCGCGTCGCTGGAATGAAGGCTCTTGGTTCCGGCGTCACCTTTGTTCCCATGGTGATCGAAGCCATCCTCAATTCTCTAGATGATTATGCCGTCGACGCCCGAGGCGATGTCGGATCATGGGTCCGCTCCGAAGCTGTTTCTGCGACGCTTTCACTGTTTACCCACAGCAACATCTCCATGTCAGATGATACCAAATGGGCTTTCCTAAGTAAAATTTCTCGCCTCGCGGTGGAGAAGCTGGACCGTCTCCGCCTCCGTGCCGCTGAAGTGTTTCTTAGCATAAGTGGTGCCTTCCCATCCATAAGTCCTATCAGCCCAGAAGTACTCCAGGTCCCGACAACCGAATACTTCATCCTCTTCCTTCCACTCCTCAGCCATCCACAAGTCCGTGAGTTACTGGTCGAGGGCTTAATCACCTCCGCCGGGGCCGGCAGCGACTCCGTCCTAAAAGCCTCGCGAATTGCTCTGCTACAGCACCTCGCTTCCTCCCCTTCCTCCCGCGACGACTTCGCCACCGCCCTTATCTCAGTCTTCCGCCGGGCAGTGGAAAACCCGCAAGACCGCATCACAATCCCACTTATGGATGTAGCCAGCCTTCTGATTGACATGTCACTGCTCCCGCTCGCCGACATCGGAAAACGTCTTTTCATTCTGACACAGAAAGCGCACTTCCGCACCACCAGCGTGCCAAAGTTAGCTGCCGCCGTCCGTGTCTACGGCTCCCTGGCGTTGGCCGCGACCGCCGAGCCATGGCATGGAGACGTGGTGACAAAGCTAGTGGCAATGCTGCTGCACCCGTTTCCCCGCGTCAGGATGGATGCAAGTGCTATGGTGTATCTAGTTGCCGCCGAGGGTGGGAGTGATGTGGCGGCGGGAATGGAGAAGGTGGACTGGGGGAGGAGTACGAAGGAATTGGCCGGGGTTGTGAAGACGGTGAAGGCGGGCCTTTGTTGATTCGATATAGAACGTAGAATGGTCGTTTTAAAGGCGAATAGATGGGGGGTTAGATGTGATAGTTGAAGTTTTTTCTGGGGGTCCTGGAGTGTGTGATGGAGCTGTCAACGACGTGCCTAGGTACCTGGTTAAATCGTGATTTGGTGTTTTCATGCCCAGACTCGGACCGAATAGTTAGAAGACTGAGGCCGCCCGACCACGTCCCTGTTACTTTTTGGGTCGGTCCCGAGCATGTCGGAGCCAGTCCTTAGCGGCTGGAGCGGCTACCGCAGGAGCTGAGGATATGCGGATGCTAGTGCCAGACAGCTGTCTTTCGGTCCGGGATGGTAGCGCCTGCTTTGGTGGTGAATCCTCGGCTGGGGCGGGACGGCCCGAGGACGAGCGGTTGAGTACTTCACTCATGATCATTGAGACGGAAGTCACGTGGTAGTCTCCCCCGAGACGATAAATCCATCCTGCTGGGATCAGGATCTTTGAATGCAGGTTCCCGCAATTCGGATCTCGAGACGCCACATCGTCTTGCCTTGCTCGGTGGGCTGATTGTTTGCACAACCAGAAGAGCCCCTCATGTGCCACCTGCCTAAACGGGAGGCGTTTACTCTGCATCTAGTCATCTGCAGGAAGGCTCCATACATACGTTAGGCCTACAGTTTCAATTACTGACGCGGTCTCGCGAACACATCACCTCGGTGCTCACCAACGTCGACTTCATATGGGGATGCCGAATTTGAACACCGTCTTTGTGGTGCTGCTGCTACTCTTCGCAGCCCTCACATGGGCGCAAAACGAGACGTCGACGCCGGCGGAAGAAGAGGCGCAGGGAGGGTTCGCAGGCGATGACTTCAGCAATAAGTATGTGGGCAGACGGCGAACGCGCAATCGAAGCCCCGAGTTGGAGGTCGCAAGGCTGACGGTATAAAACAAAAGCCTTTTCAGCGATATCGCACCGCTCCTGGCGCTTTTCGGAGAACGATTCACGGTCTCGTTTATGTCCGAGAGCCAGGGATGGCTCGACCATATCGTGTTCGCCAGTAAGATCGTCCTTCCAAACTTTTAGCCCAGTGGGGTCTGAGATGTGACAAGTGGTGCCGTTGGGAATCATCACGGCGGTGGTGGGAGCGCTGCGGATCGGCGGTCCTGCTTGGCTTCGCGCTATCATCGGACGTGCCCGCGAGAATAGGGCTTCGGCAGAAGTCGAGTTGATGTCTTCAACGTCTGCAGAGTGAGTTCTTGTGTTGATACCTATGTGGGAACTTCATCCGGAAAGCTTACCGACAACGAATGGTAGGGTTTGCGAGCTCTGGAATGGTATGGCGATTGTCAGAACGCTGGGAAAACCCGAGATCAAGGAGATTGTTTACCTGGAAAAACTCGATGACGGGGAATCGACCTTTGGGCTCTATTCGACGCCCGTGGCGGATAAGGAAGGAATCCTGAAATGTGAAGGTGAGTTATTGATCGAATACCTTCGGCTATTTTGGCAATTTTGTTTACCGGTTCTTTTAGCTGTCGATGACCCTCTCGTAATGTGGTGTAAAGCTTTACTTAGTGGTGTACTAGCCGTAATTTGCGGCGTCCGTGGTACGTATAGGCGATCCTGATCCATAACTTATGCTTTATCCTAACGTATTGGAAAGATTTATTCCTGTTCCCGGCCCACAGTCTTCGGCATACCAAGCCTGTACGAGACGTGGAAAACGGCGGCGTATTTCCACCTAACAGCGGTGCAATTCCGTCCGCGGGCGTCTCGAAGGAACCTACCGTTGACACACAGCCAATCGCGAAGAGTAATGTGGTCAAGAATCGCCAGCAGCCGGGCGAGGAGTCAGCACCCAACATATCTCTGAACGTTCACGCTCACGGCGGTAGTAAGGTCCTTGACCTTGTTTTTGTTGCAGTTGTGGGTATCGTGATGCAATTTGGTTTCTTGGTCTTTGTCGGAGCTGGCGTTTATCATCCAACCTGGAAAAACAACTTTCTGAAAGAGGGGCAGCCGGTAGCATCATACGCATACCCACTCCTGGCAATTGGGACGATTTTCATTGTGCTGGGCATGATGATTTGCAGCGCTATCGTTGAGCGGAGCACCGAGGAAAAGCGGTGGGTGGCTGGTTCGAAGTACCTCGACGACGTGCCTCCAACGTTGGGCAGACGCTCAACTTGGGCAAGTATAAAAGGGAGAACCCCGGGTTCCAATAGTGCCCGCGCACCTGAGCTTGGGGCCCGAGTCCTCTGGTTGCAAAAAAATCACACAGTCGGTGACCAGCTTTTCGATTCGTTCGTGATGTTTGCTCAGGGGAAGCGGGAATCTGTTTTGATGTCCCACAGACGTGGAATGGAGGGGAGTGAAACAGATGTGAACGCCCGCAGGTCTAGATCAAAGAAAGGACGGAGGGCCTTATGGAAGACGCTTGCCTCTAGTTTCGAGGAAGGCTTCACCTTGCTTGGAACGTTTCTATCTCTTGCTGGTTTTGTGCTTCAGTTTACAGGTGCAGCGATCCCACAGGCCCCCGGGGTTTATCTTGACTAAATTTAATGTAGGTCTACGCGCGCTTAATTGGACGGCATCAATTGCACAGCTCGTGGCAATTGCTATCATGACGAGTTTGAGAGCCTGGTTGCGTCGAGGAATGATCACACCGCCGGTAACTGCCAGAGTTCGTAGTGCGGGACACGAAATGGATTGGCTTGCTTTGGAAATCGCATCTGAGCCAAATTTCTGGAACAAATACAGCGATAGAGATGATGCGTACCTAGAAGATGCAGACTCGAGTGATCCTGGAGACGCACTAGAGACGGAACCCTCGGAAATCATGGCAAAAAGATTCTCAATATGCACCGGCACTAGCAACTTCGCCTCACGAGGACTTTGGTCGCATGGGCCGACTCTGCCAACATCTGCGGGCCAGCATGCAATGAGGGTTCGACAACGGTTGGGTAGTCTCACAAAGTGGGTTGGTCTAGCATCCAAGCCGGCAGTTGCAGTTGCCGAGGCGATTGAGAGTGTGATGAATGAATTCTTTGATCAGCCATCCGAAATGGGGGAGCCGCCAAGGCTTATTTGGTCTCTAAAGGTCAAAACCAGCTTCACCGAAGAGGATGAATGGATCAATTTCACCGTGAAGTACGATGGTCATGATCAGAAGTGGATTGCCGATGCGACAGAGATAGAAGCGGCCCTGTCCCTTTGGATCTATGATATTCAAGAAATCGAGCGCCTCAAAGCTGAAGATGAAGGTATAGAGAAGACCGGTGATTGGTTGCGGGAGGGAAATACAGCGGTACGCCGAAAGTCAACACGAGTATTGGGCATCAAGGATGGGCCCCTTGAAACCGATCTGCGTTGGTGGTTGCAAGACACCATCCATCCAAGAGGCACTTATGCCGAAGCGGATTTAGAGGTGCCTCCGAGTACATTGGACCCGCTTGAGTACTACCAAGTCCCGGAGGATGACGGTCGGATTTGTGTCGGGTTTACAGGTCTCCATCAAAATGGACGGACAGGTGAGCCCAGATTTTCGACTCGTGGGGGTGAATATAACTTACTTGGTGTCATCTAGATCAATCTGATTCTTCCCAAACGCTTGCCGTCACCTCGGAGGCCCCATTAGAGAAACTCCTTGCCCAACACTTGTTTTCCGGTTTCATGTGGGCGATTGCCGATTCTGTGCCTGACTCCAAATTGAGGGATCTCCAAACAACAGTGGATGTCGTCAACCTATCCGAGGAGGATCCAATGTCGTCGGCAAGCTTTAGGAACGACGATCTTTCCAGACTTCTGGATAGCATCGATAATCACACCCTTGGGACTGTGCTGGATTTGTTGATGTGCATTGTTCCTCCTCTCAGCCATGCCAGAAAGCTCCCAGACGAGGCATTGGTCTCTTTCGTACGAAAGAAAACATACCATCTTGAAGTTCTTGGTCAATGGGATAAAGTTATTCCACTTTATGTTTCCCTTCTGGACATCTGTGTTAGATTCGGCGAAGATAGCACCATTTGTCAGAAGGCAACCCTTGCCGCGGTAGAGGTATATAGAAATATCAGCAGTACATGCCGCCTTTGGGAGAGACAATACCGGGAAGGAATGGCGGTAGATGGACTCAGAAACCAGCGGGACACGTTACAACAAAGATTGAAGGTAGTGGATGGCACCCTAATGTTCGCTTTCGCCCGATTCTTTTCCTCTAAGCAGGGTCCACCAGCAAAATTCGACGAACTTAAGCCACAGCACTGGAAGATCGACAAAACGAAGATTGACCCCCGCGAAATCCACGAATTCTTCGGGTACTCACCATTCTTCAAGGACTTGCGCTCCGTTTCGGTTGGCCATGTTGAGGAGTTTGTAAAGCAAATACGGCCCAACTTGGACCAAAGAGACATATATGGAAGGTCGTTCCTTCATTACGCCGTGATCCAGGGGACGGAGCAAATGGTCAGAGGGGTCATATCTGCCGGCCTGACGCCACAAGTGGAAGACATTGCTGGTTTTACGCCTCTGCACTACGCCGCATTGGAGGGTTCTGGAACGTCCACCTCCATACTGCTTGAGTACGTAGCCGATGTCGACCACAGAGCCCGAGATGGAACTTCACCGCTTCATTTGGCCGCAAACGAGAAAGTGGCTACACAACTCATTCAGAGAGGAGCCAATGTCGAACTCCAAGACAACATGCGAAGAGTTCCCTTACACTATGCCGCCTTCATGGGCCGTGAGAAAGTGGTTAAGCTTCTGATTGAGAATCGCGCGTTTCTGAACGTGCGTGACGATTACGGCAGGACGGCCCTCCATCTGGCGATGATTTCGGGTAACGAGGGGACCATGATGGCTTTGCTCCGCAGCGTCTCTGTCACAGAAGCTTTGGATATTGTCGACCGCGACGGAAGAAACTTCTTGCATCTCGTGGCCATTCAAGGCCTTGGAAAAAAGGCTCTATGGCTAGGGGAGCAACTCAAATCTGGCTTAGGTTCCCCCAAGCAGCCAGGGTTACTTTCGGCCCAATCCGTCCAGCCAAAAACATCCCCCGACCATCCAAGCTCGTCTCCCGACAATTCGGAACAACTGAAGTCCGCCATAAGCACGAGGGACCGCGATGGAAGAACACCGCTACACTTAGCCGTACTGAAGGGCCACAAGGAGCTGGTAAAGATGTTCTTGGAGTGGGGTGCTGATCCGAACGCGAAAGACAGCTCGCAAGGCACTGCAATCCATTTTGCTGCCCACTATGATCGCCATGAAATGATCGGGCTGCTGGTTGACAAAGGTGGTAAGATTGAAGAGCGGTACAAAGGCACTGCTCTAGGCAAGGACCACCATGTAAAGGAGAGAGCAACTATCAACGACAGCAGCCGTGAGGCTACAGCCACGCAGATGCTGTCAGACCACACATACGGCGAGGAAGAGGAAGGATCGACCCCGCTTCTCATCGCCGCTGCGAGAGGCAACACCGGTACCATGCGAGCCCTTTTGAAACATCACGCAAATCTCTCGGCGTCGGATGACAAATGGTCAGCATTGGCCTTTGCATGTTCTTTCGGTCATGTGGAAGCAGTGAAGTTCTTGCTGGAGCAGGGAATCGAAGTCGACAGTCGCGATCTCATGCGCGATACACCACTCCATAACGCCGCGAGCGGGGGTCATGATTCGGTGATACGACTGCTACTGGAGAAGGGCGCAGAAATCCAGGCAGGAAACAATGGTTTGGAAACTCCGCTGCATATGGCCTGTCTACACGCGAAGGAAGTATCAACAGTTCGGATATTACTGGAGCACGGTGCCGACCCAAACGCACATTCCTTGGGAACTCAGTGCACCACACCTCTCCACATTGCTGCCCAAAACGATAGCACCGAGATCGTACGGCTCCTGTTGGAAAAAGGCGCCGATCCTAACGCGAAGACGGAAATGATTGGATGGGATGCTCTGAGGCTAGCACAATCGGTCGAGGTTTGCGAAATCCTAATAGTAGCCGGTGCCGACGTGAAGGCTATCTCGAACAGTGGCTTTACTCAGCTGGCTCAATCCGCCGGCAACCTCGGAAAAACAAAGCTTCTAGCGGACCATGGCGTTGACTTCACGCGTACCGGGGGCCCCGGCAATAAAGGCCCCATCAGCTGGGCGGTTGCCGCGAACGACTTCTACATGGCTCGGCTCGCGATCGAGGCAGGCGATGACATCAATCGAAAAGACACCGAGACCGGGGGCACGCCTCTTCATGCTGCTGTCCAACGAAAGTTGTTTGGTATGATCAAGTTTTTGATCAAGAATGGGGCCGATAAGAACGTGAAGAATGACAACGGCGAAACGCCTTGGGACTTGATCCGCACCGCCGTTTTTCTGGGCAAGCATGGCTGGTCTGATGATATCATCCGACTATTGCGGTAGAAGGTTTTTGGTATGTCTTCCTCATGATCGCTTTATAGGTTGTGATGCGGCCAAGACTCTTACGAAAAACCAGGTGGTAGGAGCTTTGCAGGGCGAGGTTTCATGGGGGGTTTTTGGTTCGTGAACGTGAGGGTGTATACGGTAATGGGGTGTATACGGGACTATGTACGCAATATCTGGGACTTAAGCGTTTGGTTAATTTGGATAGGGAAGATGGCGTGGATACAGATACAGGTTGATTGATGGTAACTGTCTATGGTTCAAGTGCTTGTATATACGAAATATGTACATACAAAATGACGCAAACAAAAACAACCATCATAAGAAGCCTAAGTACCGCTTCCGTACCACTCCTCCAACTTCTTCCAAAGCTTCGGCACCTCGACTATCCCAGCTAGCGAGGAAATACACTGGCGCAGCTGCGATTCCAGCCCGGACATGATGATGCGTCTCGCCAGCGCGCGGCGGTACGACAACTCGCGGTCGCGGTCGCGGGCGGCGATGATAGTACCAGTAGAGTCTCGCGGCACTGACTCGGGCCCGAACACGACGTCGTAGACGCCGTAGTGCAGCAGCAAGCCACTCATATTGGTTACCCAGGTCTGGTAATTGCTGCCGTCGCTGAGGAGCTGGAATTCTGGGGCCATGTATGCGAAGTTGTTCGGGAGGAGGGATCGGGAGGGGGTCAGCGGCGTGATAGCGGGGGGTCTCGTCATGGTGCTGTGGTCAGAAGGGTATTTGCTTGTGTATGTGTATGTGTATGTGTATGTGTAGTTTTTCACTCGTCTGGGTGTGGATCGCTTGGTAGATACTTGGGTGGGGAGAGGAGGGGTGATGGAGAGAAGGTCGCTATATGTTAGCGGTTTGCGAGGATTCAAGTGATGTAGTGACGACGTGGATTGAATCTGAATCTGAATCGAACGGGACCTCTGCCTCTCCCTTTGCCTCTGCCTCTGCGGCGAACATGGAATGGATGGAGATTTGGAACGTTTGGTTGCTTTTGACGGGGAATATGGCGAGGGTATAGATACAGGTTGATTGACGGCAACTATCTATGGTTCAAGTGCTTGTATATAAATGACGCAAAAAAACAACAACCATCACAAGAAGCCTAAGTACCGTCTCCAAACCACTCTTCCAACTTCCCCCAAAGCTTCGGCACCTCGACTATCCCAGCCAGCGAGGAAATACACCGACGCAGTTGCAGTTCCAGCCCGGACATGATTATGCGTCTCGCCAGCGCGCGGCGGTACGACAGCTCGCGGTCGCCAGTACTAGTAGTATCTCTCGGCGCCGACTCGGACCCGGACCCGAAAACAACGTCGTAGACGCCGTAGTGCAGCAGCAACGCGCGTATATCGATTTCCCACATGCGGTAGTTGCTGCCGTCGCTGAGGAGCTGCATTTCTGGGGCCGTGAGGGCGAAGTTGTCCGGGAGCAGGGAGCGGGAGGGGAGCGGCGGCGGCGTGATAGCGCGGTATTTCGTCATGGTGCTGTGGTCAGTTGGGTACTTGCTTGTGTATGTGTATGTGTAGTTTGTCACTCGTCTGGGTGTGGGTCTGTTGGTAAATACTTGGGTGGGGGTGAAAGGGTGAAGGGAGAAGGTCGCTATATTATGAGGGTTTCCGAGGATTCAAGTGAAGCAGCGACGGCGAGGATTGAATCTAAATCGAACGGCTCTGGACCGAACGGGATCTCTGCCTGTGCCTCTGCGGCGAACATGGAATGGATGGATGGATGCCGGTCAAATTGAATGAGCATCGATATCGAGTTGGCCACGCATGTGGACTACCACGACATCTGGAAGTATTTTTGCCCATATGTGCACGAGTCGGAGAAGATGCCGATCGTCTTTGTACATACGGTGCGGCACCGTAAACTGGACCCGCCCGTGATGGAGCACCGTATATACGGCATGCCGTCGAGAGCTACGTGATTTGCCTAGACGTCATGCCTGATTCCCTGCCGTGAGTCGTGACACTGCATGCAACGTTGTTTGACATGTGTTTCTCAAAAGGCTACACATGCGCAGGTCCGAACCTTAATTCCGCCATGCCACGCCGTCATGCCACGCCGCCATGCCGCAAAGTTACATACAGACCAAGTCCGAGCACGTGACATGGTCTTGCCAAGCCTCACAACAAACCTCCATCACGTGCCCTTAGCCGCCGCTGGAGCCACACACCACGCCACACCCGACAATCGTAGCAATGAGTTGACATGTACCGGGGCCATGGCCAGGGACCTGATAATGATCAGCGGAACTCCTACATCGGATTCAAAGAGTTGTAGGGGCTAAAAGTAAGGTTTGAGGTAGTGGTGGGAGGGCTGTTTGGAAGGAGAGAGGAGCAAAAACATTGTTCGAAATTGGACATCTGGGTGGAATGTGTAACTTCTGTCACTATTGCAACTAGCATGATGGAATATAGCCTTTAATAGCATGCAAAGAGAAATTCCATCTACCAAGAATCCCAGTCCGTGGTGTGGTTAGTGGGAACGGAGGGGCAAAGAGTGACCGTTTATGAGGCCATTTTGGCACTCAGCGGTGCTATATGATCGAAGGGATACATGTTATGTATCCCCTGTGTCGTGCTTTTTAGAGAATGCTGGGCGGCTATATGGAATCGTACTGCGCATCGAGAAACAAGCGCTCCTGCTGAAACACAGGCTCGGAATTAACCATTTGCATTTCCGTGATCTCTCGTGGGGAGCTCGGGGAAAGAGTGGGGAGGATGCATAGAATCTCCTTCCACTCTATATCCGTTCGCAAAGATTACGAAGACTGCCCGGTTACTATCTCAGGTACAAGCCGGTAGGTATCTCAGATCCAGACCATCGGGCTACAAAGACGGCGGTCGAAAGGTGGAGATCGGGTGCTCCCCACTTCTGAGACAGGGATGGGACGACTTTCGGCCCCGCAGTTCACAATTCGCAATCGGATGGTTTCCTCGGAAGATTTAGCTTGCGCTCCAAGCAGAATAAGTATAGTAGTACTGTTCCGGTAAACTACTAATGATATATCTATACCCAGGCGACGAACGCCTCCAGGGAGCAGTAGTCGGTGGTTTATTTGGTAGGCTGCAGCATCTCTCCACCGGCAAACATCCTTTTTATTATAGCAGAGCGCATTGCATCTCTACATCTCCCCCCCTCACCAAATAGCAACTCACTCTAATTTGTGCCACCAAATAAACTACCGGCTACTGCTCCCTGGAGGAGTTCGTCGCCTGGGTATATATCATTGGTAGTTTACCGGAACAGTACTACGGTGCTACATAGGTGGAGGGCATCCTGTCTGTATGTACCATCACTCTCTTGCATGACCCCTTACGCCTCGATTACGCGACAGCTGCACATCTGACCTATTGATATGATCTACATACACAGGTCGCAAGAAATTACTGATTTCATAAACTAAAAAAATGCACATCGGACTGAAGCTTGTCGAAAATCATGCTTTAAAATCGTCAATCGCATCTTGATGAACACCCAAATGGTATCCTCGTCGTAAACAACCCTCCAGTTTCCCCATGAGATCATGGTTCCATACTAATCAGATCATCTCATGCAGAACTGCAGAAGTCGCTACTCTAGTTTTTCCGCCGCCTTTCCGTTCTCCCTGGTCGCATCCCAGCGCTTGAACTCGTGTTGAATGCTTCCTTCAACCAACGTCGCATAGACCTCTCCCGCCAATTCCTCGGGGAAGTCCACCTTGTTGGCCGTGGCCTTGACCTTGGAGATGACGTCGTCGACGCGCCACTGATCGCGAACCACATCGCGCGACGGCTTGATGCGCGCAGCCGCCTCAATGTACCGCATACGCTGGCCTAGAGATGCGCGGCGCGGTTAGCTCCCGACGGACAGTAGCAGGGGGTGCAAGAAGGGTCGACCAACCTAGAAGCGTGACGATCTGGCGGTCCAGGTCGTCGATGGCGGTGCGGACGTGCGCCATGGACGTCGCGTTCTCGGCGGAGGGGTAGGAAGCTCCGGTGCTTGAGGACATCTTGATCGCGGGAATGTCGGTGGAGGGAATGATGGTGTTGGTGCTGGGGCTCATGGTGCGGGAGTCGTTGAAGGATGTGGGTAGGAGTTCTGATGGAATTCAGGTGTGGAGGATGCTCTATCAAGCGTGGAGTGGAGGGTCAAGAGGGAGCTTTTATCGTGCAGGAGGCATCAAACGTCGAGACTCGGGACGGCAAGTTGTGCGCTCCCCACAAACGCAAAGTTTAGACAAGCGGACCCCTGCAGATGGCGCCTAACCGCATGAAGCGTGAAGTATGCTAGCTGCACAAGCGGATTGTTGGATAATCCGGATGCATTCGTTCGTACATGAAGAATGCATTTTGCGTCTTTCATATGGTGAGTCTTCCGTGTCCCTGCGGCCCGGTTTCGGGCCTCACGAGAAGTCGGGACGTTAGGCGAAGCCAGTCTGATTTTGACCCGGCGCTAGTCGGAGCTGTTCCAACCCCACCGCTAGATATCACAAGCGCTGCTCGGGACGACAAGTACGGTACATGTGAGGCATGCACCCATCACAACGCCGGAAGCGAGACTGTTAGACGTCGTGTGCGATCGTCGATGACACACTGCGGTGTCACTATTAAAACGGTGTAACTTCCCTTTGTCTCCGACTCTCGAGTCTCCGCTCGTCTCCGCTTGTACATCCCGAAGCCAACAGGTAAACCTTATCTCCTTCCTTCATTCCGACACAACCCCGCTTTGTAGCTTCCCCGAAGCTCTCCTGGCTTGCACCTGTCTATCCATTCCTCCGACTCTCTGACCATCTGTTCTCAGTAGCAGTCGAGGTATTCCTGCAGGGTGCAAAAATTCCTCGGCCGAAGACGTTCGTCGGGAATAAAACATTGACATGTGAGGCGGATTATATTTGGATCGGAGCTCTCACGATTATAGCGATCCCACCAACCGCCGTATTACTATATGAGAGAACTGGGGCTCGGAGAAGTACTTTCAAATGCGCGGCAGCGCTACGGACAGAGGTGGGTTGTATGGTCCCCCGCACAGCACGAAGAACAGTGGGAGAAGGCCCACTTTGTCCTTAACCCTATAGAAGGTGATATATGGAGGTATGTCTAGTATACTACCGGTTCTTTGATCCCCGAGTTCCCAATGTCATAGCATTGTTTAATATTAGCCGTTTGGCTTGTGTATGGCTATTTGATCGCTTTCGACCGCTGTCGCGGTTGCTGCTGCGTGCGATCCCCGGAGCTGGAGTAGTGTGCATATCTGGTGACGGACGAGCGAACTTGTCACCGGAACCGGCTCAGGAATATAAAGGGTATTTAATGACGGATCTTGAGCCAGATGAGACTGCAGGGTTTGTGGCTGGTATGAGTTGCGGTGGCTGAAGGGATGTACATGTTCAAAAGTCGAATCACATGATATCACCCAGTCTCCCCATTGAATCGGCACATTTCCTGCTCATGGGTCCGGTAGAAACGCAATCAACTCGGACCTCATACTATGTATCATCATGGCCGCCTCCTGAAGTTTTAGATAAAACCCCTCACCCTCCCCGACAGGAATTACCGAACGCCAATTACCACTGCAACCCGTCGGATTGCCCATCATATATCGCTCTGCAAAGCCAACAAACAATGGCAGCCGAAAAGCAAGTCATTCCCACGGGGAATCTGAACTCCGATGCCGAGAATATACCACCTCCAACTAGCGACTGCTCGCAACAACCGGACTCATACCTCGACATAATCAACAGCCTGAACGAGACCATAATTGCACAAAAGATGGCAGCCGAAAAGCAAGAAATTCCCCCAGGGGATCTAAACTCCGATACGGAGAACATACCACCTCCACCCAGCGACTGCTCCCAAGTCCAACAACCGGCCTCATACCTCGACATAATCAACAACCTGAACGAGACCATAATTGCACAAAAAGAAGTGATCAGCTCTCTACGCGCTGCTTTAAAGGACCTCGAAGCACGCCACGATAGGTATGAAGCACTGATGAAGATAAAGTATCCAGAGGTGAGCGGGGCAGTGGTCGTAATGCGGAAGTGGTGGGAGGGAAAGAAGCGGAATCAGAAATACGTCTGGGACGAGGTGGTGGAGTGGGAAATGGGTAGCGAGCCGGAATCGTCAGTCGAATATACAGATACATAGGAGTAGTTGTAATGCAATACCACCGTTTCCTAAGTCATGATTATCGGTTCGAAGTCAATCCTCGGCCGGCTGTGCTCGCTTTCTGTTGCCTGTGGTGTAAACCTCATTTTCAAACTCCGCGTAACAGGACCCGTAGGAACGGCGAGTTATATCCTGCTGATGAAATATCTGCCATTCGAGTCGAACGGTTTCACACTCATGCTGGGCCCTGCTACGTACTCTTCCAATCCATCGGTCAACCTACGCCGTCGGCGGAAACAGACGAGTGAGCGATGCTGATTCCTATCGCCTTCATGCCACCAGGCATGATGTGCTTTCCTCGCCTGGAGCCCAGTAATGAATCAAAAACCTCGCCTCCTCGCATTGCAGCCAGGAAGGCGATGTTTTAGAGGAAACCCGAAGGAAAAAAAACTCGACCACGTTTGGGGCGTTATGTCAGTCCGCTGTGCTCTTGCCACTGCTATGTGCTTGCTCTTTACTCTTGCCACTGCTGTTGTGCTTTGCTCATGCCTGTGCTTGAAGAGAGAAGATGGAAGGAGAGGGGGTGAGGGGGTTTTATAGCTATCGCCGCCGGCTAGCTTGGAGGTTGGAACGTGGGTCTTGCCCTTTGAAGGGTCGTTTGCTAGCTAGTGAGCGTTTCTCTCGACCTTTGAAGAATAACCCTAGTTAGGGCTTCTTCTTCTCCCACGCACATTCTAATTACCTTCCTTCCTTCTCTTCCTCTTTCTCTTCCTCTTTCTCTTCCTCTTTCTCTTCTTCTTCCTCTTCCTCTTCCTCTTCCTCTTCCTCTTCCTCTTCCTCTTCCTCTTCCTCTTCCTCTTCCTCTTCCTCTTCCTCTTCCTCTTCCTCTTCCTCTTCCTCTTCCTCTTCCTCTTCCTCTTCCTCTTCCTCTTCCTCTTCCTCTTCCTTACTACCACCACCACACCAACACCACTCGGTAATCTCCTTTCTACAAAGAAAGGAACCACCCGACCAGCACCAGGACGACACTAACAGGACGACACCACCGGTGCGGATCGAAAAGAAGTACAACAACAATCGTCCATAATTCACATCATAGTTCTCAATACCTTGAATGTGACAACGTGGGCATGCAAACAAGAGGACGTTTGCGGTGGGAATCTGGGAGCCAACTGGACAACAACTTGCTCGGCGGATACTAAAAGATCAACAGCTTTTGTGGGGAGGGAGTGCGGACGAATGCGGGCTGCACAGAAGACAACAACCGGGATCACGTACCCGCGAATACGGCGGATCAACAAACCAGCAACTCGACTATCCGGCGGACACCAAACGAACTCCCGAATATCAATGGACGTATATCAAAAATGCATCCTTCCATCACACCTCAGTATTCAATACTGAGGTTGTGATGGAAGCGAGCGTATGCAGACATGCCGGCATTCGGGGGATCTTATGTAGTATGTAGTAGGATCGTGGATAGAAATTATTCAGCCAATGACGGGTCATAAACCGAATATTATACCCAGCTCGCTGTAATTGCTCTTCCCTCTTTGCTGGCGATTCCTCCAACACCGTCGATAATCGACCCACCTTCAGTTTTGCTGGTACTCCCGCTCACTGACGCTTGGACAGTAAATACTTGCAACTCCGGATCCCAAGATCACCTCGGAGCTAGTGGAACCTCTGTATGTTCGGACAAACACCATTAGTATTACTACCGTAAACAGCCTCGAGACTCTCCCGGAAATCCCCGTGTGCATCAGGTAGAGGCAGAGAGAAACGAAGAACGAAGAGTGTATACTCTAGTCGGTATCAATCCACATTGTCTTCCCTGCTTACCCCGCAAGCCACAGGCACACATTCCTCGATCCCAACCTTTGCCCAGAGCCCATAATGATCACTAACCCAGTTCCTGCCACCCTTCCTCACGCTCTGCTCTCCCATCGGTGGAGTATACTCTAATCCTACCCCAATCCTCCTTAGCTTCCTCACATTACCGCCCTCGATCTTATGATCCGCAAACCTCAGCTCCCCAAGAAACAAGACCTTATCCAGCCTGGTCGGTGGAAACCTTCCAGGCGGCTGATAGCCCCAAGTATGGCCCTCTTCCGCATCCCAGTCCACTTCTAGATCCCACACATCCCTCAGCCCCACCACCGCCGGGAGCATCTCATCATCCGGCCTGATGGCATTCATGTCCCCCGCCACAAGCACCCGACAAAGTTCTCGCGAACCCAGCCGTCGCTGAGCACCGCGGCGAGGGCCTGCGCTGTGACTTCTTGTAGGAGCAGGATGGTGTGGCTTAGCAGTGCGGGAAGGACGGTGGAGAGGTGCGAGAGTGCCGCTTTCGTGCGCTCCGCGGAGTGATCCGCCATGAAATCGATGTTCCAGGTGATTACGTCGATCTCCGTTGATGCTGCGAGCGGAGGGACTGCATCGGTGTTCTGTGAGAGCGGCCGCCAGATGCCGGAGGTCCGCGCTGGCCAGAAGGCGGTGGCGGGCTTGTCGTAGATGTAGGAAATTGTGGGCTCCGGAGTGGGCGTGGGTGGGCGGGTCACGGTGGTGGGCAGCACTAAAGTTACATCCAGATAAGCTTTCGTTATTAAAGTTCGAATGGCTCAGGTGGATAGAAATAAATTACCTGAACTCGACGGATCTGAACCACCCTAGTGGTGCGAAGAGTGTGAAGAAACGCCGAGTCGCCATGAATAATCCTAAGACCGGTACCGGTATTCCGGCGGAATTTCGTGGGATTTTTGAGTATCTACGGATTTGGTTGCGCACTAGGGCCGAGGGGATGATGCTTAGCTCGAGTCCTCGTAATTTGGGGAAGGCAGTAACTATTGCTGAATTGACTTTTCCTAGACTTGGTGTCCCTGGAATCGACAGCTGGGCGGGGTTAACGTGCACCACGCACATGGCCAGAATCGAAGAAATCACAAGAGTCACTCGGCTTTACAGGGGTACATTGTTCGTGTTACTAAGCAGAAATGACTGTCGCGCTCTGTTGTCTGCCACCACCATGAGAGGAGCGACATGTAGGATAACTAGAGTACATTAGGTATACAGATGTGGGATCAGACAAGATAAGTGTAAGGCTAGTCGGATCGGTGGGTCCGAACGGCGGTGATAGCCGGCCAAGCCAGATCGGGTGGCACTGAACGTTATGGCTCTTCGAAGTTCGAAGTTTAATAGGACCTCAACTTCTCTATCATCCTTCATTTTCGCCGTTTCGCTTCGCGAGCTACGTCACTTCTACGACGACAATAGGTATTTACAGAGGTACGCGTCCCCAACCATATGGGCTGTACTCTAGCTAATTGCCGATTCAACGGAAACAGTGGTCTCCTGCCCTGTCGTTGGGAAGCTCAACAATCATCACGAATGAAATTCCGAGGCTGACTGTAGTAGGTAGCTAGAACAAATGGTCGGTTGGTCGGATCGCATGTCCTTACATACTGCTCGCCTGGATATCGACCGATACGCTGACAAAGCTTCAGAGATAGTAATCACATATATCTCCAGCATTCGTATGTACCGTACGGGCCCCCGGAACTATCTTCTTCTTCTTCTTCTGGGGCTGTCGATTCGGTTTGCTTTTCTGCACTCAGCCTTCCACTAGAGCACGTCCTCATCTTTGGCAGGAACATACGGATGGCAGGTGGGGACGGGCTCCTAGCATAGAGTACCGTCTTCCGGGCTGTAACAGCTAGATGAACCTCCGGGTCGCGCTGGGCAAGTCACCATATGACTCCGCAGAGCCATCTCAAGTTTCAAACGACCAATAATCGCGGTTCGTTCGGTAGCAAGGTTCAAGATGGCGATGCAGGCAGATGGGATACTCGGCAGCTCGGTGGGCCCTGGGCAGAGTTCCCTCTGCCGACTGTAGCAGTCGTCAGCTACATATAACTATCACCTACGTACGTAGGGGCTCTGGCAAACCGTACAAGGCTGCGAGGGATTAATCGATGATCCCGCAGTCTTGCAAGTCTAATCAGGGATTATCCATCGTTATCGCATGGTTGACAACGTAAACGGTACTTCCCGCCCAATAACCACGGACGGGATCATGGAACGCGTTCGCCGCCGCATGTACGATCGACGTCGCGGTAGAGTTGCGCCGGCCGCTAGCCTGCTGCTGCTGATGCTCGTATTCCGGTGGATAAATATCCCACCCGTGACCCAAGTCTCCACCGTAACTAGCTGACAGACCACGGCAGCCTATCACATCCACTGCCGAAACTGGCTTCATTGGAAGTCACCCGCTCTTGATTTCTCAGCAAGGGAAAGTTTTTATTTAGTTCGGAGCTACCACTGGAACTATCCGCACGTCACTAGGAGTCACCCGCTAGGCGTTGATTTCTCAGCAAACGAGAAACTTCGTAGTTCGGGTCGGGATCTTGGAACGGACGTGGAGAGACTTTGTGCCGACTTTTCCTGTAGTGGCCCGGTTATGGGCAAGTGGTTACCTTTTTAGCGTGCACGTTGCGGGAAGCATGGGTAAGTCTTGGACATTGGCGTGTGATCGGCCACTGCGTTTATCTTTTCGGCAAGTCGGAGTGGCCGCTGTATGGCGGGGTACAGGTACTTAAGAGCATGGCTCCCTCGTGGGTGGGGAAAGGTACAGACAACATCTACACAAACACTTATACCCAGCTTCCACCAGACCTCAAATCCAACATGACAGTCACCACCGAATCCAATGGCAATGGCAAGTTCATCGCGTCTCTCCCCCACCTTCTCGGACTAACGGCTCCCCTCCAGGCCAAACCGCCGCCTGGTCCGCCTCCAACCCCCAATTCACCCTCTATTCGCACCGTGTTGGCCCGAACGGCTTCAAAGTCGCGCAGGTCCTCTGCGAGCTCGGCCTGCACTTCCGCACCATCTTCCTCGAATTCGGCACCGGCGAGAACGGCATCAAGTCGCTCGCCTTCGAGGCCATCAACCCGAACGGCCGCATCCCCGCCCTGGTCGACCACAGCGCCAATGACCTCGCCGTGTGGGAGAGCACCGCTATCATCACCTACATCGCGAAGAAACACGACACTGAGTTCAAGGTGTGGGCGCAGAGTTTCGAGGATCAGGCGCTGATCGAGACTTGGCTCGCGTACCAGCTTTCCGGTCAGGGCCCGTACATCGGACAGGTCCGTCCCCACCCCCCGCGACCGCTCTAGAATCGTAGCTGACGGCGAGATACCCAGGCAATGTGGTTCAGCTACTACCATTCTGAGCAAGTGCCCAGTGCTACCGCACGGTACATGGCCGAGACGCGGCGTGTTCTCGGCGTGGTCCAGAAGCAGCTTGAGCGCGAGAACAGCAATGGCTGGCTCGTGCTCGGCCGCATGACCGTTGCGGACCTGTCGTTCGTGCCCTGGTACAGGCTGCTGTACAGGCTCGACATGAACGTCGAGGAGGAGTTCCCCGTCGTGTGGGAGTGGATGAACAGGATGATCGAACGTCCCGCTGTCAAGGAGGCGTATGAGGGCTCCGTGTGGCCCCCTGTGGGCGAGAAGACGAAGGTGTAGATTGTACTTAGATACCCCGGGCGTGGAGAGCGATGTGTTGTGCGCGTATGTATACATCAGTAGGGCCATATAGAATCAATACTTGTCTACGGACCCTAGTACCTACCTCGTTTGATTCCAGCAGGGCCACATGGTGACCAACTTGAACGGAGTACATACACGGGTAAAAAGCGTGGCAAACGAAGTGATTTCGGGCGCAGCGGGAGTGGCGAAGGGAATGATTAAATTGAAGTTACGAGCCAGCCTTTATGCAGCCTATCTAGACTATGAAGATACGGTATACACACTCTGTTACGAGAAAGCATCGCTGTATCCTCAGAATCCCGCGAGTACGGTAGATGACGGAGTGATCGCCTACGAAAGCACTCCTGTGGGTATCACAACGAAAGACCCCTGACGATTATAACAAAACATTTCAAGCTCCAGTAAATCAGTAAACCAAGTCTACCAAACCCGCATCATTGTCCTACCTACGGCACCTCACACGTGCCAGCGCCTCCCCTTCCACCGGCGGTCTGCATGACACAATACTTGGTCATAGCCGCAGTCTCCTTCTCCGTCTCCGTCTCCCTCACCGTAGCCGTCTCCCTCACCGTAGCGGTATACATAACCCTCGCCGTCACCACCGCCTTCGTCGGCCACAGTCCACAAGTCTGCCCCGCTGCTCCCACTGCCCCCGCAGCACAATCCCCCACCCCCATACCTGCCACAGCATCCCCCGCCCCACCGCGCCGTGTCAGCGTCAGTATGCACACGACCATGATAACGGTAGCGCACATGGACGGCCACAGGTATCGCAGGCCGTAGTGCAGCGAGCCGGTCCAGCGGCGCCGCGGCTGTGGGACCAGCCCGAAGCGCTTCAGCGTGCCCAGGATCTGGAATACGTGGGATAAAGACTCCAGGAGCTGGAGAGATTTGGAGCCCGCTCTGCTGCTGCCGCTGGAGGGCGCGCTGGTTGGTGGGCAGGGGCAGCTTGCGGGTTGCTGTGCTGCGGCTGGCCCTGCGGCTGGCCCTGCGGCTGGCGCGGCGGGGGTAGAGGGTGTACGGCAGTCGCAGTTGTGGCACGCTGGCCCCGTGGGCGCGGTAGGATCGGTAACGTTGTGGGAGGGCAGGCATGACGGCCCGTGGCCGTGGTTGGGAGCCCTGCTGCCATCAGGGTTGGTCACGTTAGTAAACAGGTTCTTTAGGGAATCTACTAGCTCTGAAAAACTCTGGATTGTGACGTCAAGTGCGGGTCTGCCTGCGGCGGCGGCTGGGGCGGCGGCGGCAGGCGTAGGTGGGGGGTTGTCTGCCATGGCTATACGGATATTGATATCGAGAGGAGGATGGAGGGGAAGGGGGGGGGGGGGGATACCAATAATTTTTTTTGATTGAGGGATACTTTGAGCCTTCCAGTGGAAGGGCATGGACCGTGAGCCAGCGACTTTCATGCGGACTCGGGAGTTGATGGCGAGACTCGGGATGATATCACAAAGAATAGCGACCTCGTGATAATGCCAGTCGGTAGTAGAACATTCTCCGGTTCACCACCACAACCTCCTATATACATACGAAAAGCGGGATGTGCATGTAGGTATGAGGTATGTACTTCGTTGGTGTGCACAAACGATGCTGCCCGCTGGATCAGATGGTCGCTTCCCGAATCATCGTCTTCCACGGTTCCAGACGCCGAGTCATCTTTGCTGACAGATATGGAGAGTATGTACCTTTTATATACCATGGAATACGGAGGCAACCTTTTATATACCATGAATACCATGACGGGAATATAGCGACCTTTATTATGGCCGCAACAGGCGGGCGACAGGCGGTCAGAGTCTGGTGTGAAAATAATATTGGTAACTGCGAGCGGGCATGTGCGCAACATTGCACGGAGCGGAAAATCCACCACTCATGAAATCCGTAACACAGAGCGGAAAATAAATAATACACAAATGAAACTGCTATGCATTCTTTTTTGTCCGAAGTTTGCAAGTACCCGCCTTATGCCCCGGCCTTCCACAACTACCACAATGTTGCTGAGTTCTACCCGATGCTCTGGCCGCCGCCGCGCGTTGCCCTGCAACCGCCGCACGCGCCTGCTGTCGTTTCCCAATAATTTGACGATACTATCCAGCGGGAGCAGGTGGATGGCAGTTGTTGGCTTCTGAGGCAATCGCGCCGGGTATGATAAGGTGAGCGGCACCATGAAGGTTTGCAGTGCCATCCGCCGGGAGGGGTGGAGTAAAAAACGAATGGCCGCATGTTTTGACTACAATGGATGATTAGCAACTACTACTTCAATGGTAAGAAACCAAAAAACAACTAACCTGTAGGTGCTATTCCAACGAGCGTAGGTAAAGGTTTCGAGTATAAAATCAACAGTATCCTTTCAGAGTTCAAGAATAAGTGCTAGAGCGTGGCTGCACGGTAGTAGATTGAGTTGAAACTGTTTGCAGGTACACGTACGGGCCGGTAAGTCTACCGCATACTGGATATGTTCGGTATCGTGAACAAATCCAGTATCCTCAGGCTCACGAGTGACAGTATGTAAACGCGCAATACGAACATCGTTGTTGATGAGTTTCTGGATACGAGGAGTGATAGTCTGTCCAGGCGCAGGATTCTGGGCAAGTTCATAGCGTTCCTGGCGTGCTCCCATCTCCTGGTGTCAAATACCATCCAACAATTCAAAGATCCCCAGCTCTCGAAGGTCTTTGAGCATGTTGAGATTTTCGACTGCGTTCGATGTTTGTTACCCGCAGCGACGATGAATTCCACCCGGAATCATTCCGTCGACCCAAAGCGTAGGATCGATCTTCGCAAGATAGTCTGCAGCAGTAGGTTTCTTCTCACGCAGTACGCTCATATCCGCATCGTAGGCAACACGGTTGATTGCCCGAGCCAAGCTCCAGAAGTTGACTTTAAAGTCTTCATGGCCATTCTTCTCGAAGTTTCGTCGCAGATGCTCCAAGCAGAAGAGCCGTGTAGCTGTAGGACCGAGAACATCTTCCGCCGACTCGAGAAGCGCTTTATCGCGGTCGCTCATGATCGTAGCCGTGCAGACCTCCGGGATAGCAGCTTTCAGATGCGAGAAGAAATACCGCCAGGAGTCTTCGTTCTCGCTCTCGACAACGGACCATGCGAGGAGCATGGACTGTCCATTGGCATCGATACCGCTCGCAACAAGTAACGTTTGTGGATAAAACACCTTCAAACATGTGCCGTTGATGGCCGTGAACTGCCGCGATTGTGCGAATGCGTGTCGCGACTCAGCCGGCGAAATAAAAATACGTTGGAAATCTCGTTTTCGCGGGTTTTTTGGTGTTGCCGAAGGCAGTGTTGTCAAATCGATAAAACAGTTTGGACTGTGCAGCTTGAGGGCGTGGAGATACGCCGGAAGATGAAAGAACTGAAGAGCGTGAGCGGCACTGCTGGATGCTACCAAACTGTTCCGGCACTCGAGCGCTGCATTGTAGTTGACTGTTTCTCTATGCCGAAACTTGACCGCGGCGATGATCTGTTCGGGGGTGACCTTTCTCGTGACGTGGAGAAGTTTCGACACCTCTCGTCGCAACCATTCCTGGCTGTTGACATGACTGTGTTTTGCAGTTTTTCGGGCGGGACAGGTGTGAAGCGGCTTTACCCGCCGTACCTCGACTCGGTCCTTTTGTTGCGTCGCATACACTCGGAAGGGACATGGCTTTTCGCGGTACTGGTGGCATCGGTAGTCGACTCGTGTGCGGTCTTTGGGGTGTAGCCGCGTGGAAAAGTTCTCGGCCGTGGCCCACGCCTCGACTGCTTGCTTCAAGGCAAGAAAGCATTCGAAAGATGATGATGATAATGATGGCGGAAGGACAAAAGAGTTGCCCCTTTATTTTCTCACCAGACTCTGACCGCCCGTAAGCTGTCGCCCGCCCGTAGGCTGTCGCCGCCATAATAAAGGTCTGTGGGTCAAACTGTATCCCTGTCATGGACTCATGGTATTCATGGTATATAAAAGGTTGCCCTGTATTCCATGGTATATAAAAGGTACTATATGTACTCTCATAGATATGGGGTACATACCTCATAGATACGTATTGTACATACGGAAACGCGACGTCCCAAGACCGCACGGCTCTGGTTAAAGAAGCGTCTAAACGGATATATGCTGTGGGCCGTGGCTTCCGGAAAGCTGGCATGGGGGTTGATTTATCGAAAACAGTTCACCACCACGTAGCGTGATTTTGGATGTTGCGGGCGCGGCGTGTTAGGGAGGACATTTGGTAAGTTTCGGTGGACGGACATCGATCTTTTCCGCATACTTAGAGCTACCGCTCCTTCTTGATGATTTTCAGTTGGTATTTCTTTGCTCACTTCACACGAATAGAGAAACAAGTAGTAGGTAGCACACGAACACGCCTCAGGCATGCTATTCACACACACTATGTATCAAACAATGTATTTACAAGAACACTCCTCTCTCTCCCTTTTCTCCTCTCTTCTCTTCTCTCTTCTCCGCCTAGTTCCAGTAGCTCCTGTACCTTCCAGCGGGGGTGCACGCGGGAACCTTCGACTTTCCACTGTAGGTAGCAGTGACGGTGACCGTCTTCTGCTTAACAGCCGTGGGGGAGACAGTGACGGTCTGGTAGACGGTAGTCGCAGCGGCGGTGGTGTCATCGACGTACTCGGTCGCAGTGTTGGTGGGGTAGACGGTCAGCGTGAACTTGACGGTCTGGACCATGGTGCTAGTGACGCTCTCGATGCGGGTGGAGACGAGGGTGGATGTCATGACGCCATCGGTGCCGATGGAGGAGTAGGACTCTACGGGCGCGGCGGTGGTGGGAACGGGGGTCTCGTACACAGGCGCGGTCCCGTACACAGGCGCGGTCCCGATGGGGATGCTGACGATCACGGTGGTAGTCGGCTCGGCGCTGTAGCTGTCGACGGCGGTGGTGGAGGCCGTCTCAGTCGGGTACGACTCGGCGCTGGTCTCGGTCGGGTAGCCGACGAGGGTGGAGAGGAGCTCGGTGGGGATCGCGACCGACCAGGGGAGGGTCGAAGGGAAGTAAGAGGTGCTGTAGTTTCCGTGCGCAGACGCGGTGGAGGGCTCCTCGGTGGGGTAGGCCGCAAGGGTGGTGGAAGCCTCAGTGGGGTAGGCTGCGACACTGGTGGAAGCCTCAGTGGGGTAGGCTGCAACACTGGTGGAAGCCTCAGAGGCGTAAGAAGCGACGCTGGTGGAGGCAATGGCCGCCGCGGTCGAGCTGGCGGAAGCGCCACCGCCTTGGTAGACGGGAGGGCCGGGGATGACGTAGGAAGTGGGCACCGGGTAGTAGATGTTCAGAAGGATACCAGCATCGTCGGACGAGTATCCACCGGGGAACTTGACGGTATCGGTGGGCACAGCAGTACCGGTACCGGTGATCACAAGGTTGGCGCAGACGGGGTAGAACTAAGGCGATAATCAGCATATGTTTTTTTGTGGGATTGAGTGAAATGGGAGGTACAAACCTGAGCACCGTTCACAGTTCCAGCGGAGTGAAGGGCCAACAGCTCGTGACGGAGCAAGTAGTTACCGGGCGCGATGTCGGAGGGGATCGAGGCGGTGTAGGTCGAGCCATCGTTGATGATTGAATCCGAGGCCCATGTTCCATCTGCCAGGAGTCCGGCCTCGTCGATCTTGAAGAAGTCGAGGGTGGTGGCGTCAACCTCGCTACAATCGCCATTGCAGTTGGCCATATAGGTCATCACCGGTCCACGGTGGCTCTCGGGCCACACGGTCCACGAGAACTTGACCGACGAACCGGCAGCAGCGGTTGCGGAGATGGCGCCGGCCTTGGAGTCGGCGTTACAGGCGATAGCGGCGGAAGACACGTCCTCGACGGGCCCGTTGGAGGAAACGGTCCATCCGATGAGGTCGGGGATGGGGTTCAAGTACGGAGTGCTGTATGGGTTGTACATGTCGTACAGCTCGTCACCGATGGTGAGGTTGCTGACGATGCCATGTGCCATAGTGGCAGCGGCGAAACCCAAGGCCGAGATGATGGTAGACTTCATTGTGATTTTGTAGTTGGGTGAATATAAACGCAGGTTTGATGGTCGCTCAGCGAGAAAGAGTGTGGGATGTCAAAGGCGTCGAGCCTGAAGAATCAAAGCAAAAAGGAATGGAATAGCGAAGAAGCCTGCGTCTAAGGAGTGACAGTGAAGTGGTGAAGAAGTTTCCATGGAAGGGCGAAGCCCGGTACTTTATACACTCGAACATGCACCGGCAGCGATCTTCAGGAGGCCACTACGGACTTTTTTGCAGTCGTCAGGCCCCCACGATGCGAAGTGACACAGCACTTTATTTCTCCGTACATACCCGGCATGGGGGTCGAAGCGGGGACCAAACAGAACGAAGGATGGCGGACTTTTCCAGGCGATTGTTTGGCTGTTGTCGATGTTAGTTGGTAGTTACTAGTAACTAGCACCCTCATCACTCATGTACTCTCCGATGCAGGCGGTACCGCGGATAAAGTGCCAAGTCGTCCACCGGCCATAGCTCCCCAGTTGGAAGCTTGTAGAGTAGAGTAGGCGGAAGTGGGGCCCTCGTATGTATGAAAGGTAGGCGGTAGGCGGAAGAGGCATGTCGACATGTCGGTAGAGTAGAGATGTACTCTAGGCGGGGGAGTCCGCGCGATGTGTGATGGTTGATGCGTGATGTGATGAATGCCAGAGTATTACCAGGTAGTTGCTGGTGCCACTCGGGCTAGTGAAACCACTAACCCGCCCGCCAACGTTTCATGCCAGCCCGTGTTACACTCGCTAACATCCGACCCTTGCCAATGGCACTCTAAAGTCGATGCAGGCCCTGGATTTGCCCTGCGATCAGATTAAAGGGTGCACATGTACCGGCTATAAGGCGTGGGGTCGGACTGTTGTCATCGCGAGCACTCAGGAGTTTAGACATGCTGGCGGGATTGGGTAACTATCAGGGTCAAGTCGGCTCGCAACCTCATCGCGAGCACTCTAGAATGCACATGCTAATGAGTATAGTAGGCATCTATCAGGGTCAAGTCGGCTCGCAACTTCATCACGACCACGTTATTCCTCCCAAACTGGCGTTAATATGTATACCCGGGAGCTTGCGCAATCATCGTTGCTTCCCGAATACCCGGATAAACACGAATACCGCCTTGCAAGCCCCAGCCGCCGCCGTCGTCGTTATCGTCAGGACCGACACATCGTAGGGTCACAACTCGTCAAGGCACGGAATGGGATGCCGGAGCGAAGCCGAGATCTCTTCAGGTGCAGTTTCACAGCGACCCAGAGCCGCGAGGGCGATATGCTAGCCGGTACCTACATAAGCAGAATTCAAGTGCAGGTACATACACACCTACACGTGCAATCCCGGCTACGGAACGGAGGCGCCCCGAAATGTCGATTCTCAGTGCCGTCTCTTGCCCCTCTTGCCCCTCTTGCCCCTCTTGCCCCTCTTGCCCCCAACCGAGATCACTCGCGGCTCTTGCAGGAAGGTGGCCGCCGTGGAGAACTGGCTAATATACGTGCCGCCATGCCGCATAATTAAGGTATCTCTCCCCTTTCCATGCGGCAGGCGGGGGGTGCGTATTTGCTGCATCTTCTTGCTCGGCCGGCAGGTCCTTGACGAGGCCTGAGCCCCCAGTCTCATATTGGTACCTGGCATCAGAGCGGAAAAGTGTGCGAATATTGTACCGGGGGCCGATAACTATCATTATTCTGTGTATGTATATACATACATACTGGTCATCTAGGTAGTTGTACATAGCTGCGAGCATGAATCCACCCCAATATCCCCGAGAAGATCGAATTATGGAAAGAAAGAGAAAAAAGCCGCTACCTACTCCAGAGGGCCAGGTCAGGAGTGAAATAAAGGAGTAAAACCATGGGAAAGATCCAAGTGGAAGCGCGGGAGATAGCCAGCCAGCAAGCCAGCCGGCACTGTATATCCAAGGCGCAGTATATCATATATAAACCACGTAAACTCCCGCCCGCCCCATTTCGAGCCGGTCCATCCGTGACAGGAAGAATTGACACGAAATCCCGCAAGTGGCGAAGACGGGATGCAATCTTGTACGGGGGATGGGGGATGGGGGTCCCCTAGGTAGCCTATATAGTAGTATGTACTCCCATGGTATACAGTCACTTCGAACCGCTCCACCGCTGGGATTTGATCGTCGTCGTGGTCGTCGTCGTGGATATAGCACTCCAACTTGCTGAATCCCCACCCAACATAGTGGAACCTTCCGATAGTTGGTTATCCCCCGATCCTGGCGGCAGCGGCAATGCGGATTGAATCTATAGACCCTAGAGAAGACGCTCGGAGGAACTCCAGCGCGTTGGCAAAACCCGGGTTGACAACCGGTTAACTTCTGGACCACTGCTTGTGCGGATGTATAGTCTTTCCTTGGTAACAGTTCCGAAGACCTATCCCCTTGCATGAACAATCCAAGTCTCTTCCTATCAGTATTCATTGGGTGTTGGTCGATAAGATTATCAGGTTTAGGACAGCTAGATAGCGGCGGTGACGACGTAGAGTTGTAAATGTTGGTATACACCCTGAGTCCATGGACGCGTCTCCGCCCGTGTATAGTATGACTGTGACCACACTCATACGATAGCAACGATCTTCCATACCGTTCCCCAATTCCCGATTCCCGACCTCGACAATGCACAGGCTACAGCCCCTCAACCCTCCACTAGAAATTTCTAGGTCTGCGTAGTATCTATAATCACACCGGCGTTTCTCTGCCCCGCCGCGGCTACTTCGTGTGACGTCCCGCAAACCTTTCTTCGAATCGACTCGAGGGCTGAGTCGCTGCGAGAACCATTAGTACTTACCTATGAAGGTATGTATATAGGTTTTCCGAAAATCACCCTTGAATCCACCACTCCCCTCCGCTATGACGGTTCAGAGTCTCAAATGCAAATACCTAGGTTGGTACCTACAAAAGCACTCGACTCGGCTCCTGATGTCGCGTGAGGTATACCTACCTTCTACCTAGGCCAGTACTATATCTACTCACTTGAGTGCCGGGACCGTACTTATATATAGACGGAGGGGTGAAGGGGTGTGTTTTCTCGGCATGAAGTTTTCCATCACGCCCTTTGCACAATTTATCACTCGGGAAAACTCGAGTGAGATTACCGTATGCGGTGAGGGTTTGTGGGCCGGAGACGGCGGCGGTGCCAGTGCAACCAGACCATCGCTGCCACAGCTGCACACACGCACGCACGCACCACACGATAGACCAGCGCAAATACGGCGTGGACCCTAAGTATCACTGGAGAGTACTTGCTTTTCTTTTCTTTTCTTTCCGTCTGTTTCTTCGATGTCCAGTACGTAAGAAGATGAAGATGAAATTCCAGAAGGTGGACACCCTGTGCATACTAACTAAGCCGCGATACTCTAGGGTCCTGGCCGGCGGTCGCCTGTCAACAACTGAATAATTATCTTCCCACAGTACCGTATGGGGGGGCTGAACACGGCGCGCATCACATCGTATCACGCCGGCGACACAACCGATACTGATATCTTGCGATTTGACCACATAATTTGCATCGGTCCCTACCCAACACGGATGGTAGACAGGCTACCTGGGGTGAGTTTGGCATGATCTCAATATAAGAAATAAACTAAAACATAATTTCCAGCCGTAAAACCAAGGTCCAACGTGTTCCATGCCGTGTCGCAATCTCGCAAAAGCCCCACCCTCCGACATCCTTTTCCTACGTTTCAGCACAGTATAAGAGGCCCATCGTCGTCCTCCTCAAGTCAAGTACAAAAACTCACTGCGACGGGATAACCGGCAGTGTCACGTAGTTATGGAACTTCGGTCCAAAATGCAGATGATTCCTGCCTCTGAAGATTTTCTCCGGTCTGTACCATAATCAGCAGCCATACTACGATTGGAAGAGGGTGGTGGGAGCATACCGATCAGTTATCTCATTATGCAAAAAGATGCTACTGCCCTGGGTATCGCCACTAGCAACCTCAAACACGATTCTCGCCCCCTTCTCGACGACCACATTGGTCGGCCAGATCTCCACATCGACGGGATAGATCTCGCCGGGGATGACTGGCTGGACGTCGGTAGAGAAGTAGTCTCTGTGCGGAAGCCACGACCGGTGTCGCGCATGCTCCGTGTTCACTTTGCGCAGCGAGACGCGCAGCCAGCCTTTCGTCAGTGGCGCGGGGTCGCCCGCCGTGCCGGTGTAGAATATCTCCTTTCCGTCCGCGCTTAGGTGCCGCAGCGTCAGGAAGAGATCGATGTCGCTGGGAGTGGGGCCTGTGGGGTCCGGCGTGACGGAGACGTTGAGGTGCGCGACCACGTTGCCGGTGATTTCCGTTTCGGTCTCGAACGGCGCGGTGGTGAAGTGTAGGAACTGCGGGGACTGGATGCTTCCCAGTGCGGGGTAGGAGACTTTTTGGTGGTGCGAAATCGTAGGGAGTTCCGTGACGAGGCCCAGGTCGTCGGGAGTGAGATGGTATTGTTGCCAGATGGTGCGTGCGATAGGCCATTCGAGCTCGGTACGCCGCGTGTAGGCCTTTTCGGCGATGGCGTTGTTGAAGCCTACGTCGCCTTTGCGGAGGACGAGATCGACCGGGGGCACCTTGCCGGGGACCGACCAGCCGACGCGGTCATCGTCTTTGAGGAATGCGTCCAGAAAGCTCAGCTGGACTTCGACCTCCTCGTCGTAGTAGAAGGGGAGATCGTGACGGCCGGTGATGAAGCGCAGGTACTTGAGCTTGCTGCCGGCATGAACCCAACCCTCCACGTTCCCGCGGAGATGAAGTAGTATCCCGCCCCAATTGGCGACGGATAGCAGCGGAACAGTAACATCCTCCATGCTGTACTCCTTGCTCGCATAATACTCGTCATCACGAAACTTATTATTGCGGTTGTCGATATTCTGATCGCGCCTGTTCTCTTCGAGCTCCTGCTCGCTCAATTCCCCACGGCCGTGCTGATTGACGACCACCTGTCGATTCCACCAAAACTTGATGAAGTTGTTCGCCAGGATGCCGCCATGCCTGCACCGGTCACGATAGTAGTCACTCATTCCCTCCCAGGGCACAATCGCGGCGAGGCCCTTGGGCTGGCGCGCAGCAACCCGCCACTGCGAGCCGGCATAGTAGCTGATCCCCAGCAACCCGACCTTCCCGCTCGACCATGGCTGCTCGGACGCCCACTCAACCACATCGAAGAATGCCTCGGCGGTGCCGCGGGACATGGTATTCAGCCGCCCGGGGGACGCTCCGATGCCCCGCTCATCGCACCGGATCACAACGTACTCCTTCGACGTCCAGAATCCGGGATCTGGCGTCTCCCATGCGGAATGTTCCGAGTGGTGCTTGGGGTTGACCTCTTGATACGACGGGAGCCGGAAACTTCCCCCATTCCGTTAGCACCACTTTCCAACCTCACAACCACAGCACAGGGACTCACTCGCGGTAGTGGATATCCTTCCCGTACGGGCCATACGTGACTAAGACGGGGAACTTCTTCCCCTCGGCGATTGAATGCGGGAGGTAGATATTCCCCCGAACCATCTGCTGCGCACTGGCGTCCGAGGTCTTGAGAGGGATCGAGACATTCTGGCGGTAGATGTATGGGAAGCTCGTAGAGTCTTCGGTCGAGATGTCAGCGTGCGAAGACATGGTGGGCGGTGGTGATGATGGTAATAATACTGCGGCGAATTCGACACTTCCAACGCGGGGAAGAAGGAGGTTTAACTACATGAGACATCTACAGCTTCGGATGTGGGGGACAGGGATCTGGACCTTCCCCCACATGGGCCGACGCGGATGCAGATCTAACGGGAACCGAAAACGGAGAACTGCGAGTGATGATCCTTAAGTCCGCATGAACCCAACAACCGAACCCCCCCACCTCCGAATGCGGACCGATGCGGATTCGGAGATAATGGCTTCTGCAGCCTTGTCGGCGTGTGTTGCGGAGACCGAGCCGAGTCGATGTGAGTTCGGCCATCACCCTTCTGATTGGGCTAACTGGCACTTGGAGGTGTCGGTATGTGTGAAGACTTCTGAAATTCTGCGGGGCCTTCGGTGTCCATCACGGACTGCATAGTAACGGTGGTCGGTATTTACTGCCTCATGTCACCATCATTGCGTGTCTTTCGAAGACTCACGACTGTCACAGCACAGTTATATCATGCATGTAGGTAGTTGCAATTGCGTGTTGAATAAACGAGCTACCTAGATCGTGGACCTTGAGGTAGGTGCGCCATCGCTGAGAAGCGCGCAGGTCTCCTTCGAGTTCTGAACTAAAGTTACCTACTCCCCAATGACATACTCACACCCCCCAGCCCCAATCCAAACTTCATGTAGCTGTCGCTTCCCCACATCCACCAACGCGCCAGACCCGAACGTTTCCTTCTCCCCAGATTCTAGCGATATCGTCATTTCGCCGTCCAGTATCAGATGGGTCGTCGCAGTGGCATGCGTGTGCGGTGGGTAATGCGCGTTCCTTTGTCCGCCCAGTTAGCGAGTGCGACGGAGAGAGGGGGCGGGGCGGCGCGGGCGGGAAAGAGAGAGAGAGAGAGATACGGTGAGTCGCGCCACGTGTAGACATGCTTGTAGCCGAGATTTCGGACAGTCGATTCGGCTTCTTTGCAGGTGGGCATGCTCTCTGTGTTGTGTCCGCGGGGTAGTATTGAGAGGATACGATGCGGAGCTCGGGGTGGTTCACCGTTCATGACGTAGACGTGGGATCAAACGCTTGTGCGACGGCAACACGACGCGCATGCTACTATCCGTCACCGGCGTGATCCCAACACGGCCTGCGGGCTCGCCATAACTTCGTATCGAATGGCATCTTTCGGCGAGAACGTGGGCGGGGCCGGCCCCTGAGCTGCTTCTGTCGGGATCCACGAAACTGGTGATCAGACAGTTGCACGTGCTCGGAACTTCCGATATCGGCAATTTCCTACGTGAAGATGGCGAAGGGCAAGGCAAGACATCAGGGCCAACTAAAAAGACCCCGCAGACCAGACGGTTGCCAGATGGTTGGAGTAAGTAGGTTGAAGGTAATTCGATGATGAAACAAAACCAAGAATCGGTTGGCTGACTGTGAGCTTCAGGAACCTCCGTCCAGTACTCGCACTACTAGCGTCGCACATCGGATTTCCAGAGGTGCAATTTGCACACCGAATCGAGGGACATTCCCGTGAAAGCACTTTCCGTATTCCCTCGACTGCCGACTCTTCAGTACCTGCAGGGGCTTTTCCACATTCCCTCGGGAACAGCTTCCCTCAATTGCAGCTTCCATAAACTTTCGGCTCTTTAGCACCTCCAGGGGCTTTTTCACACTCCCTCGACTACAGCTTCCCCCGACCTCCGACTCTTCAGTAACTTGAGGGACTTTTCCAGTGTCCACATTCCCTCGAGAACAGCCTCCCCCGACTAAAGCTTCCCTCGACGTCCGACTCTTCAGTACCTCCAAGCTCCAGTGGCCTTTCCACCGTCTCCATCTCCGTCTCAATGTCTCCACGAAATCTCGAGAGTCAAAAGGCCAAACTGCTATCATAGTAGACTTCCATCCATCCGAACTTCCCCTGTCCGATCCGTTCTGTTCTGTTCTGTACATACCGACTCGCACCTACCTAAGTAAGCGACCTATGTACACCAACATGAAACACCCCGCCTTTTTTTCTCCGTTTCGTTTCGATGCACCGTGCATACATACGGCTTGCAGATGTCAAACAACCACCTACTTGGTTAGCTTCTTCCGACGAGGTGGTGGGGTGGAGAGGTGGAGAAGTGAGGTGAGGGGAGAGGGGGCATAGTTATGCACCGTATGGGGTGTCTGCGTCTGTGCCTGCGTCTGTTCTATGTGTATATTGTGAGGTTCTGAACTTGCGGCGGGTGTTGGTTGGCTGTGGGCCTGTGGCAGTGAGATGCGGTTGGACGGAGAGCAAGACATAGAACAGCTATTGCAACTTGCAGGATGACGATTGAGTTGGGAATATGCCATCGGAAACATATGTAGGACCGTAGGTATCCAGCTCTCTTAACTACATATTCTGGAGTTCCCACCCTTTTCTGGAGCCGACAATCAGGCCCACATATGCAGGTAGATAGGGATACCGCCGGATTGCCGAAAAGGAAAACGGTGACAGTACTGTTGCCGAGGTGGTTACTCAGGAATCAGTACTGCCCGTGTATATACTCTACAGCAGTACGCAGCCTCCGGGGGTTAGTTAGCGGTGGCCGTGTGCCGCCTGGCAGCCTGGTACATACCGGTACTACATAGGAAGATGCTATTCCGCGCTCCAGCGGCTGCAACAGTACGATTCGTTCCCGCCGTGCTCCAGTAAAAGCGCTGATGCTGCTCAGGAATGGTGACTGGCTGACAGCCTGACAATAGTAGACCGTGCGGTTAATGATAATGCAGGTATCGTGATTCGAATCGGCTCAAGCGGGTGGGCTGCGCTCAACTGGCTGGCCCATTCCAGTCTCCAGGGCCCAACAACTAATCCTAGAATGAGGATGTACGGTATCCCTATGTAGAGCGAAAATTGCATCCCGAGGGATCAAGCCTCAAGGTACCGATTTGACGTGTGTGTGGCGCGCTATGTAGATAACCATTTGGACAGCCAAAACCTTCACAGCTCTACGGTACCTCACGCTTTACCGTAATCCGTCTTCCTAAGTTCCTATGTATCCAGGGTCTCGACTCTCGACACAAAAGAAAGAAATAGCTTCCTCTACATACGGGGCACCGGGGCGTGTCCTCCATTCATTCTTCGTTCGCCCTTTCCAGACGCGACTAGAAACGGGGAGGAGGCGAATCTGAAGGAGTTGCACCGCAACCGCTGCTGTGGGGTGTCGGGGGGAGGGGGATGCAACAACTCACGAGGCGAAACGCGAAAAGTCTCACGCAGCGACCCCGTGCCAATGGATGCCCTCCCTCTCATTCTGCCTCAACCGCCGTGCCCATGTCCCCTCATCCACCCCCCTCCTCCCCCATGGGATTCGCAAGAACTGGATCACGGACGAAGAAGGAAATAGAGAAACCCCCTCCAGCTGAATCAATAGGGAGAAAAGAAGAAGAAAGCAGAAGGGGATCGACAGGAATAGTTATGCTCGCGACGTGTGCGAATTAATTGGAGTGCTCGGTGCGGCTAGGCGGACCTCGCGCGATCGAAAATTCTCCTAGTTTTTTGTTTTGCAAATGTGAAACAACGGTTCGAAGCTCTTATCCGGGCTGCCGGGTCGCGCGATCAGCGTGAGAAGACGATTGGCTTTTTCTTTCCGTCGCGGCTGAGATGCGGGCGCCCGTGGGCGGGGGAGGCTACTGATAGAGGCAGTTGGAGCCCCATTTCCCCGGCGGCGATACATATGATGTACGCAAGCCAGCAGGGGATGTTGCGGCTTCGGGCAGGCGGCCGTGGTTAACGGCAATTCGTGCTAGGTTAGGTACCAGTACATGGACTGCGGTGAAAATCCTGTCAGTCTTGGGGGGAGAACTCAGAACACTGCGTGCTCAATCGGTCCTGTCTCCTTTGACTTACCGCTGTGCCCCCCTCCCCTGTGTTGTCTTGATACTTTATTTCCAGCTGCCACTGAAAATGGGGCTCATAGAAGTAGCCGCCAATCAGAAGCCGCTGTTCAAGAAGGTACATGATACATCTTGTAGCACAACCGACCAGCTTGCCGCCGTGCAGGCGCATCCGTCGGGAATGGTCTTTTGTCTGCGGATGCAGGAACAAAACGTGAAATGCTCACTGCTCACTGCTCAGCCGCAGTCGTGTCGGCCCTTGTCGTCCTCTCGGCCACTCACGGCGCTGCGACGATGGGAGTTGCGTGCAAGGGCAAGGGCGAGAGCGAAGTGCCAATGGCCTTTCGCTCACTAGTGTGGTTGGTCCGATTCGCATCCCGGCCTAGCTCACACACTCCGTGACGTTTCAGTGCTGTCTACAGTTTGTGAGGAATTGGTTGGCTCACAGTGAGAGCGCCAACCAGCCGATATGTTCGAGGCAGCAAAGCGAGATGCGTACCCCCTCCCGCCGCCTAGAATCCCATGTGGGGTTTCTACTTAACACACCGCTTCGGCACCCCGATATCGATTCGATTCACTCTCGACATTCACAGCCGTTCTCCCTCACATTTCCTTCTCTTCTCCCCCAGGTCCTCCCCAACTGTGTTGGCGGCCACTTTTCTTTCTCAGTTACATATTTCCACTTTCAATTCTCGCCTTCTTTCCACCCTTTTCGGGACTCTTGCCTCGTCACACTCTGCGAGTGATAACTGTTTTGGGGATAACCTATTGAACCACCTTACCTACTCGTTTCAACCATTCCATCTGGGTCTCGGGTAGATCACGGTTCCTTCCTTCTCTTCTTCCTCTTCCTCGACATCCCACTCTTTCCCCACCTCCCCATCCCCCTCAATTCTCGACGAGCAAGTAGTCTCTTCATCACCTTCGTTCCTGATACTCCCCGGTCCTTCGCCTTGCACACATTCTTTTAACACCTCCGCAATCATTCCTACACTCGGAGCAACTTGAAGCAAGCCGTTGGCCTTCCTTTCTTTACCAGAAAACCCGAAAATTCTTCCCAGAGCTTTGAGAGCTTGACCCATTCTTTGAAAAACAAGAAGAAAAAGAAACAAACAAACAAAAAAGGTGTGTTTGCACGGAGTGGGCTTCGTTGTGGAGGTGAAAATGACTGACAAACATCAAGGACTTATATATACGCACCCTTCGACATCATGAAGTTCACTCTTTCTTCTGCCCTCGTGGTCTTGTCCGCGGTCGTCTCGACCGTACTCGCCGCACCACACCCGGCTTCTGCTAGCAGTGTTGCCACCTCTACTGCTGGTAATGCTCCAGCTGCCAGCAGTGCCGCTGCTACCAACGGCACGGACGAGGCCGTCGAGCAGGAAACTCCCAGCACATGGACCGTCATTGTCGACAATGACGACCCCCGCACGCTGGAGCAGATGATTGCCGATATGGGGGACGTCAAGGTCAACCGCATCTACAACAACACAGCGTTCAAGGGCTTCTCCTGTTCCATGGCCTCCAACAGAGCCAGCGTCATGTCGATGACCGGGCTCAAGACTTTCGAGCGTGATATCGAGATCAAGGTCGCGGGATCCCAGGTGAACGCACCGTGGGGTCTGCAGAGGTTGAGCCAGGGACAAGCCATCCAGTCCGCTGGTGGTCTGGATGAGGCGAAAATCGCGGCTATCGACTTTACGTATCAGTTCGAGGGTGGACTCAATCAGACTGGGGCCCTAGGCAAGGACGTCGATATCTACATCATCGATACCGGTATCAATGTGGATCACGTCGACTTTGATGGCCGTGCTAGCTTCGGATTCACTATCGACGACGAGACCGACAGTCAGGGACATGGGTATGGTTGCATCATTTGTTTTTGGGTTGCACGGATACTGACGTACAATTAGAACTCACTGTGCTGGTACTGCGGCTTCGACCACTTTCGGCGTCGCAAAGAATGCAAACATCATTGCCGTCAAAGTCCTCGGACCGGACTCCGGTTTCACTTCCGATATCCTGGCCGGAATCGACTGGATGATGCAGAACCACGAGAAGCGCATGAAGACTGGAAACTTTGCCGGCTCGGTCGCATCCATGTCCCTCGGATCCCTCGAGCCCTCGACGTCCCTCAACGAGGCCATCGCCCAGGCCAACGCGAACGGAATCCACTTCTCCGTTGCCGCCGGAAACGAGGAACGTGATGCATGCCTGGGCAGCCCCGGCTCGGCAGTCGTCAACGATGCGAGCAATGCCATCGTCGTTGGTGCTACTACCATCACCGACGAGCGTGCCTCATTCTCGAACTTTGGCGACTGCACCACCCTGTACGCACCCGGCCAGGACATCACCAGCACCTGGGTTGGAAGCACGAACAAGATCAACACTATTTCCGGAACAAGCATGGCCTGTCCTCGTACGTCCCTCTTATCCACTTCCTTCTTCTTATAAACACATACTAACCGGTCCCTCAGACGTCTCCGGCCTGATCGCCTACACGCTCAGCCAGAACCCCTCGCTCAAGACCGACACGAAGGGAATGAAAGCGTTCCTCGTACAGAGTGCGCAGGATCTCGAGATCACGGAGCCCTCGGGCGACACCGTAACCGTCAAGTACGCAAATAACGGCTTCATCGCCCCCCGCACGGGCGCGAAGCTCCTCAAGCGTACCTTCTCGCGTCTCTAGACTCGTCCCACCCTTGCCGCGGCTGTATAGACATCTTTTCATTTTTTTTCTCCTTCATAGTACTCGGGGCTTGCATTGCATTGTTGGGGAAGGCTGGGGGGGCGTCATTTGCTTTCGTGTTGTTTTTTTTGCTTCTTGTTTTTTTCTTCTGCTTCTTGGGGCAGGGGGGGGGGTGCGATGAGGAGGAGGGGGGGACAATGGGACTGCGACGGTGATGGTGAAAACTCCCATAGGTACTATGGGAGAGACAGGCCGAAAGGGAAATAATAAGTTCATGTATTCACACCCTGTATAGTATTATTCATACACGGAAAAATATGGAACTATGGACAAGGCCTGTTTGACTAGATAACTGTGTTCATTTGTCGACGAATTGATGCGGGTCTGATGTGGTGAGATCATGGTCTTTCGTGAATCGTGACGTGTGGAAATAGGTGGTAAACGGTTGGGGCGCGCTTAGTAGACTAACTAGTAGTCTGCGATCGTCGTAGGCCTTTCCGGGTGAGGATGGGCGGCGGCGGCTGCGACTGTCTAAGACTGGTGGGGACTGGTGGCTTTGAGGTTGGGCGTAGGGTGGGCGGCTATCTGCATCCACGCATCAACCCTCGAATTGTCTGTCGCGCGAGAGTGGGGGCAAGTTCATGCGCATAAGGCATCGATTTCTTCTTCGATTCACACAAGTTATCTGCTCGCGAGCTGCGACAACAGTACTTTTTTTCTTCACATCAACTCACTCCTCTAGAAGTTGAAACCCTCGAGCTCCGCTCTCCAACCGATCGGCAAGTCATGTGATAAGCCCCCCCCCCCCCCCACTCGGCACGGTAGAAGAACAGGGCCATCAGCACCTGCTGTCATACAGAAAGTGGACGGGAGGTGGGCGGGTACACATGCGTGCTTCGGCTTTTTGTTCTTGAATCTTGTCCTCTGCTCCGAGCTTTACAGATGGCGAGTGATAACTCATATTACACGTCGGCACTTCGTGTTGAAAGCGACACCATCGAGTACGAAAATGCCCGAAAGCAATACCCACCCTGTGGGTTGACGGACCTTGCTTGAGACAAGACTAATGAGCGGTACCGTGACTTTTCGCGGAGAGACTGGATTAGCCTTCGGCTTCGGATCTTCGGTTTCCTGGTGTTCAACTACTGTGCACTGTGCACTGTGCAGAGGCTGTATTTGTTTTGTTTCGCTCTATCATGCTCCCGATTCGCTGGGTCATCTAGGTTGTGGCGGCGTATGGTCGTGATCACCTCCATTTCGTCGTATGTGCCAAGGCAGTTGCTCTTCACACAGAATCTCACAACATCTCACTCATTTTGCTGCAACCGACGAGTGGATGGCCTTCTTGGGACTAGTCACGTGTACAGCCGTAGTGGAGGGTGTTCACGACTTGTTTCCTCCTTGTACTTACATTTTCCCCTTCCTGTTCACAGTTCAGGTGATTGACTCGGTGTGGCACTACCTATCACTACCACAATACCTCGCCACATCTACCACAACCATAGTACCATACAATGCCGGAAGCTATAACGTACTACGACACGTGCAGGATGCTGCAGCAACTTCCGTCCTTCAGTTTTACTTTGTATTTCCATACAGCAAACTTCATGAAGGCCTCAAGCTCTGCCGTCAATGACGTCGCTGTTACTTCATCCTCGTCCAGCAACATACCCTCCAGCCAAACTATTGCTTCCACGGCCTCCCAAGCCTCAGCAGCCTCCTCATCTGGCAGTCCCACCCATGTCCATTCGGACCTGCAAACATTGATGAAGCACGATGATGCCACCCAGAAGACTCCTCCTGTCGGCATCCCTTGCTCTGAAGTATCGACCTTCATCAACGACCTTGACGCCAAACACGGTGTCGACGACAGGGTTTACGATCCCAAGACATGTCTACACCGGGGAGAAGAGCTAGGAATCCGTATCGGAACAGGTCAATGGTTGGTCGCCCATATGACACAACAGGGCCATATATTCCCTATGAGACGGTGGGAATACTATATGATTGTTCGTGGGGAACATCCCATGGGTTCACAGCTGCCGCTTCCTACAGTCGCCCTGGTCGGCGATGTCCACTGCATCGTTGCCTACGACCACACAATGCAGTTCCAGTTCTTCTTCCGCAGCGAACCGTGGTGGGACATTCGTTGGAACGCCTGTCCCATCAGTGAGTCCGAGGAGTAAGTGAAGTGCCTTCTGTGGCGTGTATTCTCCCTTTGGTTATTCTGACAGTGGTTAGATTCGAGCAAGGCATCCGTTCCGCCACCAACCGCCTCACCCTATTTACCGCTGCTATACGTTAGGAGATGTGCGATTCCTCGCAGAATCAGTTATGGAACGGCATCGGTGAATCCCACGCCGATGAAATCCTGTGGGGGGCCAGCATCTTCCCGGGCACACCTACCAACACCGTCTTTTTGGACGCAGCTATGCGGGAGCGTCTACTAGATTCCATCAGACGGTTCTTTGCCCATGTTCGCAGCCGCGAATACACCGCCAAAGTTTCTGCCAAATCCACCTCTCCCTGGGCCTTGGACATCCACCAGCGTATCACAGAGTTCCATAACAGCTTCACGCAGGTGCACAGGAAGACTGTCGCCCGGTGACACACCGCCATGATTCCGGCCATCAGAGCCCAGGGTTAAGATGTCCAGTTCGTTGTGGAGAAGGACGTACCGCCGGCTGCCAGTGTGGATGCAGTCCCTGCACAGCCTTACCCTCTCACCTGGTTCCCCAAGGAGCCCTACCAACTCGTCAAGGTGTTCTGCTACGGCAAGAAGAAGCCGAATGGTGGCGGTGGTGGCATTGCCGTCGCGCGGCTCTCCACCGTCATGAAGCCCAGCGATACGGTTCTGGAGGAATTGCAGCCGGAAGAGCTGTCTATCGAGGAGCTGGACCGTGACGCGGACAGCGCCGGAATTCCCGGGCTGGGCATTGGCAGCTTCCACTACTTCCTGCAATGGAAGGAGTGCAAGGGGGAGAACGAGCAGGCGATACCCGAGCAGTTGCACGGCCATGTGGGCGGAAAGATGAAGTTGGTGCGTACGGGAGCGGTGGGAAGACCCCGCCGAAAGATGAAGACGGCCCTCAATGAGGCAGTTCCCGAGAAGGAAGATGCCCACAGGGATAAGAAACATCGTTAAGATAAGCATGGAACGCGGAGGAAGTAGAGGGTCTGAAAGGAAGAGTGTAGATCAGTGCCTAGGACTGCACGGGGCCAGATAGACAAGTCACAAGTGTCTGTTTTGCAATCGAAAATTGAGGATCAAGTTAGCACCCGTCTTTTGGTCGGCCCCGGATTTGAGGTTGGCCCGCCGTGAGGCCTCCCATAGAATGGTGGCACCGGTCAGAAACATCGAATGGACTTGGAGCACTGCTAGGAACCTCAGAAAACACCGTGAAAAAGATTGATTCTTATGTACAACGACAGCCCCGCAGTTAGCCCAATGTGGGTAGCCAGCCATGACGCCTTCTATAGAATACTGCCACAGGCCAGAGACCTGGGATGGACTCAGAACACATTTTGGTTTTTCTCCCATCATACAAGCATCCGCTTGGCGAGTGAGACCTCATGAAAGCGCCGCCGTGTTGAAACACGGAAATGGTGACTACATACGAGTAACGAAACCGCTGCAACCAAAAGAAAGTATAGGTACCTACTGCTTTCACTGCGCTGTGCATAGCCCTCGATTTGTGCTATCGTGATAACTACTGGGTATTGGATTCTGGCGGGGTGGTTTGGTGGTTTGGTGGCGGCGTCATCTTGTCTTACCTCAAGTACTCCTGCAATCTTACTTGATTTTCACTCGCCCCCAAGCTGCAGTCTCCTATATGTCGGAACGGTGCAGCTCCTTGGGAGACTAGTTTGTGATCCTATGGGCAGTTTCCAGTTTTCCAAGCTGGCTGGCCATCGTTACCCTTGGGCTGCACGGTTTGTGGAGTATATACCGGGCTGGCGGATAGGTTCCCACGATACTCTTACAACGATGTGCAGCAGGACTCAAAGTCCAACGGCTCATATCTCCAGAGATATATACCCAAATACCTAGTGGAACTGCAGAGCAAGAGGTACTCGTCATCTGTTACCGTATTTTAACTTCAGAGCTCAACTACAAACGGCTCGAGTGCCGTGGGGTTAACTAAGAACCTAGGCTTTAGAACCGGATCCAAACCCATCGCCGCGTCTCCGATTTGTCGTGTCTCGCCTTTTTCGACTAGAGTAGTCCCCCAGCACTAGTTACAGCGGGCGGAACTGGCGCCTTTTCCCCGTTACTGGCCGGTAGCCGGCCGGATCTACCAATCGAGTCTTTCTGTGCGCCGTGCGCCGTGCGGGGGGCGTTGAGTGGATTGCGTGCATGGGTCAGTAAGCGAGGATACGATAGTCAACTAGAGTAGCTGTCAGTTTGGAGATTGGGATCGACATCTTCAGCCGTTGAGTTTTTACATGCTTAGGTGGGTGCTGCTTGGAGGAACTACGGCCTTGACTATCGTAGTGTAAAGTATGCACTTGGGCTGCGGACGCCGGACGCCGGGCGGACGCTGCTTCTTCAGGGAAGGAGATGTCTCCGGGGGTCGGAAGTCTTTGATCAGCGCTATGTACTGGCACATACATATGATGCATACACGCCGGCGACAACTGACCAGCAGCAGTCCGCCTTGATAGGTACCTATCCACCTGTCCACCTACATACGGTCTTTACTCGTGGATTGGTCAGTATCTCCGGTCTTTGCTCGTGTATTGGTTAGCAGCAACGGGTCTGACTACGCCGCGCCTAGTTATGTACAAATAGAGTGTATAGGCTCACTCCCCTGCTCCAGATGTTGTTCGTTTTCGCCTTCGTTTACCCAGCGAAGCGTTCCGCCGCCGTGGACCAGGAAGCCCAACCAACTGATCAGGATAGGCCTGCAGCTCGCACCCTTCACGGTCATGTCGTACTACCGTACACACTACACACTTCTGGCCCCAAGAATTTTGGCTTTCACGTTCCCTGTTCCGACAACTGTTATTCCCTCCCTCTCTCCGGGCTCCCCGCCCCTTTGATGTTCACGCTCCTACTCTACAAATACCCCGCAGGCCCCGGCCTGAAAAAACCACCACTGCCCCTGAAGCCTCACATCGTCCCTCACGCCTCGGATTCGAATCGAAGTTCAACATTCTCCTCCCCCCACGGGCTCACGTGTATTTGAAAACCTTGCAAGGATGCACCCAGAACATCCGTTCCGCGAGGCGACTTCTGGAGAGTCCGTCGTCTTCATCCGCCTCTCACTCTCACCGCGGACACCACCCCCATCATCGTCATCGTCATCGAATCATCATGGACTACGAGTGCTCACAGGATCCGAGGGGGGAGAAAGAACATCACTTTGGGGGTCTCGTGGGATGGGGATTGCGGCAGAGACCAATACATAACCATCTATTACTACACCACTATCCATACTCTCAATTCTCGCCCACGGTGGCCCCCGTCTACTCTGCTCTGCCGCCGATCCTGCTCATAACCACCGGCTTTTCGGTCCTACCGGGAGACCCAATACATTCGACTGATAGCGACGGGCCCATAGGTCCAAGGTAGATACCTATCCTTCGGCGATTGTACTCAAAAGCACGCCCCCCTCCACATCCTGCGTTTGCTCGCCGAGGACTCAAAATCGTACATATTCCGAAAGACCATCCTGCTAATTGGTGTTTGAAGAGAGCGCAAAGTCACTCTCGTGGATACATTCCTACTTGCTTGCATAAGCCTTGCATAAGCAATCTTCGGTTTTGTTTCCGAAGTATCAGCGTCTCCATCATGTCCACTCCCCCCTCGACGACGGCGCCGACACGTTCACCGGACCCGGCATCCCACGTCTTGCTGCACGACATAGGCCATTTCGACGTGGGGCCGATGGTGGCGATTGTGGCGATGGTGGCGATGGTGTTGGTCTTTCGGAGATGCAGTTTCAATGTATAATACGAGAGTTCTGCATCCGCGTTATTCTCCTGCACCGGATGTCACTCACTATCCATATATGCATCCCCCCGGCCTCGTCGGGGCTGTGATTGGCGCAAATGTTGTGCTCGCATTGCGCTTGTACCGAAACGAGAAGTTTAGCCGAAGGTGGAGCCGAAGACACCGTTGATTCAACAGCACCCCCGCACACCAATCCTGGCTGATACGACGGACCCACGGCGGAGGATGCAGGTCGAGAGCCTGTGCGAAGGCTCGGTGTGTGGCGCGACCACATGAGGGCCTGCCTCTGCTCATCACATCCAACACCTTTCTCCCGCACAACCTTCCGCGCCCACATTCCGCCCACACACGCGCTTCTCCACCTCGTGCTAAAGTGCTGCCGCAAAGTGACGGTCAAAATTACAACGAGCCACCCAATCGCGCATGGCGGATCAACAACCGGGCGGACCGACGTTGTCTGGAGGAGGAGGGAGTGCAGGCGTGCCCGGAGGGGGCGGCGGGAGTGGAGGTGGTGGTGGAGGTGGAGGGAGTGGTGGTGGTGGTGGTCTCTTCCAATGCGGCGACTGTGGCCGGTCGTACACCCGTGCCGACCATCTGGCTAGGCATGTCCGCTCTCGTAAGTTTCTTCCTTATTCCCGGAGAGAGATCTCTCGGTGAGACCTCGCTGATTCACTATCGATACAGATACGCAGGAAAAGCCTTTCCCCTGTACCATCTGCCTCAAGCGGTTTTCACGCGCGTAAGATGTTTCCCGATCCGTGTTGCACTGGGTGTCGTTGACACGAAGCCCTTTTCCTTAGCGACCTCTTGAAACGACATTTCCTCAACCACGACGAGAACAATGACAGCAAGCGGCAGCGACGAGCTCGATCACCGACCGCTCCGGGACGAGTAACGCAGGCATGCAAGGCATGCGCAACCGCGAAGTTGAAGTGCGAAGAGGAGAAGCCTTGCCATCGGTGCGAGCAGAAGGGGATGAAGTGCGAATACGTGCTGCTGGAGGCCGTCAGAAAACTTCCGAAGGGAATCAAACGAGGTACGGAGGATCCGACTTACCGGTGAGGTGATTGCGGCACAGGAGTCGAAGCTAACATCTTCAGAGTATGACGATCCTTCGGATGGCGGCGTCTTGCCGAGCCAACTTCCGCTAAATCCGACCAGTGCACCGCACACGTTCCATGATGCCAGCCATATCACCACCACCTTTCCTGGAACCCAAGCACCTACCCCCGAAACGATGTCGAATTACTCGGTGCCGGATCATTCGGGCGAGACACAACAGTATGTGGTGCAGTACGGGGGCGGCTACAGCGGAGATCCGATGCATGCCGCGAATCTCTCGGCGGGACGCAACTTTGTGCAAAGCATGCACCACATCACGGCTCGCCATCCAGCGGCTCGGGATCTGCTCAACTTCGGGATGATGAATGACCTGGAGCTTGATGAGATGGACTTTGGATTGTTGGATACCTACAACGAGATGTTTGTTGCGCCTGGGGCCATTCCTTTCGACTTTACGTATCCGCACATCCCGGCGCAACACATCACCCACCAACCAGAGACTACATCACCTCCACCAGCAGGCACGAAGCAACTCGCGCTTGGTGTAGAAGCGTTCAAGCGATCGCATCTCAGATGGTCTCCTACCCATGAGAACCGGGGGAATGCGGAGCATGACGGACTATCGATACCGTCCGATGCGAGCCCCCGCATACAAATGAACTGGCGTGCAATTAACCTCCGCTTGGATCACAGCGCACGCGATAGAGTATTGGCGGTGGTTCTCTGCATGTGCGATTTCAATAATCGGCTTCAAGCAGTTTCCAGCTTTCCCTCCGCGGAGATGCTGGATAACCTTATGAACCTTTATTTTCATTATCAGCGGGAGTCGTCCGGCGCTTGGATACATCCTGCTACCTTTAACCCTTCCACTGCGAGCCCTGAGCTGTTGACCATCATCGTCGCTGCCGGCGCTGTCTTGACCCCGGTTCCCGCTATACGGAAATTGGGATACTCATTGCAGGAAGCAGTCCGTAGTTCGCTCGGTCAATTGTTCGAATCCAACAACTCTGCCACGAGGAACCTAGAGACACTGCAAGCCTTCATGTTGCAGCTCGAAATCAGTCTCTGGTCAGGCAACAAGCGGAAGATAGAAATCGCCGAGTCTTTCCGGCAGACCATCACTACGATGCTGCGTCGGGCTGGAAAATTCAAGCGGGCCCAGTATCCTCCTGTGATGCTGCACCCCGGTGACAACGGCGAGATATTGGATTCACGGTGGAAGCAGTGGATCGAGCAGCAGCATTATATACGGCTGGTATTCCAGCTCTTCCAGCACGATTGCCAGGCATCGATGGCGTATCTCGTCAACATCATCATCTCCTATGCCGAGCTATCACTCCCACTCCCCGAGAGCCGCCAGCTATTCTTTGCAGCTACAGCTCAAGATTGGAAGGCTTTGTACCTCTCAACCCCTGGGAACCCCAACATAAGGACTCCCAGCTTTACCGACAGTATCCATGACTTCCCCGACCTCAATATCCCCCAAAACTTCAACAGTGGCCGCATAGACCTTGAATTGACGGAACTCAACACCCTATTCGGCCTTTGGGGTCAACTATGGGATTACCGTCAGCGCCAGTCAATCCGACGTACGGCGGAACGCCCCACCTCACCGCAGCCCGACCAACTCAACAAGAACCTACTCAGCCCGCGTTACCAGTCGCCGCACTGCCGCTTCCTGCTCGAGCTTCTCGGCATGACCCTCTACGTCTCACTCGAGGACCTGCAGGCGTTTGCGGGCAAGGAAGACGAGGAGGAGAGCATGCGCGCCTACCCCATCGTGCAGGGCTGGATCCAAGGCCCCGAGTCACGCCTGGCGGTATGGCACGCGGGGCAGCTGCTGCGTGAAGCACGCACCTTTGGGCCCGGCGGCCTCCGCGAGTTCTGGGCGGTCGGCGTGTACCACGCCGCAATCACGCTGTGGGCATACGGCGTGCTCCTGAAGCTGCCGGCCCCGCAGATGATGGACTCGGGGATGACGCACAGCAGCGGCAGCAGCAACAGCGCCTCCGCCACGCCCGAGGCGCATCTCGCCGGCGGCAGCGACGAGGACGTCGTCTACATCGACGGCGTCGACACTCAAGCGGCCGGGCGCTTCATCGACTACAACCGTGGACGCCCGATGATCTGTGGCTTCACCGGCGAAGTCGACGTGCGCTCCCCCGGGCGCGTAATGAAGGCTGTCGCCGAGCTGCTCCGGAGGAATCATGCCGTCACGTCGGAGGAAACTACGCCGCCGCCGCTGGTGGAGAATCTCGTCGAGCTGATGGAGGAGCTGGGCGAAGCGGCGGATGCGCATTGAGGTACCGATGTAGCTAGCTGGCATACACGTGGAATGATGGCGTTGATTTCTGTTCTTTTTGTTCTTTCTGATTTCGCGCGCTGAAGGGGTGTTTGTGCATATTCGCGTTTAATATACTGTGCTTGTTTTTTGCCTCCTACTCTACTCTCCTTTGGTTCTGATCAGAACCCCCAGTGTTTCTGTACGGTAGTTGCGCTTGTATTGTATGTATGATGCGTGATGATATGCGTGATGATTATTTACCTGCTGTAACGGCCGAACCCCTATGATAACTATGCGATTTCTTTGTGCTGGAGGATGGAGGGGGAGGGGGAGGAGGGAGGGTGTTCATGTAAACGGACTACCTATCTACATGGTAGGGGAGCGGTCCTGGGCATTCAAGCGGGCATGGGCGGGCGGGCGTTGAGGGGCGCCCGGGGAGGGGGAGGGGGGGGGGAGGGGGGGCGTCGTAGGGGGCGGTGATAGATACATCCAACTTCCAAGTAGGAGGTATGTAGTCACAAGTACATACGATACGATACGAAGCACTGGCACTACTCTGTTCTTCTTTTTCTTTTCGTACCATCTGCGATCGCGAGATCTACGGTCGTGAGGGCTATGTATGACTCCTCGACTCGTCTCAGGCTTCAGGTCGTTAGGTCGTTCCTGACCCGGAAGTCATCACAAACATAAACACCCGCCCACGTACGACGCAGGTGCAGCAGGTACAGCACGACCCAGGCCCGTGCGGCTTTCCATGACGTCGTCGTCGTTGTCGGGGACTCAAATGACGGTCTGGGTGTCCATACCACATGTACCATCTGCTGGAGGGGGAGGGGGGGGGGGGGGGGGGTGAGCAGGACGAGGCGCAGTGAAATGAGGGAGGGACCGGAATGAGAGGTATGAGAGGTCGGGGGAATCATCCGCATCTTAAATGTCAGAGATGGCAGAGATGGAGAGGGCAGGGTCGGGTCCCGTGATGTTGCTAGACGGTGGGGGAGGGTCACACGGGGTATTGCTTATTCTTGTCTGGGTTCTTGTCTGGGTTCGTGCCTGGGGTTGAGTCGTGGACTGTTGGGTCGTTGACGGTTGACGTCAGGCTGGCCTTTTGTGTTGGTTGGCCGGTGAGTAGGCTACAGCCTTAAATATGAGGATCTGGGCGAGGATCTGGTTGGGGTCTGGTCGCGGATCTGGTTGGAGCCTGGTTGGGGACTGGGTACGGATCTGGTTGGTTACCTAAGATGTAGATGCCTATCTATATGAGGATCGATTCAACCGTTAACGGTCGGGATGGATCGTGGAGGGGTTACATACATAGGGTTGGGGGGTTGGAGGGTTCAGCCTTGTCGAAGTGGGGGGTTAGTTCCCAAAGTATGTCGTTCGGTTCCGCATTATGTAGGAGCGAGACGAAGTGAGGATCTGAGCAGTAGGACTGGGCTGTTATGGACTGCGGGCGCACCCCAGAGAAACGTCGCGAACAGTGTGGGAGCATGGGAGTCCATCCCGAAAGCTTCCGACTCGATGTGATGTTCTCGAACGAGTGGGGGGTTACCAGGTAGTATGATAGTAGTTATCGCCATCACGTGCCCCTCCCCCGCCCCCGTGCGCAACGGCAACGGCCACACGAGTGACGAGTACGAGCCGCCCGAGCGCTGCTGTTCGCACTACGCAGTTGAGATGAGTACGGGATAGGGACACCTGGATACGGTACAGTCATACCCCCCTGGTGACTGCGAGCTCCAGCTGGTGGAAGTATCGGCAGTCACGAGCTTTCTGTGGCTGTCTGGCTGTCTGGCTGGCTGGGTGGCAGAAGACAGCCACAGCTGCTTCGTGCCTTCTTTGGGCTTCGTACAAAACGGCGTAGAGGCCCCTCGCAAACAAGCAACGGTTTTATCGATTCTTGCTTATTCTGATCCTGATGCTTCGCCTCCTCATTCTGCAGGTCCTCTACACTACACCACACTACGCGATTCGGGAAGAAACGAACGACTCACGCAGCGCACTCACATCCTTACGCACGACACATCCTTAGTTTGCAACATAAAAGCCACATCGGGAAATTTACGAGTCATACTCCACATAGTTAACTACCCGTCAAGACTCAAGAGCAGAGACAACTCGGAACGGAACAGAACAGAACAGTCACACAGTCGCAACCAATCACAGCATGGCAGGATTCACGATGGCTGGGAGTGCGGAAGTCTTCTTAATGAGCGGAATCCGCTGCTACTGGTGTGCGGTGCTGAGACTGGGACTGGGAGTGGCACTTCTTCTTTGTTTCCTCTTTGTTCTGAGACTGCTCTGGCTAGTATCGCACCGTCATCACCCCAGGAAAGAAGAAGAAGCTCTGGCGGTACGGGATTCGGAAGTCGGCGGAGGAAGCGGCGGAGGAAGCGGCGCAGACACAGATACAGACGCAGATACCACAGGCACAGACACAGACGAAGAGCTGGAACTAAAGCTCTCGCCTAGCTTGCTGCTGCTATCGTCATCTACACCGTTGTTATTGTCATTGCTCGAGGTGGGTTCCGATCGTTCGCTGCTGTTCTTCCGTCCGTTTCATCCATCTCATGACCACACCTCCCACCACCACCCACCACCACCACGCAACCCCTCCCCCCGACCGACTCCGACCGCGCTCACCGACGGAAGAGAAAAGAGAAAGAGAAAGAAGCGGACGAGCAGACTTGGGACAGACCTTTGCGGGCTTCTCTTTCTGGCTCTGGCCATGCTTTCTCCAGGAAAAAGAAAACACCCAGAAGCAGTAAATTACCGTATTGGGATTAGCCCGCATAGCTTCGACGAATCACGGTGCGCGTGAGGCGGCGACGAGGGGGGCGGAGGGGACTTTCTGGGGGTGGGGTGGGGGATGGCGGATGGTTGACCATGGTCCATGGGAGGGGGGGAACGGCCTCCGCTTAATCGCAGTTCACTGCTAACCATCAGATAGTCCGACCAGCTTCGTGCATGGCAGCTTGGTGCAGCTGCTGCACCCACATCCTCCTGTAGCTCCCACTTTGATCCCTCCTCTTCCTACTCGTCCCCGTCCGAATCCTCCTTCTCAGGAGGCTGTTGCGGGGTTCGCTGTGAGGTATTACAAGAAACGTCTCTCCCCCCCCGGTCACCGCTGCTACCACTGCCACCACCCCCTCCACCTCCACCACCTCCACCTCCACCACCACCATCGCTACCCCCCCATCCTCCGCTTCCCCTCACCGATCGCCTTTACTACTACGCCGCTCGATTCACAAGTACCAAAATCTCCAACTCTCAATATCGCGACAGCCAGCTCGTAACCGAAACCCACCTGGACTATCCCAACAGTGACGCCGAGCCACCGCCCCCGCGACCGCGACCCCCCGAACCTCAAGAGATGCGAATGCGCACCTCTCTTGAGCTACCACAATCACCTTCGCCGTCCCCGCCACTACACCGCAGCTTGGGAATGCAAACCTCGCACAAACAACCATCGCTGCCGCTGAATCGAATGATGCATCTGCCCACACCGCCCCCCTCCTTCTCGTCGGAGACCGACTGCTCGCCGCACGATGCGACCAGTGGGTCGGCGCTCTGGTCCAGCTCGACGCCAACCAACAGATCGCACGACGACTTGCGATCATCACCCACACCTATGCGCCTGCCGCCACTCTCGGACCAGGAGGTCGCCCGTCGCCACCTGCGACTGTCCATGTCGCCGGAACCCGACTTTCCTCGACTGCCGCCGCCTGGCTCCAATCGCGCGACTCCGGATAGAGAGATGGGCGGCCGCGACTCGAGGGAGTCGTCGCCGGCTACGGGGCGGACTCCGTCGCCAGACCCCTTTGACGGCGATCGGAGTAGGAGCAACTCGCCGGAAGACACAATGCGACCGCCACCGCTGCGGGCGCTGACGGAACAGAACTTGAACGCCAAGAACCATCATCGTGCGGGCTCCAACGGCGCGCGCTCCGTCATGTCGGCGTATGATATGATTACGAGCTACATTGGAAGCGACGGAAACCCGCAGCCGAATAAGCGCCGAGGGACGTCGACTGGGTTCCAGCCGAACGCGGGACTGTCGAAGCCGATCACGCCGAGCTTTATCAGGGACTACAACTCCACTACATCCGTACGAAACCGACGGGCGAGTAATGCGCGTGACTTGTCGCCGGAGATTGAGGACAACAGGAGAGAAGAGGGACAGGGGTCGCGCATATTCCAGGGCAGCTTGGTGCTGTCGAATACCTACGGGAGTGACGGAACGGCGACGAGCCAGTCGGGGGATATGTTGCGCATGAGCGAGCTGTCCCGACAGCGGCAGGCAATGGGTTGGAACTATTGTGGTGGGTAGCAGCAATTCCCTTCCTTTCCTCTTCCTTTCCCGCTCCCTGCACTTTCACGCCTCCTCCCCCCCCCCCCCCCCCCCCCCCCCCTCCCCCTCCCTTCATTTCTTGTACTGAGCCCCTCTGTTATATCTTTCAGCCCAAATCCCCGAAAGCCGTGTTCGCCATGAAATCATCACCTCCCCGACCGCGTCATTGACCCATGAAGGAAAGGAATCTCTGTCCACAGTTTACTACAAGGAGTTTTCGTCACAGATCGATGCATTCGCGCGGAACCTCAAGAAGCCAGTCGTCACGTTTGTGCTCGTCATGATAATACCAGTGCTATTATCGCTGGGAACATCACTTTTCACTGGATCGCGGAGCACTGTGGGGACGAGTAACTCGACATTCGGCGGCAACATCGATTTCCCGACGCTCATGAGTATCGAGGCATCATTCGAGCGGGTGGTGGACTCCGCGGCCGGTGGTTCGGAACTCGCGCGATCGCTAAAACAGAGCGAGATGGCAGTAGCGGACCTCAGCACGGTAGTCAAGTACTCGGATCTCAACTGTCGCGAGACATTGAGCACGCGGTTGGAGCAATTCGCCATCGACGCACGCGACAACGTAGTGGGGCTGCTGGAGTTTTCCGCAAAAGTTGGGGGAGTTCTAGACGAGTAAATTTGGCTTCCTCCCCACGCCCCGTGTGAAACATGGGCGCTGATCTTGCGGGCTATGTAGGCTACTGTCGGTGAACCAATACGCGCTGCGCGAATTGACGTCATTACACATGGAGCGTCTCGAGGGCCGAAAGACACTGCTGCAGCGCATACCCTTCCCGTGGCCGCTCTCGTCGCTCGCGCCGTCGCCCGCCACCATCGCCCGCGCACGCCTGGCACAGACATTCGACACGGCGGTCGAAGTGCTCGAAACCAACCTGCGGCTACTGATCGCGCACGGCACGATAATACAAGCGGGGTTGATGGGGCTATCGCAGCAGAACGGGCCGATCCGCACGGAGATCGTGCGGGAATTCGCCGACATACGCCGCGGCGAGGCCGAGGCCATGTCGTCGCTGTGGGCGCGCATCAGCACGCACTCATCGAAGCGCCAAAACTTTAAGGAGAACGAGCGCCTGCTGCGCGAAATCAACGTGTACCACGATAAGGCGCGCGGTTACGTCGAGGTTACCCTGCTAGAGCTCGGACGCATGACGAGCGAGCTCGATAATCTCCGCCGGAGAGTCGCGCAGCCCCTCCTCGTCGAACGGAAGACCCAGGATATAGGCATGCAGGATCAGGTCCATGCTATACAGGGCAGCGTCGATGCCCTCCTCAAGAAACGAGGCGATAGAGATGAGAGGCAGCGCATGTGGAATCGGATTATTTTGGAGGGCGCGGTGCGCGGTCAGGAGGGGGGGACCGTCGAGGGCCCGAGGTTTTGACAGCACAGCACATAGGCTGAGGTTGTTGGGCCGGGGGGAGGGGGGTGGATAAGGGTGGATAAGAGTGGATAAGGAAGAGCCAGGGTGAATATGCGGGGAGGCCTGGGAGGGAGGGAAGGGGAAGGGGCAGGATGGCATGGATGGCGTTCTCTTTTTTTTACTTTTCCTCCCTTTTTTATTTTTTCTTTATCTGGATTCTGTTCAAGGCTGGCTGGCTGAATTTTTGTTCTGTTCCGTTTCGGTTGGCGTTTTTTCTTTCTTTTTCTGTCTTCTTTCTTTTCATTTCCTGTCTTCTTTCTTTTCATTTCCTGTTTCCGGTTTGGTATGAGTATTTCTGGGAGTACATTGGGGGAGTACGTTGGTGTCGGGTCTTGTATCGGGTCTTGTATCGGGGTTTTTCCGGGGTTCTGGCTTCTAGCTTTTTGGGCTTTTTTGAGCTCACTCACCAACTTCGGAGTTTCTCTCTTTTCTTGTGTACTTTTTGGCGGGGCTGGGTTTTTGTTCGGCAGCAGAGGGGGAGAGGGGAGGGGGGGGGGGGGGGGGGATATGGGGGGTTATTGGTGTTTTTTGATTCTGGGCTGGAGGGTATCTGTTTGATTTTTGTGTTTCGGTTTTTGTGTTTTGTGTTTGGTTTTGTGGATGGGTTGATCTGGATGGTGTCTGGATGGTTGGGGTATCTGGATGGTGGGAAATGTATGTACACACCTCTCCTCGTCTCTTTCCGTCTCGTCTCGTCTCTTGCCTTTGCCTTTATTTTGTGTTTTGCCTTTGCCTTTGTTGTTAGTGTCTGTCTTCTGCTTTTGTTTTTTGTTTTTTATTTGCTGTTTACTGTTGAGTCTTGTTTGTTTTGCTTTTGGGCCTGCTAAAGCGTGTTTTCCGTTGGGGGAATATTACCAATTGGAGGGGAATGTATTTGGAGCGGCGGGAAGTGATGGCGCACAGGGGATGAGGGGCGGTGGATTCAATTCTTGGAAATAATATACATACGGCTTCTTTCTAGTGTTACCTACTTGAAAATTCCCTTGGGCGGGTGGAGATGTGAGATGTGCGGAGATGTGAGATGTGCGGAGATGTGAGATGTGCGCGGGTTGGTTGTGTGCGCGGGTGGGTTATGTGCGGGGGTGGGTTATGTGAGTGCGGTGGAGATGATTGCGGTGATGGGGTGGGAATCATGCGATGCGGGGATGGGATGGGATGCGGTGGTATGCGGTGGAACGGTGAAGGCTCAAGGGGCGGTGATCCTGGGAGGTGGGGGAGCAAAGTGGGGGGAGGGGAATAGGTAGAGAATGTAGAGAGCATCCCGCTGCATCGCTGCAGGTCTCGTTTCAATGAGCCACACACACACTCTCTCTGTGCAGAACGTAGAGAGTACATAAAGGCGTGCCGGATCTTCGCATGTAAGGCTGGGACTGGGACGGAAGCACAGAAACTCACTCGGCAGCAGCCACGGCGCAAGAGTAGGTCGATGTTCCCGACGCAGGAGCCAGGACACGGGCCGATGTGCCATGATGTGCGAAGCCAGTCAGCTTATAGGAGGGAGTACTCACTCAAATACCGGTATGTAGGAGTCAAGGACCGTTATGTCGTTCCTTTCGATTTTCAAGCATCAAGACGAGAATCGAAGCGCATAACTATCAACAGCACGGAGCGTGGCGATTGAGATTACAGATCACAGAGGACAGAGGACAGACGGAAGTTGGAACTCCGCTTCCACATCTACCTAGTACCTACTGTATACTTAGTGAAGGGGGGGGGATAAGATATTTGGCAGCAGTACAATGCGTAACCAGCACTGGTGCATATTCTCAACAGACTACATACTATGTAGGTACTCCAACACTACGTATCGATACAGGTCACAGCGTGTTTTTACTGCTTTGACACATATTTCCACGAATAAGCCGTGCTACAACCTGCGGCGAACTCCCACAACGTATTAGGGATACGTATCCAATACTGTATAGTCAAGGGGGGAGGGTAAAAAAACATTGTTTCCAGCTGGACGCATATTGCTATTGTATCAGGGCACAGAAAAACACGTATTTTGATCGTACTGATACGACATCCCTAGCATTTTTTTATAAACCCCCATTTGACTATACGGTACGTATCGAGATTCAATATGCGTGGCAACATACTAACTACCACATTCTTATACTTATACGTTGCGGGGAAAGGAGTGACTGTATCCTGGATACACGGACGTATCGATATGGTATATACCGGATACGTTGTTTTTTGATCCGCGTAGCGATATCGTTGTGCTTAATTGCATTTGTATTACAACGTATATCTTTCAACAATACGTTGAGCTTTCTTTGGCGATACTATTTCTCCGTGATGTATATAGTACACCTGCAATACATAGCCAAAGTTCTACGTATCAGATTATCTCTGTCATAGCGCCTGCAGAAGTACCTAGCGGTACCATATTCTAGCCCGACACGCAGTAATTCGGGATATTGTAGTGCTGCATACCACGTTTTTTACCCCCCTTCACTATACAGTAAGTACCCCGGTGTAGTCGAGGGTTTCCCCAACCACACCGTTTCCGGCGGGGCAGTGTCGTCGTTTCTTGCTCCCGAGGAACGAACCCCTCTGACCAGGTGAGCAGCAGCAGAAAATACGGTAACTACGGGTAGCAGTGTTGCCGGACAACCACTGCAGTCTCCAGTGACCAGTTCGCAGGAAGTGCCATCGCCGCACACCTGACGACCATTGACAGGCGCCGTCGGATTCGGGACTCAGGACTCGGCAGCCGGCATCCGGCGTCCGGTCAGAGTGATATCGCATGACGCTGGCGATCTCTTCTGGAAGAAAGCTGTTACAAAACCCTGTCGGAAACGTGGAAATGGGGGACTCAGAGTGCATGGATGCTGCTAGACATGCGAGATATGTAGGTTCGATAACGCACCTGAATGTACTAGAGTACCTAGTAGGTGCTGGGCGTGGTGAATAGTGATCGAGCGCCGCGCTGGCGGCTGTGGCTCGGAGAAGGGCGGAGGACGGACAATATTGCTGCCATCTTTGTGGGCCAACTTCCAAGAGCACGGTAATCGAGTCACCGCTTTGCATAGTCGGAGTATGTACGCCACTCGACTCGATACTTCAGTGCCCAGTCTCCATCATCATAGGCATCATCTTCCGAGTCCCGAGTCCCAATCCCGTCGCCTTCCGGGAGCACTGTGCAGGTCTCACCGAAACCCTACAGAAACCCGACGTCGTCGGTCCTCTAGCTGTAGAGAAGTCCAGCCCGCTGAGCGCCTACAAACCAACCAAACAACTACTCCAATCGCGAAATAGATATATGTGCCGAGTTCTCCGTAGATATGCCATCTGCCCGGGTGGCTGAAAACCTTAAACTTACGCCATAGGAATACCCAGGCCCATCATCTCAGATTCTCCACACGCTCATCTTCCATCCAAACACCCTAGGTATGTAGAGTACATATCTCACTCCTTCCATCCATTCCAGAACACCTTCCTGACGATCCCCGCCGAGGCAATGATCGATTATGATCCCCTAGTATCCGGGTCCGGACGAGTGGCATCACAACCACAACCGCCAGCAGAGGCTGGGTATATCTGATCATCAGACACACCAATCTTCCGACAGCACCATTTACTCCAGTAGTTGCCTAGCCACTCGCGCCCATCCTTCCCGCCGCCGCCGCTGCTGCTGCATCGCCGGCCGACGTCCATCCTACCAGCCCACCATCACCGCCATCCCACCGCTTATGGTAAGTGTATCCGTCTTGTAGGCACTAACTTCCCAACTTCCCACTCTAAACCTTCCCCCCCGCCACCCCCAGCACCCCCGGCGTCCGCGCCTCCGAAAGCCACGCTCGCAAAAACCTAACTTTCCTACTTCGACTCTATATCGACATCCGAGACGGATAATCCGGTAGCGGGTCTTGGAGTTACAGAACCGGTGCTAAAAGCTACAAAACAGTGCTAAAGGAGGAAAGAAGTTCCGCTGCCCCAACAAGCAACGGGGTGTCTCACTGTTGCCTCCCACCGTCTCACCGTCGCACATTTCTCTCGTCTCGTGCTGCCAAGGCACGGGCACGGCACGGCAGAGACTGGAGCAGCGCCGCAGCAGCGGAGCAGCGGACCAACGGTTAACCCGGGCTCTTTTTTCCGGGGGAATTTAGTTTTCCCAAAGGGGGAGCGTTGCGCGGTCACGGGTAACTATCACAATCTTATGCATACGGGCTTGGATACTCTAGATGGGTGGCTGGTACTCTGCATACCGGGTGAGAGGAAATGAGCGGGAATTTTGTTCCTATTCCTTCCGGCGCTGGATCCCTGATGCTCTTGAAGAGGGAGGCGAGGTTTAACTTTCAACTCTTATTCCTTCTGGCTTTGATGCAAGGGAGCAGCGGCGAGTGTCGTTTCAAGAGTTGAGTGAGTGAGAGAGATGGATGAGGAAAAAACATTCGTTTTCTTGTTACAACATTCCTAACTAAAATTAAAATCCGAACCACCAGCCACCCAGACATTACAAGAAAGAGAAAGAAAAAAACAGAGAGAAAAACGTGAAGCCATCATGATATCCCGCCGCCCCGCCCAGCCCATCCCAACATAGCAAACATGAATCATCATATCAAACGTAACCGCAGCAGCACCACAACCTCCCATGGCAACACACACACAAGGAAAAAAAACAGTGGTAAAATCGGTATATACAACCCCAGAAGTGAAAACGCGCAGTGGTATAGTGGTGTAGTGACGTAACTACGGCCAAACGATTAAGTCATGCATCCCCTTCTTACAACTTCTCGTCGGCGATGCTGCTGTGGCTGGCGCGCTTGCGGCTGACGTCCTCGTCGCTGGACAGGCCGGAGGCCATGGGCGCCTCGAGGTCGGGGACGGGGTTGGAACCCTTGTCGGTGAGCTTCCAGGCGTGGGTGGTCTCGTGGAAAAGGGTGTCCAGCTCCTCGAGCGTCTTGCCGGCAGTCTCGGGGTACAGGAAGTAGATGATCGGGACGAAGGCGGCGTTGAAGCACATAAAGATGAGGAAGAACTTCCATCCGAGGTTCTCGGCACCGAGAGGAGTGATCTTGACGACGACGACTAAGGAGATGTTAGTGTGAGGCTCACAGAAAGAACAGCGGGGGGGATCTTACAGTTCCAGAGCCAGTTAGCAGAGGTAGCAAGAGCAGTTCCCTGGTTGCGGAAACGGAGCTCGTTGATTTCGGTGGGGTACAACCAGGGAGTAGCGACCCAGGCGAAACCGGAGTAGGTGGCGATGTAGACCATGACAAAGACGACTCCGGCAGTACCGGCGGCCTTGTTGTTATCCTCGACTGAGAGCTTGACACAGACAGCGATGACGGCCATGGCAATAGCCTGTCCAGCGGCACCGAGCATCAAAGGCTTGCGACGTCCCCAGTTGTCGATGAAGAGAATAGGGATAAAGGTGAAGACGAAGAAAGTGAGACCAGTGCATCCACCGACGATCAGAGACAGCTCACGGTCGAGGGAGAGAACGTTCTCGAGGAGGTAGGCGGAGTAGAAGATAACGGCGTTGATACCAGTCAGCTGCTGCATCATCTGAATGCAGTAACCCAATGCCAGACGGCGGAAGGTCTGCTGCTTTCCACCCTTGAAGTAATCCCTCCAGACGACAACACCGTTGTTGTTGGCCATGTTCGCGGCCAGAGCAGACTCGATTGCACGGTACTGCGACTGGACCTCGGTGGAGTGCTTGTCCTCACCCTCGAGAGCGGCAAGGACCTCGAGGGCCTCTTCCTTCTGGTCGTTGGCCATCAGGTAACGGGGAGACTCAGGAAGACCGAAGAGCATGACGGCGGTGATGGCACCGAAGACGACCTGGAGGAGAATGGGAGTGCGCCACTGGAGGGTCGCGTCCTCAGAGAACGAGGTACCGTAGGTGATCCAGTACGAGATGGTGATACCGATGGTGATGAACCATCCCTCGATGGAAATCATACGTCCACGGGAGCGGGCTTTGGTGGTTTCGGCCTGGTACATGGGTACAGTTGAAGTGTTGATACCGTTACCGACACCGGTGACAATACGACCGACGATCATGTGTGCGACACCGAAAGCAGAGGCCTGGAGAGCAGTACCGACGAGCATGATAGCCAAACCGAGCCAGATAGCCTTCTTGCGACCGAGACGGTCACCGATGTAGAATGTGAGAATAGCGCCGAGAAAACATCCGATTTCGTAGATAGCAGTGATTGTTCCAATTGTAGTAGTGTCCGGGTTGTTGAATGAATCTTAATGAGAATGTCAGTCTTGAGATCACTACGAGCGCGAGGGAGAATGGCGCGTACCCTTGAATGCAGAGCCTCCGATGAGACCGGCGAAAACTCCCTGATCGTATCCGAACAACAAGAATGCGGAAGACGAGGCGACCGACACCATGATTCGCAGGGCGGCACCCCGCGCATTTCCCCAAGTCCGTACCATTGTTGTGAGAGTAGCGAGAGACTGTTCTTGTCGACTGTTCGTGCTATGTGATGGAAACCGAGCAGTGGCCGCGAACACTGGATGTGGATGGTGATGATGAGAAGCCCAGGGTTGGAGGACTCACGAACTTCTTATATCCAGAGGAGGTGAAATCCCTTTGCCCGGGTAGCTGCGATGGAATTGGCGAAGGATTCAAGTCTTCGCTGCATGAATATTCGGTTCCCCATAGTTAGTGTGGCGCGGCCTGGTCTGGCTGGTTTGGCTGGTCCTGGTTGTGGGGACGGTCATTGTGGGGACTAGCTAGCGGCGAGAACCCATTTCCCTCCCCACCGCTTGCCTCCACACGAAACCAACCAAGAGTGGGTGCGGGGCGCTTGTCTGGGGTAATCGCTAAACCCGTAAGAGCTCAAGCGGATTACGGGGAGTCCTTCGGGATTTCCGATGTGTCCGTCAAACTGAAACCGTGCGCCCGATCCGGCAACCAGACTTCTACCACAGCTGCGAACGGTACGACCGTCCTGATGATAGCGTAACGGCCAGCTGGTAGAGTGCTGAAGGGCACGAAGAAGCAAAATCCATGCTTCCGAACGTACCCCGAATGATCGCGTGAGTACGGTAGAGTTGGGACGATGTCGGTTTTCTGCACGCTATGCACGAGGGGTTTGCCGTGAGAGCGCGAGCCTGACCTGACCAACCGCTAAGGGTATGTGCCAGACCGTTGGAGCGTTGGAGATCACATGGCAGCTGCAAGCTATGCCTTGACGGCCCTTCACCATGGGTCGACCAGACGCTCCTTTGTGGGCTGCATGGCGCGGAAGAATGGATGATCCGCCGTGCGAGGGCATCGCGAGTCGCGATTTTCGACGCGGTCGTTGTCGCGGTCAAACTTCAACATCGTCAACCTCATCGACGGAGAACAGCTTTGCGGGGTCTTCAGGCATAGTAGCGCCATACCCAGAAAAAGCACTTACCAAGTTCCATGGCAGCGCGCTCCAGATTCCCAATCATCCCGCCTTCCCCGCCCGTCCGTGGGCCGTCTCCACAGTGATCCGAGTGTTTGTCGACTCTTGGTGTTTGTCGCGTGTCTGTCCAATGAGAGCAGGCATCCCGATCGGAATCACGAGATTCATCATGTGCGGCTGGTGGTTTTCTGGAAAAAACATCTAGGCCTGTCGGGTTGAGCCTCGATCGCTGGTCGGGGAGATGGTCGGCTTTTCCGATGCGCCCCTGGTGCCGTGGCAACCCCAACCCCACACTTCTCGCGTGGCCATTAACCACTGCGTAGCGCGACTGCAGGGAATTTTTCCGCCCGGGGAGTAATACGGAGAAAGATCGCCATCTCATAATCGTCATCAGAATCTTTCTTATCGCCGGGGAAATCAGCGGCGTTCAGACGGCCGTGAAGAGCGGGGCAGCGGCGAGAGAGTGGAGCCTCCAAGAGCTGGGGTGCTGAGCTCCGCAGCTCGCCATATTAATAGGGAGGCTTCTCGTTCGTCCTCCTCCTCCTGCTCCACAAAGCTGTACGATATCGTGAACTGTGCAGACTCTTACTACCTATTCTACCTCCATTACCCACTTCACAAACATGTCTACCACCAACGGAACCACTCCCAGCGGAGGCCTTTCCCTTCGCGTGCTCGGATTGAACTCCGGCACCTCCATGGACGCCGTCGACTGTGTCCTCTGCCACTTCACTCAGAAATCCCCCTCCGAGCCCCTCCACCTCAAGATCCTCAAGTTCGACGACATTGAGCTTCCCCAGAGCATCAAGAAGCCGGTCTTCAACATCATCCGCTCCAACAAGACCTCCCCCGAGGAGCTCTGCCAGATCAACGTCCAGCTCGGTGACGTCTTCGCCGACTCCGTCGAGGAGTTCTGCCGCCGCCACGGTTACGATCTCGAGAAGGACATCGATGTCGTCGCTTCTCACGGACAGACCATCTGGCTCCTGTCCATGCCCGCCGACGGTCAGACCCGATCCGCCCTTACCATGGCCGAGGGCTCCATCCTTGCCGCCCGCCTCGGCAAGACGGCCGTTACCGACTTCAGAATCTCCGAGCAGTCGGTCGGACGCCAGGGTGCCCCCATGATCGCCTTCTTCGACGGATTAGTCCTCCAGCACCCCACCATTCCCCGCGCTTGCCAGAACATCGGTGGTATCGCCAACGTCTGCTTCATCCCACCCACTTCCCAGGAGAACGGCGGTATGTCCGGAATCTACGACTTCGACACCGGCCCAGGTAACGTAAGTAAAAATGACTCCCAGCTCAAGATTGAAGCTTCTCCTCTTCAGAAACTGACGAGCTATACAGATGTACATTGACTTCGCCATGCGTCACTACACCGAGAACAAGATGGAGTACGACAGAGACGGACACTTCGGTGCCGCCGGCACTGTCAGCCAGGAGATCGTCGACGAGTACCTCAAGACCCTCCCCTACTTCTCGCTGCCTCCTCCCAAGACCACCGGCCGCGAGCTTTTCGGCGACCAGCAAGCGTACGAGCTCATCCAGCTCTGCGAGTCGAAGGGTCTCTCCCCCCAGGACACCGTCGCTACCATCACCCGCATCACCGCGCAGGCCGCAGTCGAGGCGTACCGCAAGTACGGACCTAAGACCGCCGACGGCAAGCTCGACATCAAGGAGATCTACATGTGCGGAGGAGGAGCCTACAACCCCAACATCTGGAAGTACATGGAGGAGCAGTTCAAGCCCGACGGTGTCCGCATCACCATGCTCGACGAGGCCGGTGTTCAGGGCGGTGCCAAGGAGGCCGTCACCTTCGCGTTCCAGGGTATGGAGGCCATCCTTGGACGGCCCCTGGTTGTCCCCCAGCAGGTGGAGACCGATACCCCCGTCATTGTCGGCAAAGTCAGCCCTGGAAAGAACTACAGGGAGCTGATGAAGATGAGCGTCGGTTTCGGTGGACACGTTGAGGGAGACTATCTGCCTGCTGTGCGGGAGATGGTCCTCAACTCTGTTGCCGAGTAAACCAGCACTCACCTCATAAAATAATGTCTTGTTTATTTCGATAGATTTTTTTGGGTTGGCCGAAACATGGGGATGATGTAAATATTGAAATGTGCGGCCAGAAGCGGAGGATATTTTCTTTTTTCTTTCTTTCTTTTCTTGGGTGTTTTGTATAGATTTGAACTGGGGGCATGATGTATGATGAAATAGAAACGACGTTCACAGTACCTTTTCAAGTTTTTTTTAGTAAATTATGCATCGTGATGTTTCCTTTTGCGAAAATCTGTACGACTCTTTCCTCGTGGTCAATCGCGACCGCCACCTCCGTCAGCGGCGACTGTGGGGTGCAGAGAACATGAATCGTGCGACATAATCGAGACTCCAATTATCGCGGCGCGTCATGCAATGGCAGTCCACACCGGCGTCCTGAAGTATGAAGGGAAGAGCATCGACGCGTTTGTGTGTTAAATCCGACGCTCCGAGATGCTAGATGAGTTGACTAGTCTCGAATCGTTTCCCGATGCATGCAGTAGCGGCGTTGCTGGGCCAGGTGAGTGCTTAGAGGTTAAGTATGAAATAGGGGCATGGCCCAAGACTCCAAGATGCCGAGAAGATAAACAACCTGAGCAGTGAGGTGTTTGTCGGGCGGAAGATGTCGCTCCTATGATTCGTGGGAGAGGCTGTTTGTAGAGTAGAGTACTCTAGCTGTGGATCAGTCACTTGGAAGTTGGGACTTGATCGATCACTCGGCAATTCAGTTCAGTTCAGGGGAAGTGATGCGATAGATCTACGATTCGGACGGATGGCTGATACATAGGTAGCTGATAGCTCTGATGTATAGTGAGACAGTCGAGCGTACTAGTAGATGTCAGCTGAGGAGCCACGTTGAGCGATTTCGGCCCTTCGTTTTTGCGGTCATTCACAGATTATCACTCAGGTCAGCTCATCCTAGCAAGCCATCAACAGCAATCCGAGGTGACACTAGTCGATGGGCGGCGATAGACTGGGATAAGGTACGGGCAAGGGCTCAAGAGAGAAGGAAGGCCGAATCAGGGAATGGGGAACCAGAACGGTGCTCGGAGAGGGATGAAGAACTGGATGCAATGGTGACGATAGTTAAGCGTGGAGCGGTTTCTAGGCCCGCTCGTTCTCACTTTCCTTCCTCCCTTCTTTCTTTCTGGCCTCCCTTCTATCTCTCGTTCTCTCTGTATGTAGTTTTCTAGCGGCAATCGAGAGAGGGATCGGGCGGAGGGCAGAAGGGAGCCCGCTCCGAGCTTGTGGCCAGAGTTCGGAGACAGTGGGCCGGAGTCGGACACGTAACTGTCTTGATCTGATAAGATCGAATGAAATGATGATTAAATGGAAAGATAAAAAACAAACACGAGATGCACCGGCGTACGTTGGCGGGCCGCGGCTGGCCGTCTAGTGTGAAATATTCTTGTCCCTCGTACCCGTCGGCACGTCGGCATTGATGAATACGGGTGCAGAGACAAAGAATGTACCCGAATACAGACCCAAAGATGCCTACATGCCCGGTTTAAATGCAGTCCTACAAGGTTTTCATTAGCATAACACCTACATATGGATACGACCGACATCTCATATGTGCCGCGGCTCGATCGTGTGAGGGGCCCAAGTCTGCTTACTTCCGAGACATTTGTCATTCAACCCTTGGCAGTCCTCACATGCTGATACTCCGCTAGTGATACCGTATCGAGGCCTCATCGTGATCAACTATAGAAGGTTATATGTCCCGAATGTTTCGCCGAAAATGAAGCCGTATGGCGCAGGTAAACGGGATTCAAAATCGGTACTTGGTAGGGCGAACGCAATACGTCCGGACATGTCACCGAGAGTCGCTGCTGTCGTGGCTTTTTTTTTTTCACTCGCCCCGTTACGCTAGTCACACAGCACCGGAGCCGCACCTTAAGTGAACGTCTCCTTCACGCGTCCCCCGCCCTTCGCTTCCCCATCAAATCGATCCCAACCCCACAACGCAATGACGCTTAAATACTCCGCATTCCCCATACCAAGTATCTAGCAGCAAAAAGCAGACCATTGTGGCCAGCCTCCATGCATAATCCCAGCATTGACCCAGCTTGAGCCCAGACAGCCTTATGCGATCTCCACCAGTCCGCGCTCCCCCCCCTTCAGAAGTGTCGCGTTTATCGCAGCAGCCTCCTCATCGAATCAATATCCCGCGCTCGAGATGACCTTGAACTACCGCCTACACCAACAGCTGCCAACAGAAAATAGTGCTCCGCCTTGCGCCCCTACCGCCAACATGACCACCCCCTCCTCGAATCCGGATGACAGCTCAAACTCCGTCGCGGGCACCGAGCGTGAGCGAGAGCCGCCACAGCACAAGTCGAGCCCGGATCACCGGGGTATAAAGCGAACAAAAACCGATGGTAGGTAACATGCCTAGTCCATTCGACCTCGCCGCCCGTAACCCCTATCTCGTGATGGCGGTTCTCATCGAAATCAAGCACACGCCGAATCTTGCCACAGCGTCACTAAATGTGCGTGTCTCCGGCTACAGGGAAATCCACTACAGCTCCGAGAAAGAGAGTTCCCACCGCATGCGAGAACTGTCGACTGCGGAAGACGAAATGTGATGGCGTCAAGCCGGTGTGTGGGAGTTGTGCGAGGATGGGGGTGGAGTGCGTTGGGGGCGACGAGAAGGAGTTGAGCTTGTACGTTGACCTCTCTGACGAGCTTACTTCCTCGAGTGCATAGCTGATTCGTGTCGTTGCATGTCAGGTACGAAAGGACAAGCTTGCGTATTCTCGAGGGTATCGACCGCATCGAAGGAATCCTTCGCACTCAGAACGCCCCGCCACCTAGTCCTGCCGGCACGGCCAACAACCATTGCGCTGCTATTACTACAGTGAACACTATGTCAAGTCCTGCCGCTGCTCTTAGCAACCTCTGCGCAGCAGCAGCAGCAAATTCAATGTCTCCCCCCGGGGTATCACCTGCCATGGCGGTGTCACCCGCTCTCTCCTACCAAAGCACGGCCAGCATCGTGACTGCGATGCACGAGGCTCCGAGTCCCTTGCCAGCGATTCACACACTTTTTGACTCCAACTCGACCATGCCGGGCACAAGCAGGATCAAGACGCCATCAAAGCTTGACCGGATTCTAGCATGGAGTGTCTTTCCCAGGACGTCGCCCTATTGCGGCCTTGTCTCCAATGGAAACTGGAGAGAGAGCCTGGGGGAGGAGATGCATCTGGGGCTGGACGAGGTGAGAGTATTACACATGCGGTATCTCGAGCGGTTTCACCCCAACTACCCCATAATAAACATCGAATCTCTCAACAAGGCAATATGCTCGACGTTGGAGGGCAAAGGATGCGGGTGGGATTCCGAGGCCTGCTTGATGCTCCTTTGCTGCGCGCTTGGAGCGGTCGCAGACGATTATTTCGAGCACTTTTATAATCGAGAGACGACGAGAGATCCACAGAGATCGCGGCTCGAGAGGATAGCGAGGGCGGAGGGGTACTGGTGTATGGCAAAACGTAGATTGGGGATTGTCATGTTGGAGGAAACGGAGTTGGCGGGGCAATGTCTCGCTCTTGCTGGGTACGATAGCTCTCCATCGCCCACAACGTGTTTTCTAATCCATATCCACCACAGGTTTTGGTATCTATACCAGCTAGATCCTATATCCGCCTACAAGATGTTCCACTCCGCCTGCTTGAGCTGGCAAACCCTTCACCTGGCACAGGGTCGCTCGGTCGACGTCTCACGGGTGGAGGTCGATGGAGTCAGCTCGGGAATGAGCCACCCTCAATACCTCAAACAACGCCTTTACTGGACTTGCCTCAAAGCGGAGTTTGAACTCCGCGCAGAGCTATCCCTTCCCGTGCCCACAGGAGCACAGCTAGAGTACCCCCTCCATTTCCCTAGTCCTCCAGCGTCATTTGGTCCTGCGCCAGGAGGCGCCGTCTACTTGGACACCGAACGACTATGGTATTTCTACACCGCCGAAATCTTTCTCCGCCGACTCCACAACCGTCTCGTAGACGAAGTCACCTCCTTCGAAGCCTACCTCCTTGACCCACAAATGACGCTAACCGAAAAGCGCCTCACCTCTCTCATCACCATCGTGCGAGAATACGAAGTCTACGTGTCGCAATGGCACGCCTCTCTCCCCGTCTCCATCCGCTTCCCAGACCCAGCCATATCACAACAACCACTTCCCGACGAGCGCCAACAATTCATCCGCAAACGCTTTTTGGATTGCCACGAGCTGCTCTATCGCCCCTTCCTCAACCTTACTCTCAACTACCCCGGCTGGCCAGGCTACATCGTCGCGCCACACCCAAAATCATCCCGCAATCAACCGCGGGACCCCGTTAAACTCGAAGCCGACGTGCGCTTGTTCTCCACACTCGCACTGCAATACACATACTGGAGCATCGCGGCCGATCGCGGCGTCTGGTTCCAGCACTCCACCACCGTATGGCGTGACGTACGGAATCGCCTCGCAGATGTGTTAGTCCTCCGCGCCGCAGCAAAGGCGGGCATGGAGCTGCCAATGCACTGGGAGGAGGTCGTGGAGGATGCTGAGGCTGTGCTGCTCTATTGGTGTACCGGCGATGGGGAGGATGAAAGCGTTCGTGACCGTAGGAGGAGGGCCGGACTGAAGGGGTGTGCGGAGGTAGTTACGTGGGCGAGGGAGATTATGTAAGACGATGCCTGTATATATTCGCACTGCGATAGTGGGCGCGGGGACGCTCAGCGTACAAATGGGTTTGAAGCATTGCTTTGTTTATGGCTTCGTTGGGCCAGTGTCGCTTTGTTTGGGTTTCAATTGACAGCATGTATTAATAGTTGGATTCGTGACTAGTGAAGCTTCCTTCGATTGAGATCTTTCCCCGATTGCTTAATGCTTTTTTGCGATTGGTCTCGTGGTGACCCCAACTATCGAGGCCTATTGGCCTTCATGCCGGCATGAGCGACTCGCGGGGAACAGGGAGACCGTCCCATGCAGCTCAAAATACTTACCGGAAGGCTAGCAATATCAATTGGTTTCCGAAAACCTTTTGTATCCATGTTCCCGCAACTCAACCTACATATCAATCCTGACTGCAGTCGATCTATCTTTCGGGATCCGAACCCGCGCGTTAGTTAGCAGGCTCGGGCTGTCGATATCAGTGACCGGTGCCTATCGATATCAGTGACCGGTGCCTACATATAGCCACTCTATCTGCACGAACATTGCTCTGCTGGCCCTCACGATCCTACATGTGAATCTTTCGGCCGGTTTGCAGAGTTCCGCAAAGCCGGCAAGTCCATGCAGATCACGGGAAACCCATATCTCGCAATCCCTAACCCTCTGTCGACTCTCAAGGTGTCCTGCAAAGGGAATGTGCACCCTAAAGTGATCTGCAGCTCGGTTGTCAATCCCGATGCAGGGCGTACCGCGATGCGTTGTTCGGTCTTGGGTGACGATATGGTATAACTGTTATCTTCCCCTCCTCTCCGCTCCCTCTCGCTCTTTCTCTTCCTCCAAAGAAAACGGACACAGCAGACAGATAGAAAGATGGCACCGCCAGTTCCGCCGCGCATGCCCACCCGCTCCGGGCCTCCGCCGCCTCTCCCACCGCGCCCACAGCCACCGCCAATCCCACCAAAATACACGCGGCCTGCACCACCACCGCTAGCACCAGCACAACCACCAGCGACACAATCCCACCAATACAACCACCTAGCACCCGACCAAGCCGATTTCTTCCTCGCCAACGGCTACGTGCACCTTCCCAGCGTCTTCGATCCCGCCAAAGCCGCACCATGGCTATCAACACTGTGGCCGCGCCTCGGCTACTCGGCAGACGACCTTAGCACATGGAGCAAAGAGCGGATCCACCTTCCCGCGACGACGCGGGAGCTCGCATCGACATTTGCGCCACTAGCGTGGGGGGCGATGTGCGATCTTCTCGGCGGCGAGGACCGGATTGACACGGCCACCGGCTCGTGGAGCGACGCCTTCATCGTCAACCTGGGCGTGCCCGGCGCCGAGCCGAAGGAGGGGACGAACCGCGACGGGAGGAAGATGTGGGATTGGCATGTGGATGGGGATTTCTTCACGCATTTCTTGGACTCGAGGGAGCAGGGGCTGCTCGTCGTGCCGCTGTTCTCGGATATTGTTGAGGGGGGCGGCGGGACTGTTGTTGCCCCAGAGAGCATCGGCGTCATCGCCAGGTATCTCCACGCTCATCCGGGAGGCGTGCCGCCGGGTTTTGGAGGCGGCAGGTGGTTCATCGAGCAGGCTCATGCATGCTCGGAGTTTGTGGAGGTTACTGGGAAGGCCGGCGACGTGGTGCTCATGCACCCGTTTATGCTCCATTCGGCGAGTAGGAATTTTTTGAGGACGCCGAGGGTGATCACGAATCCGAGGGTCGGGTTGAAGCGACCGTTTATGTATGGGCGGGATGGGAGTGCCCTGAGTTTGGTCGAGAGGAAGACGCTGCTGGAGTTGGGGGTGCAAGGGGAGAAGCTTGATTGGGAGATTACAGGTGAGAGAAAGGGGATTGTGCCGGAGCGAGAGAGGAAGAAGTAGAAATTTGGCGAAGTAGAATGATGTTAATATATTTGGCTTTCCTGCTCTTACACTGGACGGATTAGAGTGAAGGATTGGGGGGGTCGTCGATCCTATTTCGCATATAAGCCTGTTAAGACTAACGCGAACGCCAGAAACACCAACCTAGATCCGCCCGCGAGTCTAGCTATGCGGATTTCCCTTTTGCTCTACTGGACAATCAATGGTGATCGTATAGAACACTACCACTATCATCACAACTCTTTTTCCACCTTCACCGATTCATCTTGCTCCTTGGTATTAGACCTATCATGTCCTTCCTCCCATTTCTCTTCTCTTGTCTTCAGAGCGAATGATGGGCTATTATACCGGACACTCATACCGCTACAGCGGAGAGGGATGAGTAGTCCTAGACAGGTGATATGTTCGCAGCTAATGGGTGAAGGATTGACTGGTACTGGGCAGCCGCAAGGACATGAGGGTAACTGTCCGGGACGGAAGTATGACCTCAAATATGGAAAAGGGCAAGTGGTCGTTCACGTGAACCGACATCTAGCGCGGACACAGCTATGAGTAGGACTACGTGAAGTGCTACACTATGTTTAGCTGGATGAAAATGATCACTCGACATATCTTGATTGGGTATAACCCTCCCCCTTTGTTCTCAACAACAATTGTATGTATTACTCGGTGAAGTTCCACTTGCAGGAAGATGAGATAACAAACCCGCAGTGTCACGTAGGGCTTCGAACCCACCCCGCAGTCACAATCCCATAGTCACAATCGCACAACACAAACCCACACCCCTTCGAACCTTCCCCGCAACCACAACCACGCACCGCTTCAATCCACTCCACATCACACCAACATTTCAGCCATCCGTGGCATCCTTTCTTTATCACTTTTGAACATGTGTGTTCCTACTCCATGAGGGTTATAAATGCAGGGAGGTTAGTATTATTCCTTTGAGATTAATCTGGATCAGTGATTCGAAATCTCGCTGACGCTGTCTTCTACACTGAATGCAGACAACATTAACTTGTTGTATCCCTGCTGCCCAATTCGATTACTCTGAAGCTCACGCAGCGGGTCTACCATTTGATCCCATCACCCGCTCAGCTGCGCCTTCATTGGTGGTGGCGGGTGGGGGTGCTGGCAGCATCGCTGGATTCCCCACATTTCCGGAATGCAGCGGCCTCCATGACCGTCAGAAGACGGTTCAAGGAAGTATTTGCCTTGGTAAGCCAAAGCCCGAAAGGGAGAATATGGAGGAGCGAAACTAATCCGAGCAAGCAACAGTTTGGGAGAGCGAGTGTAGCAACATTCCACTTGCTGCGTGGGTGCCTCTGGTGGAGCGACATACACCTCCGGAGGACACTCTCCGTTCGAACTGAATCCCAAGAGTGCTATGCGTCACGATACAGGTGGCGTCTCTGCCGACCAATCGAAGGATTCGGACGTCGTACGGGAGGCGTCTCTGCCGACAACTCGAAGGATTCGGACGTTGTACGGGGGGATCGGGAAGCGGCCGGCCGAGGGAGTCGAAGAAACGATCACTAGATGCCTCTAGTGAAGCACGGAAGCGGCCGGCGGAGGGAGTCGCACAGCATGTTCGGGGGGGCGTACGAAGAGAAGACCCGGTAGAGAGATGATGAGATAGAGCGTTGCAGGACAGGAGTCTCGATGTTGTATTGGCTATCTGACTTGATGAAAATGGGATGCGAAAGGGCATGCAATATGAGTGGTTCATATAGAAGAAGTAGAAGAAATAGAGGCATACAATTTCCTTACACATGTCGTCCGTCTTGAATTATGTCGCTCTATCTTACTCGTCATCCTTTAGGTTATTGGGATACTTTGATCGGACGCATATTTCTACAAGCCCATCAGGAAAAAAAAATCTTGAAGTACGTAGTCGGCTGCGAGTATAAGATTTACCTCATTGTTGGTGGGCATGGTGGGTTCGACCAAGTGGGGAGGTGGGAGACTTAAGCTGGGTCCCGCGGGGGTTTCTTCTTCTTCTTTCTTGATCATCCTCTACAGAATAGACGATCAAATTCCTCCCCCTCCTCTTTCTTCTGTGGGTGCACTCCTCTCGGCGCATCGCCGGCCTGGAGGGGGGTTGGCAAAAGAGCCATTTGCAAAAGGGGGCTGTCGAAGGGAGTTTATCTTCATACTACTTCATGGCGGATACTGTACAGGAGCGGGCGATGGACAATGACCATGGACAATGGGTTATGAAAGGTTGACAGTTGGCAGGAGGCCGTTGATATCCCGTGTATGGAAATTAATGTTCCTGTCCTTTCTCCCTTTTCTTCCATAGTTTCTCTCGTCATATCACTCGTGGGAAGAGGGGAAAAGTTTAAGAGTGTTCCATTATCCGGCGCCGGAGTTAAACCAGCCAATGAAGAGGAGAAAGGACTTCAACGGTAGTCGAAAGATTGTATGTGATCCCCACTTACAGATTTCCTCTGGGAAAGTTGGAACAGTATCTCTGGCGTGACTAGGTAGGTTGCCCATAAATAGCTTTGCCACGCAGATCGTCGATATAGGCATGTGCCATCGTGTTCTCCGGAGTCACCGTGGGGGCCTAACGTTAACCTAATGTCTCGCTACTGCGACCAGGGATGAGGCGTTCGAGACGTCCCACAGCGACGGGGTGCCTGACCAAGAATTGAGAGTAGATAGCTTCCCAATCAATCTATTTCTTCGCGTACGATATGGTCCATGACTCAACGGCAACTCCGAGGTGAATATAACTAACCACCGAATGCCGGAATGGGGGCTACGAACTTCAAACTCATGAATTGCAACCATGTCGACCGCCGAATCGTCCTCAGCGGCCGCTGCTAGGGTATGCATGTTGGTTGCTCAACTGTGGATATAGTTGCTTTGCTGAGTCCACAGGATCCTGACAGAATCGCACCTGCGGAGTACTTCGCACCTCCGGCTTTCCATACGGCTCTACCGGCGGCATATGCGGGGAAGAATGTACCAACGCCTCCTGCGGTGGTGGAATTCTACGCTCCGGCGGCATCTACGACGCGCAGATGGAACGGCAGACTCTCAGCCCAAGCACAGGCGGGGCCGACTCGATGGAAGCGGAGGAAACGGTTCGGTTTGATGATTCTGGTGATCGCCCTCCTGGCTGGTATCACAGTCGGCATTACCGTTGGTATTACTTCGCGTAAAAGGTAAATACATTCGAGTGGGCTCCCGGAGGCGAGTAGTTGTCGTTGGCTAATGGAATACCTAGTCGCTCTGGCTCGGAGGAATCGACGGAAGATCCTAGGATCAAGGAGGAACACAGAATGCCGGAAGATTCTGCACTCGCCAGCGCAGGGCTAGATCTGTATTACCAGGTGGCCAGCGGGAAGATCATTCAGAGGGCACTGTCGTCGGATTATTTATCCGAGAACTGCACCCGTGAGCTTCCTCTCTCCGTGCCGGCGAAAAGCGGGACTCCTCTGGCAGCACTAGAATGGGGGGCGGATGTTAGTTTACAATTCCTCCTCCTCGTGTACTAATTCCTAATGTTACCCCAAGACATATGTGTTCTACATCTCGGGAGACGACCGCATCCAAGAGCTAAAAATCACGTCCGAAGAAAACGACTGGCATCTCGGTCCACTCTCATCTCTCGATATCATTGTACATCCACAGTCCCAGCTGGCAGCGATGCCGTACCCCGTTGGCAAGATTTCCCAACTACGTCTCTACGCGCAACTCCCCTACGGTACTCTCCAAGAGTTTAACTTCAACCGCGGCAGTGACAGCCACCCCGCATCCGGCAACTGGAGTGTCATTACCCCCGTTGAACCACTTCCAAGAGCAATACCAGGGTCCGGACTTGCTGCGGTGACATACGACGATAGAGAGTATTTCGATAACCAGATCAGATTGTATTATCAGGCCGAGGACGAACGACTGGACGAGCATTGTTGGCCGGAAACGCTATTCGTTAACATCAACGATACGAAATGGGACAGACCCGAGTACGAGAAGTGGATTGAATGTGTGCCTTCTCTTCCCAGACGACTTTATTGTGATGTCCAACTAATGCGCCTTCGCCACCGCCCACGGAAAGCTCACCGCACTCACCGCAGCAGAGGTACCACACACGGAACGGCGAACAATCATGGTCACCAGCCAAGCCGGCAAAGAGGACGAGATCAAGATCTTAAAATGGGACGGCTCGACATGGACGGAGCAGCCGCTACCCAGCAATCCGGACTACAAACCGATGGCAAAGAACGGAAAGCTTTCGGTAGCAGATCCTATCGAGTTCTACAGAGGGACGAAGGAAGTGATAAACCTAATGAATGGAAACGAAGAAAGCGGGACCAGCAGCGACCCCGACTCACCGCAAAACCTTACATGGCTGGCGGGGTCCGGCCAAGGGCTGGTGACGAATTGGGGAGCTTGTGTATACTTGATCCCGAACGATACCTGTAGCCTAAGGGAAGGATAATATGTACATGCATAACGAATGGATATGAAATATACCCGGGTCACACGGTATAATGGAATGAGTGAATTCTTACTGCTGCGCTTTCTCTTCCGCTGGGGTGCATAAAAAACCTCATCCCCTCGCATTCAGCCAGGAGGATGATGTTTTTTATAAGGAAACCCGCAGGAAAAAAACCTCGACCACGTTTGGGGCGTTGTTTCAGTCCGCTGTGCTCTTTCCACTGCTATGTGCTTGCTCTTTACTCTTGCCACTGCTGTTGTGCTTTGCTCATGCCTGTGCTTGAAGAGAGAAGATGGAAGGAGAGGGGGGTGAGGGAGTTTTATAGATGTCGCCGCCGGATTTTCAGCTAGCTAGTGGCGGTATTTCTTGCCCTTTGAAGGGTAGCCCTAGTTAGGGCTCCTTCTTCCGCCGCACACCTTCTACTTACCTTCCTTCCTTCTCTTCCTCTTCCTCTTCCTCTTCCTCTTCCTCTTCCTCACCACCATCACCAATACCAACACCAACACCAACATCAATCGGTAATATTCTTTCTACAAAGGAAGAAACCATCCGACTAGCACCAGGACACCACTACCGGCGCGGATCGAAAAGTACACAAACACTCGCCCATACGTCACATCTTGGTTTTCAATACCTTGACTGTGACAACGTGAGCTGATGCGAACATGGGAATGTTTGCGGTGGGAATCTGGGGACCAACTGGACCACGCGGCGGATAATAATGGACCAGCAGCAGCAACCAGGGATTTTTGTGGGGAGGAAGTGCGGACGTAATGCAGGCCGCACAGAAGACCGACAAACGGGATCACGTGCCCGCGCATACGGCGGATTAACCACGCGGCGGGCACTAACAGACCAGCAGCAGCAATCTGGGAATTTTGTGGGGAGGAAGTGCGGACGTAATGCAGGCCGCACAGAAGACCGACAAACGGGATCACGTGCCCGCGCATACGGCGGATTAACCACGCGGCGGGCACTAACAGACCAGCAGCAGCAATCTGGGAATTTTGTGGGGAGGAAGTGCGGACGTAATGCAGGCCGCACAGAAGACCGACGAACGGGATCACGTGCCCGCGCATACGGCGGATTAACCACGCGGCGGGCACTAACAGACCAGCAGCAGCAATCTGGGAATTTTGTGGGGAGGAAGTGCGGACGTAATGCAGGCCGCACAGAAGACCGACAAACGGGATCACGTACCCACAATTAGGCGGATCAACAAACCAGCAACTCGACTATCCGGCGGACACCAACCGGACTCACGAAGATCAATGGACGTATATCAAAGGTGCATCCTTCCACCACACCTCAGTGTCTAATACTTTGATTGTGATGGAAGCGAGCATATGCAGATATGCCTTCATTCAGGGAACTTATGTAGTATGTAATAGGATCGTGAATAGAAACCATTCGGCCAATGTGGTTGGTCAAAAACCAATCAGTTCGTGCTGATACAGCTACTGCCCATGGACTGGAACATTAACTTGAGATTAGCCCGTCCGGGGGTGTGGAAGGGGACTGTAAGAGGATTTAGATCGCAGTCCACCGAATAAGCATCCTGAAGCCTGGCTACACATATACTTGGATGTACTTTCTTTCTTTATACACCGTGGGGTCGAAACTGAAGTCGATGAACTATCCCAACCAGCAAGCTGGGAATTTCCAGGTTACGGCGTCCGGAGCACATGAAGGATATCTCCTCATTCCCGCTGTACGGTGGTGGTGACGTTTCAAGAAGCACGGTTTTGAAGGAGTCAAGGATTCGGTCATGCAAACTGTATCCGGAGGAGGAGATATGTTCTGCTGTCTGGTCTCGCCGGCGGGTCTATCTCGCAAGATAGACATATTCTGTATATGTAGAAGGGTACCGGCCCGGGGTAGAAGAAGCAAGCAACAAAAGAGTTCTAACTTCTATATTCCTACCAATCCTCCTATCTATCTCGATACATTTGACAGGAATTTTCATTTGGATGAGGCGTAAACTACTACAGGCCGCAGTGCGACTCTACAACTATACAAAATTTTACTAGATTAGGCTTATGCTTGAGATCTTGAGAGTCGAGACGAGGGCGGAGTGCGCGGCAGCGGGAAGTCACAAGTGGCGGTTGCATTCGACATGCTACCCAGCTCGCTGTCATTTCTCATTCCTCTTCGCTGGCGATTCCTTCAAGAACGGTGATTTTATTATTGATGAAATATCTGTCACTCGAGTCAAACGGTCTCACACTCACGCTAGACCCTGCTACTTTCCTAGAGAGAGAGAGATCTTCAGTTTATTTCGCATGCAGCCTATCTTGACTATGGCGAACCGTCGCACTCCTTTCCTGCCCACTCTGGCCGGCCGGGGTGCTGCTTTTTGTTTTTTATTTCATCGTCGTAGCATTCGACCTTTGCAGATCATGGCTGTGTACACGTCCGGTTTCACCCCACTGTCTCCGACCGCTGGCCACGAGCCCGATGTGGGTTCCCTATTGCCCGGCCGGGGTGCTGCTTTCCCAATCCACCGGTCAATATACGCGGTAGGAAACAGACGAGTGAGCGATGCTGAATCCCATCTCGACCTCATGCCACTGGGCATGATATGTGCATTCCTCGCATGGAGCCGACTAATGAACCACAAAAAACCTTGCCTCTTCGCATTGCAGCCAGGAAGGTGACGTTTTATAGAGGAAACTCGAAGGAAAAAACCTCGACCACGTTTGGGGCGTTATGTCAGTCCGCTGTGCTCTTGCCACTGCTATGTGCTTGCTCTTCACTCTTGCCACTGATGTTGTGCTTTGCTCATGCCGCTGCTTGGAGAGAGAAAAGAAAGGGAGTGAGGGAAGGAGCGGGAGAGGGGTATTTATGGAGAGGGCGGGTGCGGCTCGGAAACTCCGCTAGTGCGTCCGAGGCTAATCCTGTGGCATAAAGCTTATTTTGACTCGTTGGAAAGTGAGAAAGGCGTAGGGCTTGGTGGAAAGCAAATCACTAACCTGCCGGGAAACCCTCGGAAGCCGAATATCAAGAAAGGAAGTACATCCAAGTCTATGTGTACTAGCCAGGCTTCAGGATGCTTGTTTGGTGGACTGCAATCGAAATTCTTCTTCATTCCCTTCCACACCCCCGGGCGGATCTGTCTCAAGTTACTTTTCCAGTCCATGTAGCAGCACCGGTACAACCTGATTGGTTTGTGACTAGCCACATTGGCCGAATAGTTTCTATTCACGATCTACTGCATACTACATACGTTCCCTCGAATGAAGTTATGTCTGCATACTCTTGCTTCCACCACAATCAAAGTATTGGACACTGAGGTGTGGTGGAAGGATGCATCTTTGATATACGTTCATTGATCTTCGTGAGCTGGCTTGGTGTCCGCCGGATAGTTGCCGAGTTGCTGGTTTGTTGATCCGTCGTGAGGTCGCCGGGTACATGATCCCATTTGTTGTCTTCTGTGCAGCCTGCATTGTCCGCACTCCCTCCCCACAAAGCTCCCTGGCTGCTGTAGGTCCATTAGTATCCGCCGCGTTTGTTGTCCAGTTGGTCCCCAGGTTCCCACGGCAAACGTCCCCATGTTTGCATGCCCACGCTGTCACAGTGAAAGTATTGAGAACCAAGCTGAGACATGTGGACGCTTGTTATTGTACTTCTTTTCGATCCCGGTAGTGTCGTCCTGGTGCTGATCGGATGGTTCCACCTATTAAGTGTGGTGTTGGTGTCACTGTTGGTGATGGTAGAGGAAGAGGAAGAGGAAGAGGAGAAGGAAGAGGAAGAGAAAGAAGGAAGGTAAGTAGAATGTGTGCGGCAGAAGATGGAGCCCTAAATAGGGCTATCCTTCGAAGGGTCGAGAGATATCCTCACTAGCTAGCAGAAAATCCGGCGGCGACATCTATAAAACCCCCTCACCCCTCTCCTTCCATCTTCTCTCTTCAAGCACAGGCATGAGCAAAGCACAACAGCAGTGGCAAGAGCACAGCGGACTGAAATAACGCCCCAAACGTGTTCGAGGTTTTTTTCCTGCGGGTTTCGTCATTAAAAACATCATCCTCCTGGCTGCAACGCGAGGGGATGAGGTTTGATTGGTCCCGTCTTTCCGCCCTCCCGATGAAACCGTCCCGATGCCGTGGCTCTTAAGGGTGTAGAGATCCTGATGCCGAGAGAGGAGGTGCTTGCCAGAGCCGTGAAGATAAGACCAATCGACTGCGGGATGAAGCAAGGGTTCTTGTGGCTCTCCCCGAAGATCGGTGGGAGTCGGGAAGCGTGAAGTGGCGCTTCACGCAGGGAGGCTCCAGTTAAACGGCTTAAGCACGTACATGTCGGTTCGGCAGCAATGGTATTGAAGAAACTGCTTTGCACCCTCACGGAATCCTCGCTTCACTGTCATTCGGGAAATCACCTTGGATCGAAAGCCATCATCGCAATTTTTTCCTAAATCTGTACATCAACGCACCTTCTTTCACCGCCGGGATTTACCGCCGCAAAACCACCTGTGGAAGTATGGAACTCGAGACACGTACCAGAGTAATCGGTTCACAATCTTGCTTTTCCACTTCACCCCGACTTCCAGTTGCCCCGTAGTATGTTTCTTTCTCGGAAGGCTCCACGACTCCCTCGTGTGGGACTCTTGATCGAAGGTGAAGGAATCTGTCAGCGCGATGCAGGGAAGACAGATACATGCTATTCCACCCAAGCATGAGTCCTACCATTTGATCCGATCAGTCGACTGGCTTCTTCAAGATGAGGATTCTCTGCTGATAATCCGTACACATGTCGTCGTTAGGGATATCGTTGGTGAAGCCAGTGACCGACAACCGTCGGAGTGAGGAGTTGATAGGGACTCCCTCGACGAGCCTGACGAGACGATTCGTCCTGTTGGCAGCGGTCTAGACGTAGCCGGCATGCCGCAGGTGGAGTTCTCGAAGCCGTAGATGTACCTGAAGTTGGTGTCGTTGCAGCCGTGGATACACGTTGCTCGAAACAAATCCTGTCACATCTGGATAACATTATCAGTAAGTTCCGGGAGAAGGAGCGGAAAGTTTCATCACCCACCGGTGCATAGTACCTCAATAGTGTGAGTGATTTCATGTCTCTTCGGGCCCATATCAAACGGATAATCGAGATTGTGCGTAGAATCGGTAATCAATTAGTCGAAAGTGGGAAGGATTTCGAGCTCGTGAGTACTAGCATTAGGCGTAAACGGAGAGCATGACGGGGTGTTGCAAGTATTATCATGTAGCATCTGGTGAGATACCTGGCGAAGACATGCAAGTAGACGCTCAAAACAACCTCGACGTGGCCATAGAAGGCGTGGAGCTAAAGCGACTCAGGTTATCATCATTCCAATTTCTCAAAGCTAGTATTTGGAAGGTGATCAATATACCTGGAGCCACGGAGCATTTCAGTGGCTAAATGCTGGGAGATCCGATACTCTGTCCACAGACCATTGGTGGTGAGGTCAAAGTATCCGACTAGGTGCTCCGCTATCGTTGGAACAGGCTGTAGATCTGGCGCCGAGTACCAATAGGCACTCTCACGACGTGAGAAATGATGATATACCGAGAGCACACCGAGAGAGACCGGGAATGGGAGGGGAGGAGATACATAGCCAGGCCAAAAAGAGTAGATGGAGAGGAAAATAGAAGGGAACGGATGAAGAAAAAGAAACTGAATAGAGGAGAAGGAATAATGAACTCATGGCCAAGGGAGAACGAATATATATGGTATATGCTCAGATTACCACTCTCAAGACTAGAAGGTGAAAAAACGATGTGTAGTTGTTTGAACAGATGGGTTCGATCGAACGGAGCAAAGCAGGGACGGTGGGTGGAAGTGCTCTCTGTGAACTCGATTAGGAATGGCGGCAGAAACTGTTCTGTCCTTTGAGCCACTTACGCAGGATCGGGGCCCGTGGCGGGTAGCCAGTGAGACTTCGCTGAATAGTACGAAATGAACAAATACATGATATTAGAAGTTAAATCTCACCAGGAAGGTTCTCTCATAGTATCTTGGGTTCCTCGAGCATTGTGAACAAGTTCGGGGTGTTTTATCAGTTTGATGTTCTGTCTGGCTGTCCTAAAACGTACAGTCAATAGAAGGAAGAGGAGGGTAGAATGGCCGGGAAACATCTGCTTTTGAATAGCTGCGTCTATACAACTACCACAACCCATCCGCTCTCTACCCAGCCCACCCCTTCTTTGCTTCTACCCAATCCACCCCTCCTCCTTTGCTTCTGAAATTCATCCATCTTCCCCCATCGTCCCTCATCATACCCTTCTGATCTTCTCTTCCATATCTTTGCTAGTTGTTCTGATCAACAGCTCTCTGGTTCCTTCTAGCTACCGTCCGAGATTGTTCATCCAGGCTTTTCGATTCCCGGTCTCGGACACATCCAACTGCTTTCAAGATGGCTGAACACTCTGGCAATGGTGAGTTTGAGATGAACGAACTCCCTACCGGCCATTATCATGGCATTGAAGTTGAATCCGAAACGAACGAACTCCCTTCCGGAAACGCTCATGCTCAGGCTCATGAGGACCACCGCCCCCGCCACCCCCACGGCACTGGAACCTACTCGTTTGTTATGAGAGTCAACCGACCGGCAGCCAACTTCTCCGAGAACGTTGCTCACCCCCCAGCAACAATTGACCCGCAGCAGGACAGAGCCCGTCCTCGGGTCCTCTATATGGGTTACGATCCTGCTGACAACCTTGATCCGCTGAACGTATGATCCATTCATTCTACCCTGCGGATTTATGTTCTCCCTCAGGCCCATCTGCTAACTCCCACAGTGGCTGAGAGGCAGGAAGTACCTTTTTCTAGCTACTATATGTTTCATGAGCTTTCTCACGGACTTCTTGTCCGGATATGGCGTATGTTCACTCTAATCCTGCAATGTGGTTTCGCTACGAAGAACTCATGCTCCAGGTGCCCATGATGCTTCCGCAGAGCCAGGAGTGGGGTGTTTCCCTCATCGACGTGACCCGTTCCTTGACGGGTAACACATTCGTAAGTTGATCTTGAATAGTACATCGAGGGGACAGGTATCTAATTATTGTTAGACTCAGGGACTTGGCAGTGTACTGACGATCCCCTTTGCTCAACGCTACGGAGTGTTCGTCTCTCAAGCCACAACTCGTCCCGAATGATTACTGATGATTATTAGCTTACCTGTTATGTTCTGGTGTACTTCGATGACGCTCATGTTCACCATACTCTGTGCGGTTTCTCCGAATTGGATTGGCTCCATCGCCATCCGTGTACTTCAAGGATTCTTTTCCTCGGCTCCCCAGGTCCTAGGACTAACGATCATCCAAGAGATGTAAGTAGGGTTCACAACATTGCGTTGGACTCTGTTCATGCTGACTCATTTGAGGTTTATTTTCGAGGAGCATGCCAGGATGATTGGTATTTGGGGCTGGTCTGTTCTGGTAAGCTGCCTGAAGATGTCAACTCCGGACGGTACACTGACTGAAGATACCAGATTGGTCCATACTTCGGACCCTTCATGGGTTCGTTCATCCTGAAGGCACTTACCTGGCGTCAGGCATGGTGGGTTGCTGTCGGCTTAGTTGCCTTTGGGCTTCTTCTGGTCATTCTGATCCTCGAAGAAACGGGTTATGACCGTGTCAATCGGTTCAATAATCCCCTTCACCCTGGAGGCTACTTTGAAGACAAAGTGTTCACCCTCTCGGGGATGATGGGGTACGAGGCCGGAGGCCGGAAGAAGTTTTTTCAGGCGGTTCATGACATCTGGCTGGTCTTCCGGCAGCCACAATTTGTCTTGCTATGTGAGTGCTCGTCAACTATTTGATTTCTGAAGAAAACTGACGTCTTCTGCAGTCATTTACCACGGTACGACGTACATGTGGACTGTAGGGCTCAATGGAACTTTGATTTCATACCTGGTACCCACAGTTTCAAAAGGGGGGTACGGATTTGATACGGTCGGCCTTGGGTTGATCTACTTTGCGCCCATTGTGGCGATAATTCTGGGCGAGCTCTTCGGCCATTTCGTATGTCACATTCTCGTCCCCTTCAGTTCGTAACGACAGGGCTAACATCATCTTCAAGTTCAACGAAGCGCTGCAAAACCGTTCTATTCGGAGGAACCAAGGGATCTTTAAGCCCGAGGACCGTCTCTGGGGACTGTACCACGCCTCACCGTTGATGACCCTCGGACTGATCCTCGTTGGCTTCTCGCTTGAGAGGCATTGGCACTGGTCCGTGGTCGCTGTCACTTGGGGTCTCTTCGTCTTCGCTGCGATGACGAGCACCGTTGTGATCTCCGCATATGTCCTGGACTGCTTCCCCGAGCAATCCGCAATCACCGCTGCGCTGCTCAACTTCAGTCGCGTGTTCTTTGGCTTCCTCGCCCCGATCTTCCAGAAGACTTGGAGCAACAAGGTTGGAGCCGATTGGAGCTTTACAACCCAAGGTTTCATCTGCTTGTTGGCTCTGCTATTGGTTATTACTGTCCAGCGCTTTGGAAAGAACTGGAGAACCAAAGGAGAAATGGGACCCTCCATGATTATGCTTCAGCACGGAGCTACGGCTCGTTGATCGGTTGTGCCTGCGTTGCGCGCAGTTGATGAGGTTGACACGATATGATGTTGATTGGTTGATTTGTGTTTTTTTCCCCTGAATTTCTTTGAGAGGGAGTTCATTTGTGGCACGCTTTTCAGTCTTTTTTTTCCTGTCTTTTCCTGAACAGCCCGGAGAGATTCGTTGGTTAGGTTGTTTTATGGCCTGACTGAATCGTTTTCCGAGTTCCCGACGTCTTCCGAGATCCTTTCGAGAGGATGGCAAATACAGAAAGGAACTAGTTCCCCTCACCCCTCAGCCCCGCAACATCTAGCTCTCAGCCACGGTCAAGTTTGGCTAGGATTAGATTTTGTCTGCTTAAGGATTGACGATAGGATGACCGGAAAAGTTTCTGTGCTTTCAGAAGGGGGATGCGTTTGCTTTTTACTTTCGGGAAGGGGGATGCGTTTGCTTTTTTTTACTTGGTTGAAATATTCTTGATGACAATACTGTACGACACGATGGGAAGAACCTGGACTGCAACATCTCGAATTCAACATGGTTGCACACTGCGAATTTTTACGATTGAATGATGATCAAAGAACTTGACTCTGCACATAATTGCTCGGAGAACAGAACTTCGGATACGAGCTTCGGTGTTGCGTGGTTTTGATGATACCTACGTGCATTCTAAGTAGGTATTGAAAGCAGAACTCACAATACCTATCTCATCTGTCATGCCCTAAAGACTCGCAGAGAACTATAATTTCTCGAATTGAATCCAGTTCTCTGTGCTAGTGATGAAGATAAATCAACGTGCATCAGCCTTCTTCTATTCTCCTCCCTCAGTTTTCACCAACTTAAACCTTAAGCCTCCAGGCTGCAGCACTAGTTAGAACTCCCACCTACCTAGATAGTACGCACACTACTGTGAGCGGCCCGAGCTGCATCCCAATTTCGCTTCGCCCTTGTCATTTCCATCCAGGAGGACAGCCGGGTTTTTCTAAACAAGGCCGAGCAGCAGCAGCGGTGGAAACTACCACTCTCCAGCTGGCAGACACTCCCTCCCTCCTCCCATTCACTCGACGGGGACAACACAAGAACAACAACCCAACGACCCACCACCACGGGAGCAAAAATGTTCAACACCCTTCTCGACCTCCTCAAAACCTCCCCCTTGAACTTCTGCTGCATCGGCTCGCCTCCCGAATCGCCGCGGCTGACCCCGCGAGTCGTAATCACCCGCTCCCCCTCCCCAGAAACCTGCGGAAAAGCGACCACGACATCCGCAGTTCCCAGCAGCCGCCGGCGGCTCGACCCTCGCGGAGCCCGTGGCCCCTTCCCCGTCACCGTCGAGCACCTCGAAGATGTCATCGAAGACGTCGTGATCGCGCCCGGCGTGGCCGAGGCGCAGCGGGCTGTGGTCGTTGCGTCGCCTCCTGCCACGGCAAAGGGGAGGAGTGTCAGCGAGAACAACATCACTGCGAACGCTGGGAAGAGGATGAGTGGGATCGGATGGCATGGCCGCCATTCTAGCAGCGACTCCAAGATGACAAAGCCGAAAACTCCTAAGACTCCAAAGACGCCGAAGAGGAAACATGCCAGGGGCGTGTCCGCGGCGAGCTCGAGGCCGCCTATCACACCCGTCAGGCTCAATGGTCATGCTAGGCAGATTAGTAATGCTTCCATCACGAGTATGGGGAGTGTTTTGGGCGAAGAGTGGGTTTCTCATCTTTCTTCTACATGGTTGCTGGTGCTGATAAGGAATTAGGATGAAACGCGGCTATCTAAGCGCCATCTGGATGCTGGAGCGAGATGATCAGGAGGCCGCCGCCCTGGGGCGGTAATCCATACAGCTGGCTGTCTGTTGGGGAGGGGGGAAGTGGACGGTGATTAATGGACAGGTCCGGCACGTGGAGTTCGGCGTGGGAGGAGTTTGCAATTTCTTAACGGCGGCATTTTCATTATTAGATACTTATCGAGACTCGAAACCCCCATCATCCCCATCCCCCTCCATTCCCCACACCGCTCAAGCAGCAGCCCATTTTTGTATAATACGTTCGTTTAATCCTCAATTTACAGTAGTTCGTTCAATTCGTTCACATCTCCCTCTCTCCCCTCCATCCTCTCCCCCCTCCACCGCGGCCATAAAGCTATAGTTTTGGACCAACAGCACTCTTGCCACCAGCAGGGTTCCACACATATCCCTCAGCAACAGGGCTCGTTCTCATTGAGGAGTCGACAATGGTCCCACGCATACCACCGAAGGCAACGCCCGGCTTGCCGAGCTTATCGGTGAAGAACACAGGGTGCAGGATTGAGGGATTGTAGCGTTGCTGCTGCTGGGACGTGTTAGTAAGGTCAGGAGACCAGAAGGGCAGGAACCGACGACGGTGGGTGGGAGGGGGAACGTACGCTGGGAGTGCCGGAGGCGGTGGGACGGTGCGAAGGGGAGGTTAATGTTGTGAACATTGTTTTGCTGGAGTTCTTTTCGCGTTTTCGTGCGTATGTGGTTCGTGGGGGAGGAAGTGATCGTGGTGAGACGCGTCGTGGACTCTGGAGGTGAGGTGAAGCTGTCAGCTGTAGCTTGGGGACGCGAACAGGTCTGCAGTAGCACAGCACGAGTCCGAACCCTTACCTCGGCATTCACCGGCAGGGGCAGGCAGGCTGTGACATCATCTTCACTCGAAATCATTCGATTCGAAAAATATCGTCAAAAATATTATTCGACTGAGGTCTTTTTATCGTCGCAAATTATACCCCTATACATTCACATTACATGGTCCCCTCCTCCCTTAAAATTCACCAAAGACCGCTCCCTCCTTCCCTCCTTTCTCGCCCAGCCTAATGAATCTATCAATGCCCTCGGGCACCTCCTCAGATACATGACTTACAACGACCATAGCCTGCCTTCCCTCATCCCATCCGCGCTCGGTCTGCAGGAGACCAAAGCACCGCTCCCGCACCTCCTTCCGCATGCCACTGAACGCCTCATCGAAGATCGTCAGATCCCGCTTCGGCGCCGTAGCTCGCAGAAATAGCGCCAAACGCTGCGTGCTCATGTCTGCGTCGCCAAATGGCATATCCCAGTCTCCCACTAGATCTTGAAACTCGGCGAGGATGGCAGTGAGGTGCTCGCGCTGCGAGGGTGATATCTCGGGTATTGTGAGGAATGTGGCTGCGAAACCGGATTCAACGCAGCGACGGAGGGATAGGTGCCGTGGGAAGAAGGAGTGCAGTTCTGGTGATGATAGGCCAATCCGGGATTGTACCTCAAAGACGCTGATGCCGCGTTGGCCAGGTTCGGGAAGGCGCGGACGGGAAAAGTGCTTTATAGGCAGGGAGTAGGTTAGTGGATGATCCGATGTGAGGAGTGAGGTTAATGTTGTCTTGCCGGAACCTGAGTGTGGATCAGTATGTGTGGTTGGAAATCATTGGGACATAGGCATACCGTTCGGTCCGAAGAGACCCCACTTCTCACCGCGTCGGATCGTCCACGAGAAATCGGATAAGATGACGTTGTCGTAGTAGGCAATCTTGATGCCTTCCATTTCGACGAGAGGTTCTGCGAGTTTCTTCTCTGGTGGAGATGATGGATTGAGTTTCCCTATTCCTGCCCATGCCTTTTCAACCACTCCAAGACCTTCACGATCTTCGTCGCCTTCTAGGAGTATTCTCTTGCCCTGATTCTTGACTTCCGAGATGACGTTTTCCTTCTCGCCCAGAGAGACCACCTTGTCATCTTCCACATACACCAGATGCGTCGACCACTTCGGCACCGGATCCTGCGGCCTCAGTCCCAACGCCACTGGCGTGGCACTTCCACCCGCTGCTGGCGTCGAAACGCGATCCAGCAACTCCGACAAAAGTGTATGACCCTTCGGATCCAACCCCATAAACGGCTCATCAACCAGGAGTAGCTCTGGGCGTTTCAAAAGTGCCTGGGCGATCCTCGCTCGCCTCGACTGCCCATTACTCAGCGTCATAACCGCCTGGTCCTTTAGCTCCACCAAGCGCAGCTCCACCATCACCCGATCCAGTAACTGTTTATTCTCTTCAGCCTCCTGCGCCTCCTCTGCCAGCCGCTGCGACGTCGCGCTTTCGTACGGGTTCAGTCGCGACTCGATGCTAGATTCTAGCCATTCAAAGAGTGTCTGGTCAAATTGTTCACGCAGCGTCTCGTAGCGCGCGGAGATGTAGCCGTCCCCACCGGTGCCGCCATGGAGCATTCCCTGAGTTGACCCCCCGCCGAAGGAGACCAATTCGATGGAATTGTGTGGCCATTTCTTGTGTGCGGAGAGGAACGGGTAGCTACGCGAGTTGGGCGGCGAGGCGAGGAGGGAGCCGCGCAGGATCGAGAGGAAAGTTGACTTGGAGGGACCGAGGATTGCCCATTTCTGTGTGGGCGTGGAGGTAGTGGATGCGGGGAGTGTGAAGGTGGTGTTGGCGAAGAGTGCGGCGGAGGTGGGGGTGCGGCGGAAGGCGGCGGTGCGCAGGGAGATGAGAGGAGGCGGCCTAGTCATCGTGGGTCAGTCTTTGGGTATCTCTGTAAATCTTTTTCTAGCTGTTTGATTCTCTTTCTGTTTTCATTGAAGTAGGAGGAGGTGTGGATATGACTGACCGGAGATATGGAAGGTGAGTAAGTAACAGCTACCTACCTAGAAGAAAAGACCGGTCGGGGGTGAGGTGGGGAGAACGGCACATCTCATTCCGAGTCGATTGTATGGCTGTTGGCAATACCATGACTCCTCGAATCTGTGACGATTTACAGTTGCAAGCAGAGCCAACAATTCTTGATGGCAATTGAATCCGGACAGTCCGTAATGAATCCATCGTCAGAGGCAACCATTCTCACGTCACACAGCAAAAACACACCGTGCATAGACGGGAAACTGAAACCATAACTAACCCCCCATCCTTGCCTCGAACTGCGACGCGCTACAGATCGCGAACCCTCGGTCGACATCATCTCAAACCCACCACCTTCCAACACCTCCATATGCGAACCAACCTCCCCGCCACGCTCGAACCGATACCCAAATGCTCCACGAGCTCTTCCTACTACTCTCCGGAAACCCATCGCCGCTGCTCACCGCAAATGGCCTCCTTAAATCCTTCCCCCTCGTTTCGCCCTCGGAAAGGTACCGACCCCCTCCCCGCCGTAGCGGAGCAAGCACCAACGCATCTAACTCTCCTTCTTCACTAGAGCTCTATTAGATAACTTCTCGAACCTCGGCCACCTCCATATCTCTCTGCGACGTGCTTGCTCCAGCATCACTACCTCGCACCCCTCAACGATCGCGCGCGCAGTAGCAAGCGGCATCGAAACACACCATCTGCAGCGCTTTCGCACGCGAATACTGGCTGTCGAGGAGTCTATACTGAAGCGACAAACCGGGATTGTCGATGGTTATGATATCGTGTCACTAGCGAAAGTTATGAGCGGATTTGACGGGTGGGATAGGATACTGCGGTATCTTAGCGACCTTGTGGAGGCGATCGCACCGAGTAAGGAAAAGGATGGGGTCCATATGTCCGGCGCGGAGATTATAAACAGATTGCGGAAGGATATTTACACTGGTTATCCGTCGCTGGAGGAGGCATCGTTGCACCTACTCGAGATCGCTGAGACAGCGTGGTTGCGGGAGATATCGACGTGGGTGCTGTACGGTCGGCTTCCGTCGTCATCCACATACGGGAGCAGTAGCCCATCCACGGACTTCTTCATCACGGAGGTTGAGGGAGATGTAGTGCAGAACCCAGGCGGTGAGGAGGAAATGGGCGTGCTGAAGGAATACACAATCAACAAGAGACTTCTTCCCGGATTCGTCACGGCACAGACTGCTTCGTCGATCGTGTTTATCGGGCGCGCGCTATCGATGATCAGGCTTCGTGGTGGATTGGCCGCAACAAACGAGTCGACCGCGGCTGTCGCATCACCTGAGATGACACTGCTACCGATGCATCTGACGTTCTTGCAATCCCTCAAATCACCACTCACGCCACAGAAGCTCACAAACGCCATCGCGGCAATAAGATTGTCGCTGTCGAGACATACCCTGCAAACTCTCCTGCCAGCGGAGAAGGTTCTAGACGCCATCCATGTCCTGCGCGAGTTCTTCCTTCTCGGCCGTGGAGAATTCGCACTCAACCTGATTGAGCAGTCTTCTGAGCGTGTTCGCAACCGATGGCGTCGGCCCGGTGCATTGAAGGCTCCCACGGGCGGTGTACTGATCAAGGAGGGCGAGGTATCAGCGATTCTAACACGCACCTGGGGCGTTCTCTCCTCCCTACAAGGCGAAGAAGTGATCGACGAGCGTCTCGACACGGCACGAGATCTACTATTCCTTTCCCTCTACCAGCCACCAGCATCCACGCCAGGCAAGAAATCTGGGGACAGCTTTAAAGATATCCTCGTAGGCGTGCCAATATCTCTCAATTTCCACCTCTCTTGGCCGCTGGAGCTATTTCTACAGCCTACCGATCTAGAGGATTACGACTCCATCTTTGCATACCTTATCGCGGTGCGGAAAGCACAGATGCGTCTACAGAGTCTTTGGCAAGGCCGGCGGCAACCAGTGCAAACCCATGTCACCAAAGAAGAACGCATCAGCCGCAAAGCCGTCTTCCGTGAGCGCGAAGCCAAAGAGAGGAAGATCTGGGCCACCGCCTCCGTCACGATATTCTTCCTCGAGACCCTAGTCTCCTACTGGCAAGGCGAGGTGATCGAAAGTGCTTTCAAATCACTAGTCGACATCGTCTCACCGCCACAGGCAACTGCCGATGACGACGATGAGGATGAAGGTGATATCTGGCGGCATACATCAACCATGCTATCGTCGTCTTCGCGCCCCAGTATTGATGAGGCCACTCTCCAAGACATCGACCACGACCAGAAACAGCAGGATCCCGAAAGTCTCATGCGAGCCCACTACGCGTACCTTGTCTCCATCCGGAGGAATCTTTTCATGGAGGATATTGTCTTCGCTCCGCTCATCAAGAACCTCCTGCAGCAATGTGATGTGATGGCCGGCGGGATAGAACGACTGAGACATCGATATACGATACAGGATTTGGACGTCCAGAACCTCATGATGGGCGATGAGGAGTCGGCTAGGCAGGCGGTGCTGGAAAGGTGTAGGGGGGTCACAGCACTACTAAAGCAGTTGATGGGGAGACTGCACCGGATCGACGAGGAACGGGAAGAGTGGGATGATGGAAGGGGGGAGGGTGCGAAGGTGGATCGATTGCTTATGAGGATGGATTTGGGGAATCTGGATGCGTAAACAGCGTGGAGGGAGTGAGGGAGTTTGGAGTTAGGGGCTTTTTGATTACTGGCGGAGCAGGATTGTACTTCGCGGCTGTTTACATCATTCGGATGAGGTGAAGAAAGATTGAATTGCAGTAACACGTCTCTTCCAGATATCCAAATGATTGCGTTTTGCTTCTTTTCACTACATACCACTCACAAACTAGTCCTAGACCATCATCAAGTTTCCACCCCCCACCGCCAGCACCTGTCCCGTCACCCAGGCGGCCCCCGGACTGACTAAAAACTCGATCACTCCCGCCACATCATTAGGAACCCCCAACCTCGGCGCCGCAGGATTCTGCTTTGCCTTCGCCTCCCAGAACTCCTGGCGGTCCTTTGGCAGCTGCTCGTACAAATCCGTGCGCATCATGCCCAATGCCAGGGCATTGACCGTCATCCCGCCGTACTTCTGCCCCAACTCCACCGCCCACGTTCTCGTCATACTCTCGAGCGCCGCCTTGGACGCACTATACGCGGTGGTGTTCGGCCGGCCGAGATGCGAGCCCTCGCTGCTGATGTTGATGATCCTGCCCGTTCCCGACGTTGAGAAATGCGGCAGCAGCGCAGAGACCAGCAGCGCGGGGAACAGTGTGTTCGCCGTTAACGTCGGCATGAGGGTCTCGGCGAAATTCGCGGCCGACAGCGAGGAGAGGGTGGATAGCCCCGCGTTGTTGACGAGGATGTCGACCTTCCGCCCGCCCAGCGCGGCGAGGATCTGCGCGATGGAGGGCTCCGGCGTGAGGATGTTTGCTGATACGCCGGTGAACGACGGGAGAACCTGCGTGAGACGCTCGGCTGCCGCGGTGGAGGTGTTGTATGTGCCGATCACCGAACAACCCAGGGAGGAGAGGGCAAGCGCTATTTCGAGCCCGATGCCGCGGGTGGCGCCGGTGACTATGGCGACACGGCCCGAGAGGGTCTGCGGCTTGTTGGTGTCTAGCTTGAAGGTTTCGGCGAAGATGTTGGTCATTGTGGCGATTGATTTCGATGGTTGAGGGAGGTTGGATGATAGGAATGGCGATATACGGCTGAACAATGGCTTGAGGTTTCATACAAGCGGGGGGTTCGGGCGGTTTTTATACCCCCTCTCCATACAGCTCCCCACGGCCCTTATGATCAACATACCCGAAAGGCGGGGGAAGTTACCACGACAAAAGCGGGGCAGTCGGTTCAATCGAATAATCTACCGTATTTGACCCCCATAGTAGTTACCTGCACGACAACGTGTAGCCCCGCTCTAACGCAGAACCATCAGCTGGAGCTCTCTTGGGCCATTGTGACTCTTAGTGCTGCTTGCGGAACATCGGGATTTGGGTTTTGACCGCAGGTCGCATATGCGTAAGGCAGACAGACGAATGTTCCATCCACCATCATTGGCTGCCGCAGCTGGGCGTTTACCGGTCATGAAAATAACTCGTTTCGGGGGATTGCACGTGGAACTCGCGTTCATATTTTACGGCGCACGAGGCCTGCTATCTTCCAGCGAAAACCGCCCGTGTTCATCCAGGGGCATCATCGGATCAGCATCCTTCATGGCATTGGGAATATCCCCCGTGCCAAGTCTCCTGACAACCTCCCGCTCATCGCCGCCACACATCACCAGCATCCGCGAGAGATACCCGTCTCCATACTTTGCCGGTATGTTATTGTGTATGAAATCAATCTTTGCCCGCTGACGGAGCGTCGACGAGGAGATCTTTGAGGGATGCGGATCTAGCAGATGCAGCTGCGTACGCGGCGTGATCATACCCGAGGGCAGCGGTATCATGCTTGGTCTGAAGCCGGGAGAGATTGCATGCGGGATCTGGCTTGGTATGGGGCCGGGAGAGAGAGCGGAAGGCTTGATCGGGGCGAGCGGGATCTCCATGAACTCCGGGGTGATTGGTGTCAGCGCATGTGCCGGCGGCTTCGCCTCTTGCTCGTCCCGTCCATCAATAAGCTGTCTCTTCCGACGCTCGTGACGTTGTTTGTTTTTCAGTCGCTTCTCCTCCTTCTCCTTGGCGTCGGCTGAGGCCTTCTCCTTAGCGTCGGCTAACGGCGAGCGCACTCTCGCCTTTCCTTTGCCCTTCCTGTCCCCTCTCCCCTTTCGCTGGGATTTTCCGCTGCTACCGCTCGTGACCGAGGATGCTTGCCTCACACTGGTACCGCTTGGAACTTGCGGCTTGTACACATCGTCCGGAACAGTGGGCTCATGCAATCTCGGCTCTACCGGGGGCTGGTGCTGGTGCTGGGGCTGGCTATTGCTTTGCATCCTGTCCCTCTCCTCCCTCTTCGACTGCTGGATCCTCTCCCACCTATCCTCTTCGATCTTCCTCTCCCTCCTCTGCGCTTCCCCCTCTTCCTCTCCATCCTTTTCCACCCTCTGTGGAGACGCCCACGGATTCTTCGCGCCGTAACGGTTCAGCTTCATCGGCGCGTTTGGCCTGACTCGTCGCTTTCCAGGCCCTGCTGTGGGTGGCTGAGGGTTTTGAGGGGTGAGTGTTTGGAGAGGTACGACGGGAGGTGGAGGTGGAGCAGGGGGATCCGTGGGAAGACAGCAGCCTAGGAATTCTCGGAAAGCTTCCATGGTGGTTTGATACGGGGTATTTTAGAGGACGCGAGGATGATACAGAACTGGAGGGGTATTTCTAGACGAGCGGGGAATGCGGGCATCTTGAGTGCAGAGGGATGGGACGTGTTGAAGATCCGCGTGTGAGGGTTAGAACTAGGGTACTCAAGGCAACCGTTCCTGCCCGCAGAGTCTTATACCTGCGGCCATGTCACCGGTATGCTTCGCTTTTAGTGTATGTATGGGTAGAACACTCATGGCCTCTGTTTCGTAAAATCATCACAGGTCACTCGTCAAGCGTGATCACGGGATGTCACATGACCTCTTGGCAGCATGAAACCGACGGCATTATTCAGGATCACCTGAGCGCTCTACGCGCAATACGTCATGACTCCGTGACTCCATCGGTGACAAATACACAGGTTCCTTCACGTCGAAGAGTCTTCGCGTTTTCATGTAAGGGCACAACCCATGCCATCGTATTACATGATACATGATGCTTGCAGGAGGTCTCCCTGCGATGACTCCTGAAGAAGTAGTTGTCGCTCCGGGTTAGTCCGCGAACGCAAAGACATCTTCTCAGATGTAGAATTTGTAATGTTTGCCTGGAGGACGACATGATTTCGAAAAGAGGAACAGATTGTTGTTGAGTGACAGAACAAGATTTATCTTGGAGCCATTAAGGCCTTTGGTCTGTGGGAAACCGGGGATAATAAGGATGAGAGAAATTTAAATTTTGAGTATCTGATTTCACAACCGTGAGCGAAACAGGGAAGAGTGACGATAAGGTTATTGAGGAGAACTCTTGGTAGAGAAGGTGGCAGTTATGGTTGGTTGGTCAATTTCGGAGGCTGAGGTATGGCTAAACCAACCGTGGTGATCATAACAGGGCCAAATATTGGCTTACAACTACTTGGGTGCTTCGGCGAAACCGGAAACATCGCTTAGGAAGAACTGCTCGGGAGTAACAGCCTGCGATGAACCATGGTATTTGGTGGGTTGGGCCAGTTAACAACGGTTATTTTTCTGACTTCACCAGCAATCATTCGCTATCCGAAGTTCCTGTCAATTCTTCAGCTACAATGCAGTGGTCGAAGATCTCATGCAACCGTGATGACAGAGAGAACCCAGCCCGTCTCGAGGTTTTTGGGTTCATCACTCGAACACCTATTCCATACGATCAATGAGTGAGGAAAGTAGTGAAACGCTGAAGGTAGGGGTCTCGGACGGCTACTAGACGAAGATAGAAAATGCAGCACGAGTATAATGAAAACAAATGGTTCATTCAATCTATTACAAAGGTGGATAATTGATATACCGAATGCTGAATTAAGGCCCTGACTTATGTATGAGCTGCTGGTCAAGTTCTTACTACCTAGCTCTTTAGAAATGCGGTTATATTTAAGGGAAACAATTTCACCTTATACTTCCTATCAAAGAGGGGGTATAAAAAGAACGTTATTTCCGTTGGACGAATATTGATATCGAATCAAGGCGTATTGAACAACACGTATTTTGACCGTTTTGATGCTGTCACAACCAATTGTCCAAAAATACTGTAGTAATACTACAGCTTTTACCACTCCTTGCATTACGCAGTAATAATACAGGTAAATAAGGCTGCATCAATTGGTATTGAATTTCTTCCGCGGCATTCGTTATTTAACCATTCACCGCAAAACCGGCGTGCCCGGCGGTCCACAGTAATTATGCCCAGCTCGCAATCGGAACATCGTAGCCGAAAATATCGTCACGGCGATAGCCAGCTGCCAATTTTCCAGCGCGCAGTAGCAAAGCTTGACTTGGAGTAGTCGCATGTTCGTCCTAAAACCCGCCAGGCTGAGGTTACACGCCCAACCCTCTGCATTCCACGCATCCCAAAAATCACCATCAGATATCGGCGATAACCCGAGTGATCGCTTATGTATATCCGAAAGAAAATACCTCGACGGCCCCCACTCTGAATCCTGATCTACCTTACTTCTCGACCGGGCAAGCCCGCATTTGCACAGAGAACTTCGCTACTGTAGATTTTCACTGATAAGTTACCTGGGTAGACTCACAGGGAGGCAGGGACGTTCAGTGGGTGGAACTGGCTGATGCGGTTTGGGAATAAGACAGACGAAGGCGAAGACGAGGACGAAGACGTAATATATGCTGCTGCTGCTGCTGGGGAGTGCCTGTCAGTCACTGAATGTCTCGCTGGGAGAAAATCACCCGCACGTCTGTATGTAGGAAGTATGTACACTCCGTATCAACCTTGCCGTCGATGCGGATCAGGAGGCTGGGATTTCGCTTATGGAAGTTTAAAATATCGCTCACCTTTGTTAGCATTGCGAACCCATGAAATACGAAAGCGACGGCTGCAGACTTGCAGACTTGCAGTGACTGCGGGCGTGTGTGGGGGGGAGGGGAGCGGCGGCATCAGCTGGGTCAGGTATATATTTCGCCTCACAGTTGTGCGGTCGAATGTGACCTCGTGAAGTGGGGGGAATTTGTAATGTAATGGCCGGAGAGTTTACGGGGGGGGGGGCGGGGCAGCAGCAGCAGCAGTGGACCCTCGCGATCGTCGACCGTGTGGTTCGATGAAGAGCTGAGCTCCAGTGGAAGGCCCGGAGCGGAAGTACCACATTATGCACACTTCCTTCTCGGTGAGTGCATCGCGAGCTTCCGTTTGGATAGTGGATGGGTGGCATGTCGCCGTTTCACCTCCACAGCTCGAGTTACTAACTGACTATCGACGACGATTGGTGTTCGCAGGCAGGCAGGCAGGCAGGCAGGTCGCTCTGCAGCGAAGGGCGTTTCTGCACGGTGCTCAGTCGTTCGATTTTGACGGGTAAATCCGCAGCCACCCCTGAATATCCCGCCTTGCCTAGTTGATCTACTAGACTGCAGCGTGAAGGTTCCGGAGTCGGACTGGATCGCTACTGCCAGCAATTCGCAGACATCTCTATGGCCGATAGGCGACGATAACTAAACTGGCCTGTGTACAGCAGTACTGCTGCTCCTGTTACTGCCTCTGCTGATGCTGCCGCTGCATGTGTGGATCAGACACCTTGGCGATTCTCAGCTGGACGATACCGCACCCTGCATCGCTGGATGACGCCGTGACGGACTTGGACTCGTCATCAATTGCCACCCTTCCTAGTTAAATCTGCGGCACATCGAGGTACTCGTGCAACGACGAGATCCCAGAGACCAGTCAGTCAGCCAGCCCAGTCCAGCCCGGCCAGCCACTGGCCAGTTTCAGCGGTTCCGGGAGGTCGATGGTTGATTTGATTTGCTCTGCACCCAATAGTTACGACCGTATCCGCCTGTGAAGCAGTGCTGAGGCAGCTGCCAGCTTGCTACATGAACGACATCTAGATCCGACTGGTCACACTCACACGTACATACGGCGGAGCGGTACGCCGCCGGCATGCCTTTATGGGCTTTCTTCTCCTTCTCCTGGTGTTTCGTAGCGGAGGACCGGAAGCACCATCACGGCATGGCCACCATCCGCGTGCCAGCAAAAGAGTGCTTCGAGTCGTCCGGCGGAGCGGCAAAAGTCTTATCATCATCTACGCGTCGTATCTGCAGCAGGAGGGCAGCAGACTCAGCACACACAAGGCCCTACGACGGTATGTATGTACACATGTACGAGGGCTTGTAAACCAATTGACTCACTGCGACTACCTACTCGGAGTAGTAGTTAGCTCGACGATCTTTCCACTGAACACTAACTATTACGGTAGACTGGTCACTGCGGGCGTGGCTTCGAACCCTCGTGTGATTCTACCCTGAAATGCCCTTCCTCGATGGCCCGAAATAATTTGCATTGACAGAGTCCAGACAGGTAAGGCTTACGACGCGGCCTCTCGAAGCAGTTTTTTTTACTGGTGGAGACTCGTCAGTGGTCAGTTCGGGTGTTGGAGCGCAAGCAAGGCTAGCTCTATCTCACCACGGCCATCAGGATTAAATCCGAAGCCTCGAGCGAGCCGAAAAGGCTATATGTGCTTTTTTCATGGAGACAGTGAAATTCTTCGTCCACTTGATCGTCTGGAATGGGAAGTCGTTTGGCCCCTGGTACACCCCAAGTCACTCGCGCTAAGACGTTGAAATATAGTTTGCCATAGACTGGCAAATCATTTGCCACCCGCTGCGACCAGACTTGTCTCCATCCAAGGCTGACCATCGATTACGCATTGAAACTGGTTTTGTCTTAGCCGCGCGCTCGCAGGAAAAAACTAGGTAGCGGGATGCCATTTCCGGTGGCGGCATGAATATCCACTTGGGTACATACGGTACGGTAGCTACGTGCCCGCCACGCCACGCCACGCCCGCCCTACATACGGTCCGGCTCAGGGACCCGTACCGTACCCATAACCGTACCGTGTGTACCGTCTGTGCCCCGCGCCCCGCCCCGCCCCCCCACGCGTCGGTGTGTGGGTGCGTGTGTGTCCAACGGTGCTTGCCGTCCCGTTCATCCCAATGATCCCATCCCTGTTTTCCAGCTCGCCAAAAAAAAGCATGACATCAACACTTCGTTGGTGTTTCAACGCGAACGCGCAAGAAGCCGGACGAGCCTTCCCAGTACATACTGTACCCATCGTCACCCGGCGCCACAGCTACTACACATGTAAGTACGGTAGTCCATGACGACGGCAAAATCTAGGGGTATACCGTATCCGAATGTTGAAACCCCCATTCATGATTCATCGATATCGTGCAGCAGCTAGCAGCCAGCTCGATGATCGCACCGGCGGGTGTGCACTGCGTGCGTGTGCGACTGTGCGACTCATATGTGCGTGCGTGCGGGCGGGCGTGCAAACGGGACGAAGGAAGGAAGGAAGGAAGAGAGGCACCTGGCACCTGGCAGATCGTCGCTCGCTCGCTAATACTGATGGGGCATTACTGGATTACTGGTATGATGTCAGGAAGTAGGTTGGGAGGTGCTTGGATGCTTGGGTGCTTAGTTATGCAGTTATGCATGCGCGGGCCGGGGCAACGCTCGGGAGTGGAGGCGTGGGCGTGGGCGTGGGCGTGGGCGCGGGCTGGGGCGGGGGAAATAAAACCCCCGTCCGTCTTGATCTAGGTACTCTACTGCGGAAAACTACCCCTCCACGGGCCACCGACGGACCACCAGAGAATGGAATCGACGGCTGAGCAGCTCGATGACCGACGTCACCGCGGTTTCGTCGACGTTGCTCTATGCACTTGCACTTGCAAGATCCGGGGCTGCTGTTGTCACTGGCCAGACGGACGAAGCTATGGGCCATGGCCAACCCTTCCGCTTAGCTTGGAGGCGGCACACATGTCGGTGTGGAGGCCCTGGAGGGAAAGTGAGATCATTGTTAACTTCGAAGTTCAAACTGGAGGAGTGTCTTTTCATCACGTTTGCTGTCTGGGGATATGGACCAATTGGATACGGTTGACATGTACTGTATATACCGATTCTACAACAACAACAACTCGGAACGAGCAACCAGCCGGTCATCAATCTGATAGGAAAAGTACCAGTACTGGTACATACTCTATCTCTCCCTATGTACGTACCGGTACTTGATCCCCGGCTCCCTTGATCGTGAGAGACGCAGATATAACTCACTTCTCCGGTGCATTACTGAAGCTGACTGGGTAGGAAATCCGAGTGAGTGAGCGAGTGCTTCGAAGTTCGTAAACGGTCTACGGTACTCGAAGAAACTAACCATTCGCCGACCTCGTTTCTGCACTACGAGATGTGCTAATAGAGCAAGTCCTCCTCCTCCTCCTTCCCCACCCACGCCGAGCTCGACGGCACGACTGGCAGGCCACTGAGCCGCTACCGGCAGTCCGAGCATCTCCTAGGCAGATACATTTGAGATGCGCATGCCTTCCGGTGCTTGGAGACCCCGTACCATACCAAAAGCATTCGACCGTCGACCGGCTAGCAGACAGAGTCCATGTGCGCCATCAACCATGGGTGGGCGCCGGAAATTATCATCATCATCAGCACTAGCGATTCCAACAGTGCAGACGAACGGATAGGTATCTCGGCACATGGGTGCATCTACTAGTAGGTATGTATGTAAATAGGTACCGTACTGGTCGTCTTCCGTTGGCAGACTAGCGGTTGAACGTTCGACGCCTATAGTGACTCCCGAAAAAGCTTCGCAGACAACACTTGATGCCGGAGCCAATCAACCGATAACTTCAACTCCGCACTGCTTTACCGAAGATCGATTGGGCTGGGTGATATTGAAATACTACCTGCGAATATATATACGGGTGCCACAGTGGATCTGGTATCATAGCATCCAGCCCGCTAGATATGTACATACTCTGGCCAGCGAGATCATCCGCTGGAAGTCGGCGGCTGGCCAGGCCAACAAGCAACGTAGATGTCCAGTGGAATCGTATTAGCAAGAGGAAGAAGTAAAAGCAATGCGGCGTAAATCATGGCTTTGCTGCCGGAGGTGCGATTGCGTGAGATCGTGGTATTACCAACGGAACAAACAACGTACATACAGATCATTACATCTCATACTCTGCCATGTCTATGATCATCACTTGTACTACCAGAACAGATCATACAGCTTCCATTCTTCCAACATCACAGCCGCCACAGCTCCCCCGCCCGCGAACATGGCTCAGCCCTTCGCCCACTGGCTGGCCTGGAGTGTGTGTATATCCCCCAGAAGTGCCGGGGCAGACGAGTCCTACACACACATGCTGGCCTGCAGCAGCAGCAGTGCTTTCTCCTACACCCTCCGTGTCTTACCTTACCTTACCTCACACACCCCACCTGGCCACCCCACCCACCCCACTCTACGCACGCACCAACCACGATCCGCCTACGGTACACCCACCAGGCCCGCCACGCAAGTCGGCATCGAGTCCTCGATGCCTCCATGGAAAAACGGAAACAACCATCCGCCCTGCCAACCCCCCTCCCCCCAAATTCCAATCCTTCGACACGCCACGCCACCCGAGCAAACGCCCACGAAAGGCACAGCTGCATACACACATACATACATACAGACAGACATACAGATGCAGCTTCATCCCGCCTGCATATCCGTCCTGAACCAGCAACGCAACTTCCCGGACTAACCGGTACTGGTTCCCAACCCTCCCTCGTTCTCTTCCCTTCCTTCCCCACCTCCCCACCTCCTCCCTCCACGTCCCTCCGCCACGTCCCGTCTCCACCAACCGGGACTCCGCTCGTCAACCGCGCACATTTGCTGCGCAGCCCACACTTCGTTCGTAACTTGTAAGACGACCGACCTCGAAAGTGCATTTCCAGAACTCGGGATAACCCATTGCGGCCTTGATGGACTCCGTGGAGCTATGGGGGAGGAGGAGGAGGAGGAGGAGAAGGAGGAGGAAGCTGAGAGGGGGCGTGGCAGTAGTGCGGTCAAGCGCAGACCGATTCGATTCCAATGCTAACGAGCGAGCGAACGTGCTGAGCTGTGCTGAGCTGTGCTGCAGGTTCCCACCACTGATTTCTTTTCGCTTTCTTCTCACCTCGCCCTACAAAAAAACCCCAAGTTGAAAAATCCAAAAAAATCCAAAAAAAAAATCTATTCCGCCGCCAGTATTTTTCTTCTTTTCGTTTCTTTTTTTTCTTCTTCCCAGACGTTCGTGCGAATAGGGAGGGGCGGGGAGCGAAAGTCCATGTTTGCTTCTTGGCAACATCTCGATGTGATCAGCAGGATCCATCGAGCTGACCAAATCCGGCCCACGCAGCGTCACAGCGCAAACCCGCCGTCCGGATCCGGCGTTTCGTCCACGCCGTCCCCCCCTGCGGGTGCGGAATTCATGCAAAATGTTGCTTTTGCTGCTTTTACTTTTGGAGGTGGTAGAGTACTAGTGGGTGCTATGTATACTCGTACACCCACTCGAAGTATGTAAGTAGGGAAGCGGAAGGGCCGAGAATGTGACGTAGAGTGTGTACGTAGAGGCTGGCTTTTGTCAGCCTTCAGCCTTCGCGTCGCGACTCGCGTGTGCCGCGGTTGATGCGGAGGCGCCAGCGCGCGCTGATAGTGCTGCCACGTGGTTTGGGCTCATGCAATAGGTATGGTATGGTATAGAGCGGTGGTTTGCGTCGCGACTCGCGGGAAACTCTTAGGCGCTTTACACTGCGACTGGTGTCGACTCTACTATTGTAGCCTGCCTTGTTCTCTCCTCTGCTTATGTATATCGGCTCCACCGATATGAAGCTCCGTTACGTCATAGGTATCTACCATACATACCATTCACGAGTTACTTTGCCATGATGCCGTCACGGATAGCATACCATTTACGAGTCACTTTGCCATGATGACGGAGAGGAACAAACAAAGCTAGGATGTAATCATAGTCATGTTGTTGAAACACGCTGTGTAGAACCACCCAGCAATCGTATGGAGATACAAGGTGCGAAAGCCTTGAAACGGCAAAAAAACATCGTCCCCATGTAACAAAGTACCTTCCCTAGTATTCCCCATATTCTTAATCAAAGCAAGTAAGAGGCAGGAAAGAAAAGCAAACCCCCCGAGTAAACAAACAGAAAAAAATTGAACCATTTAGCAGGAAAAAGGTGCGAAGTAGCCTAAAGCGGCAGAGAAACATCGCCCCTCTGTAACTACCTTTCTCAGCATTCCCGATATCTTCAATCATAGCAAGCAACAGGCATGAAAGAAAAGTAAACTCCCCGAGTAAAACAAACAAAAAAAGATTGAACTATTTAGCAAGAACTTTTCTTATTAAACAGTCCAAGGACCGAAATCACAAATGGCACAGAGCAGAATGAAAGAGAGATACCTAGGAAAAGAGCAAGGGGAACCACCGCCGCGGAACACATTATGGTCGTACTAGAAAATCGCAACTTTTTGTCAGCCGGGCCACAGTACCACCACTCACAACTGGGGGGAATCCCAGTTGCTCAACACGCAACCGAAGATTCGCTGCTTGGGAAGTGAGTCAATAGGTTGGCACGTGACATCAAAAGCAGGCCAGGTAGTCCACCCGTTCATGGTTAGGAAGCGCCTGACGTAGATCGCAGTGCTAAAGTTGGTATATTCAACTTTGAAAACACCAGGACCGTCCATCTGGTGTACGAAGACGTCGGCTTTGAGATACTCGGTTAGAGCGGGAGGTAAAGGGGTCCTCTTGACGAATTCCGAGACACTCGCGCAGTTGTGCCCCATCGCACGTCTACCGGGAATTGCTGTGAATACGCGGCAGTTGTCGCGGCTGAACAGTTCCCCTCCACTGGGCAATGGCGGTACCTGCTCCATCACAACTTTGAGAACCCTTTCCTGGAAGTAGACGGGAGCCGAACTCATCCAATGGAAGTAGTTCCAAGCTTGCTCCGGTGTGAGAAAAGTGACCTCAAGGCTCGTGTAGGTAGCTTTTTGGCCTTCCTGATCATCGTGACGGAGACGCATCACTTCGATGGGACCCCCTCTGACCATAGGCAATGCTTCGTGGTATTGAATAATGCGGGGAAGATGCGTGATGGTCACCTTACGGTAACGAGGGTCAAGCTTTCCGTCGCGGAGGTACGGTGACCTTTCATCCTCACTGTTGCCATCGCGCTTCGGGGGACGAAGTCCCCGAGTCTGAAGCCGAGGCGAAAGACCACGGTCGGCCCAGTGCGCTCTCTCAGCAGAACGTCTTCCCTCGAACCAGTCGAGTCTGCAAAAGTGTTAGTAATTATTTATTTCAGAAACTTTTGATCGGAACATACCCCAAACCTCGTTCCTGTTCTTCGGCAAGGAGGTCAAAGCTTTCACCGTAGTAGACGGGCGTATCATCCACTGGAGGCGCAGGTTCGGGTTGCCTAGGCGCGGGTTCGATTTGCCTAGGCGCGGGTTCGATTTGCCTAGGCGTGGGTTCGATTTGCCTAGGCGCACTAGGTCGAAGCTGTTGGGTGACCACGGGCCTAGACGGAAGGTTAGACAATTGGCCGGAAGATGGGGGTTTTAGAAACTTACATATCCGAGTAGTCGGACATATAGTAGCCGACGGAACCTCCTGAAGGGATACCCGGGTCCTTAAGAAGCTCGTCATGATCCGTCTCAGAATCGTTGCCGGGCGGATAATAGATGCGAAGCGGTGGCGAGCTCTTCTGATGCTTCACCTGAGCAGGCCACTGGTTGTTCTGCTCTTTGGACGTGAGATGAAACACTGGGGGAGACATAGGTCGCTCGAATCGTTCCTGTTGGATGCCGATCTGGTCCACCTTGGTGTCTACTGGCAACAATGGGCGCGGATGAATGGTCGGTACAGGTACAGGAATTGAAACCCTGGCAGGTAAAGGAGCGAAAAACTTAGGCTTGTCTTCTTTCGGGAGGATGCCCAATGCATGTTGGCGCTCCATGTCTGCAACAGCCCGCTTGACATCGTGCGCGAGTTGAATCGATGAAACTGCTTCTAAATTCTAGCCGGTTAGTACTTCTTCCATGATAGGGTTTCAACGGATGGGGTTTCCTGACTCTTGACAGGTGATGGCTTCGCCGTCTCGTTATCCGCAGGATTCTCATTTCCATCAACCACCGATTCACGACGGTCGGGAATTGGGAGTCCACGCAAGCGCAGGACTTCGGCCAACCACGATTCTTCGTCGAGGTCATCGGGAGTGACACCGATGTACGTTTGCTCGTCAGCGAGTACAGCGTCGATCCACGTATCGGCCGCCTTGTACGACTTCCACCACAAGCCTTTGGCGTCAAAGCCGCTGTTCTGTATAAAGTGTATGAAGTAGTCCTTCGCGATATTGACCCTGGCTTGGTCCTCCTGGTAATCCAAGAGGGTGTCCACAGTAGCGTCCAAACGGATCTTGATGCTCTTGTGGGCTTCAAGCAAGTCTATGAGTAGCTTACCTACATCTGCGTTAGATGTGAACCAATATTAGATAAGTATGGATGGAAGTGCGTACCAGGAACCATAATCATAGTCTTGGGAACGGCATTAACAAGGTTGCGCAACAAACCGATCGAGGTGCCTTCATCATTCTCGTCGATATCAATAGACGGAGCACGAGGTACGGACTTCGTGTTGCCAGGCCTGGCATACTCGGCGCTGGAAGATTTGATCTTAGCTTCAACCGAAGTTCTCTTCTTGTGTGGATAAAACTCTTCAGAGGTCGAGTCCGGAGGTGAAAGACGACTATTCTCGTGAGCAGTAGTCATCAGAGGTGAATTCGGTGATATGGGAGAGGACGGGGGGCAGGAAAAACTAGGGGTAGTGAAATGCTCCGAAGGAAGCAGTGAAGGAGAAGGTGGGGGCAGTTTTTTGGCATCGTCCAGACGGGGACCGGCAACACCCTTATCCCTAACAGGTCTCAGGTGGGGCGGTAGAGGACCAGAAGTCTGGGCGGGTGCCATTGTAGGAGATGGAGGGCGGGTGGCCTTGGCGGGAGGGAGGTTGTTCTTAGGACGAGAGATAGCCATCAGCTTCTCGAGGTAGGCATTCGTACGGTTAATGATTTCAGGACGTATCGCTTTCGTGGCGCCTTGGAAAGCCGGTAGCTGCCCAGTTTCCGTCTCCATCTCGTCCAAGTCGGAATCGGTCATGATGACCGCAGAGTTGTTAGTTGTGTCCAGATGGTTTGTAGTTGTGCGTAAAGCCAAGGGGGGAAAAGGTGTCGGTTTGTGAGAGAAGATGTAGAAACGAGTGTGAAAGGGCGGGGGAGGAGGGGGGAGGAGAGGGGAGGAGAGGGAGAAGGAGAGGAGGGTAACAAGAAGGCGAGAGGGTACAGAAAAGGAAAGGTGGACAGAAAGTGGTAGTTCACAACGTTGTGAAGTCACAACCTGGAATCAGGCTTCGACCCGTCAACACACCATCAGTGAGTTTCTTTTGAGCTTTGACCCTTTAGATCGTTTGGCCGATCTACCACTGTTTAAATTCTCTCTTCATAAAATTATACATTTTATACATCTCTTCGTGTGTTGTGGTACTTGCATTTAACCTATGCGTTGTCATGTGTGATTTCGAAGCAAGCGGTGGCCAGAGCAGAGGTGAGTGATAACTCATGAGCACACCCAGTACGTATACATTTGTAACTGTTGAGTGCCCAGATTCTCGGTACAGCCCATTACTCAATCCTCCAGTAACTCCCATGAGTAAGTAGTAATAGAGCCCTCCGGTGGACACTTACGGCGTCGATATCGTCTGAACACGCAGAGCTTGGTCCTGGCTGCTTGTGCAACCAAGACTTCGAAATTCCCCCTCAAACACCAAGACTCTATGGACATCAAGATTGAAACCTCCATTCACGAAAAGAACCATGGAAGCAGAGAGCGAATGATTATAAAATATTTCGTGGCTTTGCCGGTCCCACAACATCCTAGATCGTTTAAAAAAGCGCAAAAGCGTCATTCCCGGATGGCTTGGTACTCGCCAACGAACTGATCGTTTGGCGCGGAGCCAGCTGGCAACTCTATTGTGACCACAACTCTGCTGCCATTACATAAGTTCCTACATACTCGGCATCCCTCGGAGTGATCGACGCTCGAGTCTTTCCGGTGCTGCGCAGGCCCTTTCGCCCCCCGCTTACAGCACTCACGGTTCAGGCGCAACTTCGACGGGCACCACAGATACGGTGACTGTAGCCGACTGCTCGCGACGACGGGGATTCCCTAATGCCAGCCTCGCCTGCCAGGCGCATGGTGTAGCCGCATGCTACAGCTTTCGCCGTGGTGGTTCCATTCTTACGTTTGATTCCATCGCATCTCCCCGGAGTCCCTATCAACTTTCGAGGCTGACGGTACGATGTAGCTACATACCACCGTTAGATGACTATTCGAACTACCCCACGAGCCACGCCACCACCAGCAATAAGGAGCCGGGGGTCGCCTGTTGTTCCATCGCTTCTGCGTTAGTTCATGGACTCCGGCACCATGGCTATTACTATGCACTCGTGTTGTGGGGCATCTCCGTACATACGAAGCCCTATTGCGGGCTGATGCTAAATTTCGCTCGGCGCCGCCGCCGTGTCATCAGGTCACGAACCACCGTCCACCGTCCACCGTCCACCGCCCCAAACCAGCATCATGGATCACTCTTGTCGGCGCTGGCTAGAACGGATAAGCGAAGTCACGCGCACACGCCGGAACCTCAGCTACTCTTGCGATCGTATCGTATTCGGCAATACTACCGCGCCGTGTAGTCCGCTCCGACCCGCCCCGCCCGGGTTATGTCGAACCCAAGCCAGCCGGAATCAGAATACCGCCGGAAGTGCGTAGCTTGGTCTTCACCCGCTAATAGACCGTTTCAGATCTCTCTCCTCCCCAAAAAAGAAAATACTCTCGGGATAGGTACCATGTCGTGCTGTGAGGGGTGTGGCTCGAGCGATCCTCGTTCTGAGACCTCCCTGGACGGCCGCTGTATTATTACACCTCGTTCGGAGAATTCTCGAGACGTTGTGATAGTACTTCTCACGCTCCGGGCCCGGCCATAACTAGGGGGGGAGGGGACGCTTACCGCCTCGCGATCACTCACCATCGGTACTAGGTATACACATACCTGCTGAAGATCACCACGCCGCACCACTCGATAGTATGTACCTACATAAATATATAAATTTAACTACGGACCCATGGATCATGAGCCGTCGCCGGATCGGACGCCTCATCCCCAAAGTTCTATCTATACATACCTACATCTCGGATATCATCATCATGCGCATTGAACACGCAAGATACCTACGCAAGGCTGAAATTGACGCCAACAGGGATCTGCCAGAGCTTACGGAGGTCCTTCGGTCTGGAGCATGCATGGCGAGCGCGCGTTCCTCAGTTCGAATATGCAAATCACGGCAACGATGTTTCGTCGGTTGGGTGGAGGAAAGGGAGAGGGGGGGGGGGGGGGGGGGGGTTGGCCGGATCGTGACTCCTAGATGCTTCCCTCCTCATCCACCCGTTCACCGCGGTGGGCTACGGTGCGGTGTTGTGCGTACCCCCACTATCGCTAAAACTCGTTCCGGAAGCAAAACATGCGCCACTCCCATCCCACCACAATACAATCTTACGTCCCAGCCCAGTCCCGGCCCCACCTAGAACCCCCCGCCGGGTTCCGCACGATCGATACTTCATATAAATGTTCCTTGGATCACTTTACCACTAGCCATCACTCGACGCCCCCAGTTCCTTGCAGAAACCGGGGAACTGAGAGGCTAGTATGGGGGAGTAGAGTGGAAGGGTCCACATCCCGCCGATGGAATGACTATTGACCATAATAATTAACCACAGCAGAATGAAAGTCCAAAAGTGGAAACCATCGCCAGTGGTGCAGCTCGGTTCACTTTGGCCCTGGGCCCTACGGAATTGCTTTCAGCGGCGCTTAACAATTAGTAAGCCCCTGGTCCCTACGAGTGACCACTAACCAGCACATGACACGAGAGAGTCAGATGTGCATTCAATATTACATAGCGGGAAGAGAGTCCAGACTATGGGACGATTGAAGGACCCGAGTGGGCGGTATACCGGTACTAGGTATAAAGTAGTTCTCGTCTAGACGGAATAAATCGATCCCGTCGCTTACTTTTTTACTCGATGCGCCCCACCGCCCCCGTTCACCCCCACGTGCAACGGCGGTTTCTAAATACTCTACATCCATACGCGTTCCGGCTGGGTTGAAACCTAACCGACCCGCAACTACACATGATACCTGCTACCAAGCTCATGTACAAACGACCGCTCGTCCGTGAACCGTTACGCAGCTTCCAGGTACATTGCATAGTAAGCAAGCCAATTCGGAAACACGCCTGCCGCAGTGCTGCTGGTATCGTGTCGGCCATCTCCAGTGTTTCCAGTATTTTGATACCTACTATACCTACATAAACACCTACATAGCGTATGTAGGGAACAGAATTGAATGCAATCGGCAAAATAAGATCCCCCTGCTCATTTGAGCTTCCCCCTGGACCCAGCCCCCCCCTGCCGTTACATACGATGGATCATGGAACGCAGGTGACTGATACCCTGCATCCAGGTAGGTTACAATAGTAAGAAGTAAGTCCGGTACTATAGGCAACGGGATCCAGCCCTCTCCTCTCCTACTTTTGCTTTTTTGTATTATTTGCGCCACAGCAAGAGACCCGGCCAGGCTGGCTCGCACTCGCACTTGCGCTTGCGCGGGCGTTCGTATCCCCCGTCCGACGAGAATCCCTACTCAATCGCGGAAAAGTAAAAAATACCCCCCCTCGCAAAGAGCCGAGAGTGGACTCCACCAGGTCATAGAAAAATTATCCTGTCCCGACTCCCCGCGTTAGTCAAACGGAATATGAAAAAGAAATCTAAAAATCTAAAAATCTAAAAATCCAAAGAAATAAAAATCCAAAGAAATAAAATGAGACAAAAATATGATTTGCCAAACCCCAAATCAAGGCTTAATGCAGCCATCATACGATCACAATTCCAATCGCAATTGCCATTACAATTACAATTATCAAACAAAAATCCGCACCGCACCTGTCCTTCCAGCGGGTAAAAGTTCGCCGCGGAGGTCGGCGGAGCATGATGAAATTGAGAGTAGGATGGATTGACGTAGATCATCTAGATTAAAATATCGCGTAACAGCAGCAGCAGCAGGAGCAACAGCAGCAGCAGCAGGAGCAACAGCAGCAGCAGCAGGAGCAACAGCAGCAACAGCAGTAGGAGGAGCAGCCATTAGGTGCCTAGAATTAAAGTGCAGTGCACTGTGGGTGTTCTACTCTAAGCGTGCGTTCGTGTGAGCTACAGTCAATATCGTAAATACCGTTACCGTAAATACCGTACATACTACATGCCGTCCACACCGTGGTCCGTAAACGCCATCCATACCGTCTTACATACCGTCGTACGAATATTCCTATATTCATCGTTTCCTCTCGCGCGACGAGGCGAGTCCGGTCAATTCCAGCCTGGTCGAGTTCATCGAGTCGACTCAAGCAAACCGAATTCTGCGCGCAGCAGCAGCAGCAGGCGATCCCCGCCCGCAGTAAATCTACCGGCTCGAAGGCTGCGTGGCTGGCTGACCGACCCGACCCGCCGATGCGGCTCCGTCTCCGTATCCGTCTCCAGTTTTCACGGCGGCGGCGGCGGCGTGTGGCCGGGGTGGTGGTGGTGGTGGTGGTGGTGGACTACTCTCAACGTGCCTGCGGGCTGGGAGTGGGCAATGGGCCGCAATAAATACCGTTACCGTAAATACCGTACATAGTACATACCGTCGTACCATACCGTCGTACAACGGTGCAACGGTACATTCCTATATTCGTCGTATCCTACATTCGTCGTTTCCTCTTGCTCGGTGAGGCGAGCCCAGCCTGGCCGAGTCGAGTCGAGCAAACCGAATTCTGCGCGCAGCAAATCTACCGGCTCGGCTTCTGCGTGGCTGCGTGGCTGGCCGACCCGCCGACTCGCCGACCCGCCGCTCCGGTATTGGTTTTCACGGCGGCGGCGGCGGGGTGGTCGCAGTGGTCACGGTGGATACCACGGGCAAGGCCGAATTTTCGCCTTTTATCTCCTTGTGCAGATTATGTACATGACGTACCAGCAGCCGGGCAAATAGTGGATAAGGCTGTAAGTACATGAGTAAATACTTCGGCAGGCAGAACCTCGCGGGCTGCAGGCGTATGTACGCATGGGACATACAATGTAGGCAACTTGTAGGTGGATACCTGGTAGATGCCAGATACACGCACGCACGAACAAACGTGAGGGAAGCACTGCACAGCACTGCAATGCCGGC